AATTTGTAAAAATTAATTTACTCTTCCGGAATTATTTTTACAATTTGTAAAAATTAATTTTCCTATTCCGGAATTACTTCTACAATTTGTAATAATTAATTTTCCTCTTCCGGAATTACTTTTACAATTTGTAAAAATTAATTTTTCTCTTCCGGAATTTTTTTACAATTTGTAAAAATTAATTTTCCTCTTCCGGAATTATTTTTACAATTTGTAAAAATTAATTTACTCTTCCGGAATTACATTTACAATTTGTGAAAATTAATTTCCTCTTCCGGAATTATTTTTACAATTTGTAAAAATTAATTTTCCTCTTCCGGAATTATTTTTACAATTTGTAAAAATTAATTTACTCTTCCGGAATTATTTTTACAATTTGTAAAAATTAATTTTCCTATTCCGGAATTACTTCTACAATTTGTAATAATTAATTTTCCTCTTCCGGAATTACTTTTACAATTTGTAAAAATTAATTTTCCTATTCCGGAATTACTTCTACAATTTGTAATAATTAATTTTCCTCTTCCGGAATTACTTTTACAATTTGTAAAAATTAATTTTTCTCTTCCGGAATTTTTTTACAATTTGTAAAAATTAATTTTCCTCTTCCGGAATTATTTTTACAATTTGTAAAAATTAATTTACTCTTCCGGAATTACATTTACAATTTGTGAAAATTAATTTCCTCTTCCGGAATTATTTTTACAATTTGTAAAAATTAATTTTCCTCTTCCGGAATTATTTTTACAATTTGTAAAAATTAATTTACTCTTCCGGAATTATTTTTACAATTTGTAAAAATTAATTTTCCTCTTCCGGAATTATTTTTACAATTTGTAAAAATTAATTTTCCTATTCCGGAATTACTTCTACAATTTGTAATAATTAATTTTCCTCTTCCGGAATTACTTTTACAATTTGTAAAAATTAATTTTTCTCTTCCGGAATTATTTTTACAATTTGTAAAAATTAATTTACTCTTCCGGAATTATTTTTACAATTTGTAAAAATTAATTTTCCTATTCCGGAATTACTTCTACAATTTGTAATAATTAATTTTCCTCTTCCGGAATTACTTTTACAATTTGTAAAAATTAATTTTTCTCTTCCGGAATTTTTTTACAATTTGTAAAAATTAATTTTCCTCTTCCGGAATTATTTTTACAATTTGTAAAAATTAATTTACTCTTCCGGAATTACATTTACAATTTGTGAAAATTAATTTCCTCTTCCGGAATTATTTTTACAATTTGTAAAAATTAATTTTCCTCTTCCGGAATTATTTTTACAATTTGTAAAAATTAATTTACTCTTCCGGAATTACATTTACAATTTGTAAAAATTAATTTACTCTTCCGGAATTATTTTTACAATTTGTAAAAATTAATTTTCCTATTCCGGAATTACTTCTACAATTTGTAATAATTAATTTTCCTCTTCCGGAATTACTTTTACAATTTGTAAAAATTAATTTTTCTCTTCCGGAATTATTTTTACAATTTGTAAAAATTAATTTACTCTTCCGGAATTATTTTTACAATTTGTAAAAATTAATTTTCCTATTCCGGAATTACTTCTACAATTTGTAATAATTAATTTTCCTCTTCCGGAATTACTTTTACAATTTGTAAAAATTAATTTCCTCTTCCGGAATTATTTTTACAATTTGTAAAAATTAATTTTCCTCTTCCGGAATTATTTTTACAATTTGTAAAAATTAATTTTCCTATTCCGGAATTACTTCTACAATTTGTAATAATTAATTTTCCTCTTCCGGAATTACTTTTACAATTTGTAAAAATTAATTTTTCTCTTCCGGAATTATTTTTACAATTTGTAAAAATTAATTTACTCTTCCGGAATTATTTTTACAATTTGTAAAAATTAATTTTCCTATTCCGGAATTACTTCTACAATTTGTAATAATTAATTTTCCTCTTCCGGAATTACTTTTACAATTTGTAAAAATTAATTTTTCTCTTCCGGAATTTTTTTACAATTTGTAAAAATTAATTTTCCTCTTCCGGAATTATTTTTACAATTTGTAAAAATTAATTTACTCTTCCGGAATTACATTTACAATTTGTGAAAATTAATTTCCTCTTCCGGAATTATTTTTACAATTTGTAAAAATTAATTTTCCTCTTCCGGAATTATTTTTACAATTTGTAAAAATTAATTTACTCTTCCGGAATTACATTTACAATTTGTAAAAATTAATTTACTCTTCCGGAATTATTTTTACAATTTGTAAAAATTAATTTTCCTATTCCGGAATTACTTCTACAATTTGTAATAATTAATTTTCCTCTTCCGGAATTACTTTTACAATTTGTAAAAATTAATTTTTCTCTTCCGGAATTATTTTTACAATTTGTAAAAATTAATTTACTCTTCCGGAATTATTTTTACAATTTGTAAAAATTAATTTTCCTATTCCGGAATTACTTCTACAATTTGTAATAATTAATTTTCCTCTTCCGGAATTACTTTTACAATTTGTAAAAATTAATTTCCTCTTCCGGAATTACTTTTACAATTTGTAAAAATTAATTTTTCTCTTCCGGAATTATTTTTACAATTTGTAAAAATTAATTTACTCTTCCGGAATTATTTTTACAATTTGTAAAAATTAATTTTCCTCTTCCGGAATTACTTCTACAATTTGTAATAATTAATTTTCCTCTTCCGGAATTACATTTACAATTTGTGAAAATTAATTTTCCTCTTCCGGAATTATTTTTACAATTTGTAAAAATTAATTTTCCTCTTCCGGAATTACATTTACAATTTGTAAAAATTAATTTTTCTCTTCCGGAATTATTTTTACAATTTGTAAAAATTAATTTACTCTTCCGGAATTATTTTTACAATCTGTAAAAATTAATTTTCCTATTCCGGAATTACTTCTACAATTTGTAATAATTAATTTTCCTCTTCCGGAATTATTTTTACAATTTGTAAAAATTAATTTTCCTCTTCCGGAATTACATTTACAATTTGTAAAAATTAATTTTTCTCTTCCGGAATTATTTTTACAATTTGTAAAAATTAATTTACTCTTCCGGAATTATTTTTACAATTTGTAAAAATTAATTTTCCTATTCCGGAATTACTTCTACAATTTGTAATAATTAATTTTCCTCTTCCGGAATTACTTTTACAATTTGTAAAAATTAATTTTTCTCTTCCGGAATTTTTTTTACAATTTGTAAAAATTAATTTACTCTTCCGGAATTACATTTACAATTTGTGAAAATTAATTTTCCTATTCCGGAATTACTTCTACAATTTGTAATAATTAATTTTCCTATTCCGGAATTACTTCTACAATTTGTAATAATTAATTTTTCTCTTCCGGAATTATTTTTACAATTTGTAAAAATTAATTTTCCTATTCCGGAATTACTTCTACAATTTGTAATAATTAATTTTCCTCTTCCGGAATTACTTTTACAATTTGTAAAAATTAATTTTTCTCTTCCGGAATTATTTTTACAATTTGTAAAAATTAATTTACTCTTCCGGAATTATTTTTACAATTTGTAAAAATTAATTTTCCTATTCCGGAATTACTTCTACAATTTGTAATAATTAATTTTCCTCTTCCGGAATTACTTTTACAATTTGTAAAAATTAATTTTTCTCTTCCGGAATTTTTTTTACAATTTGTAAAAATTAATTTACTCTTCCGGAATTACATTTACAATTTGTGAAAATTAATTTTCCTCTTCCGGAATTATTTTTACGATTTGTAAAAATTAATTATTCTCTTCCGGAATTATTTTTACAATTTGTAAAAATTAATTTTCCTGTTCCGGAATTACTTTAATATCGTAAAATTCCGTTTATAGTCCTGTCCGGACCGCACACTAATATTCAACCTTTAAAGATTCAAAAAAATTTATATACCTTACACATGCCGTCTCTACTACTATAAAAGAATTGAAGATTCGAACGAGGGGGTTTCTCCCCTCTAGCACAATCTCGGCCTTAATTAGAAAAATTTTTTAATCTTTAAAAATTTAATAAACCTTCATCTGGTCTAAGTAAACAAATAGCAGCACTTTCAAATGGATCTTCTTCACTTGGCCTCCAATCTTTTGCTTAAAATAAAATTTTTTTCAATTAAAAATATCCTTTTAAAAATACAATTAATTTTCCTCGCATTTTTTTCATCTCCAATTGCTCCAAGCTTTGATCTTTCAATCCTTAATTGACCAAATTCAACATTGTCATGTCTTGTTGAAGAAGACGAAGAATTTTTACGATGAGTAAAAGATGAAGAAAGAGGTACTCTATTATTAGGACGACGATCAGAAGGATGTGAACCTCTTCCTAATACTTCCCCTGGATTCGGTGGTCTTCTTCCAAAATGTGGAGCTAATGCTTCATTCAGATTTGAGGAGGAAGAACTATCTAATTTTGCACCCTGTGCTTGTAATGGGCAACAAAAACGAGCTAAAATAATATCAAAATAAAATATCAATGGAAAAAATTTAAAAAAATCGAAACTCAAAAATTGGAAAAAAACAAAAAATTCGAAATCCTACAAGTTCAAATTAAAAGAAAAAACTAACTATTACTGTCAGGATCAATAGAACAATAAAATCCATATTCACAATGTGCTTGTCCATCAATATCCAAACCAGCTCCACAACTTATAATTTCGCCACTAGTTTCATTACGCAAAGGATCTGAACCGTCTGAACACAACATTAAATGAACATTTAATTCTGCTATATTTTGATTCTTTAAATGTAAATTTTCTTCTGTGAGTGCTGGTTTAACCTTAGAAAATATTTTAATAAAAAACAAAAATTTAGAAAAACACCAACTTCTAGCATTTGTTCAGTATTTACATTTTGTTGAGGTTTTCGACGAATTTCACTTTTTTCATATTTTGTTGGACAACAAACACTTGGAGGACCTAGAAAAGAATTTTTTGTTCCTACTTTTAAATTTTCTTAATTTAATAAGAAAACGCGCCGTAGACGCCTTTATAAATTTAATAAAACCTCACCAGGAACACACAAATAACCTGTTGGACATCCAATAGAATCAAAATGTTCACCACATAGCACAGGATTACGACCTCCTAACGGCAAATTTCCACCTGGACAAACTCCTGGACGCTTTTGAGAAAATGAATTTTGTTGTTCTTTTGAAGATTCCGGTCCTAAAAGATCCAAAAAATATTACAAAAAATTTTATTAAAAAAATAAACCTCCTTTCTTACAAATCCTTTCACAGTCAATTAATGTATCAAATTTATTTTCATTTCCTCCACATCCAGTAAAATAAAAAGTTCTGCAACGATCACTTTCAGAATCATAAAAATAACGTTGTAAAGCCTCTCCACAATTTCCTTTATTTAAAGGTTGAGAACAAATTGATGGATTTGTTGTTGCTGTTGATCCTTTCCCATTTCCACCATGAAAACGTGATTGTCTTTGAATTGGGCCTGGTGGGGATTTATCTAATAGAAGAAAAATTTTTTTGATTATAAAACAAAAAAACCATCAAATCTAAGCGATTCAGTCAACACTAAAGATGAAGACGGTCCATTTTCTTTATCATTTTGACGGCGAACACGAAGAGATGATTGTTGCTGTTGATTGTTGCCTCCTGCTTTATATCCATGCTATAAAAAATTCCTTTGAATTTTTAAAATAAATTTTAAAAAACCTTCAATTCTTCCCCATCATATCCACCAAATATGTGTTGATCATATGGATCTAAAATAAATTGAAAAATTAAAACAAGCTCAAAAAGTTTTTTTTAATTTTTACTCACCATCTTCATTAGGGCAGCAGAAGTAGTCAATACCATTAAAATAGCAAACTGATTTTTCTGGACATTGTCCCATCCCAGGAAGGCAAAGAACTGGGCGACCTAAAAAAATTTATAAATTTAAAAAGAAAAACAAAAAAGCCAACCATCACTATAAAGCATTGTGTTTAGTCCATTCGGGCAAATAGGGACACCATTAGCTATTGTTCCACCAACAGATTTTGAAAAAGAGAAGAGTGGAGAATCTTTGTCGTCTTTTTGATAAAAAAGAATTAAAAATAAAAAAAATCTCAAATTTTACTTTTATCATCATTAAATTGTGTAGGTAACATGTTCTTATTTGCACTGTTTTGCTCAGGTATATGTTGAGGCAAACCATTAACAACATTAAGAGGTTGAGGAGCAGGATTATTATTATTGTCAACTGTAAAAAATATAAAATATGACCATTGCAATGCCAAACCGCCGAAATACCAAACTCATAAAAGCCGTCAAAGAAAGATTGGTATTTCGACAGCTTTTGGGGGTTTTGGTATTCTCGCCAAAATAACTTTAAAAAACTAACGTCTTATCCCATTAGGATAATCAATTACTGCTGGCATAGATGGTCCAATAAGTGGTAAATCTGGAACCTTTTGCGGTTCTTTAGGCAATAAAACAGCCGAATATCCATCATGATTATTTGCATTTCCACGTCTAGTTGCTTGAGAACTTGTAGTGGAATGTTCAAAGTTTGATTCAGGTTCATTTGTTTCGGCCATTAAATTTAAAGAATCAGTTGTTGGTTCAACATCTGTTGATTTTTCAACAACTCCATCACTTCTAGAAAAAAAAATCAAGAATTATTATAAATTATTAATTAAAAAACATTGCATGGAAGGGTGCAGGTATTCCAACATCACCAATTTCATTTTGAGTATTTGCTGTTTTTGCTCCAAATTGATTAAAATTATTATCCACTCCTCCTCTCATTCTCCTAAAAAAGAATTTTATTTTTATTATAATGTAAATGCTCTAATTAAAGCCCTGGGTTCTATCTTTCACTATGTCTCTTTAACTGTGGTTATATTAGAGATGGGCTTCTATTAGAGAGCGGGCTTATTTAGAGCATTAAAAAAATAAAATTCTTTTTACTAACCCTGCAGGTGGCGGAATATTTAATTGAGACAAATCATCCGGTTCTTTAAGCCTCTTCTTCTCATTAGTTTGTTGTTCACAAATAGATCTACATTCTGATTCTGTATCAAAACGATTAGCATTTCCATCATTTCCTTGCCAAATAAATTGTTCACATCTTTAAGTTATAGACAAAAAAATCTTCAAAAATAGATTTTGAAAAGTAACCTCAAATTCCGAACATTAAAATACCAATGGACATTATACCCTGTACCAGTTCCTTCATCACGATCCAAAATGCATCGATCGTTGAGGCGGACTTTCTAAAAATTTTTTCCGATTTTTTTAAAGTTAAAAAATCAGCATACTTGTGGAATATCCAAACAAACGGCTTCACATTGTGATTTATCTGGGAAGTTGTTCAAATTTCCTCGGCAAGAACCATAAGAAAATTGTTCACAAATACCATTCTCTGGATTAAAGAACCTTAAAAATAGAAGAAAAATAAATCAAATTAAGAAAAAATAAAACCATCTCAAAACAAAAGAAGTACACGGTCCTGCAACTGGAGGTAATGAACATATTTCATTTTTATTTTGAATATGAGGAATAATCATATGTTGAACAGGTGGAAGTGGGCGTTGAAGTTGTTGTTGTTTTGGACGAGAATTAATTGAAGTTTGAGGAGAAAGACGAAGAGGAATTTCTGTGGTAATTTCAGATGTTGTTTGTAGCTCTTCTTGAGTTTCAGGAGATAATGTAGAAGATTGAGAAGAAAATTCATTAACAGAATCAATTGGAAGTTCAGATTGAGTATCACCTTTAAATTTAAAAAAGAAAATAAGGAAGAAAAGGAAAGAATTAGGGTTAGTGCCGAAAATTTTCAGTGAATTGTGTGCTTAAGTGAAATGTGTTTAAGTGCTAAACGAAAAAAGTGAAAAAAAAAACAAAAGAATTTATGAAAAAACCTCAAAAAACCTTGGAAAAATTTTTAGAAATTTTTTTTTATATTTTTCAAACCCATGCTATCATTTATTTTGTTGTTCAATGGCGCTCTTGAATCTTCAATTTCTACTTCTGGTAAAGCTTTTAGCTGTTGTTCTTCTTCTTTGACCTTCTCTTCTTGAGAAATAATTGGCAATTGTTGACGTTCATTATTCGAGATGACTGGATGATTAGCCTTTACAATAAAAAAAATTTAATTAACAGAATGATTCAAAGTAACCCCATCTGCTGTATTTTCTCCTTGTTGCTCCTCATGTTTTTGCTCTTCTCCTAAATTGCTTGATTCAAGAGGAATTTGTTGTTGTTCTTGTTTAATATGTTGATCAGTAAAAAGACTGGGAATTTTTTCCTCTTCATGTTCAGGAAGAGGCTGAGGATTTTTTCTTTCTGAAGGAACTTGCTCCTTTCTATCGCTTTCTTCCAAGGATGGAACCGATTGGCTTGAAGGTTCTAAGGCTAAAGGCTCAGCTTCATTAGACACAAGTCCTTGCGAACGCTTCTCTTCTTTTTCCTCTTCTTCTTCACGATTTTTAAATTTTCTTCCCTTTCCTCCTTCACCTTCTCGCATTTCTGCCCAAATCAAATCATCATCTGTTACCTCAGTTTTAGAAATTGTTGTCCTTCCTTCCTCCTCTTGCTCTTCTAAACGCTCTTCTCCACTAATTAATGCATTATTTGATTCTTGAGTTACAGCAGCAACATTATTTATTTTATCTTCATTATTGTTAGATTCTGAACTTTTTTCAATTGAAAGTTTAATTGTTTGTAATTTTGGAATTTTTGGTATTGTACTAGTAGTTGGCAAAATTTTTGTTTGAGTTGTTGGTGTTGATAAATCTGCTTCCAAATTTTCAGTTAACGAGGGTTGATTGCCCTCCTCTGGCTCAACCTTTTCTTCAATTTTTTGTTCTTCCTTACGTTCTTCTTCTTCCCTATTTTCTTCTTTTACTTCTATTTTCCTCTCTTCAATTTCTTTTCTTCGCTCATCCTCTTCTTTATTTTCCAAAATAGCAGAAGAATAAGTTGATTCAATTTCTGGCAATTGAGTTGAAAGGATGGACTGGTCTTCCCTATTTTTATTTTCAATTTTGTTCAATGGAATTTGGAAAGAATGAACAGGAGAAAGTTTTGTTTGACGAGTTTTATCAACTAATTTAGTGCCTTGTATAAGCTGAGAAGGAAGAATATTTTTTGAAATGCTAGGTGCAGTTTCCAAATTTGTTAGTGTATCAGTGCTTTCAACTAAGAGAAAAATTTGTGTTAAAAATAAAGTGAAAGTGCTTAATATTAAAATTAAAAAATTTTTCTGTGCAGTTTCCCTCCCTTTCTTACCATTTTTATTATTTTCAGCAGTTTCTAGTAAGATTAAAGGAATTGAAGTTGTTTGTTGTTGTTGTTCAACACGACGACCAGCTGTTGTTCTAATTGGAATATTCTGCTTTTCTTTGAATACTTCTTGTCCTTCTTGTCTTCTATCTAGACCACCTTCTGTAACTGCTAATAATTCATTTTGTATTGGTGCTTCAGGTACTATACGGCTTTTTAAAAGAACTCGAGAATCAATTGGAGGGAGAGTTGGAATTGTATAGGTTGTCAAAACTTCTTCAAGTTGACGGTTTCTTTCCTCATCTTCTATCAACCTTTCATTGCTTAAGTCCTTGTCTTCATTTTGTTTTTCAATTGATAATTTATTTGAAATTTTTGGATGTTCTTCCTCTATTTTTATTGTAGTGGAAATCTGATTAATTGATGAATCAGAAGAAGCGCTAGGTTTGTTAGAAGTCGTAGATTGAACTGTTGTGGTTGTGGTGCTTGTGGAAGGTGGATCTTGGGAGATACTTGTCTCAACATTTTCCGGGGTAAGTAAAAGAAGACCATCATCAGAAGTTGATGATGTTAGTGTTCCTAAAAAATTTTAAGGTGGAAAAAGTGCAGCGTGAAAAATTGCTCTTTGGAAACTAAATTTTTTTTTGGAAAACCAAAAAATTATTGTGATTTAAATGAGTGCAAGTGTGTGTGATTATGATAAAATAACAAATTTTTTTTACTTGAAAATCGAGCACAATATATTTGACATTCCTTCTTCGAGAAAAAGTGATTTCGATTTCCTGCACATCCACTATAAAATTTAAAGTTTAGAAAATTTTCTTTTAAAATTATTTAAACAAACGTGTAGCTGAAAGATTCACATTGTCCACTTTCTGAACTAAAATACCAACGTTGAACAAAACGAGAACATGCAGATGCACCAATATCCTTAAAAAAATAAAATAATTTTAAAAAATTTTCAAAAATAAACCAATGGTTGTGTACAAATTTCATTATGGCCAAAAGGCAAAGGTTCTGGTGTAGCTGGTTGAGAAATAACTGCTTCAGCAAGAGTTTGAGGCAATTTCTTTGACAACACTGGTTGTGAACGAGAAGAGGATAATGGTAATTCAGTTGTTGTTGTTGGTGGAGGTAAAGGTTCCAAAGCTTTATTAAATGGAACACCTCCTAAAAAATAAAATTCAAAAAATCAAAAAAGAAAAAAACCGATTATTGCAGGTCTTGGCGGCTGTATAGCTGGTGGAGCTGGAGGAGAGACCGTTGAAGAAGGCACAAATGAAGAAAATGATGCAGGAGGAAGAGGTGAAGCTGAAGATAATTCTAAAGGACGTTGTTGCTGTCGGTTGTTAATCTGTGGAACTGAAACAGTTTGAATTGCCGGTGGTGATGGAGATTCTTGAATGGAAACCGGAGCAGGAGGAGATTCATGAAACGAATTAGTCGGTGGAGTAATTATTGGACAAACACATTCACGGCATCCACGACGATTTAAAAAGCTTTAAAAAATAATAAATTTTAATTAAAAAATAAAATTTAAAAAAAACATGATGCACGGCTCCTGACACAATTTAACATCCAATTGCGGACAAGTATTTTTATGTGGTTCAACTGCTGGAGGAGCCAATGGTGGAACAGAAGGAATTATTGGCGAATGTCTTGGAGGTGGACAACTACAGAGCGAACATCCTTTTGAATCTTTAACAAGTTGACAACGTCCACTTGTGTCACATTCAGGTTCTGGTGGGCAAATATGACGAACACAAGCTGCACGACAATCATCAATTGAAGCGAAATTGTTTCCTTAAATAAGAGCCTTATTTTAAAAATAAAAATTTTAAAGAACCATTTCCACCACATCCTCCATAAACAAATCTTGTACATCGATTTGCTAATGTTTCATAACCAAAACGGTGAAAAGTACCAGAACAGGTACCCTTAAAAATAAAATTATTTAAAATTTTTTAAAATAATTTTAAAAAACCGGATCAATTCGATGTTCACAAATATTTGGGCTGAGAGGCTCTAAAAAATAATTTAAAATTTTCTCAATTTTTATTAAAATAAAAATAAATTTTGTTAAATTCCTTGCCTTTAATTTCGTCTTTACCTTCAGGTTCATCGAGGCATTTACTCCGACATTCGAGCAATGAGGCAAAATTGTTGCCATTTCCCTCACATCCACCTGTAAAAATAAAAATCTAATAATTATACAAATTCGAAATCGGGAAAGGAAAGAAGAAAAAACTTTTATTTTTCAAACCAAAAGATCAATGAAAAGGAAAGAAGCAATCAAATGTTGACATTTTGGCTGCTTCAGATCTCCATTCTAGGCACAATCCAAAATATCAACACTAACACATCCCTTTCCTACCGGTGATCTTTTGGATTGGAAGAGGAGAAAAAGCACCGCAAAAATGTACCGCTTTTCCCTCCTCTCCAGTAATCTTTTAGAAAAAGTGGAAATCTAGAAAAATATTTAAAATCCCCAAACCGTATTGAAATTGTCTACACTGAGCTGTTCTTCTATCAAATCCATATCTCATAAAAATTCCACCACAACTTCCTGGATCTATATCAACATCACAAGCACTTTTTTCATCATTTGAAGTGTCTACTGTTGTTAATTCCTCACGGCAAATATTTAAGCATTCCTCACCTTTAAGTGCAAAATTTTTTTTTGAAAATTTCGAAAATAAACTAACGGCTGGCAAAATTATTTCCATTTCCTCCACAACCACTATATGTAAATGTTTCACAATTGTTTAATTCAGAATTCCAAAACCAACGAACAAACTGTGCTGCGCAAATTCCCACATCTAGAAAAATTATAAAATGTTTCTCTGAAAATTTATTCTCGAACCTTTTGGATGTTGACATTTATTAACATCAAGTAAAGGTGTAATTTGTTGTTTTCTTTCGGGTAGTAAGGGAGAAAATACGTTTTGTTTGTCAGTTTCAGGTTGGAAAGTAATTACAGGCAATTGTGGTGTTTCTGGTTCTATAGGAAATGGAGGAGGTAGAGTAGTTCTGAAAAAAAATTAATTTTTAGTATAACCGCGTAATGCCCAAAAAACGACGTAATATCAAACCCACAAAAGCTGTCGAAATAACAAAAAAAAGATTTGCATTTCGCAGATTTTTGGCGTTGGTGTGAATTTTTATAGTTTTTTTAAAATTTTTATTAAAATATTAACCTGCTAGAAAACGGTGGCAATCTTCCTTCCGTAGCAATATTTTTTCCATTTTCTAAAATTAATTTTGAAGCTGTTGTTGTTTGTATAGGAGGCAAAGAGGAAGAGATTGGAACAAAACTATTCGTCTGTTGTGAAATTGGCTGTTGAATTTTCTCTTTGGATAAACACGCCTTTTCACAATCCTCAACTCGCGCAAAATTGTTCTATGGGAAAAAATAAAAATTAAAAAAAATTTGAAAAAACCGAATTTCCTTCACATCCTCCATAAAAGAAATATTTACATTCACCCAAATCTTTATTAAAATAAAAACGCATTTGGTATTCTAAAAATTTTGAAAAAAAAATTTTTTAGACAAAAAATTTAATTAAAAAACTAACGATCACAAGGGCCTCTATCTTTGGGTAAAGAACAGATATTCTCAGATTTTTCAGATTTTTCAGTTTCAGGTAATGCAAGAGGTGAAGCTTCCAAAACTTTTATTGTTGTAGATGTTCCATCCAAAACTGGCAACTGTTCTCGACTTGGTTCTTTTTGTAAAATTAATTGACAACAAATTGAAGAGTGACAAGAGAAACTTGGAGGGCTAAAAAATTTTTTTAATTTTATTTTACTGTTACATAATCCTGAATCACCCAAACCGGATCCAAATCCAAAATCTGGTATAACAAATTTTCCTAATTCGGATCTAGACTTGAGTCTGACTTAATCCGGGTTTGGGAACCAGAGACAAGAAAAATCCTGCCGGATTTTCGTTTAATAAAATACCGGAATCAAAGAATATAAAACCAATTAAACCAACTTTTATTTATCTTAAAAAACTTGTCGGACACTCCTCCTTATCAAAAAATTTTTGATTGCTTTATACTTATAAAATTTAAACATAAAAAATATTTTTCTTTAAAGCTCACCAGCTAGCATTAGAACAATCAACCAAAAGTCCTTGCGCATCTTTTAAGGGTAATTGACCTCCTGGACATTTCTTTGATGAACTTAAACAACGTTGCTCGCTAGAAAAATTTTTTTTGAAAATTTTAAAATTATTTAGTAAAAAAGGAAAAACCATTCCAAACGGCTTCCAAATTTATTTCCATTCCCACCACATCCAGAATAATTAAATTGACTACAATGTCCATTAGCCACATTAAAATTCCAATAAATTAAGTTTGAAGTACAAGGGCCCGGTTCTGGTAAACTTGTACAATCCTGAACTAGAACAGGTTGTGCAGAAGAAATTCCTTTTAGAAAAAAATTAAAAAAAATTTTTCAAAAAATTTTACTTTCACAATCCGGTTTACGATCCTTTGAACGTGAATGTTTCAATTCAACACCATTTTTATCCACACAAAAACATTCATTTTCAGTTGGCATACATTGTAAAGAGACATATTGACCATCTATTGTACATTCAGGCACATAAGTTGCTGCTGTTGTTCCCTTTTCTGCTGCATTAGCTCGTTTACGTTGACATTCTTTAAAAAAATTTTTTTGTAATTTCAACCAAGTTTCTCACCAGTTTTAGGAACCACTGTTGTCGGCGCCTCTGTTTTTGGAGCATCCGTTGTTGTTGTCCCTCTTGTTGAAATCGTAGGGAAAGAGATTGTTGTAGTTGTATCAGCGCCAACAGGACCAGCAGTCGCATAGGTGACCTGACAAATAGATAGCCTTAATAATCCAAGCAAAAAAAGCTCCAAAAATCCCCCCCTATTCAACAGTTAAAATCCCATTTCCTGTCATTAACAATTTTCAAATCAATTAGTCCACCCAAATATCCACAAAACTAACGCACATTACTCACCTCCTTTCCAACGCCGCCATTCTTTGTACATGCATCCTCGCATTCTTCTTTATAACGAAAAAGACGTGGTTCACTTTCATCATTAACGCAATGACCTACAAAAATTTTTATATTTTATAAATGAAACTAAAGAGACAAAAATAAAAATGTTATACATAATAGAAGCCTTGGGCTTGTATTTTTCAAAGGTCTCATTGAGTGGGCTCCTAATAGGGCACGTGTTTCTACTGAAGCCGGGCTTTTATTGGAACATTTACGGTAAATATAATTACCATAAGGATAACTAATGCATTCTCCATTACGTAAATAATAACGTAACACAAATTGTGATCTCATCTGAACTCCATTTTGTCCTGGAGGGCATCGACCTCTAAAAGGTTGACGTCTGCATGGATCCAATGTTGTTTGAGGTGAATCTGAAAAAAGCCATTTTTTGGAGAATAAAATCAGTTTAAAAATTAAAATTTAGGAGAGGAACACACACCTGTTTCAGGCTGAGAAGCAAGGGCCAAAAATATTAAAGGGAAAAAGTGGAATAATTTAAAAATGTAAATCATCGACTAAAAAAATTCTTTTTCGCGCTTATTGAAAAAGGATTGAAAGAATAATTTGGAAGGCTTAAAAGAAAAATATGTAGTTAGTGGATGAACGAATTTAGCAGGCACAAATAAAAAAGGAGGTTTAGTGATGGTTGTTATGCAGCTCCTTTACAGCAAACATAAAACACACAGAACAGAAAATTCTTTCTCCCAAAACCAAAAACGATTTTCAACCAAAAACGATTTTGGCGAATTTGGGATATAAAGGAGCGGCAAAAATGGATATTATTAGAAAAGCAAGAAAAAAGGAGAGAAAGGAAATGACAATAAAGGGATCGAAACTATATGATGATGGATTTGCCCGCCTCTTCTAGTATCTCTTATAAAGCGAAGGATCGCTCGGTTTTTCTTGTAAATAATTGGAAAACGGCGCGAAAACCCCCTTCCCCATTTCATTCTCCCCCCAGTGCAAGCATGCATACTGACCCATAAAATTTTGGGAGGAGTGGCACACAGGAAAAAAATTTTTTTGGTTTGTTATTTTTGGTTTAGAAAAATGTACATGTTTGTTTTTGAACCCTACTTTGATTTTCCTTTCACAAAATCAAAAAAAATTTTTTGTTAATTTATAAACAGACAATTTTTAAAAAATTTCTACATAGTTTCTAGCTCTAATTTTTAATTTTGTTTACCTAATCTCAAAAACAAAGCCCCCTTCCAATTCCCTTAAAATCTCTTTCCTATTTATCCTAATCTTTTCCGCAGCACATTCCTGCCCTTCCAATTAAAAGAATTCTTATTTTTATAGATGGCCTCCAATGATTTGGAGGAGTTCGAGACAGCAAGTACCCAAAATTGGTTCAAGGTCAAAAACGAGCAGATATCAAAAACAAAGAACCCTTGTTTATAAAATCCAAAAGTAATCTCCCCATTTTCTCAAATAGTTGAACTTTAATTTCGGGGACCATTTACACATACGGAAACCTTGAGACTAACGTTGACGGATCCAAATCCGAAAAAGGACGGACCTCCGGGAATCTTCAATTCGGCTGTCGGATATCCGAAGATTCCCGAGATCCATTAACTTTAATTGCGAAATTACAATTTCTTACAAATCAACTCACCCAATTATCCTCCACATTTTTTTTCATTTCCAAATTCCAAGCCACCACGCAAATTTATGCCATAAACAAATCAGAAATTGAACATGTCAGCTCTAAAAATTTTTTAAAATTTAAAAATTAGTATAAAGCTAAAATCATAAAAGTCCAAAAAAAGATAAAAGAGATGCCAAAAACCAATGCTTTATTAATTTTAATATCAAAAAACAAATATATACGAAAACTTGAATATTTTTTAAAAAGAAAATTATCAAAATTGAATCAAAAAGAATGTGTGTATTTAAAAAAAATATAAAAATGATTGTTTAAAAAAGTACGATTTTTTTCTTTATGAATTTTCAAAAAAAGGAGGATGAAATTTTAAGTAATAGCTCCTGGGAAAAAATAGAAGAGTATAAATTAGATAGATAATTCTACAAATTAATATCCCCCCGAATTTCAATCAAGAAATTAAGCCAAAAAAAAATTTGAGTAAAACGATTGATAAAGGAAAAGAAATTTTCAAGAATCAAAATTCCAATAATCAAAATATGTAAATAATAATTAAAAGGTATTGAGATCAGAGGTATTCAGGTCAAATAAGGAGATTCAAAGAATCCGCCCAAAATTTCATCCCCATTTTTAAGCCAAATATAATATTTTTTTGATTAGATAAGATATTTGAAAAAAATCCTTAAAAAATATATTACTTAACGACGATGATTTAAAAAAATGAAAAATAAAAACTTGCAATCTTACAAATAGAAAAAAAGCTTAAATATTTTTTTTTGTTTTTTTTCTCCCAATAACAAGCAATTATCATAAATATATATACGTTAATATTAATTAAGATCAGAACAAACAAAATATAATATTGTAGTTGCCAGAATAATACGTAGGATATAGCAAAATATTTAAATGATTTTTTAAAGAATTGGAACAAAAAAATATTTTTAGAAGAGAAAATGATTCTAAAAAATTTCCCAAAAAATCTCAAAAATTTTTCCAAAGAAATTTCACAAAAAAATTTTCCAAAAAATTATTCAAAAAATTTTTCTAGTTTTTTGCTCCAGAACTAAAAAACCGAAAATTTCCTCTCAAAATCCCCCACAGACAGATGTATTTTTTTGATTGTAGAATAAATGAATGATTGATGTTTTTTGATGAATAAAAGAATAATATAGAAAAAATAATAATTCTCTCTCTCAACGATTTCCGGCAAGAGAGCGACGTTGTTGTTCTTGATTTATAACTTTTTCTATCATCAGACGGCCGTTAACAATACTATTATTGTCGCCAGTTAAACTGTGAATAAGAAATGAAAAAAAAGCTCGAAAAGAACTTGAAAAAATGAATTTAGAAAAAAGATTTAGATTAGAAAAATGCTGATGTGAATTATGAATGAATCATAACCCCATAGATTTTTTAAAAAATTAACAAAAAATAATAACCTTACAAGACGACCACCTGGACTTGTTGTTGCTGATCCACGTTTATGACTATAAAAAATAAGAGCAAATGTAAGATTGCCAAAAGAAAATAAAAACATACACTTCAATTTTAGCACCAGAAAGTTGTTGTATTTCAATCAATGTTTTTGCTCGAGGACCCAAAACAGCACCAATAATATTATCGGGAACCTAAACGGAAAAATATAAAGGAATAACCCCAAAAGGTTAAACTATAAAATACAACAAAAAAAGACTGAAAACCTCAAGTTCAACACGTCCATCTTCCAAAATACGCTCCTTTATTAGAGAATTTGCAAAAGCATTAGAAACAACACCGCCCGATTTTTTCTGACTCATAACATCAATTAATACACCTCCAGCGCCACCAATACTCTAAAGTTCACGTAAATTGTACAAGTATAAACACAACAAAACCTGATCCAAAGAGTTGTTATGTGCATCCATAAGAGAATTTCCAGTCATCATATTAGCATTCTGTGGGTGTGACATAACATCATAACGTTGCTGTTGCATTGAAGCATTTTGAACACCAATTAAAGCATTTTGTTGTTGAACAGCAGCGTTTTCACTATTTCGCATCTGAGCCATTGCAGCAACACCTAGGCCCAAGCCAAGTCCCTTAAAGAAGTTAAATAAGGTTAATATAGTAGATACAAATAGGAGATGCCACAGGTTATCCGGCATGATACCTGAGCTTTTCTCCCTTATATACGAACAAAGACCCAACATTTTTTCAACTAATTCCACTAACTGCCAGAACCGGAACCCAATTCGGAGAAAATTTTGAAGCACCTATCTTTCAACCCGTGAAATCCCCGTTATAAAAATAAAATCAAAAACAAACCATAATATTATATTTGGCAAGCACTTGCATAGCCTGCATTACTTCACTAACGCTTTGATCATTAAAACCAGAAGAACGCAAAGTTGATTGTAAATTGTCCAAAAATGCCAATAACTCATTATTTCCAGTCCCTTGTAAAGGATTGAATTTAATAGAATTTGAATTGAATTGGTTGCCAAGTTTTTGATCTTTAAAAAAATTTTTAGGAAAGAAAAGATTCTTTTTTACCAATCGAAGTCTGATTTTGCCAAGCTGGAGTTGATTGCATTCCAGCAAATTGAGATGCTCCTGTAGTAACACGACTAGTAGCAAAATCATATCCAGAACTTACCTATAAATTTAAAAAAAGATAATTAAAATGTTTAGTTATTAAACTCTCCAAGACTAAAAATTTTACAAGACTCAAGACAAGACCTTACATCCCAAACTTAAACACAAGACCAAGACGGGACCTCAAAACAAACCCGACCAAGACTGAACCCCAAGAACAAGATTTGACCTCACAAAACCAAAACCCTCCAAGAACATAATCTTGGGTAGCTCTATAGGTTATTTACGTTCACATTTTTAAAATCTTACATTTTGAGATTCAGACGTAATTGGTTGCGAATGTAAAGGATCAGCACAAACTCTTTCTAAAACTTTTTGCATTGCACTCATCAAAACGTCATTAGTTTCATGTCCAATTGTTATTACACGTTCTAAAGACATTTTAGCTTCTTCAGTCCCAGCTTTTGGGTAAATTTGAATATTTGCTGTTGTAGTTTCTCTAATTTCTTTAATGCTTGTCCCATTTTTACCAATCACCATTCCAGCAGAAGTATTGGGAACAATAAATTTCATCTGATATAAAAATCGGTAAGGGTCATTCTAACCCAATTTTTGCGAACATATTTTACGGTCTCATAGTGGTTAGAAAAAAAGCATAAAAGTAAAATCATTCAAAATCTCATTAGTTTCCCCAAGGAAGCACCCCTTCCTCAAATACAATTTTTTATTGAATGAGGGAAAGTATGGATGCTTTGGTCTGCATAAGTGTTCGAAAAACGGTTTGGGATAACGCAACAAATACAAAATTCATTTTAGAATTTGAAAAAAAAATGCAAAAGAAAAACAAACCTCATTAGTTCTTTGCAAGCCTTTAAGATCAAAAGGATCAGAGGGATGATGCCCTTCAACCTTTTCTTGAATTTTCTCCAGAATGGCACCCATAACAATCATTGCTGAAGAAATCTTTCCTTTAACAAAACATATTCGCTCTGTGGTCCCATGATAAAATTCCTGATTCTTAGACATTTGAACTCGACAGCCAGTGTCATTCTTTAAGTTTCGCATTGTCTCACCGCCCTTACCTTAAAATAAAATCGATTTACTAATAGAGGATGGTTCGAGGTATCCGAGAACGAAAAAGTTCGGCATTAGGAAATGTTCAGTTCGAATATGGTTCGGTTCCAGATATATATAAGCTATTTAAAAAAGATTCTTACCAATTAGCGCTCCTACAGCAGCAGAAGGAATTAAGACCTTTATTTGGACTGTATCTAAAAATAAAAGAATAAAACCTTCAAAAAACAAAAACAAACCAGATTCTGAAACATTTGCTTTCTTCGAAGCAGGTCCACCATTTTCATTATTTTGTCTCTTTTGTCCAATCTGAATGTTAATTTCACTGTCATCTGGTTTATATTCTTCGGACATTATTATTTTTATTTGATGTAGTTAAGTAGACTTTCGAAGAAAATAAATCCAATTAGAACAAATTCTCAAAAACAAATCCTGAAAATGGAAAAAGCTATGGGATAAAAACGGTATAAGGAAGCCGAGAAAGTGAGGAAGCTGTGAGAAAATGAGGGAAAATCGATATTCAGCGAAAAGAAAATTTAGCGAAATGAAACGTCATTGTGTCGAATTGTCACAGAAATCATTTGGTCATTTGTTGAAAATGGTAAACGACAATTGGTCGTTTTTTAAAAATGGTAAACGACAATTAGTCGTTTTTTAAAAATGGTAAACAACATTTGGTCGTTTTTTGAAAATGGTAAACGACATTTGGTCGTTTTTTGAAAATGGTCAAAATTGCCAAAAATTGACCGAAGTGGTCAAACACAAGCGCGGAAAAATAAAAAAATGAGATTAAATTAAATAGGTATGAAATGTCAAAAACAATCTTGATATAAACAAATAAAAAGAAATTAAAAATTTATTGAGAAGAAAAACGATATTTGAATTAAATTATTGATCAAGATGAGTAAGAGAATGTTCAAATAATTCATCTAATGAGATATATACACTCGAGCATTGTGAACAAATAAAATTATTGAATCTAATAAAATTTATATAGAATTTCTAGCAAGGGAACAACGGTTACAGTGTACGAAAATTCTGTATTTTTGGAGCATTCGAACCCCCGATTTCCTATCACAAAGTGATATCCCTTGCCAGATGACTTTGGGTCGAGTTATTCTTGCCATTCAACGTCGGACCGCTAGTCAGAAAATTAGAGTAAATGAGCAAAGTAACCGATTGTTCCCTTGTGAGCCTAGATATAATACCCTCCCACCCCTCCCCATTCTCAAATAAAAATATTACCTTGACTTCAAGTCCATAAAAGGATATTTTTTCGAAAATCTTTAAAATAAAAGTTTAATCTTATCAAAAAAAATAAAAAAAAAACCTTGTCTTTGAAAGATTCCAGGCTGTAAATGGATGATACATCAACACGTGAATTCCATCCAATATATCTTTAGTAACATCTACTTCACTAATAAATTCCATAACAAAATCACCACATCTATTACAATACATTTTTACAGCTTTTTTTCTGTCATTTTGTTCATCTTCTTCAAATCTTCAAAAAAATTTTTTTTGAAAAAATTTCTTAAATTTCAAAAAAAAATTTTTAAAAATTTTTTTAGAAAATTTAAAAAAATTTTCAAAAATTTTTTAAAAATTTTCTTTTGAAAAATAAACCTCAAAAAGCTTCTACCCTTTTTCCTTCGAAACATTAACATAGCGATACATTGTCTCATCTTCATAAACGGGTTGTGTAAAATCAATCATTGAAAAAGTACATTTATCACATTCCAAAAGTAATTGACACAAATCTTTTGGATAAATTAGAGCCATTTTTCTTTTCCTTAAACAACAAATTATTAGTTTGGGGCGCCAGCACGCTATAATACCAAACCTACCAAAAGGCGTCGAAATGCCAAACTTTGGTAATTTGGGCAAATCATTGGAAAGGGTTGTTTCAGAACCTAGAAGGTTGTTAGCAGTTCACATTTTAATAATTCAGTGTCTTTTAGGAGGTTTGGTATTTCGCGCTTTGGTATTATGGCGTCGTTATGTCTAGGGCAAAAATTAAAAAAAAAAAACTAAAAATATTTTTCCTTGAAAACGAAATCATTCAAAAATAATCAAAAAAATTATTTTTTATTAAACTAAATTTTTTATTTACATAAACATTTTTTGTAGGTAGCAATATTACAGGGAAAATAAAATAATAATAATCTCCATCCTAAAATAAAATTTCTCTTTCATTTTTTTAAAATTCAATTTGGGCCTATAATAAATCATTTTTTCCATCATCTGAATTTCCAAGTACATAATAAAGAAGAAATGCATGTTTTGTCTTTAAAAAAATTTTTTTCAAAAAATTTTTAAAAAATTCCTCACCACAATTGAAGAAATATTTCTAATTCTTGTACAATTTTCATCATCAAAATGTAACCATTCATTTTCATTTTGAAGATTTTTTACATTTGATGTATAATGTCCACTATTAAGTGTACCCGTATGGTTCTTTTAAAAGAAGGAAAATTTTATTTAAAAAATTTTTTAAATCCCAAGGCAAGTGGGTAATTTAGAAAAATTCAAAAAACAATTTTTAAACAATCTTAAAGGGTTCAATAGGCTTAGAAAAATTTGTATAAAATTCTTTTTTGAATTAAAAAAATATTTAAAAAATCCCAAAGTAAACCAAGGATATTAAAAAAAATTTTTAGAAAATAATCCCGAGGCGTGTCTCCATTCAAGATGCGTCAAAAGCATTTCAATTTTTTCTAACTTAAGAAAGCCCGAAATGTATCAAGGGTAAAGAAATCCAAGGGTCTCCAAGTAAATTAAAGTCCTTAAAAATTAGAAAAAAAAACGAACCGTTACAGCAAACAAATTATATTCAACTTTATTTGGTAAAAATGTTGATTTTGGATGAGTATATGGAGCCAAATCAAAATTTTCAATATCAAAATGTACATCAACTTCATTTTTAACAAAACGTCCCGAATTGAAAGAAAATCTTTTCAAATGAATTATTAATATTTTTGGTAAACTCCAAATTTTTGTTGTTCGTGTTGCTGTTTGTTTAGATTTACAACAAGGGCAATCCCAAGGTGTGTCTAGGGTCTTTAAATAATAGAAAAAAAATTTTTAAAAATTTTAAAAGTAAAAAAACCGTGGTAGAAAAGTGTGTATTTAGACATTCTTTTAGTCTAAAAATTCTTCCAGATTCCAAATTATTATGAGGGAGTTCAACACTAAAAAATAAGTTAAAGGGGATTAATTTTAAAAATTATTTTAGAATGAATGTGCGGCAAAATTTAATCCCCGGGCTTTCTTTCCAAAAGTCAAATAGGCCCTAGGATCTTAGCAGTCGAACAAGTCGAAAAATCCATCAGAATTAATCCAATTCGTCGTTAAAACCCTCAGGGCATTTAACCCGGAACTTCGGTACGGGATCCTAAAACAGAGATTTCCAGCACGGGATCCTGTCGTGACAATCCCGTACGAGCCCCCGTGCCATACTCTAAATAAAAATAAAACCTAATTTGATTTAATCCTTCAAAACAAGCACTTCGTGTAGAACATGATTTACATTGAAGAACAGAAACAGTCAACAACTAAAAAATTAATAAATTTTTTTAAACAACTTTAAAAAATTTTACATTGAAAATATCATTAACAGGAGATGAAGAAAAATGTCTAGATTGTTTAATATAATCTTCTGCACTAGCCATTAAATTTGAGCCATCATAATTTTGTTCAAAAGGACGCCTTTTGTCTACCTTTAAAAAAATCAGAAAAAATTTTGGTATTAATGTAGTAATGCCAAAATTTTGAAATTTCAAAGGCTTTTGGGTATTTGGCATTTTGATGGTTTTGCGGGTTTGGAATTTCGATGCTTTAACATTATGAATCACTACGGGAAATTTTTTTTTTATTAAAAAACGGCTTACTCTGTTAGTATCTTCATGTAAAGCATCCAATAAATAAATTTGAAATTCTTGTGCATCGTGTTGCTGTCTATCTGCTAATGTTGAATTTACTCTTTTTGCAAACATATCCTAAATAAAAAATTTTTAAATTAAAAAAAAAATTAAAAAATACCAGAAAAATGAATGGCCGAATTGAAGAATATTCACCAGACCATGCAATATCAATTAATGCAGAGAAACAACCAGAAATAATTCCTTTAGTTCCCAAAGAATTTTTCCTTAAAAATTAAAAAAAAATAAATTTAAAAATAATAAAAAATTAACGTGTTGATGCAATTGGCTACACAATGTCCTCTAAACAATTGAGAAAAGATTGGTGTATGAAAGAGTGCTTGAAGAGTAGCATTCATGAAGCAAGTATTCCCCATGTTCACTAAACCAGTATGGCCAGGTTTCTTTAAAAAATTTTTTTTATTAAAAAATCTTAAAAAATAACAAACAATTTTCATTCGTTTATATGCAGAATCTTCCATTATTCTTGCCAGAGAAAATTTGTAAACGCTTGAAAAGTAAGCAGAAGGCTCAATTCTAAAAATGAAAAAATACAAAAAATAAAAAATAAAAAAATACTGTTGAGATTGTTGAAGAATTCCTTTTTTAGTTGAACGATCTGGTGTTGTTGGTCTTGAAGGCTGTTGAACTGGGATAGGTTGTGTTGAATGTACTGGGACGACAGTTGCTGCCACTGAAGGTCCAGCACTGAAAAAAGAAAAAAATCAACTTAATACTTGTAACAAATACCTGGCAATACGGGCACCACCTAAGACTTGGGGATGTGCGAACCTCTTATTATTTATTCGTCCAAGATCAAGATTCTCCTTGTCACGAATTGAGCGGTCATCAACAGCAAATTTGTTGTCATTTTCCATTGAATCTATCGGCATTGTGGGAAGAGCAGGCTTCTTGGATCTATCAATAAGGGGCATCTTCTTATTTGTTGACGCAGTTTCGGGTCTTGAATCAAGAGAAAATTGAGCTTTGATCGAATTGTCTGTCCTTCGTTCATCATCAGTAAATACTAAAAATAATCAATTAAGTTTATGTTCTGTCTTTGTTTTCTTGGTCAAACAGCCAGTTTGGTTTAATTTAGTGTCTGTCCTCAACTCCCCTCTAATAGTCGATTCCACCAAATTTTTCGATTACCCAAAACCAGAAGAGTTCAGCTAAACGAAAATCTTTGTTTCTATGTGAAACAACGACCCTACTCTTCAATATTCCCAAAAAATATAAAAAAAACCTCTTTTCGGAGTAAGTTTATCAGCAAAAGATAATGAAGTTTTAAATTTTGTGCTTGACGGAACTTCGAGCTCATCATTAAAATCAGTCTTTTTAACGTCAAAAAGTTTGGACAAATTTGGATAAGTAATGTTTAGACGATTAACTTTAAGATAAAAAAATTTTAAAAAATCTTCTCTTAAAACCTCTTTTAGATTCTTCCATCCAAACAGAAAATTGTTCATCAAATGTCTTCTCAAATACAGGGACATTTTTTGTTGAGACAGTATAACATGGATATGACAATTCCCATCCTCTAAAACCATCTTCCAAAATTACTGGGGGATGTTTTAAACGATTTGTTCGATTATACTAGAAGGAAAAAACATTTAAAAAAATTTTTTTAAGAAAAAAACCGTTGTCAAAGCCTCGTATAAAATTTTTGTTTTTGTTCCATTTAGGTTAGTTATATCATCTAGATCGCCCAAAAGTATTACCAAATCAAATTGTGAAATTTTTTCCAAATATGGTCGAACACTTATATCCAATGTTTTTGTTATACAATGAAGTAGACTTCTTAAAAATCAAAAAATAATAAAGTATATGCCTTAATTAAAGCCATGGGCTTTATTAGAGTTGGCTGGCTTCTATTGGAGTTGGCTGGTTCCAATTAGAGAGCGTCTTTAGTGCCTGGGCACTAAAGACTAAAGAGTGGAGGGTGTTAGATGGTTTCTATTAGAGATGAGGATTTCTATCAGAGCTGGGTTTCTAATAGCCACGGGCTTAAGATTTTAACTAAAAAAGTTGAAAACAAACCCCAAAACGATAGTTGAAGGTTCTAATTGCACAACATTAATTTCTCCAATATTTAAATCACATTTTATTATTTGATTTTTGTTTTCTCTGTAATCCAAAATTAAAATACTAGCATTATTCTCTTCAACATAATTGAGCAAAGAGGTTGGTTTAATGAATAATTCAAGAAAATCTTGTTGTGAATCATTCAAATTAGGCTCTTCTATAAAAAATAAAATTTAAAAAATTAAAAGAAAAAAATGGCTCAAGAAATAGCAGGATGTACCCAAGCTCTACTCTACTGGTGTCACTACCTACAAGCATGGGGTTTTTATGTTTGAGAAAAAACCCCCAAAAATAACCTAGATTCTCAAAGATAAAAACTCTTTCCTTAAATAGACAATGTGTCCAAAACCTAGTGGTCTTGGTCATGGATATATACGGGGAATGGGATTGGTCATACATATCCACAAGTCAACCAACGCAGTTGTTTTGTAAGCGCAATCCGCCTTATATGGTGCTCTTCTACTAAAAAAATTTTTAAAGAAAAAAGAAAACCTCTAAAATTATTTTTATTCCTCTCAACTGCTAACAACGCATCATAACGCAATTTTAGATTTTCTGTAAGTAATTCAATTGAAGTAAACATATCCTTTGCTTTATGGTAGAAATCTCTGCCATTCTAAAAAAATAGAGGAAATTTTTTACAATTTTTATAAAATTTTCTTTAAACCTTTCCCTGCATAAAAACCTTGTCCTTTTTATCAAATATAAGTTGGTACAATTCCAATGCTCGCTGGTAACAAATATAAGCTTCTTCATCATTTCCTTCTAGTTCTGCCAAACGAGCTTGATTTTCGATTTGAGTAAAATGTTTGTAACACCTTGAGGAAATTTTAATTTTCAGCAATTTCGAATTAAAAAAATTTTTTTCTCGATTTTTCTATGAAAATTTTCCGAAAAATCCCACAGAAAAATTCTCAAAAAAAATTCTTTAAAAAATCAAACAAACCTGTACGAGTCAAGAAGCTTCAATTGGTAGATAAACTTTGGGTCTAGTTCTGAACAAAATTTCAACTCATCATAAGATTTGTATTTTAACGGTTTTTTGTTCATTTTGCCTGTCAAATCTAGCTGAAATAAAAATTTTTTAAGATAAAATCTTTCAAATATTTCAATAGAATACAAAATATTTTTTAAACAATAGAATTAAAATGCGCAATTTATTAAGTACAAAGCACTTTTTTCTTAGGTGAAATAAATTGAGTTTTGATTGGAATGTAAATTATAATATCAGTTTTTAAAAAAAAAACTAAAAATAAAATTTAAAAGGCAAAAATAGTCAAAAAATAGAATAGTTGAGCGGCAACAATTGCAGACAGATATTTGTAGATACCAACCAACAATTTTGATATGTAGTAAAAACAGTGACTAAACCATAAAATACCCAAGTGGTTCCCTGAAAAAAAAACTAGAAAGCTCCCAATGGTCCCGATTGTTCCAAGACCCTAATGGTTACAATAAAAGAATCCAGTGGGCTTTTGTTCCAAAAAAAAGGCCCCAGTAGTCTCAATGGTTCCAAGATTCCTGTAGTTCTCAAAAAAACCCCAACGGACATTTTTGCAATTCAATAGGTGCTGGAATCCACAAATATTCTCCCCGCAAATGTTCATTGAGCCCAAAAAATATTTCCCCATTATCTATTTATTTCAATCGCTTCTTCCCTTTAGATTCTAATTTAGCCTTTTCTTCAAGAAGACTATTAATTTGAGCTTCAACCATTTTTAAATCATGTTGATATGCAGAGTCAATTTCGTTATGTCGAATATTTAACTTTAAAATTTTTTTGTTACTTCTTAAAAATAAAAAATACACAAACCATGTCTTCATGATGTTTCAATTCTGCTTCTTTCTTATTAACTTTCAACAAAAATTCCTTTTGATGTTGCTCCTCAGATTTTTGAAACTCTTCCAATAATTCTTTTTGACGCTGAAAAAGGGCATTTTTTTTAATATTCAAAGTTATGATGCCGTAATCAAACACAAACGCCGAAATACCAAACTCCCATAAAATACGTCGAAATACTAAAATGTTGATTGTTAACAACCTTCCATGGAGCACCCTTCAACACCTTCACAAATATAAGTTGTGTAATTTGTCAGATTTTTGGTGAGTTTGGCATTTCGGCGGTTTGTAGTAAGGAACGCTCGCGTAATTATACAAAAATATTTTTAAAGTAAAAACCTGAGCAAAAGCTTCCATCATTTTAGGTCCAGCATCCCCATCACTCATTTTCATTTGTCTAAGTCTTTCACGTCGATAACGCTCATACAAAACATTGTGTGTCTGTTCTCTTAACGAATCCTGATTTGTACGTAAAATAGCTTCACGAAGACGTACAAAGTCGCAGTGCTCTTCATTTTCAACTTAAAAATTTCAAATTTAGAAAATACAAAAAATCCCAAGAAAACCTTCAACCATTCCCCAAGGATAACGTCTAGCTCGAACAACACGTCCATCCTCTTTAGTAACAAAATCAACACTTCCAACAATTGCAAACGGTAAAAGTGCATTCAATGCAGAATTTTCTTTACGGACTGTCTCGTCCTCAATTGGAAATTGGAAAATTTCAATTTTATGAGCTTTCAATTCGCTTATAATCTTTAAAAAAAATTTTTTAAATTAAAAAAAATTTAAAAAAACACCTTTTGCTTAAATCGAACCAATTCATCCTTACAAGCTGTGTCTGCTTTAGCAATTAAAGGTATGACGTTGACACGCTTAGATAATTCTCCAAGTGTCAACAAATCCAATGCCTTTAACCCGTGTCCAGTTGGAGATATCAAGTAAAGACATGCGTGGATTCTAGTGTCGTCAAATTTGGTCAAATTGCGTTTAACTTTTAATTCTTCTTTCAAATAGCCCTCAAATTGACTGTTAATGTAGTCGACAATGACGCGTGCACTGAAAAAAAAATTTTCTTAAAAACAAATGTTGAAAGAAACCTTTTCTCCTTGTCTAATTGGTCACCAAATCCTGCTGTCTCAACAACTCGAAGTTTTACACGGACTCCTCCTTCAGCAACATCTATTTATTATAAACAAAAATATTAGAGTCGAACTTTCCTATTCAGCAAGCCCGATATTTTTCTTACAAACAAAACCGGCGAGGTTTCCTGAGTAAACCACAAAACCCAAATTTTAATAAAATAGTGCAACCGAATTCAGGGCTATACCACATCTCGGCCCGGGTTCGGACTCCAAAAATATTAAAAAGAAAACCTAAAACTCTTGTACGTAATTCAACAGTATTCAATTCGTGGTCACACGGAGCAAATTCCATCTTCATATTAAAAAGTGATTCAACTAATGTTGTTTTACCAATACCAGTTTCACCAACACAAAGAAGATTGAATTGAAAACTTTTAAAAATTTGAGGGAATTTTGACGAAAAATATATAAATGTCCTAATAGAAGCTAATCCCGAATAAAAGACCACCCAGCACGGCTCATAATAAATAAATGCCAATACCCCAATAAAGGCCCATTCCTTGTAAAAACCCACTAACAAAACCTTTTAAAAAATAAGTGCCCGGGGGACATCTATTAGACCATTTACCCGTAAAAAAATTCTATACCCATTCTGTTGACATCTTCGTACAAATTGATATGGCAACGAATCAAAACCAACAAATCCTGTCAATTTTAATTCAGGTTCAGCATTGTTATTGGCATTAGCATCCCCATTCAAGCCTCTATTGTTGCTGTTATTTGCAGCATTTGAAGTCTTTTGTTGTTGTTTTTCAGTAACCGTTGTTGAACTTGACAGAGTAATTGGTTGTATTAGCGGCGCTTTAGGAGCATGAGAAGCCTTAGGAGATGGAACATTTGGTGGTTTGGTAGGTCGAATAACTGAGTCGGCATGTACTAAAGACATTTTTTCTAAATTTTTCTAAAAATCAATTTTAAACGAAAAAAAAGCAATAAAAAATATTTAATGATTTTTAAATTAATCATGATTAAAACAAATTTTTTTCCTTGAGATAATTTTTTATCAACATAGAAAAAATATAAATAGCCTTATGATTGAAATTACTCATTAAAAAACGAATCAATTAGTACTGAATCCAAAGGTCAGACTTTAATAAACAAAAAAGATAAAGGGACCTTTCAAAGTAGCGTTCTTTAAGAACCGGTTCAGAGTAAAGACTGGGAAAATCGTACAGGATATAACTGGATAATTGTGAAACTTTGATCGAGATCTCGTCTCGATCTGGGTTAAAAACCCTCTGGGTTAAAAAAATAAACATAAAAAACCATGTTGGAAGACCATCATCACTCATACATATTTCTTTTAATAATTAATATTATTTTATTGCCCCTCTGTCGCTAACAAACATATAAAATCAATTAAAGCATTCTCCAAATTGATTCATAGTACCCCCGAATAATTTTTAAATAAGTTAAAAAATACCTAACACACAATTAACATTCAAAAAACCAAAAAATATTTTCTCCAATTTTCTTCACATGATTTTTTAAAATATACAAATTTTGTTTTGTTTTTCTTTGCTTTTGAATAAAAAAAGTTTTTTCCATTTTTATCTGTTAGGATTATAAATCTTCTTTTTCAATCTTGAAAGACGCCAAGCATTTGGATCTTCATATTTATTATGTAAAGGTTCAATTTTTTGTCCTTTCTTAAACGATGATAATTTCATACTATCACCACGTTTAAAGAATGAAGGTGCCAAGTCGACTAACCATGTTGGTTCAACAGCAGTTACCTTTAAAAATTTTAATTTTAGAAAGAAAGTTTTCCGACACATGTCCAGTTTCTGCGTCCAATTAAAATTCTTATACGTCCAACAAAGGTCCATTCAAACATTTATGCGACCAATCACTCCTTTATGCGTCCAATCATAATTATAATCCAATAAAAGGACGCATAAAATAAAATTTAATTGGATGCATAAACTGTTTATCGGACGCATAAAAGTGCATTGGACGCATAAACTAGAAAAGAGCCAATTTTTAAAAAATATAAACCTCTCTCATATATTCTTTAGTTGTTTGAACCAATTCATGATAAACAACCCATTCAGGTTGATTTTGAAACAGACTGCTTGATGGATGTATATAGACAGTTTGTCCATCAACAATTGTTCGATAACCTTCTTGAGGATCTCTTTTCGCAGCATTTCTAAAAAATCCAGAACATATAGCCCTTTGAATTCTTTGTGTGTCACGACCAGCACTTTTTATTTCTAATTTGTGTCTATCCATAATACTTAAAAGTTGTTTTCTTATATCCTTTAAGAAAGAAAAATTTTTTTTGATAAAATTTGAAAATTCAAAAAAAAAATTCCTAAAAAATTCATAAATTTCCAAAAAAAATTTTTTTAATTGAAAAAATTTTTCATAAAAAATTTTAAAAAATTTCCAAAAAAATTTCGAAAAATTTTTTATGAAAAATTTCAAGAAATTTCGCAAACCTGTGCTCTTTTTAATGTTCTAACTTGTATAAAATTTTCAAAACACCATTGAGGTGAAAAATGATGATGTTTCCAAGCATTATAAACGGCAAGTAACGTACAATGATCACCTTTTTTAATTAAATTTTATAAATTTTTCAAAAAAATATCCAAAAAAACCTTCAGGTTGATGAAATTTTGATTTTTTCTCATCAGCCAATTCTTGTTTTTCTTTTGGTCTATAAAATACATTTTGTACTGATAACATCGATACAATAGTTAAAATATCATCAGCACAGCCCAATTCAACAGACATTATTAACATTTTTGAAAGTGATGGTTCTAATGGAAATTCTGCCATCTACAGAAACGAAAATTATGATAAGTAATAAAACCATATCTTTAACCATAAAATCTCTAATAGAAAGCCCGGGCATTCTATTTTTCCATTAACCTTCAAAAGGAGGATCCTATTAGAGAGCATTCAATTGGATAGGGTCTACGAAAGGAACATTCTATTAGAGAGGCATTCAATTAGAGAGGGTCTCCAAAAGAACATTTAATTAGAGAGGGCCATTCTGACTTCCAATCGTAGTCCGAAAGGAGGGGGCGTTAATTAGAAAGGGATTGGTTTTATATTTTTCAATCACCTTCAAAGAGAGTATTCAATTAGAAAGAGAAGGCATTCAATTAGAGAGGGAGAGGGCATCAAACTAAAGGGGCATTCTATTATAGATTTCACGGTATCTTTAAAAAAACTCAAACAAACCCTTCTTCCCAATCTTGTTAAAAGACCATCTGGATCAAGTGCTGATAATTGATAAATTTGAAAAAGTGCAGTAATCATAGCTTCAGATGGCGGTGCATCCATAAAATCAAATTCTATCAAATTATTAATTCCCATAGCTTTAAGTTGTAATAATGTGCTAGCTAAATTTGTTCTTTGAATTTCTGGGACTGGTGTTGGTAACATTTCATCACTAAAAAATTTTTTTGCAAAAAATTTCTCGCAAATAAAAAAAAATTTCAATCCTTACCGATAAGCTCTTTCAGTATATAAACGATAACATTTTCCTGGTCCAGTTCTTCCAGCACGCCCAGCACGTTGTGCTGCTTGTGCTTGTGATATTGGTGTTACAACAAGTGAATCCATTCCAGATTTTGGATTATAAATTTTTTGTTTAACAAATCCTGGATCAACAACATAATAAATTCCATCAATAGTTAATGAGGTTTCTGCAATGTTTGTTGCTATTACAACCTTTAAAAAAATTCTTAATTTTAAAATTCTATTTTTCGAGGGCGTCTTGCAATGTCAAGACATTAAAATGCCAAACCCCCTCTAAAGCCATTGAAATGCCCCAAAATAATGGAAATCCGCTGAATTCAGTGTTTGGCTGTTTAGTACTTAAATGTTGTGGCATTTCAATTTCGATGCTTTGGTATTATTGACGTTTTGCATTTCGAAGGTTTGGTATTTTAGGATGAAAATTATTTTAGAATTTCAAAAAAATACCCTACTTTTCGAGTTCCTGGCGGTGCTGGATCAAAAATTCTTGTTTGCATTTCACTTGGAAGTGCACCATAAACAGGTAAAATAATTAATTCTGGAACATCTGGACCCAACTTTTTCATTCTTTCATAAAGTATTTCACAAGAAGTATCAATTTCTTCCTTAAAATTCAAAGTAATTTAAATTCAAAAAATCAAAGAAAAAAAACCTGTCCAGTCAAAAAAAGCAAAATATCACCAGGAGGTTCAGTTAAATGTATTTGCATAACTGTAATATGTGAAGCATCCAAATAATCAGTTTCAGGCTCTTTTGTATATAAAATTTCTACTGGGAAAGTTCTTCCAGGTATACGAAATATTGGTGCATTGAAAAAATATTCAGAAAATTTGACTTGCTCCAAAGTTGCGCTAAAATTAAAAAAAAATTTTTATGGGGAAAATTTCGGAAAATTTGTGGGGAAAAATTTTTTCAAGTCAAAAAAATTTCGAAAAAATTTTTCCAAGCCAGAAAAATCTCAAAAAAAAATTTTAAGTAAGGAAAAATTTTTAAAAATTTTTTGAAAAATTTTTGCCTCAAAAAAAATAACAAAAAAACCTCGTCACAATCAATTTTAATTCAGGCCTCCTCTTTACTGTAGTTTTTAATAATCCAAATAACACATCAGTATTAATTGTACGTTCGTGAGCTTCATCAAGCATTATACACGAATAAGATGACAAATCTGGATCGAGAAGACATTCACGCAACAACATTCCATCTGTCATGTATTTAACTATTGTGTCTTGACTAAAAAATTTTTTTAATTTGAAAAAATTTTTAAAAAGTAATACCATGTACAATCTTCAAAACGAATGGTATATCCAACTTCTTGTCCAAGACGACAACCAAATTCTTCACTTACTCGTTTTGCGACAGACATGGCAGCAACACGTCCAAAATAAAATTAGTATATAAATGAAAGTGGATAGTCTTCAGGGACGTGCCGTTTCGCTCTTTGACGAATTTTTTTATGTGTTTAGTATTTCGACGAATTTTTCGCCTTTTTCGGTTTCGCTTTTAAAATCCGTTTCGGCAAAATCTTGATACTCTTTTACTATCAAAAAATATTTACCTTGGTTGTGTACAACCTATTTTGCCTCTATTTGCATATCCTGCTTCAACCAAATATTGCGTCATTTGTGTTGTTTTACCCGAACCTATAATAAATTTATATAAAATCAATAATACTTTAAATTGTTTAAAAAACCTGTTTCTCCAATTACAATTAAAATTTGATTATCATGTATTGCTTGCAAAAGTGCTGATTTTAAAGAATATATTGGTAATGATTCGCGTTGTTCTTTTATAGTCATTGTTGTCCTCTTGCCATAAGTTGCTTTACCTCCTGCTGTAACGTGTTTTAACCATTCTGGCATATCCTAGAGAATTAAAAATTTGCATAAAAAATAAAATTGACATTTTCAAATTTCCGGGTCTGATACAGAGGTTTTTACTTTCAGCTGATACGGGTTGGGGTTTCCAGATTAAAACCTCGAAAAATCGGGAACCCGACGAGCCTAAGCCCAATCAATGGTCGAACTCTTTAGAAAAATTTTACCCTTTTTTGAAGTGATAAATCTTCATCATCATCTTCCGTTCGTGTAGACGAAGCTGCCATAGGATCATGAATTCTAGACCGGCCTAAACCTGACCGTTGTCTTTCAGCATCCTTTTCTCTTTGCATTTGTATTTTGACATCACGACGTTCTTTTGACAATGCTCCCTGAATTGAAAAGTTTTTCTCAAAGAAAAAATGTAAAAAAAAACCTGCATTAAAGCAGCTTGGGCCAAACTACCATCAGGATTCTTTACAACTTTAACAGGTTCCAAATCAATAGCATGTCTTCCATAACCACCAAGAAAAGGTGGATCATCTTCCACTAACTCAATTTCAATATCTTCGCCATCACTTTCTTCTGAAAAAATATTTTTTTAATTTTAGTAACCGAGCAGGCACCAAGTAGACATCGATATTGTGCCTCTTGTAAGTTTTATCACTACGTAAAGGTATTTTAACAACTGAGCATTAGGCGCCTCACCCAACCTCACTTTTAATAAATATTAAATCCGCATCCAGTGAGCGTTTTGAATGCTAGCCAGCTGGATCTTTCCCCTTCCCTAGAACTTTTGTAAATTTTTTACCATCATAATTTTTCATAATTCCCAATTCTTGATCAAAATCAGGCAAATCAATTTGTCGAATAGCACCACCTCCTTGCATTTGACGAAATTCCCATCTTTCCGGAGTTGAAAGACGTACTCTCGTACGTTTCATTGGAACATTTGAAGATTGTATAGAAGGCAAATCATCTGAAGGATTAAGCCATGGAGCATCTGGATTTGCCAATCTTACATCATCAACCTTTGCCGATAAATCTTTTGGTTTTTCAGGGTTTAAATCTTCTCCAGTTTCTTGATTGACTTCTTTCATTGAAAGAGAAATTTTGGAATTATCCATTTTTATCACCTAAAAAATTGAAAAAAAAATTTCAAAAAAAAATATTTTTAAAAATTCCCTTACTTTGACTTTGACTCTTTGTCCACGATTAAGAACGTCTGCTACAGCATTAACACGTTCATTTTTGATTTGAGAAATATGAATTAATCCTTCAGTTTTTCGACGGAATCCTTCAAGCTAAAAAATAATTTTTAGAAAACTATAATGCAAGAAATCAATCCGAGACTAGGACGGATTTGCTGGGATAAATTGGAAGGGGAGGGGATTAAAGGCAGAAGGAACTTTGTGTTTGTCAGATAAGTCTCCTTTGTTCCATTGATCTTGAGCCTCTTTTATCTACTCAAATATCTGGAGCTACCACCAAGGATCGGTTTGTCAATAAAACGCTGACCTCTAGAGTTGGTTGACCCCTCGGAGTGTAGCCAAAAAAAAATTTACAAACCTCAGCAAAAGCTCCAAAATTTGTAATATTATTTATTTTTGCATCATAAATACAAAACATTTCAGCTTCTTCAAGTAATTTCTTACTCTTAATAATTGGAGACTTTGAACGAGATGATCGCCTTCTTCTTGGTGATTTTCTTTTTTCTCCTCTTCTATCATCGCGTCGTTTTCTGTGGTGGGGCGATGATGAACGGTCATCTCTTTTATGATCATGCCTTCTTCGATTTTTGACTTCAGGGCTTCGACTTCTACTACGTGCACGAGCATTCTCCTTAAAAAATTTTTTTTCTTGGTTAATTTTTTCACCTTAATAATATAAACAAATGAGGATGACGTTCTAAAAACGGAAAATTTTTAGAATTTCGACAGCTTTTGGGGGTTTGGTATTTCGACGCTTTGTCATTACACCAACTAAAATTTCCTTACATCTGCTGTAGCTGACTTCTCCATTTCCCATTTTGTCTTCAAATCTTCCAATTCATCCATTAACGTATTTTTAGTGTTTGGCATAGCTAAAGCAGGAAGTCTCTGTTTTAATTCTTCTTTTTCATCATTTATAGTTAAAAATATAGAATTTGCTGGCGTGTGTTGCTGTTGTTTTTGTTGCTTCTTTTTACGTTCCATACTCAAAACAAGTCTTAAAATATGTTGAACCAATGAATCATCAAACTTTAATAAGCAAAATTTTTAACAATATTTAAGAACTATACAGACCTTGAAGACCTACTTTTGAAAGGGAATATTGGGAAATTTGTAGGAATTAAGGAGATATCGATGAATTTAGTTTAATCGAAAAGGATCTCTACTCACCCAGAGTTATGGTGTATCGGACCCTTTCAAACGCTAAGGTTTTCAGGTCCAATTTGAAGATCTAGGTCTTCAGGTGTGGACTCAATATTTAAAAATACAAACTCCTTCAGCCAGATCATTTTCTTCCAGCGCTTTTTTAAATTTATCAAAAGTCCCAGCATCCTTTGCCAATTGAATTATAAATTCTGCCACGCCTTTGTCATTAAGTCCAAAATGATTTTCTAATTCTGTAATAACTCGAGACACTAAGTTGAGGTGTTCAAGTCGATCAAGTTCAGTTTCATCCATTTTAGTTATCTAAACAATCAAAATATTTTAGAAACAAAAAAATGTTTAAAATATAAATTCGTTGAAAAACGTTCACAAAAAATCAAAAAATAAAAAAATATTTTATCCTTAGAAACTAAGAAATTACACAAATGTCAGAAAAAAGTGGTAATTTTCTGATTATGTGTTGGCCAAAAAAACGTCGTAGATTACCATTATTTTCTAAGCGAATAAAGCAGAAGATTATCAAATTTCTTTTAAATATTTTTCATTGCATCCCTCATTTCATTAATTTCCCAAAAACGTCCTCTTTTCATCACAGAAAACATCTTTTCACGTCTTTGTCTACGCTCTCTACGCGATTGTGATTTGGAAACTGCTTCTTTTGGTAATACTTTTCCCATCGATTCGTAATCCTGAAATTGAAGGTTTTGAAAATTTGAAAATTAATTTAAAAAATACAATATTTGAAGCTTGTGATTTATCATCATCGTTGTAAGAACGTTCACCACGAGCAGTATCCAATGATGATGAAACTTGTTGAATAGATGAAGCTTAAATCGAACTCATTTTTAAAATTAAATAGTAAGAGAGAGGCAAAAGTTTAGCCCAGAGCAGGCATCGACCCTGCGACCTCCTAGTTATTAATTGTTAGCGATTCCGCTCACCACGTATAGGTTACCGGATGAGTTATCCGGGCAGGGCAGTAGCCAAAGGGTAAGAAGGGAAATGGGAAAAAGGAAAAAAAATTTGGGGGAGGATTGGAGGGCTTTCTTCTTCCTTACGAAATAATACAAAATTCAATAACCTTTTGCAATATTAGCAGAACGTTGAGGGACTGGTGGTACATGTACAGGTGAAAAAGTGTTCAAATCAGGGCAAGTTGAACTTGCAAATTGTTTAAATTGCTAAAATTATATTTAAAGATCATTAAAATATTTTAAAAACTTGTTCAAGCTGAAAGAATTGTTGCATCGAATTAGCAGCAGCTTCTTGTTCAAAAAGAGAGGTTAAAGTTTTTTCGGCTGTACCATCAGAAAATACATTTCGTCTACAAAATTTTTACTTCAAAATATTTTAAATTAAATAACCTTGTTGTCAGAGTAGAAGAAGCACGTCGATCACTATCCGTTTTATGTAGAGATTGAATATATGATCCTCGCTGTATTGGGGAACGGCGAGCATTTTCAAAAGCTAAAAAAGAGAAAAATAAAAGCCTTTAAAAAATCATCTGAGAAAACCATTCAAAGCATCATGAGAACTCCAACCAAGCTTACAAATAAGATAACAGCAGACAAGATATCCAGAACGATTAATTCCATCGCTGCAGTGAACACCAATTAATAAATCTTTGAAAATAATAATAAATTTATAGAAAGATTTTAGGTAAAAGTCAATTTCGGCCTCTTCATGTTCCCTTCGACAAAAGTGACAAAGGTTGCGAAAAGGTCGAGACATGTTTTCAAAATTTACTTCTGGCCGGATTTAGGGTTGGAAGACCGGACTCCATGTAGACAGTGACTTCTATTATGCTTATATGTATAAGTTATATTTCTGAAGCGGACCAAATTAAAAAAAATTTTGTTTACCATTATCCGAATTCCTATTCAAAAAATCATCAATAATTTGGATAAAATCCTTAACCAAATCTGTTCGAACTAAAAATCCACGTCCAGGACATTGTAATTCTTTATATTCAATACACATTCCAGTAATATCTTGTGCATCATAATACCTCTTTGTGTTTGAACAATTTATAATTAATCCAATTGACTTGCCATTTCCTTCAACCTTAAATTTTTTTTTGGAAATTTTCGTAGTTAGATTATTGAGGTAAAACCAAGTAACATGCCCCTTCTATCATTTTCTTAAAATGTTAGGCCCAGAAAAATAAAAACAGGAATGTGGGATGAAGAGAATATGTCATAGAGAAATCGAGCAAAATTGAGGAAGTCTGTATACGCACTAGAGAGTGGCCTGGATTTTTCCTGTACCCAGAGTCCTGGGTATTTTCCTGGACTACAGACCTGGGATCCGGCCCAGGTCAACAAATCAAACCCGTGAACCCATGAACAGGCCCAGGCTTTTCAAAATTCCCGATTTCTAGTAAGCACATTCTAAGAAAAAAATAGCAGAAGTGGCAATCAACCCGGCATAATATCTTTCTTAAAAGAAAAAATAAACAAACCATTCTGAACAAATCCGAAGTTGTAAAACGCTTTGTTTTGCATATACGATCCTGCAATTCAGGTTTTAATGGAGTTTTAAATGCAAAAATTCTGGTTCCTTGAATTACAGATCCAATAGGGGTATATTTTTCCCAACTAAAAAATTAAATTAAAAAATATTTTTAAAGGTACTTACTCGAGAGGTATTTTCCTTTGTGATCTGCCCATTTTATTGGCAAATTTTAAACAGAAAATTAATAAAATGCAAAAAAAAATAAATTCAAAAATGGCAAAAATTGACAAAATATGACTTGGCAAAAAGCAATTTACCATTTTCAGGAGTTACCAAAATGAAATATTTTCGTGTCAAAATAAATATCAAAATGTAAACATCAAAAAGTAAATTGTAAAATGTTAATATCAAAGTGTAAACATTCCTTTTGCCACGAGATATCTCGTCACATTAGCATTCTTACGCTTTTCGTCAACCTCTACCCTTTCACATAAAGCGAACTAACCAGCAAATGCATGGTGTGATTTTTTATATTTCTTTTTCATTATTTTTCAGATTTTTCTTGATCAACTTTCTAATATATCAAAATGATGATTTTTACTAAATCTGCTCAAAATTTACTTGGCAAAGGACAATTTCTTGGAGCTATTTATTTCCGACAAGCACTTGCAAATTATTCAGGTTAATAAAGACTCGCGTGATTTTTTTACTTTTTTTACTGATAACAAGCAGACTTTTTGGAATTAAAAAGAATAATAGGAAAAATGGGATCATTAAGTAACTCAATTCAAAGAAAAAAAGTAAAAAATGACCGACCAAAATTTAAGCAAAACAATTGAATCCCTAAAAATAAGTGAAGACGATACTGGTATTTTTAATAAGCTGACTATTTGGGAGCCAGACATATTCTGGACGGAATATCCGGATATTTATTGTATGACCGGCTACTCTGTACGGGTTCGGGGCCAACGGGTCTTGATAGTACATTGTTGAAGGATTCCGGATCCCCCCTTCCGCTGACTTATCCCTGACCTGATATATGTCCGTCCTGATATGTCTCCCCACCGTTTATTTAAACAAATTAACTTTAATTTTCTTTATTAAAGTTTCATCACCAACCAACTATGAAATGATTAAAGCCGAAAAGACTGGCGAAAACAAACGTGTTGGCTTGATTACTTTAAATAGACCTAAAGCGCTCAATGCCTTGTGTAATCAATTAATGGATGAGCTAGCCGATTCGCTTCAAAAAATGGATAAGGACCAATCTCTTGGGGCTATTATTGTTACTGGAAGTGAGAAGGCTTTTGCTGCTGGGGCTGATATTAAAGAAATGGTTTCTTTTTAATTTTTCAAAAAAATTTCAAAATTTTCCCTTAGGCTCCCAAAGAATTTGCTCACGTTTTTGGTACCGGTTTTCTTGAAAATTGGTCTCAGGTTTCTAAATTGCGAAAGCCTGTAATTGCTGCTGTTAATGGACATGCGTTGGGCGGTGGATGCGAAGTTTGGTTTTTTTTAATTTTTAAAAATTTCTTAAGTTGGCAATGATGTGCGATATAATTTATGCTGGAGAAAAAGCAATGTTTGGACAACCCGAAATTAAAATTGGGACTATACCAGGTTTATTAATTTTGAAATAAAATTTTTTTAATTAATTTTTAGGTGCTGGCGGAACTCAACGATTGACCAGGTTTTTTCTTTTAAAATTCTCAATAAAATTAAATTTCCCTCTAAAAGAATTGTTGGCAAGTCGTTGGCAATGAAAATGTGTTTGACTGGTGATCCTATTGACGCTAAAACTGCATTACAAGCTGGATTGGTTGCTGGGGTATTTTCTAAATTTCCAAAATAATATTTTTCCTCAACTTTAAGGTATTCCCTCCCGATCAACTGGTTGCTGAAACAATTAAATTAGCTGACAAAATTGCTTCTCATTCTCAACTTTTGGTTGGTATGGCTAAACAAGCTGTCAATCGCGCTTATGAGTCTACTTTAGAAGAAGGTTAAAAAAATTTTTTTTAATAAATTATCAAATCTCCGACAAAAACTTCCTCAAACCACTCGAAAATCAAAAAATTTTTCACCTTATTGAGAATATACCTTAACTTTTTAGGATTACTTTTTGAACGTCGAATGTTTCATACTACTTTTGCAACTGTAAGATTTTTTAAATTTTTCCTTAAAAATTTTTTTTTATTTTTAAAGAATGACCGAAAAGAAGGGATGACTGCATTTATGGATAAACGTCAACCAAAATGGCAACATTCTTAAATTTTTGGGGAAGACTTTATAAATTAATGTATGGATGAGGTTCAAATATAAACATAGACAAATACATATTTAAAGTTTTTTTTTATATTTTAATTTATTTTGACAACTTTTTCTAAATTTTAAATAAGTAATTTTGGATATTTTAAAAATATATAAATATTTTGGTATAAAATCTTTGTTAATTTTCTTTTCATAAGCCTAGGATATATTTTGAAGCTTAAAATTTTTCCATCGGATCTTGGTCCTTTCCTCATAGCTTTATTTTTTTGGATCAACTTTGTAAGCCATTTTTTTAATATTTAAAAACCCTCCTTCCCCTACTTTTCTCTGACTGTCGTTAATTTACTTAACCGCGCTTTTTGACTAGTATTACAATATTTTTTTGTTGTAAAAATTAGCCATTAATTTAAAACCCATTTTTAAACTATTTAAAATCCCAAAAAATTTATAACCCCCCTAACACTTGTTTATTTTTTCTGTCCTTTCACTTTACACAAATCCAGAAAATTTGTTCTCCGGCCTCTTGATTGGGGGAGCTTTTTTACTACTTTCGCGGTTAAAAGAACTAAAATAGAGAATAAAACGCCTGATGGGCATTAATCAGTTTTAAAGCAGATATTGAGCATCGCGTCGCTTCAATCGCCTCCTTTCCATTTTACTAAAAAACTTTTTTTACTATCCGCGCTTTACACACCAAAAAGATTTTTTTAAAGAAATAAATAGCTTCACAAAAAACGCCAACTGTTTCCCCTGACTTTAAGCATTTTTAGCCTCTCATATGTGCGCAGTATTGAGGGGAGGGGACTAGAGAATAAAAAAAAAGATAGAGACGAGATGATTGCCTACATTATATTTTTAGTTTCGGAACCAATAGTTTAAAAAGAAAGTTTTTGGGGTTTTTAGGGTTGTCGTCGCTTCGTCATCCCGAAGAGCAACGACAAATGTTTCGGCCATAGAAAAGAATAAATGCGCGGGCGGTGTGGACGAATCTCTCTCTTCTATTCAATGGACTCAAGCGGGAGTGACATGAAGAAAAGGATCAAAAAAAGAAGAAAAAATTGGGACAAGGCGCGGCTGTTTCTGCCATAGGGGAATAAATAAGAAGGGTTTGGAGGATATTGAGAGATAAGTTGAAGGGGAAGAAGATAAATAAAATAAAAAAAAGGAAAGAAAAATGGCAGTTGAACGAGAATGAATGACTGGCAATTTCAATTTTGCTCATTTTTGTTGCCCTCTCCCATTTCCTCACTTGTTGTATATGCATTCCTAAAAGTCAGCAGATTAGCTCCGATCTCGACTAACCAAACAACAAGGCCGCAAGCGATATAACCTCTCTTTTTCAAAATATCTGCTCAATTATACTTTTAGGATTATAATATTGTTGGGAGGGAGAAATATCGGGACGGACATATCGGGGGGGGGGGGGGGGTTGCTCTATGAGAAAACAACCTCTTGCATGTTTACGTTGGTTCTAAGACTTAAAAACTCTCGTTTCTTCAATAGGACAATGTACATCCAATACCCATGGCCATAGGTCCCGAATCCCGATATATCCCCTTCCCTATCAGAGCTCGTCTCGTGAAATTTCGTGTTTTTTGAGAATCAAGTGTCTCGCGAATTTCGTGTTTCGTATTTTGTGGACCAGCTTCACCCTGGTCCCTATATATCCAGCTTCTATATTGTTTGTAGAAGATCCCTCATAGTCCTTCATATCAATTTTAAAAAGGGAAGAAAATTTTTGGGTCCCTCTCGATTGAAAAATGCTTTCATACAGCTCATACTTTTATTCATCACGCCAATCGATGATATTATTCATGGGGCCAACCGCGCGGAGACGGAATTTTTTACATTTTTTACATCCTTTTTTCCATTTTAGCATTCCTTTATTGTAAAATAAAAAGCTTTTGCGCGGTACAAAAATAAATGAATGATCAAAAAAATTTTTTGATGGGAAAAGTGCTAGGCCATTTTTGTTGATTTGTGGTGAAGCTAACGAACTATTTTTTGCTTTAAATGAATGAAGGGAAGGAAAAAATTTTTTCAACTGTCAGCAGCCACAACAAAAACTCATAGAGGTTGTTGTTGTTTTCCAGCCGACGCGAGATGAAGCTGAAGATAATAAGGGGAGAAAAATGTTGGTGGTGATGATGATGATGATGGTGATGGCGCAGTAGCAGGAATAATATAAAAGAAGTTTTTGTAAAAAAATAAAAGGTGTTGAAAACGCGCCGACAAAAATTTTAATGTATTTATGGGAAAAGCGAGAAAAAAGGCCTTTTAAACGGCCAGAGAAGATTTTCTAAAAAAATCCCAGTGATCAGGAAAAAAAAAGATTAAGCGGTGACTATGCGCGCAGATTATTAAAAAATTTAAACTTATCTTTAAAAAATTATTCTCTCCCTCCTATCCTTAATCCTCCCCTATAGCCTCTATAGCCTCGCTAATAATCATTGGTTCACTCCTCCCCCTTTATTTCCATTTTCCTTTATTTTTCTCCCAAAATTTTCTTTTAATATTTGATTGGCGTTCTTCACCATGTTTTTTTTATTTGCGCGTTTCATTATTTGCTTTTATTCCTTATAAAATTTTTTTTGCTCATTCAGAGATAACACCACAAATTTGGGGGAAGAATGATGAAATTATACAAAGTATTAGTGTATATTCATAGAAAATCGGGAAAGGTAGGTCTCTCTATTTGACGGCAGGACGGTGAGTAAGTAGGATAGCAATATGATGCTGATAAAAATATTTGAAAGGAAGGGGAATGATTAGAAAGGAGCACTAAACATGTGAATAAACTAAATATTTTTTAAAGGGAAGGCGCGCATTGCGCATTTAGTAAAAATATTTAATATGTTGCCTGATAAGAAAAACGAGGTGGAAGGAGAAGACTTAAAAAGGAGGAGGAAGAAATTGGGGAGGAAATTGGGGAAGAAATTGGGGAGAAAGGTGAGGAAAGAGCACAGTTTTATGGAAAAATGTAGAATGATTCTGATTCTGAGCGGTACAAAATAAGAATAAAAGGAGAAGAAAATCAGCAGGGCGGTGCAAAAAAGGTAAGTACAACACCAACAACTCCGCAAACATCATTTTAAAACTAAAACTAAAATTTATATTCTCCTTATTTTCCCCATTTTCCGATAATTCAATCATCAACATAATATTTAATATTCCTTCCATTTTTAATACAAATTGACCCCCCAAAATTTAAAAATAAAATTTAATACTTTGCATAATTTCTTTTTGATAATAGACCAACTCGCGCGGGAGTATTTTGCTTCTTTTTTAGACAAAATTCTTGACCAAATCTATCCCCTAAAATTTTTCACACACCTCCTAAAAATTTCACTATTTCACTAAAATTCTTTCACATTTTTCTATTCCTTAAAATCTTCTAATCTTTATGTAAAATCCTTTTAAAAATTGCGCTACTTGTAGACCAAACCTTTTTTATGCCAATTTAAAATGCAGCTTTTTTACCTTTTGTGTCAAAAAATATTTCACAAAAAACTTTAAACACTTTTTTCCCTTTATTCTACTTTTTTGGCCCAACTTTTCTTTCTATTATTCTTCTCTCCACGGAAAAGCAGGGCTAAAAGGGGGCTAGAAATGTAGGGGATAAAGCTTGCGCCAAGATTTTTTCCAAACAATTTTCTTTATTTTCCCCCCAATTCAAACCTAACAAATAAAAAAATAAAATGTATGTTGGAGACATTAGCGCAGCAAAAATGCTTCCGGCTTGTGCCAAAGAAAAAATGTCAAGAAAAAAAAATTATTTTTTTTTGTAAGAGGGTGGGGGTTTGCGCGCAACTAACAAAACTATTGGAAAATGGCTATATTTACTTACCTACCCCCCTCCTTTTTAATATTTTTACTAGCTTTTCAATTTTACATAAAACCTTCTTTTCCGGACGGCTGACGCAGATATGTGTTTAGACGAGACCAAAAGACTTTTTATTTTATGCCTTTCCAGTATTAAGGAATTTAGAGGTCCTTTTTGGCCCATTTTTTTCTTTCAAGGACCTCAATATCTTTTTTTATATTTTATTTACGTCCGTAAGCACTAGTTTTTTTAGTGCTGCGCACCAGAAGGAGGGAGAGAGTCTAGGGCCAAAAGCAACCAATAAGTTTTTTTGGCAACCCCCTTGGGCATTCCTTGGCCCAAAACTACTGCGCCATCCTTTCTTTTTTATTCTTCTTAAGCCCAATGGCCCTCATTTCTTCCTTAAGCTCCTATATATTTTTTCTTTTTAGTTTCGTGCGCAGAAGGGAAGAAGCAAAAAAAAATTTTTGAAGAAAAGAAGGGCACATAAAGCTTTTCATCCACCGCCCTAAACAATTCCTTCACACGCCCTAAACAATTCCCCCCTCCCCCTAACCCCCTTCCCAAAAACATTGCGCCAGCAGCCAACAACAACAAAAAACTACGCCAACAGCCGAGAAAATTTGTCCTTCTCCTTATTTTTCGGCAAAATCGTCTCCTTGGCCACCACCTTCCCCCATCTTTCGACCATTTTAAGTCCCTAAAATATTGGTCTCGCGCCCCACACACGCCGCTGGAAAGAAAAATAAATTGTAGAAAAAAAAGTTTGGGGGTTGGTAGCTTACAGCCGAGAACAAAATGGCCAAAAAAGATGACGGACAATAACTGCTGCGCTTTTGTGTGGGTGAAGAGGTCGTCGCGTTGCTGCGTTGCTCCCTTACTTTCCTTTACCCCTTCTCCCACTTTTTATTTTTTCTGTGCGTCAATGCCCAAAAATGTTTTTTGATGGAAAAAGGATTGAAAAAAGGAGCGCACAAACCGAGAGTTTTGACTGACACAACAACCAAACGTTTTTTCCCAATTTTTTCTATCATTTTTTTCACATTTGGCCCTTATTTTAATACTCCTTATTTTTAATTTATTTTTGGAGGCACACAAAACATTGCGCAGTTGGTTGGTTGGCACTTGTGTAATATTTTTGGTCGGCATAAAGCTATGATGGCCCGCTCGTCATTTCATTTTGTTTCTCGCGCATTTGCGCCTATGGCGCATTTTTCTATTTATTTTACATTGCCGAATCGATGTGAACCTTCCCAAAAATATTGTTGGTGGTAGGGAGGCTTTTTCGGCAGCCGGGAAGAATAGGCCCATATCTCGCGCTGTTATTTTGCCGTCGGCCTTTCCCACAAGCTTTTATTTTCTTCGCTTTTTCCTTTTTCTTCATTTAATATTCCGCGCATTTTTAGCTTAAAAAGCATTGATTTGTTTCTGGCAAACTAAAGGAAAAAAAATATTTTTTGCCGCTTTTCATGAAAAAATTAAAAAAAAACTTTAAAGGACGTGGATTTGGGAAAGATTTTTTCAGAATAAAATTTTCAAAAATAAATCAGAATTCTGATTTCTACCGAATTTTTTCTGATTCTATCATTATTTTTTTCCAAAGGCGTATACCTTAAGAGTCATATCCCATTTTTCGGATGTATATTTTTCTAAAGTAGCAAAGATACGGATACCAAAATCTGTGTCTATTGTCAGGTCTAAGTTCTAATTTTTTAAGTTACTTAACAGATTTCTGATTTAAAAAAAATTAAAATTAAAAAAAAATGGCAACCTATCCCATATTTACTACCATAAATAAACTGCGCGAAAAATCCCATTCGCGCAGTCACCTCAAATAAAAACTGCGCGAAAGATATTACAGTAAATATTAAATAAGTCAGTCAGTTGGTTGGTTATTTGAATGAATGTATGACTCGCGCACCAATTTTTTTATAGTTTGTTCTCCCACAGTCAAATAAAAATAGCAGCAATTCTTCGAGAAGCACCGTCTCCCCTCACTTCTTTTTTTTATTTCTTACGCGACTACTTTCCACCAATTGAAAAATTAATAAAAATCAACAAAATTTTCCCATATTATCCCCCTCTTATTAACCACAAAAAAATTTTTTCTTCTTCAAATCAACTCTGTTCAGTCTCAGAGGTGGGTCGGAATTCCGATTTCCAATTTCCGAGTTCCGACTTTTGAGCCAGTTCCGATTTCCGACTCTTCCGATTTCCGACACCTATGACTGTTTCTCAAATCAACTCTGTTCAGTCTCCAATATCCAGGAAGAGTTCCTCCTTCTTCCTCCTCTTTTTAAACTTGAAGACAATTTATCTCCTCTCCCCAATTTCCTGACTCCTCCCCAACAACAATTTATTTTTTCTTCTTTATTTCACCCCACAAAATAGCCACCAATTGTTTATAAATATTAAATATCTTTTTTTTAATGTGAGATTTTATTTATTTGCGCCATTTTTTGTTTAATACATATGCGCGCGTCCCAGTTTCCCCCTTCCCCTCCCCCCTATTTTTTCCCTTTTCATCCTTATCGTTTGATTCATAAACTCTCCAAAACGGTTTTTATTTTTTTCGCGCTTTTTTAATAAAAAATAGAGGAGTGCCTTGAATATAATGGCCAAAGATATGCTTTAAAAAAGGGTCAAATCCTTCTACATTTTTAAGTATTTTTTATTGCTTCCAGTCGTTTTATTTGCCTTTATCTTCTTTCTTCCTTCACGCTCATTTTTCTTTTACTTGCTAGACTTTGCGCAGCTTTTATGGCTTTACACCTCTTCTTTTCTTCTTCTTCCCCCCTTCAACCGCGCTGCCTTTTTTTGTTTTTGATTGTTCTAAAAAATTTTAGTCATCCAAGAGATTCACGCATTTTTAGATGATGATGATATGGACAGGAGAACGGCGGTAAAGGTGTTGAGAAGAAGAAAAATTGAGGTGGGCCTGTGTGTTTGACTGTATTCCTTTTTTTTCCTCCCCACCACCACCAACAAACCACCAACCTTTTTTAAGCAATCCACGCATATTCTACTATTCACACATTCCCGCGTTTTAACCCCCTCCCCTCCCTCCTATACTCATTTTGTTGCTTGCGCTCTCGCCCCTTTTTTTCCAAGCTGCTGAATCAACGTTTTGCCCAGTCCCATCTCCGCGCTTCAATCTCAACATTAATAGGCGCATTCACGCGGTTTTAAAAAATAAAGCAAATGAATAAAGCAATTCCGAAAGCAAAAAAAGCCGTTCCATTTTTCTTGCTTTTCCCCCCTTTTCTCATATCATTTTGTATTCATTTTTACACCTTTGCTTTTCATATATTTTTTTTTTGCTTTGTTGTTATCATCAATGGTTTTGCGCCCTTACCCTATCTGCTTTCCCGATAAATATGGCCTGAAATGGAAAAAAAATAAAAAATGGGACGAGAAAAGGAAAAGATTTTGCGCATTCTTTTAACTGAAAGGTTTAAGACTGTCAATAAAATGATCGAAAAAAGCAATGGAAAACTAAAAGAATTTCTTTTTCATTTTTAGAAAATTTTTCAAATATTTTTAATAATGGCTGCTCTAAGCACACTTGTTGAATTAATGGCTAGAGCTACAGCTACAGTTTTCTCTCAAGTATATACAAATGCCTTAGAAAAAGCACAACAACAACACCATCAACAGCAATTAAATCTGCAATCTCAACAAGCTCTTGGTAAAAAGAAATTTTCAAAAATTTCCCAAAAATTTTTCAAAAATTTTTCAAAAAATCTCAAAAAAAATTTTCCTTTTAGCTGCATTTCCAATGTTCCCAGCTTTTATGGCTTCTGTTTCTATCCCACAAACAATGCCATGTATATCACCAATTTCACAACACCAACAGCAACACCAAATAAGACCTTTACCCATTGAAATGCCAAACAACACTAGTACAAATAATATTCTAATCCCTTCAAAAGTACATCCCCAACAACCCCAAAATTTATCCGAAAATGGTTGCTCAACAACTAAACCCAATAGAAAAAGGAAAAGATCAAAAACCGCTGGTAATGTTGAGGGAACACCTCCAATAAAACAACAAATATTACAAGAAGTTGAAATCAAACAGCCAAATAATCAACATCAATTACCCCCAATAGAACAACAACAATCTTCTTCAAGTACATCCCCTCCTTCCACTAGTCGAATAAGTTCACCAGATTCTAATTCAATTGTTCATAAAGGAAGAAAATTGAAATTGTATGCGGCGGAAGGTTAGGAAATTTAAGAAAATTTTAAAGAAATTTTCAAAAAATTTTCAGAAAAAACAGATATAATAGATTATGCAAAATGTATAGGAAATAGAGCTGCTGGAAGAGAATTTAATGTAGCCGAATCTTCAATTAGAGAATGGCGTAAAAATGAAGAAAAAATTAGAAAACAGGCTGAAACAACTGCTGGGTGTACCCAACATTTTGAAAAAAATCGGGGTGAAATTCTGACAAGGATTGATGATGAATTGGTATTTTGAACCTGAAAAGACTCAGAAAAATTTAAAATTTTCTTCAGGTAAAAATGCTCAATTCAAAAGATAAACGTTGTACGACTTGGTATGGAATTGCAGAACAAGTAACCTCTTTATGGGAAGAAATCACAAAAGAATTAAATATTGAAATTAGTGAAATGAAGATTACAATGGTATAGGAGCTTCAAAATAATTTTGAAAAATCAAGAAAAAATTTTTTTGTTAAGGGTTGGATCTCAAGATTTATGAGGCGTAATGAACATCGTGTCCCAAAAGTTACCCCACCTATTATTGCAACATCAAGCGCTACAAATGGAACTTCAACTGTTGCATCACCAAGTATGATAACTCGAAAAAATAATGTTGCTGTATCTTCGACTGTGGTTAGTTTTAGAAAAAAAATTCTAAAAATTTGTGAACCCCAAAAAATTCCCAAAAAAATTTTTAACTAAAAATCAGTATTGTTTTACTATACCCCAAAAATATCCCATTTTACGTCCCCGAAAAAATCGCTGTTAACAGCTACAAAAAATCCCAATTTACACCCATCGATAAATCCCATTTTACAGTCCCCAAAAATCCCATTTACACCCTCAATAACTCCAATTTTACAGTCCCCAAAAATCCCATTTCTACACCCTTGATAAATCCCATTTTATAGCCCCTAAAAATCCAATTTACAACCCATAAAAACCTCATTTACATCCCCGAAAATCCCATTTTACACCCTCCAAAAAATCCCTCTTTTCACACCTCAAAAAATTTTTTCAGCAACCAATCGAAACTAGAGCAAAAGCAAGAAGTAAAGCATCTACATCTTCAAATAATTCCAAATTAAAACAAGAAAAAACAACAGAAGATAATAACAAAAATATAAATGAATCATCATGTTCAAGAAGGAAACGCTTTAGACCTATTCGGGTAATCAAAAAAATCTAAAAAACTTAAAAAATATTCTCTTCTTTTAAAGGTTGATGCTGACTGTGCTACGCTTATAACCTCACAATCAGCAAATCAAGAACAACAAAATGGTGATAATTTACAATGAAGGGAGGTACTGGAAGGATATTGAAACTTAAATTATATAAAAAAATGTATTTCACCCCAAAAATCCCATCCCACTTTCCCCTCTTTTATCTTCTCAAAAAACCATGTGCCTTAAAAAATACACAAATATTGCCTCTATTTTATGTCAGATTTTTTTTAAAATTTCTATTAAGCTATTTCCTTAGTCAATTCAATCCTTTCTCTAAGTATTGCGCGCTTTATTCTTATTTATTTTTGCTAATTTTAATCCCGGCTTTATTCTCTTTAAAATGCCTATTATTTAAATGCAATCAAACGATTCTAAAATATTTTAAAAAACTTATATAATAAAGGATTCATCCAGAAAAAATTTTTTTGAATATTAAAACGAATCAGGGGGCAGATTCGGCCGGAAATGACAAAGGTGCCAGAAACGAACTCTCGGGGAAAAAATTCAAAGGCAAAAAGGACTCAAAAAGCATCGTAAATTTTCGAAAATCGTAATTCCGACTGACCAACTCTGATAAAAGACATAAAATATTTTTTCCCGATTCTGGATGGATCGTTAAATAGCCTATAATTATTAATTGCCGCATTTTCTTGTTTAATTTCAACGACAAATTCAGTGAATAGAAAGAAATAATGCAATAAAAATATTAAAAAATAAAGCTTATTATGAAATTAAAAAATTATTTTTTGCACTTATCTATCGTTTATCTTAAAAAACAAACCGAGAATATGAATAACAAACATATATATAACCGAACATAGACAAGGGATCCCAGGGCATAAAAGCAAATAATAAAAATTACTAGAATAATAGAAATGTGCCCAAAAAATATTTCCCTTCAAAAATTTAAAATTTTTCTAACAACCCTAAGCAATATCTGTAGGTGTTGTCGAATCGCTAAGATAAAGAATGTCATAATGTCCTGGACGATAAAGGAAAAACAATTTTGGTTCCTCATTTCCATCAACAATAAAATCATGTCGCCAACCGCCACTTGGCGCCTGACTTCTGTCCATATATTCAATACGGATTGAGACCCCTTAAAAAGCGAGGGGATTTTGAATAATTTTTTCAGCCCCATATATTTTTTTTATAAAATTGTTAAACCTACCAATCGCATTGACTAGAGCAATTATGCAGAGGTGATCACAGTCCTTCCACATCGGTTCAACCTTTAAAAATAATCGTTAGAACGGAAATGGGCAGAGGAGGGGGTCCCCTTATTTGTAGGATATCACTTTATTTGGTGGGTATGGTCAGTTCGCCCTACGGGAGGGGGGGGGGTCCCTACCAATCAACTGGAATATTAAGTTGAGATGAGATCCCCTTATCAAGTGAGCTCAAATAGAGATAGGGTGGATATTAAATAAGTACCCTAAAATGATAATATAAACCTCTTCACGACAGAACTGGTCAATCGTTCGACTTCCTTCAACAAATCCAGAATAAAGAGCCTCATTCTCACGCAAATAGCCAGAACAAATAAAGCGACAAAATGCCACATAATAATTAGCAACACCATCTTGATTCAAGTCATCCATCAAAATTTGTGGTTGCATTGTTCCGTCGATCATTGAAGTCATTAATTGTTCCATCTTAAAAATATTTTTTATTAAATAATGAAATTAAATAAAATTTACAGAAGTGCAAAAGTCGCCAGTAGTCAAATCAGGAAAAGATTCAAGCTTAACTAATCGTTGGCGCCATTCTTTGACTTGTTCATTAAATCTAAAAATTATTTTTTAACATCATTTGATTTATTGTTGAAAAAAAATTACAAGAACAAAGTTTTGCGAAGGCACTACCAATACCGGGCATGGCTCCGAAAGCTAGCTCCGGAGCAGTCCAGCGGAGCTAGGGCTAGGATTTTAAAATGCCAAGAGGAAGGGCCAAGAATTTGAAAAACCGAAGCCAAAGTCACAAAATGCCCAAGGTGAGAAAAATAATTTTTTCGAAATAAACCCCAATAGAAAGATTCATGATGAACACATACAAAAACTTGTCCAGTATAATCAAAATTATACCGATTCAATTCATCAGCGTGGTCAAAGCATCGCTCCAAAAGTGCAGTAAGCACAGCCCTGTAGAAGCAATTTCCATCACCACGAATCCGACGAATATGAGAATAGACTTCAGCGAGCTCCTTAAATCGAATTTTTAATAAAAAATTAAAATATTATAATGAACCGTCGCCTTCTTAAAATATTGAGGACTGTCATCAGGATCGAATTCAGCAACCAAACTTATAATTTCCTGTTTGTCGGAAACGAGCGGTTGAGTCTTACGAACCTTAAAAACGAAAAAAATTTAATAAAGGAACATAAAAAATTAAAAAACCTCATCCTCAATTTCAGTCATCATTTGTTGTGAACGCTCATACATTTGCCTTTCATTCTCCGCAATTTGTTGGGCCAAGGTCAAATCTGGGTCAAATTCAGGCGTCGCCTCAATTCCAGAAGTGGAGCCCTTATTAACGGATTCGTCAATTTTACTAGAGACAAAAAATATAAATTCAAAAATCGGAGAAGTTTTAAACCTTGGAGAAGTTCCTTCCATTAGATATCCAAAAGATACTTCAAAATATGTAAAAATAACTAAAGTTGTAAACGTCTGGGCAAAACTAAAAAAATTTCCTGAAAAATATTAATCACAATTTTAAATAGATATTGAGTTAATAAAAATAAATCGAACAAACATAATCACTAGTTTCATGATTTATAAAAATTAAGTAAATTTTGGGATAATAAAAATTTTTTGGGATAATAAACATCACAAACAATATTAAAGTTTTTATACCTATTTTATTTTAAAGTCGAAGCTGGATTAGACGTTTTACCCGGGGTTCCGATAACCTAACTATAAGTGTGTGTTTACAAAATTTTCTCCGGATCTGAGTTCGAGCCGAAAAAGTCAGAGTTCTGTGCGGGCCATTTATGGGGATTAAGAGTAAAAAAGTTAGGCTTTTACCCCAGGCTTCGGACACCAGCGACATTCCCGGTGCAAATGGAATTTTTACCTTTCTATCAAGATTCGATAATCTATATCTTATTAATTTTTTACTAATTTCCATCATTTTCTTTATAATCGTCTTCGTTCATACTTTCTTCGTAATCGTCCAAAAATAAAATTTGTTTTGCATTTGGAATGTTCAGTTGCTTTCCAAGAATATTTTGAGATATCGTTTTGTGTTCTTCTTGAGTATTTTTATCAAGGGGAAGTGCTTTTTGCAATACAATCAGCAAAGGAGGTTCTAAACGTGAAAAAACTTGTAAAAATTCTGACAATGGAAAAATATCAAACCTTTTAACTTTTCAGAAACTGTTGAAGGTTTGTGTGACTCCTTTCTAGATGTCGAATTTTGTTGATTAGGTTTAGCCGTCTTCTCACTAAATTTTCACATTGTTATTTTCGAACTGTTAGTTAAAAATTAAAACCTTTCCATTCCTGTATTCAATAAAGGTGGCTGATTTGATATTTGATACGTGTTGGTCTGTGGATTGTATGTCTAAAAATATCACTGCCCATTTAAAAAATAAAAAATGTAAACAAACCACATAATAAGGTAGCTCTTTTGTCAAAGTTCCTTCCTGATCGCTTCCACTAAATTAAACTCAAAATATTGCTAAATTCAATCATTTAAAACATACTTGCTCGGAGAAACTTGCTCAGGAATCTTCAGACCTCTAAGCCGACTTTTAAGCTCTGCCTTCCATTGGCGCAATTTTTCCTTGTAATTCCCATTAGTCGGTGACCATCGACGGAACGGTGTTTGTCTTAACTCTTAAAAAATTTTCTTTGCCTCAATTGGCATGAGCCCACCAGTTACACCCTGAAAATCAAAAATATTATTTTCAAAAATGAAAGTAGAGAACCTGAAGAGCATTGCCATTTTGAGAATTTTTGGAAGTCAATAACTTGGCACTTAAAAGATAATGGGAATTGAAGATGAAGAAATATTTAAAAACACAAACCGGTTGCGAGCAATGTGTTGCCTAATTAGTTGGCTGAATATATCGTCAGGAATTGTCTAGTAATTTGAAAATAACTGAGACAAAAATTCTAAGTTACCTGAAGTTTGTTTTGAGAGCGAAACGGCACTGATAAGTAATAACTAGGCCTTGTAAATTCTGTCTCGGCAAATTCGAAAGTCTGTGGCGGAGGAATCTTGTGTCTTTGCAGCGTCTCATAAGTTTCGTATTCTTCACGGTAGATGTGGTTTGAATTGGCTTCTTCCTGATGAAATTAAAGTTAAAATTTGGTAAATAATTACAAAACCTGTCCACCAGCCAGAAATACTAAAACAATCAGGAAAATGAAACAAAGAAAAATAGTTGAATTCATCATTTTGAGATCAGTTGCTTTAATCACTACATAAAATCTGATATATCTAGTAAAAAGGATTGGTCAAGGTAAATGACGAAAATGTTGTTGAAGATGAATATGTGTAAGACTCAAATGTACTAAATTTAAACGGGATAAATTGACATTAAACAGAATGCCAAAAATAAAATCGATAAAAACACGACAGGAAGATCAATAACGAAAATCAGCGAACACCCTCTACCCTCTACGGCCTTTTTCCGGTAAAACTAACCTTCACCAATGAACTTAAAAACCTTTAAAAACTAATTCCATCCATTGGAGGACATCCTGCTTTGTCCATACCATCCATACCACCGGTTGAGCTAAAACTTTCTAAAATTTCTTGAAATAAAGAAAATTGAAAAAAGACAAGGACAAAAAAGACAAGGACAAAAAAAACAAGAAAATGAAAAAAGGGAGGCTTTTCGCTCGCGTATTTTTAGCAAGCGATTTTTCTAAAAATTTTAAAGATTTACCGGGTGGCCGCACGATGCGGATCATGTAGACGAGAAAGATGTAGACGAACAACCACCACAGTGCATGGAGTAGAACCTATCTAAAAATCACCCCTCCCAGTATTAAATTTTAAGTTTTTAAATTTTTTAATAAAAAACCACACCCCAACCATAACACCACCAAGAGCATGAAGAGAGCCACCAACCACCAAAAGCACGACAACCACCAAACCACCACCACAAGCATAATTTTTAAAAAAATTAAAAAAAAAATTTTTTATTATTTTTTAAAAATTAAAAAAAATTTTTTAAACTGGCCACCAGACCACCATCACGAGGCCACCAGCATATTCTCCACAGGCCACCAAAAGAAGAACAATATATAAAAATAAAAAATTTTATTTTTAAATTAAAAAATTCAAAATAAACTAGGAAAAAACCCACCGTTTAGTTGATGCCACCAAATTCCAGCCACGGCCATTCTATACCACCATGTAGAGCACTGAGCATGCAACAGGGCCTAATAAATTAAAAAATTAAAACTTGTAAATAAAAAAAATAAAAAAAAACAAATTTAACCAGCAGCCATCCAGAAGGAGCAACTGCAGAAGTCGGAAGGGGCCTTCAATTTGAAAAAATTAGAATTTTTTAAAATAAATTTTTAAAAATTTAATTTTTGTAATTTTTGCGCGCACGCAGCAATGGGTCAACAAATAAACGAATAAAAAAACAGATGAGATAATGAAAAAATGAAAAAAAAACAAAAAAACGTAATCTCCGGAGATTAACAAAAAATGATACAAATCCAGATTTCGGAAAAAAAGTGACGCCAAAAATATTTGAACAAAATTTCCGCAACAATACAAAATTAATTTTGTTAAATTTTCATTTTGAAAAATGTTAAAGTGTCAACTATGTGTTATTTTGTCAATTACTCAAAACAATTGAAAGATCAGTCAATATCTCTAAAAAGCTTGATCTGATCCAAATTATTATTATTTAAATCAAAATGGCGATCTCTAATGAACAAATAGTTGATGCAGGAAAAGTGCTTCTCAATCAAAGGTTACTTTTTTTTATTTTCTCGTTTTTCACTTGATATTTTTAGTAATTCACTTGCTGCTCGGTTTCGTGCGCTTTTTCTCCTTAGAAATGCAAAGGATGATCAGTCTGTTGAATTAATTTGTAAATGCTTCTCTGATCCATCTGTATTATTGAAACACGAGCTTGCTTATTGTCTTGGTCAAATGCAAAATCAGACAGCCATTCGTTTGTTTTTTTTTGTTAGTTGAATTTGGAGGCTTGAATCGGGATCCTGACTTTGATTTTCTCTGGATCCAGAGCCAAGATCAAGGCATTTTTCGTTCTTGTTCTTTTTCCTTAATCTTGATTTTTTTTGTTTCTAGGCAAGATTCTGTCAAGATCCCCAACCAAAAACAAAATCAGGGTCATTTTTTTAAATTTCCGGTCTCTAGTTAACTTCAGCTTTATCTACAAGAATCAAGAACCTTGATTTTTGGACTCTTTTCCCTTAATTTCCACATAAATTTTAGCTTTTCTCATCAAAGTCCTCGAGGACGAAAGCCAAGAACCTATGTTTCGGCATGAAGCTGGAGAGGCACTTGCCGCTATAGGGGATCTTGACAACAAATTTGGTGTAGCAGAGATTTTGAAAAAATATTCCAATGATCCTGTTGTTGAGGTTGCTGAAACTTGTCAATTGGCCATTGAAATGATTTTATGGAGGAAATCTAATGGAAATATGCCGAGAAGCCAGTATGATTCTATCGGTTAAAACTTTTAATTTTTTTGGTTTCACTTTTAGTATTTTTCCAGATCCTGCTCCTCCACTTGATGACGAGAACAAAACTGTGGATGAATTGGTGTCCATTTTATTGAACCAAGAAAATGTATTTTTAAATTTATTTTTTATAAAATTAATTTTTAGACGCTCTGGGAACGTTATAGAGCATTGTTTGCTCTCAGAAACTTGAACACTGATGCCGCGACAAAGGCGATTTCTAAAGGTTTGTGAAACGAATTTTTGACTAAAATAAGTTTTAAAATTTAGGACTTTTTTCGGAAGACAGTGCTCTTTTTAGACATGAAGTTGCTTATGTTCTAGGCCAAATTCAATCTCCAGTGGTTATTTCTGAGTTGAAAGAACGTCTTTCTTTACTTAATGAGAGTGGAATGGTTAGACACGAGTGTGCGGAAGCTTTGGGGTCTATTGGTACGGAAGAATGTCGGCAGATTTTGGTGGAGTTTTTGAAGGATAAAGAGGTAGATTTTGTTTGATTTTTAAATTTTTTGAAGAATCAGTGTCCCTGGTTTCTAAAATTGAGGTGGATCTGGATCCAGGCCTTGTTTCTCCTACGAAATTAAGCAAATTTCTTGACAAAATTTTCCGTGGCGAAATTTTTTTAAATTTTCCTAAAATTCTAATTTTATAGAGAGTTGTTCGTGAAAGTTGTGAAGTTGCCTTAAATATTGCTGCTGGTGAAGATGTTTTTGAGAATGTTCTATAAAATTAAATTTATTTTTTTGTTTGTTTTTAATGTATAATTTGTTGAATTATTTAATAAAATTAATTTTAATAATTCTTATTTTGTGTTATTTATAAGGTTAGATCTTCGATTAATATTTTTTATTAAAATGAATCATTTTAATTTTTAGATTTTTTAGATATTTTTCCGCATGAAAGGAAGCATTATATTTAGAGGGAAGGGAAGAATCTCGCCTTGTAAGAATTTTTTAGATTTCTTTTGATTTTTGAATTTCCCTTCTTTAGTTTTCAAATGCTTACAATTTGCGACGTACAAAACTGTGACGTCTACTGATTTGGTTTCTTTTTTAAATTTTTCTTTTAATTTTCGTTAAAATTTTTGTATACGGTCTCCTTTTTTCTCTTCAAGTTTTTTCTTATGAATTTATAAAACGGTCAGACTTCCTTTTTTCTTACTTTCAAATAATGAGAATAACTCCTATTTTGGTACTTATTTCCTTCTCCTCCCCCAGATCGCGATTTAGTTGAAGTACGAAATGGTCAGTCATTTTTTCCTTGCATAAGTGTTAGTAACAAAAAAGTGAATTTCGAATAAGGAAAGGAAGTCTGATCATTCTGTACATCCATAAGAAAAAACAAAAAACTTGGAGAGGAAAATGGGGTCCATAAACGACAATTTTACCAAAATCTTTTTAGTCCCAATTTGGAAACAACGATTTGGGTCGTCTCTATAGTGTAACCGAGGACCATGCAAAATCGCTTTCTTTTGACCTTGTTCTTCCCAAAGACTTTAGAGCGTTAAGTTCAACACTTCAAGAATATGTTTGGATGTTTAGACAGCAAACACTTGAGGTTTTTCGTTTTTATTTAAATATTATTTTGTCTTTTAAGGCCTTTAAATGCCTCCAAAAATTTGAAAATGGACAAGATACCCAACGCCTTTTACTTTGGGGTAATTGGGGAACTGGAAAGACGATAACACTTTGTCAACTTGCCCATTTGGCATTAAATCAAAATTTTGTTATTGTGACTATTCCTGATGGTAATTTCAATTTTCTTGAGTTGGAAATGTTTTTGGGTTAATATCCAATCCAAAAGAGAATTTTTATCCTTCTATATTTTGGAAATTTCTTGTTCTGGTCAGCCATCCGCTATTGGCCTTAAATTTTGATTTTTTTGGAAGGAAAAATTTTTTTATTGACCTCTCCACTGACCTACCCAATGAGTAGGTTTGAAAACCCTTCTCCCTCTCCATATTTGAAAAATATTTTTTAAACAACCATCCACTATTGGCCTTAAATTCTGATTTCTCCTTGGCCTCTCTCCACTGACCTACTCAAAACGGGAAAGGTTTGAACCTCTTACTGAAATTACCTTTAGGTTTATACTTTCCCGTTTGCTACAAATCTTCTTTCTTTAATTTTCAAAATTTTTAGCAATGGCATGGGGGCGAGATAATTACTACGAAGTAGAGGTTTCCAGCTACAAGACTGGTCGATTAAATTCTCCCCATTGGGCAACCAAACTGTAAGGGATTTTTAAAAGGTTTTAATCAAAATACATTTTTAGATTGAATTTATTTAAACAACAAAATCAACATAATTGGAGCAAACTTTCTGTAAATATTTTTTAATTATTTTGCAAAAAATTTTTTAGAATTTAAAAGCAACAAAGAAATATGAATGGAGTCAAATGGAACAAACAGAAATTGGAAAACCGATTACTGAAATTGTTGAAATTGTTTGTTTAAATTTTTTAAGGGGGGAAAATTTATGAAAAAAAAATTGGAGGGGGGGGGATTTGAGGGTAAATTTTGAGAAAAATTTTTAGAGGGGGGGGGGGAGATTTTTGAAAAAAATTTTTAGAAGGGGAGAATTAAAAAAATTTTTTTTTAATTTTAAGGGTTTGTCTGCCCCTTATTTGGCTACTGATTGTCTTGGAGCGCTTTTTAAAGAATTGAGAATACACGCAACCAGTGGAGAAATTAAACTTTTGGTATTAATAGATAAAGCTAATGGACTTTTTGGAAAATGTGTTGTTCGAAGGCCTGACAGGACAACCGTTGGATTTTTTAAAAATTTTTCAAATATAAAAAAAAATTTCTAGGCAGATATTGATGAGCTCACCCTAACTATCCAAATTCGCAAGTTTTTATTCTCAAGCTGGTCAAATGGCCTATGTGCGTTTGTCGCTGATAAGGCTGAAGCTTCAAATGCTCGAGATAATGTTACTATTGTTCCTACTGATCCGGAAGCGTTGTTTGGAGATTTGGTTTTTTTTCAATTTAGGGGAGATTTAGGGAAAATTGGGAATATTTTGGGGTTTTCACCCTTCCCCACCTTTCTATTTTGTTCTCTTTTTATGGAAAATTATCACTCAAAAGAGCTCTTCGAGCTGAGTTTTCATGAGGATTCAGCTCCATAATTTTGTTTAGAATCATCAAGTATGACCGGCCTTTGGTATCATTCGACCCAGCTCGAGGAGTTCTTTCAATCTCCTCGAGCTGGAAGGAGCTCCAATATTCAGCAAAAAAGCTAAAAAATGGTCGGGAACAGGGAAAAAACGGGTGGGGATAAACCAAAGTATTACAAAAAAATTTCTATTCTTTTTAAGAATTATGAGAAGCTAAAACCGTTTATATCATTAAAAACAAATTTGTATTCGGAAGAAGAAATAAATGTGATGCATGAATATTTTTTGGAAAAGAATTGGCTTAGGCAAGAAAAAGGATTACCTGGGGAAGAAGCAAAGAAACAATTAATATTTCTTAGCGCTTTTAATCCTGCTTATTATGAGAAAATTTGCGCAATGTCTTGGAATTTACAATGTGTTCCTCCTACACCTGTTAATCTTTAAAAAAAGTTGTTTTTGTTAATTTTATAAAAATATTTTGATGTAAAATCAGAAAAGTAGGTAAACATTTGTAGCTAAAACTAAATTTCAAAGTGTTCGCATAGGGTGGCGTTTAATTTTTGCTAAAAATAGATCCCGTATTAATACTAAAAAGTTGTTTTTGCTACAAACATTCCAATATTTTTTTAAAATTTGACATGGAAGCACGGAAAATGCAATTAAATTTATTTTTTTACACAAAGTAGTGAAGAGCAGGGATGAAACGGGGTTAAGAAAAAGTAGGATCGTTCGGGTTTTAAACATTTCTTCGGGCTGAGTTTCTGATCGAGAAAATGTGTGGGTGTATCGGGTAACCCGTCCCATGCCTGCTGAAGATGCACGAATTAGACCTGAAAGATTTCGCACTTATCATTGGTATTCTCATAAGGGTCAGAAAAATAAATCAGTTTTCAATTCGCGTTAAGGGCATGCGGAAAATGCAGTTAAGGGAAGAAGCTTTCCAATCTTTCAGAATTTATCTAATTCAAAATTAATAAAACCCCAAAATGTTAAAAATTCTCTCTATGTAATAGTAACACTTGAAATTCCACTACTACTCATTGATGATGAGGAAGACGCGCGAGTTAGTGGCCTTGTCCTCTCAGCTAATCCTGGATCAGATTCTTCCTTTTCTTCCAACAATTTTCGCTCCAAGATGATATGACCTTTAAAAATAAGGAAAGAATTTTAGAAGAAAATAAGGTGTAATAATTACGTTTATTGGTCCTAGTTTTCCTTCTTTCAAGTTGCATAATGGTTAGAAAGGGGATCAATAATATATATGGTCAGAAGTAGAGATCGAGCAGTGTCTGGACCAAGGCCTGGGTTTTTCCTAGATTACAGGCCCAGGTCAATGAATCAAACCCAGAACTTAGGAACAGGCCCAGGCTTTTCAAAAGTCTCGTTCTCTAGTCAGAAGGAACCAGACGGGCATAATGGGCAGATCCTGAAGAGTATAAAGGTCTAAAGGAACCTTCAAGAAGAACAAGTGAATCAAAGAAAGAGCCAATAAACCCAACTATTACCAAAATTAAAAACCTTCTTTATAACTCTGTTGTGGCTCATGAGCAAATTCGTACATCCATCCAAGTTTATGGTTGCAATTTTTACAGAAGACGTCACGTACAATATGTTGCCCAGTAAGCATAAAGCGGGCCTCAGCCTGTTGGGGTTTTTTAATTAAAAATTTAGAAAAATCAATTACCTTTGACGTAGTAATGTTTACAACCGTTCTGAATAAATAAGCCTGCCCAGTAGATCCTTAAAAAAGTAAAAATCTGTACTTTGTCGTAATACCAATCCCCAGATATGCCGAAATACCAAACCCCTTCCCAGCGACTCCAGCTTGGTATTTTGGCAACTTTTGAGGGGCGGGATTAAATCCGCTCCCGGTTAAAACTTCAAAAATTAAAAAAAACCTCTAAATGTATGAGAAACTATCTCCTTTTTGTTTGAAAGATAAGTCTTGCAACGGCAACACATGTAAAATTTTCTGCCTCCCATATGTTCTAGAAATGGACGTCCCATATTTTTTCTTGATAAGAGTTGAGTAAGAGCAGGTTAATAAAAAATGGAAAATTTTTAAAAAAATTTTGAAATTCAGATAAAAAATATTTTCATGGCAAATGACCAGGAAAGGAGAAAAAAAAATTTTTGAAAAAAATTTTAACAACTCAAAAATTTATTTTCTTACGAATAAAAATATATTTTTAAATTAAAGATATTATACTCTTCTAACAATATTCACATTTCCTTCTTTTCCTCCTCACTTTTTAATTCTTCTTCTTTAGGTGCTGAAGGTTCTGGATGTGTCGGCACTTTTATAGGACATGTTGGATAGAGAATTGAATCAAACCAAATCTTCCACCGTTCTGGAACAAACCGCAAAATGAATGGCTGCACAAATTTGAGGTAAATTGCAAGAAGGAAAGGCAGAAAGATGCACGGGACGCAAACCATTTGACAATTTAAAAAATCTGGTAAAAAAATTTTTTTAATTTTTAAAATTTTTTGGGAAAATTTTTAGTCAAAAAATTTTTCAAATTAAAAAAATATAAAAGGCATCAAGCCAAGTCAATCATAAATTTAAAAAAAAATTTTTTAACAAATTAAAATTTATTTTTAAAAAATTAAGAAGTGGTTTAAGTAATAGCAACAAGTAAACTCTAAGACAGCCTTTTAGGCTTAACAACAATATGAACAAAATTGTCGGGATAAGACATATTCCTGGCTATCCATCCACTAAAAATTGAACTTTTTAAAGGTAAATAAACCAAAAAACAAACACTGAAGAGTCAAGCGGAAGGTCAATTCCATGCGAAATAACTTCAAATTTTTGATCAACAAATGGACAATGCTCTGGAAAGGCTTTTTCTAGAACCTCAATTAATGTACTAGACGAAGAGTTGTTTGTCGAATCATCTTTTTTAATTAGAGGAAAACAAGTTTGGCGAAAAGGAAATGAAGGCTTAAAAAGAAAGGTAAAATTTTTTTATTAATATCAGTGCCCTGCAAAATAATTTTCTGGTACACAATCGGTATTGTGTGCCTGATCCAGCCTGATTTTTTCGAGACAGGATCACAGACCGGATTAATCCAGATTAATCCATACTGGCCTCTTTCAGGCATAAACAGAAAAATTATCAGATCCGGCTGTATTTCCGGATCGAACTATCCAGAAAAATCCGTCAGGATCCGTTTCGAAATGATTACAAAATCCAATTTCTGGATCCGAAAAAATATTTTTTCGGACACTGAATAATACTTAAAAAGCTTACAAAATAAAATCTGAAAGGAACATTAGCCATTTGAACATCTACAGGATCCGATTTACTTCCCATTAATTTTTTATTTATTGACCAAAATTCATCAAATTTATCTAGAAAAATCAAAAAAAAATTTAAACATATAAGAATTAAAAAAACCATTTTTAATGCTGTCAAAAAGACGGACGTGTTCTTCTTTTGTCATTGTAGACACGATATTTCGTTTGTGTTTAATTTGACTGGCCTCTTTAAGAGATTGTATAAACATAAATTTTAGAGAATCTTTAGATAAACATCGAACAAGTTCGTCTGGAAAATCCTGTAAAATTTTTTAACATTGAAAATAGGGCCTTGTCAAAAAACCAGTGCTTGGAGACTCGTACTTGATACAAATAAGAATACGAAACCAAAAACATTGGGAGGTACAGGTCAGGTATTTCAAGAGGTAGAAAACGGAGGGTTCGGTTCGTGTATTTATCGGTCGTTTTTTCTGAATATTTGGACTTTTTTCGGATATCCTATCAGTCAAGTTTAATGAAAATGTACTTAATCAGCGGTTAAAAATGTTCGCTTATGCTGTACTCGCATCTTCCATATTTTCCCGTGCTCTTATTTAGTATCAAGTACTGCTAAAAACTCCTAAAAAATTAACCTTTAATCGAACAGTAACAACCCACGGAAGATTTTGGTCGTTTCCTCTATACATATCATAAAGTACTCCAATAGGATAATGCCTAACTGATTTAAAGAAAATTTATTTTAAAAATTAAATTAAAAAATAAACCATCTAATCATTTCTTCACCATTATTAAGTAACCAAACATTGGAAAGATCAATTTCTGTCAACGCATTTCCTGTCAGAGTATGAAGAATTTCTTCCAAATAAAATGGAAAATAGCTTATACGTGGCAGCATTATCTTTAAAAAAATTTTTTATGAAAATTGGAAACGGGTTTCGGGTTCATAACTATAGCCTAAACGGGTCCGGCTGGATTTTTCTAGAGTAATCCGGACCAGAAGAAATCCCAAATTCTTTTCGGAATCCGGAAAAATCCGTCCAGATTCGGTCCGTCACTGGCCTGTTAATTAAGACTTACAAAAGTTGATTGTTGAGCTCGTAAAATAGGTTGTGATGAGTCCAAATTAAATTCTACAGGGATTCTGCTTTCCCAAATTGTCCTTCTAATTTCATAATCATCCTCAGTTGAATTCATACTAACTTAATTTATTTCACTAAAAATTTAAAAATTCAAATTTTATTCAAAGCTTTGGGCGTTAATCAAAAAAATTTTTGCATAATCCGTCCCACTTTTAAGTCAGCTGAGAAATAAAAATCATAAAAATGTTCAGTTCTCATATTATGCCACACACATATTTTGCCAATCAAGCTAAAAATCCACATTTTGCCAATAAGGCTGCGTTGACAAAACGAAAGTTTTTAGCCTTATTGGCAAAATATGTAAATATGTCATTGGCAGAATATGTAGTCATAAAAATAAAAATCCTATAAAAGTTCTGGTTAGAGATAATGGCATGTCAGTCAGACTAAAAAAGAATAAGTAAATTAGAGAAAAAGAGTTATAAACACTTTGCCAAATAAATAAATATTTAATTAAAATTCAAAATTAAAATTTCGTTTCCTTAAATTCCGTTTTCCTTATTTAGACGCGCTAATTCACTTTCCACTCCGGAAACGGAAACTTTCCGGAAAAATCTGTCCGGTTTAATTCCGGCGCTCGAACAAAACATTTGCTTTTGAGAGACAATATTAATAAATAAAATTGAGGGGTTATCCTTTATTATTTTTTAATTTAAAGGCTTGCGTAGGTTGAAGTATCCCAAATCTTTTTAAAAGGTCGAAAGTTTTCTCTTTCTTTTTTAATCCTTTTTATAATAAAATTGTTTTTTTTGTCCCTTTCAAGTGTCCAAAATTGAATTTTACTTTTATTTTATTTTTCCTTTACTAAACCTTTTTCTCTTTAAGGTTGATGCTTTTACTAAAAAATAAATGCACAGTTCATCTTCAACAAATTCCAACAAAACTTACCGGAGAGAATGGCCAACACATTCATCCTCAACCCTTCGGTCAAACACCTCGACTTCTTTATTTTTTTACTACAATGGAGGACAAAGGAGAAGGTCTAGGCCGTTTACTTATGGTTTTGGTGTTGGCGGGGGAAGAAAACGCAAAGGATTGGAAAAGTAAATTTTATTTATTTTTTAAAGATTAAAGTATTGGTTTTCTTAAAACCCACTGAAAATCCGATTTATATTTAATTTTTTGTGGGAAAGGAAAAAAATCCTCGGGAAATGCCAAAAATGCCCTTTTTTGTCTCAATTGCCAAAAAATTTTTTTATATTTTTAACTCCCCAGGATTTCCAAAAAAATTTTTTTTAATTTTTCTAATCCCAAACATTACTAACAATAAAAATATTATATTTTTTTACCCAGAAAAAGAAATTTTTTCTACCCTAAAAATAAAAAAAATTTTTTTTGATTTTTTACCTCCAAAAATTTCAGAAAAATTTTTTAAGTTCTATTTTCCTTAAAAACCAATAATAAAATAAATGTCTTCCTGTTGCCCTTCTTTTTCCAGTTGGATCCGTTGCTTGACTGTTTTTGCCTATTTTATACTTGTTTCTTCGCCTGCTTTTTTGTTCAGTTTTTATTATACACAAATTTGGGATCCTACTTATATTAATGAGGTTAATTTTTGAATTTTTTAAACTCAAATTTGAATTTTTATAGAAAATTTATACTCGCTTCGATAATGGAACTTTGGTACTTAAACAAGGAATAATTGGAACTTTTGGATGGACTGGACAGAGGAATGGGTCTAATGTTCGGAAAGGTATATCTTGGTCATTTTAAATTATTTTGTGGGTAAACCTGAATTATTGAGGATTGAATTTAAGAGAAGTAACTAGGGGAAGTCACCTCCTTCTCCTCTACCAAACCCAAAAAAATGAAAAAATATGAGGTGTAACATCTTCCACTGACCCAAGGGAGAATGAGAGATTTCCTTTTCCTCCTCCCTCTGTTTAACCCAAGAGATTGAAAAACTCTTGGCGTTGTTGAAAAATAAATTCCTAAAGGTTGCTTGTATTCTCGTAAAAATTAATATTTGCTCTAAATCGGGTCTATAAATTTCCAAGATTTCTTGGGTTAAACCCTCTCGAAATATTCTAAATTTATTTATTTTATTTTATCAATTTTAGGCGGAAGTTGACACTTCTTCGAATTGATTTTAAGAATCATTGTCAGAGAAGCTTGATGAATATTTTGATGGACCTTTTCTTGATGATCTCTTTTCTTGAAATTTTTTGATCAACTTCTTTTTCCAAGTTATTTTTTAATTTTTTTTCTTATTTTTATTTGTTCGTGGAACGTAAAAATAATTTTATTTTTATTTTATTTTTTTATTTAAAACAAAGGGGAAAGGAAAAAAATTGCAAAAAAAAATTTATTTTCAGGGTCATTAAGCATTCCTTCTTTCGCTTAATTTCTTTCATTTTCTCCAATTAATTTTAGCCTTTGCCCGATCAATCACTTTTGTGCGCACAAGTTTTGCGAACATTATAACTTTAATTCTCCAAAAACACGTAACCTAACAAACAAAAATTTTTCTTTTTTCCTTTTTTTAAATTTATTTTTGTTTATTTTCTGTATAAAACGGTTGGGGAATTTATTTTGAATTTTTTCTAAAAAGATTTTTTTATTTGTTTTAATAAACAAAAAAATATTTTTTAAATGAATTTTCTTCAAAATTTTTTTCTTTCACTTATTGTGTTGATTTTGCCTCTACTTGTCGTCTGCCGTGTTGAAGATCGTAAGTTATCCTAACCTTAATTTTTGAAAAGAAAAATTTTTTTATTTTAAGGTTATGATTTGAGTTTGTTGCCTTGGGATTTGCGTCCAGGTTTTTAAAAATTTCAAGAAAATTTTTGCAATTTAAAAAAAAATTTTCCAGTTTTTCAAAAATTTTTTGAAAAAAATTTCAAAAATTTTCAAAATTTTTTTAAATTTCAAAAAGTTTCCTTTCCATTTTTAAGTCCAACAATTCATCGGTCTGTGGCAAAAGGAGCGCCACACGGGATTTTTCAAGGACTTGCCCCCTCCAGATTTAATCGACTTTGCCATCAATCCAATACCTAAATTTGGTGCAAGAACCATCAACTTCACGTATTTTTAAAAAATGTTTTCACTTATTTTTTATTTTTTTAGTCATACTTATTTTGATGCTGAAAAGAAGGTAATACGGTCGGACTATGGCTTTATGCCCGTCAAAAATGCAACTCAAAGAGATCCAAGAGTGCATGTTGCCTATTTGACTACGAGCAGTGAAGGTTAATTTTAGGAGATTTTTTAAATGGGTGTGGTTCTCTCAATCGGGTGGTACACTTTCAAAGGCAAAGAAGAAGTTGTGGGAACTTGCACTTAAACCTGTGTGGCTCTAGCAGCTATAGACGTTCCTCTTGGTAGGATTTTCATCTTATAACTGACGGTCCTCATACCGGACAACTTTCCTCCTGACCGGACCTTCTTCCTGCCTGGATTCTTTTCCTGTCAGACGCTCTTCCAATAAACAAAAAATATTTTATTCCTTAAGGTTGGTCAATGATGGAACAAGGCTTCTTCAAAGACGGCAAATTAATATTCCACTTGAAACAATTTTTGAGACGCACCTTTGGTGTTGGAACAAAAGGCTCGGAGTTGGATATACGCGAGGTACTTTAAAAATTAAAAAGCCATAAGATTCTAAAAAATTTCGAAAAATTAAAGTTTGAACGTCAATTTGAATTGCATGATTTCCACTCCATGGAATTAAAAATAAGGGCTGAAACATCAGTACAAACAGAATCTTATGTTGCTTATTATAGAAAAATTCTTTTTTAAATAATAAAAATTTGGGGAAGGGAAAATTTTAAAAAAATTTTGAAATTTTTTTAAAATTTTTAAAAAATTTTTTAACCTTTATTTTTCTTCAAAATTTGCAAAATTTTATATGAAAAATTACTGAAAAAATTTTAAGAAACATTTTTTTGTTTATTTACAAAGAAACACATTGAAAGGGCAGTAATTACGTATTTCTCTCTTTTCTTCTCATTTTCTTTTCTTTTTCATCCAATCCCTCCAATCCCACCCAATCCATTTAATCCGTTTAAACCGCCAACACCGCCAGGAATAATTCCATTACCTCCTAGAGGCAACCTGCCTTTAAAAATTTTAAATTTTTAAAATTAAATTTAAAAAAGAATCCACCAATCCCTCGTTGAGCGCCTCCAAGTAATCCTCCTCTACACGCGCCACAGGTCCGTGCACAACGAGTAATCATACAAAGCTGTAATTTGTAAATTAAACTTCATTTTAATATAGACCCCTCGGGGTTGAGGAATTATAATGGTGGTATTTTAAATATGAGGGGTATCGTATAGGCAGTTTCCCACCCTACTTATATCCTTCTTAATCTCTCCAAATCCGTCTTACTGACTCAACTCGAAACCCAAACTTTTTCTGACTCGAAATCCGATCGGAAGCAATCCTGGAAACCCGACTTGATATTTTTTTCAGCCCGTCCCCACTCAGGGGCTAGCCAAATTTTAAAAACGTTTATTAATTGGAGTATAGTATTGAATTTAATTTGGGGTCCAATATTAATATAAAAATAATTTTTAAATTTCCTTATTAATTTCCTGTCTGTATATAATCCTCGGATATTGTTCGGATATCCGTATATTCGCTCAATTTCTTTCATTTTTTGTTTGTCTAATCTGCCATTATTTTTTAAAATTAATTTTTCTAAATCTCGATTTTTTAATAAAAATCCCTTCTTTTTTTTTCCATTCTCTAAATTCATTTTACCCCATTTTATTATTTAATTACCCTATAAATAGGCACAACACAATAGGCTACATAAGAGAAGCAATTTAAAGCTGTATCAAAGCAAATTCCACCAAAACCGCCCCCAAATCCGCCAAACCCTCCAGGTATTAATCCACCAGGTATTAAGCCTCCAAAACCTCCAATTCCAGGTGCAAAGCCAAATCCATTCCCTCCAAACCCTCCAAACCCTCCAAATCCATATATGGAAATTAGGTCTTGTGGATAAATAATAGGCCCAAGACGAGCAGCTAAAGGACGTTGATCACGACAGCAAGAACCTCTTAAACACTGCAAACGACTGAGCAAACAAAATTTATTTTTTAAAATTTTTTTGACGCTTACTGACATGAAAGGGCGGCAATGAAGGTTGGCAAGGAGTTCCAAAGCCGCAGACTAAGAGAAAAAAATCAAAATTGATAAAAATAGAAGGACCAGGGGTCTGATAACCCTGGAGATCGATCTGGATCCAGAACAAGGATGGGCTGTCTTTCACCTTTAGCATTCTAATACCCCTAGAAAATTTTTTAAAAATTTTTTAAATATACTTACGTCCACCCCAAACAAATCCAATAGGACAAACAGCCGATTGAGTGTTTACTAATCGGGGGAAATTAAGAAAAATAATTAAAATAAGCGGTTTAAGGGTTATTAATTTGGTGGTCATCTTGGGGAATGTTTTTAATTTTTTAAATTTTTGACTTGGAATTTTTTTATTTTTTTAAACGATTTTTTTAAATTAATTTGTCATTTAAAATTCATTAAAATGAAGCGAGAAAATTATTTTTTATTTTTTTTTTCTAATGAAGCTGTCAATTTTGCCCTTTCCTCTCCCTTTATTCACACTGTTTGAGGCTTTGTAAATATTATTTTTAGTCAATTTTCATTTTTAAATGCTTCTACTGCTTTTTCTCTATTTAAAAATACCTTCCCTTTCTCTCACTTTCCTTTATTAAACACCCAAAAAATTATTTTTCAAATTTCCGTTTTATTGTTTAAAATTTTTTTTTATTTTCCAAAATTATTGATTTTTGTTTTAAACACAATTTTTGATAGTTCATCTGGATTTTTGTTAGAAATTGGGAGGGAAATTTTGAGAAAAAAAATTTTTGGATAATTAAAAGATAAGGGAAGATAACTAGGTTCAGGCTCTTGCCTTGTCCACTATACACCTTAAAAAATCGTCCGCTATACAAAGTTGTCTCCCTTTACGGTTACTCTTATAAAATCGAACCTCACTTTTGTGTGTACTCGGTGCTTATAAATCGTGCTATAAAGAGGTGAACTACACAATAAAGTGGGATTTCTTCAACTTTGTTCCAACAGATCACCGGAGAGAAAAGAAATACTTGAGCGTTGATATTTTGGAGTAACGTAAACGTGTCAAAAAAATTTTTTTAAAATTAACCCAGCTCTAAAAATAAATTTATAGGAACCTAAAAAGCGGTTTATTTCTAAGTATATTAAATCACGTATTTTTTGGAAAACGCAAAATTTTCAAGAATTTTTTGAAAATTTTTTTAAATTTTTTAGCTTGATATTTAACTCTATTTTTAATTTTTTTTTCCAATTTTAGGCTATTATTTTATTTTTGTATTTTATTATATTTTTTTAATTCATTTTTAAATTTATTTTTTCTGTTCTTTATTTAGAAATTTTAATATATTTTACTTGGTATTTTAAATTTTTTAAACCATTTTTAAATCATTTTTTATTTTAAATTGTATTTAATTTTATTTTTTACGTCATTTAATGAGTGTATTAATTTTCGTAAATTTTTTGAAAAAAATTTTTTTAAGAAAGTTGCTACTAAAACTGTCACGATTTTTAATTTTTTTAAATTTTTTGAATTTTGCCAGACATTTTTACTTTTTTTTTTAAATTTTTATTTGTAGTAGTCTTACTCATTTAAAGTAATTAAAAATTTTTTTTATTTCCTCTATTTTCTGCAAATTTTTTTCTGATATTTTTTGTACTTTTTTTCTGCAATTAACTCCTTTCTAAAAAAAATTTTCTTTCTACCCTAAATTTTTTAGTCATTTTATAATTTATTTTTCTTCTTTAAAGTCTCCCTTTTCTGTAAAATACTTCCTTTTTTGGGGATATTTAGAGGGTGACTTTCCTCTCCTTTTCTTTGTGGTTTTAATGACAGTTTGTTTGATATATCTTCTTTCTTCTCTTTCATCTGTCTCTTTCTTCCGGTTGCGTGTTGGGGTGATTATTAGCTTTATAAACTAGAGGATTTTTGGTGGAGATTTAAAGGGATAATTCCAAAAGATCGAAACGATCGTTGGCGGGTCTATCGTTGTCATTGACTCTTTCTCTTTCTTTGTCGTCTACTTCGAATAAAAAAATAACCGTCCGGCCCTCCGGCAATATTTTAGTTGGGACATTTCTTCCGGATATCCGAACCCTTCCAATACCCTTTACTCCAAAATGAGAGATAATTTTTTTATATTTTATTAGTAAATTGAAAAAAAGGGTGTAATTGTTGTGTGTGGTCTTTTGGGGGATATTAAAAATAGTAAAAATAATTGTGTGGTTGCTTTTGGGTTAAAAAAAATATTAATTAATTACTTAGTTAATTAGAGAGTAAAGTGGTTGGTTGGTTGGTCTGTATATCCGGAGTTAATGTTAATAAATAAATCTTTTTTTATAAATAAATTCTACTATAAATCCAATCCCTTTTTTATTTTTTTTTGAGTAAATAATATATTAAATTAACGCCTTTATTTTTCAAAAAAGGGGGGAAAGTGTGAAAAACTGAGAAAATATACGTAATTTCATTTAAAAAATGCCAATATTACTGGCCAAGTCTCCTTGCGTGAATAATAAAAAATAGAAAGAAAAGCTGTCAAAGCTTTCAATCAATGTTGTTTCTTACTTAAAAGGTGGACTAGCTAGTAGCTATTAAAGCAGGGGGTGTGCCGTTTCGTCTTTCGCCGAATTTCGTGTTTCGTCTTTTTTGTTTCGTCTTTCGATTTTTAAATTATTTCGTCTTTTGTCCTACGCTTTTTAAAATCTTGGAAAAGGCTAGTGTGTTAGGGATATAGACGTCACATCCCCGAGATTCTCAAGAAAACTTTTTAACAAAGAAAAAAGGTGGCACGTAAAGGTGAATAGACAACAAAAAATTTTTTAAAGGAAAAAATTCCTTCTTTAAAAATCTATTTAAATAAAATTTTACCCTATTAAGGCTAGTAACTCTCGGTCCTTCTTCTCAGTCCTTTTTATTTTTTTTAAAGTTTGCCGACGCTAATAGGCAGTTTCTTTTTCCCTCAGCTTCCCCCTTAGCTTTCATCATTTTCCCATCTCAGCTTCCCCTCCACAGCTTCCCGTTGCCCGTTGCCATCTCAAAAAAAATATTATTTTTTCTCTATTTTTTCTCTATTTTCATTATTTTTCACTCATTTCTGCCCCAAACACAAACACACAAAGTGGCTGCAATTATTTCCTGCAGAAAAGAAAAAAAAAGAAAAATATATCCTCCCTTTAAATAAATATTCTTTTTTTTGCCAGTCAATCCTCCCCTCATTTTGCCAGTCTTGTCTAAAATTTTTTTTCTTTCTCCATATCCAAACAATATCCATTTACTATATAATTTATTTTTTAATGTAAAAAAGTCTTTTTTGGACAACAATTTTTTATTTTTATTTTTTTCAAGTCTGGGACCAAATGTCATCCTTTGTAATTAAAATTTTTTTTAAGTTTTTTAAAATTTTAAAATTTTTTTTTTATAAAATCTCTTTGAATGTTGGTACTATGAAAAATTATTTTTAGTGTAGTTTTTGGAGAATTTTTATTTTTATATTTTATATTTTAAAGGCTGGGATCAATTGTCACCTTCCAAATTTTTTTAATTTTTAGTATTTTTTTAATTTCTAAAATATGCCTGTACCATTCAAAATTATTTTTAATTTATTTTTTAATTTTAGACTTTTTTAAAATTATTCTAAATTAATTTTAAAGTTTGGGATCAATTGTCATCCTTTTAAATTTTTTTTTAATTTTTTCATTTTCTAAAATTTCCCAAAAAATGCCCGTCTTCAAAAAACCATCAACTAAAAAAGAATCTGAAACAACAGCAGTGGACGATTTTGGAGCAAATCAATCAGTCAAAGTATTGGATTCTCGTCTTTGTATGGATTGTTATAGGTTTGGATTTTTTAAAAATTAATTTTAATTTTTTGGGGTGAGGGAGGGAAAAACCACCGTCCTACCAAAATACCGTTCAGACATTATACAGTAATAAATTCGACTTCGACCTAGGGGAAACGAGCAGTGGATAATCCTGCAGATAATAAATCTGTCATTCCTACCCTAACAAATAGGCTATCTAACCTAATGACACGCAAACTTTTTACTTTTTGTGTGGAGGGTTAAAAGAGATATCGAGTGATTTGGGAGATTAGGGGGATATAGAGGGATTTGGCGGGATTTTAAGAGGTTATCGCGGGATTTGGAAGATTAAGGGTACATCGGTGGATTTGCCGGATTCTGAGGGATTCGGCGGAATATCAGGGGATTTTGAGACATATCAGGGGATTTAGGGACGGTGCTTTTTACTCTAATCTGTAGACGCTATATATTTTTATTTTTTCAGAGATTTCTATACAGTAAAGAATTATTGGAAAACAGTAGTAAGACGGTGGAAAGAAGCTTGTGGCCTTTTCATGCATAGGTAAATATTTATTTAAGAAAAAATAATAATTAAATACCTCTCTCTCTCAACCTAACATTTAAAGAAAATAAGGGGAAAAAGGCACACTTTTCTATAAATATTATTTTTACATAAAGCTCTGCTTGTTGTCTCAAAATTGTAGTTAAGCGGCGCGCATATTAAATAAAATAAAAAAATTTTTTCCGCTCTCTATTTTGCCTTCATTTCCCTCAAATTTCCCTCAAATTTTGCCTTCAATTCCCTTCAATTTTTTACCTTTCATTTAACTGTTGAGGGAGCAGTTACCCCGCCGACATTCTTCTTGAGAGGCTGACAATACTCTTGAGAAGAGGGAAGGGGTTCAATTTTCATAAACAATTTCTTTCATATTTCTGTTATTTTTTTTTATTTTTTTAATTGTCTTTTTACGTCAATTAATATCTTAAAATGGATGTTGAGAAAATCTTTAAAAAAATTTTTTGACCTAATACGTTTTTATTGGGTTTTGCATTAAAAAAGCTGTCGGGAAAATACTCAAAAATCTAAAAAATTCCCAAAAAAATTTTTTTGTACTAGAAGTTTTCTGTATTTCTTTCTTTCATAAAGGACGAAGTATCTTTACTCGTCAAAAACAAAATTTCCCAAAAAAAATTTTTTTTCGGGAGCTGATTTTTAAAAAATTCAAGAGGGGGAGTATTTTTAGATTTTTTGGCTTCATTTTTGCTTAAATTTAAATTTGACTTTGAATCAAATTTTTTTATTTTAGTTCTATAAATTATTTAAAACATTAAAGACCTTTAGTCTAAATTTAATATGACTAGATTTCCGTCTCGACTTCGTTAAAAAAAATTTTCTTTATAATTTAAATACCCAATTAATTCTTTTTTTTTGAAAGTTAATCCATCAATTCTAATTATTTAATTAATTTTAATATTATTTTACTAGAGAAAATTATTTTTTTAAATAATTGGACATAAAGCTCTTTTATTTTATTTAATTTTCACTTTTCTACACATTCACCTTTTTTTTGCCTTCTATTATCTTCTACAAAAATTATTTTCCCTAATTAAAAAAATTTTTTTCTAATTGAAAAAAATTCTTCCGGCCTAGAAAAAATTTTCAACCCCTAAAAAATAATTTTAAAAAATTTCTTCCCCCTACAAAAATTTTTTGACCCCTAAAAAATTTTTTCCACCGCCTAAAAAATGGGAAGTGGGGCAAGTAAAAATAATACAAGCACAACAATAGCTAATAATAATAATCAACAATTAAATAATGGGACAACAAGCAGTGAAAAAGAATCCGTAAAAGTAGATTCAAGATTGCCTTTTAATGAATTTAGAGAATTATTTACATTAAAAAATTATTGGAAAACAATTAGAAGAAATGATAGTTTATGTGCTAAAAATATGTTATACAAGTAGGGAAAAGGGGGTTTTTTGAAAGAAAAAAAATTTTTTTGGAGGGAAAATATTTTTTTGAAAGAAAAGGGAATAAGGAAGTAAATTTTAGTGGGAATAGTAGCAAGGCGTTTGAAATAAATTAAATTTAGGAAAATTTTTTTAGAAAACAAAAGAATTGTTTTGTTGTTATTAAATTAAGAAATAAGGAAGGGACTTTATTTAGTGTTAAAAAAGACTTGATTTATCGAAGAAAATTTGGTTCTGCTTAACATTTTTCAGTTCAGAATTTTCAAAATTTATATCTTCCTCCGATTCTTCAATCAAAAAAGTCAAAAATTTTCAGTCAAACGTTCGGTCAAAAAAATTCTGGAACCTTCAAGTTTGGAGAGTCTAAGCTTAAATAAGAGCGCCCCTGAGGATCGATCGAAATCTAGATACCTCAAAAAAATTGTCAGTCCCAATAACCTCGATTTTTGAAAGAGTTTTGAATGGGTTGTTGTCTTGGTCGATGATTTTCTACTAGAAACTTGTTATAGAAAACCTCCCTCAAAGACTCAAAAAAAATTTTTTTTTCAATTTAAAATTTAGTATATTTTTTTCCAGATATTTAAAAATGTGTCCAGAAGCAAAATCAAAATACCCAAAATTGGCATCATTGGATATCACCTCTCCAGAATGTTCAGACCCGGCATTTGAAGGAATGGCTTCAAACTATTTAAAAGTTTTTGATGAAGTTATAACTTCAGTAGAACAAACGCCTGCAGATGCTTCTAGTGCTTGTCAAAGGCTTAATTCTGTTGGAAAAATGCATAGAAATAAGGTTTTGAAATTTTTTGGGGTTTAAAAAATTTGGAAATTTTTTGAAATTTTTGAGAATTTCGAAAAACATTCTGGGGGGTTTTAAAATTTTTTTTGAAATTTTCTGAAATTCTTTGAAGATTTTGAAGCCAGAAAAAAATTTTTTTAAGCCAGAAAAATTTTTTGGCTTCAAAAATTTTTTCGAAATTTTTGAAAATTTTTTAAAGATAATTTAATTAAATAATTTATAGGTGAATGGAATGAAGTTTGATGATTTTCAACAATTGGAAGCGCCTTTTTTGTAAGACAAATTACTTTTTAAATTTTGAATAAAAAATAAATTTTTAAGGTTTATGATAAGTGAAGTACTTCAGGATAGGTATAAAATTTTTTTTTTAATTTTTTTAGAATTATTTTGGTGATTTTTGAAGGGGTTTTTCGCTAAAAAGTCCAAATTCTTCATAGAAAAAAATTAAAAAATTTTTTCGGAATTTTTCTGGGAATTTTTAAAAAATTTTTTGGTCATTTTTGAGTGGTTTTCTGTCACTAGAAATTTTTTAAGAATTTTTAAAGAATTGTAAAAATTTCCAAAAAAATTTTTCTGGCAATTTTCGATGAGTTTTTCGCTAAAAATGGGCGAATTCTCCTTGGAAAAATTTCTTAATTTTTTAAAAATTTGTAAAAAAATTTTCAAAAATTTTAAAGATATAACGAGAAAGCAGAAATGTTGTTCAAAAAATTCTTTCAATTTTGCCTTCGTTTTATTCTAGAAGGTTTCAATTCATGAAGAAAAACTCACTCCAAAGCAAATATTTTATCTCTCAAAAATTTCTCTGTTTTTTTCCTATTAAATTTTTTTGTACAAAATATTTTTTATGTCTGTACTTATGTATAAATAATTTTGAAAATTTCAAAAAAAATTTTTTTTTGAAAATTTTTCGAAAAAAAAGGTTGAAAGTTCTTAAAGAATCACCTTATAATCTCTCCCATAATCTGTTTATTTTCAAATATTTAATTTGCGCAAAAATTAAATTGATGTGCAATAGTTTCGAAACGAAAATTAGTTTTATGTGTAGTTAGAGAAAGAGAGAAATAGTGATATATAAAGTAAAATGTGTATAAAGACGTGTCCGGACAAAATATCGAATCGTTAAAATATGGAATAGGCTAAAAAAGGGTTAAAATCTCGAATCGGGTAAAAAGGGGTTAAAATCGCGAATAGGCTAAAAAGGGGTTAAAATGTGGAATCGTTAAAATATGGAATGGTTAAAATATCGAATAGGCTAAAAAAAGGTTAAAATATGGAATCGTCAAAATATCGAATTGATAAAATGTCGACACGGCAAAAAACGATCAAAATGTCGAATTTTTTAAAAATGGCGCCAAAACTAGAATCCGGGCGTTACCGTAATACCGACGGTATTTTTCGATATTCCGTGTCGATTGTACGGTACGGTATCCGACCGATAAAATTTAAAAGCTGATCGGTATTTTTCGGTATTTCGTGCCGTATACGGTAAGATCAAACTTTAGGTCTTAACTAAAAACTAATGTACACCACTCTAATTTTTCCATATCAGGATCGCGTTATGTTTTCCGGATCCGTACGATCATGCCGGACCGGATCCGGTCGATTATGCTTGATTTATCCGGTCCGGTTTTACTCGGTAAAATACAATAAACTCTGGCAGAAAAGATTGCGCCGGACTACGACATAAGAGACTTATCAATCAACTTATCATCAATAAGTTGATAAGTTGATATAATCATCTACAATCAACGTATGGCACTCATCTGACCCTTTTTTAAAAGAATTCGACATTTTGACCGATTTTGGCCGTGTCGACATTTTTACCATTCCATATTTTAACGATTCCATATTTTAACCCTTTTTTACCCGATTCGATATTTTAACGTTTCCATATTTTAACGATTCGGTATTTTAACCCCTTTTTAGCCTATTCGCGATTTTAACCATTCCATATTTTAACGATTCCATATTTTGTACCGGAGCCTATAAAGAAAAAGAGAAAAAATGACTTGAGTCTGGAAAGTTCTATTGATTTTTATTCGACATTGACGTCATTTTTTCTTTTGTTTTCCTTGTACCGCTCAAAGGCTTTTAGGATTTGACTAAAAGGGCGCGCGGCAATAACGGCGCAAACCAATAACTTGCTCGGAACTTTCTGGGCTTTAATAATTTTGATACCAATCTCTTTAGACTGATAAGAGGATTCGTTTAATACTTAATTTGGTAAGATTCGGAAATCCTGAAGCAAGTTATTGCTCTGCGCCGTTATCGCCTCGCGCCCTTTTGGGTCTTTTTTGGGCTGTCCCTGTTTTCCTTCTTTTTGTCCCTTTATTTTTCTTCATTTTTCTACTTTTAGAAATGTCTAATGTTTATTTTGAAGATCTTTTTACTGTCAAAAACGTCGATCCGGATGGAAAGAAGTTTGACCGTGTTAGCAGATTGTTCTGTGACTCCGAATCGTTTAAAATGGTTTCTTTTTAAATTTTATTATGATTTACTAGTTTTTGCTTGTAGGATCTGATTTTGGATGTCAACACTCAACTATACCAGCTTGGTATCAACGACAAGTTTCGTCTTATGCTGTGCTCGTCAATGCGCGATGATGGTCTTACAGATGAAGGAGAATATGATAAAACGGTGAGAATTGAATAACGGTCCTTTTCCTGGGGAAAATTAGCTTTGAAGAACAAAAATCGGCCTATCCGCAGGTCTTGCTGTTAATCAGTTATCCACAGGTCTTCAGCTATCCTCAGGTGCAGTTGAAGTGGTCCTCAAAGTTGTGACCACTCTGAAGTGGTCATATTTCATGTGTAGTCATTATTCGCTCCAAACATTGCTTGGGTTCGAGACCGGCGAGACTTGGGTTCGAGACCCTCATTATAAACTAAAAAGTGCCAACAAGCTAATGGGCCCATGATGGAAAGGGAAAATGTTGGTGGAGGTGTGCAACACATCACCAACAACAGCTTCCTAACCCGTTAAATAGTAACGTTGCTCATAAAATCGTAATCAGTTATCCTCAGGGTTGCAGAACACTTGCAAAAGTTTTTGTTTTCAAAGGGGTTGCTGTGCTTGATGGCTCTATTCATATTTTTCTTAATAGTCCTTGTTCAATGAATTTATATTTAGGTCTGGGGTCTTCGATTTAATCTACCCTCATTCCCCTTCATTATCTTATCTTAATACTTTTCTTATTTTAAGATTGAAAACGTCCCTCGTGTTCGTATGTTTGAATATGTAATGTATGGAAAAATCTACAGAATTGAGGGGGATGAATACAACACAGAAACTAGCCGTCTAGCTGCTTATGTTTCGTTTGGAGGACTTTTAATGAGAATTCAAGGAGAGGCAAACAATTTAAATGGATTTGAAGCAGACAAGAATATTTATTTGTTGATTAAAAAGGTTCCGAATTGAATGAATTTTTGAGTTTTCTAAAATTTTTGTTTTAAATAAATTATTTACTTATTTTCTTTGATGTTGAAAGTTTGGTTTTTACCAATTTTTACTTATTTTGTGAATTACAGATTTTGAGAAATTTTTTGGGAAGAAATGTCTTCTGGATTGCTTAACGAGGCTTATGTAGGTAAAACAGGGGTACTTTTTGGATATACCCTAGCCCTCTTCCATATTTGAGTATCAGCTATTCCTTCACATCGTTTGTTTTCCTCAAGCAATCTAATTAAATGAAATGTAAACTGAGGGTGGGTGTATCCAAAAAGCACCAAAGCAAGAGAGGACAAGTCTTTAAATTCTTGTTTTTTTTAGATTGAGACAATTGAAAAATTACTGAAGGAAATGAACAAAGGAGTTTGTAGCAAAAATTTATTGGAAGAATGTCCTGAATTGGGAGAGAAGATTATTGAAAATGAGAAGCTGAAATACAGATTAAATATTTTGAAAAGGGTTTGGTTTTGATTTTTTAGCTTTTTAAATTTAAAATTTAGTCGGCTGAACAAAGCAATGGAGTGGAAGAAAAGAAGGCACCAGAACCTCCTCAAAAAATTGCAAAAGAAGTTACTAAACATTTTGAAGTTGTGGATTATGGAGATTCTATTATTGAGAAGTTGAACAATCTTTTTACGAATGTTATTAAAAAGGTTGGGAAAATTTTTTATTTTTGAGGGGTTGGTAAATGTGTAAAGGTTCATAAAGAATGAAAGGGTTATGGGGATAAAAATTGTTTTCCGTTAAAAGGAGTCGAATCATGCTCATTCTATCGCAGTTAAGTGGGCAATATCCCACTACACCAAAGAGGCAGCTTTTTGCTTTTGCTGCGCATTCTTTTGGCTCAGGAATCTTATAAAAAAATTAATTCCCGCTAAGGGGTTCAAACCTCACTTGTTCACAGCCATCACATCAGCAATTCCCACTACACCAAAAAGGCAATTTTTTCGTATTGTCTCATATTCTGTTTGATTACTAAACGGGGAGGGGAGAGGGCTAGAAATAACGTCTAAAGAATATTTTTATGACGTCTAACGCAAAAAATTTTTTTAGTCTTTCCCAAGCTGGTCTCAACCTGTTAATATTAAAGAAACCTTCAATCCAAAATATGGCGATTATCAGTTTGACTCCTGTTTTCAAATTTCTCGTCATTTAATTACTGAAAAGAAAATGAAAACTTCTCCAAAAGATATTGCAGCAGAAATTATTATTAATTTGGAGATGATTCCTTTGGTTGAAAAGGTTTTTAAATTAATTTTTGAATATCAAAAAAATTATTTTTTCAAGTATGACAACGTTAATGGTTACATAAACATCTTTTTGAACACCAAACATTTGGGAAAGAAAATAGGAGAGGCTTGTGCTAAGGTTCCTTTTGATTTTTTTTAAAGTAAAAAAATTTTTCTTTAGGGTGTTTCAATCCCAAAAATTTCAAAAAGGCATGTGGTTGTTGATTATTCTTCTCCAAATATTGCAAAACAAATGCATGTTGGCCATCTTCGTTCAACTATAATTGGGGATTCTATTGCTCGTTTACTTGAATTTATTGGATTTTCGGTTTGATTTTCTCTTTGTGTGAGAAAAATTTTTTTTGTTTATTTTTTAGATTGTGCGTATTAATCATATAGGTGATTGGGGAACCCAATTTGGAATGCTTATTGCTTATTTACGTGAACGTTTTCCAAATTATTTGACTGAAAAGCCTAAAATTGAAGATCTTCAAACTTTTTATAAGGTTTAATTTTTGACTTTTTTTTTGAGATCTTTTAATTTGAATACATTTTAGGAATCTAAAACAAAATTTGATGAAGATGGAGATTTTAAATCTCGTGCTTATCAATGCGTGGTCAAACTACAAAATGGTGAAAAAGAATTTATTGATGCGTGGAATATGATTTGTGATATTAGTCGAAAAGGTATTTTTTGATTTTGATGCTATTGATGGAGCTAGTTCTTTTTTGGGATGTGTTGAAGAATTCTTCGGTTATCCATTTTAGTGGTTCTATCTCCATCCAGTAGTTCTCAATTTTTCTGAATATTTGTTCAAGAAAAATTGAGAATTAATCTAGTAATCAGATCCCATCTTTTTGTATCAAACGCCGAAGATTGTCATTAAGGAGGGAAAGGTTCGAAAAGGGAGGGATAGGTGTTTGGAACAACCTTTCCTCTTCCATTTCAAGTCTTATTTTAAAATTTCTTTTTCCGACAAACGAAAAGTAGAAAAAAAATATTTTTGTTTGTTTGGGAGAGTTTTTCTACGTTTAGAAATGTTAAACGCTTTTAATTTTTTTAATTTTCATTCCTCTTTTTTCAGAATTTGAGAATATTTACAAACGTTTGGATGTTTTAAATTTGGTAGAAAGAGGAGAATCCTTTTACCAATCAAGAATGTTATCTTTAGTCAAAGAATTAGACAATGAAGGGATTTTAAAAGAAGAAGATGGACGAAAATTAATGTTTATCGATGGATGTAATATTCCTTTAACTGTTGTTAAAAGTGATGGAGGATTTACTTATGATACAAGTGACCTGGCTACAATAAAGCAAAGATTATTTGAAGAAAAGGCTGATTGGATTTTGTATATTGTTGATAGAGGACAGTCTGAACATTTGGAGGTTTTTAAAAATTTTTTGGTGCCTGTGGGTTATCCCAAAACGGTTTGTGGACATGTTTATGTTCGGGCTCATAATGTTCAGATATAAACACTCATATTGTTAGATATCACTTCCTCGAATGCATTGACTGAAAAAATGTAAGTATGGAGCTCTGACCATTATGAGACCATTATGATTATTAGTCCTCATAAATATAATCGCAATGACTTGTTTGGTGTAACCCACAAGTGCCTTGTTTTAATTTAATAATTTTTTTATTTTTAAAGACGATTTATGCAGCTGCTCAAAAATTAAATTGGTATGATCCTAATGAGAAGAGAGTTGAACATGTGCAATTTGGACTTGTTTTGGGAGAAGACAAGTTTGTTTTTTTCTAAATTTGATGTATTTTAATAAATTCCTTTTTAGAAAGAAATTCAAAACTCGATCTGGCGATACAGTCAAACTTTTGGATTTGTTGGATGAAGGTGTTAGAAGAGCTGAGGAGAAATTACGATCGAGGGAAACGGTTGGTTTTATTTTTCTGGATTTAATTGTGGGGACTTTAGCTTGAAACTGGGGACTCTTGGTTGAAAGTAGAATCATTTTGATTAGCGTTCATATAGTTGATGGTGTTGGGGTTGCGATTCCTTTTAGAAATCCAAGTTCGATTAAAAGCAGCAAAGTTTTGAGAAGGAATTGTCAATGGTTGGCTTGGTTATTAAGTTGAAGTTCAATAACAACTAGTGTTATATGAACGGTTGTTTTTCTGGTGATTTTTGCATTTTCACCGTTTTGGCTTTCATGGTTCTTTCCCTTATTAGTTGGACTTGTTTTGGGAGAAGAGTGTTATATGAACGGTTGTTTTGGGGATGAACGGTTGTTTTTCTGGTGATTTTTGCATTTTCACCGTTTTGGCTTTCATGGTTCTTTCCCTTATTAGTGCCCATTGATAAGCAGACTTTATTTGGTTCATATAATTATAAAAAATTTATTTTAAGAATTTTGAATCTGATGAACAATTAATTGAAGCAGCAGAATCTTTAGCTTATGGATGTATTAAATACGCTGATTTGTCTCAATCAAGAATTGCTGATTATGTTTTTTCTTTTGATAGGGTTTCATTTTAATTTCTTTTAAATTAATTATTATTATTTTATAGATGCTTGATGATCGTGGAAATACAGCAGTTTATCTTCTTTATGCTTATACACGTATAAGGTTTGTGAATTAATTGATTTGGGGTAATTTTATATTTGTTTTTTAAAGAGCAATAGCCAGAAATGCCAAAGTTGAACGAACTACAATTAACAATTATTTGGCTCAACTTGAAGATGGTATTCCTTTAGAACATCCAAGAGAAATCCGATTGGCTAAACAAATTCTAAAGTTCTCGGATTGTATATTAAACACAGTTACAACTCTACATATTAGCAAAATTTGTGATTATGTGTATGAATTGGCAACACTTTTTCACGACTTTTATAAAGAATGCTACGTTATTAACAAAACAAATACTGAAGGTTTTTTTTAATTTTCTGAGTTATTTAACTATTTTAAAAAATATTTTTTAGATGGGACAGAGCAAATCAACATTAATTACAATCGACTTGTTTTATGCGAAGTTGTTGCAGATGTTATGCAACAATGCTTCTCAATATTAGGAATTAAACCAATTGATAGGATGTGAAGAAAATATTTTTAAATGATTATTGTTATTGTTTTTTTTTGTGTTAAGGTGAACGAAAGAATGTTTATTCCCCAAAGAATACACTTAAGTTTTTTATGTGTAAAATTCTGCGAGGGATTTCCATTTAAGCGTTATTTCTTCAGAAAGTTAATCCCTCGTTAGATATTTCAATTAGTTTACACTTTGAAATGCCTTGAGTGACTGAACCGACCTCAACCCTTTAACTGTTTAGCGTCTCTTTATTTCCCACACTCTTTCTGCATTTATTGATTTTACTCGGCAGACATTGTTTAGACATGAAAAACATGTACTGGTTAGAGAAAAATAATTAATTTTTCTGACACAGAGTAGTGAAAATGCTTTTCTCTGACCGCTACATGTTTTGTGTGTTGTTACTTCATGTGTTCTCATATCCAATTAAAAACTAGAAATCCATAAATCGGTTTTAAAACCGCTATATCTTTTTACCATTTAAGAATATTTGTTTAAGAATTCAAAAATCTGCGGTGTTTGGCATAATGCAAAATATTAAGATTAAATGACACTTCATCCCAAAAATCAATAATCGATTTTTGATGTTTCATTTGGAGTCCTCTGTTGTTCATCTTTACCAAAGATGTTCTAAACAGAATGCGTGGCTTTTCCTTTTTTGGGGGTTAACCTTTTTAGGGGGGAGGAAAGTATCGAGTTGCGGACAAGACTTGCAATTTTTCAATTTTTGAAAAATGTATCCAATTTTTTCAGTGCTTCAACAGCAGCAGCAACAAACAACTTCAACAGCAGCAGCAGCAACAAACAACTTCAACAGCAGCAGCAACAACAAAAGTCCCAATGTATCGCTTCGGCGGTATATGGGCAAAAGTCCCAATGTATCGCTTCGGCGGTATATGGGCAAAAGTCCCAATGTATCGCTTCGGCGGTATATGGGCAAAAGTCCCAATGTATCGCTTCGGCGGTATATGGGCAAAAGTCCCAATGTATCGCTTCGGCGGTATATGGGCAAAAGTCCCAATGTATCGCTTCGGCGGTATATGGGCAACCCAATGTATCGCTTCGGCGGTATATGGGCAAAAGTCCCAATGTATCGCTTCGGCGGTATATGGGCAAAAGTCCCAATGTATCGCTTCGGCGGTATATGGGCAAAAGTCCCAATGTATCGCTTCGGCGGTATATGGGCAACCCAATGTATCGCTTCGGCGGTATATGGGCAAAAGTCCCAATGTATCGCTTCGGCGGTATATGGGCAAAAGTCCCAATGTATCGCTTCGGCGGTATATGGGCAAAAGTCCCAATGTATCGCTTCGGCGGTATATGGGCAAAAGTTTAAACTCCAATGCTCTCGTCTACATGGTTAGCTTTTTTACTTTATTAAATTTGCAAGTTTTGTCCGCAAGGTTTCTCCCCTAAATAAGTTTATCCTTCCTTAATGTTAAAGCCAATTAAACGGTGGCCAAGTTCTTGTCAAATGAGAAGACGTATAGCGGATGTTTCATTGATTAGTTGCAATGATTTGTTTGTTTTGAATTGTTGATCTTTTGATAGGTTGTTTTTATTTTTAAGAGTTTTTCAATTACTTAATTTTCAGCTTTGACAAAGTATCCAGAAGCCTTGGAAGCTTTTAAGAGGTTATTTTTAATTGTTTACTATGGTTTTAAGATTATTTTTTAGGCAGGTGGATTGTTGCGGAAAGACTCTTTTTGATGAGAATGCTTTGGAAGAATAAGAATCAACAGAAAAATGACTGAAGAGCCGCAATCTTTTGTTAGAATAGCAGCAAATTAGGTTTGAAGATTAATTTATTTGTCTGATTATTTGGTTTCCACAATTTTTCGTTTATCAATTCCTACCCCACCCACCCCCATCCCTGGCTACGGGCTTGGAGTTGTTGAGGGTTTTGGTGGCCTACCAGATTTCACGATTATACAAGGTTCAAAAGAGCTCGTCGAGCTGACTTGAGCGGGGGAAGAAGGGGACGTACAGGGACCGAGTTTTATAGACTCCTGAAAACACGATTGATTTTGGGATGAAAAATTCGAAAATGCAAATAATAGCCACAGGGATCTTTTTATTCTCAAGATCGAACCAAATAAACCTTCCTTTTCTTTTTAAGATTTCCAAGCTTAGGGGTTTGCAAACAGCATAAATTCCAGACATATTTATTTCTTTAACGATTTATTTTTTCAATTTAAAGAACGTATAGTCAAGAGCAAATGGTCAAACATGGACAAGAATTGGCCGCCCACAAAGACAAACACATCATCTGATCATTGAGCAATAAAGAAGCAATGGAATTGCAAAAGAAGGAAGTGATTGGGAAAGGAAACGAAAACAGTTTTTTTTAATTTTTTTTTTGTTGAATTAGATACAGTCGAAATACCAATCAAACCATCGTAATCGACATTTTCTCAAAAATGAAAAGAAAATCGGACTAATTGACAAAATCCTAATTTTGACTGTATTACTTACAATTATTTTGTTTATATAATTTTGTTTGTTTTTAGCCAAATTTTTATTTTGAATAAATAAAAATGAATTTGTTGTTGTTGAATTGCCATTTTTTATTATATTTTATCGAGGACTTTAAATTTAAATCGACTTCTATAAGAATTTAACTGGAATACCTTCATCAAATTCCAAAAAGCCATTTCTCATGTTATCAGACTCTTGTATTCCTTTTGTGTTGAGAACTACTCTTACTCCTTTTTAAAGTAAGGTGGAATGTAGCAAGTAGAGAAAGTAAATGTTTGAGGGAGTTGAGAAGTTGGGATGTAATGTTAAAAATAAATGACATTTTGTCCCAAGAGTTAGAGAAATCCTATAAAACAAATAGTGTAGCCAGAGAAAAAAATAAATATCAAATGTTTAGGTCGGTTCAGTGCTGAATTCAGAAAGTGCGAAGTTACTGTATCTGAAATCTAATTTTAGCAAATTGTTTTGAATTAAAAAAAATCTCTTATGTTTGTTTATTTTTGGTTATCCATCGAACTCTATAAACATATAGTATAGTATATTAAATATTGACGAAAATCAATATATTATTGACGGATATCAAAATAGAATATCCTCCCGTATATAAATTATTCTTTTGTTTATAAAGACAACAGGGAGTGCCCCGAAAATGTCCCAATGAATTAAACCTCCAAAATTGTCTCATCACGAAGATGTCCCACTGTAATTGAATGTTAAAGCCCAAAAATAAACAAACATAAAAATTTTTTTAAATTCAAAACAATTTAAAAAAAATTATATTTCAAATACAGTAACTTCCCACTCTCTGAATTCAGCACTGAACCGGCTTAAACATTTGATATTTATTTTTTTCTCTAGCTACACTATTTGTTTTAAGAATTTCTCTAACTCATGGGATAAGGTGTCATTTATATTTAACATTACATCCCAACTTTACAACTATCTCAAACATTTTCTTTCTCTAGTCGCTACATTCCAACTTGCTTTAAAAAGTAGTAAGAGAGTTCTTTACACTAAAAGGAATACTAGAGTCTGATAATATGAAAAATGGCCTCTTTAATTTAATAAGGGTATTCAAGAAAAGACAATTAAATTCTTCTAGAGGTCGATTCGATAAATGACAATTTATCAACAACAAACTCGAGTTTATTTATTCAAACAAAAATTTGGGCAAAAACCAGAAAAAATATATAAAACACGCAAATTGTAATACAGTCGAAATTAGGATTTTGACAATTAAACAGTAAATTTTCTTTTTTTTTGAGAAAATGCTGAAGATTTTCCAATAGTTTAATTGGTATTTCGACTGTATCTAATTAAACAAAAAAATTTAAAAAAACTATGTTTTCGTTTCCTTTCCCAATCACTTCCTTCTTTTGCAATTCCATTGCTTCTTTATTGCTCAATGATCAGATGTTGTGTTTGTCTTTGTAGGCGGCCAATTCTTGTCCGTGTTTGACCATTTGTTCCTCGTCTATACGTTCTTTAAACTGAAAAAATAAATCGTTAACGAAACAAAAATGTCTGGAATTTATGTTGTTTGCAAACCCCTAAGCTTGGAAATCTTAAAAAGAAAAGGAAGATTTCATCCCAAAATCGATCGTGTTTTCATGGTCTATAAAACTCGGTCCCTGTACGTCCATATGCCTTCTTCCCCCGCTCAAGTCAGCTCGACGAGCTCTTTTGAACCTTGTATAATCGTGAAATCTGGTGGGCCAACAAAACCCTCGATAACTCACAATACCAAAGGGAAGCAACTAGACGGAGATTTAAACATCCATAAGGGATTCCTCAAATTAGCAAGTTCCAAAAAGGGACAAAACTTGAAAAATATAACCAATTATGGAAACCTAATAATCAAATTAATCAATTAATTTGCAAACCTAATTTTCTGAATTCTAACAAGAGATTGCGGCTCTTCAGTCATCTTTTCTGCTGATTCTTGTTCTTCTAAAGCATACTCATCAAATAGATTGCCTTCGCGCAACAATTCACCGGCCTAAAAAATAATCTTGAAACCATAGAAATAATTAAAAAATAACCTCTTAAAAGCTTCCAAGGCTTCTGGATACTTTGTCAAAGCTGAAAATTAAGTAATTAAAAATCCTTTAAACATAAAAACAACCTATCAAAAGATCAACCATTCAAAACAAGCAAATCAAAGCATCTAACCAATGGAACATTTGCTGTACGTCTTCTCGTTTGACAAGAACTTGACCACCATTTAATTGGCTTTAACATTGGGAACGGATAAACTTATTTAAGGGAGAAACTTTGCGGACAAAACTTGCGAATTTAATAAAGTAAAAAAGCTAACCTCCGAAGAGACCACAGCAGCATTTGTGCCCAGCGATCTCCGAAGAGACCACTTGAGCGTTTGTGCCCAGCTATCTCCGAAGAGACAACTTGAGCTGGTGTGCCCAGCGATCTCCGAAGAGACCACTTGAGCGTTTGTGCCCAGCTATCTCCGAAGAGACAACTTGAGCTGGTGTGCCCAGCGATCTCCGAAGAGACCACTTGAGCTGGGGTGCCCAGCGATCTCCGAAGAGACCACTTGAGCTGGGGTGCCCAGCGATCTCCGAAGAGACCACTTGAGCTGGTGTGCCCAGCGATCTCCGAAGAGACCACTTGAGCTGGTGTGCCCAGCGATCTCCGAAGAGACCACTTGAGCTGGTGTGCCCAGCGATCTCCGAAGAGACCACTTGAGCTGGTGTGCCCAGCGATCTCCGAAGAGACCACTTGAGCTGGGGTGCCCAGCGATCTCCGAAGAGACCACTTGAGCTGGTGTGCCCAGCGATCTCCGAAGAGACCACTTGAGCTGGTGTGCCCAGCGATCTCCGAAGAGACCACTTGAGCTGGTGTGCCCAGCGATCTCCGAAGAGACCACTTGAGCTGGTGTGCCCAGCGATCTCCGAAGAGACCACTTGAGCTGGTGTGCCCAGCGATCTCCGAAGAGACCACTTGAGCTGGGGTGCCCAGCGATCTCCGAAGAGACCACTTGAGCTTTTGTGCCCAGCGATCTCCGAAGAGACCACTTGAGCTGGTGTGCCCAGCTATCTCCGAAGAGACAACTTGAGCTTTTGTTGTGTTGCTGTTGAAGTACTGAAAAAAAAATGTTTACATTTTTTTAAAAATTATAAAAAGCAAGTCTTGTCCGCAAGTCATTACAACCCCCCACCCTTCAAAAAGTTAATCCCCAAAAAAAGGAAAAGCCCTGCATTCTGTTGTAGAAATCTTTGCTGGACAACAGAGGAGAATCAATAACCCTGAAAATCAATAATCACGGAATGCCAAAATAATCGCCAACGAGTATTATTTAAAAATTTACTTTATTTCTCTGGAAAACACTATCTCGCGAAGAACTTCAAAATGTAAACTCAAGGCATTTCAAAGTGTAAACTAATTAAAATATCTAAAGAGGGATAAACTTTCAGAATAAATAATGCTTTAAACATTTCTTACGCGGAAATCGTATTGTGCCTAAATTGTGAAGAATTCTCTAAAAGTAGAGAATGGTGGTGTGAAAAACATGTGTAAAAAATGGGACACGTCCAAGTAGGCGCGCGGCCATAACGGCGCAAAAGTCATAACTTGCTGGAAAATTTCTGGCCCTTAACAATTTTGGTACTAAACTCTTTAACTCGATGAGAGGAATAGTTTAATACTAAATTTGACAAGATTCGGAAATCTTGAAGCAAGTTATGGCTTTGCGGAGTTATGGCCGCGCGCCTACTTGGGCTGTACCCTAAAAAACATTTTAAAATATTCACCGTCATTAAACGGATAATAAAAAATTCCCAAACAAAACCAACAAAAATAATAATTAAAACAATTCTTTTATAAAAAAATCCAATCAAAAAAATATAAATTAACCTAACATATCCCTTTTCCTCCCTCTCATTCGAACTTCTTCCAGTCTCAAAAGAACATTTTCAGCATCTTTTCCTCCTTCTTTATAAGCCTGTAAAGCTTTGTTCAATAACAATTCCATTCCAATATGAGCACTTTAAAAGAATTTTTAATCTTTATTTAATTTTAATTAATTTTTAAAAACCTTTTTATTGCTCTTTCCAAAACATACAAATCAACAGCTTTGTCTTCTGGTTTTTGTGAAAATTGTGAAAGGCCAAAATCGATAAAGATTAGGTCGAGGTTGTCATCTTGCTAAATAAAAAATTTTTGTTAGAAAATAATTTTGTATATATTTCCTAAATTAGAAGGAAAAGTTAGTCTTAGAGAACGGAAATTAAAAAAAAAAACTGAAGATTTTGGTTGTGGACCGTGACTAGATTCTTGCCCTTGAGGTAAAAAAGAATCAAGAAACACTGAAAATGCTTAGAGATTGTTGGACTACGAATCCAGGAAAAATCAAGGTTTGGACCCCTAGATCCAAGCCAATCTCTAGTTTAGTCTTCATCTACCCGTCAAAAAAATTTTCTATTGATGGGATTCGAACCCATATCCACAGAAAATAGTCAAACCCAAGACATGGTGTTCGAAAATTAACCTAAATTGATTCATTAAACGGGATAAAAAATTTTTTTTAATAATTTAATAACAAACCTTTTTAACCAAAACATTTGAAGTAGTCAAGTCACCATGAATAAGGCCAGCTGAGTGCATATTTTGAATTATTGAGCCAAGTTTATGTCCAAATTGTGAAGAAATTTTCTTTAAAAATTCAAAGTTTGAATACTTTAAAAAATAAAAAAAACCTCAAATTCTGCCTTGTCTGATTGTCGTTGTAATTTATCCAAAAAAAATTTTCCAGAGGGGGCACTTTAAAAATTAAAAATAATTTATAAAAAATTTAAAAAGAAACCTTTCATTATTTCCGCAAACAATTCTTTCATAAATAATTAAATTTTTGGAAGAATCAATAAAATAAATTGAAGGTACAAGAATACCAATCTATTTAAAAAAAATAAAAATTAATTTAGAAACATTTAAAGTTGAAAAAAGAGTTATTAGAATATTTTCTGAACGAAAGAAAAATGATCTTCATACGTGGGATTCGAACCCTCGACCACTAGACAGAAATACCAGAACCCTAACCGTTACGCCACGGAATTAATTAATGGAAAATGAAATTTTGTGACTATAATTTGAAGTGAATAAAGGGAAATTATCAATTATACATGAAGAACAAGGAAACCCTACAAACAAAATTTAATAAAAATAAAATCCAAAAAAAAAGAAAAAAACAAACCTCTTGACATTTAAGTATTGCTTTTATTTCTGTCTTCATTCTTTCCTTAGTTAATCTCATATCCAATTCAGGATGTCGATACTTCTTTTCAAAACGTTCTTTAATTAATGCTGGCTTGTTTAAATATAAACATGAAAATAATTTAGCTTCTGCTCCTTGATATAAAAGTTGTTTTTGATTGGAATTGTATAAGTCTTTGGAATATTCAATTGATCCATTAATTAATTGTTGGTTTTGTTCGTTATCTAAATTTTAAAAAATGATCGATTTGAAAGAATAGAAAATCAGATTCTCTGAATGTAGAAGACTAAGTCAGTTCGCAAAAAAAATTTGGGGAAAGATGAGGTTACAGAGAAATCAAGAAACGGAGACCAAATTTTCAAAGGATAATACAAACCGAAACAGCGTTTCAGGGGAGTTGACGTGTTCAAGGATTCGTGTAAAGGGTAGCCCCAAAACTTAAATAAAATTAAAAAAAACCTTTATCATCATCACAAGAAGAATCTTCCGCTTCCTCATCATCAATATCACTTGGAGGAAAACAATCATCAGTCAAATTCTTTTTGTTCTCAATTTCCTGATCAATTTTAGCTATCAATTCAGTCTGTTTTTTGATTATATCAGCAGCAGAAGAACACTGAAAAAATTAATTTAAATTTAAAATGTCCTTTAAACTTCAAAGAAACCTCAGAATACAAATTAAAAGCTTCCACATTCAATTCAAAAAAGTTTTTTCCCCACTTGAACGGCCTTAATAAATTGACGGCCGCTTCCTTTTGTCCAATTAAATATAAACCAGCAGCTAATGCTTCAGCACAATTTAATTTACAAGGAGTTCCATAATTGACTGGATTTGATGCTAACAGAAAAGGAAGTAAACGTTGTTCTGAAGCCTATAAATAAAATACCTGATGAAAAAACGGAAATGTGATAAGACTGAAGAAAAATCAGCAGATAAATTCCCAGGAACCTGTGGTGGGACTTTCAGGTAAAAACCGCCCAAGGATTCGTGTAAAGGGCATCCCGAGAGACCCATGAAAGTCAAAAGACCTCCTAAACTTTCAGAAAAAACTTCAAAAAAAAACCTTGGCTCGATGAAAAGCAGTTTTGTCTAATTGATTCCAAGAGCAATCAACCACAGCCAAACCTTTGGACAAAATTGTTTTGGAGTCTGATGGAGATAATGTTGAGGTGGCTGTTGGTGTTAATAAAATTCCAGGAAAGCGTTGTCCAATTTTTTGTTGTCGAATAAATCCAAGTCTGCATAGTTTACGTCCAGAACATCTTTTTGGATCACATTGGCCAAAATCAAACATTGCAAGAATACAAGGCATTTTCTTTGGCTAGAAAAAATAAAATTTTGTAAAAGCTTTGTTAGGTAATTAAAAAAGAAAATTATTTGGGAAAAGTTTAAAAAAATTTTTAAACTTTTTACGCGTTCAAAGGATGAATAAAAAACGATTATCTCACGGTGGGATTCGAACCCACACCCATTCAGTAGTCAAGACAAGAACCTAACCGACTGGACTACCGAGCAACTTATTCACTTTTCAATTTTATTGACTAACAGTTGACTATAAAATTTAATCTAAACCTTATCTTCCACAGCATCATCACCAGAACTTTCAGAAGAATCTATGCTTGTCATCTTTTTTGCCTGTAAATAAAAATTAATTTATGAATGAAATAATAAAAAATATTAATTGAAAATAACAAATAAAAAATACTAGAAATACCAAGAAAATTTATTTTAAAAAATCCAAAAAAAATGTTTAAGTGTAAATCAAATCAATCTCTTTCAGGACTTCTTTGTTCCGTTTTAATTCGAAGTTCTGATTTAACCGATGATTCTTTTTCTCTTCTTCGACTTGGAGACGATCGATGACGTGATGATCTTGAATCTCTATCATCCTTTAAAAAATAATTTTGTTAAAAATTTTCAAAAGGAAGGTAATAATGTTGTTCGTTCCAGGGATAAGCCCTTCCACGTTTTTAAAAGAGGAAGACAGGAAGTGGAAGAAAACGGAAGAAAATAAAAAAAAACAAAAAACAATGAAGGAATTTAGCAGAGGACGGAAGAAAACCATCCCTGGTTCTTTTCCTCCTTCAAGATTTTGGAGTCACATTAAGCTTGTAAAAACAAATTAATGGCTTCTTTTAGGGTTCCAAGAAAAACTAAAAAACCTTGTCACGTTCAGAGCTCCTTCTTTCACTTTTTATTCGACTTTCCTTCTTTATACTAGGTGAACGACGTGATGATTTGTTCCTGTCTTTACTGTCCTTCTCCTTCTTCCTTTTTCTATCCTTGTCTTTGTGATCACGATGTTTACTGCTTCGATCGTCATCTTTGCGTCTACTTGAAAAATTTTTAGAAAATTTTTAAGAAATCCTGGTTAGAAATCTTTAATTTTCTATTGCAATATTTTTGTTAACAAAAAAAAACTTTAAATAAAAAAATAATCCGTATAAAATCAAAAAACATGAGAAAGAGAATAAGAGAAAAAAGATTAAAATATGGATTGAAAAAAGAAAGGAAAAATACTAAATTCGAAAATTTTCCCCCATTCTTTCTTCGTTTTTTTTTGTTCATATTTATTGAATTTTAAATTTCATTTTTCCTTTCTAATTCATTCAATTCAATTTTTTCTCTTATTCTCTGATTTTCATCTCCTAAGGTATTTATTGCGCCTGAAAAAATTTTTTTCAAACAAAAATCTAGCAATAGAAAATCAAATTTTAGTCAAAGAAAACCTTCGTCCTGTAGATGGACTTCGACTTTTTGAACGAGTCCTTGAACGACGTTTCTTCCGAAGACTTGGTCCAGAATCACTTCCCCTGGAAAAAATTTTTTAAAATTTTAAATTAATTTGTAAAAGAAATACTCATCAGAACTCCGATCTCTTTCTTCCATAGGCCGAGACATTCCTCTACTTGAACGGAAACGATCATGAAATCCTCCACGGAACCCTCCAAATGGATGACGATAGGAAGGTTGAAAATGTCTTGGAGCATAAGTTTGTTGTTGTGGTGGATAGAGACTTCCAGCTGGGCCAAAAGTTGAGGGAGGGATTGAGAATGGAGGCCTTGGATTGTATGAGAATTGACTTAAAAAATGATTGAAATTTTGAAAGAAATTTAAAAAAACCTGGTAGGCGGAGGTTGGGAAAAATCAATCCGTGGTGGTGGTGGCATTGAGACTGCTGGAATTGAAGAAACTCCTGGCGGCCCATCACCTTCGTCAACACCAGGAGGTAAATCCATATCAGCAGGAGCTGACGCGGCAGGCATTGCTGAAGATATAAGATACAAATAAAAATTTAAAAAACCTGTTGAAGCAGATAAAATCGGAGCTGAAGAAGTGTGAGTAATTGAGGATTGGACAGGCAATGGAAGTGATGGTGGAATTTGACTGACCATTGGAACTTGAGGAACTTGAGAAACCAATGGAAGAGGTGGAGGAATTGCTGGATCAAAACTTGGTGGAGGCTTCGAGAAATCTTTAAAAGAAAATTAAACGCAATTGAAAGACATAGAAAAGTAAAAACCTATAACACTAATCGGCTGTTGTTCGATTGGAGGGGGTGTTGTTGTTATTGGAGAATGAACAAAAGCATCAGAAGTTGGTGGCATAGAATGTTCTGGTGTCATACCTGATTCAATATTTGAAGAAGGCAACAATAAACTTTCCAAAGTTTTAGGTTCTGTTTTAAATGATGAAGGCATAAGCTGAAGATATGAAAAATAAAATATTAATTTTCATAAAAAACCTCCGACGACTCTTGACGAACAACTCCTTTCTCGTTAATTACTGTTCGGATTACAGGTATTTGATTTAAAATAGTAGATGTTGTTCCCTTAAAAATGTTTATTTTTTAATTTACAAAAGAACCGATGAAGCTCAGTATAAGATAAACTCAATATTAAACTACTCCCCTCCCCACTTATGAACAAAACCCTCCAATTTAAGATACGTTTTTGTACTGGTGTGAAAGGAATTAAGTTCAAGATAACCCCATTAAAGGATAATTCAATTTTTCCCAAAACTATATAAATTAATTTCAAAACAAACCATATCATCCGCCCCATTTGAAAGAATTGGTGGAGGTTTGCTTAAATCAACAATAATTTTTTGAACTTTTTGTTGTTGCTTGTCTGATCCACCACCAGATAAATTAACTAATTGTCTTCCTCCAGCAAAAGTAGTTAGGCCAATTTGTGTTGTTGTTGGAATTGTAGCAGGTCCGGAAAGTAGAATATTTGAAACAATTGCCCGGTTTATAGCCGCTTGGTCATTGCCAAATTCTTGTCGAAATTTTCGTTGTCTCTCACAATATTGATTCCAGGTTTCTAAAAAAACTTTTAAGTATAATCAAAAATTATTTTTCTTTGAAATTAAAAAAACGTTTTACACCTCTCTTGGGTTCATAAAATTATTTTTCAATGACAGGATTCAAACCCTACACAAAACGTTAAATAAAACCAGACGCTTCCAAGTTACACCCGAGCTACATAGAGGATAATCAAATTTTACTGACTAAAATTCCGAAAGAATAAGGAAAACAACGATCTACTGTAAACATGGCCCCTAAAATAAAAGAAGCTCCTAAAGTTCAATTCTTTAAAGAAATTTCCCAAAAATTTTTTCGAAAAAACCTTCATTAAATCCATAATTGAAATAATCGGTAATATCAGCTCCCGGCTTCCTCCAAGGCTTATCCTCCATTGTAGCCAAATCCAAATCATATATCGGCGTTCCATCTTTCAATGTCGGATTTGTGTCTAAATCAATTGTTCCATTAGTCACTCCACTTCTATTTTGTTTTTGAAAAGGAACATTTGCTTTAATATCTCCAATTGTTACAACAAATTCATCATCCTCGCTGTCCTCTTCGTTTAAATAATCAAGTTGTCTGGGAGGTTCAGCATCATTATTGACTACTGAAAAAAAATTTTTTCTTGAAATTTTTTAAAGAAAGGCCTAGTGTGGATAAGGAAATGTAAGGAAGAGAAAAAAATAAAATTGGAAAGCAGTAAAAAGCTGTATAGCGGCACAAACCCTATTAAAAAGACCGTGCAAGTAGCGCCAAGACAGCTTACAAGGGAACATCTCAAACTTTCCCTAGTACTCAAAAAAAATTTTTTTAAGAAAAATTAACCTTCCTGAGAGGCCTCTTCATTTATTTCTTCTTGAACAACAACAGTTTCCTCTTCCTGAACAAGAACATCCATTTGTTCGGTTTCTGTTGAATTTATCATAGTCTAAATTCAATTTAAAATTTATTTAAAAAAATAAAACTTCAAAGAAATATTTAAACCGTTAATTTTTTAACGGATATTCACAAACATTAAAAATAAAATAAATGTACAAAATTCTTTATTTAAAATATTTAAAATCAAATTTTTGTAACTCCAGCTTTCAACGCCTTATTCACCAACTGTTTAATCTCGTCATTTAACGTCTTCTTAACCGTTTGTTTAAAATTTAATCCTTGAGCTCTACGCAACTTTCGACGCTTCCTTTCAGTACGAGAAATACGCTAAAAATAAAAAAATTATTTTAGAATAAAAAAATTATTTTTATCTTCCAACCTTTCCTTTGTAACGCTTTTCCTTCTTTTTCTCCTCTGTCTGAAAATAAAAAATTAAACCAAAAGAAATTTTAAAAATTGACGAAATTTCTGATTTTTAGGCATAATATCGGACTAGCTTTTTAAGAAAAAATCAAAGGAAGGTAGTCAGTTATACTCTGAACTTGAACTGCTTACGGGATGGTCAATTCAAAACAGACCACAAAACTTTAAACAAAAATTTTCTAATAGTTATAAACAACCTGAGTAGAAGCATCCACTTTAGTTCCACTTGTTGATGCACAAGCCTCTCCAATTCTATACTGACCAGCTCTATCTCCACCAGTTGGTTGAGTGAAAGCAGGAACAGCAAAGGCCCCTGGTCTCATCCACCCATTCCTTCGTCGCTTACTACCAAGCCTCTAAAAATAAAAATACATTCGAATTTTCTTAAATACTTCAACCTTTTGCTTCGTCTTTTCCTGAAACAGAAAAAGTATAAAGAATAGTTTTGGTCTAAATTCCTATAGAAAACCATTTAAAACCTGGGAGGAAAATATTATATCCAAAAGTTTTTAGATACTAGCCTACTAGATCCAAAGGTCTAAACCTTCAACTCTTTCAAATTTAATGTCTAAATAAAACCTTTTGAGGTGCTTTTCGAGTTGGTTTTGGATTTGTCACATTTTCATTGAGTTCCAAACATTCAGTTGATTCCATCTTCAACATAAGTTGACGAGTTGGTTCAGCATCAGCAACTATAAAACCTACCAAATCAAAAATATTTAAACAAAAAATAAACCGTCCAAAGCAGGTTCCATTTTAACAGTTTTCCCACCAGTACCAATTTGCTCAGTTTCAGTTGAATTCATGTCTAGATTCAATTTAAAATTTATTTCAAAGATTAAAAAGTTTTAAAAAATATTAACCGTCATTAAACGGATACATTACAAAAAATATTTAAAAAATTAAAAAAATATTTATTTACAGCAAAAAAAGGAAATTTTCTTAAACTTCAACCTTTGACGTTTTACTAACCACTTGATTGAGATATTGAGCTTTATGCTTCTTTAAACGCTCCCTTAAATTCCTAGGCAGTCTCTGAAATAAAAGTATTTATTTAAAAAATTATTTTTTTTGTCATCTCACCTTATTTCTTCCTCTATTACGTTTTTTCTTCACCTCCTTATCCGTCTGAAAATTAAAAGAAAAGAATCAAAATCTTATTGATTTTTTAAAAAATTATGAAAATTAGATAAAAAATCAAGGGGGTAGTTAGTTACAATCTAGAACCAAACAATTTACGGGAAGGTTAAATAAATAAAAAAAGGGACCACAAAACTTCCAAAAAAAATTTTCTAATAGACACAATCAACCTGTGTAGAAGCATTCACTTTAGTTGTTGTAGTTGTAGCTGCACCGACCTTACCCTCTCCAGTTTGTGTAGAAGCATCTACTTTACCCATAGTTGTTGATGCACAAACTGACTCTTCTCCAATTTTATTTCCTTCATTTGCTTGAATAAGAGCGAGCAAAGCCAAGGCCGCCTTTTGCTTCTTCCTGGCAATTCGTACACTCTTACTCAACCTCTAAAAATAAAAATGTTTGTAAAAAGTTTAAAAAAATTTCCAACCTTCCCTCTGTTTTTCTTTTTCTGAAATAAAAAATATAAACTCATTTTCGTCAGAATTCCTATGCAAAAATAAGGGAAGCTAACTTATGTTTACTTTACCACCAACACAAAAAATGATCGGAAAATGAACCTAGAAGTTAGAAACTTCTAACCCCTTTGAATTTAATATCTCAAAAAAATCAACCTTCGGGTTAGTCAAATTTTCATTAAGTTCCTCGGCAACTTCAATCTTCACATCCATTTGACGGCTCGGTTCAGCATCAGCAACTATTAAATTTATTAAATCAAAAAGTTTGAAATTAAAAAATTAACCATCAGAAGCAGGTTCCATTTTAACAGTTTTACCACCAGCACTAACTTTCTCAGGTTCAGATGAATTCATAGTCTAAATTCAATTCAGTCTAAATTCATAAAGATAAAAATTTTTTAAAAATATTCGCCGTCACTAAACGGATATTACAAAAAAATAACTTGAAAATTTATTTAAAGAATTTTTATTTTCCTTCCTTCCTTCATTGCTTCTACTATTTTCTTCAACTTTTTTTTGTCTCTTTGATGGAGTTTACGCTTCTTTTTAGGTGGCTGAAAAATAAAAAAAACATTGAAGACATAATAAGAAAATCGAGGAAAAGATCATTTACGCGAGGGTCAAGCAATAAATTAAATAAGGGACCAAACGACTTTCCTAAATCTTTCCAATAATAAATAACCTGCGCAGAAACATCCACTTTACTAGTAGCTGTTGCATCACAATTCTTATCCTCCCTAAGTTTATTAGCCTCCATTGCTTTTATTTTCTTCAACTGCATTCTCTTTCTTTGGGGGAGCCTTTTACGCTTCTTTTGTTGCAGCTAAAAATGAAATAAAAAAATGTTGGACTGGTTAATAAGAGAATTAAGGACGGCCAGTTACAATTTTGACTTAAACTATTCATTGAGTTAAGTCTTTCAAAGTTAATCTTTTAATAAAACAGAAATAAACCTGAGGAGTTGCCAAATTTTCATTAAGTTCCTCAGCGACTTCCATCTTCACCTCCATTTGACGACATGGTTCAGCATCAACAACTATTAAATTTATTAAATCAAAGAATTTTAAATAAAAAATTAACCATCAGAAGCAGGTTCCTCTTTAACATCCTTACCACCAGCAAAAATTTGTTCAGGTTCAGAGGAATTCATAGTCTAAATTCAATTTATTTTTAGCTAATAAAAAATTAAAATTTTTAAAAATATTAACCGTCATTAAACAGAAATTAAACAAAAAAATATTTAAAAAATTTATTTAGAAGAAATTTATTCAAAATATTTACTGGCAAATAATAAAATTTTTAATTAAAATTTTAACAATAATTAAATCCAATCACATTTTAAAGAATCAAAAGTCAAAGGACAAAAATGTGTGGGAATAATAGATATTCATAAATAAAATAAATTTAAATATAATTTGGGCACAAAACTAAAATAATATAACTGCCTATAATTAAATAGAAATGGCAAAATATTTTTTGAGACTAAAATAGGGTCGATGTACATAGAAAGAATCAAATGCCACACAAAAAGGAATGTCACGGGTCGCAGAAATCTGTGAATTTTTGCCCCACAAAACTACACGATCCAAAAAATTTTCTGAAACCCAACTAGACTTATCGACTCATAAATCCCTCTCTAACTGGCTCAACTGCAAAACCGACTCGAGGCCCTATACGGAGAAAATTTTGAAAAACCAAAGAATTTTTTTCTAAATCTGTGACACCTCTGACACAACGATGAAATGAACAAATATTTTTTAAAAGGGTAACTTTAAGCGATTTTTTTCAAAATCTTATTTGTGTGGCAAATATTCTCTCTTTCTCTCTGACTCAAAAACTTTTTTTTCAAAAAAACCTCTCATCAATATTTATCACAACGTCCATAGAAACGACGCAAAGACGCATCGATTTCCTTCAAATAATAAGCTCCAGAAAACATAGGGATATCACAATCCTTCTTTTTCAGATAACAATCTTAAAATTTTTAAAATTAAAAAAATAATTTTTAAAGAATCAAAGAAACCTCCATTTTTAACAATTTCTTCTCTCTTCTCCAAAATTTTAGTAAATTGTTCAGGAGTAAATTTAATTCTTTCATGTAATCTATCAAAAGCTTCTGCAGCACTTTTCTTTAAAGCATTATACAAGCCTTTAGTTTTATCATTAAAACGAATCGTTAAAGAAAACATTGCTGCAACACAACCACTTCCATAAGAAAAAAGCAAAATACGTTGACCATTCAAATCAGGCATAAATGGAGTACTAAAATTTAAAATATTTTTAAATTAAAAAAAGCCTTACTCAAAAAATAAATTAATTAATTGAGCGTAGAGAGATGGTGTGTACCTTTAGAATAAAAATAAAAAAATTTTTAGTTAAAAAATTTAAAAACAGTAGAAATCGAGGTAAATCAAAACCTCGATTTTACCTAAATCCTAGAGTCAAGATCAAGGCATTTTTCAGTGCTCCTTAATTTTTCCCTAACTTGAGGCCCAACATCTAATCAGGGTTCTTACCCAAAATTATAGTAAAAAATTAAAGCTTTTTTCGAAAAAATCCCGATCTCCAACAAAAAACAAACATATTTCCAATCCGTTGTCCAAATTCCAAATAACGATCTAATTTATGTTGAGCATCGAAGGAACAAGCATTTAACGTTTTATCTGTAAAACGATCCTTGCTGTCTGAACGAGTTTTGCCATTTTCTAATTGAAGAATTTCTGCCAAAGACATGTTTTTATATCCTTCCAAACCATTATAGAACCCAGCTGGAGTCAGATCTCTTTGATAATCGACAAAAGAAAGCCAAGCAAATGCTTTTTGGCAAAGTCGAGAATATGGAGAATGGAATAATACAGCACGAAAATCGTTTAAGGAGCCAATAGCTTTAAAATTAAAAAAATTTTAATATGAGGAAGACATTTTGCGGTTTGTACTTTAATTTTTATAATTTTGTGGTGAATGTCCAAGATAACCAAATTCGACCGGCCGAATTCAGATCCGGCATTTGAACTCAAATCTGGACTTAAAGACGCTCAATTACATATAACAGATCTCAAAAATTTCTAAAAAGCACCTCTCCCCCATATTTCTCTAAGGAACAGAAAACTGTTTTATTACCAAAATAAAATTTAAAAAATACCATCCGAATTAATTTTCTTCCATTTATTCAAATAACCCTTATAACAGGCATCCAAAGCATGCAAATAAGTTCCAACACTGTTCGGACCATCAACTTTTGGATACTCTGTACAAAAACCTCCAATAGGCTTATAAAAATCATAAACGTTGGAGGAATAAAAAGAACGAAGACCACAATCGAAAACAATAGAAGCTTCTGGACCTAAATTTAGAAAAAATTATTTTTAAAAAAATGTAAAAATAAACCTATAAGAAAAGCAATAGCACCAGCACCTCCAGTACTTCTTGCTGCAAATTGAAAAAAAAATGAAAAAAAATGTATAATGTTAAACAGGATTTATTCTCACATAAATAAAGCATTTTCGAATTAAAATAGGAAAAAAGACCCAAAAGGACTCGAACCTTGAAAGTGAAGAGAAAAAAACCGAAACACCTAACCACTCAGCCGCCCACGAACACAATAGAAGGATAATAATTTAAAACCAATAGCTTTAAAAAAATCATACCAGGTCCTTTAGCATAAACAGCAACATCAACACAAACAACAATTGCCAATCTTCCTAAAATTTTTATAATTAAATTTTATCAAAAAAAAACCTTCAAATTCATAATTTGCATACAACCAATCAACAGAATGCAGCAAAGCTTGGGTTCCTCCAAAACAAGCATTCTTTTCATCTACACCCTCAATGTCTGTATTCCCTGATTCCATAAACAAATCCATCAGAACTGACTTGATACTCTTGCTTCGATCGACCAAAGTTTCTGTGCCAACAGCCAAAAAACCAACTGAGGTAGGAGCAACCTGGGAAAATTTTTTGAATTATAGTCAACAGGATGTGGCCAGGAAAAAATTTTCGGGGCAGAGAGGGTCATGTAGCCCACCTGGCTAGATGCCTAATAGTCAGACTCCACAAAATCCTCTAGAAAATATTAAGAATAACCTTATAATTTTCCAACAATTGAGCAGTTACACTTAAAGCCATTGAACACGAATCCTCGTTCTCATGACAAAAACCCATTTCAAATTGGCCTAATCCCAAAGTATACTTATTTGGAGAGACATTATCAAACTGAAAAAATTTTAAAAACAAAATTTAATTTTTTTCCAAAATAAACCTTTTCCAATTCTTTTTGATCAACATAAGATTTTGGAAAATAAAATTCTGCTCCAATAATTCCGACGTTTTGAGGTTTGCAAAGATTGGTAGAATCATTATTTGAAGCTTAAAACAAATTTTTAAAAATATTATTTAAATTAAAATAAATTTTTACTTAAATTGACGGAAGGATTGTGAACACCATTTACCAATAAACCATTTTCTCCAGCATTAGAATTTTCCATTACTATAAAAAAAAGAAAATGAATTAGCAAAATAATATTAAAATAAAATTTAAAAAAATTAAAATGAATAAACGGATAAATAAAAATATTTTTAAATGATGAAAATGAGATTAAAATCAACTATTTTCTGATAAGCAATAAGAGAAAAAAATATATTAAAAAATAATTGGGAAAAAGAAGTGGGAAAAAGCAACGGAAATAAATATGGAAATACATTGGTTAGTTTAATAGCCATAAAGAATGCTGTTTAATTAACAAAATTGAACAAAACTACAAGTTTATTAAAGTTTTTCCCAGAACATTTCCTTCCGCCAAGTTTAAAAGAAAGAAATGACAATAAGAAAGACAGACAAGTTAGCAAATCGAAGCTATAACAAATTTTGCAATTATAAATCGGGCAAAGAACATATTAATTATTATTAGTTTGACCTTCATCCTAAAGAGATTTATCTTAACCTTGATCAGCTATAATTAAAGGAAAGCGCAAATAAACTTACTTAAAAACGATAACGGAACAATCAACGAACGAACAAAATTTGCAAATTGAGCAAAACAAAAGTTTCCATTATGAAATATTTTAGACAATGGAAAATCAAAATATCTACGACAAAATGCCCAATACCGGTAAAACACTCATTTAATCGAAAGACAAAAGAGAGAACACAAGAACCGAAGAGACGGAAAAGAACAAAATACAATTTCCATTTTGACTTAACTCCTATCAGAGTTAATACAAAACATCAACTTTTAAAAAAGTAATTAAACTCACTCTTTGAACTTCGTCGAACTGAGCGTATTGTTAAAGCCTTTAGAGCATCACGAATTTTTTTTTCATAAAAATTAAAATTTTCAAAACACAAAAAGTATTATTGATAAAATCAAAAAAATTTTTTACGAAAAAAACAAGAAACACCCGAATAAATTTTATTTTTCAACTCTGATTTCAATTTAAAATTATAATTAAAATAAAATTTGGCAAAAATAAAGCAAACAAAAAAAACATCTAAAAATACAAAAACAGAAAGTATAACAATTAAAAAAAGGAAAATTATAAAAAAAAAAGAATATTATTTTTAGAGTTGCTTTCAAAACCTATTTTTATCAACAAAAAATTATTCTTTAAAGCAACTCTCTTTAAAAATCGTGTTTTTTTTTCAAGAATTCTCTCTTTGACCTAAAAATTTTTTGCTAGGAGACAAGATTATATAATCCAAAATTCTATAATCCAAACGATTAGTCCAGTAAATTTCCAAAAATGTTTTGACTCAAAATCTTGTTATTTTTAGTACAGAGGAAAATCCCCCCCCCCCCCTAGCCTTACTATTAACTAACAATAAAAACACGATCCCCTTTTTTAAAGGCAAAATTAAAAACAAAATTTATATGTGGACAAAAAAAGCTTATCAAAAAATTAATATTATTATTCGATTGATTGCCACTTTAATATAAAATGCTTTTTAAAAATTAAATTATAAATATACCGTAAATGTCCCAAATAGAGATCCATTAAATGTGAACCCATTGAAAAATAAAGGCCCATCCCCACTAGAGATGGGCTTGGGCCTGGATTTTTCCTGTGCTTAGAGTCCAGGTCCAGGCATTTTTTTGACCTTTCTGGGTTTTTCTTGGGCCTGGATTTTTGCTGAACTACAGGCCCAGGTCAATAAATCAAACCAAGGAACCCATGAACAGGCCCAGGCTTTTCAAAAATTCCGATCTCTAATGCCCCAAATAGAAGCCATGCCCTATTACATGTCCCCACTATGAGTTACATTAAAAAAATAAAAAGCCCAGGGTTCTTCTATTAGGACATTTTACGGCAAACATTATTACATATTTTCTTATTTAAATTAAACAAAAACTTCTCTTCATATTCTCCAACATCTTCATTTTAAAGAGCAATCATTTTGAGCAAAAACATAACACCAGCACTCATTAACCCAGCAATAGGTAAAGTAACTAGCCAAGACAATGAAATATTTCGAAAAACAGACCAATGAACAACTGGATGTGCTTGTACTAAACCAACAGCAACAACACTACCAACTTTACATTGTGTTGAACTTATTGGTAAACCCAATTTTGATGCAAATAAAACTGTTATTGCTGCACCAAATTCTATTGCAAAACCTCCGGGCGGTGTTATTCTTGTTAAATTTTCACCGACTGTGTAGATTACCTTTAAAAATTAAAAGTTAATTATTAATAGCTCAATGCAAATTTTAAAATCGAGGATGGGCCGAAGTCCATGACCCCATTGAGGCTGGGCCAAGAAAAATTGAGGTTGGGCCAAGGTCTATGACCTTTCTCCACATCTAAAGCTTATATGTACATCTGGTCTAGATTTAATATTTTCGAAACTAAAAAATTAAACTGGGTCTGACAATAAGCCAAGTCCGGAGGGTTTCCATATAAACCTAGGCATCCGTTTAAAATCAGTAGCTTCGAAACCAAATAAAGATCGAACTTAGATATGCCCACATTCCCCGCGCAATAAAAAAATATTTAAAAGAAACCCTATGTCCAAGTAGCCAAAGACCAACACACATTCCAGCAGCTCCATACAAAAGTAAATAAATTGAAGTATGTTTTGATTGATGTACACTTCCTTCATCATAAATTGCATACAAGGATACTAACGGAGCTATTGCATTACTGAAAATAAATTTTTTTAAAACAGGGAATTATTTTTCGGGGAATTTTCAAAAGAGATAAGAGGCTACCAAATATTTCTGAAACTTCTCCTATGAAAGGAACCTCCCCCCTCCCTAAAATTTGTACTCCTTCCTGTCCCACAGCAAATTTCTTTTCCCCCAAAAATTTACAAAAAAACAAATTCACAAACCTAACATCATTACCACCATGAGCAAAACCAGAAAAACAGGCAGTCAAAACTTGTAAAAAAGTAAAAAGACGAGAAGCATATGGATCCTCAGGTTTTGAAGAACGAAAAAAACTTAGTAAAGATGATGCTGGCCTTATTGAAGCATTTCCTTTAAAAAAATTTTTTTAATTCCACTAAAATTTTCAAGAAACCTAGAGATCCATTTTGATTATTTTGTAACATTTCTTGCCCATTTCCCTCAATTTTTGATTTTTCTGAAGTTGATTTTTGTGTTAATAATGTTGTTTCTGATTTTTCTGTTGTTGTTCCATTATTACTGACAGGTTCTGATATTCTTCGATAATTTGATGAATTTCTTGTTGTTTCTGAATTAGAATTGTTGACACTACTAACAACTTTAATTTGTTCTTCGCCATCTGATGTGTTGACTAAAAAATGAAAATAATTAATAAAAAAATTCTTCGCAAAGGTAAAAAATGTAGAGAAGTCAAGAAGGATGGGTCAAAGACAAAAAATTTTCTAAACTTGGCAAACTCTAATCGATTAGACTCTAATGATGGTGTCAAATAGGAAATTATAAAAAAAATTTTTGTAAATCAGAGTTTTCCAAATGACCTCTACTGCAGATCAGGGATGGTCAAGGCTTATCGAAAAAGCGATACACTAAACCCAGAAATTTATTTCAAAATTCCTCTCCACATTTTTTTGCCCGTGACAATCCCTATCCTCAGCGACGATATTCCTATTCCTGCCCCACAACGATATTCCTATCAAGTTCTAAATAATTCCTAACCCTCAGAGCTACCCTTTAATACAAAAAAATTAAAAAAATCCAAACAAACCTAAAATATAATTTTTTAACCTCTCAACAACAAAGAAACGAGTAATTAGAGCAGCAATAAGTCCAATACCAAAACTTAGCGACAAAACTGCCCAAAGTGGCCATTTATCTAATCCAATATCTAAAAAATTAAAAAACATTTTTTAATTAAATTTAAAAATTACAATGAGAGCCTTCAAAAGTAACAGCAAACACATTTACAGAAATACACAAAAAATAGAGAAATGGCAACAAAATTAATCCACAATGTAATGGACGATTCTGAAAGAAAAAATAATTTTAAAAATTTCAAAAAAAAATTTTTTGAAAAAATTTTTTCAAAATTCTGTCCAAAAAATTTTTTCCTTTTCACCCATTCTTATAACACCCACCCAATTTCCTAAAAAAATATTCGTCACTTTTTTACTACACTCCTCATTTATCAATTTTTCCCCAGTTAAAAAATTTTTTTTCGATTTAAAATTGCATTAATTGACACATTCCAAATGTCACTTTCCCCTCCTCCCTCCCAAAAAAATAATTAATTAATAATTAGTTTATACCCTTCGAAGAACAGCATGATCGATGAATAAAAAGAAGAGTGATGACACACAACCAGAAAGTATTGGAGAAACAAACCATGAGGCAACTGCGCAAAAATTATAAGAATTTTAGAGGCATGTGATTTTTAAAAGATTCGGAAAAAATTTTGGAAATTTTTTAAGACAAATTAGCCAAGCCCTATTTTAGATAATCCCAAAATAAGAAAAATTTACCATGAAATATTCATGGTTAACTCCTTATTTTAGGTGATCCCCAAAAATAAAACCCTCTCCTTAAAAATTTTTTGGATGAATCATCCCAAGAATGCAAAAAAAAAAATTCAAAAAATAGAAAAATATTTAGTGACAAATGGTCCCAAACCCCTGAAAAATAAAAATTTCAAAAAAACTCACATATTTTTGTAACTTTTGACCATCTAATACCATCAGTTCCATGAAGTAAAATTGAATACCTTGAAAACGAATTTTTTCCCAAAAACAAAAAAATGAAAATCCAAACCCGATTGTCGCCCCAACAATTGAATGAGTTGTAGAAACAGGCATTTTGAAGAATGTAGCAATTAGAAGCCAAGCTCCACAACCCGTCAACACTGCAATTTGTCCCAAAACCAATTCTTTTTCTCTTCCTTCATAAATTGCCAAATCCACGACTCCTTTCCTCATTGTGTCCTTAAAAGAGATTTTTTTTACTTTCTCAAAAAAAATAAATCACTAACCGTCACTTGATATCCAAGCAAAGCGGCGCCCAAGGTTTCAAATAAAGAAGCGAGCAAATAGGCTTGTTGAAGGGTGAGGACACTGAAGACAACAAATTATTCAGAAAAAGACCTTTAGAAAACTCACCGGCTTCCAACGCTTGTACCAAACGAGTTGGCCGTATCATTAGCTGAAAATGGACATAATTTGCTTAAATAATCATTTTCAAAAATAACTAACCTCCAATTGCAAAGGCTAGAACAAATGCGATCAAGAAACCAACAATCTTTAAAAAAAATAAGGTAAAATTGGTAATCCTGCAGAATCTGGGATACACTTTTAAAAACCTTAAAAATTGTTATTTTTTTCTGAAAATCATTTTATATAGGTAATCGAGTATGCTGATCACGAATCCGAAAACAGATTTTGTCAAATATGACATCTTATCTATGATTTCTTATCATGTACTTGATTTCCAGCTAAAATTCTGTTGGTCATAACTTTGTTCAAAATTATTCAATCGAGCTCATTTTGGTGCCATTCGACTCATCTCGAAGAGCTCTTTCGAATGAGGGGTCATTTGTATAATCGAATTTTTTGACCCCAAAAATTTTCAAATTTTGGGGGTCTGTAACTCGGCCAAATGAAGTCGGATTTCGTTGATTTTGGTGTCGTTCGACTCAGCACGAGGAGCTCTTTCGAATGAGCTATAATTTGTATAATCGTATTTTTTACTCGAAAATCGACCTTACTTCCCCCTATGGTTTGATGATTTTCGGGGGCCTATATCTCTGCGAGTTTTCGTCTCCCGCAGAAAATTCTTGCATATTTGAACTCAGCATACTCGATTACCTATATAAAATGATTTTCAGAAAAAAATAACAATTTTTAAGGTTTTTAAAAGTGTATCCCAGATTCTGCAGGATTACCGTAAAATTGTCGATTATGTGAAGCATTTTTCATCTCCCCAAGCAACTCTCTTTACTTGCCACCTACCCATGACTGATTTTGTGCTAGGGACAAAGAGAAGGGCTCTGGGAGAGATGAAAAATTCATCACATAAAGGACAATTTTGTCAAAAATAACTAAGAAAAAATTTTAAGTCAACTCACAATTGTCCAAAAAATGTCCAACTGGAACAAGGCCAAATCTTCTACAACCATTTTTATTTTTGGAGTTTTTGGGGTGATTTTTGGTACAAAAAAGGGAAGAGAAAATTCTCAAATATAGATTGTTTCTGTTGTTTAATCACCGGTCAGTTCTTTGTTTTGAAAATGTAAAAAGAAGAAAACCAAAAGAAGCAAAAATAGGGGAGAACACCTCCTCCTCTTCGTCTATTGCAAAAGCAAAGGGTGTTTTTGAGAATAAAAAAGGCAGCTACCACCAAATGACTTTGAGTAATAATAGAAGAGACTGTCAGCAAAGAAGAAAAAGTGTAAATAAATGTCTGAAAATAAAAGTAAAAAAAAACAATCTATAAAAATTTAAAAAAAGGAAAGATTGGACAAAGGAGAAGCTAGAAAAATTTAAAAACATCACCAAATGAAAATTAGATTAAACGAAATATTTATTGGGCAGAATGTCAAAATGTCGAAAATCGATTAGTTCAGAATTTAAGGGTAAATTTTGGGGTCGTTTGAGTCTGGATCCAAGGATATCAATGGTCACGCAATTTTTAATGTTACAATGGGTGATTTAGGAATTTTAAAAAAAACGAACAAATTAATTTAATGAAAAAAGTGACGGAAGTAAAAAATTAAAGACAATTTATTTTCCCGCCATTTTATTTAATTTTCAACCTATGGATTAAAAAAATCGTAAAGATGGGAAAAATTGAAAGGGGAAAAAATTGTAGGCCAAAAAACGAGCGGGTAACAAACAACACAAACACTTTTTTATCCCCCTTTCATCACTAACTGCTCAACTACAAACAAGAGAACTTTGAAATGAAAAAGGAAAGAGAAGAATTGGGGTGAAGGGAGGAAACTTTGTAACATTTTTTCTTTCACTACTCTACTCTATTTTCCCGCGGCAACACATTTTGCCAATGTCACACTTTGCCAATAAGGCTAAAAACCTCATTTCGCCAACAAGGTTGTTGACAAATCGTAAGTTTTCAGCCTTATTGGCAAAATGTGTGTTTGGCAGAATATGTTTACTATTTACCCCTTGTTGTCATTTGTTTTGTCTCTCTCAATTAAAACATACTCTCTCGTCTATTTTACTTTCCCTCTTCCATTCAGCCGCACTTACCGGCAACCAAAACAGAAAAAAATTTCTTTTTTTCTCTAACATTCTCTTCAAATTCCTTTATCTCTCATTCACTTAAAAAAACTCCCCCGTTATAATATAGGCATTTTCTTAATGAAATTGGTGGGTAAAACGACTGAAAGGGAATAGAAAGGAAAGGAAAATAAATAAAATATAAAAAAATATATATCTTCTTTTTTTGAGCGGCCAAAGCGATGACTGGCAAGCTTGTTGTCAGTGAAAAATCTTAAAATGTCATGGACGAGTTATGAAAGCCTTTTATTTATTTTTTTTTTAATTTTTTTTCTATTTTTTTTGAATTGATGATTGAATAAATGAGGGCTTTTTGGTATTTTTTTTTACGTGAGAAGAAAAAAAATTTTTGTTGAGAGAAAATGGGGAGGGGTGTAATGAAGCGGATAAAAACAAAACAAAAATGGATTTTTAAATTAGTAGAAGAAAATATATAAAACTGATTGGTGGAAGAGGAGTTTTTTCTTGTCCTTTTTATTTTAATAAAGAAAAGTGTTTATGTGAGAAAGTTCAAAATACATAAAAAGAAAATTTTTTCTTTTAATTTTTTATTAAAAAAAAAGTAAGAAAAAGTATAGTACAATAATTCAAAAATAAAAAGAAAAAAAATTTATTTTTCTTTTAAAATAAAATAAAAAGTCAAGTGTCTTTTTTCAACTGAAAAAGAAAAATTCGTCATAACCTAGAAAACCCCCAAAAAAAAAAGATAAGAAAATTATTTAATTCTTATTTAATTTATTTGTAAAATACATCCACTTAAAAGAAAAATTTTTGTGGTTGTCTCGGTGGTTTAGTCGGTTAAGCACCAGATTCTCACCTAGATAGGTTCCGAGTTCGATCCCTACCCCGGTCAAAATTTTTTTTTCTTGACTTTTTAAGTATGGCAGCCATTTTATTTTAGAAAATCGATCAAAAAAAATTAAAAAAATTATATTTCTTAAATGAGATCGGACAATATTTTTTTGTTTAAAAAATTTATTTATTTAAAAAAAAAACAACCTCTCCTCTCTCCTCTCATCAATTCAAATCTTTTTTTTTTATTTATTTTCCATTTAAAGGTCCAGTTGAGGAAGGTCCATTTGGGGTTGCTGTTTGTTGTTTTATTATTATTTTATTATTTTCGAGAACAATTTTGCTCCCATTCTTTTCCTCTTTCTTATCTTCATCTTTATCATCTTCATCCCCTTCATCTTCCTCATTTTGTTGTTCCCAATCATATGGTTCTTCTGGATTTATATCATTATTTCTTATTGCCAAAGAAATTAAATCACGAACATACTTTAAAAAAATAACTTTTTATTAGTAAAATACAGTCGAACCTCGTTATAAGATACACTCATTATTGCGTAAACCTCATTTGGGTGTGGGAGGATCTTCCTAAACAATAGCCTCTCTATTTAGGGTACATCTCATTATAAAGTAGTAAAAAACTTAACTTCAAACGAGGTGTTTTGTGAGGGCATCTTATAGCGAAATCCAACAATTTATTATGAAAAAGTAAAAAAAAATACTTGATAACTTGGAAGTGTATTGTAATCAAGCTGATCCAAATAAGTAAGAATACGACGAAATTCCATCTTTAAAAAAAATTTTTTTTAATTTTTCAAAAAATAAAAAAAAACAAACTCTGGGACAGTGCTTAAGTAGATCAATCTGAAAAGAATTTTTTTAGAAAGTTTACAAAAAAATTTCACAAACAAACCATTCCCTGTTGACTTCTAGTCTCTTCTTTTATTCTTCTAACTTCATCACGTTCAGCTCCATGATAACCACTCCAAGGTAATTCGCCAGCCATAAATTCAGCCACAACATAAAGCCAACTTTCCAAATCATCTTTGGGGGATTGTTCTTGGGCTCTATGGGCTGCTAATGGTGCATAACGGATTGTACCTCTTTAAAAATTTTTTTAAAAATTTTTTCTCCTAAATCCTGAATAAGGGATGGGACAGGGAACAGAGAAAGTTCGGGAATGGATCAGGATCGGATCGTATTGATAAAAAAAGGTCGAGCTGAGCTTTTAAGAATTCCTTCGAATTGAGTCTAAGATAACCCAAACTATCCCTAGATATCGAAGTTCTTCACTCGAAAAATCTTTGATACCCTCAGTGCAAGTTTTTTAGTGCAGTTTCAGCCAACTGAGCCAGATAGAAGGAACAGAATCGGGTTTCGAGTTTCAGCTCGAAAGCCGAGTCGGGTGTTCTTCGGATCTGATTCCGAATCGAAACAAGTCCGGTTTTCGGGTAACCCTATCCTTCCCTAGTTCAGGCAAAATTCTCAACCCTTTAAAAAAATTTCAAAAAACCTGAATTGTGTATTTTCTCTAGGCGGTTTAATTTCACCATTTGGCAATTTAAATTGTCTACATAATCCAAAATCTATCAACATTATTCGACACGTCTTGTTGTTATCCTTTGATTGTAATAAAGCAAAATTTGAAGGTTTAACATCTCTGTGAACATAACCAAGTGAATGAAGTTGTTCTAAAGCACTCAACATTTCCAATGAAAGTCTTAATGCTGTAGGGGCTGAGAAACGATAATGTTGAAATTGAAGACGAAGTTTGTACAAATTTTCTCCTAGCTGCAAAAAAATTTTTTTAACCATTTATTGATTCTTTTAAGAGGCGTATGGATCCTAGAATCATTTATATTTTAATAAATTGGAGTCAAAATTACATAGAAGATTCATAAAAAATGATTGGAGTTCTTCTTGGTTCATCTAACAATAAGAGAAGTACGGAACTAGAATCTCTTCTATATCCATTGACTTTAAATCAGGCCTGGAACTCAAGTCAATAAAAACGTTCCCTTAGTCTAGTCTCGGTACACCAAAAATTCCTAAAGTCATTCATGACAACCCCAAATCTCCAAAGGAGTGTGGGAAACCTGACCCGAAGATTTTCCACACAGAAACCCGACCCGTACTTATTTGTGAGGCTCATCCCTCTCTACTCCAAGGCCTTATTTCCCAATTTATTAACAAAAATAAATTACACAACAAACCCTATTCATTATGAGAAATTTGAAATGTTTTTGAATCATTCCTCTGTCAATAAGATTACAAAAATGAGTCAAGTGTGATTTGTTTGCTGCTTTTAGAACCAAATAGTCCATACTTAAAGCACGTGTAGCAATGTCACAAACCTCGAGTTTTGCAGCAAATAATTCTGGAAAAAGAGAAAACTAGTGCCCACAAAATAAAATTTCCCGACGCGGAAACCTGCTTTTCACACATATCGAGCCAGATCTGGCCGAATTTTTGGGATTAATCCGTTCTATAAAATCCGGAGAGCACGATAAGAAAAAACCTGGACCCCTGTTGCATCCTGTCCGGCGTCGGGGATTAAAAACCCCGTTTAAAAATTAAAAACTCACTTCCATCTCTTGTCCGCAACACCTTAAAAAATAACAAAATTTGAAAAATCAAAAATTATCAAGAAAACCTCATAAACAGCTCCATATTTTCCAGAAGCAATCCTCTTCCCAACAGCATAAGAATCTTCTTGTCCACGTATTATATTATTGCTGGAGGGTAGTCTGGAAGAAACCAATTCTTGTGAGTGTTCTGCGTCAAGACCCTAGAAGATAAAATAAAAATTTTTAATTATAGAAATTTTTTGCTCTCCCAAAGGGGTCAAAAAGTCAATTAATTAAAAATCAGGTCAGCTCGTTCCCCCCTCATTTTAACTACAAAAATTCCAAAATTTTATTTTACTTCAAAACTGTTGTCGTCGTTCATAGAGATTAATAATTTTGTTTTAAGAAAAAAATTTTTCAAAAAATTTTTTTCAAAAATAAAAAAATAAAATGATTTTTGTGCTTAAAATAAAATTTAAAAACAAAGAATACAAGAAAAAAAATATTTTTTTAAAGAAATTGCGAGAAAGATTGAGCAGCGAGAAGCACAAACATTACAACATTTAAAAAAAGTAAATGTTAAAATTGTCTTTTTTTGTTTTTTGAAATTGTGTGGACAAAAAGAAAGGGACAAATAAAGGAGGATATTTTTGTAATATTAAAAACAAACATTAAAATCTCTTTTTTTTATCGGAAATAGAGAGGGTAATCTTATTGATAGAGGAACGGAATGGAACGGGGAATAGTAAAGAGGGGTACTTTTGAAAAAAAATTTTTAAAGCTGACAGGAACAGAGAAAGAGGAGAACGCATTGCTTATACTCCACTCTTCTCTCCATTTAATTTAAAAAAATCCCGATCAAAAAAAAAGTAATAAAAACAACAAAATGTTTTGTGAATCGATTTGAAGGGCCGCGTTAAAAAAGAAACATAGAGACAAAAAGGATATAAGGAGGGATGATCAAAAAAGGCTAGCCCCAAAAGATCGACATTTAAATCAACAAATTCACAAGTAGAAAGATAAAACTGACAGCATATCCCAACAAAAAATTTTTATAAGGATAATGGGATTAAAATTAAACCAAGAATCTTATACAACTGGAAAATTGCAAAACAGAAAATCAACCCAAAAATTTCAAAAAAAATTTAAAAAATTTCAAAGGGCCCCATTAACCAACAAGTTTATTTAAAATAAAACAAACCTTGTTGATTTTTCCATCCTTTCAAGTATTGATCTTCTGGATTAACTCTTCTATCAATTGAGAGGTCATGTGCACATGAAAAGCCAAGTGTGCTTGATTGCTTGCGTAGATTGAAAAAATAAAGAGAAGAGGTGTAATTATATTAAGAACAGCTGAGCTTTTGAAGATTCTTTGCTTTTCTATAATATTTTTTATTGAAAAAAATTTTTTCAACATTCAAAAATGAAAAGATATTAAAAAAGAAATAAAATCTTTTTTTTCAAATAAATAATAAGCAATTAACATAAAAATAACAAACCATTTTTTATTGCAAAAAAAAATATAATTTTAAAAAACAAGAGTATAGATTTAGTCTTAATTCACAAATAGATTAAAAAATGGATTAAAAACAAAATTCAAATTTAGGAAAATTTTTGACTTAAAAATTTTTTAGGCTCCAGACAGTCTTACAAGCAAACATACCAAACTGTGAGTCAAAATTCTGTATTATTTTTGGTACCAATCGATAGAGCATCATCGATTTACTCTAGAAAATTTTAGGCTTTTTTTGGCTAGGAATATGAAACTAAAAAGTTATGGCGCTTCAAAGTCACAGTTTGGTATGTTTGCTTGTTGGTAGTCTAATGAAGGTTATTTAGTAGTCCACTGAAAGTTTATTTTGGAGTTTTTTGATCTCATAAACAGACAAATACTTTCATTGGACTGATAAAAATTAATTGAACTCATAAACTGTATCAGAAGCCAATTTTTGTTTTTAATCCATTTTAAATATAAGCACGGAAAATCTTTTTCCAAAATAACAAAAAAACCTCAACATTACTATTCACTTATTTACTTCCTTTTTAGGCATTTTTTTCTCCTTCTCTTGGTCACAGGGCGCCGGTTTAACAAAAGGAATTTTTTCTTTATATTGTGGAGGCATAAATTCACGTAAAGCTTCAGGAATTAAAATACAATCAACAGTTTGATAATTTTCCAAAACTGCACAAATAACTCTTGTTGTTGCACACATTGTTGCATTTAACATATGAACAAAATTAACCTTTATAAAAAAATATATTTTTGACATGAGCAGAAAAAATTTTTTTTAAAGAACAATGGAAGGGCTACTTTTCAAGGCAGTAAAACGAACCCAAATATTATAGCCGGATCCTACTCGCCCTTAAAATGTTATTTTAATTTGGTCGGCTACTTGTTCGGGTTGTTTGTTAATGTCTCCTTTTGAAAATTTCCTGCCCCTCCTGTTGTTAAAAAACAATTTTCCTAGTCCACAATCAATAGTTTGCTTCCTCGAAGAATTTTCCTAGAAGCCTCCACTGACAGGGAACAATACTAGTAGCTATTGAAATAACTTTATACTAATCCTAAAGGATGTTGTTCTTTTTAAAGTTAGATCCTCAACTTTGTATTAAAAACCCCCAAAAAAATTTTTTTAGATAAGTAAACCTCTCCATCCAACTTTTTAGTTTGTCCATAACGAATTTTAAGTCGTCTCGATTGATAATCTGTACAATTTGAACACGAAACCAATTCACGAAAAGCTCCACTTGCAGGAAACCAAGCCTCCAAATCAAGTTTTTTAGATGCTGCATTATTTAATTCACCAGAAACAATATTAACAATTCTATAAGGAATTCCAAGAAGTTGATAATAAAATTCAGCATTTCCAATCATCTATATAAAAAATAAAAAAGTAAGTTATCCTAAAAAACATTGGTCTCTGGAAAAATGAGCAAGACGTGCTCCTCCTATATTTTTGAGGTTTCAGAGCAGAGACGTCAAGAACTACCCGAAACCTATACTTTATTTGATCAAAGCTAGATACGAAATTAAACTTCTCATGTCCTCTAGAAAGCAATAATCTTCAAGATTACCAAAAAGAAAAAGAAAAAAATTATTTTATTATTAAAAAGAAACCTCATCAAAATGCTCCCAAGATTCATCATCAAAAGGCGAGCAAATAACAAATTGTTCAACTTTTTCAAACTGATGAACGCGAAAAATTCCACGAGTATCACGTCCATGACTTCCAGCCTAAAAATAAAAGTTAAAAAATATTTCCTAATAAAAAAACCTCTTGACGAAAACATGTAGACATACCAGCATATTTTAATGGCAAATTTGCAGGTACCAACCATTCATCACCTTTTAAATAGAAAATTAAAAAAATATTAAAGTAAAAACAAACGATGAAAAGCAGCTATAGGTTGTTCCGAAGTAGCAATTAAATATTTATCATCGCCAGAATTTTCGTTTTCAGAGCCTTTTCCGACTACCTAAAAAATTTTTTTAAAGTAAAAAAAAGTTTCAAAAGCTTTCCAATCACTTGCGGGACGATATCTAAGAAAATAAAAACAAGGGCCATCAAAAGGATTCGAACCCTCAACCCAAAAACTAGCTAACCCAACACACTACCGACCAAACCACAAAACACAATAATAAAAAAGCAGCAAAAAAGCTCTAATTCATTCAAAAACTCACTCTATAAAGCTCTTCATCAAATTGACTTAATTGGGCAACTTCTTGCATAAATTCCTTAAATTTTACAAAAAAAACTTTTTAAAAAATTCGAAAAAAACCTTTCTCATAAAAAATGGAGGATAAATTGGAACAAATCCTTTTTCCGATAAAATTCTTAAGGCTAATCCAATTAATGCTTGTTCAAGAAAAACTAAAGGTCCTTTAAGGAAGAAGCTTCTACCACCAGCAACATTAGCGCCTCTTTCACCATCAAAACCATCAACCATTGTAACCAAATCAACCTTTAATAAAAAACGAAAAGTATGAAAAAAGGCGTGGAATCTTTCCTGAAAGAACCCCTAGCCATAAGACCCAGCATTTATTTATACTTTCAGAGGACTTTTCGGCCTGAGTCTTTCTTTTAACTCTATACAAAAGTACTCAAGACCACGATAAGCAACTAACATTAAGACCATGACTCAAGACTCGTCAAAGGTCAAGTAGTAAAATCTTCCTGAACCTAAAGTTTAAACTCAGGCATTTATTGAACTTCCATCTGGCTTGATTTTTCCTAAACCCAAGACCACAACTAGGAATCAATGAACTCAAAAATTGGATATAAATACTCAAAGATAGCCAAAAAGGGCGCAAATGAACCTAAAAACCCCATAAGGAAAATGGGACACGCCCACTTAGTCGCGCGGCCACTTAGTCGCAGAGCCATAACTTGCTAAAAAATTTCTGGCCCTTATCAATTTTGGTACCAATCTCTTTAGCTCGATGAGAGGAATCGTTTAATACCAAATTTGGAAAGATTCGGAAATCTTAAAGCAGGTTATGGCTCTGCGACTAAGTGGCCGCGCGACTAAGTGGGCCGTACCCAAGGAAAATAACTTTAAAAACATACATGAGAATAACATTTTCGACTTTCACAATCCCCAAAAGTCCTCTCCACTTTATTGTCATCTTCATTATCACTTATCGGAACAGAATCATGTAATAAATTTCCAATTTTCTTCAAATTTTCATTTCGATCCTTCTCCAAATTTTCCATTTTTAAATTTGTTTGAACAGTTTCCTCGTCCAATTTCTTCTTTAAATTTTTGATTTGAGCGATGGAAAGAGGCTGAAAATAGATAAAAGTCTTCAAATAAAGAAGAAAAAACCTTAAGAAGGTCCAAACTCAAAGCGTCAAATTTAGTCACAAAATCAGCGGGAAGTTCTTCCGGCCCGCCTTGTTGTTCCTTTTTCTATAAAATAAATATTTTTGAAGATAAAAAACACAAGAAATTAACCTTCATTTTGTCACCTATAGTTGTGCTACACATTTTACTTGCACGATTAATAGCATCCAAATTGAAACGCTCTGAAAATGAATTTTATTAACTTAAAGAAAAAGACCGGGAATTTTGGGTTTTGTGTGACGGATTTTATTTTCTCAATAATCAACACTTTATATTCTCTTAACAACCATATATCAATCAAAAAGGGTTGGTTAATTTTAGATGGAATTCAGTAAAGATCGAGCTAAGCCTGGAACAAGGCCCGGGTTTTTCTTGTACCCAGAGTCCAGGCCCAGGCATTTTTTGATGTTCCTGGGGTTTCCCTGGGCATGGGTTTACTGGACTACAGGCCCAAGACACGGCCCAGGTCAATAAATCAAACCCAGAGTCCAGGAACAGGCCCACAGACACACACACAGTCCTGTCCCTAATTTTGACCTTAAACTCAAAAACCAGTAAAATCTTTCAAACCTTTTCTCCATTCAACATCAGCCTCAATAACCTTATCAACTAAAGTAACATCAGCAAAACGTCCTTTTTGAGAAGTTCTAATTAAGTCTGGATTGCCTCCTTTTTCAACACGAAAGAGATCAATATTTAGAACCATAATATAAATACTAAATAAAAATTATGCAAAAAGCTCTGAAAAACAAAATAAATTAAAAATTAAATTTCGAGAATAAATGATTGAGTCAAAAATTGAAGAAAAAAAATAAAAATTGGGTGGGGGATCATTGAGTCCCGCCTGTAGAGTCCCGGAGACATATTTTGGGTCATAACTTCTTGGATTTTCAACCAATTCGAATAAATCTTTTATCAGTCGAAAGCCCTGGATCTGAGGATCATTTTCATCAAAAGGATTGATTTGACCAGATCAGCCTACAAAAAGTTACATCTAGATAAGTACGCGCAATCGTGACTTTTCATCTTTATTAGGCTGTAACTTTTCGTATCTTGATCTGATTTAACCTTCTAGATAAAATAATCGCTACATCAAGAGCTTTCGAATGATATATTAATCACCTAAATCGCCTAAGAAATAAAAAAGTTATGGCCCGAAATATGGCTCCAATACTCAACACGCGAGACTCAACCGGGCTGTTCTGAAAAAATTGTAAATAGGACATTTGAGTCCTGCACGAGTCGCGCATTTTGTTTACTATATAAATGAGAGTTTTTGTTATTTGTGTTCATTTGTGTTATTTTTTGCATCATTGATTTCTTTTTTAATTTCTTTTTTTTTTACTTAAGTTATCTACTTATTTGGTTGAATATTTTTATTTTTTAAATTAAAAATGACTACTCAAGTCCAAGCTATTTGCGTTCTCAACGGCGACGGTGACAAGAACGTTAAGGGCACCGTCCGTTTCTCTCAAGTAGCTTTTTAACTTTCTCATTTTTTAAACGATAAAATTCAGGAAAAGGAAGGTTCGCCAACTCGAATTGAAGGCGAAATCACCGGCTTGTCTCCTGGACTTCACGGTCTGAGGCTGTTTAAATGTTTGAAAGAAATTTCTTTTTTTCTAGGTTTCCATGTTCATGCTTATGGAGATCTCACCAATGGCTGCGTTTCCGCTGGACCTCATTACAATCCGACCAATATGACTCATGGTGGTCCTCTGGTAAATTTATTCCTTTATTTCTTTCCCAGTCCTTAGCTTTGGGCCTCATGCGGGTTTAAGTTCTTATAATCTAAAGTGGCTATATGTTCGGCTGTAGTGTTGTACGAGGCATGAGTCGTTCGATTCGCCTTGACTAGCTAGGTCGAATGGTGCCACTCCCTACTTGGGAAGTGATTCTGTGCGGAGCTATAAGTCTTTAAAAACTAAAGAACCGTAGGGGAGAGTAGGCACATTCTCGGGGTGAAAAATCCGAGTCCTTTATTCAATTCCATAATTTCCCAAATTTTTCCAGGATGAAGTTCGTCATGTGGGTGATCTGGGCAATGTTCATGCGAACGAAGATGGGGTAGCTGCGATTGACTTCAAAGACGGGAAGGTTTCGCTTGTTGGTCCAACAGCTATCGTCGGGCGTACTTTGGTCGTTCACGCTTTGGAAGATGACCTCGGTTTTTAATTTTTTAAATTTCTATAAATTTTTATAAATTTAGGCCGTGGTACTGATGACAAGGCTGAAGAGAGTAAGAAGACTGGCAATGCTGGGCCTCGCCTGGCTTGTGGCGTTATTGGTCTTGCTGCTGTTCCGCAATGAATAATGATGGAGAGGGGAAGCAAAATTTGATTAAATATAATCACTTTGACTTATAGGCAAATATTCCAAATATTTTTAAGTTATTTTTTTAATTGATTTTATAAAATTTATTTGGATTTTTTCATTGAAACGAGTAAATTTTGATTTGGATAAATTTTTATTATTTTTGGCAAAAAATTAGGGAAGTAGGAATGTTGGTTGTTCGTGATATTTGGGCCAATTTGGATTTATTTTAAAGATTTTTAGGTACTAGTGAGCTTTTCAACCTTCCTATCCTCCATAGCAGCACAGAAATTTTTCCAATGAAGCCCCCAAAGCTGAGCTCTGCTATGCATAATTTTTAAATTTCTAGGGATTTAAAACGCCCCCCCCCCCCCTATGTCGGAGTGACTCACTATCAGACCTAAACTGAGTGGAAAAATGTTTAAAGAAATTTCCTCGTTAAGGTTTTTTCCAAGAAAAAAGCTATTTAAAATCAATCAAAATAATTGCCCAAACTTGTAGTCGCGTTATTGTTGTTGTTAAAGCGTCGGCTATCTTCCTTTTCATATATTTTTTTATTTGTCCTCTCTCTCAATCGGCAACAAAACCTAAAAATTCCCTCCTTTTCCCATTTTTTTCCTTTAATCTCAACCCGTTCAAGTGGATCTGTAGCTTATCCAAAATATCAACAGTTAACTTATTCTTTCTTCTCCAGTGATCTTTTTGGTTGCAACTGAGAGTGGACAACACTACACAAAAGAAAAGGAGAAAAGTAAAAGCGGACAATTGCAACTTGAAATATGCTGCAAGTTTTGTAGAAAAAAATTTGAAAACTTTCTTTTTTTAATACTGGAAAACTTTCCCCTCCTTTAATATTAATTCATCAACAATTTTGTTTTACACATCTTCCCTGTTGTGAAAATATATTTATTGTCCATCAACTAATCTAAAATATTTTTTTCAATTCTCCGTTACCTCAACTGGCTTTGAGGATATATAAGAGATTAAAGGAGGTTCCGCGAATAACTAACAAACTTTGCTTAATTGAAAATACATCCCCTCTAAATAGCCTTTCTAGGATTTTTATTCTGTTAATTTTATTGGAATAAACGCTATCACATAGTTCTCCGCGCTTCTACATTTCATACCCCTCTAGAGCTGATGTGAGACGTAGGTGACTGAAATTTAATTTATCAATTTCCCTAACAAATAGGTAAAAGACAAGAAGCGAATGTTCTATAACGGGGATGAGTATCGAGTTATTCGAAACCCGAGATCAGACCCATGGGAAATTTTGAATGCTCAAACCCGATTTTTCTCATAGGCCAGTTTCAGACTGGGACAATTGTCTAAAATTAATTTTAATTCTCAGATACATGTTGTTGATCACTAGAACAAATTTAACAATTTCCCTAGCATTTTTAATTATTTTATTTATTATTTCCCACAATTTCCCCTCTACAATATTAGCTGATAAATTAACAACAAATAAAGCTTCCATAGACGGTGAAAAATTAAAAACTCAATTACTAGAAAGTTTAAATAGTTATGGAAAAATTAGAGGAAGTGAAGAATTTTTGGAGCCTATTGGAAATAAAAATCCAAAAAAATTATTTTTGGATGCTCAAACTACTTTTAAAGGTTTTTAATAACATCTAGAAGCTTTACTATAAAATAAAAAATTATTTTCCGTCAATAGGATTCGAACCTTTAACCTCCTCTTTGATTATGCCACTTATCCAAAAATATCACCACTCGAGTATTTCTTTCCTTTCTGGTGATCTTCTGGAATAAGCAGAAAAGGAGAGAGAAGCGTACCCAAAATATCACCACGCAAATATTTCTATCCTTCCCGGTGATCTTTTGGAACAAGTCTTCACCTAATAATTCTTTGGTTCATCCGGAAAATGCTGAGTTTAAACATCATAAAGGTTAAAGGTTCGAATCCTATTGATGGAAAATAATTTTTATTTTTACAGTAAAGCTTCGTATACTAACCAAAAATTTTTTTACTTTTAAAAATTCCCCTCTAAATTTTTTTCAAGCATTTGAACATCCTGACAGTTTAAATAATTCAAGTTCAATGCTTACAGAAAATGAAAAATCAAAACAGGCTAAAACGCTAGGAGAATGGCGTCGAAAAATGTAAAGAAAATTTTTTAGAGAAATTTTTTAGCCAAAAATTTATTTTTTTAAAGATACAAATTTTTGGGATTAAATAAAAGAAAGGAAGAAAAGTCTGCTTTAACTACTACTAAACAATCCCCACCTCCTTTAGTATTGCGTGATGATGAATTTTCCTCTACCCCTCTACCAATTTTTATGGAAAAGGAAGATGAAGATAATTTATGTAATCACTACAAAAGGTAGTTATAGAAATGAAAATTTTTCTAACCCCTTCTAATAGTAAGAAAGAAATAAAAATTTAGCCCCTGGCAGTCATTAATCCAGCGACCTCATGTCAGTTATCGCTAATTCACTCACCAAGATTGGTGCTTTAGAGACGGAGCTCTAACGACTGATAAGAGCCAGCATAACGATGCTTTAACCTTTACTGAAAAAAATTTTTTTAACCCCCCGCCTGGTCCAAATCCACAAAAAAAGAAAAAAATAGTAAAGGCACTACAATTAAAAAAATTTTTTTTAAACAGAAAAGACCAACAAAAATTTCAAAACAAAATTATTCGACTTGCCCCAATACAACCAATATTTACTTCTGTAAAAGAAAATCCTTTACATTGGAATTTTGGAAGTTTTAATAAAAATATAAAAGAAAATCCAGGAGGATGTGGTGGAGATGAACAACAACAACAATTAACTTTAATGGCATTAGAACAAGAAAATAAACTAAAAGCTAGTGCTGATAAAACTAGAGTAATATTCTACTAGTAGCTTAAATTTTTTCAATACAATCAGACCTCACTTTAGGATATACGGCTGAAAAAATCGTACTTATAAAGAGCAGTATCATAAATAAGGGGTATCTCGCATAGGCACCCAATCTAATTTTGAGGTTTATTTTTATATGAGGTTTATGGGTGTATTTAGAAATGAGTGGTGCTTTAACTTTGGGGTACGCTTAAAAAACTATCCAACACCCAGTGGCCTAAAAACGGATTTTAAATTAGGTTTAATTCTCGAGGTGCCTTATAATGAGGGGTTCTTAAAGTGAGCCTAAAAACGGATTTTAAATTAGGTTTAATTCTCGAGGTGCCTTATAATGAGGGGTTCTTAAAGTGAGGTCTAACTGTATTAAACTAAATAGTCTTCATATATTTTTTTACAAAAAGAATCTACAAATCCCATTACCCTCAATTCAACAACAACCTCCCCCACCTCCTCCCCAACTTTCACCTCTTCAATTCCCACCACCCCCACCACAACTCCCACAAGCACCACAACCACTTCCACCACCTCCATTAATACAACCTTTTCTTCCTCTTCAATTCCCCAATAATTTATTTCCAACTTTGCCTTCTTTAATAACAACACCTCCATTTCAACCTACAAGCTTTGCAAACCCATTAGAATTGGTACAACAACACCCAGAGAAAGAATATCTTAAAGAATTGGAAAATGTTCCAGAAGATTATTTAGACGAACAAGAAAATAAGGTAAAGAGATAACAGACCCTCGTTATAGTAAACCCCAACAGATTACGCCACGCGCCCTGCAAGCCTTAGGAATTAAATAGTCGTTATTATTAGGGACCGGATTTTTGTTGGAAAATAATATCAAAATATAGCCACAGAATATTAAAATAAATTAGAAAAATATTAACAAAAAATGCCAAAAATTAGTCAAAAATTAGTAAAGCTGCCTTGTCCCGAGCGTAATAAATCCTCCTACTTTTTTGTAAATTTAATCAAGTTCACAAATTTATATATAAAGCTGCCTTGTCCTGAACGTGCATTTGGAAGAGGTTGTCAAAAACAACGAGATCAACAACAACAACCCAAACAAAAAGCTTCTTCAGATGTTTTTATTGAAGCAGCTAACGAGAAACAACGACAACAAAAACCCTCCCAACCCTCCCAACCCCAATACCTACCCTCTTGGAGTGAAAATAGAGAAATGTGTAATTCTAATAGACTTCGATCATTAATTTATCAATTACTTGTAAATACGAGAATTAATGATCCAACAATTAATGTTGAACGTTCTAAACGTTTTTTACAACAAAAAGCTGAATCTTTATTTGGAAATTTTTATAATGTTATTTGTGGGACAGGATTTTTTTCGTATATTGCACATACTGACGAATTTTGGTTTGTGGGATTTTTGAAGTAGTTGTAGATTAGGAACACCTTCATTTTAAAAAACAACCATTATTAGGAACACCTCCTTTTAAGAAACAACCAATATTAGGAACACCCTATTTTAAGAGATACGCCCGTTGATTAACTATTGGGTAGGGGAGTCTTGTAAGCGAGATACTCTCTATCTTGAATACTCCTCTATTTCACAAGAAAGGACTCATTATATAGTCAGACCTCATTATAAGAGACACCCATTATTAGTTAAACCCTCCAATTTTTAGTTACACCCTCCAATTTTAAAAATATGCGCTCCTAAGAAACTTAACTGACCACTGGTTAGGGGAACTGTCCAAGCGATATCCCCTATTTAAGATACCCTCCATTATAAAACACACTTTTTTAGCCACAGAGTGTACTTCTAATAGTGAGTGAATTAAAAAAATTCTATTTTTTTCAAGCCTTGTAGCAGTCAAAGACATTCATTGCTATGTATTTTCCCCAGTTTGCTCCTCTACTTCACAACAAAGGAGTATAACTTCTAGAGGAATTGAAAAACAAAAAAGACTAGCAGAAATAAATAAAAATAGTAGAAATACAAAAAATAAAAATTGAAAAATAGAATTATTTTAAATTATTTTTAAATTGAAAATTTATGGCGAGAATCAGGCATACAAACAAAAAAAATTGATAGAGAATAAATACTAGAGATCGGACTGAATGTGAATACTGACTTTGATTTTTCCTGGATTTGAAGTCAAGATCAAGGAATCCTTGAATGTTCCCTTGCCCTTGATTTTCCCAAACCTTGATTTTTCCCGGAACCAGAGTCAAGGTCAGAGTCAAGATCATTTTTCAGTGTTCCTTAAAATTTCCTTTTGACTTAAGGTCAAAAAGCTGGTCAAGTTCCCCAAACCAAAATCAACAATCAACAGTCAAGGTTCTTGTTAAAATTCCCGATCTCTAGAATATACCCTCTTATAACCCCAATTAATACCCCCTTATAACCCCCAGTTGTATCAATTTTTCTCTTATTTTTTGTTGAGTAGGAATTTGTAAACCTGGCGGTATTGCAAATTGTATTAAAGGAGGTTGAATATTAAATTTTGTTGGATTACTATTTAAATTTCTCCTGTTATTTGATAATTGGGCTGTAGCAAAGTTGTTATTAATTGGGAAAGAATTTTGAATTGAAACATTGGCAAAATTATTAGAAGCGTCATCATCACTTTCCTCTCGTATTGGAGGTGCTCCAGCCCTTATAGCAGTATCCGGAGAAGAGGGTTGTTGTTGGGGAGCAACAGGAAGGTTAACAACAGGGTTAGCTACAGGATTAGCTACAGAAGAAGGAGGATTAACAACATCCGCGCTTCTTGTATTTACTGTTGGATTTCTTGTATTGCCGGTTAAACCTTAGCAATATTTTTAAGAAAAATATAAAGAAAAATCCCCAAACCGTCAAACCCCAACAAGGAGAGAAGCAACGGCATTCCAAGTAAACCACCGCCATCATTACAAAGTCCACAGGTGGCGGCGCCTTTTTTAAATTTTGGTAAAAAATGAAGATAAAAATGATCTTACAATTAGCACGCATACAAAGGGCCTTAAAAAAATAAGGGATTTTTCTTAATTTTTAAAACCCTCAAAAAAAATTCCAAAAAACATACATAAACAGGTAAAGCACAATAAAATGTATAAAGAGCACAATTTAAAGCCAAATCCCTGCATAAAACCAGGCTAAGTCGAGCTCTAGGTCCTCCTATATTAGAACGGGGAGATGACAACAAAAGGGCTAGCAAAAGACGAGTTAGCAGCAAATTTGAACTGAAGAATAATAAATCTAAAAAATGACTTACGCTGCTCAAATAATTTTTTACCCCTTCTGGGTAATCAATAGAGGGCAATTATTCAAATTCTGAGATTTGAACGTGCAGTAAGGCATTTGGGGGAGGGTAGTTGTCTCAATCTCTCTTTAAAAAAATTAATCGAGAAGACAATTATTTGAGGAAGGGTAATTATTCGAGCATATACAATAGCTAGTGTTAAACACCTCCCACCACCATTAGTCCCATTTTGAAGTGTTGTACAACAAGCTCTAGTACGCGTAATACAAGTACAGACAGCAGGACAATCAGGAGGGCATTCCCCACCAATACAAGCTTTAATTTAGAAAAAAAAACACAATCTTTAAAAATTTTCAAAAAAATTTACTAACGTCCATAGAAAACTTGATTACTAGGACAAGCATTATTAGGAATAGGTGAGGTGGCATTACTTTGATTTACAATACAATATAAAAAAATAATAATAAAAGGTAATAGATATTGATATAAATATATTCTCATTAAGAGAATAAAAAGCATTTTTTGGGAATAGAGAAGGGAGGAAAATTTTTTTAAAATGGATAGGATTTGGGAAGAGTCAGGAAAAAATTTTTTTATTGGGATTTTTAACAATCCTTCAATATCTCTTTCCTTTGTTTTGATTATTGTTTTATTATTATTAGCACATCCATGCGTTAAACAAATAATTAATAAGTGAAACAAAAAAGAAAGAAAATAAATTTTTTTTAGAAAAAGTATATGGGGATTAGAGGCAAGTAAAAGGCCAAATTAAATAAAAGGATAAATTAGACAATCAGTTGATAACTTAAAAATGTAAAAACTAGGGTTGTTGGTGTGTTATTTTTTAACCAAACCGACCCCGAAAACCGGAGGTACCCGATAATCGAGGTACCAATAACCCTAGTAGAAACCCTCATCTTTCAACCAAACCCCAATCTTTGCCCCAATGCTTGTCCAATAGTTTGTAAATTCAATCCTGGACCCCCAATCGTTCCAAGTGCTTGATTTGCACTGTTTGCAAGCCCTTGGGTTTGATCTAAGAATCCTTGTATTCGTCCAATTGTGTTTGAACCATAAGGAAGTTGCTGTTGTTGAGGTTGTTGAAAGCCTCCTCCAAATCCTTGTTGGAGACCTCCAAACGGAAAAAATCCTCCTCCAAAATTTCCTCCCCCTCCAATCTGTTGTTGTCCAAAACCACCTCCACCACCTCCACCTAGGAGCATTTGTAAAAGCCTTTGATTAACAAATTGTGGATTGTATAAAGGGCATATCCCACATGAAACAGGACAAAAATTTAACATATTTGTAGAATAGAAGCAAAGAAAAGAGAAGGGGGCTGAAAAAAATTTTTCTTAATTCTATTAATAGGTCAAGTTTTTGAGTGTTACCACAGTTATCTGCTTGATCATAACAGCCCCAACTACCACCACCGCCCAACATTTGTTGTTGCTGCCTTAGAAGTAACAACATTAGTAAATAATTATTTAATTGGCCAATTTGTTGGCCGCCATTTTGTAGGCCATATTGTTGTTGATCTCCCATATATGGTTGTTGTTGTTGTTGATTTTGTTGTGAATTTTCGTTTATTCTATTCCAAAAATCGTTTTGGACTGAACTAGCTGGATAACTTGAAACAAATGAATTTTCAAGTAAAAGGTTTTTGAACTACTAACTAGAGATGTCCAAGGCTGGACCACAAGACCAAGACCGAACAACAAGGCCAAGACTGAACCCCAAGAACGAGACCCTAGACTGGATCCCAAGACCAAGTCTGGACAACAAGACTCTTAAGTCACTAGATCATGACTTTCCCAAGACCGAAACTTGACTGCAAGAGGAAGACTGACCCCTAAGACAAAGACTTGACCCCAAGTTCTAGACCGAAAAAAGTCTAAGTCTAGGAAGTCTTGGACATCTCTATTAACCAACCAACAACTATTCTCAACACAATGACAGCCAAGTGGACAAGTTGATGGACAAGTTTTTGGAGTGCCCGGTAAACAGGCTAATAAATTGAAAAACATTATTCAAAGGAGGAAAAAATACAAACGTCCAAAACTTAATTCTTCAGAAGAACAAACACCGTCTTGAGCAAAAATCAAAATATTATTAAAAATTTGGCAACAGGAGAAGAATAATAAAAAATAGAATAAAATCCAAAAATTATTAAAATGAATAAAGTGAAGCATTTTTAATTTTAAAAAATTTTTTGGAAGGAGAGAAAAATTTTGGGGACAGAGAGAGAGAGAAAAAGAGAGTAAAGACAAGTTATCAAAACTCAAATTTTAGAAGAATTTAATTAGCATCTATGGATTTTTTAAAGTTTGAAAGAGAAATGAAGAAAAAAGATTTTTATAAAAAATGTTTGAGCAGCTTTTTTTTTTAAATTTTTATGAGGAAAAACGTGTGTGACTCATAAAAGATTAAAAAAATTAATTTTAAATGCTTTAAGATTCAAATAAAAATTAGCAAGATAAAGAAAGCCCCCCCCCCCCCCCCAAATCTCCCCAGATTAAATTTTTGAACAGATTATTTTTAAAAAATTCTCTTTCTTTTAGTTGCAATAATTAAATTAAATTTAATATTAATTTTAAATTTGAAAAAAAAATACAAAAATAGCTTATTGTTATCTTTTTAATTAAATTTTTTTAATTAAGGTGTGCCGTGCCATTCATTATAAATATTTTTTAAATTTATTTTTTTCTATTTATGTATAATATATTTATTTTTTAATTAATTTTATTATTTACTATTTACATAAATTCTAGGTGTATTTTGTGTTAGCTAATTAGAAAGAAAATTAAATCAAAATTAAATAAAAATTAAATTAGTAGATACACAAACCCCAAAATTTTTTTTATTAGATTTAAAACAAAGATCAACTAGCATCTCATAAATCAAAAATTAATTAAATATTCAAAAAAAAAACCCGACAGAAAAAAAACAAACAAACAAATTTCTCATTTTACACCTCAATAACTTTTTCATTGTTTTAAAAAATGTTGACCAATTTACACTTGAATTACTCACAAATATTTAATTTGCACTTAAATAAAGCGTGACAGTAAATAATATAACAGAGGCTTTTTTTCAACAAAAAATTTTTTTGCCATTTTTTTTAATAAGGTTAGCATGACAGTAAAAAGTAGACATAGTGGTGGGTAGTCACTCTTTTTTGAAAAATTTTTTTTTTAATTTTGTAGCTCATTAAATCTCAGCTTTATCTTTCTTTTAATGACTCACATCCTATTTAACTCAAGCTTGATTAATACTCCTCCCTTTTTACAATTTCTTATAACTCACATTTGACGTAAACCACACACACACTACACTAAACTAATACTAATGCGCCTAAAACATCAAAGTTTAAAAAATCTCGTCACAAAATTTTCCACAAAAAAAAATTCCAAAAAAATCCGAATCCTTTGGACTTCAAATATCATCATAGCAAAAATACTACTAACATTAAGGGACTTCAAAAATCATCCATATCAACATCAGAAATATCATTAACATAAAAAAATAAACACTAAACTAATTAGTACCCCTCTCCAAATCGCTCCTTACCCCAAACCCAATCCTTTTGAAGCCTTTTTTCTCTCTGACTAAATTAATGCACCTAAAACATCAATGTTTAAAAATCTCATATCCATTCCTTCCAAAAAAAATCCAAAAAAAATTAAAAAAAACCAAAAGCATAACCCTTACAAACCCTCAAACACAATTAACCTTAAAAATATACATATTCTTTCCAGCTTTTCTTTTATTTACCTTTTTTTTATTAATTTTCCTTTTTCACTTTTTTTCCAAGTCTCATTTACAACATTGCGCCAGACGACCGGCGGCACACACACAAATTTTTTTTGTTTAATTTTCAAGCCTTTTCTAGACTTTTTTCTAGAGACTTTTATGCTTACATTTAAGCTAGTGTTGGCTTTTATCTTTCCTTTCTCTCTATTTTTATTTATTTATATTTTTTTAAATTCGGTTTTAGGCTTAAAATATATTTCTGCACTCCTCCAAAAAACACTCTCCCTTTCCCTTCCCTTTACTTATTCAATGCATTATTTTTTTAAATTGCCAATTTTAGTAAATTAAATTTTTTTCTTCTCTCAATATATAAATTTAAATTGCGGCTTTGCCTTTTAAAAATTTAATTAAAAAATGTAACAAAAAATATAACAATGTAGTAATTGATAGAAAAATCTCCCACTCAATTTTTTGAATTTATAGAGGAGTTGCGCGCGACTACAAAAATTCTTTTTTGAAGAAATAGTGTTGAAATGCAAAGAGAATACATTAATAGCTAATCTTGCTGGTAGGGTTGTCAGTTCTGGACAAAACCAAATCGGAGAACCAATGGTTTTTCGGTTCGGTTCTTCGGTTTGGTTTTGGATATCCAAAGGATTTCCAGGAACAGACAAAACTACTTGCTAGGAAAAATTTTTTATTGATAAAATAATGTTGAAATCCCATTTGAATAGTTAAAGTCTCGTTAGAAAAACAAGCTTGGTTTTATAGCCAAAAAAATTTTTTCCTGACTAAAAAAATTTTTTACTTCTCTCAATAGCCGTTGACAAGTTTAATTAGTCCCATATATTATGTAAGAAGCTAATAAGCCACACAATAATGTGTACATATCGATAACTAATTTTTTTTATTTTTACTATTTTTCTCGATGTTTTTTACTAAAAAAAGAAACCTAATAGTATTTTTAATATTTCCATTTTTAGTGGCACGAAAATAAAAATAATAAAAAAAATTTTGAACCTATACAATAATTAATTTAAAAAAAAAATAAAAAAATGATAGCAACTAAATCCAGTATTTTACAACATTATTCTCTTAATCATTCCAATTTTTGTCTTATATTTTTGTTCTTAATTATGTTTCAATACACTACAATGGCACTTTATATTATTCAACCAGAAGAATTATTAGCGTTGAAACAACAAGCGAATGATGAGAGGGATGAACTTGAACTGGCTTTAAGGTAATAGTAAAAGAAAGGTGAAAGTTAAGCGCAAGGCAGGCACTGAGATATCATGGCAATTATTGCTAGGAGCAGTCGCTCACCAGGAACAGTTGATTGAGCAGCCACAAAGTCACCTATTTCACCTTCCTTTTTTAAAAGACCTTATTTAATCCCCGCCTAGTAAGCATTTCCCCCTTCTTCCTTGCATAATAAAGGAACTTGATGATAAAACATTCCTTGATATCGGACTAAAAATGGCATAATAGGAAAGAAACGTTGGATAGTAAAAGATAGGAAAGATGGGAGAGTTGATTTAAAAAATTTTTAAATTCAGATGGCGATCACTTCAACAAGCGTTAAAAGGAAGAATTGATGATTTGATGGATAAAGAAAGGTAAAATAATTAATTAAAAAATAAAATTAAAAAAGTTTTTTCCTTAAAGATTACTTGCTTTGCTTGAAGAACGAAGAAATCAAATTACACGAAACAAAAGACAACAACCAATAATATTTATTGAACCAGAATTTGAAGAAAACGAAAAAAATGAAATTGATGAAAATGATCAACAAGATGAGGATGATGGAGAAAATGATGAACCAATGATGCTAATACTTGAAGAAAAGCAACAACCAGAACCACCACAATTTTTAGATGATAATCAACTATTCTTTATGCCAGATTAGAGAAACCCTGATGAAAAATTAATTTAATTATATTAATTATTCTTTAACATATCCTTCCTTATATTATTGTAGTGCGCAGCACATATCTCTCTCTCTTTTCATTGTCACCTATCAATGAACCCCTGTTCTTCCCGAAAATCGGGAAGTCTTAACGTTTTTGGGATGGGAATTCCGAATCTTGAAAAGGGGAATTAAACAAATAGGGAATTAAAAAATAGGGAAAATTTTTAGCCCCTTTCATTATTACCTATATCATTGAACGTTCCCAATTTTTCGGATTTCTGAACATGTCGTAAATCCACGCTTCCAAAAATTTATTTCTTATGTAGGCACGTTCCCTTGTACTTGTATGTATTTTATTTTTAAAAAATCTGAATCTCTTTTTATTAAATTTTCTAGTCCAATTACATAAATTACTCTTTTTTTAACCTATCCAATTGAATTATTTTTTTTCTAAAAAATTTTTCTATTATATAATTAAAAAAATTTTTTGTTCACATAGATGTGCGCAATTTCAATTTTTTAATTTTTAATTTTTTTTTGCATTTTTATTTTTAAAAATATTTTTAAAAAATTCCCTTCCTCTTTTTTTATTTACCCAATTAATTGTTACTTAGCTAAATTTGTTTCCCTCTATTAAAATTTAAAAAAATAAAATTTAGAAAACTAAATAAAATTTTTTTAAAGTCCAAACAATTTTTAAAAATTAAAAATAAATTAAATTACCTAAAAAATATTTTGTATCAAAATAATTAGACTAATGTAAAAAAATATTTTGAAAAAAATTTCTCCCAAAAAAATTCACTCCCCACAAAACCCCTTCCAAAAAATTTCTTCCCAACAAATATTTACAAACACAACAACATTGAAAAAAATAATTAATTATTTATACTACTAGGACCACCACCAACGCACTAAAAAAATTTTTTTTCTTAAAAAAATAAGGAAGAAAAAAAATTTAGTTTTTTTATTTACACTTTAAGTCTTTTGTCTTTCCAAAAATCCCTCGAAAAATTCGAAAAAAATTTTTTTACGTCAGTTTTTTCCTTTTTTTCTTATTATTTTAACTTTAAAGCCAATTCTAAATGAATAAACAAAGCGGAAAATCTTAAATAAATATTGTGTTAAAATAGAAAATTTTTTGGTTTTCTTCTTTAAAAATATTTTTATATTTTTAGTCACGTTTATCCTCATTTATCTTAATTTTAACGTTCTAATTTTAAAGTTTTTTCTAGAAAAAAATATTTTTTGGGTAATTTTCTAACTTTACCCAAAAATAGTAAATTAACACAATTTTCTTAAAAAATAAAAATATTTACAAATTGCAACCCCTAAAATGACATTTTAAAAAATTATTATTACCATTTCTACTATTTATTATTAGCCTATTTCCGTCCCTTTAAAAACAATTCTGATTTTACATTTACAGTTTTATTTTTAAGTTTTTAAATAATAAAATAAACCTCAGAAAAAATCAGAAATAAATAATCCTTTTAAAAAAACCAGAAGTGCATAAACACCGAAAATCAGAAGTAAACAAAGCATGAGAAATCAGAACCTAATGAAAACCCTTCAGAGAAATAATTAAAGTAGTCCTCCCAGAAAATCAGAATTAAATAAAACAGAAAAAAATCAGAATTAGAAACCCTTCTCGTAAAAAATCAGAATTCAATAAAATAGAGAAAAAATCAAAAATAATTCTTCTCATAAAAAATCAGAATTACATAAAAAGAAAAAAATCAGAATCACATAATCTTCCACCTCCCAAAAAATCAGAATTAAGTAGAAACACATATTAAACACATCAGAAATAAGCCTGCTAAAAACCCCTCCAAAAAATAATATTTAATTAAATAACCCCTTTCAAAAAAATACAGACAAAAATCATAAAAACATATGCTCATTTCTAAAAATAAATCATTTAAAAATAAAAATAAATCACTCAAAAAAATCTATTTTTATATACCACGCTTAATTTTACGTCATCAATATTGTTTAGAAAAATCCCTACACAAAAAAGCCCACTTCAAAAAAATTTTTTCTTCCTAAAAAATATTTATTTATTGCCAATTTCCGTTCCCCTCCTCTTTTGAAATGTTGCCAATCCAGAAAAAATAAAAAATTAATTTTTTGAGATTTTTGAAGACACTTATATCTTCCCATTATTTTTTGGCCCTCTTCATTTTTCCTTTAAATCTTCCCTAGTTCCTATCCTCCCAAAAAGCGTGCCAAATTTAAAAAAATAAAAATGAGTAATAAAAAAGATTAAAAATTAATTTTACTAATAAAATCTGTCAGAGAAATAAAAAATATAAAGCAAAAATAAGAGAAAAAGAAACAAAAATATAGGAGTGGTTCCCCTTACCCACACGCCCATTTTCTACCTTAAATACTCACTGCTTTCTCAATATAAATTTATTAAAAAAATATTCTAGGGTGGTCATTGTTTTTTTTTGTTTCCAAAAATTTTTTTTGAGTTTACTAATCAGAGTGAAAAACCTTTTTTAGCTTAGTTAAAAACAAAAAAAGGGTTGGGCAAGGGTTGGGTTAATTTTGCTTTTTTTTCTGCTTAACCTGAGAGAAAATTTATTTTAAAAAAAAATAAAAAATTTGTCATCATAACCTAAAAAGGGTGTAAATATTTAAAATTAGCTTAATAATAAAACGAAAAAATTATTATTTAAAAAGCTGCAATTTTTTGTTCAAAAAAATATTTTCAGCAGAAAAAACAGAGCTTTTTTAAATTAATAATACACACAAAAAGAAATGCTTGTCTAGCTTTCAGATAATGCTTGATAAATTTTACCCTAGAGCGTGATTTATAAATTATTCCCAAGCGAGACATATTGACAAAAATATTTTTTTGGTCCAAAAAATTCTTTTCCTTTTATTTATAAAACTTTTTGAAGAATTTTATTAAATTTTAATTAAAAATCGCTCTTTTTCTCTTAAAAATACTCCACTTTTTCCTTAAAATTACTCGTTTCTCCCCAAAATTCTCTAAATTTCCACTAGAATCCTCGCTTTTTCTCTTAAAATTATTCAAAATTTTTCACAAAATTCCCAATTTCTCCCCTAAATTGTATAAACTTCCCTTAAAAATCCTCCACGTTTTTCCTTAAAATTCTCCTGTTCTCCCCTTAAAATTCTCTAAATTTCCATCTTTTTTATCCACCTATTTTTACATAACCACTAACTTTCCATTCTTATCAGAATCACGAAAAATCACTCACTCTCCACAAAAAAATGGCAGCAGCAAAACTCATTTCATCATCATCCACAATCAACGCTTTAAATCGTTTTCTACTTCCCCTTACTTTAATCACAATATTCTTCTATACCTCTTCAGTTCACTCATTTACAGCATTGGAAGGATCAGCAGGATTAACAGAAAAGGAGATGGATGATAAAAGGGCTAATATTCCTGTTCGAAACCCTTATTCATGGATGGCTTTGATGGAGGGACCACAGGTTAGTTTTTAGTTGAGAGATTAAAAAATTAGAAAAAAATTTTTAAAATCCAATTATGGTCAAAATGATAGGTGATAAAAAGATAAACAAAAATCAAAAAAATGTTAGATGATAAACTAAAAGAAATCAAATTAAAACCAAAAATACTAAATAATCTCCAAATTTTTTGCAGCCACTAGAAAAACGTTCAGCCCTTCGACGACCCCAAAACCCTTATTCATGGATGGCTGGTGGAGAACCAAACTCAGAATGGACAGTAGAAGGCCTTCGACCATTCTCTGCTGCTGCTAAACGATTGGTTGTTGCTAGAGCTGGAATTAGTCGAAATCCTTATTCTTGGACTAATTTTTAAATTTTTTTTTAATTTTTTGTGTAAATAGCAGGTGAGGCTGGTGAAGAGAAGACATTTTGGACAGCGGAAAGGAACAAAATTTTTATAATCAAACACAATTATTTATGTAGATATATATTTTTTATTCCCATATATAAATAATATTTTATTTTATACCCAAAAATGGATAAAAATTGCAAGCATATTAATAAAAAATGAATAAAAAAATTTTTTTAATAAAAAAAATTTCGGTACTCTTCCGTTATCCTTACAGGATAACTACATGTTTTTGTGAATTTTTCTTGTATTTTTTCTAAAGAATTCCTTATCATTCCCCACCCTATATCAGTGTTTAATGACATAGATTCTGTCCGTATATTTGAGTTTTTGACCATTTCGAGCCCTATATTCTTGACCATCTAAAACACTATAGTTCAGCCCAAAGTTACAAGCCTCTCATGATTTTGATGTGATTCGACTCAACTCGCGAGCTCTTTTGGGGATAAGGGGGTAACGGAAAAGTACCAAAAAATTTCCTTTTCAAAGAGGACAAGGATTAGCAGAATTAGCCCTTAATCTTTTCTGTTTTGTAACACCTCCACCACCATAATCATTATTATTATTACAACTAGCAACAGTTAAAAATGTTGATGACATTTTTTGTCTATTAATATTACAGCTGTTTTGTTGTCTTAATCCAATACCAGAAAATACACATGATGGTGTTTCTGCACCGCCAAATGAAGAAACTTTAGGTGGTGGAAGAAGACAATCGAGAAATTTAAAATTGCGCAAAAGAGAAATTAGATGAGCACGGTAACTGCAAAAAAATAAAAAGTAAGAAGAGGATTTCAAGACTTCAAATAATGACCAAACACAAAATAAAACATCAAACACAAGATTAGAGACATGGCAAAAATAAGCGAGAAAAAATAGGAGGAAATCGGGTTTTACGTAAAAAAAGGCTCCATCAAATTGCCTGTAAATCCCGAGGCATCAACATCAAGCAAACACAAAACATGAAACATCTTTACCTACTATTAATAACTGATAAACTGATAAAATAATAACGAGGAGGAATTCAAGTATTCTCCCCCAAAAAATATTTAACGACACAACACAAGAAACTAGACAACATCAACCAAACACAAGGAACTAGAACAAAAATAAGCGAAAAAAATTTTTCTAATTATTTACCGAGAAGAAAATCTCGCATAAAATAAAGCTGAAGATGCTGAATTAATTAAAACTAAAATATTGTTAATGTCGTTTAAAAGAAATCCAGTAGATGAACGAAAAAGACGAGGGATGAACATTTCAAGAACATTTAGACAGAGTGAAAGAAAATAGCAAAATACAAATACTGAAAAAAAAATTTTTTGTAAGTCCTTCTCTCCAGTAAACAATAAAATTCATCCCCTCGCCCTACTCATTCATTAAAAAATTTTAACCCCAATAAATAATAACATCCTGCCCTCCCAATAATTAATTATGATTCATTCCCCTTCCCCCATTTATTTAAAAAAATTAAATTTAAAAGTAAAAAATTCATGTCCCAATAATTATTATTATAATTAAAATTCATCCCCTCGCCCTACCCCACACATTAAAAAATAAAAATTGAACAGAAAAATATTTTTGTAAAAATAAAGAATCCTAAAACTCCCTCCAATAATTAATTCCCCTTTCAGCATTAATTAAAAAAATTTTTTTCCTTTAAAACAACCCCCAAATAATTAAATTAATAATTAAAATTCACACCCCCAATCTCCTCACTTCATTAAAAAAATATTTTTTAAATAAAACTCCCCACCTAAAACAACAACAAGCATCATTGCAGCAGTACTTTGTTCACGGCTACTTGCTTCAACTGATGAAAGTTCTGTCCATAACATATTCTTTCGTCTTTCCCTTGCTGCCAAAATAGAACGTGCAACTTGTAAATTCAAAGGGCAGAGCACACATAGTGGCAGTAAAAATTGACTTAAAGTTGTTGCCAAATTTTGATAAAGTAACATAAATAAATAGTCATCACTGTAAAAATAAGATAGTATACTAATTATTTTTTCCGTTGGATCTTCCAACGGAAAATTTCGTTCCTGACTCTATGGAATCAAGGAATTGGAAGGGTTTGCAAATAAGGCATTTGTTTGACTCACAATCAAAACCTCCTACCCGAGGAAGGCTTTGAATTTTATTCTTCTCCGACTATGAGAAGAATCTCTCACCCGACTAATTAAATTCGCATTGGAAGGTCATAAAACTCTATCACCAATTTTAAGGAAACAAGCAAGAATCGGAAGGGTTACCCTAAATAAGGACTTATTTGACTTGAATCTTGACCCGAGGAGTTTGAAATCTCTGGCGCGTTATTTTTCTTAAGAGTTGCGACATTTCGTCAACAGGTCTATCATCGAAACCCGACCCTTAAAATAGAGAGCCTTCAAAAATCGATCTTCAAGTACGGAGTTTTCCGCAAGTTAAAAAAATTAAAATTTTTAACTAACCGTAAAAGCCCAACAATTTCTCCATTAGAGTCAATACGATATTCCCAAAAGCGAACCAAATTGTAAAAGAGCGAAAACAAAAAAGTTGACAAAACAATTAATCTAGCCCTCTTTACAGTACAATGAATGCGTATGGAGAAAGGGTAACAAACAGCTAGCCATCTATCAATAGTTATACCAACAAGCATCTTTAAAAGAAATTTTTAAAAAATTTTAAAGAATCAAAAGAAAACATACCCAAACAGACATAGTTTGTGCCATTAAACATAAAGGATAACAAAAAACAAGCAAATGGTTGGCTAAAGAAGGGGGTAAACCTATTTAAATGAGAAGAATTTTGAAAAAAATTTTTTAAAGTAAATTACCAGGAATTAAATGTTGAAGTTGTGCAAGTGAAAATACTGGTAAAGCGAGTATGCAAAGAGATAAATCTGATGCAGAAAGACCACAAAGAAGTACCTGAAAGAAATATTTAAATATAAAAAAATGGAAGGAGGAGGAGAAAGTGACATTGCGGGAAAGGATAGGAAAATCAAAAAGTATGAAGGTCTAGAATAAAAGGTGGGAGAAGGAGTGAAAAAGTGGGAAGAACAGACGTTCATCCTGGCCCTAGACTACTGATTTTGACTTGAAATCATAATCAAGGATGGCAGAGGATAGGACAGACTAAAAGGAGTCGCGATGCGATAAACACAAAGACTTGGGAAAATCAAAAGATTTTAAGGTCCTCGAACCAAACAGAAAAAATCTTCAGTTCTTCGTTAGTTTCCTAATCCAAAAAATTTCTCCAGGTTCAAAATCAGAATCCCGGATCCCAAAAAAATATTTAAAAAATTCAAAACAAACATTAATCGACCGCCGTCTAGATGAAGCCTTTGCAAATATTATCAAGCTCAATGTGTTTGTAACAGTTCCAGCAACACAGAGAAAAGCCATCAAAACAGCAAACACCAAAGAGAGTGAAGGGAGAAAATCTTTAAAAAATAATAAAACTGAGAGGATAAATTTAAAAAACCTTGATTGTCTAAAAGTGGAATTGAGTCAAATTGTTGTTCTTCAGTAATATTTTTAGAATTATCGCTGTTCATTATAAATAAATAGTAATCTAAATTAAAAAAAGAAAAATGATTAATTGAAAATAAAAATAAAAAATGACGAGGAGGTCAAAACAATCAATTTTTCGATTCGATTCTGAATCGACAACACTAGTCAACGGAGAGAAAAAAATAGGAAAAAAATATGAAAGGCCTAGAGCGGTAAACTACTGGGGATTTAGCTTCGGGAGCAAGTTCCAGATTTAACTTCGAACCGAACCGATTGAGAAAGGTCGGAGTCACAAAACGATAACAAACGAATGGACCAAGAAAAAACTTTTTCAAACAAATATTTTAGCAAAAAAAATATTTTAAAGAAAAACATGGAAATGAGAGGAATTCAAAAATGAACACGAAAACATTTAAAAATTAAAATAAAATGTCGTCGATGCTTTTTGCTTCCATTTTTGCAATTTCTAATAAAGAAAATTGTGCTATAAATTCTCCAGGGAAACAAAAAAAAACGATTATAAGAAATTGGAAAACTTTTAGGAAAACGATGAGGGGAGAGGAAAAGGTTAAAATAAATAGGGGAAAGAAACCTCTCTTTGACAGATGCTTAATTAGTGGGGGTAATGCTTATAGCTTCTTAAAAAGGAAAGTAATCTTTTGAGAAGAAAGGAGGTCAGAAGTTAAAAAAGAAGAAAGAAAAAAAGATTTTTAAATTAATTAAGAAAGAAAATTTTTTAGAGGGTTTGTTTATAATCTCGTTTCTAAATGAAATCCCTACCAGGGATGAGGGGTTGAGAGAAGAGCGGGTTGGGTTTCGAGTTGGTGTTTGAAAAAGAAAATTTCTCGGTCAGGTTTTGAGTAATTCTGTCCCCTACAAATCCTATTCCTTACATGAAACGATTAAAAGAAATTGGAAAACCAAGAATCTGTCAGAATCTGGTCAATCAAAAATCACCTACAAAACCACCTAACATAAAAACTAGAGATTGGCCTGGATCTAGAAAGCGATCTTTGGATCCAGAGTCTAGATCAAGGCAATTTTTCAGTATTACTTGATTTTTACCGGTCATGAATCTGGTCATGAATTGGTTTTTCTAAATTGGTCGAGAATCTGGTCAATCAAAAAAATCAATCAAGGGCCCTCAACCAAGATTTTGGTTGAAAATCTTCAAACTATACCAAAATCACGGCCTAAAGCTTTTAAAATTTCCGAAACATTTTTTCGATTTTTTAAAATAATTTGCGTGGGCCTAGGAGAGATTCATCATAATAGAATAAATGAAAGAAAATAGAAAAGAATGTGTGTGTTGCTAAATGACGAAAATAAAATAAATATATATATATATAACAAATTAAATTTTAAATGCCACTAATCTCCCTCACATTAATATGGATTCCTTTGCATATAAATACTTTGCGCAATGTTTTAACTTATTGTTATTGAAAAGGGGATTAGTGTGTGGATAAAACAATTCTTTCTCATTTTGACAATTAAAATAAAAAGGCAGGATAATTTTCCCTTTTAATATCCCCCTTACGGAAATAGGTAAACCAAGGAAAAAAGCTCGTGTTTAAACGAGCCAAATTTTTTTTCTAAATTAAGTGGTTAGTCCGGAAATTGATTTTAAATGAATACTTTTTTTTGGTGATTTTATTAATTAATGGATAGAGCAAAGAATTTTTTTAGACAAAGAAATGATTTTTTGCAAATTAGAGTGAAATTGGTAAATGTAAAGAACCCCAGGGACTTTTCTGAAGGGAGCGAACCGTAATATCTAACACCGAAAAACCAAATACCAAAGATGGTTCTCCAAAAGGGTTCCCCCAAAAGAGGGTTTATAAAAAAACCAAACCTCCAAGGAAAACCCACTAAATTGAAAACAAACATATAAAGTGAATAATCAAAATATGAAAATGAGAGGTGTTTATCTCCAGTGACTGAAAACTGGAACTGATTGTGAGAAACGAAAAGAATAAAAAACAAAGAACGGAAAGAAAAAAGAAAAAACAAGAAACTGAAGAAAAGAATAATAAGAAATGACTAAAGAAAATCAAAAACTTAAAATGGATCCTTGGAATTTTTTAAAAATCTGTCCTATTGTCAGGTCCAAAAACCCCCCCAAAAATTTATTACAAACCTTGAAATTATTGTAAATTCACTGTTCAATAATTAAAAGAAAATTTGAAAATTATTTAAATTTGCTTGTTTTTTGAACCAAATAAAGTGGACGTCTGTCGGAAATGAATTAAATGGCGCCATCTCTCATTTTTTTACAACACCAAGCAATCTAATAAAATGCCAACAAAAATATATATTACTTTTAGTGCCAAATGAAAAGCTAAAAAAATATAAAAATAAAGAAAATTAAATTGAAAAAAAGACAAAAGAAAATTGTTTATTGGAGAGAAACCCTTCATTTTTTTGTCATAAAATGAAAGGGTTTCTTAATTTTAATTGTTCCTATAATGCTAAAAAGTAGTTAGGGAGGGAGCAGGCCCAAGTATCTCGAATTTGTTTAAAATTATCGAAGCCGGGACAAGCTGATATGGTTCGATTCGCCTTGTCGAGGAGCATCGAACCATACCAGACCGTCCCGGATTCGATAATTATTGAACGAAGTTAAAGCTTGTAAAATGGGCATGGGGGTGTACCCGTATTATATAACGAGAGGTCTGACTGTATTAGAAAAAAATAAAAAATGACAGGGCTTCCCAATCTTAATTGTTTCTACTAACAATAAGTGGATAATGAAAAGATAAAGTTAATTACTGTGAGAAGATTATTTTATTGAAACCACACAAACAAATTATTTTTTTTGTCAAAATTAATCATTTTAAAAATAAAATTTGGTAAAAAATACCAATAACAACCAAAATAAACAAAAAAATTTTTTTGTCAAATTTTATTAACGCACGAGAAAAAATATATAAATATACTAAAACGAGCTCCACGGCTGAGAAAAATAAGTATATGATGAAAAATACATCAGTATAGAAATCATTTAGTATAGAAAAAATTAGAATAATTAGAGCGGTCATATTAATAGAATCAGAATTATTTATTGGAATAAAGCAAAATAGGAGCTATTCCGGAAAAACTTAAATACGGATGGGAAAAGTCGGGTTGGGTTTCGAGTCAAGTTTTAAAAATTTCTACGGTTCGGGTTAGAAAAAAGTCCGAATTTCGTGTCGGGCCATTTTGTAGGATAAAAGGAGAAAAGTTGGGCCGGGGTTCGGAACGAAAAAGATTCAGGGTTTCGTTGATCGAGCAATCAGTCCCTCCTTGTTACATAGTAAATTAATTCTCCTATGAATAATGTATAACCTTTCGGGGAATAAAACTACTCGAAAAATATATACATTGAATCTACCCATATTTAATTCAGAAACCAATTGATAGTTATATTACCCTTCCGAAACCTAATAGAATTCAAGTTTACCCGGAAAGTAGCTATTTACAAAAAATTCAGAGTTTCCGTGACTTATTCCCCAAGAATAAAATTCTGATTCTTTTGTGAAAAACACAAAAATGAATAAAGGACCACACTCTAATTATATTTTTTGTATATTAATATAGAAAATATTTAAAACAACCTTTTAATCCCATAGATTCTGATCGCAAATAACAAAAAATTTTTAAAAAATTTGCAAATTGTTTCAAGTCATTTCCGGAGACGGACTCTTCTCATTCTGTTCACTTCCCCTCGCATACATCAAAATTAATTGCTTCATTCGAGATGTGTCTTTTGGTAAAGTCAAGTTTTGATGCCCTCCACCAGATTTGGCCAATTTGCTTGGCAAAGTATTACTTCCACTCATACCACCCAAAGCAGGATTATGCCCTTCAATCATCTTTGCTACACGTTCCCATAATGCAGCCTCATCACTGGTGTCGTCAATTTTATTCGAGGATTCAGTTAATGTTAGTTGGCGTTCTCTGGAATTAAAAAACCAGTTTAATCTGAAATCAGTCAATAAGGACCAACAAGTTTACGTCTAAAGGAGTCAAGTTTAAGAAACGGAAGAGAAGGAAGAAACCCGTTAAGAAATGAAAGAGATTAAACCGGTAAAACCAAAAGAAAACCATCCCTCTGAACTAAAAAGGGTAACAGTGGGAAGTCAACAGTGAGAGATCCATCCAAGTATTTACATCGACCCAATGGAATTTCCTATCCCATAACATAAAATTTAAATGATTCATCAAGCTAAAGTCCTACTAAAACTGATCCGAAAAATAATTTTAAAAACTAACTGATTCTGCTTCTTTCTCAACTCCAGTTGTGTCTTTCGTTGAGCATAGAACTGTTCCAATTCCTTTTTGGCTTGCTGACGAAGCTCCTCCTTTTTGGTCTCCTCTTCCTCATCTAAAACCAAAAATAAATTTTAAAAAATCAAAGCAAAATAAACCTTTCAACGCAATCATTTGAGCTTGCTGCTCACGCCATTTACGTATCTTCTCTGGCTCCTCTTCAGGTTGAGTGCTCTGACTTCGAGATCCATTCGTTCGGCTACCTAGAAAAAACAAAATTTTTTAAAAATGACTGGCAGTCTGACTTACTGGTATAATTTTCAATGTCATTGGCCAGCGAGGCAACGTTCACGTCAGAGTTAAATTGAGTCAAACCAAAACCGGAAGTGCCATTGGTCAATGTTTGGACTTCGGGAAATCCATTTTCTGTGGCTGAAATTGAAGTGATAATAAAATTGAGGAGAAATGGACGATTATTGGAGAAATTATTCCAAAGATAAAACAACAATTGATCAAAAATACCGAGTTTAGTGTCCAACCCCTTCATATATTTTTTCTTAGAATGTAAATAATGGTCAGGTATATATGGTCCACACGATTTCCGTGTAAGATATTCTTTTTCCCCTTTCCTGACCATTATGTCATTTGAAAAAAATATAGGAAGGGTGTAAGAAGCTCAGAAAATCAGAAAAACTAATAATACCATTGTTTTCCAATGTAGATCCAACAAGTTCAGGCTGAACAACAAAATCGTCACCAAGATCAGCTAACACAGACTGTTCTCTAGCAAGAAATTCGGAAACAGGGTCATTAGATTCCATTTTATTAGTCAAATACAAGTTAGAAAACCTGGAATTTAATGAAAATTTAGGAAAGATCAAGCGAAATCAGCGTAAAAAGATCAAAAGTTAATGACTACGTGGAGGAGAAAAAATAGTGTGAGAGTAAAAGAGAAAAAAGAAGAAAGGGGACTATTGAGTATCACGTATATAGCAAGAATTGAATTGAGACTCAAACTGCACAAAACATAATGCCAAAGAATTAAATGCGGCAAATTACAAAAGTAAACAGTAGATTTTTCTGAAAAATTTTTCTAAAATTTTAAAAACCTCCGGAGGTCGTGTTTTTGATTTTTTTTGTTTTTTCATTTGTTTTTTTTATTCGTTTTATGTTCCCCTTGCAGCGCAGCGAAAAATTTAACAAAAAATTTGATAAAAATTCGAATTTTTAACAAGGAAAAAAATTTTAAATTTATAGGCTCGACTCCATTGCTGTTGATGGTGGTTGTGGTTTTTTTGTTTTTTTTTGTTTTTTAAAATATTTTTCTAAAAGTATGAAATTGCAGGTGTGCTCAACTCAACGATGTGCTCAGCAAGAAGATGGCTCCCTGGCAGAATGGGAGCAAGGACAGGTTTTTTTGGCTTCATGTTTTGAAAATGATTTTTCCCTTAGATGCAACTCCAGCCTGGTGGACGCCAACATGGTGGTGCTGTTGGTGGACCTGCTACTTGTGGAGGGGTTAAATGGAGGTTTCTTGATTGTTCTAATTTTTAAAGATTTTTTTATTTAATAGGCCTGTTCTTGGCCTGATGACCTGCTAGTGGATGACGTGCTAGTTGTGGAGGGTTTGGATGGAGGTTTTTGTTTTTTTTTAATTATTAGATTTTTTTCGTTTAGGGCCTGTTCTCTCGGTCTGATGGTGGTGGTTGCTGATGGTGGATGTTGGTGCTGTGATGAGGCCTGCTCTCGGCCTGATGTGTTTGGAGCTGTTTGGTCTGCTGTGGTTTGGTGGTTGTTGGTGGGGGGATTTTTTTAAAAATTAAAAAAAAAATAATTAATGGTGGGAGGGGGTTTATTTCCAGCCAGGTTCAACTCCAGCAACTGGTGGCGTCAACATTGGTGGCCTCACCTTTCAACAACTCAACATGGTAAATTTCATTTTAATTTTGAAAAAAAAATTGCAAAAGCTAAAAATATGCGCGCGAGCTCTTCCCTTCTTTTATTTTTTCCTGTTGTCCTTGTCCTTTGTTTTTTTCACATTTTTTCAATCGTCTAATTTGGAGATTTTTTGAGATTTTAACAATACAGGTCATTTGGAATGGGTGGAAAAAGCTGCAGCAACTGATCATTGGAGGACATTCAGCAAAAATCCGGACAAGCAACAATCATAGTAAGCGAATCCCTAATTCAAGCAGTCGAAAGTGGAGGTTCGTGAGGGGTTTTGCTTGCCAGAGATCTAAAATTCAAATTTCTGGCATTCTGTTATTTTTTCGATAAATGACAATTAATCCAATCAATATAATAGGAAATAGTACAGGCGAGTGAGTTAGACACTTTTTTTTTGTTTTTAGTAAGGGTCGTTGGAGTCTGATAACCCAAATTTGTTGATAACTTTGTTTTTCTTTTTTAGCCAACAACTTTATGTCCTGTGACGGACTTTTAATTCATTTAGCTCATTCTTATATTGAATACTATACTGAACTTCTCGGCGAACTCTTCTTGCGATATTTTTGTCCCTACAAACCAGCAGCATATCCTCCGGATAAAATACCTTCTAACATGAACATGAAAGAACCTGCAAAATATGCAAATGATAAAACCTTGCCAAGTACATCAATAAATGAACAGAGACCAGGTTTTTTTTAATTTAATAATAATTTTTTGGTGTGTTTAAGATGTCAAAATGCGCAAAATTCGACGTGTTGGAACTACTTGTTGGGACTACCAAGCTAAAGAAAAGGATGAATTGTAAGTCCTAAAGTAATTTTTAGTTTATTTTTGTTCTTTAAAGGTCTTTCCGGCATGGTTCTGTTGTGGAGATTTTAAATGATGAAAGGTATTGAGTTTTAATTTTTTTCTAAATTTTGCTATGACTTGAGAAGGGTAATTTTAATGGGAAAATAGTTCCGATTGTCTAAAATAGGGAATACAAACATTTAACATAAGCTAGAATTTATTGGGTATACTCACAATATAATGCTCCCCAAGGGGGCAGAACGACTTACGGGCCCAACTTACGTTCCAACCTCCTGCTCCTCGACCAATTTAGTTTTAAATTATTTCATCCTTTCTTTTTTTCAGTTGTGAGGATGGTTGGGTCATGGCACGCATTGATAAAAAGAAGGGAATGGTCCCTGGAAATTATGTAAGAGAAAAAATTTTTATATCAATTTATTTTAATTTTTTAAGGTCGTTTTGGTTGGCACTGGACCAAATTTGATCAATTCTGAGGATGTTAAACGCGGAGATTTATTAGCTTCTGGAGGGTTTGCTAATGTATTTAAAGGATCTTTCAAAAATCAGGTAAAATTGGTTTTTTGTTTTGCCTGTTTTATTTTTGTTTTTGGCAGGAAGTTGCCTTAAAAATACCCAAATCGGGCACAGAGCAAAATCGGGAAGGTTTTTTAAATTTTTTTTTAGGAAATTCGTGTAATTTTTAAATTTAAAGATTTGGAACGAGAAGCCTTAATTCTTTCTAGAATCAAACACGAAAATATAGTTGGATTTTTTGGGTATTCATTAGATCCTCTTTTAATTGCTTTGGAGCTTTGTAGAGGTTTTTTTTAATTTTTTAAAAATATTTTAGAAATTTTTTTAAAAATTAAAAAATTTTTTAGGTGGTGCTCTCATTAATTTATATAGACGAATGGCTTCCTCTGATATTTTAACTGTTATTTGTTGGGCAAAACAGGTCGCTAGTGCAATTCAACATCTTCATTCAAGAGATGATCCTGTAATTTATGCTGATTTGAAAGCTGAAAATGGTTCTTGTTTTTTAACTTTTTTATTAGAGTTTGACATTTTCGAATTTCCGGTCGGGGTTTTTAAATTTTAGATCGGCCCAAGCCGGGGTTTCTGAGTTAGCATCATTCAATTTCATCAGAGGTCATTGTGGTCTGCTCTCTGACGGAGTGGTCCTCTGACAAATCTATCGGACACGCTGAGTACCCCAAAGATGGAATATTAACAAATATTAACAAGACCACACTTTTCTGGTCAGAAAACCCGATCCTGGACCATATTCGCTGTCGAATTTTTATTTTTATGATTCTATTTAATTTTTCTTTTATAGTTTTGATAAAAGAAATTCCTTGTTTATGTGGTTTAGATGATGAAAGTTGGAAAATTGTGAGTTTATTTATTTTCTTAGAAAAAGTGAAAATTCAAAGTTATAGGTGACCAATTATACAAAGAACAATTCTTGTCGTAAATGTAAAGGTTTAAGAATTGATTTGATTACATTAAAAATATCAGGTTAGTAAAAATTGGTCTAGTTTATGAGTCTAATGATTTTAGTTATAAGTTATTTTTTTATTGTACTCATAAAGCTTCTAGAGATCGATCTGGAGCTGGATCCTGACTTTTATTAGATCCAGACTCAAGATCAGTGATATTTTTCAGTGTTCCTTGATTTTTCTTATTGTTAGACTCAAGTCATGAATCAAATTCCTCAACTAAAATCAAGTCACGTTGTTTTAACAATAAGATGTTTACTCCCTAATAAGCGGAAAAATCATTGATAAAACTCACGCTTTGTTTGGACTCATAAACTACACAAGAATCATTTTCTAAAAATTCTTTCCAACAGATTTCAATGTCTCAAAGAATGGCACACTAATAAAAAATGATGAAAGTTGTGATGGTTCAGTTCCTTGGATGTCTCCAGAAGTTTTAGAATGTAATGGTGTTACAACAATGATAGATGTTTGGTCATTTGGTAAGAAAAAGAAAAAATAGTTGGCTAATTATTAGACTTGTTTTAATTAATTTTTTTTATTTTTAAAGCAAATTTTTTGTGGGAAGTGCTTTCAAGAAAAATACCTTACAAAAATCAAGGAATTTATACTATTCGGAATTTTGTGAGTTTTATTGATTTTTAGGGAAAAATTTTTGAAATTTTTGGGGAAAAAATTTTAAATTTTTTGAAAAATTTTTCAAAAAAAAATTTTTTTGACAGATGAAAAATGATTTGCCTCTTCCTTTACCTGATGATTTACCTTTGGAAATGAGAAAAATATTTGAAAGTTGCTGGAAAAAAATCCCAATTGAACGTTCACCAATTAAAGATGTTATTGAAATGTTGGATGTTGCTGAATTAAATATTGATAGTAATTATAAATGGGTAAGAATTTTTAGGAGGGTTTTTGTGAGGGGGGGGGGGAGATTATGTTAGAAATAAGGAAATTTTAGTTTTTTGGACAATTGAGAGAATTCAAAATTTTTTATATAAAGGACTAGGGCAAAGAAGAAGCTTAAAGTTAAGCTCTGTCAGAATGTAAAAAATCTGCTTGATGACCAATCGTAAGAAAAACCAATTTAAACGTCATGGGCTTATTGTTAAATTATGCCTCCTTCTTTGACTTGTACTAGATTAAATAAAGAAAATTTTAAAGGACATGTGTTAAGCCAAAATTATTGCCAAATTTTAGGCCGATTTCTATCATATTTTTTATTATTTTTAAAGATATTACCAAAAGAACAACCTGAAGAAACCTTTAAAAACAGTCAAATATTAAATGATCAATCAGAAGAAATGTTAAATTGTTTACAAATTAATTCTTCAGGAGAATCTTTTAAAATTCCAATTTATGAAGCTATAATGCTTATACAAAGATATGGAACAATATTACCAAAAGAATTGGATGAAATGAAAAAATTGGGAATTGAATTACATCCACCAACACCTGCAAAACGTTTAAAAAAATCATCAAAATTAAATAAAGAAAGTATTGGACCTCCAATAAGTTTGCTTTGCGAGTTTTGAAAATTTTAATTTTTTTTCAAGATTTTCGCCATAATGTTTCTGCAAGAGTTAGAAGTTCCAGTTCTGATGATAAATCATTTTCTGATGAAAAAATTCTTGTTATACATCGTTAGTTTTTTTTAATTATTTTTTCTTTTGTGGTTAGTCACAAGTGTTTGTCTGTGGTTTGTTTAAAAAAATTTTTTTAGGTTTAAAAAAAGATCAGGATCGTCATCGTTCTCATGATTCTTTAGTGGATCAAAACATTGAAGATAATAAAGAAGATAGTTTGTCAACAATTCATTCAATGCTAAAATCGCAACAACAGCAACAACGAGGGGTTTATTTTTAATTTTATACAATCTAAGGTCACTTTAAGATAACCTCATTTAATTGTGAGCACTAATTGTGAGCACTCTCATTATAGATACCCGCACGTTAATTTAGCTAAATTTTGGATATCATCACTTTAGGATACTTTAAGCTACATTGTTTTTCACTTTCGACTTTCAACTTAAAAAAAATTTGTCTAAAATGGAAGAAACTGGCTTCTTTCGCTCCAAAATTCAAAAAAATTTACCACTTTGGTTACTAGAGATCGGCCTGGGTCTGGACCAAGGCTTGGGTTTTTCCTGAACCCAGAGTCAAGGGCCTTCCTGGGTTTTTCCTATTCTATTATATGTTTTCTTATCTATAAAAAAATTTTTTTGTAGAATATCAAAACCAATCGTCCAGACAACTTTCGTAAACATGACTATTTAACTCTTAGCACAATTGTTCCAAAAGCAAAAATTCCTCATCAAAAAATTGAAGAAAAAAATTGTGCTCAAATTGTTGATGAAGATTCTTCTCAATTCAATGAAGAAAATAAAAATTTTGAATTAAAAAAAGAAAGAGGTTTAAGTAGAACAAATGCTGTTAGACCAAAAATTTGTGAACAATTAATTCCTGAAACTATAAGTAATGCTTCTTCACCTTCGGATTCTTTGTCGTCAGAAGGTTTTGTTGTTAATTCTGAAGGTTTTGTTGTTGTTAGTGCTACTGGTGCAGGTTTATTTTCTTTTTTGTGGGTTTTTTGGTGTTTTGTATTTTTTGGTGGTTGGTGTAATAATTTTGAGGGGTTTTTTGAGTGATCTGAGCTGTCACGAATCCTCTCCCCTCTCATTTGGTATAACTTTGTTTGGGTTTTTTGAATTTTGCCCCCTGCCCCCTAATTTATTCATAGTTCGTTTCTTTAAAGTATTTATCAAACAAAAATTATCCAGGGATTTAAAAATCTTAAACGAAGTTATATTAGCCCTTCGATGGATATTGAGTTACTATAAATCATCGAAGCTCCCGATTTTTTTCATTTAAAATTTTTTTTAAGATTTCCACAGCCCATCTCATCCATCTGATAAATCGTTTTTTAACGTTACAAATTTATTTAATCGAAGAATAAGCCCTCCTCATCATCAACAACAAAATTTATCATCAATTACACCAACATCAGCACGTAATTCAATACAACAACAAAATGAGGCTAATGAACATGTAAAGGGTTCAATAAATAAAGAGAATCGAAAATCCTCTTCTTCAAATCAATTAATATCAAATAGTATATTTTATGTTCCCTCAACAACAACAGCAACAGTTGAATCAAAAACTACTACACCTGAAAGTGATTCATCTTCATCTTTTGATCCATGTAGTAATGCTTTAAAATTAAAACGTGGATGGATAAATAAACTTTTTGGAACATCTCCACGTCCTTCTATTTGTGGTGGTGTTGGTGGTGATTCTGAAGTAAATTTGGAAGATTCTGTTCAATTGGAAAAATTGGAAAAGATTGGGTTTGTTTTTAGTAAGTAATTTTTTAGGAGAGGATTTTTGATGGTTTTTTTATTAACAAACTTTCACTATAAGAGACCTTCCTTAAGATGCTCTCTATTTAAGGTACTTGAATACCTTAATTTATGATGCTTTTTTTTAACTTGTTTGGTTACTGGGTCGGGGTAGCTATCTAATGTAAGCGATACCCTCTATCTTTAAGTTAACACGTTATACAGTCGACCTCCCTCATATAAGATACACTCATAATTAGGTACACTTTAATTTAGGGACACCTTAATTTAAGGCACGCGCTCTTTAAAATTTGCTTGGTCATTTTATTGGGCGATGTTTAAGCGATACCCTCTACCAAGGGCATAGGTTCGATTTCATGTGGAGGGGCTAAAATAGGATGTTCGCCATAGTTTTGGAATAGGGTGTCCTCCCTGGCTACGCCCTTGCCCTCTACTATTTACGGTACGATTTTCCTGTCCGAGGGTGTATCTTATTATCTTTTTTGACAAAAACTTAAGAAAAAAATTTTTTAGTTTTGATAGACAACAACACGAAACTACACCTAAATATAAAAAACGAACAGAAAGTAGTAATATAATTAAATCACGTCATAAATCATCTAGTTTAAATCCGATTCATCACAACTCAAAAGAAAGACTTTCAATAAATACAATTATACAAATGGATGATGATTATGGTGATTATGATAATTACCAACAAGAACACCGACCTAATAAATCTTTTAATTTAAATTTTGGTTTGATTTTTTTATTAAAATTTTTTTTGGAAATTTTTTGACCATTTTGGGCTTTTTTGTAATTTAAAAAAAATTTTTGCTTAAAAAATTTCAAGAAATTTTTTTTCTTTTCAAGAGCCTATAGATGAAAATTATTCAAATTCTTTAACAAAAACTTGTAATTCTGCACGTTCATATAATGATTTAAATAATACAAATGATAGAAGAAATATGCAATCATCACGTTGTTATATTCAAGAAGAAGCTGATTGTTTTCATCAAAGATCAAAATCTTCTGAAACTCCGATAACTTCACAATCAAGGTTTTCTTTTTCTAATTTTTTAAGAGGTTAGGAATTAATTTGAGGGTTTAAGGTCTCGTGGTTGTGGGGGGGGGGGGGGGGGTGAAGAAGCAGGAAAAAGTAAAATCTTCCTTGCGAAGGTATAATTCTTGAAAATGTTAAGGGCTTAAGCGAAGTTTAAAAGATCTTAGGAGGGTGGGGTTTGAAATGTGATGATAGTGAGAGGGTGGTATCTACCGATAAGACATAGTTGTCTATATTTCACAGAGTTTCTGGTAGCTAAAAATTTTTTTATAGAAACGATTTGTTGAACTTTTTGATGCAACCACCTACAAACACTACATTTTTTAATCCTTCATATATCTCTATGCAAGAAAATCAAAAGGTTTTTAGTTAATTTTTTAATTAAATTTTTTGAATTTTTAGGCCCTTGTACAATCTGTAACTCAAAAAAATCAAGCACCAATTCCAATGCCTAGGAAAAATAAAGTTACTTCTTTGGTTCCTTCGTTGGGTGCTCCACGCCAAGTATCAGCGAATGACCAGCCTTGGCCAACATCTGAAGCTCCAATGCTTGAAAAGGAATCGAAAACTTCTATCGCTACTCAACAATCATCGTCAATTGTTGTTCGTCCAAATACTTTGCGCTTACTTCCACCACAACAACAGACAACCACAATTTCGCCTTTAAATAGTTTAGCAACAACTACTACAACAACACCTTCAACTTCTACAACAACAACTACAAATACATTTTCGCATTTACTTCAAGAAAATAATTTATTAAGACAATGTGACAGTGGAATATATCCTGAAGGAAGCACTGACGATGTTTGTAGTTATTTTACAAATTTTTAAGAATTAGAAAAATTATGGGGATCAGGGATGGGCTGTGTTGAGGAAAAAAGTTAGATTGAGTTTTCAAAAAATTTTTCAGATCGAGTTTCGTATTTTGGGTCGGAAAAGGTTTTGGGTATCAAGTTTGCGTAACCCGCCCATATCTTATTTGAAGTAGTTTTTAGATGAACCTGTAGTAGTATTTTTGCTGATTTATTTTTTTATGATTTTAATTAGATATATTTTTTTTAAGAATTTGTCTACAAAAGCAAATTTTTCAAAAAGAAAATTTTTTGAAAATTTTCGAAAAATTTTTTTAGGGTCACCCTTTCTGTAAGAAAAATAATTCTTTAATATTTATTTTTTATATTCATTTATTTTAAGGAAACAAAACTTCAACATTTGGATTATCCTTGTACATCTTCAGATGCATCTCCACAAATTCGTCATCGTTCAGGTTTAAAATTTAATTTTTTTTTTTTGAAATTTAAAAATTAAACAAAAAAAAAGATTCTTCTTCTGGACTTCCACTATCTCCTCCACCACCTCCACCATTATATCCAAAAAGAACTCATGGACAAAGAATTCCAAAACTACCATTTGATATACCAAGAAAAGTTGAAAGATTTTCATAAAAGAAGATTTTTAAAAAATGCTGAATGAACAACAACAACAATAAAAAGTGACCTTTTTTAAATGAATTTTATTAATCAAAAATCTTTTATTCTTTAAAGAAGAAACTCGTATTTTTTTAATTTTAATTTTTGTAAATTTTTTTTAAATTTTAGAGATAGATTACTTGCCCAGTAAATATTCTAATAGAATCCTTGGACCTATTGGAAGACCCCTCAATGGGACCTATTTGCGTAAGGAATATAAACTAGGCTAGTGATCAGGCTGGCTAGGTTATTCATACTAGTTGGTGGGCATTTAAGATGCTTACATGGCGATGGTTTAAGATGTATTAAAAAAAGATTTGGTGCAAACTGTGCCCCAGCAGTTCATTTATTAGGACATCTGTACGTAGTGAGCAACATGAACAACAACGATGTATTAAAAAAAGTTTTTTCAAAAAAGTTTTTTCATTAAAAAAAATATTTTCAATAAACCTATTGGAAACACAACATCTTTCTCGCTCACTACGTACAGATGTTGTGTTTCCAATAGGCTTTTTTTTCTCAGGGCTTCTATTAGAATATTTATTTTATTCTAATTTTTATAAATTAAATGGAATTTTTTTTAAAAAGAATTTATATATAGATTTAGTATAAGAGGACAATTGATCCCATTTTTAATTTAATAATTATTATTCTAAATTCGATAAAAATTCGCTTACAAAAATTTTTTTTCTTGTTTTTTAATGAATTATTAAATTTATTCTTTAATATTTTTTTGATTAGAAAATCAAAATTTTTTAAAATAATTTTAGGTTGTATTTTCTTTATTTTCAATAAATTTTAATGAATGGATTTGATGAAAATATTATTTAGAAGAAATTTGTTTAATGTTTTTAAATTACAACGACGGCTATGTTGGTCTAGTAGTGCTGAAGAATTCTTTGCTAATGTTCCAAGGTTTTTTTTCTAAAATATTTTTTATTTTGGTGACATTTGGTCCTGTCATCGATTATTAAATTTTGTTGTGGGTCAATGGCAGTGATACAAGAGGATGTTGACTTAGGTGACGTTCTCTTCCGTTTGTCGAGGGTGAGAACGGTATTGACAGGAAGTTGAGTTCAACCTGCTCGCCAAAACGCATACGAACTTGATGCATGGGTCAACATCTTTTTTATCGCGGCCGTTGCACCACCACATTTTTTGCTATCATTTTTTAAAGGTTAGCTGACGTTGACAAATTTGATGCAAAATTGGTTGAAAAACATTATTTTGAAAGACCTAAACAGTTTGAATGGCCAAACAGTCCCAACTTTACAATGGTTTTGCCTCCACCAAATGTGACAGGAAATTTACATGTTGGACATGCACTTACAGTTGTTGTGCAAGATAGTATTTGTCGCTATAATAGATTGTTGGGAAAGGAGGTTTTAATTTTTTGTTGTGATTGAAACTCATAGGCTCCCATAAATCGGTTTATTGATATTTTCTAGGTTTTAGGGTTGTTGACCCTATGTGAAAATAAACGTCCCATAGATTACTTTATTAAGATTTTCCAAGTTTTTTAAGGTTTGGATAGGTTCATTAACTTTTTTTTTGATGTTTGAGTTTTGTGGCCGGTTGGAACTGGGTTTGGGACAATTGTAGTTTTTTTTTGGTATTTATAATTTTTGGAAGCATGTTTAAGCATTTAATTTTTGTGTCTTTTAAAAAATTCGAAAAAAATTTTTCTTTAAAGGTTCGTTGGATACCTGGTTTTGATCATGCTGGTATAGCAACTCAAACAGTTGTTGAAAAACATATTTTAAAAAAATTTGGAAGGAAAAGAGAAGAAATATTGACAGATGAAGAATTTTTGTATTTTTGTGATAAGTGGAAAAATGAGTAAGTTTTTTTCTATTTTTTTAAATACTCAAAAAAATTTTTATAGACGTATTGCTGATATTAAAAAACAATTAAATTCATTAGGATGTTCTTTGGATTGGGAACATGAATTTTATACATTGGATGAGGTTTGTTTTGTTTTTAATAAATTTCTCCTTCACACGAGACAGACTGACCTATCCTTGGCATCCTTCATACTAATAAGTTCTAGTGAATGATTACACAAACCCGCATTTCTTTTAGTCTTAAAGTTTGTTAAATCAACTAGTTTTTTCAGGATTTTTCTGATACAGTTACAGAAGCATTTGTTCGTTTATATGATTTGGGTTTAATTACTCGTGAAACTCGTTTAGTCCAATCATTTAATGAAAATGAGCCAACAATGAAAGAACAATGGTTTCTTAAAATGACTGAAATGAATAAAAAATTATTAAAAGATTTGCAAGAAGAATTGTGTAAGGTGTGTTTTTTTGTCTTAAATTTAGAAAGGGAATCTAACCTTAATTTAAGATACGTTTCTGTATTGATTGTATATTAAGTTGCGGAAAAACTGTTTAAGCGACACCGTATATTTAAGGTACCCATCATGGAATTTCATCTTTTGCCAATTTTTGAATTTTTTTGACTTTCGCCTTTTGTTTTTTAAATTGTTTTCGGCAGACCCCAGCTAGGTATACTTTGCCTTTTTTAACTTGAGTGGTCACTGGATCTGTGAAATGATTAATCGATACCCTTCGTTTATGATACCTCTAGTTATAAGACTGATTTTATCTAATCTCAAGGGTGTATATTATAATTTAATACAAAAATCTTTTTTAAGTTTAATATAAATCCTGCTACCGTTAAAGGCAATTTGATTGAATTTTTAAAATTTGAAGAGCCTTGGTGTTTAAGTAGACAACTTATTTGGGGACATAAAATACCTGCATATTTTGTTGAAAGTTCAAAAAGGTTTTTTTTAGTAAATTTTTTTTATAATTTTTTTATCAATAGATGGATAGTTGCTTTAACTGAAGAAGATGCTCGCGAACAACTTTTGCCTTCAGAAAAGGATTCTAAATTAATTCAAGATTCTGATGTTCTTGATACTTGGTTTAGGTTAATAAATAATTTTTGGAATTTTTTTTGACAAAAAAATTTTTTTAAGTTCTGCATTAATTCCATTGGTTATTGGTGATTATCCTAATGGAAATAAAATTAGTTTAATGGAAACTGGACATGATATAATAGGTTTTTGGGTTGCTAGAATGTTGGTTATTTGTAAAAGGTTTTTTTTTAATTTTTGGAAAAATTAAAAAAAAATTTTTTTCCAAAGATTAACTGGCCATTATCCATTTTACAATATTTTAATTCATGGTTTAATAAGAGATAGTCAAAATAGAAAAATGAGCAAATCTTTGGGAAATGTTGTCGACCCAATGGATATTATTAATGGAATAACACTTGAACAAATGATTACAAGAATGAAAAGTTCAAATCTTCCACTTGAGGATATGGGTAAGAATTTTGTTTTTTTTCGGAAAAGTTTTTTGCTAAATTCTTTATTCTTTTTTATGTCTTTCTGTAATCTCTCATATTCAGATTTTTTGTATTTTCTTTCCGAAATTTTTTTTTATTAAATATTTTTGTATTTTTATACGGGACACGTTTAAATAGGCGCGCAGCTATACCGGCGCAAAGCCATAATTTGCTGAAGAATTTCTGACCCTTATCAAATTTTAGTGCCATCTTTTTAGCTCACTATGAATCGTTTAAGACTAAATTTGATAAGATTCGGAAATCTTGAAGCAAGTTATGGCTTTGCGCCGTTATTGCCGCGCGCCTGTTTGGGCTGTACCTTTTTTAAGTCATTATTTTTTTCTTTCCAGAATGCTATTATTAATTTTTTTATCTATAATTTCCCCAAAAATTCAAATTTTATTCTAATTTAAATTTTCTTTTTTATAGAAGCCTCAGAAAAAGATTTGAGGAAACGTTTTCCTAATGGTATAAAAGCTTGTGGAGCAGATGCTTTGCGATTTGCACTGTTACGACATGATGCTACAGATTTTGAAATTCATATAGATATACCTCGTTTTGCTGATGAAGGAAGGCGTTTTTGTAATAAAATATGGAATATGTGTAAATATGTTGAAAAAGTTAAGAAAGAAAATAACGAAAGTTATGATCGAGGGGAACAAAAAAATGTTGAATATTTTGAGACTGAGAATGTATGTGATTTTTGAAAATTTAAGAAAAAAAAATTTTTTTTTTAATTTTTAGGATGCCGATATATATAGAAAACTTAATCAAACTGTTCAACTTTATTATTATTTTATGGATAAGAATAAACCACATTTAGCATTTCATCATTTATATTTGTTTATTTTGGTTGATGTTTGTGACAATTATTTGGTATTTTTTTTTAAATTATAATAATAAATTTGAGGAAAAGGAAGGGTTTCGTATGTTTAGTAGCTCTTTCTCGAGTCTTGTAAAATTTTCGGTCTTGAATAATTTTAGCGTTTAAATAAATATAAGTGTGAACGAACCTTAGCAATAATCTAATGCTTGATAAAAAATTTTTTCGTTTTTTTAAACAAAACAAAAACGTTTTTAATTCAAAAAAATTGGAAAAATATTTGAAAAAAAATGTTATTTTTCAATTTTTTTAGGAAAGCACAAAACAAGCTTTATGGACGAAAGATTCACAAAGATTATTCATGATTAAAATTACTCTTGGAACAATAATTTCAGTTTCTTTAACACTTTTACAAACTTTTATGCCATTTGTTTCAACTTTTTTGTTGGATTCTTTAAACTTTAATGGTCTTGGTAAAGAGTGTTTGTCTGACTTATTGCGTAGATTACCAGACTTAACTGATGAAGAATATCATAAAATTAATAATATTTTAATTGGAAAGGATGAAAGAAAAAAACAACAACAACAAGAGATGAAGGAAATGAAAGGGGAGGAGGAGGAAAATGTTTATGTTTTTGAAGGAGAAGAAGAACAACAACAAATACAAAAAACTTAGATTTTGTTGCAATTTTGTTATTTTGCAGATACAAACAACAAGAGGATTTGCGGTTAAAACAAACTTAATATTGTTTTATATATTGAACTAGTGGCTAACTTTATGTGTCATATCTAGAACAGTTGGGATTCTGAAGTATTCCCGGATATCCGAAATGATGGGGTTGGGGACGTTTTGGCGCCTTGCCGTCTTGGCGTGAGAACAAAAAAGTGGCACTTAGGCGGGACCTAATTTTATAAAAATTTTCTCAAACTTCTTTAACATCCTTGACTACCTCCTCTAGAAATTTCAGAATTTTTCATCAAAAATTTCTCAAGTTATAGTCGATAGACCTCGAAAAATTAGGCATTTTTTTTAGAAAATCAACATTTTTGGCCACAATTTCCGAAATTCTTGATCAAAAATTTTGAAATTTTTGGAGAATCTAGATAAAGGCATGAGAGTTATTATTACAAAATTTTATCTTTTTTGATAAGCAACTCACTGTTTTATAAGCTCGCGCCAAAACGTCCCATATGGTCTAGTGTTGATGGGTTTGGTGGATCTTGGGAAATCTCCTAATATATTCGGGTCCGATATTCTAACCGAAGTACTAGCGCACCTATTTTATCGCCATATTGTTCAACTAAAACTCTGATTTTATTTAATAAAAAAATTGTTTACAAAATTAATTTGTGTCTGCAAATATGTTTTTGGTTGTTGGTTGGTCATTAGGAAAATATGATATATTTTCAAAAAAAAATTTTTTTTTCTTTTTTTTGTTTTTGAAATAAATTTGTTATTTTTCAGAAAAATATTGTTTTGTTGAATTAAAAAATTTTTTTTTTATATTTTTTCAGGTTTTTCAGCTTAAAATTTTAACAATAACAACAATTCAAATAAAATGATTCGTTTAACAGAATTATTTTTATTTATTGGACTTTTGACACATATATTACTTACATTATTTACAAAAGTTGAAGAAAGTTTTAATACTCAAGCAATTCATGACTTTATTTATCATCGTAATAATTGGACTAAAGTTTGTGATTTTTTAAAATTTTTTTAAATTAAATTTTTTTTTAAATTTAAGTATGACCATAGAGAATTTCCTGGAGTTGTTGCTCGGTATATTTTTTTTATTTTTTTTCTAGTGGGTTATAAGAGGAGATTTCTCCACTTGAACCTCATTGTCAGATACCCTTTATATTAGGCTTACCTTAATTAGAAAATTTTTACTTTTTGTCTGGTCACTAGTAAAGGGAAGGTCCTGGGATGAACTGAAACAGAGGATTGAAGTGAAGAAATGAAAGTAAGGCCTGAACGGAAGGACTGAAGAGAAAGGAGGGGAAAATGGATGGAAGAAAAAAAGACGGAAGAACAGGAAAAATATAACATTGAAAAGGGTCTTCACTATAAGATAACCCTCATACTTTAAGATTTTTAAGCCCCACGAGGGATATTCTAACAGGTTTTTTATACATATTTATATATTTTTTTTAATTTTAGTACATTTGTTGGACCATTAGCTATTGCTACTTTAATTTCTCCTTTTGTACCGATAATTAAATATTTTGGATTAAATAAAATTTGGATGTTATTTGCAGGTTTTTTTTCTTATTTTTTGAATTTTTTTTATTAAAATTCTTATATTTTTTCAGCCCGTACAGCTTTAGGAATGGCTGTATTGACTTCTTTTTGTTGTTTCTGCCGTTGTGTTGAAACACGCTTTGGAAAGCGTGTGGCTCTTTACTTGCGACTTTTTACTCTTTCACAATTCCATTTTTTGTTTTATGCATCTAGACCACTTCCAAATATTTTTGCATTGTTTTTTGGTATATTTTAAAATTTATTTTTGGGTTTTTTTTCTTTTTGAATTCATGTTAGGAAAAGGGCGGGGTATGGGCTTTCTTTTGCATTCCGTTTTTAAGATGTGGGAGTGCCCATTTGTGATGTAAACATTGTTTTGAGTTAGTTGGGTTGGTTTCTAGTCGTGTTTTCAAAATTATTAATCGGATGGGGTCGAACCTTGTCATGATCAGAGACCTATTTCTAGTATATTATTTTTAAAATTTTATTCCATTTTTAAAGTTTTAATTGTCTATCAAAAATGGATTGAAAACAGAATTATTCCGTTCACTTTCTGGTCAACAATAGCAATATTTTTGTTCCGTTTTGAATTAATTTTATTATTTGGTCCAATGTTTGGTTATTTTATTGTTACAAAATTTAAAAGGATTTTGACTGTTGGATATGTTGGATTTGTTACACTTTTCTTTGTTTTGTGTAAGAATTTTAAGAAATTTTCAGAAAATTTTTTTAACGTTGAAGGTACTTCTGTCCCTTTTGACTCATTTATGTGGGGAAGACCAGTTTGGCCTGAATTGGAAGTTATGGAATTTAATATCGTTAAAAATAAAAGCCATGAATATGGGGTATTTTTTTAATTTTTTATTTTTTTAAATTTTAAAGTTGGGGAAGGGGGTGGGGTTGGATGGTTTTTTTAGTTCGCAAGTTTTTCCGAAGGTTGTAGTATTTTCTTGATATTTAATTTAAAAAATTTTTTTGGATTTTTTGAGGGCATTAAGGACGTTCAACGATTTCCTACGTGTCCAAATAACCCTGCAAAAAATTTAATTAGATAGTTAATAAAAAAATTTTTCAGTCTTAAACCTATTTAAGTGTCCAAAATAATCCCAAAAAATTTTTTTAAATTTGCGAATAATTTGTAAATAAAATTTTTTGCTGTCTTTTGGGAAGCATAACTTTCTAAATAGAACTCCAAAAAAGGTTTTTTTTAATTATTTAATTTAATATTATTTTTTTAAATTTAATTATTTAAAGGTAATGCCATTTTGGTGGTATTTTACTTCAGCAATTCCTCGTGCTTTACTTTTAACAACTTTATTAGTTCCTCTATCTATTTTTGCTTGTCAAAAAAATCAACGTTTAATAATTCAAACAATAATTCCGGCATGTATATTTTTGTTTTTATTTTCTTTTTTGCCACATAAAGAATTGAGATTTGTTATTTATGTTATTCCTTTAATGAATTTATCTGCTGCTTTCTTTTGTGATTATGTGTAAGTTTGGAATTATTTTTTTTTGGGGAAGGAGGGGGGCCTTTAACCAGGACTTCTTTTTTTGGTTATAGGAGACTTCTTTGGTTGTTTGATTTTTTTAACAAAGGGATATATGGAGGGATTTTATTGTCTTTCATTCTTTTTTAAGGTTTTTGAGATTTTTTATTCATATTCATAAGTGTCCAAAATGGCACTAACGATTTTTAAGAATCTCGAAAAATAAGGTTCCATTGGGAAATAATCTCTCTTTTGATTATGTGTAAGTTTGGAACTCTTCTGGGCTAAATATTGGACAGAAATCCAGAGCTATGATTTTTCCTGGACTCTGGCCTGGATTTAGTCCCATGACTAAGTTTGGGACAGAAAAATATTTTTTTTTCAAATTTCTTTTTAATTAAAAAAATTTTTTTTCATCTAGATGGAGACGTACCAGTACTTTTTATTCAATAATTTCGCCATTTATAATTTTTCATATATTCATAAATTGTTTATTGACTAGCCAATTTGTGAATGTTAGCGTTAAAAATTATCCTGGTGCTGATGCTCTTGTAAATCTTCAGGTTTTTTTTTGGAATTTTTTAGGAAAAAATTTTGAAAATTTAAGTCAATAAATAAAGAAATGGGTACAGAACACGTATCTGTTCACATTGACAATTATTGTGCTGAAACTGGAATTAGCAGATTTGTACAATTATATGATGCGTGGGAGTAAGTTGGAAAATTTTTTTTGAAAAAATTTTTGGAAATTTTTAGAAAATTTTTGAAAAATTTTTTTTTAATTTTCTGAATTTTTCAAAAAAGAATTTTTTGAAAAATTTTGAATTTTTTTAAAAAAATTTTCTGAATTTTGTCTGAAAAATTTTTTTGATTTCTTCGAAAATTTTCAAGAAATTTTTTGAAATTTTCAATTTTTTTTCAAAATTTTAAATTTTAGATATAACAAAACAGAAAATCTGTCACCTAAAGAATTACAACGTTTTGACTTTCTCATGTTTGGAATTGACAACAAAAATGCATTTTTAAACGACTCGAAGAACTACAACATGACTATTAAACATGAAGAATATTTAATTATTGATGGGTTTGATAAGGTTTGTTTGTATTTTATTTTTTGTATTTTCTTTTCTGGAAAGATTTTATTTAATTTTTCTCTTTAGAAATTCTGATTTTTTGTATTTTCCGGAAATTATCTGTAAAATAATTTTTTGGTGTAGTGAGATAATTTTTAGTTTTCCCCTTATAGGGGTCATGGGTTCGAACCCCACTTGGGGGAAATATTTTTTAATTTCCTAACAAAATTTTTTCGTGGATTCTCCTTTGTATATTCTTTCAAAAAATTATTTTTTTATAATTAATTTCCTATATTTATTTAGATTTCGTGGCAAGAATTTCCTTTTCCTCCATGGTGGCCTAAAATCTTTTCAAGTGTGCCTTATCCAACGTTTAATCCAAAAGTTGTTGTCTTGAGACGGATTCAAACTTAAATAAGTAAAAGAAATTGCAAGGGTATTAAATAAATTTATTTTTAATTTTTAAGTTTTATTTATGACCAAATATAAAAATTTAGTGACTTATAGTATTTATATATTTTTAAATTAGAGATCGAGCTGTGGGTTTAGACAATAACTTGAGATTTTACCCAGAATCAAACATTAAAAAAATTTTCTAAGGTGGTTTTTCCTAAATTAGAGGATTAGGATCTGGTGGAAAAGGATTTCTTTCAATGAAAAAATTTTTTTAAAGAAATCTCGATCTCTAAAAAAAATTTTTTACATTCCAAAAAAAATACTATACATGTATATTTTTAAAATTTTTTTTACTAATTTAAATATAAATTTCTAAATAAATAAAAATTTAACAACAAAAATAAAGTCAAAAAAATGTCACAATAAAATCAAAAAAATACCCAAAATTAATTTACCAAATTGCTTCAGTTGATTTGTAAAATTCTGATTTATTTGAATGTTTTGTTCTACTAATATCCCCAACTTCATCAATATTTTTTAACAATTTATCAAGCATTTCTTTTGTATGTGCAGCAGAAATACAAATACGAACACGGCTTTGGGTCATTTCTGTTGCTGGAAATGATACAACAACCTGAAAGGGGTTGGTTATTATTTAGAGAAATTAAAAGGAAAATAGTTAGGGAGATAAACGCTTTCCGGAAAAAAATCAGAATTTTTAAATTCCGGAAAGAGGAAAAATACATTTTTATTAAATTATTTGTGTTTTCCGGAATTCAGAATAAAATCAGAATTTTTAAAAATACAACCTTTCCGGAAAAATACATATTAAAAATAAATTCTGATTTGTTTTCCGGAAAGAAAGGGGAAAAATACATTTTTATTAAATTATTTGTATTTTCCGGAATTTAATAAATCAGAATAAAATAAAAACTTCCGGAAAAGAAAAATACATATAAAAATAAATTCTGATTTTTATTTAAATGTATTTTTCCGGAAATTTATTCTTTAAAATAAATATCAGAATTTTCAAATCAGAATTTTCAAATCAGAATTTATTTAATTAACACTTACCACACCAATTTTACGTTCCAACATTAAACGTCCCCAAAGGCTTTAATAAAAAAATTAAAATTAATTTAAAAAATTTTTTTTAATTAATTTACCCGCATTTTGTTGGATGATAAATCATAATAGGAATAACAGGAGAATGATTAGAACCATAAACAATAAATCCCAATTGTTTTAATTTTAGACGAACATAATTGGTGTTTCTAGCCAATTGTTCAATTCTTTTTTGTCCTTCACCAGTCCCGTCTTTACCCATAATTGAAGACATTGCTGTAAATATTTGTTTGGCAATTGGTGGTGACATTGGTATTGTGTAGAATTCACCAGGAGAATTTTGGCGAATGTGGGAAATTAAAGCCTAAGAAAAAAATATTTTTGGTGTAGTGGGATAATTTTTAGTTTTCCCTATATAAGGGTTGTGGGTTCGAACCCCGCTTGGGGGAAATATTTTTTATTTTCTTAAAAATAATTTTTCGAACCTTACTACCCGCAATATAACCACCAGCAGCTCCAAAACTTTTTGTAAATGTCCCCATAAAAATATCAACGTCTTTAGAATCACAATTATAATATTCAACAATTCCGCGTCCTGTTTTTCCCATTGCACCTTTAAAAAATTTTTGGAAGGTTTTCCATCCAAAAATATTTTTAAAGAAAATAAAAAATATTTCCTCGAGTGTGGTTCGAACCCATGTCCCCTATACTTAAAAAATGTTTTTTTGGTGTAGTGGGATAATTTTTAATTTTGCCTGTTTAGGGGTCGTGGGTTCGAACCCTCTTGGGGGAAATATTTTTTATTTTCTTTAAAAATATTTTAAAAAGAAAACCTATGCTGTGTGCCTCATCCAAATATAAATAAAATTTATATTTTTTCTTTAATTTAATAATTTCATCCAATTTACAAATTGTTCCTTCCATTGAATATATTCCTTCAATAATAACCATTATTTTAGAGAAAGGTTTTCCTTCCTTTTTAGTATTTCCAAAAATAATTGATTGTCTCAATACTTTTTCCAAATCTTGAATATTATTATGCTTAAATATTTTTATTGTAGCTCCAGATATTCTTGAACCAAGAATTAAAGAAGCATGGTTATATTGGTCAGAAATTATTAAGGAATCCTGTCAAAATGAATTATTTGAAAAAATTATTTTAGAAATATTTGCGGATTTTGTGAATTTCTCGGGAAGGGATTTTGGGAAAAATTTGGGACCTTCTTTGGGAAAAATTTTTTTAAACATAGGCTAGAGTCGATAAATTGAGAATGATTTTCTCTTTAAAAAATGCCGGAAAAATTGCGGACAAAATTTTGGAAAGGTTTGGAAGGTTTCGGAAAGGTTTGGAATTTTTTTGAATTAAATTTTTAAAAATACCTTATCCATTAAACAGGTCAAATTCATCGAATTTGTAGCAAATCCCATTCCAAAACATATGGCAGATTCAACTCCAATAAATTCAGCAACCAAATTCTCTAATTCAGTTTGAGCTAAAGGTTGACCTTTAAAAGAATTTTTTAAAAAATTAATTTTAAAATTTTAAAAAACCTAATTCACGAATGCTGGCACATGAAGAAATCCCTTGGTCATTAATTATGTTGGCTGAAGCTGTGGCACAAGGTCCTTTATTTTCGGCAAATCCAAGGTAATTATAAGAGGCAGTGTTGATAACTTCTGTTTGTGTCCCAGGAAATCTTTGAAAAAAAGGTTAAAAAATTTTTTAGATTTTTTAGAAGGCCCCTTTTGATCTTTCGACTCAAAAAATATTTTCTAAAGAAAATAAAAAATGTTTCCCTCAAGAGGGTTCGAACCCACGACCCCTATACAGGCAAAATTAAAAATTTTCCCACTACACCAAAAAATATTTTTTAATTAAAAATACCTAAAATTCCAACAATAATCATCAGTTTCTCGATCGAGTAGTTTACTTTAAAAAAGAATTTTTTTAATTTAAAGAAAATTTAAAAATAATACAAACACTGTGCCTCCAGGAACTCCACATATTGGCCTTTCAAAAACATCTCTAACCCTCATATAACAATTTCTTGCATAAATAGCTTCAAAAGAATTGAAAAGTGGAGCAAAATCCTTTGAAAAAATTTTTTTATTTTAAAAAATTTTTGTGGCATTTTGTCGTTATTTGGTTTATGGGCATTTCGTCCGGTGACATTTTGTCCAATGGGCATTTTGTCCGATGGGCATTTTGTCCAAATTTTTCTAAAAATAAAATTCCTAAATTACCCTCATTTCCAGCCTTTCACAAGCAGATTTGTTCTTCTCAAATCCATAATACCGAAGAAATTCTCGAATGTAGGCAAAAACGGTCAATACAAACCAAGTAAAATAAACAGAAAATGAAACAAAAAAATTGCATTTTTCAAATTCTTCGAATTTGTCTTTAAATTGTTGTTTTTCTTCTTTATTATTTTGGGGTTCTTGTTTCACTCTTTCCTTTAAAAAATAAAAAAAATTAATTTTTTTAATTTTTAGGTGAATTGTCTATTTCTCCATATGTCCATTGATTTGTATACTCGAAAACCCTTTTCCGTTGAGACTCTACTGGCCGTTTTTCTTAAAAACTCACAATTTTATTTGTATCATTGCGTAGTTTGGTTTGTGAATTAATTAAATTATTTCTATTTGAAATATACTCGTCATTAACATTATACCCAAAATTGTAGGCAGAAAGTGAGGAATTTTTTGAGTCATCATTGGAAGTTGGTGAAATTTTGTAAAGAAAAAAATTTTTTGCGCAGGCTTCGAAATCAAAAATAACGTCGTTAAACATTCTGGAATTTAAAAAAAAATTTTGAAAATCTGAAAAGAAATTTTGAAAATTAAAAAATTATTACAGAGAAGTTAGAGACAGCAGAGAAATAGTGTGTAAAATTGAGAGAGTATTTTAAATAATTTTTAAATTAAAAACAAGCCTGTAAATTAAATTAAAAATTTTCTTGAATGATGATTTTCTAAATAAAATGAAGAGGAGGATGGTGTGATTCGTCAGAAATTTTGAAAAAAATACTCTTTGGACTAAAGAAAGAACACTTCTTGAAGAAAACTACACTAATTACATTTTGTGTGATTTATAGCAAAAATGATGAAATTTAATGATAAGGATAGACCAATATAAAGACCAATTAAAAATAAAAATAGATAAAAGAACACAAATTAGGAGTTTTTTTGAAAAAATTTTTTGAAGAAAATAATCAACAACTCTTGACCAACAACAACAACTAACAAGAAAATGTAAACAACAACAAGGCTGAGACTCTAATGTACCTCATAAATAAACAAAATAAGAGGACAAAAGGTCGACAACCAAAATGCCAACAGACAAAATGCCAGCGAGAGAAAATGGTCAAATTTTACAAAAGGGTCAAAATACAAAAGGGTCAATTTTTATCAAGGAAGCTCTCAAAGATTATTTTTATCAACAAGAGAAGAAAAATTAATTTTTGGCATTTAATCAAAAAATCTCTCTTCTTTAAAAAATTATGAGACATTAATAAAATGATTGATTGACCTTGAAAACTACTGGAAAAAATAATATTTATTAAAAAAATAATTTTGCGACAATTTGACATGTTTTTTTACGTTTCTGCAAAAATCTTGTTTTGTGATTAGGAAAATGTATGTTTAGGTAAAAAAGGGAAAGGAAAGAGAGGAAGAGGGAGAATCTTTCTCCTTTTTTTGTTGTTTGCTGACTAATAGGGGGGGGGAGGGGAGAAGGAAAGGGAGGGAAGGGAAAGTGATGATGAGATGAGGCGGCGAGTATAAATTTAAAAAATAAACACAAAATCAAAATCAAGTTTTATCTGTTAATTAACAGATTGGGGTTAAAAATCAATCTTGAAAAAAAATCAAATCTTCTGGTTGTTTTTAATTTTTAAATACTCTCTAAATTTTACACACTATTTCTCTTCTGTCTCTGACTTCTCTGTAATAATTTTAAATTCTCTCATTTTTACACACTATTTCTCTTCTGTCTCTGACTTCTCTGTAATAATTGTTTTTATTTTTTTTTCGGACTCTACTGACCCCAAATAAATAATATTTGTTCTAGTGGGTGTCGTTAGAGTTCTTACTTTCTCTCTTTCTCTATAAATTACCAATTTTTTTTATCCTTTCTTGCCGACGCAATACAAGTTTTTTTTATTTTAATTTTTTTCCTTTCCGGTTGAGAATAAATAAATAATAAAGAGAGAGATGATTGAGAATCCCTTTCAGTCTTCTTTTTCTTTTTACAATTTTTGTAAAAATTGTAAAATAAATTCTTTTTGCCCTTCGACAAAATGTCAAATTTTGTACTTCTGGACGTTTTGAATTTTCTTAGATTTTGGGATTTTGAATTTTACCAATTTTTTTAATTTTCGACATTTTGACATCCTCCGCGGAAGTATTCTTCTTAAAAATTTGTTAATCTTTATTTTTATTTCCCGCAGGGTTTTTGTCTTTTTTTTTTTGTTAAAATAAACTTTGAGGCGTTGATTCATGCATTAAAAAGTTTTAATTTAAAGACTAGTTAGTTGATCAATTTTGTTTTTCTTTCTTTTTTGATAGAAAACAATTTAAAAAGGCCTTTTAAATTGTTTGGTCTAAAGAAAACTTTAATTTTTGTGGGTGTTGTTTTTGTTTCCCTTTCAAATTTAGTTTAGTTTGAGTTTTATTTTTATTGTTGTCAGTTTCTTTTCATTTTTAATTTGAAAAAAAAAAGAAAAAAAAGTTTTATTTAAGTAAAGAAGATGTTTTGCGCATCATTTAATTTTTAGAGGAGGGATAGAGATTGTTTAAATTAAAGGGGAAAAAAATTTTTTTTTCTTGAAAATTTTTTGTGCCTGCCATTTTATTTGAATGTCTAATAGGGTAGGACGAGACCGTTTAATAACCTCGATTATTATTCCCTGTGGGGCAGGTCAAAAAGAAAAGAGAGAAGGAAAAAGTCCGCCACAGGGAAAAATAAACCTCGAATCAAACGGTCTCGTCCTACCCTAATGTCTAACAAAAAAAATTTTTTTAGCAGGAAAAATGATTTAGAAAGAAAATTTCAATATTAATATAATGATTTCTGCCACAAATTTAATCTTTCAATTAATCCTTTTTTGTTGTCTTTCTCTATTTTTAATTTGTGATGATTTATTTTTGAAGGATTTGGAAGAATTCAATTTTTGTCAAAATCTGCCACATTCAAATTATTTGTCTACCGAGGATTTGAGGTTTTTTGAGTTTTTATTTTAATTTTTTTGAGTGATCTCGGTGAGAAACCATACGTTTTTTTATTCGCGGGAATTTCCTGCTGAAGTCAGTCAGAGGTCCCCCACTGTTCTTAAATTTTGGATTATTTTCCCTTTTAGGCGCCAATCACACCTTTATGAGTCCATTATTTTTGTGAATTTCCTGTTGAAGTCAGTCAGTCGTGGTCATTTACAGATCAGTCAATAGCTGTTGAACCAGTCTGTCAATCGTTTCCTGGTTCAATATTTTTAGGCTCTTGTTCAATTTAGAAGTCCAATAGAAATTTTTTAGACGTCCAATACCTTCTCTGACAAATTAAGGAAGAAAGACTTTGACTGGCTGAGTGACCTCAAATGGAAATTTAAGTGACTAAAGATGCGTGAATAAATCCCTTCATGAGTTCTCGAGCGTCATTTAATATTTTTAAAAAATTCTTAATTTTAAGAAATGCTTGTAATAGACGAAACCAATGGCTTAGAGACAAAAACAACGAGGAAATTAGCAACAATAAATTATCAAAACACCCAACAGCTTCTCAAAAAGCGTATTTTGAATGGTTAGAATCTACTAGAAAAAATTTGAAAAAGAAAATTAATTTGCCTGAATTTGAAACTGAAAATTTTGTTAAGGTTTGCGAGATTTTTGAGGGTTTTATAGTTGCGGCCCATTTCCCTTGGTTTTTTTAAAAGTGTTTAACTTTTATTTACGGCCCAAAATCCGAAGAGGAGACCAGCAAAAGCTTCCTGTTGTCTAGAGATTCGAACTGCGTTTCAGCCAAAGTTTGGGGGATTTTCTGGACTCGAGCTAACGAAAAGAAAATTAAAATCCTGGACTTTGGCCAAGTAAGAATTAGTCTTATTGTTAAACATTGGCCAAGATGTAGCTCGATCTCTAGACGACAGGAAGTCTTTACTGGACAAATGAACTTAAAACCCCTCTGAATTGTTTAAAAATTCGATTAAATTTTTAGAGGTCAAAAAGACGAGATCAATTACTGCCAGCATTTTCACTTAAGGAAGAAGAAGAATCTGAAAGATATTTGAGGGAAGACCAGAGAAAATACAGAAGAGGAAAAAAATTTATAAGAAAAGAGTATAGAATGGTTGGTATATTTTTTTAATTTTGTGGAACTTTTAGGGACCTTCTGGGGCCGTTAAAATTATTTTTTATAAGGGATGGGGGTATTTTAGATGGAGGGTTATCTCTTAGAAACTCTCCGCCAGTGCTGGATATGGCTCCAAAAGCTAGCCGACAAATGCCCAATACCCAGCACTGCTCTCAGCCCTTGTAAGTAGTCAGTAGAGATGGTCCGAGTTTTCAGAATCTTTTATGGTGGGGTTTCGGGTCAAAACTGTCCTGGTTTGGGGTCTATATGGTTACTCGACCCTTCCATCTAGATGTCAGCTAAACTTTAAAAACCAAATTTATGGTGGAGGGGGTATTTATGGGGAGGGGTATTTCAAATATGACTACCGACTTTATACTTTAAAATACTAAAAAAATTTTTTTAAAGATGACAGATTTGGAACGTAAACAACTCCAATTAGCTCTAAATGGATTAAAATCAAAACATATAGATAATGTTTCAATATGGGATTTACACACACTTGTACATTATCCAAATTCTGCTGTAGCTGCGCATTGGGGTTTCTTTTTAATTTTTTTTTTATTTTAAAAATTTTTTTCGCAGGTCCAGCATTTTTGCCTTGGCATAGAGAATTTTTAAGACAATTTGAAATTACTCTACAAAATGAACAGCCAGGTTTATTTAAATTTTAAAAATTTTTTAAAAATTTTTCTTTAGAATTAATTGGAATACCTTTTTGGGACTCTACTTTAGATCATGGTAAGCTTTTAAAAAATTTTTCAGCATAATTTACCTATTTTATTTTTCCTGTGTTTTTTGAGTAACGTCAATTTTAACTAGGGTTGGACCCCAATATTGAACTCCGACACGAATCTGAACCCCCGACCTCAACATTCTTCAACCTCATAATGTCGGGGGTCCAAGATTATTTTTTAATTTATTTTTCCTGTATTTTTTTGAGGAACTTTAATTTTAACTGGGGTTGGATTTCAAGACTGAACCCGGCCCTCAACATTCCCAACCCTATTTTTTAACTTATTTTTCCGGAAAAATAAATATTTAAAATTTTTAATTTTTTTAACCAAAAATTATTTTTTCTAGGACTTCCTGATCCTTCTGACAGCGTTCTTTGGTCTGAAGAATTAATGGGTAATGGAAATGGTTTTGTGAAAAATGGGCCTTTTAAGGATTGGAATACTAATGTATTTTTTTTAAATTTTATTTTAAATTTATTTTTAATTTAAAATAAGGTATTGATGCCTCTAAGTCCAGTACCTATCCAAAGATTATATAGGTCTACTGGTGGAAGAAGTTCTGACAGGTTTTTAATTTTTTAAAGAATTTTTTAAGAATTTTCTTAATTAAATATTTTTAATTAAAAGGATCAGGAGGTCTCAAAAAAATTTTTTTTAATTCCTAGAAAATATTTTTTGGTTAAAAAAAATTTTTTTTTGGGTATTTCCTAATCCTTTTAATTAAAAAATTTTGAAAAATTTTTTATTCAAATATTTTTTAAATTTTTTTTATTAAAAGATTAATGTCTCCAAAAGATGTTGAATGGATTACAACTCGAAAAAATTTTAGTCAATTAACTTTTTGTCATGACAAAACATTTGAATCTATGCATGGACTGTGTAACGGAATTTTTTAAAAAATTTAGAAAAATTTTAGAATTTTTTTTAATTTTTTTTTAAGCTCATGTTTGGGTTGGCGGCTTTATGTTTGTTATTCGAGTATCCCCAAATGACCCAACCTTTTATTTTCATCACGCTTTTATTGATTATTTATGGGAACAATTTAGACTACAAAATCAGGATAGATATCAGAGAGAAAATGATTATGCAATTGTAAGAGGTTTTTTAAATAAATATTCTGATTTTTGAGGAAAATAGGAAAATAAAAAGTAATACTCTAATAGACAATATTTCCGGAAAATATATACAAAAGAAATATTCTGATTTTTAATAAAAGCTTGACCGGAAAATACAAATATTATTCTGATTTAATTAGAATTTTAAATTCTGATTTTCCGGAAAATACAAAATAAAAGAAAACACACAAATATTCTATTTTTTTAATTATTTGTGTTTTCCGGAAAATATTCTGGTTAAAAAAGAAATTCTGATTTTTAATGAAAACTTAATCGGAAAATACAAAAATATTCTGATTTAATTAAAATTTAAAATTCTGATTTTTCTAGTTTAAATTCTGATTTTTCCGGAAAACACAAAAATAAAAGAAAACACACAAATATTCTGGTTATTTATTTGTATTTTCCGGAAAATTAATTTAATATTTATTTGTTTTTGTTTCTGAAATATTCTGGTTTTTAAAAAAGAAATTCTGATTTTTATTATTTGTGTTTTCCGGAAAACTAATTAATATTTATTTGTTTTTCCGGAACCTTTTCTGGAATAAATAAATATTTAACAGTTCTGGTTTTTAAATTTGTGTTTTCCGGAAATGTAGAATATTAGAGTATTAGTATTTTTGTATTTTTAAATTTATTTTTCTTTTATTTTTTATGTGAATAGAAAAACTGTAATAGAAATCATGAATTTAATGCACAAATGAAGGTTATTTTTTTTATTAATTTTATAAATTTATTTTTTATTATTTTTTAGCCTTTTAATTTGCGTAATAAAGATGGACTTTCTAATGATTATACAGGTTTTTTTTTTCGAATTTTAAATTTTTTAAAAATTTTTTAAAAAAGATTTTTGGTTTGAATATGAACCTGTCCGTCATTGTTCAAAAGAATTGCCTTTTTGTGATTCTAAATTTCTTTTTTGTGATAAATCTTCATGGCGTTGTCGAAGCAAAATAGTTTTGGGTGGAAATTGTACAGGATTTGTGGGAACAGAAATATGTTATCAATCAATTTGTATACAGGTTTGGAGGAATTTTTTTAATTTAAAAATTTAAAATAAATTTTGGGTAATATTCCGTCATATTTCTCATACTTCATTTCGGATAAATAAATGTCAAATGGCACCAAAAACAAGCTTTGACTCACTAGGAACTATATGCTACTGTCACCTCGAATTTGATTTTTTTGGTACCATTCGATAGAGGATCCCCGACTTTTTAATGGACAGTCGTAGAGATACCCGATTTCTAAACATTATGAGGCCATAACTCGGCCGGAGCTTAATTTAAAATAAACCGGAGCTGAATTTTGGTGTCATTTTGACACAGCTTACCGAGCTTATAGGAGTATAGGATAAGAATCGGATTATAGGACACATGACAGAATTTTTCCGAAAATTATTTTTTTTTTACTTAAAAAATTTTTTTGAAGAATGTTTGTCGATTACCTGCAACTGAAGGAAATGGATTTTTAAGAAGAGAGGTTTTTTAAATTTATAAAAATTTTTTTTTAATTATTTTTTAAAGCGTCGTTATGATAATGTTGTTTGGGCAAAAACTTTAATGTTAACTGAAGGAAGTTTTGGTTTGTCTAGTGGAATTGCACATGTAACTGTAAAAGAAGAATTTATTGGTGGAAAGGAAATGACAGCATTTATTGAAAGAGAGCCTACAGTTTATCCAGAAACGAGGGTTTTCTTTTAAAATTTTGGGGAAAAATTTTTGAAAATTTCTGAAAATTTTTCTGAGAATTTTTTGTATTTTTGAAATTTTTTTGAAATTTTTTTCCATTTTTAGGGCCTTTTATATTTGCCTCTGCCTAATCCGAGGTACTTTGAAGAATTCTAATCTAATTTTATTTTTTTAAAGCGAACCAAATGTCGATTTTAAAGTGAGTTTGGAAGCAAGTGATCATTATGGAAGATATTGCCAAACTTATTGTTTGAACTCAACAACAGATAAATATCAAGTTTGTTGTTTATTTTTTAAATTTTTTTGCATTATTAAAAGGTTGCTTGGGACTTTTTTCTGGACCCATTCCATGGAATTCTTGACCCATTTTAATTTTTAAACCTAATTAATCCATCTTGTTTTTTTAATATTAACAGGTTTGTACTCCACAATTAGTGCTTCGTTCAACGCTAAACTCTCATTTGTTGACTTCAAATATTTCATTTACTCATCAATTATCTGCTCGTAAATTTCTTGACATGGTTCTATTTTTTGAATAAATTTATTTTAAAAATTTTTTTGAAGGATTTGTCAGTTCATCCAAAACTTTGGAAGGTTCACAGCCCTTTTGTTGTATTTAATTGTCAAACAAAGGTTTTTATTTTTTTAATTTTTTAAATTAAATTTGGGGGTTAAATCCCACTCACTGATTGTGAGATTGGAAAAATGAAAAATATATGGGATTCTGGCTTTTTGACTCCATCTGAAATTCTTGCCAAGATCTTTCAATTTCCTCATAAATATTAAAAGAAATTTTTCATAGCTCCCTACGTCCTTCCATATTTTTTTCTGAGTCCCTTGATATTCTCTCTCTCTCTACTAGGGTTGTCGGTTTCGTCAAATTCCTTGATTAACTGAACCGAAGATCTGTTCGAAAGCAACCACCTTTCTTTTTTAAAGCTTCTAAATTCTGCTATGGTCAAAGAAATAACAGAAAGGCTATCACCACCAATTGAACATTTAATTGCAACACCACATGTTTGGTTTAGAGTTGGTTTAATAATTAAAAGTGGTTCTTCTTCACAATTAATTGATTATGATGAATTTGAGGTTTTTCTTATAATTTTTTGGGTCTGAAAAATTTTTTAAGGTTGAAGCAGAAGAAATTGGTGGAGGTCATTTTGAATTTTATTCAACTTCTCTTCGCCGTGCTCGCTCAGTTTTTGATCAAGGCATTTTATTTTTGAGAGCAAGCAATCCTTTTTTACAAAAAGGAAGAGAAGTAACTGTAAAAGTTGGTATACGTAAAGGTGGAGGAGGGCAACGTATTCAATGTGATGCTTTATGTGATAGATCTCAGGTTTTTTTGCTTAAGTTATTGGTTAGACCTCTTTTTTAAATGTCCTTAAAATTGAGTATACCTCTTTTTAAACTAGGTTTTTAAAAAAATTTAGTAGGCCAGTTGGTGTAGGGGAGAGCTGTCTCTGATAGGTTGTTGGGTTCATGGAAATTCTTCGGATATCCGAAACCGAACCGAAAAATCCTCGGTTCTTCGGTTCGGTCCAGAACCGACAACCCTAGTCTCTGAGCCCTTCCCTTATTTAAGATTTATTTCATTATGAGATAATCAAAATTAAATATTGGTTGGTCACCGGGCGGGGGAGACAGCTAGTCGATTCCTATTCCATTTAAGATACATCTCATGGAGGGGAATTTTTTTCTTAGGCTTCCCATCTTTATGAGGGTGTGTATCTAAAAATACGAAATTTTGGTTATAATTTTTTTCTTTGTTAAGGTCAACTTTTTAACATCAAAAAGAACAACAAATTATTGTGATTCAACTGTTCGTTTAAATGCTGAACCTCAACTTTCTGAAGATGTATTTGCAACAGATTTGAGTTATATGCCTTATTTGGGTTGGAGAATGATAGGTTTTCTGTTAAAAATTTTATTTTTTAATTAAAAATTATTCACAGGTCATCCATCAGAATGGAGATTTCAAATGCCTTTTTTATCATTGTCGTGTTGAAAATAGTATTTTTTGTGTAAATATTGATATTTTTTTTAATTAATTAGATTTTTAATTTTATAAATTTTTTCATATTTTTTAATGTTCTTTAATCGTTTTATATCAGTCGAAATCTCTGAGATTGAAACTACCTATTTTTTAAAATTTTAACGAAATAGTATGTGAAAAGAGGAGAGACAGTTAGAGAAAAAAAGGAGACATGAGAGCGATAGTGAAAATCTTTTTTGTTATTCTGTTAGTCTTTATATTTTGCCAAAATACATGAGATTTTACTCTTTTATTGTAAAGAATTGGTTTGGGAAATACGGGCGACTTGTCAGCTGTCTTTGTTACCTCGATTTCCTTCTTTAATTCTTTGTTAAATTTGAATTTATTTTTATTTGGCATTCTATTTTTATTTTTTTGGCGTTCTGTTTAGTTCTTTAATTTAATTCAAAAATATTTGGCGTCTATTTTTTTGTTCTTCCCCTTATTTTTTGTTTTAATTTTATCAATTTTACCTCATTTTCATCAATTTTTTCCTATAATTTTATAATTTTCTTTACTTTTTCTAGACAAATTTGCGAGTTTTCTCAAAATAAATTCAAAGAAATGTCAGCAAGTACAACAAAAACTACTGAAGACAATTTCCGTTATGTTCAAAAGTAAGGAGATTTCTTTTTGTTTAATTTAACCTTTTAAATTTTAAGAGCAGCAAAATCTATTGATGATATTGAAAAACGCTTTGTTTTTGTTTACAGGTTTATATTTTGTTGTTCTTAATTAGCATCTGATTTTTTTTTGTTATTTTTAGACAAATCTTAACTTTTGAGGAATGTATGGAAGAAGGGCCAAAAAAGAACCAAACAGTAAAAATGCTTGTTACTTGGGCTTTAAATGAATTTGGTGGTGGTTACAAATCTGATAAAAGAATGCTTGATTTGTGGAAATTGATGGTTATTTTTGGGTTTTAATTTTTGGGGTTGTAAGGAAGGGCTGTTTTTTGGGATGCAAAACGTTTTAGGCAGTAGTTTAAGACGGGTGGGGGTTTAGGATCTATTGAATAAGAGAAGGTGATACCCAGTGGGTCATGACGCTGTGCCCCATTAAGTCATTCTGTCGAGCATCTTTGCGTGGTGACCTAAGGCTCCTACCCATAACGTCCAATGGTTGCTGGATCGATGCCTAACCACGTTTTATGTTTTACCTTTCCTTTTGTTATTGTTTAGAAATGATATAGTTGTGAGGCTTTGCTAAAAATTGATTTAAAAACTTTTTTAGTCAAACATTTTTAAGGGCAAATATAGCAATACTATTGGAATGGATGGTGTTCTTGAAAATGTTCATCGCCTTGGATTTTTCAAAAATGTTCCTGATTTTTATATTATGTGGGCAGATCATTTGGGTGCTAAAGAAAATAAAGAGCATTTTGATAAGATGATTCAAATTTGTGAGGAAAATTGCAACTTAAGTTCATGCGAAACTCGGGAGCTTTTCAGGTTTTTTTTAAATCATTAGATTATTTGGTACTTGTGAGTTATCCCAAACCAGTTCTTGCTGACATATTTATGTGAACTCATTCATATGAACAGAATGGTCAGACCCATCTTTCTTCCAAACTTGCATCCTACTTCCTCATTCATTTATTCAGTAACTGATTTTCTTCATCGCCCATGAGTCTGTCGAGAGTTCAATGAGACATTGAATATGCCACAGGGAAATGAAATGAAATTGAAGAAGGAAGAAGTCTGTTCGCATAGATATGTCTGAAGGAATTGGTTTGGGATAACTCACAAGTACCGATTATTTATAGCCCTTTTTGTAGTCATCCCTCCCGGTGAGTTTTTGTAGATCGAGCTTTGAGTCTGCATTCTAATTGTAAGGAAGCCTTATTCCTTATCCATTTCGATCTCTATTTTCTTTTTTTGGTTTTAATTTAATTTTTTTTGAAATGTCCGAAAAAGTTAAAAGTTGCCTGGTTTCTGAACCCAAGCATTGGCCCAGATCAAAATTGGTCTTTATTTTCCTCCACTAAATTATCAAAAGATTCTTCTATATTTCAGCCCACTAATTAAAAAATATTTCCCTGATGATTGTTATGAAGAAGAGAACAAAACTATCGATTTTATTAAAATGTTGGCGGATGATTCAGACAATGTTCGACCTGAATTGACACTTTTTCAAAAATTTGATTATGAGAAATCAGTCTCTTCATCTTCTTCCTTATTGCCTCAACAACCTCCTCCATCACCTGTTGTCGAAACATCTGCTCCTGCTGTTGCTGTTAAACCTTTGGACGTTTTGAAAGATATTACGACGATTACTAAAGGTTTTTAAAGTTTTTTTTTGAGGGAAAATTTGCTGAAAATTTTTTTGGTTTTTGGAAATTTTTTATTTTTAATGTTTTTTTACTTAATTTTGTTTAAAATATTTTTTTTAGAAGTTTTGCCACCTCCAGTTCAAGTTAAACAGTTGAAGGTTTTGGATAATATTCCAGTTGTAACGAAAGGTTTATTGTTTAAAAATAAAAATTTTTTCCTATAAAAATATTTTAACAGAACTTTTGCCGCCACCATCTCCTGTTAAACCTTTCAATTTTTTGGAAGATAGTCCTGATGCAACGAAAGGTTTTTATTTAGGAAAAAAAAGTTTTCTTTTTTTACAAAATATTTTTTAACAGAAATTTTGCATCCATCACCACCTCCTACTATTTCGAATACACCTGGTCGTAAATTTTTGGATAAAAATATTGAGATGAGTTATCAAGACAATTTACAGAAGGTTTTAAAATTTTGAAAAAAAATTTTTTGAGTTATCTAAGTGTTTTCCTGTGGGCGTTTTAGCTTCAGAAATTTTCACCAAATACTTCCTAAATTATAGTCGATAAACCTTGAAAAATTAGGCTTTTTTTTTGTAAAATTTTTTGCCAAAATTTCTGAGATTTGACTTAATAATTCTGAAATTTTGGGATTTTATAAGCTCGCGCTACTGTGGTTTAGTCCCTTAAGTAGTTTGGTTTAACAATGAATTTGGGGGGGGGGGGGGTGGAGGGTTATGAAATTTTTATAAAAAATCTTTCCTTTTGCTTATGTTGGAGGAAAAAAAATTTTTACACAGAAAGAAATTTTTAAATTAATTTTTTAGACTGACAAAAAGAGTGAAGATTAATGGATGGGGAAGAATTGTTTTTTTTTGTGAGTTGAAAATTAAATTTGGAGATATTTTAAAAAATATAATTACAATATGACAATGGTATTTTTTATTTTTTTTAAATTAAATTTAAATTTTTTTTGGGTAAAAAATTTTTTTGAAATTGTTTTCTGGTAAAAAACCCCAAGCCTAGTTCCAGATCAGAGTTGTCTTGATTTTCTAGTTTTTTTTTTCGATTTTATTTTTTTTTTAATTTTTGAAAATTTTTTTTTTTGAAAAATTTTTTTTTTAATTTCCCAAATTCAGTTCGAATTTTCTTTTTTTTTTGGGAATTAAAAAATATTTGGGCAGTAGTTTTATTTCCAAAATTTCTTTAAAAATATTTATTTGAACTCTATTCCCCTCTTTTTTTTGGGGAAATTTATTCGTCTTTTTTAAATACTAGTAGGCTTTCAAATAAACACACATACACAGCAGGGGTGTGCCGAAACGGATTTTAAAAAGCGAAACGCGAAAGGCGAAATTAAATTTAAAAAGTGAAACGCGAAATGCGAAACGCGAAAGTAAATTTAAAAAAGCGACACGCGAAATGCGAAAGTCCAAAAAACGCGAAAATCCGCGAAAGGCGAAACGCGAAACTCGCATACCCCTGATACACAGTTATTTATTTTTTTTTGTGTTCTTTTAATATTTTATTTTTTTTTGGGGGTGAAAGAATTCTATTTTTTTTTGATAAGTAAGTCCTTTGGGGGAAATTTTTGAATAAATAAAAAAAAAGAATTGGCTTTGGGAAATTCTTATTTTTTTTGTTTTTTTGAATTTATATATTTGTGCCCAGTATATTTGTGTCTGTTATTATTTTAAGTATTTTTTAAATTTTTTTGAAAAAATATTTTTTTTTTAATTAGAGAAGGAAAGGGGGAAGGGGATGTTGGTGGGGTGAGTTGGTGGTTAGGTGGGATTAATTGTTTTTTAATTAGAAAATTTTTTTGATTTTTTTGAAATTTTTGCCAGAAGAAGGGGACGGGAATATTTATTAATTTTTGAATTTTTTTTTGATTTTTTTTTAAATTTTTATTACAAAGAAGGGGAAGAGGGATTATCTGTCCTTAATTAGATATATTTTTTAAAAATTAAAAAAAAATTTTTTTTTAATTTTTATTTTTTTATTTTTATACATTTTTAACTAGTATATTTTCTCATTTTTCTTTATTTAAAGAAAAATAAATTGTGTGTATACTCTTAATTATTTTTTTTTATTTTTCTTAAAAAAGTATTTACTTGCTAATTTATGTAAATATTTTATTTATTTTTATTTGTGCCATTTTCTTAATCGATCTTGAGAAAATTTTCTAATTAAAAGGAGGGAAGGATATATAGTTGCGCGTAGAAAATTTTTTTTAATTTTTTTTCTATTTTTTCCATTTTTTTTTCTCATTTTGCAGAAATTTTTTTTACTTTTCCTCCAAAAAAAATTTTTTTCTCACCACCACACACATATTTATAGCGTCATTACCTTTCAAAAATTTTTTCGTATTTTTTTTTAATATTTTTAAATTTTTTTTAAATTTTTTTTCAATATTTTCTCATTCTCTAAATTGTCTTTTAAAAATTCACCAAAAAAAAGACAAGGAAATATATACAAATTTATCCATATTTCCCCGTTATTTTGGCTAATTTAAAAAATATTCATTCTCTTTACTATTTTTATAAATTAAGAAAATAAAAGGAGGGGAAAAACCAAAAATAGAATAGTACAAAAAAAATCTTTTTAGGAAAGAAAAAAAATTTTTTTTCCTTTTAATATTTGAATGGGGAATTAAATAGGAAGGATATTTGGCAATTAAAAAATTAGGGAAAAAATTTTTATTATTAAACTGGTCCTCAACAATAAAAAAAATTTTTTTCAACGGAAGACATGTCCATTTAATGGGGAAAAATTTTTATTGAACTACAAGTCCTACCAAAAAAAATAAAATTTATTTTTAACGGAAGATATGCTCATTTAGTGGGGAAATTTTTTTGAACTCCAAGTCCTGACCAAAAATAAAATTTATAAAGGGATACATGAGATCTTCCTTCTCACATATCCTTAGGTTCCGAGGTCCTTTTCTACTATATTTTAAAAAATTTCTAAAAATTAAGAGATTCTTTTTTTCAACATTTTATAAAAAGTAGTAAAATGAATTTAATGAACTAAAAAAAAATTTTTTTTTGTGCCAAAATATTCTTCTTAATTTTGAAGGAAACCTGAGAATGTGTGTGGACATAAAAATAAGGGTGATGAACTCGCTTCTTTTTTTCTGACATATTTTTTACTATTTAGTGGTTATAAAAAAATTTATTTTTTTTTTTCGTTGTTTTTCACACACATTCCTAAAAAAATTATTTTTTAATTTTTTAAATTTTTACTTAAACTCTTTCTTTAAGGGCTAAAACACTTTTTTTCATTTGCTTTTTTCCTCAAAAAATTTTTTTTCTCCTCCAAAAAATTCCCCCTCCCCCTAAAAATTTTTTTTACTTCAAAAATTATTTATTTTTCTTCATTTATCTCTTATTAACACTTTATTTTTTGACTCACACTTTTCAAAATTTTTTTTTTAAATTTTTTTCTTTCTCCTTTAATTTTTTTTATTATTTTTCTCACCCATCAAAAATATGTATATATTTTGTCACACACAAAATATATATTTATAGGTATATCCCACACTAATTTTTCAAAAAAAATTTTTTTTTGAGGTATTTTTTGCCATAAATTTTGTTTCCATAAATTTTAAGAAATTTTTTTTGTTTTGAAGTGTTGATTTTAGGTGAATTTTAAAGGAGAAAAGTAGTTAAACTTTGAACTTAAAAATTATGTGAAATAAATATTTTTTAGATGGGAGGGGAAGAGTAAAAATTTAATTTTTTTTTAAATTGAAATTATTTTTAAACAAGTGGGGACTTGAAAATAATTTTTTGTTATAATAATTATACTATATTTTGAGGGGAATTTTTTAATGTTAGTTAATTTTTTTGTTAATTTTTTTGCTAATTTTTTAAACATTTTCTCTCATAATTTTACATTTTTCTTTCGTAACCGCACTTTTTTTTTCAAAATTTTTTTAAATTTTTATTCACTTCCGGTTTTTATTTCATTTCTATATGCCTACATTTTTAAAGAAAAGAAACTTTTATTTTATATTTTACACCTTTACACAAAGGTGTGTTTTAAAAAATAAATAAAATAAAAGAATTTTGAATTAGTTTTTGGTTTTAAAAATTTTTTTTGTTTTATTATTTTTGACTTTTAAAACATATACCCTCTATAGTTATCTTTTTGTTATACCTATGTATAAATAATTTAGTTAAACAGAAATGCCAAATAGGTGTTAGCTTGTTGTTTTAAGGCTAGAATAAATAACACTCAAAACTTTTCTTTTGTTTTACAAACTTGTTGTGTTTTTCTTTTATTTTAAATGTTTTTAAGGGTTTTTGTATGTGTTTTTAAGTTTGTATTTTATTTTGAACATTTAATTCTGATTTTTAGTTTGTATTTTATTCTGACTTTTTAAGTTTGTAATTTATGTATTTTTAAGTTTTGTATTTTATTTTGATTTTTTAAGGTTTGTAATTAATTCTGATGTTTTAAATAATTTGTATTTTCTGATTCTTAAGTTTTAAGTTTTCTTTTTATTATTTCAAGTTTTGTATTTTTTCTGATTTTTTTAAAGTTTGTAATTCTGATTATTTTAAATTGTTTTAGGTGTGTTTTTATGTTTCTTGATATTTTTATAAAGTGGTGGTTTTTATGTTTTTTAAGATAACTAATTTTTGTTGCTCACACACTCACCTTATTCCCCTTCCCTTTTTTGTGGTTTTTGTTGTGTCAGACCCTTAGCCTACCTCCACGGTTTTTTTTGTTCAATTTTCCTTTTTTTTTGGCCATGTTTCCTCCCCTTTACCTCCCCTCTTTTTTCATTTTACTAATTTCCCATGGCTAGAATTACTTCACAAAAAAGGTTTTTTGCTTCCTTTTCCCGTTCATTTTCTTTCAATTTTTATTTTATTTTTTTAAATATAAGAGGAATTGATTGAGAGAACAAATTTGTTCTAAAATATATATAAGGTAGTTAATTAAGCTAAAATATATGGCTATAATGAACTAAAAATTTAATTTTTTGGAGGATTAAAAATCTTTTTAAATTTTTTATTTTTATTTTACTCACTGATTTTTTGAATTTTTTTGCTTTTTTTCCTCAAAAAAAAATTTTTTTCTTTCTCCTCATTTTCTTTTTCTTCGTCTTGTTTCACTTGTTGTTCTTCTTGTTAATAATATTTTTTTATTATTTTTGTGTGCTTACCGGTGTCAATTTCAAACTAGTAGTCGAATGTTTATTTAAAAATACAAATAAATGGCTAACTGCGCATTCAAACATCAAAAAAAAATTTTTTAGTAGAAAAAAATATCCTCACTAACATATGTTCTCATTGTTGTTGTAAGGGAGGATAATCAATATAAAAAAATTTTTTTAGATTTTTTGAAAAATATTTTAATTAAAAAAAATTATTTTTTTTCTGTAAATCCTTTTCCCCCAATTTGTCATTAATTTGAAAAAATTAAAAAATAAAACCTCCTTTATCTACTTAAATAAAAAATGGATTTACTTCAACAATGCCAAACCCAATCATTTTTCCAATTACCAACAGAAAGTTGGGTTTATGTTTGGCTACTTGCTATTAAAGATTTTTATAAACCTATACATACGGTGAGGTTTAAAAATTAATTTTATTAAAAAATTTATTTTTTTCAGTACCTGTCAATAGTTTTGTGTGCGTTGGGAGCAATTTGTAATTTTTGTAATATTGTTGTGCTTACAAGGAGAAAGGTAAAAGAAAGAAAAATACAAAACTTGCAAATTAAATACAATTACAATCTCGAAAATACAAAAAATAAATTTAAAATATTTAAATAAACTTTAAGTGTAAACTTGAAAAATACAATCAAAATACAACTGTTAAATAAAATAAACTTAAAATTACAAAATTAAATGTATTTTCAAAATTGTATTTTATTAATTCAAGTTTGTATTTTTTTAAATGAACATAAAACTTGAGAATACAATAAAAATGTATTTTTGTATTTTTCCATAATGTGTTTTCGATGTATTTTTATGTTTAAAGTTTATTTAAAAAAAAGTTTCAACTTGAATTAAATTTAATAAAATACAATAGAAATAAACTTGAAAAGAAAAATACAAAACTTGGAAAAATACAAAAATACAAATATTTTTTAAAGATGAGAACACCTGTAAATATGATTTTGACAGCTATGGCTTGTTGCGATACTGTTGTATTATTTTCTAACCTTACTTATACAACACATTACACTTTTGGTATGAAAATTTTTTGAAAATTAAATCAGATCTTTTATAAAAAATTTTATTTTAAGTTGCCTTTGAACATTGTGTACCTAAACATTGGTAAGTTTATTTTAAATTAAAATAAAAATACAACTACTAACAAACTTAAAAGATACATTTTTAAATGTATATAAAATACATTTGTAAAATACATTAATTTATTTCGTAACTTAAAAATACATTAAAAATAAACCTAAAGGCTCCAACTGCTTTAATAAACTTTAAGTTTAAGCTTAAAAAATACAATCGAAAATACAACTTGTTAAATAAATTAAATAAACTTGGATTTCAAACTTGAATGTATTTTTTCAAGTTTATTTTTAAAAATACAAACTTGAATTATAAATTAATAAAATACAATAAAAATACAGAAAATAAACCTTAAAATACAATAATATTTAATTCCACCCTTTTTAGGTCTTATGGTTGGTGTGTTTTTCTGATCTCACACGCGCATCTTTCACTTGTTTTTCATTCCTCCTCAATTTGGCTTTCTGTAATGCTTGCTCTTATTCGTTATTTAACTTTACGACGGCGTGGTAAAGCTTGTGTTCAAGTAAAAAATAAATTTCTGAACAAAATTTTTTTTTAATTTTTTTTAAAGATTGGATTGAAACATTCTTATGTTGCTATTGCTTGTGTTGTTTTATTTGGTAAATTTTTTTTAATTAAAATTTTTTTTTCTAATTTTAAAATTTCTCTAGTATCGCTAATGAATGCTCCAAATTTTTTAACTTATAAAATTACTGAACAAACTTTGGGTGAAACTTGTGGTGATTTGGCTGTTTTAAAATATAAAAATCATACAGCTTATATACCTGGTGTGGCTGATATTGCTTTAAAAGTGAGGAAAAAAAAATTTTTTTGATTGAAAAAAATTTAATTTGAAGTCTGATTGTTTGGTCTTCCGCCTAGCTTTTTGGATAACTGGAGCTGTTTTTAAATTGTTTCCTTGTTTATTATTGACAGTCCTAGTGTCGCTACTTACACAAATTTTAAAAGAAGTTAGGGCTAATAGGCAAAGACTATTTTTTGGTGGTGGCTGTAGCAGTAGTACTTTTGAAGCAAATTCTTCTCAACAATTTTTTTCGGAGCCGATAAGTACACAAACTGGTGAATTTTTTATTATTTTTAAAGTTTTTGTAAGAATATCGAAGTTTTGAATAAATATCTAGAGAAAAAGTCCAAAGATCACGAGTTTTTGTGAGGTCAAGGGGGTCGTGGGTTCGAGTCCGCTCGGGGAATTTATTTTTTTATTTCTTGAAAGGGCTAAATTAAACATTTCAAATTAAATTTAAATTAAATTTAAAACATTTTCTGCATTAAATACTGATTTTTGGATGCCGTGTATTTTATTACACTAGAAAAACTAATTTTAGTAGACCTTTTGTAAGCATCACCTTACCAAAATTCTTAAAAAATTTTTTTCGAATAATTTTTTATTTAAGCTGTTCTCTTCCTTTTCCCCGTTGAATCTTCAAACAATCAAAATAATGAATCTCCTACAACAGCAACTAGAAGAGATGTATTACTTCAAAACAATGGGAATAATAACAACAGCAATACAACAATTAATTTATTAAGCCCTCCTCCTATTACTTCATCTACTTTAACTTTAAATAATAGAAATGACTGTACATCCTCGTCATTTATGAGGTTTTTTATTTTTAAAATAATTTTTTTAATGTTGCTATGTCTGAAAATGAGTTTGTGTATTTATTTGTGATCATGGAGGGAAGGGGGGGGGGGGGTCATGGGTTCGAGTCCGCCCAGGGAAATTATTTTTTAAGTTGATTGGAAAAGGTAAGAGTGACCATTTTGAATAGTTATAGTGATTCTTAGATGTAGTGAATTTTCATTAGATCAGAAAAGATTAGAACAGATTAAAAAATAATAGGTTTCTTTGAGGTCGTGAGAGGTCGCGGGTTCGAGTCCGTTCGGGGAAATCATTTTTTAAAAGTTGTTTGGAAAAGGCAAAAGTAGACAGTAGGTTGAGTAACACTAACGTTTTTTTATATTTCAAAAATTTTTTAAACTTAAAAAATTTTTTTAATTTAAGGAAAGGTATTAATGCCACAACTGCAAGTGTTCACCGAACAGACAGAACAACTCGAATGTTACTTGCAATTGTTTGTGTATTTTTGGTTACAGAATTACCACAGGGAATAATGTAAATTTTATTTTAAAAATTAAAAAAAATATTTTTTTTCAAAGTGCTGTAATGAGTGGAATGTTTTCTGAAGAATTTCGTTCCCACATTTACAATAATTTGGGGGATATTCTTGATTTATTATCATTATGTAATGCTCTAGCTTCTTTTATTATATATTGCTCAATGAGTGCTCAATTTCGTAATGTAAGGAAGAAAAAAAAATTTTTTTGAGAAAAAATTTTTGGAAAAAAATTTTTTTGAAAATTTTCAAGAAAAAAAATTTTTGAAAATTTTTGAAAATTTTCCGAAAAAAATTTTTTCTTAAAATTTTCTGAAAAATTCTGAAAATTTTTTTCAAAAAAATTTTGGAAAAATTTTTTCTTATTTTTCCCTTTTCAAGGAATTTCGCCGTGTTTTCCTTCCAACAACTCAACGTGTGAAATGTTGGCGTCAATTACTTGTATTAACTAGAAGAAGGAAAAGAAATGACGTGGAGAATATTAAATTTGAAAGAAGGCAGGAAAGTGGAGGTGGATGTGAAGAAAGTGATGGATTAGGTAACGGGGGGGGGGGGGGATTTTAATAAAAAAAATTTTCTGGGAATTTTTTTGGAATTTTTTGAATTTCTTAAAATTAAAAAAAAATTCTTTTTTAAAGTTGAGGAACAAGAACAAAATAATACAACAACAAAAAGTCCATTATTAAGAAGGCCAACAATACAGCAACAACCAATAAATACTCGAAATGGTTGTCTTTCATCTTCCTCTATTTTTTCAAAACAACAAGCAAAATAGAGAAGGAAAATGAATTTTTGAAAAAAAAATTTTTAAAAAAATTCACAGCCTTTTTAATTAATTTTATGTAAATAAAGGAAGAAAATATTTAAAAAAAATTTTTTTTTAATCTATAAATAGTTTGTATAATCTTTCAAAAAATATATATATCTATATGTATAGATTAAAGAAAATAATTTGACAGATTTTTTAAAAATTTTTTCAGCATTTTAGAATTTTTGTAGAATTTGTAGAAGAATAACTCCTTGGTGGTAAAGAAGCAGCTCCTTTCCTAAACCCTCCGTCTCCCAAATCTGTCCTGTTCAATGCTTGACTGAGCGCCTGAAGTGAACTTGCCTCTAATGCATATTCTGGTATGTCATCCGGCTGGGGAAGATTGGCACAAAATTCGCCAGGTAAATTACAATTACCGGAAGGTCTGTAGAACACAACTAGGTAGAAGAAAGGGAGGTTAGAATATAGATAGGGTTTCTGATTATAGGAAAAGGGGGGGGGGTGTGGCAGATTGGTCTTTCGCCTTTTTAAATGAGTTTCAGTACTTCCATGATTTTGTGGAAGTCAGACATTTTTATATCTTGTTCTCCCCTATTTCTTGTTATTAATGGTAATAATTGTTAAATGCGAGGGTAAACAAAATAAAAAATATTGGGAAAATTTGTATCTCCTCTAGCACTCCCCTCTAGTGGGTTTTCACCAGAACCAAAATTTTGACCGGAACCGGTCCAATTTGGTTTCCGGATCCCGAACCGGAACATCCGGTGAAACCCTAACCTCTAGGCCTTTTTAAAGGTACAAGGAATGTTTGATCATCTCCCCCTATTTTATCAACTGTTTAAAGGGGTTCCCCTTACCAATAGCCATACAATCAGTTGAAGTATCCCAATGCCTAGCAACACCCATTTCTGTTGAACCTCTCCATATCATTTGTGTAAAATGTCTGCATTCTTTAAGAGAGAAAAATTAATTTTATTTTTTGGGGGGGATTAGTTTACCTAAACTCCATCTTGGCCTAGAAAAATCAAAATGCCTGGCTTCTGTGGCCCATAGGGCTACAAGCTCCTAAAAAATTTTTTTTGAAAAATTTTTGAAAAATTTAAAAAATTTTTTTTACATTTCCAGTAGTCAAGTGATCTCCAGTGGTGCACTTAAATGATTCTGATGCTCCTTGAAACACCTCAACAGAATTATCCGAAGTTAGCAAATAAATATTTTCCCCAATTCCGGGCAACTCTGGAAACAAAAGACGACCTCGCTGTGTTAATTTGAGAGCCCATGTTTTGGCCAATTCGGCAAGTTCTTGAGACCAAAGTAGTGGAGGAATGCCGTAAATCTGGTTTGGAATTTGAGGTTTTTTTTAATTTTTTTGAAAATTTTTTTAAAAATTTTTTTGAAATTTTTTTGGGGTTTAGGAATTTTTTGAAATTTTTTTTGAAAATTTTTTAGGGGTTTTTGGGATTTTTTAAAAATTTTTTTTTTCAATTTTTTAACAAAAAATTTTGTTTGAAAACCTGTCTAACGTGATTATGAGCTTGTAAACATTGCCTTTGAAAATTGGCATCAACTAGAATTTTTTTTAAAAATTTTTTTCCTGATTTTCAGTTCTTCCCCAACTCACCAACAGCTGCAAATTTTGGTCTCCTTCTATTCTCATATTTTACATCTGTGCAAATTTGCATAAGTGATTTATCCAATTGCCCATCACTTCCACCAGCACAACTTGTAGCTGGTTCTGAATGGCAAGCGGAAGGTGCTGGACTAAGTGAAGGACAAAAACGATCAGGAGAAAGATGGTGGGTTGTTGACCTGTTTTTGGGATTGATAAGAGATGATTTTTTGTGATGAGAAGTGGGATGAATTTTGGCATATAAATATTTAGGAGAGTGGAGGTTAATTTAAAAAATTCTTCTATTTTAGACTAGGGATGACAATGCATCCAAAACCCTTGACTTTCCGTCCATAAACCCCTCTTCTACTTTTCTCTTTTGATATTCCTCTTAATCCCATGAATCCTCACTACTGACCCGGCTACGAAACCTGACTCCTTTTTTTCAACATGAAACCCAATCCGAAGAAATTTTTTTAAAAACACGACTTGTAACTCGAAACCCGGCTCTAGTTCGCAACCTGTGGACTGTCCTTCCTTCCACCAATAAATTTCTTTCGGATATATGTCATCCCTAGGAGGGAACGAGCGGTCCTGATTCCCAAAATCGGGAATTTAATTTTTTGTCGGGAATTTAATTTTTTTGTCGGCTCGTTCCCTGATCCCTAGTCTAAAATAGAAAAACCTCTGATTTGGACCCCAAAAATGAAGTTAAAAAATTTTTTTTAGTTTTTTACCTCGGAACATCAAATGTTCTACTTGATGTTAACAAGGAATTATTTTTTATTAGACTTTTATTATTTTTTGTAGTTGATGATTCCTTCCTTCCTCCACCAACACAATCAACACTTTTTGAATTACTCTTTAAGGAGGAACGCAAAAAAGCAGCAAATGAACGACGCTTTTTACTTAAATTATTTTCATTATTCTGGCGCCTAGCGGGTGTTGATGCTGATGTTGATGGAATAGAAGATATATTAGTGGAAATATCCCCATTCTTTTGACCACTACTACCGAAAATCCAACGCATTAAATTATATTGAGGTGGTCAAATCTAGAATTATGAAAAAGGAGAAAATTGAGGTGAGGTAAAAAATTTTAAAATTTCGAGAAATTTTAAAATTTTCTAGAAAATTTTTTAAAAAAATTTTTCTGGAAAAAATCAGAAAAAATCAGAACAAAATCAGAATTATTCTCTCTGTTACTTTCCCTTAGCTTATGGGTCGAAGGTTCGAACCCGCTTGGCGGTCGCCTAATTTTTTCTCTGTTATTTTGTTTTTTCCAACTTATATTTTTTTTTAAATACTCAAAAAATATGAGATCGGAAAATCTTTATTAAATGAGAAAAATAGGTAAATTAAAATTCTTGGCAGTGGGACTCATTTTCTCTTACTTTTCCTATACCTATAGGTCGAGGTTTCGAACCCGCTTGGTGGTCGCTTAAATTTTTTTCTCTGTCATTATTTATTTTAACCTTCCAAACCTTTCATTAACCTTTTAAAAACCTTTCAGAATTTTATTTTAAAATTTTTTTATTTTTTAGAATTTTTACGTTCTATTGGATTGAAAAGAAGTTAGTCAAGCATTATGTTCAAAAACATTATTTTAATTATTATGGTCAAATTATTCAAAAAAACATTTTATGATTGGAGGGCAAGTTCTTTTTCCGTCTTCAATTAAAAAAGAGAAGGTAAGGAGGCTTTTACTGCAACCCTCATTCCTTCTAGGGAACAGCTACCTTTACCAAGAAAAATTTTTTTAAGGAAGGTCTAAAACAACATTCACCTTATAATTTGGAAGGGGAGGGGAGGGAAGGGGAGAACTTCAATTTTACTGGAAGGGTGGCAATTTATATTAAAAATAAATTATGGTTCCAATTTAATAGGAACAACTTTATAATGTACTAAATATATATTTAGGGCCAGTCGATTTTTAAAAAGTGGATAAATAATAAGGAGGGGAAAAGCAATAGTGAGGAAAATGACTGTGCAAAGCCTGCTAACCACCCTACCAGGGAGATATATATTTTTGGGAGAGTACATAGAGAAAAGAAAGGAAAAGCCACAATTTTGTCTGTGTTTTTAGGTCCCATTGGGGATAAAAAATAAAGGGAAAGAAAGGGAGAGGGGATTTTTTTGGGAGGATTTTTTGGGAGGGAATATTTCCTCTACAAATTTGGAGGGAGAATAGAGGGAAGTACGGGGAGGGGGAAGAGAAGGGAAGGAGAAGGGAGTGAAGAGAAGAGGATGGGGAGGGAGAGGATGGGAGGGATGGGGGAGGGGAAGGGGAAGGGCTGGAGGGATGGGGAGGGTGGGGGAGATCAGCTGGAGGCGGAAGGGAGCAGCTAGAGGGGGAAGGAGGGAAGGGAGAGGGAGGGAGGGAGCAGCTGTCGACTACTTTTTTATCCTGCTTCTGCTCTAGAGGGGGACATGCTGTTTTTTCTTGTAAAGCTTTTGCTTGTAAAAGGCCTTAAAAAGACCCCAATTAGCGCAATTCACTACCACACAGACAAAAAAAGGAAAAAAAATTTTTGGGCCTAGCAAAAAGCAAAAGAATATAAATAAAAATATTTTTGTGGCGGAGAGAGACAATAAAAATGCCAAAAAATAAAAAGGAGGGAAAAATGTTTTTTTTTGTAAAAAGGGTAAAAATAAAATAAAAGAAAATTGAGGGGAACGGCAGAAGCATTTTTAAAGAAGGCTGGTAGTAAATATATATAGACAAGTTGTGTGTGTAAAAGTATTTTTAGGCCAGTTGGTTTTATTGTTAGAATGAGAGGGAAAAGGAAGGAGCAGGAAGGAAAAGCTTGGAAGAAAAAAAAAGAAGAAAAAAATAGCCAGAGGATAAGCAAAATATAAGTAGATATGCTCTAATAGAAGCCCTGGACGTCTATTTTTCAATGAGTCCTTTTGGGTGGGTTTCTATAAGGGCATGGGCTTCTATTGGAGCCAGAAGTAGATATGGGGAAAGGATTCAAGAAAATTAACATTTGGGGTATTTTGGTGATATTTTGTGGAAGTTATAGGGAGAGGAGAAGGGAGAGGAGAGAAGGATATTTTGAGGGAATCCGAGAGATTTTGGTGATTTTTAGGATTTTTTTTTTGTTTAAAATGTGTTCAATTTTTCCTTTTGATAGATATTGAATGAAGAGGGAAGAAGGTATATTTTGAGGTGTTGATTTATTGGGATTTTTTTGGGAAAGGTCGAGGATTTCTTTGAGAGTGATGTGTTCACTTTCTTGTTGACTTTTAAAAAAATTTTTTTGATTTTATTGACTGATCCGTCTAATAATAAATTATTTTCTACACTATATTTTTGCTTTTTAATTAGGGTCACGAGCGAGATGAAGCAAAAAAAATTTTTTTTTAACAAAATTTATGGATGGAAAAAGGGAGACAAAAATAATCGTGCTTAAAAGAAGAAAGGGGATTTAATTTGTTTTAATGAAAAAATTTGGCAAAAATTGGACGATTAAATTGGTTAGGAGGAGAGAGGAGAAGCAGATTTTGGTGCTCAGCTGGTATTTTTAATTATAAGGTAATATTTTTTTCCTTTTTATAATTTTGCTTAAAGCGATGAAAAGAGATGTCTGGGACACTGTTTTGTAGTTGAAATTTTTTTGGTAATTTTTGAAAAAATTTTGAAATTTTTTTTGACTTTTCTGGCTGACAATGAGCCCTGCCTGTTTAATGGGCTAATAATTAAATAAAATTAATTAAGCTTACCTTCCACTTATTTTTTTATTTTTAAAATTCAAGCATTTTCCCTCTAACCTCTCTTACCTAATTTTCTAATTTTACAACTTTAATGCCCTCCGGGGATTCCCTTTTTTCGCCACTTTTTAAAAACACTCGAGACAAATTTAAAATATTAAAGAAAGAACAGGTTTTTTGTCTTCCCTATTGTTATTATTATTGGCCTATTAAAAATAAATTTAAAAATAAATTTTTAAATTTCTACAAAATATATATTTTTCAGTTTAATTTAAATGCAACAATATTCATTGTTTATTTTACCTTTTATACTGGATCAAATTTCAACACAACTTTCCCCTATAATCAAACAAACAATTAAATTTGGAAATGTTTCTTTAGTGAGGGTAAATAAATTAAATGTTTTTGTTTAAAACCATGATGTTTTTATTGAAATCAACATGTTTATTTGGAAGGAAACGAATGTTTTCCGGAAAGAAATGTTTTGTTTTTATTTCTTTTGTATGTTTTCCGGAAAAAGTTAAATTATATTTTCCGGAAGAAACAATGTTTTTCTGGGAAAAATAAACTTTGTTTTCCGGAAGAAAATGTTTGTTTCAATTTCTCTTGTATGTTTTTCCGGAACATGTTTTGATTAAAATAAACATGTTTAGGTATTTGGAAGGGAAACTTGAATGTTTTCCGGAAACAAATGTCTTGTTTTTATTTTTTGTATGTTTTCCGGAAAAAATTAAATTATGTTTACCGTTTCTAGGAAAAAATATAAAATGTTTTCCGGAAAATGTTTTTCACCTTTGTATGTTTTTCCGGAAAGAAACATGTTTTTACAAACATTTGTTTTTAATAATTTTATTTTTTCAGGAAATTCGTTTTTCTGAAAACACAACATTAGTAGATGATATTAAATTATTGGACAGAATTTTTGAACAAAAAATAATTAAAGAACAATCAACTAAAAAGGAAGAAAAGAAAATAATAATAAAACAAAAGAAGAGATTAGTGAAGGATAAAGGCCCTAGAGCAAGAATTTTATTAGTTGGAGATCATTCATTGTTTGAAAAATTTTTTGGATTGTATGGTGAAGATGAATATGCTGGTAAAATTTAAATAAAAAATTTTTAATTAAAATAAAAAATATTTTTAAGCCTATAATGGTCTCAGTTTATATTTAAATGGAATATTCAGTCAATTAAAATCTGTGTTTGATAATCAACTTTATTTCTTTAATAAATTCTCTTTGAGATTAGAAATGGTTGGCATGCCAATGGTAAAGCTTAATAAATTAATTTGTTTATGTTTTTGGAAACATGTTTTTCCGGAAAACAAATAGAGAAAATAATAGATGTTTTTCCGGAAGATAAAATTTTTTCAATTAAACAAACATCTTATGAACATTAATATGTTTTCCGGAAAGAGAAAAATATTCGTTTTACAAAACAAACATCTCAGAACAATATGTTTTCCGGAAGCATGTTTTTCCGGAAAATGAACTGAACATTTTTATTCACGAAACAAACATGTTTTATTATTAATTCTGTTTTTATTTCCTTCCGGAAAATTTTTTTCAGATTATTCTTCGCCCAAAAGATTGCCCACTACGAGGGCCATTACAAAATTTTATCAGTCAACATTATCTAGATAAAATAAACACAACATTAATTAATTCTTCTGTTCCTTTAACAAACTCTTCTATTCAAATTCAACTGGAAAAACAACAAAAACAAATGAATTATGTTTGGCGTTCGTTAGATAGCTTAGTAGCAGTGCAGTGGGCAAGTAAGTGGGTTAAGCAAAATGAACCCACAGGGAATTTACCGATTCATGAACATTTGATGATTATAACAGCTTTGGTAAATTAATTGTTTTTATTAAATGTTTTCCGGAAAACAGTTATCTTTTTTTTGAAAAACATTTTTTGAAAACATTTTCTTCTGGAAAACATTTTACGGAAAACATTCTTTGTAAAACATTTAAACGTAAACATTTTAAATATTTTCCGGAAAACATCTTTTTCCGGGGAACATTAAACTGAAACATCATCTTTTTCCGGAAAACATTAATTGTTTTTCTGGAAAACATTTTCTTCTATGTTCGAATGTTTTTGAATATGTTTCTATAATTTTTGGTTGGAGTTTTCTTGTTTAAAACAATTGTTTTAAGTTTACTTAAACATGTTTTCTAGAAGTCAAAAAACATTGTGTTTCAATGTTTTCCGTTTAGAAACATTTTTGAAGTTGGAAGCATTTATTTTAATGTTTGAGAAACATGTTTTCCGGAAATTTTTAAATTTAATGTTTCTGGGATGTTTTAAAGTTTTGTTTTTTTAAAGGATTTACTTTCACATCGAAATGATTCTTCTACTCAAGGAATGGCTTATGTTCGAGCAATTTGTAGAGGTTATGATAGCGTTTCGGTTGGTTGTTTTGTTGTTGTTTTTAAATAAATAATGTTTTTTCCTCCCATTTCGGTGGTCGAAGATGTTGGCGGACTTAGCACTTCTGTGAGAATTTTTGAAGAAATTTTTGAAAAAAAATTTTTTTTGGAAATTTTTTAAATTTTTTAGATTGTTGCAGCACATGAATTGGCTCATAGGTGATTTAAAAAAATTTTTGAAGCTAAAAAAAAATTTTTTTTTGAAGCTAAAAAAATTTTATTTATTAAAGTATTGGAGCGTCTCATGATGGATTTGGCGAAAGCGAAAATTGTTCGGCTCGTCAAAATTTTTTAATGACTCCAGTCTCTGCTTCACACCCATTCGATGCTAAATTTGGCGATACTTTTGGAAATGCATTTATTTTGAGTAAATGTTCTCGACAACAAATTGAAGATTTTTTTAAGTCGTTTAAATTAAAAAAATCTTTGAAAAAAAAATTTTTTCTTCAGTTCATCAGATTCTAATTGTCTTTGGTCAGAAGAAGAAGAAAAAAATTTATTCTGGTCAATGTTAGAAGAAGAATTTCAATCGTCTTTAAATGCTTTAAATAAAAATGGAAGCAATATTTTATTTGATGATGAAAATTATTTGTTGGAAGAGGAGAAACAATTGATGAATAATAAAAATGGAAAAGAAGAGGAAATTAAATTTTTAAAAATTTTACCGGGAGAACAATTTAATCCTTCTAGACAATGCCAAATAGCCTTTGGGCCTAGTTATGGTTATAAAAAATTTTTTTTTCTAATTTTAAAAATTTTTTCTAAAGTTTTTAGGACTTTGCCAGGTTGATTCTTGACAAATTTTGAAAAAAAAATCTTTTTAATTTAAAAGAGAATAGATTTCCTTTTGTTAACGTCTGATTCCTGTCGTCGTCTATGGTGTAAAGATAGACGCCAAAGACGGTGGGGGCCCTGTGAGACTAAAGGATTTTTACCTTTAATGGATGGAAGTAGTTGTGGAGATCGAAAGGTGTTTAATAGAATTGAAATTGAAATTTAAAAATTAATAATTTTTATAGTGGTGTATAAGAGGACAATGCCGGCCAATGCCTGGAGTATCAGAAGAGGGAAACAAGAACAGTAATAATGAGGAGAATAAAAGTTCGGGTAAACAATGAAAAACATTAATAAAAACAAAATCAGAATTAAATTAAAACAAATGTGTTTTGAAAGATATAAACAACAAAAAAATCAGAATTTAATAAAAACATAATCCAAAAATCAGAATTAAACAACAACGACTTCAAAATCTAATAATCAGAATTTATTAAAAACAATCTAACAAACATCTAACAAACAAATCCAGAATTAAAATTTAAGACCAGAATTAAATTAAAACATTACTTATAAATCAGAATTAAATAACAACATTAATAAGAAAAATCAGAATTATTTAAAAACAAACACCCAAACAAAACCAGAATTTAATAAAAACAAAACCCCAAACAAAATCAGAATTAAAACAATGCTCCAAACAATCAGAATTAAATAACAATCTTAATAAAAAATATCAGAATTATTTAAAAACAAAACTGCAAACAAAAACCAGAATTTAATAAAAACAAATCACCCAAACAAAATCAGAATTAAAACAATACTCCAAAATCAGAATTAAATAACAACCTTAATAAAAAAATCAGAATTATCTAAAAACAAAAACACAAACAAAACCAGAATTTAATAAAAACATTGACCCAAACAAAATCAGAATTAAATTAAAACAAATTTTTAGTCAACTGCAACGACGACTTAAATCACACGTTTTGTTCCAATTTTCAACATTCCCAACTACATTCTTTTTGCCAAATGATTAGCTTTTCAAGGATTTGTTGTTCTACTTGTCGTAGGCCTTTTATTAAAAAGATAATAAAAACAAAACAAAAAATTAATTTAAATATTTTTAAATATGGAAATTGATCTCAAAATTAAAGTTGATTTTCGATTTGTATTTTTTTTCTGTTCTGATTTATTTTTTCTGATTCTGATATGTGATTCTGTTTTGTATTTTTCTTGATTTTATTTAAAAAATTTTTTTTGTTTTTAAATTCGAAAATAACTAATTTTTTGGCCCCAATTTCCCCAAATCAACATTTTGTCCCTCTAATAAAATGACCGGGTTACTTGTTAAAAGTAAGAAAATTCTACTCAATATGAAAAATTATATTAATTATTTTACTTAGTATGCATGGGAATTTCGTCGTTTAAGATATTTTTGAACCATATATCATTAATTTTTGGATCGGGGAGTTACCATGGAACTCCCTTCAATTTAGTTTGAAATCAATTTGGATAAAGCAGTCCCGCTTTACCTCTCAAAATCCCCCAATTTCCACTTAATCCCTACATATTCATAAATAATTTTCAATGTTGATTTTATGAATAGAAATGCAAAGTTTACTTAATATGAAAAATTACATTAAATATTTTACTGTTTTAGAATTTTGTGGCTAATTTCAGTGGGTAGGGGATTCCTTAACAGAAAGGAAAATTCTACTTAATATGAAAAATTATATTTACTAATTTACTTAAACTTAGAATTTTATCGCTGTGTTGAAGAAAGTCTGGTAAGAAGATGATAGAAGGTGGGGTCCTAATTTTTGGATTGGGGAGTTTTTTAACTCCCTTCAATTTTTTGGTTAATTCTGGAAAAACTATATTTATTTTTATCCAGTTAATCCCTCAAAATCCCTAGATATTCCTAAAATTCTTTAATGGAGATTTCATTTTCTTTTAATTTAGTATTTTTTTGCTCAAACATTTCTTCAGATTTCGTTCCCAATCCTCAATTGTCGCTTCCCTAAATTTCTGGAAATTTTACTTAATATGAAAAATTACATTTATTATTTCACTTAACCGTAGAATTTTCTGGTTAATTCTGAGTAGGGGTGGTTCCCTTAAAAATTGGAAAAATCTACTTAATATGAAATATTCAATTAAATATTCTACTTAAATTTGGAAATTTTGTGCTAACTTAAAATAAGGGAGACGGAAGGGGAATTTTCTCGTTAATTTTTGGATTGGGGGGTTCATGCATGACCCCCTTCAAATTTTAGTTTTGCTTAATTCTGGATTTAATATCCGATCCATGCACAACAAAAAGATAAGTTGTTCCTTTTTAAGGAAATTTTATAATTTAATCAAAGGTTAAATCTCTGACCAGATTTTAAATAATTTTTTTTAGTTTTGTCCTTTTATTTGTTCATCGTTAATCACTCTTCTATTAATATCTCTGTTTTTTTTCTTTTTCGGTTGGTAGTAATTTTTTATAACCAATTCCCTCTATTTTAGTTTGAGGTTAATTCTTATACAAAATAAAATCTCTTAAACATAAACATTTTCTACTTAATATGAGAAATTATATATATTATTTTACTTAAGCATAGAAATTTTGCAATACTTTAGGGCCTAAATGGGAATTTAATTTTTGGATCGGGGAGTTACCTTGGGACTCCCTTTAATTTTGAGCTAATTTATTATTTTTTTCTTTCACTTATCCTTATCCTCCCTTATCCAACTTCACTTTCTGATATTTTATCGTGCGGATTTTTATTTTTAAAAAGAGAAGTAAAAAATTAATTTAATGAAAAATATTAAAAGAAAACAATTGAAAAAATGTGAAAAAAGATTTAAAAAATTAAAAAATTGGGTGAAATAATTTAAAAATTATGAATATTTTTAATTTATTTTTTGGCAGGTATTGCGAAGGGGAGTTTGGATGGGGTGGATGTTTTTATTGATGCTTTAAATGTTTTATTCTTCCGGAAAAACATTAAAATAAAACACATTCCGGAAAAGACGATGTGAGACAAACACATGTTTTTCCTAAAACATGTTTTTCTGAAATAAACATGTTTTTCTTAAAACAAAAACATTTTCCGGAACAAACATTTTCCGGATATTTCTTCTTTGACATGTTTTGTTTTCCTAAAACATGTTTTTCCTAAAACATGTTTTTCTTAAAATAAACATGTTTTTCCTAAACAAAAACATTTTCCGGAATAAACATTTTCCGGATATCTCTTCTCTGACTAGAATTTTAAATGATTTTTTCAAGTTTTGTTCTTTCTCTCTCTCTCTCTTCTATTAATATGTATCTCTTCTCATTTCCTTATTTGGTTTGGTAGAATATTTATTTTTTAATTTTTACCGCCAACAACCTTAAAATTTGGAATTTTTTCAATTATATAATAAAATTTCCAAAAAGACTCTACCAAATGATGAGCTTGACTTCCAGCTTTAACTTTACAGTCACAGCATGAAGCTGCTGAAATTGTAGTTGGGCGCCATTCATCCTGCCCATTTACCGTTACTTTTTGTAACACATCAAAATTTCTATATCGTTGATTACACGTTCCCCAACCAGAAAGGCAATAATCACTTGATTGACAAACTAATTCATTTATTAAACGGGGGAAATATTCTTCAGAAAGTTGACGCCATGTCTAAACAAATGTTTTTAATGTTTCCCCCTCAGGTTTTTGAAAATTACCCAACAAGCAGTGCAAAGATTAAGTTGGTCAGTTTGGTCACTTTCTGGTTCTCCTCTCTCAACACAGTTGATGACAAAACGATTTCCTTAAAATTAAAACATTGTTGGAAACATTGTTGGAAACATTTGTTTTTCCGGAAAGAAACATTATATGTTTTTATTTGAAGGAAAACATGTGTTTTGTGCATTACGGAAACATTTGTTTCCATTGTTTTTCGGGAAAAGAAAAGAATGTTTTTCCTCAAGTAAGGAAACAAAACAAATGTTTTTCTCTAAAATGTTTAACATTTTGTCCAATTATTGCCTCATTGACATTTTTTTCTACTTAATATGAGAAATTCGATTTATTACTTTACCTAAACTTAGCAATTTTATGATTCCTTAAGAAAATAGTGTTAGATAGACCACTAATTTTTGGATCGGGGAGTTACCGCGGAACTCCGTTCAATGCAGTTTGAAGTAGAGATTGAACCAGGACCGGATCCTTATTTTCGGATCTGGAAGTACTTGATCCAGATATTTTGATAAAACTGGAATTTCCGGATTTTTGGAATTTTAAAAATGTTTCCCAATGTTTTTCTTCGTAGAAACAAATGTTTTTCCTCAAAAATGTTTTCCCTTACCAATTACTGGTCGTTCTGCCTTTTTAGTTTGTCGAACATGCCTTCTATTATCTCGATAAATATCCCTATCAACTACTCTCATATTATTATATCTTCTATTATTTTGAGGTTGTGTATAATATGTATTTCTATATTTATTTGGATAATGTTGAGGAGGTTTTGGAGGAAAATAATGATGTTGTGAAGGAGATGAGGGGTGATAATTGTTATAATTATGGTGAGGAACATTTCCATCTCTCAATGGTATTGCTGTTGTTGATGTTGAGGAAGAAGAGGATGTGGATGACCGTTTTTGAGCCATTTCGTTGTTGCTGAACAAAGATGAAATTGGGTTTGTACCGGCAGCTTGATTCATATGCAGTGCCTGAAAATAAACATGTTTTTAGAAACAAAATGTTTGCTTTAACTACTTTCCGGAAAAACATTGTTCTATCCGGAAAATAAAAATGTTTTTAAGATTGTTTGTTTCCGGAAAATGTTTGTTTGGAAAAACATTATTAAAAACACTATCCGGAAACTGTTTGTTTCTATTCATTTCTTTCCGGAAAAACATGTTTTCCTTGATGTTTCCCCTTTTTAAAACATGTTTGTAAACATTTAAACATTCTCAAACTAAATTGTGTTTTGAACACAATGTTTTCCTAATTCCGGAAAAACATTTTTCCCATACCTGATTAACTTTGTGAGCAAACTCAGAGTAATACTGCTCCCTTTGCATTGTTGCTCGCATTGGGGCACCAGCAGAAATTAATTGTTCTATTGGTGCCATTTTTGTTGTTGGAGGTATATATTGCTAATTAAAGGGGATTTTTAATTTCTTGAATTTTTTGACTTACAGGAATCGGCCTTCCAATCCTTAATCTTGGACAGGCATTTGGTCTGAAAACAAAATTTTTTGTAAGGTTTAATAGGAGCAGACTTTATTTCGTTAATTTTAGGTACAGGAAATGTGTATTGTGGTGCTCCATTAATTAGGCCAACTTGTTTAAGCCGTGCAGTCTGAACAACAAAAATTTAATTAACAACAAAATTCAAAACAACAAACTAACAAGCATTCCAACACATTGCCGGCACTCTTCTGTTAAACATTCAAGTGTGTGGTAGCTCTAAAGGGATTGGATGGGGTGGGTTTATTTTTAAAAATAATTTTAAAAAATGTTACAATTTGTTGTCCACTCATTTCATCCTCAAAAATTCTAGGATCCATAGAACTATCAACAAAAGTTAGCATTGCTTCCCTAAAATGTTTTAATTTACCTATTTTCCTAAACAATGTTTATCGTCTTTAAAACATCCTTTATTTTCTTCCCATTTCCGGAAAACATTGTTTTCTCTTCAGAAACATGTTCATTTCCGTAGAAACATTTTTTTCTTCCTATTTTCCTAAAACATTGTTTTCTCCCCGGAAAAACATGTTTATTTTATGTTACGGAAAACATGTTCATTTTATTTTCCAGAAAAACATGTTTATTTTATTCTCTCTATTTTCCGGAAAAACATGTTTATTTAATTTCTTTCTACTTTATTGAAAAACATGTTTTATCTTCCGGAAAAACATTTGTTCATTTTATTCTCTACTTTCCGGAAAAACATGTTTATTTTATTTATTTCTACTTTCCGGAAAAAACATGTTCATTTTATTTTCCAGAAAAACATGTTTATTTTATTCTCTCTATTTTCCGGAAAAACATGTTTATTTAATTTCTTTCTACTTTATTGAAAAACATGTTTTATCTTCCGGAAAAACATTTGTTCATTTTATTCTCTACTTTCCGGAAAAACATGTTTATTTTATTTATTTCTACTTTCCGGAAAAAACATGTTCATTTTATTTTCCAGAAAAACATTTATTTTATTCTCTCTACTTTCCGGAAGAACATGTTCATCTTATTTTTATTCTTTCACAACTTACTCTATCAACGCTGCTTGATATCTCGAATCATATACCACACATTTATTTGATCCAGGTAAAATAATACAAGGGCATTGTTCAATATTATTCCCATATCTTCTTTGTTTCATTAAATCCATAAATGTAAGACTTTTACTAACACCCTCAGAAGGCATTAAATCTAATTGATAAGATTCTGCTGGGGATGGGGCTGGGATATTTGTAACTGATTGTGAAATTAATTCTTGTTTGCAATTACAAGAAAAGGTTCCCAAAAATAGGGTAGCTAGTAAATATATTTTACTTGTAAAATTAATTAAAGGAAGATTATTAGCACTTTTTGAATAACATCTATAATAAGTTTGGGGGTGTTTTTGTTGTTGTTTTGGAGGATGTTTGTTTTGTTGTTGTTTTTGTGTGTTGTTTTGTTTTTGTTGTTTTAGAGGATGTTTGTTTTGTTGTTGTTGTTTTGGAGGATGTTTGTCTTGTTGTTTTTCCAAATGTTTTTGTTGTTTTTCTGGATGTTTTTGTTGTTTTTCTGGATGTTTTTGTTGTTTTTCCAAATGTTTTTGTTGTTTTTCTAGATGTTTTTGTTGTTTTTCTGGATGTTTTTGTTGTTTTTCCAAATGTTTTTGTTTATCTGGATGTTTTTGTTGTTTTTCCAAATGTTGTTGTTGTTTTTCTGGATGTTTTTGTTGTTTTTCCAAATGTTGTTGTTGTTTTTCTGGATGTTTTTGTTGTTCTTCTAGATGTTTTTGTTGTTTTTCTGGATGTTTTTGTTGTTTTTCCAAATGTTGTTGTTGTTTTTCTGGATGTTTTTGTAGTATTAAAAATGGATGTTTGTTTTGATGTTTTAAAAATATGTTTTGATGTTTTTCTGGTTTCTCGTGTTTGCCCATTTTGAGCAAAGGGGGAAATGTTTTGTGTTTTGTTTGTTTGTTGTAGAAACTTTCTACTTTGTTTAAATTAATTTAGAATGAGGTAAACACATAACTTTTTGAAGGAGAAATAAAAACAAGAAAGTTTTGGGGGTAAGGAGAAGGGTTGTTGTAGCTTGTTGGGGGCAAGTAGGAGAAAATAAATTATAAAAAATTAATTTGTTTTGTGTAATTGGCTAAAAAACGAGAAAATGTTTTTAAAGTTTTTTTAATTTAGTAAATTTGTAGTTGTTTTAGAGTTCCCTAAAAAGCTTCTTTTTTGCTCTCTCTATTATCGCAACTGCGCAAATTATTAGTCATTTACAGTTAATAAATTTTATTTTTTTAAAGATACTTTCTTAAAATAGGGTATTTTTTGCGTCATAAAATTTTTGTAATTTTTTCATTTTAATTGGAATTTTTGTCTTTAATTCAAAAATATTTTTTCTTTCAATTGTATGTCTTTTTTTAGCAGCAAAAATATTTATTACAGAAATTTTTTAATTAATTTTTTCGGAATAAAAATATAAAATCAATTTCTTTCTTCCCTTCTTTTCTTTAATAATCAAATCACTATTTTTATGCGTCAACGATTTTTTCATCAAATTATGTTTGATTGTTGTTCCTCGTTTTTCTTGCATTCCCGTTGGCCATCAAACTTTTTTTTCGATATTCGTTCTTCTTTAATTTTATTCTTCGTTCCTTTCCCGTCTCTAATATTATTAAAATACATTGCGCGCATTTTTGTATTATTGCAATTTTTGTTTGTAAAATAAAGGGAGGGAAATGATCAGGTTTAAATTGTGCGCAAAAGAATAAAACAAAAACGCAAATGTTTCTGGAAAACATTTCCGGAAACAAATAATTGTTTCTTTTAGAAAAACACGTGTTTTTATTAAAATCAGAATTTTTAAAAACATTCCGGAAACAAATAATTGTTGTTTCCGTCAGAAAAACAATTGAATTCCGGAAAACTACCTATTTTCAGAAAAACACTTGTTTTTATCAGAAATCAGAATTTTTCAAAAACATTCCGGAAATAGAAAAACACTAGAATTATTTTCAGAAAAACATTTTCAGAAAAACATGTTTTTATCAGAAAATCAGAATTTCTCAAACTTCCGGAAATAAAAGAAACACATTCCGGAAATGAACAAACACATGTTTTATTTAAACCAGAATTTTTCCAAAACATTTATTTGCTTGTAAATCTTACAAAAACAAAATGTTTCAACAAGTGTTTCTTATTTAATGCTAAACAGCGTTTGCGCACATCTTTAAAAGTTTTACTTTTGCGCAGCATTTTCTCTCTTTCTTATCATTCTAATACTACAACATTAAACCAGTCATTTTGACTGGTTGTTGGTTTTTCCAATTAAATATGTAATTTTTGTTTGATTGTTGATTTTTTATTGGTTATATTGGCAAAAATGGAGGGGTTGTTGTGTAATAAAAAAATAAAATTTTTTAACATTTTTGCAGGGAAAATTTTTAAATTTTTATTAAAAAAAAATAACAATAAAAAAATCAACAAGCAAAAAAAAAATAAAAAATTATTCTTCAACATCAAAATGAGAAACTCTTATTCTCTTGCTGTTATTTTTTGATTCTGATTGTTCCTCCATAATTGAATCTAGTTCAATCGAATCACGACATATTGTGTCAAAATGATTAGATAATCTTCTAATAGATTTGTTTAAAAGGGCATATCCTTGTTCTATAGGTAATTCTAATTCTTTTGCAACTGTATCCACACTTTTCCGTTGTAATCCAACTCCAAGTAAAATTGCTGCCTGGCCTAAATCGAGGGAAAATGAATTTGCTATTTGTTGTTGTTGTCCATTTAAACGTCCATTAAAATAAATATTAGCAATAATTGGTAATAAATCAGAAATTAAATTAAAATCAGTCATATTTCGAGAATAATGAGAAAGTCGTAAAAGGTCGATATCAGAAAGTAGAAAATTCAATTCTTGTCGAGATAGAGGTTCTGAAAAGGAAGGGGGAATTAAATAAATATTGTGAGAGTGTTGTTTAGTCGTTTGTTTTCCGGAAATTATTAGTTGAAATAAACATTGAAGCAAACATTAAAGTAATTATATGTTGTTTGAGGAATAAATATGTTTTCCGGAAAAATGTTTATGGAAATTATAAATGTTTTCCGGAAATGTTTATCAAACAAATGTTTTCCGGAAAATGTTTAGGGAAATTATAAATGTTTTCCGACCATTTTTTTATCAAACAAATGTTTTCCGGAAAATGTTTGGAGGAATTATAAATGTTTTCCGGAAATGTTTATCAAACAAATGTTTTCCGGAAAATGTTTGGGGAAATTATAAATGTTTTCCGACCATTTTTTATCAAACAAATGTTTCCCGGAAAATGTTTAGGGAAATTATAAATGTTTTCCGGAAATGTTTATCAAACAAATGTTTTCCGGAAATGTTTTTATAATTCAAGATAAAACTTCTGCTTCTCCAAAAACATTTTAAACAAATAAATAAACATTTTCCGGAAACATAAAATGTTTTTAAATGTTTAAGTTTATGTTTACTTTTATTTTCCTGTAAATTCATTGTATCAAAACTTGTGCCCCCAGTAGAATTCATACAAAGCAAACTAAAAGCCATATGAGGACTAAAATCACTGAAGCAAATACTCAATAACGAAATAAAACGTTTTCTAAATTCTTTAAAAAATGAAGATAACCAAGTTCCGTCAGAATTGATTGTATGTAAATCTAAAAAATGTTTGGGAAAATTATATTGTTTGGGGAATGTTTGTGAGAATTTATAAATGTTTTCCGGAATTGGTTGTGAGAATTTTTAAATGTTTTCCGGAAAAATGTTTGTGAGAATTTATTAATGTTTTCCGGAAAAATGTTGGTCGAAAGTTATAGATGTTTTTCGGAAATGTTTGTAAGAAATCGTAGATGTTTTTCCGGAATTGTTCTAAGGGAATTAATGTTTTCCGGAAAAATGTTTGTGGGAATTTATAGATGTTTTCCGGAATTGGTTTAGGGGACTCTTTATAAATGTTTTCCGGAAATGTTTGTAGGAAATCGTAGATGCTTTTCCGGAATTGTTCGAAGGAATTTATTGTTTTCCGGAATTGGTTGTGGGAACTGTTTATAAATGTTTTCCGGAATGTTTTATTAGACAAATAAAGTATGTTTTCCGGAAATGTTTGAGAATTTATGTTTTCGGAATTGGTTGGGGGATTGTTTATATTTTCAGGAAATGTTTGTGAGAATTTTAAAATGTTTTCCGGAAATGTTTATGAGAAACGTTTATAATTCATTTAAGGAAGAACAAATATACCTTTTTCTTCTCCATTTTTTATTAAAATTGTATTAATCATAATACAATTATGTTCTCCAGTTAATCCATTTTTACTTTGTCTAATATATAAAGGAACAAAATTACAACGCTTCCAAAATTTTAATAAAGGCAATGTTAGGCCAAATGAAACACCAATATAATCCAAACTTTCTGGTCTTCTTTCATTTAAGCGTTGTAAAAGTGGAGGTAAATTTGTTCGAGGGGTTAAACTGTCATCATTATTTTCCTAAAGAAAAAAATTTTTTTTTGAAAATTTAATAAAATTTTGGGAAAATTAAATAAATACAGTCGGAACCCGCTTATAAGACGCTCTTAAAATTGGATATTTTTCTCAATTTAAAATTGGAGTTTAGGTATAATTAAGGAGAGGCTTATATGCAGAAGGGGATGGTTAAGGATTTTATACTTGTTCTTGTATTTACTAGGAAAATAATTTGCTGCCTCAGGATTCTCAGGACTGTCTCCGGACCTGTTTGCCTTCCCATTTCTTTTTAAAAAATATTTTTAGAAATTTTTAAAAGAAGGACTTCATCAGCTTATCGCCAGGCATTGAGCCTGAATTTCCCGCTAAAATTTATTCAGTCTTAAAAGTAATCTAATAATAAGGTCTAATAAATACAGTCCTCCGACTGTATTTAATTATTTAAAAAACCTCTTCATCCTCCTCTTCGTCTTCTTTTTCATCCTCTTCCTCAATTCCTTCCATATCCTCATCTAAAGTATCGTCTCTTCTCTTGCTTAACTTATCACTTTCTTGAATTTGACCAAAATCTCCTCTAAAATATTTTTGTAACATTCGAATAGCTGCTGATCCATAACCCATTCCTTTTAAAAAAATTATTTAAAAATTAAAAAAAAATTAAAAAACCTTGAAAATCTGGATGAACTGCTAAACGAACTTTAAAAAGAAAAAAAATTTTCAAAAAAATTTTTTTCTTACCAATACGAGCACCATATAAGAGAGAAAATTCACTGTCCTAATTTTTAAAAAGAATTAAAAAGAAAAAAATTTTTTTAAAGAATAAACCAAAAATTGTTGACAAATAGTCCAAGGAATTAAATCCCCTGCAACTTTTTTTCCTTGTTTTGAAATTACAGTTTGTTTTGAAATTGCTCCTAAAAAAATTAAATTTTGACTTGAAAAAATTTAAAAAAAATAAAAAAACCTTCCAAACAAATTTGAATAACAGCCATAATCTTTAAAAAATTTTTTTTTAATTTGGAAAAAAATTTAGAAAATATTTTAAAATTTCAGAAAAAAAAATAAAAATTTTTTTTTAATTTTTTCAGAAAACCTGAGGGACATAATTCTGATCAGAAGCAATTGGTGACATTAAAACAAATAGATGATGTGCTGGAGCGTCTGAAAGAAGTTGCAAATCGTCTGGAGAATTTTTATAGTGGGCAGCCTTTGGAAAATAATTGGTAAAAATTTTTTAATTAAAAAAAAAATTAAAAATTTACCACATAAATAAACATTAAATTGGATAGAAAAACTTCAGCAGCCTTATGAAAAGAAAAAAGGGCATCTCGGTTAACATAATACCTTTAAAAGAAAATTGAAATTTTTATAAGGGGCAAAAACATTATAAAAGTAGAAATAGTAGAAACATGTTTTAAAAGTAGAAACATGTTTTTAAACAACATATTTCTAAAACATGTTTCTATGTTGTTTTCCGGAAATGTTTTTACAAACAAATAAATGTTTTCCGGAAAGTGTTTTATATTTTAAAAGAAACTTTGTTTTTCCGGAAAGAAACACTTTAAAACAGTAAACAACCATTTTCCGGAAAAACATTTTAAATCTATTTTTCCGGATGTTTTTATTAATGTTTTTCCGGAAACTTTTATTAATTTGACCAACTTACAATTCACATTTCTCCGGAGCCGGTGTTCCAGAAATTGTATTCTTTAAATTTGAAGGGTTTAAACAAAGTACTCTATTAAGCCATTCTTCTACCTTTAAAAAAATATTTTTAAATTTTTTAAATTTTTTTAACCGAATCTCCATTTCCGTATCTAATACTTTCATCCAAACTTAATTCAAAAAGACGTTTTTTATTTTTATTTTCGTCTTTATCTCCGGTAATTTGTTGTTTTCTTAGTTGTTCAAGCAATTTAAGTGATAAGGATCTCCCAGAACCTTCATAACCACTTGTGGTTGATGCTAGGAAGAGTAAACTGGAGCCTTTAAAAATTAAAAAAAAATTGAAATTAAAATTTTTTTTTGAAAATTTCAAAAAAAAATTTTTTTGAAATTTTCTAAAAAATTTAAAAAAATTTTGGAAATTTTTTTGAAAATTAAAAAATCCAAAAAAAATTTCAAAAAAATTTTCTAGAAATTTTCTAAAAAAATTTAAACACACCATTAATTAATTTTTTAACTAAAGGCATTGGAATAGCTGCAGCTTCATCAATAACAATTAGTTCAGCTTGTAATAATTTACCAAAATCGGTTGGGGTAATATACTTTAAAATTAAATTTAAAATTTAAATTAAATTTAAAAAACCTGTATTGTTTGCCGATGTCTTCTAAAAACATTAATTTTAACAACACATTTATCCATTGAGGGATCTAGAGATTTTATAACTTCAAAATCGGCGTGTTCCTAAATTAAAATATTTTTATGTAAATCTCAGATTCGTAACACCATGGGGACGGGAAAAAATTAAAAAAATTTTTTCAATAAACCGAAATCGAAAAACAAATGGTAGGGAAGGAGTAACCCTTCTTAAAAGTCGATTAATAAAAAAAATAATGGCCAATAAAAAAACCAGACAAAAGAACTTGCCAAATAAAGCTACATTAAATATGCCGGATTGACCGAGAGACAAAAATGAGGAAACCTCAAAAGGTAATTTTCTACAAAAATTTTGTTTAAAAAAAACATAATAGCGGTTTTGAAGAAAGAGATAATTTTAGAGGGGATTTTTAGAAAAGGGGATAACTCCAAGCCTAACATTTGAGGGATCAAAAGGAATTTAAAAAATAAAACCTGATATCCAATAGCTTCAAAACCTTTCAAAACAAATTCAAAAAAAGTTGACAGATTTTCAGGTGTTGGACTAGTAACACAAATATTTGAAAAGCCTAAACCTATAGTTCCGGCAACAGCTAAACCCATAGCCGTTGATTTTCCTCTTCCTCTAGGGGCTGTTATTGAACAAATTGAATTTAAATTTGTTTGTTTTTCCATTGAAACATCGAGTAATTGAAGTAGTACTTTTGCTTGACAATAAGTTTTACATTTTGCTAGTAAGGGGCCAATAGGTTTTGAATCATTTAAAGATGCCTTTAATTGTTGTAATTCGTGTTGCTGTTTGGAGGATGCTTTGTCATTCTAGAAAAAAATTTTTTTAGATTTTTAAAAACCAAATTGAAGACGCGAGTGAGACACAAGGTATCTAAAGGTTTGGAAAATAAAAATTGAAGACGCAAGCCCTATATTTCACTAGGCCCAGAAATAAGAAAATTGGTCATGTCTCTGGGCTCAGAAAAATCAAGGGGTGGATTCAAAATCATTCCCATGTTTATTGGAAACCCAATATTCCCAAGCTTAAACCCAAGGATTTGGAAGTTTAAAGGAAAGACAACTGTCGTTTTTTTGGTGACAATAGGCGATATAGGAACTGAAAATAAAATTTAAAAGCAATGAAGTCTGTTTTGGAGTGCCGGTTAGCCGAATTTTGACAGTTATGAACGATTTCTGGATTGAAAATTAGCAAGAAAATCGCTAAGAAAATTTTAAAAAATCTAGTGAAATATAAGGGGGAAGGGAGAGGATTTTTAATTAAAAAAAGGAAAACAAAACCTGATTAGAATGTAAAGGTGTAATATTCAAAACATTAGAGAATATCGGCAAAACATTTAAATGATCATCAATAACAAAACAATTTGAACACGTTGAAAGTGAAAGTGTAAAACGTTCATTGAATCTTGGGATAATTTCTGAATGCAATTCTGCTCGATATCTTTTGTGGACATCCTTTGGAAAAAGAAAATTGAGAGGGTTTTTGGTTTAAAAAAATTTTTTAGAAATTTTTAAAAGTAACAAGGGGTCAAAAAATAATTTTGAAATTTTCGAAAATTTTTTTTTAAAATTTACGAACCATCGTTAAAGTGTATAATTGTTTCAAAGAATGCATATTCTGTAAAAGTAAAACAATTAGACCACCACCTTCAACTGTTTCGATTGTTCTAGCTAACAAGTTTGGAGTTAGAGCTTCGAAATCTGTGGGAAAAAAATGAGAAGTGAAGCGGAGAAGGAAAATTTTTAAAAATTTCCTGGAAAAATTTCTCCTTCCGGAAAAAATTTTTTCAGAAAATTTAAAGAAAGAAACCTTGTAAAACAGCCATTCCAAAAGTATTTCCAAGAATTCGTTGTGATTCGGAATAATAGCAATAATTTATGTGAGTTGAAAGAATAAATTGTTCAAAGGAATCGTCCGTCTAAAAATTGAAAAAAAATTTTTTTAAATTTAACAATAAGTAATTAAATTTTACTTTAGGTTGAGCAAGTCCAGCTTGTTTCTTCTTTTTTAATTCTTTAATTTTCTTTTTCCCTTAAATAAAAAAATTTTTTCTTGGGGAGATTTAAAGAAGACTCACTGTGTGAATTAAATTCCAACTCGTTTTTGTAGCACCAAAGGACCTAGAAATTTTTAAAATTAATTTTAAGACTCAAAAACGCTCTAGAATGACTTTAAAATATTTTTTCCTATTAATTTAAGAAAAAAGTAACCGAAAGGGTTCGAACCCGCGACCCTTAGGATGTGAAAAAATAAATTATCCCACTAAACCAAAAATTCATAATGAGCTCAAAAACGCAATAGAATGGGTCTAAAATATTTTTTCCCATTAATCTAACAATTTAAGAAGAGAAGTAACCGAGCGGGTTCGAACCCACGACCCCTATGCTTCCGAAAAAATAAATTATCCCACTACACCAAATATCAAAATTTAAAAAAAAACTAAATAAAATTCCACAAACCGTAGGACGTTGAGCAGTACTTGCTTTAACCATAATTTGATATAATGTAGCTACTTGATCTCTAGCCTTCTCTCCAATAATAACAAACATTGAACGATGTCGCATAATAATGCCATTTTCGATTAACGTACGTATACGGTTATCTAATTTAATTCTCATAATTTGTTGTTGTTGAGCTGTAAAAAATACGTAGATTTTTAAAAATATTTAAAAAATCAAGTATAAAGCTAAAAAAGACAGGCTAAAGCCCTCGTTTAAGCAAAACACCCTCAATGGCAAAATGAAAATTTTTCGCCTTATTGGCAAAATATGTATTGGCAGAATGTGGTAGAGTCGGATTCTATTTACGACGAAATAGTGTGCGAAAAGTGGAGAAAAAGAAAAAGACTAGAGTTGAAATGGAGGCTGCGACAAAATCTGGCACTGAAACGGTCTTTTGATTTGTCAATTTATTAAAAAAGAGTATGCGTTTGTGAGAGAATGTTAGAGAAGAAGAGAAAAAGTGTGAGAGAATGTCAGGAAAAGGTGGTTAGAGAAGTCGGGGGAATTTTGTTAAATTTTTATTTTTTTTTTCTCGCGTCATTTCTCTCAATAAACACGTGTTTTCTGGGTAATTTACTAATTTTTTAGATCATTTTAGAGAATAATATAGTTAAAAATGACTACACCCCATTATTACGACCAAAATAAAAATTTAAATTCCCCAAACCCTTTTGACTCCCAACAACATTTATTTGATGGACAACACCAGCAACAACCCAATTTTGATTATTATGCCCAACAGCAACCTCAATATGACCCTAACTTTAATTATTCTTCAAATATTCCTTCTGATACTTCTCAACAACAACAAAGTTTTAATCAACAATTTATGTATGATCCGTTTGTGAATACTGCTAGACATTTGGGTGGACAATTTGCTGAACAACAAAAACAAAAGGTTTTGTTTTTATATTATTGGAGGGTGAAATTATATTTCGAATCAAGTAGAATTTGTGAGCTTTGAGAATCTGAATTTGGATTATTTGTAGGTAGAGGGTTTATTGTTAAAAAATAAGTTTGCCAAGTCTGGTTGAAGGAGAGCCTGATTATTTAGGAAGGGTCCTAGAACAGCACGCAGTCATGAGCGAGGCCCTCGGCTCTTAATTTTTTTGCACTCCTGCCGTTTAAGGGGGCCGCCATTCTATAAAGCCCCTTTAAACGGCAGGAGTGCCATGCTTGGATCTTGACTAATTAAGCCTTGGTAGAAGTACAGGGCCACGCCTTGTATCCTAATTTTAGCTGATCAATCTAATTTTTCTAATTAAACTTTTCCCCTCTATTTTTTTCCAGATAACTCAATACATTTCTACTTTCAATTTAAAATATTATTTTGCTGTTGATGTAAATTATGTTAGACGTAAACTTTTAATAATATTATTCCCTTTTTTACATCGTGATTGGACAAATAAATTATCAACAAATGACAAGCCAATGACCCCTAGAGAGGATATTAACGGTTTTTTTGTTAATTTTTTTGCTTAAAATTTTTTTTGTTTTTACAGCCCCAGATTTGTATATTCCTTCAATGGCTTTTATTACCTATATTTTGGTTGCTGGAATTGTTTTTGGAGTTCAACAACGGTATAAAAACTTTTATATTTTGTGAACCTAGATGGGCAGGGATGGGAGGGGCAGGGTTATCAGAAACCTGAAACCTTAATTTGTTTGGGGAACACTTTTGGGGTTGATGTGAGTGTGTGGGGTCAAATGATAAGCCCATTGAGTTGTTTTAAAGATAACAAAGTCACTACATGTCCATTACTCTTTGTCTGGCCTCTCCCACATCAGGCAAAGGGACATCAATTTTATTTATGGGGTGATTCTCTGCTTTTATCAAAAATTTTTGGGCAGATTTATCCATACTCTTCGTTCACCACGTATAAGTGCTCAACCGATAGAGCTAACTTGGTCCTGACCATAGTTTAGGATGACCAACTTAATCCCGCTATTCCCTTAAGTAAGCAAGGTTTCTGTTCTGTGATACCTATGCAAAAGGGATGGGCCGGCTTATCAAAATTCGATCATTGAACATTTTTTTTGGCCTGAACCCCGATTAAAAGAACGCTATGAACCATGCCCCCACTTTTTTTCAATCTGGCCTTTCCCTGCTATACAATTTAAATAAATTTAGCATAGATTTTGACTTCTAAAATGAAAATTAAAAAATTCCTTCCTCCTAATTCTCTCTCAAAAATCATTTAAAATTTTTAGTTTTACGCCAGAAAAGCTTGGAATGTTGACAACAAATGCTCTATTTTATATGATTTTTGAGAATTTAATTGTATTTTTAATGAAATATGCTTTAAATATTTCTCAAAGTTTAGATGTATGGCATGCTTTGGCTTATAGTTCTTATAAATTTACAAGGTTTTTTTTGAGATTTTTTTGTTAAAAATAATTAATTTTTAATTTAAAGCATGGTTGTGTGTTTATTACTTTATTTAATCGGTGGAAGAAAAGTATATTATTTTGTGTTGGTTTATTGTATTTTGGCTACAGTGTTCTTTTTGGTATTCTTTTTTGGAATTTTTGAGGGGGTTTTAAGGGGTTTATACTCGTTTGAATTTTTTGCAAGTTTTATGAGTCCTTTTCCATTATCTTTGACCTTTTGAGCTTTTTTTTGGTGATTTTTATGAGTTCTCAATTCTCTAAATGGACACTTGATCCCACCTGATAAATTAAAGACTTACTCAATTTTTTTAAAGAGGGAGGGGGGGGGGGGAGTGGGGTCAATCTTACAATTAGGATTGGAATCTTTTTGTTCTTGAATTGGGTGGATGGCTTGAGTCGGGATCAAATGTCCACTTTTTTTTTTAATTTTTTCATAGCTTCGAAGTCTCAAAACATTTATTCTTGATATGGGTTGGAGTCCAAATAGTGGTCGTAAAAGAAAAATATATTTGCTACTAGCAATTACAGCATTTCAATCTTTAATAATGTGGCTATTAACAAGGTTTTTTATATTTTTTTAATATTCTAGAAATTAAAAAAAAAAAAAATTTTCATTTTTCTAGTAGTGTAACAAGCTATATGCCAGGAAAATACGATTTTGCAAAAATGGCAATGTCTGGAATGGGGTTGTCTAATACAAATAAAGAAGTTCCTTTAATGTCAGATGGTGAAGTTGATTATGAGGCTTTGTTAAAAATGCCTTGAATTTTTGGAAAAAAAATTCTTAAATTATTTTTAATTAGTTGTTAATGTTAAGCATGTGAAAAAGGGATGCCACAAGAGTTATTTGAAACCTGGGCTTTTCTGACCCGAAATCTGACTTTTCTCGCCTGATATACCTGTTACTCACAATCACTTTTAATCCTCCAAATCCACTTTATACTGACCCGACCCAAAATTTAATCAGAAGAAAAAAATTTTTTTTAAACTTGACCCTACTTTTCCCCTCTTAAACCCGTGCCATTCCCTAAATATGAACAAAGAAATAATTTTTTTATTTTAATTTTGATAAATTTTTTTGAAAAAAAATTTATTTTTGAAATTTTTAAAAGTTAAATAATTCAAATTATTTTTTTGATTTTCTAATCTTTTCCTGTATTTTTAAAAAAATTTTCTCCAGAAAAAATGATTGAAGCATCTTTAGTGATTCTCTTTGTAATTTCTACTTTAATTGGTTTATTGGCATCATATGGAGGCTTTACCCGTTTTGTTTTTATTTTCTACTTAAAAATGGTTGTATTCCATTTGAGTATTTTATTGGCTGCTTTTTGTGCTTTGTTTGGTACTTTGATTACTTATTTTTATAATGAGGTTTTTTTTAATTTTTTTGGAATTTTTAATTAAAATTTATTTGAAGGGCTGTATTATCGCCATGAACTCTTTCAATTTTATCTGCTCGTTTTGGTTGGATATTGATTTTGAAATTCGAGGACTTGAAAAAATTGAAGAGGCGAGTGGACCCGAAAATAAGCCTGTTGTTCTTATTTCTAATCATCAGGTTTCTTATAAAAATTTAAAAAATAGGAAATTTTTTAGGGGATTTTTTAATATTTTTGAGGACCTTGCCCTTTCTCGCAGACAAAATTAATTTTTCTGGCTAATAGGTTCTATGGTTTTTTGTTTTTAAGGCATAGATTGGTGTGAAGCCGTCTCTCTAGTAGGGGTTATTTGAGGTTTGTAACCTTCGAGAAGTCCGAAATACTTAACTCTACAAACCCCGCCATAATACCAAACCATGGAACACTGGAGACTGGGAAGTTTTAGGGTGTTTGAGTTAGGGTGTTGGCTACTCATGACTTTCTTCCCGACTTGTTCAAAAATAATTAAATTTGAAAAGAAATTTTCTCAAAAAATTTTTAAATAAATTTAAAGAGCTCTTTGGATCTGTTCACCTTGTCAAAAATGTGGCCTTCAAAAACTACAATAATGATGAAAAGTTCGTTAAAATATGTGCCTATTTTTAATATTGGAGCTATTTTGGTTTGTTGTATATTTTGTTTTTTGAGGCCTAGAAATAGGTGGTGTCTTGGTTAGGTCGGTAAATGTTGGGATTTTTTTCGTGTATGGTTGAGGTTCGAAGCCTTTACAAGCGAAACGGGTAGGATATGTTAGAAATTGCTTTTTTCGGATTAAAATGAGGGGCAAGATTTCAAAAAAAAAATTTTTTTTTAACTTGTTGGGGTATCTTTTATTGATAATCCAAATAAATATTTCCCCAAATTTTTTTAAATTAATTTTTTAAATTAATTTTTATTTTTTACAATTTCAGTCTAATTCAATTTTTGTTGATCGAAATAATAAAAATAATGCAAAAGAAGCATTAAATGATGCGGTATTTTTTTTTAAATTTTTTTATTAAAAATTAAAAAAATAATTTTTTTAAAGATAATAAAAATGAAGGATAAAAAATTAAAAGTTTGGGTCTTCCCAGAAGGTACTCGACATCATCAACATGGACTTTTACCGTTCAAAAAAGGAGCATTTAATATTGCTGTTCAAGCACAATTTCCAATTATTCCAATTGTTATATCTGATTATACTCCATTTTATTCTAAAAAGGAAAAATATTTTTATTCTGGAGGGAAAGTAATTATACAAGTTTTGGATCCGGTGTCGACACAAGGGGTTTGTTTGATTTTTTTTATTTTGTTTTTTTGGGAGAGTACACGAGACTTGGAAAAGGGTTTTTAAATAGATTTTATCCTTAAGGAGGAAATTATTTTTTTTCTTTTTCCATTACCTCACTAATTATAGGGTTGGGGTTTTGAAAATTAAATCTTTTAGTTCCGAAACCGAAGAAAAATCCCTAATAAAAAATCTTCGGTCCTTCGATTCGGTTACGTACAAAAAATTCCCTAGTCGCTAATATGTAGTACTCTTACCTCACCTTTATCTAGAGCCATCCCAATTTCTAAAAATTGGAAATTTATTTTTATATATCGGCACATTCCCTATCTATTGACCACCTGCCAACAATTATTTTACTAAAATTATGTCTAAACCCCAAAAAATCAATAAAAATATTTTTCTATTTAAAAAATTTTTTAGCTTGAATATAACGATGTTTGTCAACTTTGTGAAAATGTTCAACAAAAAATGGGCCAAGTATATGAAAAAATAAGTGAAGAGGTTGCAAATAAAATGAAGACAAAACCTGTTGGTGTTAATGAGAGGGATTCTTCTTATGAAAAAATTAAAGTTGGTTAAAGAGAAATTTGTTTGGATTTTAAAAAAGAGGTTTAATTTTATTGTGTATTACTGCTGGTACTATATTTTTTTTAAAATCACTTTAAATAATTATTATGTGTATTCCCTTTATTAAATTAGAGACTTGAGGGTGTGAGGAGATAATAGAAATTTTTTGAAAAATTTTTAAGAAAATTTTTGGATAAGAGAGGGAGCGGCAAAACTTGAGGAGGGGAAGAGGGTTAATAGAAAATTTTGAAAAAATTTTCTAAAGGAAATTTTTGGATGAGGAGGCATTTGGAAAGACCATCCCCTCCCTTCCGTTTTCCTGTGTTTTTCGATTATTCTGATGGTCTTGTGGGTGTTTTATTCCATTCCTTGTCTTAAATTATTTCTATACTCAAAATATATTTAATAGAAAATTCTTGCTCCTGATTCTAGAAAAAATATTTTGGTTTTTGAGGCTTTAAGAAGGGGAAAGATTACCACAAAAATAATTAGAAATTTTCCAAGTCTCTAATTTTTTAAAACACTTAAAAAATATGCCGTCTAGATATCACCAAAGAAAATGATCTTTTATTTATATATAAATTTTAACGAGGTGCTTTTTTAAAAAGAATTTAATTTTTAATGTAAGAAGAATAAATATGTTTGATTTTTTTGGAAAAATCAGAGGGAGAATTAAAATTTAAAAATTATTTAAAAAAATACTTCTCTTTTTTTTAACATTCTTCAACATTTTTTAAACAATAAGTTACTCCCATTTCATCAAGTATATTAGCCAAAGCTTCTTTTGAAACGCCTCTTGTATCTTCCAAATCTTGTCTGAATGTGGTATACAATTTTTCCTTTTAATAAAAATTTTATTTTTTTAATTTTAGGAAAAATTTACAAGAAGTACAGGATTCAAAGTCAATATTTCATTGTACAATTTGGCATTGTTAGGCTTCCTCAACCAGCTTAGAAAGGTTTTTTTGAGTTGGGTTGTTTTCTTTAAAAATGATTTTTTATTGGAGATTAGGTGACTGGGTTTGAACGGATTTTAGACCCAGAAGTCGCCTCATGAAATTTTATTGGGAATTAGTTTAACACAAACTAGAGATCGTGTGGTGCCAGAAACCATTAATCTCTAGGTCAAGGCTCAGGGTTCTTTTGGTCTGTGGGGGTTTTCTATTCCGTTGGTCAAAGCTTGGGGGTTTTCCTAGCGAGTCCGGACTCATTTTAAGCATTTTTTTAGCTTCGGGGGGTTTTCCTATGTCTGGGTTTTTCATGCACTCCAAGCCCAGGAGCGGTCCATGTCAATAAACACCTGAAACTTCCTAATTCTTTCTGAATGAGTTAGAATCCAATTCCAGACTTGAAAAATCTCTATCTTTAAAATTAAACCTCTCCTCCTTGTTGTTGCTGTTTTTCATCATTTTTGGGCACTATTCTATTACAATCCTCTAGATCATTTTTATTCTTCTTCCATTCAACATCTTTATCTAATTCCATTAAAAGGGCGATTTTTGCTTTTGTTCTTTTTTGTCTTTGTAAATTATTATTTTCATTATTATTTTCTTTTTCTAATAATTTAATTATTTTTCTTGGAATTGGTGTAGTTTCAGAAAAAACTTGAAAAAAATTTTTTGAAAATTAATTTTTTAAAATAAAGAAACTTGGATGTGTTGCTTCAAATATTTGATTTAACAATCTTATAGCTGCTCTTTTACCCATTGGTCCGTGGCCGTATTTTGCTAATTCTGTCTAAAAATAAACTGAAATAAATTAAATGAGGGAGGGGCAGATTGTCCCAACGGAAAATTTTTCTTTGAAAAAAATTTTTCGTTGGGACCAAATGTCCTCCACAGTTTTAAAAAATAAAAAAAATAAACTTAAATTAAGCTCCAATTCAGTCATAGTTTCATAAACTGGAATGGGTGTTTTTGATTCTTCATTTAAAATTTTATAATCTAAAGAAGCAATAATATTATCTTCATCATCATTTTTTTCTTCCTTGTATTCTTCTTGATCGTTGTTAATTTCATCAAAAGAATGCCATAAATTACTAATTTCTGGTTGGTAAAGTAAATTTAAATTTTCTTCATTTTCTTCGTTATTTTCGTTATTTTGTTTATTTGGAAGCTCTAATGCCTTTATTATATCTAAAAAAATTTTTTTTTTGGAAAAAAAATTAAAAGAAAACCTTTAAAATTACTCGTTGTTTGAACCATTTCTCCTTGATTTGGATATACTTTAAATTTCTTTACAAAATTTTCTTGCATTTGTAGAAGAAGAGGACATGAACAAAGTGAAGAACATAATTCAGCTTTGTTAAGGGCCATTAAAAACCTGAAAAATTTTATCTTTAAAGGCCTTTTTAAATTAATAATTCTTGCGAGACTGTCTCTCTCTCTTAGGCAATATGTCATATTTTCTACTACCTGGCATTTTGTCTTTAGTTGTTTTGAAGATTTTCGAGAAAATGCAGTTTTAGTGCTCTTTTTCTTTTCCACTCTTCTTTTACTGTATCTATAATTCTCTTGTTCTGCATTTTACTATATTTTTCACTATTGACCATTTTGTTATTAGGTGTTTTGAAGTTTATCTAAAAGTTCAATTTTTATTTTTTCTTTGTTTTATTTTTCTCTAACCTGTCTCTTTTTTTACCGCGTACTTTTTTTATTTTTTTATCTTCAAGTCCTGAAGTTTTTTTATTAAGTTTGGCATTTTATGAACGGTTTTATGTCTAATTAGTCTTTTTCAGGGAGAATATACGAAGAATATGCTTCTAAATCCATTAAATAATATTCTGATTACCAATCGATTATCGCAAGTCAATGCGTTATTATGCATTATTCAATTCAACACGCGCGTCAAATGCCAACTGGCCAAACAAGAAAGGTAAAATATGATTAAAATAAAATCTCTCTTTCTTTCTCTATATTTTAAGCTTGATTTTCCCGTTTTTGATTGTACAGGTGTTTTATAATTTTGGGTAAATCCACAAAAACTCATTTTCTATCAGTTGACGGTATATTCTCTTTTTTCAGGCTAATTTATCCAAATTTAGTTTTTTTAAATTAGTCAATTTTTATTTGTTGGCATTTTAGTTGGGTGGTTATTTTTAAATTATTTCATAATTTTTGAAATTATTTCCCAATCGGATATTCGATTTGTCTTTGTAATAATCTCCCTTTTAATTGTAAGGATGGCCTTGGGGTTAGGATTCAGTTGTTTAAATGGAAGGAGAAATCATCGGTAGAACGGGAAAGCCTATCAATAATTGTCAGGAAAGGCTAAGCTCAGCCGGTAGTGAGCCTGTACGTGTTGAGCGAAAGCGTCTGTTAATAACTGCATTGACTTACAGGATCGTTACCCACCCGGATCTAATCTTTCGTACCTCTCCTCTTAATTTAATTTTTAATTTTTCAGTTTTCAATTTTGTCTAAATGTCTTCTTCAATTAAGCCATCATCTTCTTCTGCTCCATTCGATGAGAACAATATCAAATATTTTTGTTTTTGTAAAAAACTACACATTCGGGTTTAGTTTGATTTTAAATTTAAATATAAAATTTCTTTATTTAAGACTGCTGCTCGTCTAGTCTCCATTTTACTTGTAATTGGTGTTGTGATAAATATATTTTATTCATTTGGACGAACATCAACACTTATTATTTATTCATGGTTTGAACTTTTTTTTGATTTTTTCTGACTTTCCTGGGTTTTCTTATTTGGTTCAGGAAAATTGTGAACTGGGTCCGTATGATTGATTGCGCGTGCACTTCCCAGTTCTATTGAATCATGAGAATTGCGAATAGGGTTCCTTTGATTCATTACCAGGTTTTATGATGTCCTGTTTTTTTAAAAATCCTTTACCGCTTTGTTTTGTGTCGACATCAAAGGCTTAACCAGAGGGACATCCTTGGTCGACAGTATTCTTATGGGTACCTGTTTAATGATAAGATGACTTATTACTTTAATATACTCATTTTTAGGGTTCTCGCAACATTTGCAATTGGAGTTTATGGAAGTCTCGTTTATGGCGTTTTTCGTGAAAAAAGAATTTTTACAATGCCTTTTCTTGTTTTTCAGGTTTTTTAAATTTTTATTTTTAATTAATCTAAAAATTTTATTTTTTTAGGCTTCATTCATCTTTCTTATTGGAATGATGTTCTTTGTCTTTATGATTTGTGCAATGTTTTCTGTGGATTCACTCAAGAAGATTGCTTATGATTTTGGTGGTATAAATGAAAATGATACTAACAATTCTTATCATGAAAGTTTGTTTATTTTTTATAAGTTTTTTTGTCGTGGGTTTGTTTCTGCTGGGGTCCCATTGGGTCGAGGCTCTGTTACTACTCTCTTATGCTCATGACTAGTCGAAAATCTCATGACACTATGAGTATAATAGAGATCGAGATTTTTCAAAAGCCTGGGCTTGTTCCTCGCTTCCTGGTTTGATTTATTGACTTGGGCCGGATCCTGGGCCTGTATTGCAGTAAAAACCCAAGAAGGGCAACAATGCTTGGGCCTGGACTTTGGGCACAGGAAAACCCAAGGTCTTGGTTCAGGCCCAGCTCGATTTTTAAATTATACTATTTGATCCATTTTGACGACCCCCTTCTCCTAGATCGGTGAGGAGACCATTAATTCACCTCGTGGATTTTTTAGGCCTGTGTGCCTTTTAATCTTTTACACCGGAGATTAACAAAATTTCTTAAGTAATATGTTTCTTTTTTAAGGCATTCGTGGTTTTGTTATAATGGTAATGCTTTTCTTTATTGCCTTCTTTTCTTCGCAATGTTGGTTCTTTGAAGTAATTTATCGTTTTTATCAATATTTGGAGGAGAGAGAAAGTTCATTTGCTTTTAATTTGGAACCAGAATTTAGTATGCCTTGAAATCTTGGAGGATTGATGAGAGAGGATTTTATTGGAATGTGTGAGGAGAGGAGGAAAATGTGTACATCCAAGTTTGATATTTTTTCTATCAGCTTTAAATTTTTATTTTTTCCTTTTTTTTAATTTATCGGGACTTTAAAAAATTATTTTTCTTCTTTTCCTTGTGATTTCTTTTCCAAAAAAAAATTTTTTTTCTATAAAATGCATTTTATATACATTAAAAATATATTTTTTTATGAGATAAATTATATATTTTAATTGAATAAATTAAAAAAATTTTTTCCCAAAGTTTTTTAGAATGCCTTTAATTATTAAAATTTTATATGGCTCAGAAACTGGAAATGCTCAAGACTTTGCAGAACAAATATGGCAAAATTTGTATTCAAAAAACATTTCAACTCAATGTCTTGCAATGGATGACTATTCAATTAATGTTTGTTTTTTTAACTTTTTTTGGGCAAAAGAGTTTTTGAGGGCACTTTTTCAAGTTTTGGGGAATGTTTCAGTGGGTTCAGGCAATTTTTTCAGAGGGTTTCCAACTTTTAACAAAACTTGCCAAGTTGTAAGTGAGGATTAAGACGAGTAGCTCAACTAGGATTTGACAAATTTCACTGCTAGTTAATACATTCAAAAAGGTCTAGAGGAACAACAAGAGGAACAAAACTTGTCAGAGAACCTTCTTCCACCCTTTAACAAGGGGCTTCATAATTTTCAAGGTGAATTAAAACGAGTAAGGCTAAGGGGTGGATTAAGACTCGTGGCTAAATTGGGGATTAAGAAAAGCTCAATTTTTTTCGTTCTACTCGCGCAAAAAAAAAGTCAAGAGGAACTAAACTTAAAAGCAAAAACAGTGTCTCAACTCTTTTACAACACTAGAAAAACCAACAATACAAATTACAGCAAAAACAAAATATACAATAGCGCGCGATAATCAACGAGTATATCACTTTTTTCTATACTTTTCATCATCATCATCCTTCGCGGCGTTGAGCACGTGGGCGACGAAGACCTTCCAATTCATCGAACAGCATACGAATAGCTCCGTCTAACTGGAGAACGACTCTGGCCTTTAGAGAAGAGAATTCCTTTATCTTCTGTTTGATCTGTTTCTTCACCACCTTCTTCTCCTCTTCATGCTCCCTTTTTGTCTTTCGCTGCTTCTTGAGCAGCTCCTCGCGCCGCTCCTTGAACTCCTGACGCGCCTCCTTGAACTTCTTGCGCAGCTCCATCGTCTCCTGCTGCAATTGCCGCGCTTCCTCTTCCTCCTCTGCTGTCCTTTGTTCCTCAGTGACAGACCAAGCTGTAGAGACTCCTGAGACGTCCGATGAATCGGTCGGCGAAAAGCAGGTAGAATTCCCAATTGATGACTCGCACGAAGAAATACCAGAAGAACTGTCCATGACTGGCTAAAAAATAAAAGAAGGATTAATTTAGAAATAGAAACATGAAAAAAGAGAAAAAGGTACCTCAGTAATGAAGAGCAAAGTTAAATCATGAGATTTTTAAGACTGCTTTTATAGTGTTTTTCAGGGTAAGTGTTAGTAGTATTGTTAGATTCAAGCAAGCGATTTGATTTAGTATGTCAGTTTATGGACGTCAGTCTATCTAATAGGTATGCCTCATCTGTCGCTGTTAAGGAGGTTTCCGTCTGTCAATCGCTAGGGGGATCTACCAGAAGAACTGTCCATTTCGCTCTTGTATCTCGTATCGTTTACGGTTGATGATTCGTGTCTTTGTCGGTCATCAGTCTTTTTCTGACATCACTCTGTATCATCTTCACGATTTTCTTTTTAGTATAAAAATTCAAGTGAAAATATTGGCACTGTCCAATGTTAAAAAATAATTTTGTTTTCAAATTTTTGTTGGGAAAAGGAGAAAAATTCATTTTTAGTAGTAGTTCTCCATATTTATTTTACCGAAAAATTATTTTAAAATTTTAATTACATAAATTTTTTTAAAGCTTTTGCCTACAGAAGAATTAATTATATTTATTGTGTCAACAAGTGGGAATGGTGATGTACCAACTAATATGAGGAAAAGTTGGACTTTTTTATTGACTAAAAAATTGTTGGAAGGAAAATATCTTGACAAGGTTTGACTTAAAGAATTTAATTTTTTTCAATTTTTTAAGTTAAAATTTGCCCTTCTTGGTTTAGGAGACAGTTCTTATACAAAATACAATTTTGCAGCAAAAAAATTGTATAGAAGATTAATTCAACTTGGAGCTAAACCTTTGAGTGATTTGGCATTGGCTGATGATCAAGATGCTTTTGGAATAGATGGGGTATTTGAAAAATGGTTTTTTGAACTTTTGGAGAATAATAAGGTTTGTTTGTTTTTTTTGAAAGGTTATTAGGGACTTGGATTAATATATATGGGTAAATACTAGGGATACGACGACTTTGAGACAAAAATCCTGGAATGTTTTAGACCATATTTTCAAGAATTTTTTCGGGTCGTGTTTCCGATTCCATGTAACACACTCGTAGGACTCGAATGCTAGTGTCCTTATTTTTCACCCTTTTGGATTAGATCTCATTCACCGGCTGGAATTTGTGTCTTTTATTTTTCTTGCCCCACTACACTGTTTTCCTCAAACCTTTTTTCTTTCCAACATAAACAGTTGGAGCCTCGCCCATTATCTCGGATTTCGAGATAACGTTTCGGACTTTCCAATCACCTACTTCTCCCCCCCCCCTTTTCCTCTTTATTTCCATCATTTCTCCCGCGATTTATAAATTTTTGTAATTAATTTTAAAGGAATATTTTGTTTCTCAACCATCAACTTCAACTAATCCAAAATTTCATTTTGATATTCTATTGGAAGAAGAATACTTTAATAATAACAACAATTATTACCCTTTAACAATTATTAAAAATGAAAGAGTAACAAATGAGCAACATTTTCAAGAAACTAGATTAATTAGTTTATTTATTGGGGAAGATGTTAGAGAAAATTTTAGGTTTATATTTTAATTTTATTTGTTTTTTAAATTTTAATCTGTGGGAGATACTCTTTTTGGTTATTTTCTTCTAAAAGTCCGTAACTTTTTTGTCCGCAAATTTTTTGTCAGCAATTTTTAAAAATTTCCCAAAAGGATTTTGGGTTCTAGTTTATGAGTTCTCTGAAGCTTTATGTGTCCAACAAAAAAATTATTTGTCCGTAGAAAAATTCAAGGGTTTTTTTTTATTAATGCCATGGAGGTGTATCTGTGATTAGTTTGCCTCATAATTTTTCATTGGACTCAAAGCTTAACTGGACTCTTAAATAATGTAACTCCCCGAGTCTTCTGGCATAGGTGTTTGCCGGGCTAGAGCCTTCGGGTTTTGGGTCGGGGGTTTTTTCTAAAAAATTATAGTCTGGGGACGGGGAGCTACCCTACTTTTAAAGACTAACAAGAGCTTAAAAAATTTTTTTCTGATTGTAAATTAATTCTCATACATAATTTTAATTTTCCTATTTGAAAATGCCTACTAAGCTGATCTTTTTTAGAAAAATAAATAAAAAAACGAATTTTCGGATAAAAATTGCAGACTTTTTTGGAAGAATACACCTTAATGGAGTATTTATTTAGGTATAATCCAGGAGATGTGTTAATGGTATTACCAGAGAATTTAATTAATTCATTAGAAATGGCTAAAAATGTTTTGATCAAATGTAAAAATCTTTGGGATTTACCTATGTCAATTTGTAGAAGTAGTTCAAATGTTCCAATATCACCTCAATTTGTAAGGTTATTTTGTGAGTTTTTTTAAATTGATATGTAGTTTGGATTTTTTTATTTTTGGGTAGCATTGGTTGTGGCGTAATGGCTCTCAATGCTTTGTTTGCTTGTTGGGTGTTGGGTTTTGTGGTGTAAGGGTTGTAGGTTCGAGTCCGTTTATGATAAATTAAGCTTTTTCGAGTGAGTTTGTGTGAGGAAAATTTTTTTCGAGGTTTTAGGCTATCGAAAAATTTGGAAAAATTTTTGAAAATTTTTTTCAAAATTTCTTTTTGTAAATTAATTTTATTTTTTTACCCCTCTTTATAAAATTCGTATTTTTTAGCCTCCCAAAGCTTGACTCTCTCTGCTTTGTTTCAATATTATTTTGATCTTCAATGCATCCCCAAAAGAAGTTTTATTAAAAAATTTGCTTCAATAGCAGAAGATGAACTTGAAAAAGAGCGATTGTTGGAATTATGTTCTCCTGAAGGAATTGTTTGGATTTTTAGAGGTTTTTTGATTTTTTAAATTTTTTTCAGGATGATTATTATGAATATTGTATTTATTCAAAACGTTCAATATGCGAATTTTTGAGAGATTTTCCGCAAACTTCAGCATTATTAACAATTGGACATTTTCTCGATTTTTTCCCTATAATTCGTTCAAGAGCTTTTAGTATAGCTTCATCTCCAAGTGGGCATTTAAATGAAATTCAAATACTTGTTGCTAAAGTTAAATATAATATTAGAAGAATAAAAACGCCAAGGTTTGAATTTTTGATGAATTTTTAATTAGACGGAAATTTCATTCTTGTTGATACTCTCAAAATTAGGTAAACAATTTGGCGGATGCCTTTGTTAAAATTTGGGTTGGGCACCAGGCGGAGCACTGTCGTTTATTTTAAGTACTCCTTTACCCCTTCCATTTAAAATACTCCCTTTCCATTTAAAATGATTTTTAGCCCTTTTAATGAAGTTTGACTTAAACTTATTTAAAATAGGTTTGGTTTGTGCAGCAACTTTTTATGTTCAACAAATCCAGGCCATCAAGTTTATGCACGTATTAGTCCAGGAATATTTAAATATGATAAAGAACAAGTTACTCCATATATTTTAATTGGACCTGGAACTGGTGTTGCTCCTTTTCGTTCAATGATTGTTGAAAATGAATTTAATAGGTTTATTTAATTAATTAGGTTTTGTTTTAGGGTGTAAATTAGAAAAGTTTTGTTAAGCGTGGGTGTGGTGTAGTGGGTTGGGTGCTGGTTTTTTAGGTGGAATGGTTGTGGGTTCGATTCCAACTGTGGTTAAATATTTTTTCTTTTTGAAAAAATTAGTTGGGAATAATAAAAAATTAATTTGGCATTGTTTAAATCGGCATTCTATATTTTTTTATTTTCATAAAACTATTTTTATTATATTTTCAGAAAATGCCCAATTACTCTATTCTTTGGTTGTCGAAATGAAGCAATGGATTTTTATTTTAAAGATGAATGGTCAAATTATAAAAATTTAAATTTATTTACTGCATTTTCTCGTGATCAGGAGGAGAAGGTTTTTTTTATTTTTAGTTGTTTTTTAATTTTTAGTTGTTTTTTAATTTTTCAAAAATTTTTCTTCAAAAGATTTATGTTCAGCACAAAATAAGTGAAAATCCAAAGGAATTGTGGAATTTAATAAATTGTGGAGGAGGTTTTTTTGATTTTTTTTTAATTTTTGAAAGTTCTAAAAAAATTTTTTTAAGCAAAAATATTCATAGCGGGTAGTGCTGGTGATATGCCAAAACAAGTAATTAATTCATTTAAACAAGTGTTTATTCAAGAGGGAAAAATGTCTGCTGAAGAAGCTGATAAATTTGTGGAATTAATGGAAAAGAAAAAATTAATTCAATATGAGACGTGGAGTTGACACAAAACTTTTTTGTTGTTTGGTGCATGCTGCGATTGTTTTTCTACGTTTTTTTTTATTTTTTTTAATTTTTAAAATTTCTATTTGTTAATAAATTAATTTTAAAAAATTATATTTTCATGGTTTTCTGAAGCCTTAAATATTTTTTTATATTTTTTAAATCAATTTTTATTAAGCTTTTTAGAGCGAAAAATGGAAGACTTTAACATTGAGAATATTAATTCTTTCAATTTTTTATTTCAAATTTTGTCAGATTTTGCTTGTGCTCTCTTCTTGTCGCTATCTTTTGGACTTGTTGATTTTAATTATACAAAGGTTTCTTTAAATATTTCTTAAAAAAAGGTGAAATTAGGGTTATTTTTTGGTTGCTATAAGTAAGTTAACCGGTCGTGACGGATACTCGTTTACAGTTTGAAAATTTTTAAAAGTCCGCAAAAAAATTGCGGACGTCCGCGAAAAATTTACGGATGTCCGCAATTAGGTTGCGGAGTCCGCGAAAAGTGTCCGCATATTAAAAGTTTTTGTGACTTTTAAATTCTCAAAAATTTAGATTGTTAATTCATTTCTTCGTTTATTCTCTCGCAAAACTCAGGAAGAAATTTCATTGGACCGGTTAAATGAGCAAATGATACAAATTAAAAATCAAATGTCAATGCTTTCTCCAACTGCAGATTTTGCAAAATATTACAAAAATGAGCGTTTATTAAATAAATTGAAAGAAGAAAAGGAGAAATTAGGTTTTTAGACTTTTAAAACTAAAAAAATTATAAAAAATGTCCGCAAAAAATTTTGCGGACATCCGCAAAAAGTGCCCGCATTTAAATTGCGGACGTCCGCAATTTAAAAAATTTAATTTTTAAAATTTCTTTTCAGATAAAACAATATTTTCAAACTCAATTGTTTCTTCTGTAAAAATTAATATTGCTGTTAAAACTCTTTTTATGGTTATTGCAACATGTTTGATGTGGAAAGCTGAATTTTTTGTTATATTTAAAATGGATGCAAAATGGTTTTGGCCTTTAAATATTTTAAATTTGCAAAATAATGTTTTTGGTGGACAAGGAAAAGAAGAAGAAGGTTTATAAATTTTTTTGATTTTTTAAAAAGGGAAATTTTAGAATTAATTTAAATGTCGGGTCTGACCTCACTTTAATACTTGGGGAAAAATTAATTTCGGTTATGGTCCAGTTTGTGTCCAATGGATGAGTTAAATAAGAAATACGAAAAATAGGTGTGTCACAAAGTGTGACATATTAAATTTATTTAAAAAAAGTATCTTAAATGGTAGAGACGTCCGAGACCGAAAATTTTCCAAGACTCAAGACCAAGACCGAAAAAACCCAAGGAAAGTCTTGGAATCAAGACCAAGAGTCTCGGACGTCTATTAAATGGAACTTTATTTATATTTGGAATATTTTAGTGAGGTCCTATTTAATTTAATTTTTATTTTTTTTTAAGATTTGTATCAAAATGTAACATTGTTCAGCTTTGTTTTATTGACATTAATAGTAAAGAAAATTTGGGAATATAGAAAAAACAATAATAATGATATTAATTTTATTGGGACTGAAATATTTACAACTCACTGAGAAAATATAAATTAATCTTGACAAGAGGAGGAGGAAATATTTTAATTTTTGTTTTTTAACGAGAAATTTATTTTAAAAATTTTTTTTTTGGATTTTAATATTTATTTAAAGACTTAAATGACAAAAAATTGGACTTTTGCTCTTTTAAAACCAGATGCTGTAGCTAATCCAATATCTCTTGGTTGGCTTTTGGATGCTTTAAATAAAAATGGTTTAATTATTGAAATGGGTATTTTTTTGAATTTTTTAAAGAATTTTTACTTAATTTTTTTTAATTAGATAGGTTGTCGACTAAATTTGTCGAAAGATCAAGTTTCTGATCTGTATGAGTTTCACAAGGTTTTTTTAAATTAATTTTTTTTAATTGGTAGGGTTGGGTAGGACTTCACGGACTAAATATTATGGTAATGGAAATATTTAACGGGGAAATTTTTTTGAAAATTCTTATAACGAGTTTGTTAAATTAGGTGAATTGGTTATTATTAGGCAGTCGGTCCTCTACCCACCTAGTCACCAACCAAAAAAATTTTTTTAATTGTATAGTTAGATTGTGATTGTACCTAGTATTGTGTATATACATTTTAAAATACTCACACCCTTTTAAGAAGCTTCCTTTAATTTTCTATTATTTTTTTGTCGTCTAAAAAAATTTTTTAATTTGGTCTAAATTTTGGATCGCTTTTTAAATTCTATTTTTAGGTTCGTCGTCTCCTGGTTTTTTCAATAAAGTTTTCTAGGCTAATTTTGGGGGCCTCTTAGGAACCTTTTGGCTAATTTTAAAAAATTTCTTAAACAAAATTTTTACAGAATTCGTTTTATTTCAATCGATCACTCAATCATTTACGTTCTGGACCTGTAATAGCTATGAAATTAATTTTAAATGAAGAACAACACCAACAAAACTCAAAAGATGAAGCTTTAAAACGTTGGAGAAAATTACTTGGACCTGCAAAATTTGGAAAAATGTATTTGGCACAAGTTGGGGATTTTGATGAAATTGATAGCAGAAAGGGAAATTTTAGACAATTATTTGGACTTTCTGACAGCAGGAATTTTGGTTTGTTTTATTATTTTTTAATTTTTAGAGAGATTGGGACGGGTCAACCACCGTAAATCCTCTAGGAGAACCTTATATCTTCTATTTTTTAAGCCTCTCGTAAGGTGTGCTTTACACTAACAACAAAGAATGTGGTTTTTAAGAGGATGTGGCACCTAGTATTGTCACCGCCTAAATTTTCTTTTAGGAAGCCTCTTACATTAGGTTGAATTTTTGGGGAATTTTACCACAAGATTTGGTCTCGCAACTTTATTTTCCATATTTTTTTATTTTTCTTGAGGATAAAAATTTTTCCGTGGACATAAAAAGTTGCGGACTAAACTTGCGGACAAGAAAAATGTTTTTAAAAATTAGGAAAATTCCTTGGGGGTTTTTAAAAAATTAAAAAAATTTTTTTAATAAAAAGGACATGGAACAGGTTCATTAGAAGAATTAGAAAAAGAATATTCAATATTTGAAAAATATATGAAAAAAATAGAGGATCCATATTCTGAATTATTCCAATTGGATAAATATATTTATTTGATAGAAAATGAAGAAAAAGAAGATGAAGAAGAAATTGGAGGAGAAGAAGAAGAGGGAACTAAAAATAATTTTTTAAATAAATTTAAAAATTTTTTTAAATAAAAAAATTTGTTTGTTGTTTAAAAATTTTTTTAATTTTTTCTACTTGTTTGTAAAGCAAGTTTAATTAATTATTTTTCTTATTTATTTTTTTGAAAGAAAATCAGGAAGGAATGGGCTAGACTCTAATGTCTTCCACCTTTGGGTGAATTAATTAGTTGGTATATTTTGCCAATACCACATTTTGCCAATAAGGCTAAAAACCAGCATTTTGTCTAGCTAACCTTGTTGACAAAATGCGGGGTTTTTCTCTTGTTGGCGAAATGTGTGTTGGCAGAATATATTTATTTTTTGGCGGGCTTTAAATTTTTTGAATATTATTTTGAATTTAAAATTATTTTTTAAAATTAATTTCAGTTTTTGGATTTTACAAATATTTATTTTTTCATTCTCTACATAAAAAAGAAAAAAAAATTTGTTCTACTTTATCATTTTATTTTTACATTTTTTTGACTTGAGAAAATATGGCTGTGCTTATAATAAGGTTGTCTTAAAGATTTTTTCTAAAATTATGTTTTGTAGAAATGACAATGATTGTGAAGAGGTATATAATAGAACAACAGTTTTTTGTTACACAAGAATGCCTAGATCCAGTTTATGGGAATATGTTGAAAAATTGGAATTGTTGACTTCAGGTTTGAGTTTTTTATATTTGTTTGGGGGACTTCTACGGGTTAAAACAAGTTAGGAGCAAAGAATAGGAATGTGATAAGTAAAACATCGAGGGTTTTGTTGAAAGGGATTTTTCTGCAATGAAACGATTGAATGTTGACTTGTCTAGTAAGCAGTGTATCTGGGAGCAAGTACATATATCACGGTACTTATGCTCGAAAACCGACCTGACTTTTTTTCTCAATTTAAGACGTCCCTGGTTTGGGGTTTCCTTTTGCTTAGGAAATGATAGGACCTCGCTATCTGTTAAGCGATTGTCTGTCCGGAAGCTCCAGATTCTCTACCTGTCCGCAAGAAATTTACCGACAACTTTTATATTTGTGTTTAAAAATTTTCTACTTCTATACCTTTTAAGTGTCAATAAATAAAAATAAATTTTAGATAGGCAAGCTCTTTTCTTTAAAATAGATGTTGACATTTTTGCAGCTCCAGATTCTTTACCTGATCTCAAGGATTGGTTTCTTTAAAAAAATTTTTTTCCAATTTAAAATTTATTCTAGGTACATTCTCAGCGTTGTTTTAAAAGCACATAACGGCCCTTTCTCTTTTGGCATTTTAGTCAAACTTTTTTATGAATGTTTTCCACTCAAATTAATGGTTGATTTTTCTTCTACAAAAATGTTTATTAGCAGGTTTTTTTTAATTTTTTTTTGACTTTTTTTTCAATTTAAAGTGGAAGCCTTACAAACGATGGAAAATCGCTTGGAGCAAGCGAATTGGAAGCATTCCTTCGATTATCAAGTCATCATAAACAAACAATGGTTAATTCTGTGGAAGTTGCTGAACGGTTATTTTTTATTAGAAAGACAGGTTCTACATTTTACAATATTTTGTAGATATAGGTTCAGAAGGTGTCTATTAATTCTTTTATTAATCTGGTTTTTGAGTTTAGTGTACATGTTCCGAAAATGTTAACTGTTGGTACTTTTTCGAACTTCTAAGTGCTTTACTTAAGACTAGGAATGGACCGAGTTACCCATTAGTCGAAACCTGTTCCGAAGGAAAATTTTAAAACTCGAAATCCGATTCGAGTTTTTTTTCTCATCCTGGCCCTTCCTTGCTTCAGTTAATAGTTTGTCTTCCAATAAATATAAACAATATTATTTTTTCAGTTTCAAAGCCTTTTCAAGTACACACAAACCTACAGATGTATTAAGCTCTAAAGGACCTTCATTTTTAGTAGAATTAGCAAATAGATATAATATAATTGGTGGATATTGGATTATGTTTTTTCAAGATTTGGATATTTCTCAAAGGTTTTTTTGAATTCATTAATATTTTGGGTAAAAATTTTGGAATTTTTTGAGTCTCTCTCTGACCCTTCTAATTTAAAAAATTTATTAAATTTATTTGTTAAATTAAATGATAAAAAATATTTTTGAATATTTTTTTAATTTTTAAGAGAAGGCGCTTTCAATCTCTTACTTGAATCTGCATACAAAAATTGGGGACCTATAAGTCGTTTCAATGCAAAAATTTCTTCTGATAATTTTATTATTTGTTTTGTAAGTTTAAAACTTTTCTTTTTCTTTTCTAATCAAAAAAAAGTCCACAAATTTTGTTCGCAAATTCTTTAAATATTTTTTCTGACAAGTTTGCGGACAGAAAAATTGCGGACTTGCAGATTTGTAAAAATTATTTTTAATTAAAATTTTAGGGAAATAAATTAACCACAAGTATAATGAACCCAGCAAATTTGGACTCTTCTCGACGCAAAACTGAAGTAACTGATCCTGGTGCTTTAAAAGTTAGACAAATTGTTGATAAAATTTATGCAAAAAATTGTTATTGTAAGTTGGGGGGGGGGGGTTTTTTTAAAGGATTAAATTTTTTTATTTTTCTTAGATTTTGGTTCAATGCATATGAAATGTAAGGGTTTATTTTTGAATTTTGAATTAAAAAAATATTTTTTTCTTGTAGATAAACCAGACATTATGAGGTTTTATTTTTATTAAATTATTTTTTAAATATTAAATTATTTTTTTAAATTTAATTGTTTTTATTTAATAGTGCTTGTTGTGTTCAAAGAAATAATTCTATGAGACCAACAGGTATTTTTATGTTTTTAAGTTTGAAAAAAATTTTTTTTAATTTTTTTGAAATATTTTTTCTATAATTTTGCCTAATTTTCTATTTTCCATCAAATAAAAATTAATTACCACCAAAAGGTGTCGAACCCCCAACCCTTTTGTAGAGGGAACCAAGCACTATCCGACTACACCAAAATAAAAATTTTTTTGATTTTCGAGAAAAAATTTTTAAATTTTTTTTGAATATTTTTTTTCCTATGATTTTGACTATTTTCTATTTTCCTTTAAAATAAAAATTAATTACCACCAAAAGGGTTCGAACCCGCACCCCTTTTGTAGAGGGAACCAAACATTTTCCGACTACACTAAAATAAAAAAGTTTTTTTTAATTTTTAAAATTAAATTCTTTTTTAAGTTTACCAAGCAGATTATAACCCAAAAAATATTTTTAACAACAACAACAACAATAATTATAATAGTTCTCGTTCAAATACATCAATGTCGTCAAGTCAAAACAATTACAACAACAACAATTATGGGTGGAATGAGAGGTAGATTTAAATAATAATTTTTTTGCGAGAAAAAAAAATTTTTTGAGAAATTTTTTGAAACAAAATTTTTGACATATTTATTTTTTTGAAAATATTAATATTTTTGATACTCCTCCATTTTTTTCTTTTTTTTTTGTTGGTAATTTTTTTGTGCGCCAAAAAAGATTTTTTTAGGTGAGAGATTTTTATTTGTTCTATATTTTTGTTTATAATTTTTTTTTGTCGTGTCTAGTTGTATCAAAAATGTCACGGGGGGTTGAGAAAAAATAGGATCGGGTTTTCAAAATTTTTCCCTGATTTTTTTAATTTTCAGAGCTATTGAAATTTAAAATTTTTTTATTCATGTATGCCGCGAATAGTTTTGGAAATATATTTTTTTGAAAAATTTAATTTTTTGGCGCATATTTAAACAAAAAAAATTATTTTGTTTTAAAAATACTCTATAAACTTTTACAATTTTTTAAATATTTTTTTAAACATTTTTCAAAATTTCAATTGCCAAATTTTATATATAATTAGGGGAGTCAAAAAAACATTTTTTCAATTAATAATAAAAAATGTAAAAAAAAAACTATATATACAGTCGAATCTCGGTTTTCAAAAAAATTTCTAATTAACTTTATTGGATCGGAAAAAATTTATTAGATCAAGAGGGTTTCCTTAAATAGAGGTTCGACTGTTAAAACCTCAAAAAATTTTCCTTTTCTTTCTTTTTACTTATCATTTCTTAATTAATTATTCACCAAATCGAACAGAATTACTACAACAATAAGTCTTCATATAACCTTTAAAAAATATTTTTTATTAGGATATTCAAGAATTTTATTGCTATTTTTGTCTCATTATTTTAGGGTTGTCTGATAGTCCACTTGGAAGTCCCAAAGATTTTTTTGGTTTCATAAGTATTTTTTTCTTTTTTAGGTTTTTATTCCCCTCTCCCCTTCCCTCCTCCTATCCTCTATCTATTTTTATTTTTTTAATTTTTAAAAAAATTTTAAATCTTACCTAATGTACATCTTTTTGAACAACATTCAGTAGCAATTCCACTTTTTTTTACTGGGGCAAAAGCTCCATAGGGATAAAAACGTTTTTTTCTCCTTTCTGTTGTTTCTTCTGAATCTTGTTGATTAAATTCGAATTCTTCAGAATTATTATTTTCTTCATTATTCCTTTTTGACATTATATAACCTCCACATAACTGATTTTTACATATTGCGTTTAATGTCATTGTTAATTTCTAAAATTAGTGGGAAAATTTTTCAATTAGAAATTGGAAGGAGGGAAAATAGGGAATATTTTTAGGTCTAGAAAATTTTTTTTAGATTTTTTATAAATTTTTTGGGTGAAAAAAACTTTTTGTATTTTTTCCGTAATCTTCTGGTTTTTGTATTTTTTTTCATTCCGGAACAGGGGTGAGCGCATTGCGTTTTTTGAGATTGTCTCTTGCGCTCACCCCTGTTCCGGAATACTCCTTTGTATTTTTACTTTCTCAGAATGTTTTTCTGGATATTTGTATTTTTTCCGGAAATGTTTTGCACACTTACCAATCCACACAATCTAAATCCTCCAGTAGCCATAGTTGTTGGTGGCGTTAATAAAATTAATAACGAAAATATTAGCATTAATGTTGAGTGCCTCAATATTCTTTTAAAAAAATTTTCTAATTTTTAAATTTAAAAGAAAATTTTTTTACCTTTGTGTCCTGGGGTGTTGCCGTATTTTAATTATTTCCATTTTATTTTTTATTTTTAAAAATTCCAAAAAAATATTTTTTTTTTAATTTTTTAAGAATTTATTTTTATTTTTTTGGTAGCCCTAAATTTTTAATTTTATTTAAAATTGTATTTGTGTTTTTCCGGATTGTGTTTCTCTGATTTTTTATTTGTGTTTTCCGGAATGTGTTTTCTGATTTTTTGTATTTTTCCGGAAATGTTTGGTATAATTTTAATAAAATAATTAGTTTGATTGTCTGAATTTACGAATTTTTAAAATAAAAGAGGGAAAGAAAATAAATGCCACCCTAGAAAACTTTTACAGCCAAAAAACTGCGTAGGAGTCTTAAAAAAACTTTTAATGTTTTATAAAGATTTTTTTCCTTTTTTTAAAAAATTTACGGGGAAAATAACCTATAATTTTAATTAAAATAAAAGCCTATTATTATTTTTATTTTAAATAAAAGTGAGAGAATTTTAAAGTAAATATATTTAAAAATCGTAATATATCACGCAAATGAAAAAAATTATTTTTTAAAAATAATAATAAAAAAATTTCACACAAAAGGACAATAGAAATTAACATGAGGGGAGATTTAATGAATTAAGGAAGGCCGGAAAGGAGAGAAAAAATGTGTTTTGTTAAATAAAAACATGTGTTTTTGTGTTTTTCTAATAATTCTGATTTGTGTGTGAAGCGTTAAAAACATTTTGTGTTTTTCCGGAATGTATTTTTCTGTTTAATTGTGTTTTTGTGTTTTCCGGAATTGTTTAAATTTTATTCTGATTTTAATGTGTTTGTGTTTTCCGGAATTGTTTATTCTGTTTATTTATTTTCCGGAAGGATGTGTTTTTAAATTTATTCTTTTCTGTATTTTTTGTTTTCTTGTGTGTGTTTTCCGGAAATGTTTAATTTATATTCTGGTTGTGTGTTTTTCCGTTTATTTTGTATTTTTCGGAATTTTGTATTTTTGGTTGTGTTTATTTTTGTGAATATTAATTTTTCAGGGTAAATATTTAACTCAAAAGTTATATTTTTTAACATAAAATTTGGTTATTTGATATGGAAAAAATTATTTTATGTTATTAAAAAATTTTTTTTTGAATTTTTTTGGAATAATTAAATATTATTTACTTTCCCATAGGTGCCAATTTTTTTTCTTGAATGACATGGATATTTGTATATGTAAATAGTTTTAAGCTTTTATTCCAATTAAAAAATAAAAATGTGTTTATTTATTCTGTGTTTTTAACATTATAAATTATGTAGAAAATTAATTTACGTGTGTTTGTAAGAGGGGAGAATTGTAGAGTGGGGGAGGGGAGAGGAAAGGAAGGGGGATTGGTGTGCGCAACCTAAAAATTCTTAAAAAATTTTTTCTGAAATTTTTAATTTTTTTTTTGTTTAAAAAATTTTTCCCACAGAAGTAGACAAAAAAAAATAATTTTTTAAAATAAATTTTAATTAAAAAAATATTTTTTGCGCACAAGTTAATTGTACATAGTATAAACATTCTTTTTAACGTCTGTCTTCTACCACCTTATGGTATTTATATGTAAATAATTTAAAAATTCCCATAGGAATATAATTCTAGTTAACACGTTCTTTTTGCCAAGTTTTTTTTTAAATTCTCTAAGGATTTGTTTTTTTATCGCCTGACTTTATTTAATGATGTAAGGGGAGGGGAAGGGGGGAATGAAGGTTAATTTATGGAAATGGAGATATTATAATTTTTTAAATTTTTTAAATAAAATAGATTAGATGTGAATAAGTGAAAAATTCTTAGAGAGTTTAGGTTGTTTTAAATGTTAAAAAGTGATTTATATATGGGAGGGATATTGGGAGAAAATTAAAAATAAAAAATATTTTTTTATATTTTTAAATCCTAACACGGGATGTTTAAATTCGTAAAAATGCCATTTAAATTTAAAAAATATTTTCGTAGAATTAAAAGATATTATGTTAGGATAATTTACATGGACTATGATAAGGGGAAAATTAAGAACTTTATTTATTTTTTTAAATCCTAAGCAAGGAACTGGACATTATGTGTTTTTAAATATTAAAGTGTTATTCAAATTAGTATATGTTTTTTGTAAATGTGACATTTAAATTGAAAAAATATTTTCTTAGAATTAAAAATTCTGTGAGTATAATTTACGTGGAAGTTAAGGGGGAAATTAAGAATTTTATTTATTATTCTTTTATTTTTAAATCCTAAACAAGGAACTGGACATATAAATTTAAAATATATATATAAAGTGTTATTTAAATTTGGCAAAATAAAATTTTTCTGGGCTAAATTAATATTTTTAATAATTATAATTTTGAGGTGTATATCGCTTGGTAACGCCCTTCTAGAAAATATTTTTTTTGTAAATTTTTTGAAAATTAAAAAAGAATTTCTTTAGAAAAAAATTGCGTGCTTTTTAACATTTCACGCGATAAATAATTAATGAATAAAATTGTTTTTAAAAAAAAGAAAAATATATTTTTTGAGAGCAGGGGAGAGAAATTATAAAAAATCAGAGGAAAAAAAAAACAACTCTCTTTAAAAAATATTCATGGAATATTAAAAAAAATATTTTTATTAATTAGAAAAAAATTCTTTTTAGTTTATAAAAAATCGTCACACATTAAAAAAATAATAAATGTAGTCGGAAATTGTTTTTGAATTGGGCTAATTTGTGGGGGGAAACAAAGTTCTTTTTTTATTTAATAATAAAAAAAATTTTTTTAATCACCAGGGGCGGTATGCAAAAAAGGAGGTAGGGGTTAACCAACCCTCAGCTGCGGGTAGGTTAACCCAGAACCCTTATGCAAAAATGGAGGTAGGGGTAACCCGCAGCTATGGTTAGTTACTCGGGTAATAGAACCCGCAGCTGCGGGTAAGATTTTAACCCTGCTCCGATGAGGGTTAAAATCTTACCCGCATCTCTTTAAAAATTTTTTAAAAATCCAAACTCAATCGAAAAATTACAAATTAAATATTTTTAGATAGATTAGAGTGTGCTCTATTTTTTGATATAATTTTTAAAAATTTTTGTTGAAAAATAAATTTACTATAAATTTTCGCGTAAAGTACCCCATTTTTGAGCAAAAAAGGGACTCATTCTCTCCAATAGGCAGCTGCGGGTAATCATCGAGTTCTGGGTCGATTTTTTTTGAATAAGGGTTAGCCCTCAACTGAGAGTTCTATTACCCGAGTAATAGAACCTGCTAGACTTACCAGGTTCTCCAACCCGCTTTTTTGCATACCGCCCCAGGGATTATATAAAAATAAATTTAAAAAATTAAAAATAAGCAAAAAATATTTTTAAATTAATTTTTTATGTTTAGGGGTAAATTAAATATATTTCCCGTTAGTGGGGTTCGAACCTCCAACCCTTTTTGGAAGGAAACCAAACAGTTACCCACTACACCAAAAATTAACTTTAATTATTTTTCAGATGATTTTTGTTTTTTTGAAGGGCCATAACTTTTTTGATATTTAACCGAGTTGAATGATTTATATATCATTCGAAAGCTCTGAATGTGTGGATTATTTTTTCTGTTAGGATCAAAACGATCAGATTACTCCTAAAAAAGTTATAACCATTTAAATACGCGCAATCGTGATTTTTCAACGTTATCTGGCTGTAATTTTTTGTGGTTTGATTTGATTGGAAGAAGTTTAATGTGAAAATGATACCGCAGATCCAAGCTTTTGATTGATATGAAAATTATAAAAATCGGTTAAGAATTACAAAAGTTATGGTCTAAAATAGGGCCTTATACTTGTGGAGTAACTAATTTTGTTGGAGGATTATGCAGAGGTGAATTTTGGCTTTATTCCTGGCTTGTTTAAAAATGAATAAATTAATCAAGTTAAGGTAAAAAATTTTTTTAATTATATTTTGAAAAAAAAATCACGCATTTTTAAAAAATTAATTTTATTTTTTTTTCACAAATTCCCTTCTTTCTCTTAATATTTTTTTAAACTAAAATACCTTTGGAGAATGGGATTAAAAACGGGAGGAGGTCAAATAAAATAGATCTTTCTTTCTATTCTCTCGTTGTTCTTATGACCTAAATAAATATATATCTCCTTAAATTAAATTAGAGTGAAGGATGATCACTTGTGTATATTTATTTATTTTTAAAAAATCCTTTTATTATTTATTTTAAAATAAATATTTAATTATGTATTTATTTCAATCAACTATTCTCTTATTTTTTGGTAATTAAATTTTAAAATAAAAATAAAAGAAGATAATTTTTTGGTGACTAAAAATGCGTGGTTTTTCGATTAAAACTAAAAAAAATTTGCTTTCAAAAAATTCAAATTTTTTTTTAAAATTTTTTAGTCGTTTCTCTAACAACATGTTCATCTGAATATCTCGGAGTATCTCTAGGCTCTCTTCAAAATTCATCCTTCCCAGGCATTTCAGGCAATGTGTGGCTGGCTAACTCGACAACTTTACAAATTAATAATTTTAATATAGAGCCACATCAAAGTTTGTTTTTTTTTTAAATTAAAAAATTGTTTTTTAGAACAAGAATTAATATTTGCCTTCATTTCTGAAGAAGCTGTTGAACCAGTTAAATTTTTGTATAAAGTGGCTGGGGAAAATAATGGAGAACAAATGTTATTCCCTATGTAAGGTTTAATTATTAAAATTTGATAAGTTGTGTGGTGGTGTAATGGTTAAGCGTCTTGGTTTTGTTGGCGAGGGGTGGTGGGTTCGAATCCCGCAGATGGAAAATCGTTTTTATTTCACCTAAAAAATTTTTTTCTTGTAAATAAATAATATACACAATGCCAAATTAATAAAAAAATTTTTGACCGCAAAATAAACAGAAAATGTTAAAATTTATATCAAAAACACACTAATTCAAAATCGCCGCTAAGTCTCGAGGTTATATTTTGGGCCATAACTTTTTTGATTCCAGGCCAATTCGAATGATTTATACATCAATCGAAAGCTCTGGATGTGGGGATTATTTTATCTAGCAGGATTAATTTAATCATATCATCCTAAAAAAAGTTACGGCCGTTTAAGTGCGCGCAGTCGTGGTTTTTCAATTTTATTCGGCTCTAACTTTTGGTAGGATTATCCTATCAACTCAATCCTGCTAGATAAAATAATCCTACCATCAAGAGCTTTCGATTGGTATAAAAATTATTTAAATCGGTTAAGAATCAAAAAAGTTATGACCCAAAATATAGTCTCAAAACTGGCCTTTACCCAAATAATTTTTTAAAAATTTAAAGGAAAAGACGTTTGGATGGCGGACTTTCTGAACATCGTCTGGTAGCAATTGCTCCACATGGCACAACTATAGATCAATGGAAAAGATTCGGATTGGTGACAGGGAAGAGCAAGGTTATTTTAAATATTTTTTAGGGTGTCTAGGTCAATAGGTTTGGGGTGGGCGTCCAGTAAATCCCTCCAAAGGTCTATAAATGGATAGACTAGGCATACTGGGATTGGGGCATGTCCATACCGACCATCAAAAAATTTTTCCTAGGTCTCAAAAATTAAAAAGATTTTTTTCAAAAATTCCCACGCCTAAAATCAATTTATAGTGAAAAAAGCACCTTACACAAAATTAGAAAAAATTAAAAATAAATACTTAGAAAATACTATATTTAAATACTATCCTCTCCAGCAGAAGATTCACTATCGTCAATTAATTTATTTGATATTCTTAATAATTTGGCTTCTTCCTCCAAATTTCTATTATTATTGTTGGTCATTAATCGATTAGTTGTTGAAGTAGAATTTAATTCATTCCAAAAAGTTGAGGCCTGGGAAAATCTGGGTCTGTCTGGGAGACGATTTCTGCCGTTTCTCCAATTGAAGTGGAAATAGAGAAAACTGAAGAAAAAAAATTTTTTGGAAGAGTTTTTCTAAGAAAATTTCAAAAAACCTCAAAACAATAACTACACAAACACCAATGTTTGTGTATAAAATAAATGTGTGAAAGAATGAAGAAGGTTGAGAATCCATATTACCTGAAAAAAAGGATAAAAAGTTTTAAAGAAAAAAAAAACAAGAAATTTCCCCAAGTTTTCCCATGTTTTTAAGGGGAAAAATGTGAAATAGAGAGTGTCTCTCCTGTTTTTGTATAGTCTCTCTTTTCGGTATCTCTGTTTTTGCTTAGTTTGTTTGTTTGAATTTAGGTAAGAGAACAATATTAAAAAGAGTGGGAAAACTAAGAGTGTATTAGAGAGTAAAATTAAAAGAAACATTGGGTGGGGGAGTTTGTTATATTACAGTAGGCAGGCAGACTTTCGTGTCGAAAATTTAATTTTAAATTAAAAAATATTTTTTTGGTTCTTTTTTTGTTTTTCGTTATTCAGAGTCTTTTCTTGTTTCTTTTGTTTCTTTTAATTTTTTAATTTTAGAAGCAAGTATCAGTTGTACAACTAGACAAGCCTATCCCACAAAAATTTTGCTGCCTCAAAAACAACGAAAAACCAGATCAAGGAGTAATTGGAGATCATTACAATGCAGCAACTGGCCCAATTTTGGTTGAAGACTCAAAAACTCTAGTAATCCAAAAATTTTCTTTGGAAGCTAACAAAGCGCCAGGTACTGGATTTAATGGATTATCAAAGAAATTTACTCTTAAAGATGCCTGGATATTTGCTGGAAAGGGAGATGTCCGCCCATCTACAGGCAAAAAAGCAATGGTTATTGGAAGGGACAGCTTGAATAAACACTGCTCATTGCGTGAATACTACTCCGGGGAAAATGATTTACGAGTACGCCTTGCACCTGGACAGGATATTTATCAAGTGGACTATTTGAGTTTATTTTGGTAAGCATATAAATTTAAATTAATAAAATTAATTAAGAGTCTTCTTGGTGTAGTCGGAAACGTTCGGGTTTCTTCAGTAGGGGTCGAGGGTTCGAATCCCACTGGTGGAAAAACATTTTTATTTTTAAGAGGAATTAAAATTTATTAAAATTTAAATAAAAATAAATTTAAAATTAAATTATAAATTTTTTAAAGTTATCAATACGACGTCGATTTTGGCCATGTCTCTTTCCGACTTGATCCCAAAGAAAATCCTGTTCCTGCTTTTATCCCAGAACTGGCAAATACAATTACTGCAAACAAAGGAGATCCGGAACTTTTGGAAAATAATGATTTGGAAGGAAGTTGTTGAGGTAAAAGAAATTTTGAGTTGTGATTTTTTAAAATTTACTTTATATTTAATTTGTAAATGTTTTATATATTTATTAAAAATTTAAATATCCGCGTAATTTTGGCAAAATGCTTTATTTAAAATAGGTGACATCTTGCCTTCCCATTTGAGTCTTGCTTTAGTGCATTTTTCTCTTTGAGACATTTTGGCACAACTATAGCTATGTGGTATTTTGTCGCACATAAGCTAGTTCTATTTTGTCGTATTTTACATATGAGGCATTCTGTCGTACTTTCAACTTTGAGATATTTTGTCGTATATAGTTTATGAGGCATTTTGTCACACATCAATTAAGGGACATTTTGTCGTTTTTAGACTATAGGCATTTTGTCGAATTCAACAAAATTTTTAAAAATTATTTTTTTCCAAAAAATCAATACTAATCGATATAATCAATAAAATCGATAATCGATTTTTTCAAAATTTTTAAAAATTATTTTTTTCCAAAAAATCAATACTAATCGATATAATCAATAAAATCGATAATCGATTTTTTCAAAATTTTTAAAAATAATTATTTTCCAAAAAATCAATACTAATCGATAAAATCAATAAAATCGATAATCGATTTTTTATTAAAAATTCAAAATTTTAAAAAACCAAAACACGAAACATCTAAAATTCAAAAGACCCATATTTATGCATAAAAAATATATTTTAAATTCAACAAAAAAATAAAATTCTGATTTTTGGAATGGCAAAACTGGCACACATGGAGCACTAAAATAAAATATTGTGTACCTAAATACGAGATAAAAATATAAAAAAATTAAAGGATTTGCACCGAAAAATTGTTAGAAAATAATGGAATTTTAAGAAAGGATTTTTAAAGCTACGAGGTTAAGGGAGAGTATAATCATAGATAGGGTTGCCAGATCGATCGACTCGAGGCTTCAAAGGTCTACCGAAAAATCCAAGTTAGAAATCCGAACGATACTGATCGAAAAATTCAAGCCGAAAAAACGTTTCGCCCATGAGCCTCAAAAAATGGCAACCCTAACAGCTATTAAATAAAATTTTAAGAAACCGTGGGAGGACGGAAATATCTTCTCTTTTCATCGCTATTTTCTTCTTCATCAAACAATACATTGAGGTTGTGAAGCTAACAAGGTTTCTCGATGACTCATCTCTTCTAATTCTAATGCCTTTAAAAATTAAAAAAATAAATATTTAAAGAAAAAAATCCCATACCCTAATAGATTCTTTCTCCAAAGATTCCAATTGTTCGTTATGTTTTTTCTCTAATTGATCTTCATGCCGTCTACATCTTGTAGCTAATCTTTTCCTTTCTTCCATAAAAAGCTTTAAAAAAATTAAGATTTTAGAAAGAAAAAATTTTTTGGAGGTCAAAGGATGTTAAAAAAATTTTTTTGAATGCTAAAGTCCCTTGAGGATAAGTTATATGTCAATAAATAAAAATAAAAGAAAAACAAAAATAATTGGACCGGAGCGGAATCGAACCTCGACAAAAATAGGGCAAAGTCAGAAGTGCTAACCATTACACCACAACTGAACTTAACTCAAATCTTAAAATAAATTATATAACTTAAGTGAGAAAATGGTTCGAAAGGACTTTTTGGGTGTTCTTCCGCAGTAGTTCTAGTGTTAATCCCCAAATTTAAAAAATTCTCAAAAGGATCCCAAGACTATATACTCCCCCAAAAAATTAATAAATTTAAAAAAAAACCTTCAAATTTCTTTCATTCAATTCTTTTATTCTTCTATCCCTTTCAGCTTTAGTTTTGATTACTTTATCCTGTTGTACTGCTCGAATATCTTCCATACTCTTTTTAGTTTGTGCTTGCTTCAATTCTCTATTTTCCATTTCAAATCTTGATTTTAATGCTAATTGTTGTTGTTTTTGTCTTCTGAAAAAAATTTTTTTTGAAATTTTTCCCTTTAAAATAGTTCCCATACTCTGTCAATATTCTCCTCAAAAGTTCATATTCCTCCTTTGTATGTAATTTACGTTGTTCAAATTGTTCAATTTCTATTCGTTTTATTAATGTTGACCATTCATCTGTTTGGTTTTGTATTAATGAACGAATCTAAAATTTTTTAAAAAATTATTAAAAAAAATTAAAATAAAGGGAAAGGAGGAGGGGACACAAACAACAAGAAGGATATCCCAAAAATGACTGAAAATACTCCCCAAAAAATGTGTCCCACAAAATTAATCTCAAAAATTAAGCTTTTGAGGCTATCTCCCGATTAGCTCATAAAGAATCCCTTCCTCTCTCTCCCCCCAAAAATTTTTCTCTAAATTTAAAAAAACCCAGCAATAATACAAGACAAGAACAGCGAGACTGGATATACTCCCCAAAAATTTCAAAAAAATTATTAAAATAATTTTCTGAAGCATCCTTTTTGGTAGGTCAAAGAGAAAATCCCCTCCTCTTCCCTCCCCTCAAAAATCCAAAAATAAATTTTTAAAAAAATACCAAAGAATCTCCACCCATATGTACAGGATCAGATATTCTATTTCCAAGAGAAACATGTCTAATTTTGTTGGCTTCACCAGCATCTGTACTTGCATTATTTGGATGATTTCTTCTTTTTAAAGATAATTTTGTTGTTAAAATATTTGTTGTAGTTGATGCATTCCCAACCAATTTTTCAACACTTGATTGTTGCGATTTTAATACATTTTCTCTCATTTTTTGATGTCGACGACGCATTTCTTCTTTATCTTTTGAAATTCTTTTTTGTAATTTTAAAAAAACTTTTTCTTTTCTCAATTCTGTTACTTCTATATTTTTAACCTGAAAAAATGAAAAAAATTATTAAAAGAAAAAAAATGTTGAGGGAAAGAAAGGGTAGAAAGAAATATTTGCGGACAAATAATGCGGACATTATAAAAATTAAAAATTATTCGGTGTTTAAAGGTATTTTCTTGATCTTTTAGCGCGCAAAGTTTTGTCCGCAAATAGAATAAAAATGAGTCAAAAAACGGGGAATTAAAAATTCAGAAAAATTTTTTAAACAATTTTCTTAAAAGAGATAAAATAATTAACATGATATAATTTTGAAAAAAATGTGGGAATGTACAAATTAGAGGTCGGCGCGGGACGGGATCCCGCGCGGGATTTTGCGGGATCCCGTCCCGCAATCCCGCACTTTTTTCGATTTGCGGGATTTTGCGGGAATGCGGGATTTTGCGGGATTTATCCCGCGGGATCCCGTCCCGCAAAGGTTTAAAAAAAAATTCATCCCGCGGGATCCCGCAAAATATTTTGAATTTTGCGGGATTTTTGGAAAATGGAGGATTTTGGCTCCTAACCTTCTAAATTCAAAAAATTGTCGCCTGCGGCGCAAGAAAAAGGAGAATTTTAGCTCGCTGGCCTTACTAAAATCTCGAAATTTTTGCCTGCGGCGCTGAAGAAGGAAGGAATATTGATACTTGGCCTTCCAAAAATTTCGGCTGTCGCCCAAGGAATCATCACTATTTCATCAAAACAAAATTGACAAATTGTTAGATCACGATGATTGATCCCATTTGTTTCAGCTCAAGCTATTTTAACTCGTATACTCGAACTCGTATACATGTCCCTTATGATTTTTTGATAATTAGGGACCGGTGATAAGTGCATTTTTACCAACTTGTACTCGTAATTTGGTACTAAGTACGATACGTGTACGAGCAACGAGTACGAGTTAAGAACCCGTTATTGATTAAAAAATTGATATGAAATCAAAAAACACTTAGGTCAAGGATTTGTATTGAGCAAAACACCATATTTTTGCCGTTTTTCGTCAAAAAATCGCGTTTTTTCGATTTTCAAAAAATCATATCTCCGTTCCGGGAAAAGATATTTCTAAGCGGTTTTGTGGTAAATACTCACAAAAATATGCTTTATCAAATGGGTTTGTTAAATTTTTTGCGAAAAATTTTTCCGAGGATATGGGATTTGGTATATCCTGTAGATCCGGATTATCTCGGCCAATTTTCATTTTCATGGAAAATGCAGAAACATGTCAACTGAGATACAAATAGAGCTTTCGATTGCTATATAGAACGTATTTTTTGAATAAGATTGCATAAAATTATGAACAAAAAACAAGTGTGCATAAACATATGCACCGCAGTGTATTTATTAAATTTTCTTTTTTTTTCAATTGAGATTGATCATTTTAGCGATTTTTGAAAAATCCCGCAATCCCGCGCGGGATCCCGCAAATTTAAAATGCGGGATTTTGCGGGAATGCGGGATTTTGCGGGATTTATCCCGCGGGATCCCGTCCCGCAAAGATTTTATAAAAAATTTTATCCCGCGGGATCCCGCAAACACGATTTTGCCGACCTCTAGTACAAATACAAGAGATATAAAATGGATAACAAGACAAATGAGAAAGAAAAGAAAATTTATTGGATAAAAAAATTTGGGTACAAAATTTTGGAAGATTAAAAATTTTAAAAATGGGGAGGAATAGTACTACCAACGACACACAACATGATGGATGACTAGTTTTCGTTCGAAAAAAAACCTCAATAGTTTTTCGAAGAATAACACTTCCAGAAGTTATAGACGGCCCTCCAAATTGTTGTTGTTGTTGTGATGAAGATGCTTGATTATTTCCAATACGTCGATCACTAAATCTTCTTCCAACAGGACTTTTTGAGAGAGAACAGAAAATAATTTTTAAACAAATAAAAATCTTACTCAAAACGCAATGAATTTGACATTTTTCGACACTTTCTGCCTGGTTTCTCTCCACTTTCATCTGTTAAAGTAGAACGAACCAAAGCGCTAAGAGCTCTTCTAGGAGGTGGTGGAGTGTCCTTTCCCGCCAAAACGCGTGAGGAAAGACGTGATGGAGCCAAAGCTATAGCTACAACTGTATCACAACTGGATAATAAAGGGACCAATTCTGTGACGATTGGAGATGAACCAATGAAATTTCCGTCAGTATTATTTTCCAAAAAATGTTGATGAGGACGACCAATAGTAAAACAAGGAGAAAACAAGAATTTAAATTTAGCGAGTCCTCGACGTTTTTCCCAAAGAAAAAAAAGAAAAAAGGGTGTTTAGAAAAATTAAAAAGGAGATGAACAAAAAAAAAGAATAAAATAGAAGCTTAAGCTAGAGAGAAAGAGGCAAGAAGCGAGCCAATCCCAAAAAGAGAAAAACCCCAAGAAACCTCTCAGATTAAAAAAACCAAGAAAAAATCCCTCCTTCAAAATAAACCTGAAATTTTCCATCAATAGTAGTTGTTGAATATCCATCTGTAGTCATAGGTATAGTTGTTCGAGGAGTACTACCACCAGAAGTAATGACAACAATTGATTGGGAAGAATCTTTTCCACACATAAGAGGGGATTGATTTGAAACTAGTCTTCCACTAAAATTTTTTTTAATTTAAAAGTTCAAAAAGTTCCAAAAAATAAACCTGTCTAACGAATTAATTTGTGTAGAAGAAGCCAAATTAGTAGAACAACCACCATTTTGTGCTGCTACTCTTCGAATACTTGCATTTCCATCAAAGTTAGTTGAAGATGAGGATTTTGCTGTTGTTGTTCTTCCTCCAGAATCTGCCCCCACGGGTGCCAACAACTCTTCCATTTCATCGACACACATTTGTTGTAAAGCTTCTTCACGCTTTTCTTGAGCAGAAAGATAGGCTCTGAAGAAAATTTTTTTTTAAATTTTCAAAAAATCCAGAAAAAATTTTTCAAAAAATTTTTTTCTTATTAAAAAATATGAACTTTGGATCAGCCAATGCATCAACAAGTCCACTCAATTCATCTGGAACATAAGTTTTTAATTGTAGATGAACAAATAGAGAAGGAAGAGTTAATGGTTGATTCTACAAAATTAAAAAAAAATTAATTTTAAAATTACAAAATACATTTTCAGTCCGCAAAGAAATATGGCGATAACCAGATTGAAGGCCATCTAAAGGTAGTATCCGCTGAAATTAAAAAAATGAAAAAATTAAATTATGGTGTAGTTGGATAAATTTAGGTTTCCTCCACAAAAGGGATAAAAGTTCGAACCCTTTTGGCAGTAATTAATTTTTATATGAGGGAAAACATAGAAATTAATCAAAACTAAAAGAAAACCCTTCCAAAAAATATTAAAAAAAAATTTTTAAAAAATCAAAAAAAAAACCTGTCCCAATTGTTTTCCACTATCATCATAAACAGCAAAACGCAAAACTGCCAATTCAGGTAAAATGACTTTGCGAAAAACAAAAGGTTCTTCATTGTATACAGGAAATAAGCTGTTGGCAGGGACTAGACGTGAGCGATGTTCTTTTCTAATTGTATCCGTTGGTAATCCATACATTTCGACTTCCTTTAAAAGAAAAATTTTTTAAGACCCTCTCCAATTGTAAGTATTTACCACATAAGTTCCGGCTTTACGTTCACACAAAAATTGACCAGAAATTATCTTTAAAATTGATAAACAATTAAAAAAAATCGATTATAAAAATATACCCTAACAGAACAATGAGCAGCAATTACACCATCTACAGGCGATTCAGAAAAAGGATCAAAAGTTCGGTCTGGACGTCGCATAAAATCGGGTTTGAGTAAATACCTTTAAAATTAAAATTTAAAGATTTTTAAATAAATTTAAAAAATACCCGCATTGATCATTATATTCAAATTTTCCTTGATTTAATTGTATACAAACATCGGGTGTTTGAAAATTTAATGCCGCCATTTGACACCCAGCATTCCAAAAAATCTAAAAAAATTTAAAAAACGATAAAAATCACAAAAATTAAATGAAATTAAAATCGAAAACGGAGAGTTGAGGAATGATCGTAAAAAATCAAGATATCATATTCGAAAAATATCGATCTCAATAACTTAAGAGTTCTGTTCGAGATCTTGACACGATCCAGTTATACCAGTTAAAAAAAAAGAAGGACTTTAAGTGGAGATCATTATCCAATTAAATTAAATAAAAAAAATCTAAAAAAACCTGTGGAAGAAAATTACTAGAATCAACACGAGCACCTTTTGGATATATTCTACTTAATTGCCTTTTATTGTAATTAACCCATTCTGGAGCACATTGCCTTAAAAACAGAAATTTTTTACTTAAAATTTACAAAAATTGAATACTTTATTAAATTCAGCCCAGTACTTTCAGAAAATGAAGACCTTAAAAATAAAAATTTAAAGAATAAAAAAATTCCGAAAAATAAACATGTGAAAATGAAGATTATTTTGTTCAGCAACATCAAATCCAGAAAATTTGACTGGATGTGTATAACACACCAATGAAGACAATAATGGGTGAATGTTGGTTGTAGCACCTTGGTAATAATAACTTTCTTGGACCTAAAAAATAATTTTTAGGGCTAACAAATTTTCAAAAAAAAATTTTTTGAAATTCAAAAATTATTTTCCATATTTTTTTAAGTTTTCACAAAAAATTTCATTTTTGGTGTAGTGGGATAATTTCAGGTTTCCTCTACAAAAGGGATCGGGGTTCGAACCCTTTTGGTGGTAATTAATTTTTAATGTTGGGAAAAATTGAAAATTAGTCAAAATTATGAAAAATACATCCAAAAATAATTTAAAATTTTTTAAAAAACATTTTTCAAAATTTATTGAAAAATAATAATTAAAATTCCTCACCATTTTGATAAGCCGTTCCTCTTCTTCTTTAGACAAAACCGGCTTTAAAAGAAAAAATTAAATAATTTGAATTATTATTAAATTAAAAATTAATAATTCTGAACTTAGGAGAGAGTAAAAAAAGCAAACTTAAAATTTTATGGAAGGTAACCAAAATTTTTTATGAAGAAAATAAAAAAGCGTGCCATTATAAAAATGTAACATAAGAATATTTAAAAAAATAAAATTAAAAAAAACCTAAAAAAAGAAAAGGCCAAAAATAATATAAAAAAAAGCGGCCATGGATGTGGAATAAAAGGAGAGAAAAAGAAAAGCAGCAGAACACACCAATAAAAATTTTCAAATAAAAATTCCAAAATAAATAAATATGAGGGAAATTAAAAAAAAACAAGAAGAAAATGACCAAACTAGAGAACAGACTGATCGAAACTAATCTATAGTAAAACAACAAATAAACAAATACAAAACAACCTTTTGTTTAGCAGGCCTTCTTTCTAACAAACTTCCTCTCTTTCCTCCATGTTGTGTATTAGCATCAACTAAAGCAGCAGCTGTTGAATGATCTGTTCCTCCTCCTCCTCCACTTTGAATACAAGGACGTCGAAAAGAACGTTTTTCACCTCTACCACTAACTAAATGAAGTAAAGAAGATGAGGAAGGGGTTGTTGTTGAAGTTGAAGAATGATGTTGAGAAGAAGAATGACCGCTACCACTATTCCTTTGACGGACAAATTCATGGCCACCAACACCCTCGTTATTTGGACGTTCCTAATTTTTTACTGATATTTTTTGTTGTGAGATTGACAAGAAAAAAATATAGAGAAAGATTAAGAAACAAGAAAGTTGAAAAAAATTTTAAAATGGAAAAAATTTTAAACTAGAAAAAATAGACTAGAATGAAGGAAAGCTATTTCAAAAAATAAAAAATATAAAAAAGAGGTTAATTTTGCATGGTTAGATAAGGCTTAAAAAATAGACCAAAAAAATTTTTAATCTAGCATAAAAACATTCCCCACCCTCTCAAAAAAATTTTTAAAAAATTAAAAAAATCAAAAAACCTGTACTCTCCTGTTAAGCCCCAACGGCTGCTTTAATTTACTAATAATTCCAGGAGGTTGTTGTTGCTGACTACTTGTTGTAGCAACATTAATACGTGCTGTTGACTGTCCACTTGCACAATCTTCAGCTTTTTCAACTTCAAAAAATTTTTCAAAATTAATTTCAAAAAATAAAACCGCTAGCTTCCTTGGAAGATTGTTGTTGTTGATTTTCTATTAAAGCAACAGTAGAATTATGCCTAGAAGGGACATTTGAAAGAGAAGAACGATGTTGTTGCTGCCCACTTCCTCCAAGATTTAATAAATCAAAAGTATTAGAAAGTGAAGCACTTGAGACAGTTGGTCCCAATTTAGATTTTTGATGTTGTTTTTGTTGATTATTGAGTTTTTCATCTTCAAAATGTGATCTTTCTGAGGCTGAAAAAATAAAAAGAATTAAAAAAAAATAAAAATAAAGGAAAGTTACTGGAAAAATTTTTTATAAATGAAGGAAAACAGAGAAAATTGAGACAAAAAAAAAGAAAGACAGAATAAAATCGGGAAATTAAAAATTAAAAAATAAACATTGGCAAGACGTAGTCAAACAAAATTTAAAAAAATAATTTTAAAGGAAAAGACAGAGAAGGGGTTGGGGAAAAGATTAAAGAAAATTTAAGAAAGAGAGGTTAGTCAAAGAAGTTAAGAAAAATTATTTTCAGAAAAAAAAGATTCCAACAGGGGAAAAAACAACAAATAACAACAACAATCACAAAAATTTCAAAAAGACAGAGAGGGGAAACAGAGAAGAAAAAAACTTTTTTTCTCATTTTTTAACAAGCCTCCTCTAGAAGAAGGTCGATCAGACGATCCAATAATTGTAGAAGCTGGTCTCAAATCTCCTTTAAGCCTTGCCAATGTAAGTGCTTGATAAAGTTTAGCCCCCAAACCATCAGGTCTTTTAGACAACAAAAAATCTGTTAGGGAATGACGAGGAGAAGAACTTCCACTGGCACAATGAAGATTTGCAGAAGAACTATAGAAAAAGAACTTCAAAAAAATTTTTCCAAAAAAATACCGAGATGTTCCAATAAACGGACTTAAACGTCCTGAACTTGTTCGTCGATGACGCGGATCGTTGATATTATTTATTGAAGAACGATTACTATTGTTGTTGTTGTTATTTGAAATTTCATCAACCAAAATAGATGCCAAAAGTGCTGATCCTTTTTTTGTATTATTTTTAAAAATGAAGGAGGAGAAAAATAAGAGAGAGAGAGAATAAAGTAGAATTTTAGACACCCAAAAATGAAAATGATGAGAAGAAAAAATATTTAAAATGAAGAGATTTGAAGATTAAAAGATACATTTTTAATAAAAAAAATTAATAAAAAGTTTAAAACATTTTGTAATAAAAATAGAAATCGGTCTGGATCTAAACCCAGATCATTTTCATGGATTCAGAGTTTTTTAAAAGAATTTTTCAGTAATCCTTGATTTTTACTTAACTCAAGGTTAAGAATCTCGGTCAATGTCCTCGATTAATTGGCTAGGGGAAGGTAATGGAATGCCAATTAAAAACAAGAATCAAGATCATAAAAAATTTTCTGCTCTCTACGGAAAATAATTTTTTAAGGAAAAAACGAACGTGGAGAAAGAACCTGTCCACTACCACAACTATCATCAATATTAGTTGTTGTTGTAGTTGTTTCTGCTTCACTTCCAACATTTCCTTTTTGTTCTATTGCAGATTCTGATTGTTCATCTTCTTCATCTAATAACCGTCCTTCTCTTCTAAATTGTTCCATTTGACGTTGTTCATCTTCTGGCTTCAACCTTTTATTTTTAATCAAAATTTTTCTTTTTAATTGGCTAGGGGAAGGTAAAGGAATGCCTGGCTCCAACTTAAAATTAAAAAAAAAGTTTTCGAAAATTTTTCCCAAAAAAACCTCATGTCCTTTAATTGGCCCAGTTAGCAACATTTCATCAAAAATTTCCAAACAATATTTTGCCATTTTTAATTGATTAGATTTTGAGCAATGATTTTCAAAAGAAAGAATTACTGGCCATTCAGAACGCAAAAATGCTGTTTCTTTTATTTGTACAAGCACATCTTTGAAAAAAACGTCTGTACACATTGCTTTTCCTTTAAAATTGAACAGAAAATTGAAAAATTTTCAAAAAAAACCATGTGTAATTATAGGTTCTCCTTTATTTTCTCCAGTTCCATCCCAACAATCTAGTTCGATACATCTGCACCCAGACAGCAAAACTTGACGATAAATTTCTGTTGAACTTTTGCCTCCATATTGACGTCCAGTTAAATAAGTATTGTGAGAACTGTAAATATTTTTTATGAAAAATTTTTCTGGTCTTTTTAAAAATTGTGTTGTTACATAAAAATTTTAAATTCCAAAGGTTTTCAAAATTTCCTTCGGACCGGTTTCGGAGTTCATATCCAAAAAATGACTGAGTTCAGGTATCCTGTCCCATTCCTATCATAAAGACAAATTAATTTTACACCAAACACATCATTAAAGAAAAAATATTCTTCCGGACATTCTTTGTCAGGTGGGATCAAATGTCCCCCTCTTAAATAATTTATAAAATTATAAACCTATTAATAAAATAATGACACAAAGGTTGATCCATATCTTGATGTCGTTCAGTTCTATCAAGAAAAACTGGAGAATTTTCTTCTGACAATAAAAAACGCAAAAATCCATCACCAGACATTTTACCTGAAATTTAAAAAAATTAAAAAAAACTTTAAAAATAAAAAAAAACCTTGTGTAATATAAGATTCATCAGTTTCGTATTTTGCAATGAGTGAGTTAACTCTATCAACATCAAAATTTGGGAAAAGGATTTCATTAAGACGTGGATCTCGTTGTTCATCGTTTAAAAACTTAAAAAAAAAATTTCAAAATATTTCAAAAAATTTAAAAAAACTAACCATCATCAGCCTTTCTCTTGTCAAATATTCTTTTTGTCCAGACCTAAAAAATTAAAAAAAAATTTTTTTATTTTACAAAAAACCATACAATTTAACAAAAAGTTCTTGAATATCTGTCCGTGGGCTAATTTTGTGGTAGAGACGAAGAAATTTGTCAAAAGTGAAAAGAACGACATCCAGGTCTTCACGCTCCTAAAAAAGAATTGACAAAAATTAATTAGGACCTTAAAAATTTTTTTCTTCCTTAAAATTAACAAAGATCAGCTTACAACCACAGCAATTTTAAAAAATAAAAAAACCACACAAAAAACAGCAACAAACCTTTCCTCCATGTTTAACACGTCTAGCATCTTCCCTTTCCACAGAAGTCCCATATTGATAAAAACTTGAAATTTTACGGGCCAAAAATCCTTTTTTGTGTCGATAGGACTTGTTATTGTTGTTTTTCCCATTGTATTCAACCAATTTTCTTTCCTTGTGTAGCAACGGACATTTATTCTTCCTAGAATTGGAACACATTGGAGAGTCTGTAGAACAGGAAAAAATTTGTTCAAATGAAGCTTGACAAAGACTAAATGATGATGACGAATTTGTTAAACCACAACAGGAAGGCCAAAACACAAAACAAAATTTATTATTATTAAAAAAAGGAACAAAAAAAGTCCGCAAATTTTGTCCTCAAGCTACAAAAAATTTTTATTTTTAAAAAATTAAATAGAGCATGGGGTCATTTAATAGTAGCAGTTTCCAGCTCGAATAAGAATGTGATTCAAAGGCAAAGACAAGAGGTCATTTTATGGTGGGCCAGTTACGGATAGTACAATTATATTCTACTAGAGGTATGAACTGCAGAAATTAAAATTTGCCGACTTTTTGGAAGGATAAAAAATAACAAACCAAACACTTAAAAAACACAAAAAAACTCAAACAAATAGACAAAAACAAAAAAATTAAAAACTTTTCTCACCTTATCGCCAGAAAGTCCCAAATCAGCAAGGCACTTATGCACCATTTTTTCAGGTTTTCCACTAGCAAAGGTACGAACTACGTTTCTTAGAGGAATACGTCCTCTTTCATTTGTTGATAAACAAAGATAGCGCCAACTTAAAAAAATTTTTTAGAAAATTTAAGGCAAAATAAAACAAACTGTTTTTGAAGGCATTGCATGGGACAGGCAAAACGAATTTTATAGGTCCTCAAAAATTCATTAATTGATTCTCGCCAAGTCTAAAATTTAAAATAAAATTCAAAAAATATTTAAATAAAAACCTTTGCAATTTGTGAAGTGGCAGCAACAAAGTAGAGATTATTGACTATAACCTGTAAAAAATTGAAAAAATTTTCCCGTTAAAAATTTTATAAAAAAAAGACAAGAATAACATAAAAATGAGGCAAAGATGGGGAAAATTGGTGAAAAAGTCAGGTCGGATTTCGGATCAAAAGTCAGTGTTACGGGTAACCTCCCGTGTCCAGCACCGATCCATGAGGATTAAAGAGAAGGCTATAACTTCGTCCCGACCTTTCCATTTCAAAAATCGAAAAGTAAAATTTCTTGTAGAGGAATCCCAGCTTTAATTTTTTGGCCTCTTCCCCGAAAAAATTTTTCTCATAAAATCCACAGAAATCAAAAGAAAAATACCAAATCCTGTCCATAAGTTAACCAAACTATTCTAGAATCCAAAGGATCTAAACTGACTACATTTTGAGTTAATTTTGCACGTTGTTCCAATTCTGCTACAATACGCAAATCTTTGATGTTTCCACCAGTTGGTCTTGCCTCCCAAAGCTAAATTGAGAAATTTATTTTAGCTTTCAATTAGTGCAAAAAACGGCAAGCATTTGCGGACAACTACAAAAAACATTCAAGAAAAGTTTCACTTCTGGAGACACATGGAAAAAGGACAAAATTATGAGATTAAAGAATGGCACTGGACACGAACCAGCCGATTTTCTGTAGGACCCACAATTAACTATAAATTTCGGGTTGTCCGCAAATATGTTTTACGCAAGAAATTATAAAAATGATATTTCCGAATACCCCAATTTTTAAAAATATTTTAATAAAAGTTAATTCCAATTAAAAAACCTGTGCCAAATCCAACACCCCAGCTTCTTTTCCTCTAGCCTCCCAAACAAGAAAAAAACCATATTCATCTACTCGAAGAAGACATCCAAAATCTATGCTGCTGCTTTCCTAAAATTAATTTCTTAAAATTTCAATCAAAACTCCAAACCTCATCATATCTATCAAACAAATCTCCTTTAAGTAACACATCTGGAACGCCAATTTTATGTCTCCAGCTCCAATGATCTTTTTCTTTTAACGTCATTTTATGTTATTAAATATACCCGTTTGTTGTTGTTGTTGTTAAGAGATTTTAAAAATTAAAATAGAAGATTTTTTGTTGTTGTTAAAGGAATGAAAAAAAAATTAAAAAAATATTTTTAGAAATTTAATTAAAGTGAAGAAATCTGAAAAAAATTAAGGAGACAAATATATATGGGAATGGAGGAGATATTTCAATGTACGAATAACTACTCAACCAGTTTACCGATCTATTTACATATGGCCATTGGTCTTGGATAAGCAAAAAGTTATTTTTGTCACCCTAATTCCGATATGTTTTCTTCCCTTATGTCCCCACTCATTTGTCTCCATTCCACAAAAAATTTAAAAATTTAAAATAAACTCTTAAAAGTTTGTTTAAAAAAATTTAAAAAATCGATTTCCTCGAAAAATGCGAACAAAACAAACATAACAAGAAAAAACATTTTTTGAGGGAGATTGATGAAAGAAAATAAAATTGGCAACAAAAGAAAAAAGGAAGATTAAAAAAAGGACGAGAGTGTGGGGGAGAAAAAAGAAAGAAAATTGGTTTAAATTACTAGTGAAAAAATAAATTGCGTGTATATTTTTTACATAAAAAATATTGAAAAAATATTAGGAACACAAAGTTTTTATTAAAAAATACTCGAGAGAAGAGCGTAAAATATCCTTAAGAAAATATTAAATAAAAATAAATTCTCGTTATTTCTAATGTTTTAAAAAATAAATTAAATTTTTCAAAGATAAGAGGGAAATAAGGAAAAATCCATTAGAACCAGTGAAAAACCCCAAAAAAATCACAAAAATTTTTCAAAGAAACATGCCTGAAAAATAAAAATTTTGCTTTATAGCCCCAAAAACGTTCCTCCCTCCTAAAATCTAAACAAAAAATGCTGAATAATAACAAATATTTTTTTATTTATTTTTACATTACTCTAAATAGAAGAAAAAAGAATATAATAGAAGTTGAAGTTAAATGATCATTTTGTGGAGGGGAAAAAATCCAAAAGAACAAAATCGATAAAAGAAAAAATAATAAATTTTTTTAAACTTGGTCAAACATTAAAAATTATTTTTCTAATAAAGTTCCCAAAATTTATTGTTCTTTCAGAAAATTTATCTTTTTTAAAAGTTTAATCTTCTCAAAAAAGGAAGTAAAAAAAGAATAAAATATAGACAAACATCCATATTAGAAGAGAAAAAAAATTTATGGGCCCAGTTTTCTATGCTAGCTAAGGAGAAAAAAAAATTTTTTAGGAGGTTAAATAGGAATGGAGCTCTACAGCTACAAACATACAAGCATAAATGAAAAAACTCTCTCTAATATTCACGCATTCTCAACCGCTTACTCAACATATAAGCGTGGATATTAAAAGAAAAGAAGAAAAATATAAATAAAATATTGGCCATAAAAGGTTGAAGGGACAGAAAGACGCGCGTTAAACAAAAATGCAATTACGCTTGAAGGCAAATTTTCATGACGAGAAAGCGGCAAGCATTTTATAAAATGAAAAAAAGCCTTTCTCGCTAAAAAATGCTTGTCGATAAATATTCACAAAAAAGAGGAAGGAAAACTAGAAGAAAATGACAAAAAAAATATATAAATGGACCTTGTTTGAAGAAAAAAGAAAGGCGGCAATTTGTTTTTAGTTGTTGTTTAGTAGTACATTGGCTGTCTCTCGATATTGAACATATATTTAAATTAAATTCTTTATTTTGCCTGAAAATTAGAAAAAAAAGTTGTAGAAACTTGAAGAAATTTTAAAAAAAATTTAAGGAAAAATTGAAAAAAAAATTAGAAAAATTTTGTATGCCAAACGAAGTTGACATTTTGAAATTCTAAACATTAGTCGACATTTTGATATTTAATTAATAAAATAATTTCAAAGTGTCAACTTACAAATAATCTAATTTATAAAATACCCAAAATTTGGTCAAACGAAATTTTAACTTGTAGTTGACATTTTGAAATTAAAAAAGAAAAAAACTTCAAAATATCAACAAGACGGCAAATATCAACTAATCGAAAAAGTTTTAAAGGCAAAAAAACAAAAATAATTTGCGATTAATCCAACGCATTTTTTAAAATCAATTTAAAACAAAATTAATTTTTATCGATATTCACATATAATTTATATTAAAAATTTAAAACAGAAAAAAAAGATTAGAAAGAAAAAATAATAGAATATTTTAATTGTCAAAAATCATCACAACCTATTTTCTTTGTTTTCAATTATTTATTACGCTTTCCACTTCCACCCATTCCACCTAATCCTCCCATTCCGCCACCACCACCACCTACTTGTTTCATCCTAAAAAAAAATTTTTTTTAAAACAAAATTTAAAGGGATCAAATGTCTAATCCTCTTTTAATGACCAAAGTCTCTCTTTAGTGGTGGCCACTAACCCCCATCAAAAATTTGAAAAAAAATTTCTTAAAGCCAAATTTCTTCAAAAGAATTATCCCAATTCTAAACTTATTAAAATTCTTTTCTAAATTCTCTAAACAATACCTCCTCCTTCCCCCCAAAAATTCTTCATAAAAAATTCAAACAAACTCTAAATATAAACACATACATATTTTGTAACCCAGCTAATCCACCCATTTGTTGAAGAACTCTAGGATCCATTATTTTTGCCATTTGTTGATTTAATTTTGTCATTTGATTTGGATTTATATTTTTTGGATTCATCTCATTTCCCTTTAAATTTTCTTATAAAAATTTCAAAAAAAATCCAAAAAAACCTTAAAAAGTCCTTTCATACTTCCCATTTTTTTAACCATATCAGCAAATTTTTTATATTGTGATAACAATTCCTTTACTTCATTTATATTTGTACCACTTCCTTTTGATACACGAATTAATCTGCTAGGTTCTTTTGTAAATAAATCATTAGCTTTTGGATGATCAAGTTCTGAAAAAAATTGGGAAACTTTTTTTCTTTAGTTAAAAAATAACAACTGGGTAGGAATGGTTGGTAAACCCATCAACTTGGTAACTCTATTAGGCCAAGCTAAAAAATACTTTATTTCCCACAATTACTGAAAAAGGGTCCTCGCCGGAATTCCCTAGAGGTTGGAAATAAATCAGTTAAAAAAGGGAGTCAACTTGGATTCTGCGAAACCAGGAAAAAAAGCATCCCCTTCCCTATTATCCCTCAAAAAAATATAAAGAAAAAACCTCCATCAGCCATCGAATCCATTATTGTCATCAATTTTTTCAATCTTGCCATAGATTCTTGTTCATTGCCTTTTGAAAGAAAATCTGAACCAAATCCTGGGATCATACTCTAAAAATTCAAAAAAAAAATTTAAAATTAAATTTAAAAAAACCATAATTTGACCAAACGGTCCCATTTTCATTATATTTTGGAATTGTTCATACATATCCCTCAGAGTGAATTGACCTAAACAAACAAAAAAATTAAAATTTGCCAATTTTTGGCTATTTCGGCGCTGACTCCCAAATCGGTCCTGACGCCCTCCCCCAATCTCGTGGGACTAAAATAGTGAGGGACGGGGGCGTCCTAAAAAGACTATAAAATTCAAAACCTTGTTTAAGCCTCTTTATAAGTTCTTCATTATCCTCCAACCCCATTTCTGAAACTTTTTCAACGAGTCCTTGAATGTCTCCCATTCCTAACTTTAATTAAAAAAAAATTTTTTTTAATTAAAAAAAAATTCCAAACCAATTTTTGCAAAAAAGGTTTAACTTTAAAAAGTTCAAAATCATCTATATGCTCTCCTGTTCCAATAAAAATAATAGAAGAATGGGTTGTTGCGACACTTAAAAAAACTTATTTAATTACAAAATTTTTTCCCTTTCTTACGCTGAGAGAGCACCACCACCTTTTGCATGTCCATCCAATTTTGTAATTATAACAGAACCAATATCTACACAATTTTTGAATGCGCGAGCTTGTGCCTCACAAGCCTAAAATGTTTTGATTTTTTAAATTAAATTTTTAACTAGACTATAGGTCGGCATCAAGGATGGGTCCCTCCTGCGTTTAAAAATGTCGGTGGAAGGGTCCAAAAAAAAGAGGAAAATTCTGTGAAATCGAAAGAATGTTCACGCTCACGCTGAATTTTTTGGAAAAAAATTTTAAGAAAAATAATCCCACAAAACGATATTGCCTACCTCTAATTTTAACTAAAAAAAGAATAAACCTGTCCGATAGATGCATCCATTACGAAAATAACATTATCAGGTTTCTAAAAAATTTTTAAATTAAAAAAATTTCAAAAAATTTTTAAATTCTTTGGTTTAGTGGGAAAGTTTTGTGTTTTCTTCCTTTGAAGCCGTGGGTTCGAACCCCATCATTGAAAATTTTTTAGTTTTAAATCTTTAGACTAATAGAAAACCGACTTTTATTTAATTTTGAAAAATTTCAAAAATTTAAAAAATAAAAACAAACTATAGCATTTGAAACTTGCAACATTTCTTCAAATAAAGCCGCCTCTTGTTTATGCCTTCCAGAAGTATCGACTACAATTAATTCAAAACCATCACGCTTAAATTTTTCTACACCATTTGCTGCAATAATAACTGGGTCAACTTCTGAGTAACTAAAGAAATATTTTTTAAAAATTGTGAAATCTTCAGATTAACTATGGCAGATCTGGTCCAGACACTAAAAGCTTAACTTATGCCCTCGACCCATGGCAAAAATCTAACCCTTCCTCACCACGAAATCCGACTTCAGACATCCTCGACAAATTGTAAAACAGAGGCCTTTTTTCTTTTCTTTTCAAAAAATATTTTACAAATACAAACCTTCCATAAAAAGGTATCCTCGCTTTTGTAGCATTTTGTTTTAACTGATCAAAAGCACCAGCACGAAAAGTATCAGCACAAACCAGACATGTTTTCCAACCCTTCTTTTGATAGTAATAGGCCATCTGAATTTAAAAAATTTTTTAAATTAATTTTAAAAATGGGAAAAACAACTCATAGAGGAGAATGATAGGGAAAATTTTCAACTTTTTTTTTTCAAAATTCAACGAAAATTGCCCTAATGCTTTACCATCTCAAAGGAAATAAATTCCCCAAAAAATTTTCGGCACTTTATAAATTTAACTTCAAACCTTTGTACAAGTTGTAGTCTTTCCAGCACCTTGAAGTCCTACGAACATTATAACATTTGCCTTCCCTTTGACTGGCTGATATGGAGCAACACCAGGATCAACTTTAAAAATTTTTTTAAAAGAAAAAAATTAAAAACAAAACCTAATTTCAATAATTCTTGGAAGACTGACCGCTGAATAAGACGTCTTTTATTTACACCACCAGCCATTTCTTCAAAATCTATGGCTTTCCTAAAAGTTTAAAAAACAAATTTTCAATAGAAAAAATTAACAAACCTTACACTCTCTCGTAATTGTTTGACTAACCGAACATTTACATCTGACTCAATTAGAGCTGAACAAACCTCCTATAAATTTATTTTTAATTAAAATAAAAGCAGGAATCTCAGGAATCTGAGATATTTAAATAGTTTCGGGCTGGAACAGGGATGGACTCGAAACACGATCTTTTCTCGATTGAAGAAAAATTTGAAAACCAGACCCTACTTTTTTCTGAACTCGGCTAATGGTCTGGACTTGTTGACCCAATTGCTACTTTTTTGGCGCGCCGAAATTTGCGGATTTTAATTTGCGGACCCGAAATTTGCGGACCCGAACTTTGCGGACCCGAATTTTGCGGACCCGAACTATGCGGACCCGAATTTTGCGGATCTGAGATTTGCGGACCAAAAATTTGCGGACCGACAATAGAGTCTACTGAACCTCGGAAATTTCAAAAATTTTAGCCTGCGGCGTTAATTAGGATGAATTCAGGCATCATGACCTTATGAGATGGCCATATAAATGATTTTTTTCAAGGAATTTTCTCGATTATTTAAATTATGAAATAATTTTAAGATAAAAAATTGATAAAAATTTTGAAAAATCAAGAAAAATCTTGATCTGGTACAGATCATGGTAAACTCTGCCGGGATCATCGAAAAATAAAATTTTTAATTTTTTCTTTTTACTCAAGTGTCGGTCCTAAAATTTTGATTCCGCAAAAATCAGGTCCGCAAACTTCGAGTCCGCAACCTTCGGGTCCGCAACTTTCGTTCCGCAAATTTCGGGTCCGCAAAGTTCGGGTCCGCAAAATTCGAGTCCGCAAAGTTCGCGCCACGTACTTTTTTATGTAAGAGGAATCCAGACCGAAGACCTACGTTAAAAAATGTCTGGCCTTGGTTTATTGACCTGGGTCTAATAGTACACCGTCCGAAAAAACCCAGAAAGCTAAAAATTCTTTGGGCACAGGTTCTTAGTGACACAGTAATAATACAAATCCCATCCTAACGTGCCAGATTTTTAAGAGAATAAATTCCCCAGAAAATAATTTGAACAAACCTTTAACATTGCATTTAATTCCTCCTCATTTATAACCGTTGCTTGTCCAAGTTTTCCAATAGCATTTCTTATACGTCGACCCAAGTCGGCCAAAACCATTTTTTACTTCTCGTTTGCGATTTTTTTAATTCTGAAAAAATCTGTAGAAAATTTAAAATTATTTAGAAAATCAAACTTAATTATAAAAATATTTAAAAATGATTATTAAACATCAAAAATAACAAAAAACAAAAATATAAAACTTTAATAAATACAGAAAAGTCAGATAGGTATGAATAATCTTAAGAGTTGAACATGTTTATAGACAAAATAAAGAATTACCATTTTTTTTAGAGTAGAATTGAATTTTTATTTATTAAAATTAAACCGACTAAAATTATTACGAAAATAAGTCACAACGTCCCCATATTCAATCAAATAATGATAAAAGACATTAATAGTCACAGAGGGGAGTTGCCATGTTTTCCAGAGATACTGCTCCTTTAGGCCTGTGTCTCCACAATTAACAGGGTTAAATCCGCCTCTGTAACAGTTAATGTGTTTTTTATCATTGTTTGATTGAATGTGATGACATTGTGGCTTATTTTAGGGAATAATTTTAAAAGGTACTACCCGTTAAAGTCAACTCTAAAGAAGAAAAAGCAAAAAAAAAAGAACAACCTAATTAAAAAACCCATTTTAACGAATTTTCTTCTTCTTCATTTCTTCCTCAAGTTTTGTAGTTGAACGAGAATACCAAATCATTTGAACAAAAATAATTCCATTCAAAATTGAAGCCAAAATAAATGGGGCCAAAATTAACCAATCTTTATTTGTTTCTTGAATACTTGTAAAAACTCTAGCACAACATCCAGCAAATTGCATAAAGACAGAAATTAAAGAAAGTTGTCCAGTTCCTTTTTGGGAATAATTTGCATAAATTTGAATAGCCTTGAAAAAAAATTTTTTTATAATGTTTGTTTTACACATAATAAGAGAAAAATTTTATAACTTATGAGCCTTATTCTTATTCTTTTTCTATTTCCCCTTCCATGACTAGATGAGTTTATTAGACTTCCTCATGGAAAAAAAAATAAGTCGAAATGTATAGACAGGATAGATATCCTATTGAAACAACTCCACAAAATTTTAAGTTTCCAAAGGTAATGGGAAAAAAAAGAAACAGGATAAGCCGATCGAAAGAAAAATTTTGGAAACAAGCCTCACAGTCCGATCCCAACTTTTTCTCAAGCCGACCCAATAAAAGGCCTCCAAAAAAAGTCCAAAATTCCATATAACCGGTCCGGAAAGAATTTCCGTTCCAAATTCACATACAAAAAATTTAAACCTTTGAAATAAAAGTAATTGGCAGTGTTGCTGTTTGAAAAGCATTCAAAATTTTAATAGGCACAAAATGGTAAACAACAGACAGCACACCAGCAAAATAGAATAATCCAAAAAGGAAAGCATTGAAGGCACCAGAATTAGAATAATACAAAATTTGCATTATTATTAAAACTGTTTGTAAACCAACAAAGAAAGAATCGCCCCATTGACTAAAAATTAAAAAAAAATTTTTTGCGGAAAAATAAAGATCCGCAAATTTTTTTGCGGACAAAAAAAATTTTTGCGGACAAATCCGAAACTTACCCAAAAATGAATTTCTTCTCATAGCTATAGGCAGCAACAGCAGAACCTTAAAAAAAATTTTTACTCGAAAAATTTAAAAACAAACATGAAACAAGTCCAAAAAGTTGTGAAGCCAGAGAAATTCCTTCAGCAGATTTTGCTTGGTATATTTTCAAAATTTGGGGCACAAATAATAAACAAGAGCCAACAGTTATTCCAACACCAAGGAGTCGACTTATTAAAAGAGGAAGACAATTACCTTTAAAAAAAAATAAAATGTCTAGTAAAAATCTTACATTAGCCCAGAAATGGGTCCACCCTAAGTTTCCCTCTTCAAACAGTTAAAGTTGGTCAAAATCTAAAAAAAACCTAGGCAAATTAGCCTGCCTCCTTATAAAATTGATTAATCGTTGAAAAAAACGAAAGACACATGTAAAACTAGAGTGGAGTTTCCACAGGTTTAAATTCAAGTTCACTAGTTTAACAAGCAGAAATGTTAACGATTACTTAATCATAAAAAGGGGGAAATACCCGAACCCTAATTTCAAGCAAAAAGACCAAATAAAGGAAAAATAAAGAAAAAAACCTTCAAAAAAGTTAAAAGCCAAAAATTCATCAAAACATTTTCCAGGCAGAAAATAATCCAAAAAGTTTTTGACAAGTTTGTTTACATCCACCTTCATTTTATAAAGCTAGAAAAAGAACATTTAATAAAAAAATAAATTTAAACAGATAAAATTGCAATTTAAAATGCTTCCAAATAACACCAACCAAAATTTAAATATAACACTTTTTATGCAAAGAAAAACAGATACATATATTTTGCGAGATCAAAAAAATTGAATATATTTGTCATTGTATTTTTTTGGCAAATTTAATTATTTTTAATAATAGGATGCAATTGGTTAAATTTTATAAGATTCCTTTTTTTCCCTTCTGTCATACTCCTTCTCCTTTTTAGGTCTGAGGCCTAACTCTCCCATTTAAAAATTATGAGAGGCAGCAGCAGAAGGACTACTGCTTAAAGCTCCCCAACTGCCAACACCTCGACTTAGAGCTGACTAAAATTAAAAATTTGAAAAAAATAATTTTTTATAAAGAAAAACATTTCTTAGAGGCCATCTTGCAGCAGTTGCTTTTGCCATTTTATTCTTGTTTTTTTTCTTTTTTGCTTCTTCTCGCTGCGTGTCCTTGCGAGCAGGTTTTTTTCTCGTTTATTTCGAAATTAAAATTAAAAAATTTTTATAAAAATTATGAATGTTACTTCATATACTACAAAAACCTGCTCGCAAGGACACGCAGCGAGAAGAAGCAAAAAAGAAAAAAACAAGAACAAAACGGCAAAAGCAACTGCTGCAAGATGGCCTCTAAGAAATGTTTTTCTTTATAAAAAATTATTTTTTTTTCAAATTTTTAAAATAAAATAAGCAATGGAGCTTCTGAGGCTAAAGTTTATTTTACCTTAAAAGCTGAAAGTCAATTCTGACATTCCTTAAGACAATTTAGGAAATCCCAGCATTTAACAAAAAGGAATCAAAGAGATTTACCCAAATATAACCAATTGCAAAGGCACGCATAAACAAAATATATAAGGTCAAATTCTCTTAAAATAACATTTTTTCTATATTATAATACTTTGGCAACCATAGAAAGTTTTAATCAAAGTTTACTGATTTTGAGAAAGTGTACGCTCTCGCTCCGGTTTGCGCTTCTGCGGCTCTTCAGCATCCCCACGTGGCGGAATAACAATATGAGGCTTGACAGTTGATCCAGTTCGAGCAGAACTTTCTTTGTGAGCTTCAAAACGAATTGTCTCGCTATCAGGAAGACCAAGCTTGGCTTTGAGAATATAACCTTAAAAAATAAAAATAAAATTTTTAAAAAGAAAAAATTTAAAGGTCAAACCCGGATCAATCCTAGTTTCAGTAGACAGGTCCAAAAAAAAAAGTTAATTGCAAATTTACAAATTGTAAGCAAAATTAGGTCAAGAATATCAGTCAAGAAAACACCCTTTTTCAATTCATTTGAGGGGCCATGAGTTCGAGTCCTCCTGGGAAAACTATTTTTTAATTTCGTTGAAAAAGGAGAATTAGAACCTATGACAATTCAATTTCTCAATTTACCTCGAAAAAGTTTAAGAGCTTACAATTAATTTAAAATTTATTTGAGGGGTCATGGGTTCGAGTCCGCTCATAGAAATGCTTTTTAAAATTTTCTTAAAAATCAGAATTTAGCCAAGACTTCGCAATTTCCCCTCAAAAAATTAACAAAAAAAAATACCAATACGAATGTTGACATCGTCAAGATTAGAATCTCTAGTCCACAAAGCAACTTTATCACCCTTTTGACGAACATTAACAACAACACCGCAAATATAAGTTCCCAATTCCTCAAATTGTTCTCCAATAACAGCCATCATTACTTCCATCCAATATTTGTCCAATTTGTATTGGCGGCTTTGTTTGTCAACCTTTTAAAAAAGAAAAAAAGTAAAGACTCAAAAATCATTAAAAAACCTGAACAAGCCAACGACCACCGTTAATATTGTTAGGATCTTCCCACATTGGCTTAATTCCTTCTTTGAAGAGATAATAGTCACTAGACCATCCAAGACCGGTAGCAGGTTGAATGTGGTTGTAGAGACTTGAAAGGAAAGAAGAAATGAAGTAAATGTCCTAATAGACGCCCATGCTCCAATAGAAGCCCACATAATGAGACCGATGAAAAATAAAAGCCCAGGGCGTCTATTAGAACAATTAGTATCAAACCCCCAATAAAATCCAAAAACTCACGCCCAAAAATCCTCAACAGTGTCAAAAGCAGAAACTTGTTTAAGACACTTTTCCCAATCTTTAGAACGATCTCCTTTCAAATACCAAAGAGCCCAGCGATTTTGCAATGGATGGCGAACAGCAAATTCTGAAGGAATTTCAGGTTCTTGTTGTCCCATTTTTTATTTGGTAGAGAGGTTTTTAAAAGAATATTTAAAGAAATTTGAATATATCTAAAAGTTAATAGGGAAATAAATTTATAAAAATAAATGGAAGAACGAAAAGGAACGAAAGGTAAGGACCCGAAAGTGGCGTTTTAGACCACATAGCGGTTTAAAATGACACAAAACAAAAGTTCAATTGCGTATACCACTGTGTAATGACTATTGTAGTTTAGGAAATCCCCTTAAAAGCGAAAACAGATTTACACTTAATCCAAAAACAATGCTCAAACTTAAACAACAAACAAAACAATTGAATAAAAAAGTCTTTAAATAGTAAAGATTTTTTACTCTCCTTCTCTGCAATACACTATTTCTTTGCAACGAATTTTAAAACGAAATGTCATTCTGGTAAAATTTAATTAACCAAATTTATAGTTTGCCAAAACGACTATTAGAGTCTAGGCTGAGATAAGCGACTACTTTTCTTTAGCTTCGCGTTTCGGCAAAAATATTTCAGTTTCGCCTTCGTTTTGTTAACTTTATTGGCGTGCGGCTTTGGTCTATACCTGCCAAAATTATAAAAATTGATAAAAAAAATATTTTGATAAAAAAATATTTAAAAATATTTAAGGAAATATTTGTAAGAAATCAAATAAAAAATATATGTTTTTTAAATACAACGTAGAAAAAACAAATAAAAAATATGTAGTGTTTATATATTTTATTTTAATATTAAAATTAAACATTTGTTTTTGTTAGAGAACAATCACTTCGTCTTTAGAACGCCCATAAGGAAGAGGCATGTCGAAAATTATTGGATCGTATTCTGTCCGTAACTAGAAGAAATTTAAAAATTTTTTTTGAAATTTCTTGGTAAATTAGGCATTTAAAAAATTAATAATAAAATTAACAAAAATTTTTTTTTAAATATAAAAAAAATTTTTTTTAACCTTATGATCACACGTTGATGCATTGATAAATGTTGTAACTCCTTTAAAAATAAATATTTGGGGTAAAATAATTTTTTGTAAAATAGTAAAAAGATAAATTAATTTTTTAAAAATTAAAATTTCAATTAAAAAAATTAATTTTAATTTATTTACCATTTGTCGTGCAACCGTGTTGTTGATGAATGTGCCCAAAAACATGATACCTTTAAAAAATAATTTTTAAAAAATTCAAAAAAAAAAATAAAGAAAACTCACTTTGGCTTAACGCGGTATTCTACTGTATTTAACAACTCTAAAAAATTACAAAATAATTTTATAAAATTATAAATAATTTAAAAAATACCGGCACATCCAGCCAACATCCCACCAAGCTAATTAATTAATAAATACAATTATTAAATTAACAATTTTCAAACAACTCACTTTTGTCCAAGCATTAAAATCACCGTGACCTATAAATTAAATTAATAATTTGTAAAATGTTTGTAAAATTTTTACAAATTCTATATATGTTTTTACACATGTTTTACAAATTAAACGTGTTTTACAAAAGAAAATTCCGCCTAATTTACAAATTGTAAAATATACGTCAATAATTCCGCCTGTTTTACAACGCATACTTTTACTACTTTAAAACTCACTTATAAATAAATATATTTTACAAAATACCTTCCGGAAACATTTTCCGGAAAAAAATTTAAATTATTACAAATTGTAGATAATAAAATATAATTCCGCCTGTTTTACAATTTAAATATTATTTCCGGAAAATTTCCTTTTAATTATTTTTTAAATAAATTACCCAACGGCGGTGTGTGAGTAATTAAAACATCTGTCTTGTTGGGAATTTGATTCCATTTTTGTAATAATGCCTGGCCCCTTTGCCTGTAAAATGAATAACCAGGCATTGGATGCCAAGGAGCACCGTAGATTTTGATGCCATAAACCTTAAAAAATAAAATTAATAATTGTGATTATTTTACAAATTGTAAATTTTGAAAAATACAACATGTTTTACGAAAGAATGATTTTTTGGTTGTTTTCCGGAAATAGAAAAAACCTTGTTTTGTTTTCCTGTTGATATTACAATTTGTAAAATATTTTCCGGAAAAGATTAAATTAATTTTACAATTTATAGAACATTTTCCGGAAGAGGTAAAATTGATTTTACAATTTGTAAAACAACTTTCCGGAACAGGCAAAATTAATTTTACAAATTGTAAAATATTTTCCGGAAAGAATAAAATTGATATTACAAATTGTAAAATAACTTTCCGGAAAGATAAAATTGATTTTACAAATTGTAAAAATTTTCCGGAAGAGATAAACTTAATTTTACAATTTGTAAAACACTTTCCGGAAAAAATAAAATTAATTTTACAATTTGTAAAACATTTTCCGGAAAAAAATAAAATTGATTTTACAATTTGTAAAACATTTTCCGGAAAGAATAAATTAATTTTACAAATTGTAAAACAACTTTCCGGAAAGTATAAATTAATTTTACAAATTGTAAAACACTTTCCGGAAGGAACAAATTCCGCCTGTTTTGCAAAAAAATTAACTTTTATTGTTTTCCAGAAAACAATAAACTTATTACAAATTGTAAAAGTATTTAAAACCTCGATCAGTCGATCGCAAAGGTAAATACAATTTGTAAGTAATTCATAAGCCTTTCCAATACCCAACATTGAAAGTCCCGCTAACTGTCTATCGCTCATTTCCTCCCCATCTTCAAATCCCAATTCGTGATTTCCAGCAATAACAATTTTTACTTTATGGGGTAATTTGCCTTTAAAAATTATTTTTTAAAAAAATTTACAAATTAAAACTACCAATTTGTTGATTAAATTTAATTACAGCGCTAACATCCCCTAAAGAATAAAATTAATTAAAATTAATTTTAAATACCAACCAGCTTCAGTAAAATCACCGGCATGAATGAGAACGTCCCTAAAATATTTATTTTTAATATTTTATTCATTTAAATTACCCATCCGGAATTAAATCTAAAACTTCGTCCATCTTTTCGTGGGTGTCTGAAATACATACGAATCTGACCTAAAATTAAATTTAAAAAATAAAAATTAAACAATAAACCTTGTCTGGGTGGATAGGCGTATCCAATCTGTTAATTTTAGATTATTAAAAAATTATCTAAGTAATTAATCCGCTTACCGAAGTACTTTTGCAGGCTCACAAGTACGTCCCTAAAATATCAAATATTAATTACAAATTGTAAAATAATTTCCGGAAAAAAATTAATTTACAAATGTTTTCCGGAAAGATTAAAATTAATTTTACAAATTGTAAAATAATTTCCGGAAAGGATAGAGATAATTTACATTTTGTAAAAATTTTCCGGAAAGAATAGAATTAATTTTACAAATTGTAAAAAAGTTTCCGGAAGAATGTAAAATATTTACATTTTGTAAAACACCTTCCGGAAAAAACAAAATTAATTTTACAAATTGTAAAAAATTTTCCGGAAGAATTGTAAAATAATTCTACCTGTCTCAAATATTTCTTCCAAAGCTCAACAGGTCTGTGTGACATTCTATTAAAAAAATATTTTTTAAACATTCTAAAAATTTTAATATACGGATCTGCGCGAATAATTCCATTTTCAAAAGCCATTTTATCCAATTGTTAAATATTTCTTTAAATTATTATTAGAATATTTTATTGTTGTTTCCTTTGCCAGAAGAATTAGTTGATAATTTTAATAGTTATTTTATTTACAATTAGGTTGATATTATTAATTTTAAGATTACAATCTAAAAATTCTTATTATATTAATTTATTCTGATTTGTAATTTAAATTTAAAGCTCTGACTTTTTAATTAAAAATTCTGATTTTTTTTAATTACAAATTCTGATTTTTTTAAACTACAAATTCTGATAATATGCTGATTTTTAAATAAAAATTCCGATTCCCTAAATTACAATATGTAATATTCTGATTTTGAAATTACAATTATTTAATTCTGATTATAATTTAATAGTAGCAGACTTGAGTAGAAAACTAAAAGAAAATATGTAAAAGAAATAACAATCCTCCCTTTAATAACAACCTTGTGTGTTTGGCCGTGATCTCAACACAAAGTTTGCAATCTTTTGCTTATGGTCTTTAAAATGTTATTTAATAAACGTTTTAAAAATATGTGAACAATATTATGTGTAAATGAAAAATGTGTTTTTATTTTTTTATTGTATAGGAAAATATAGACGATGATTGAAGAGAAGGGGGTTTAATACAGTTAAATGAATAATAAAAAAATATTATGAAATTTAATTGAAGTGAAAAAAATTAGTAATTAATTAGCAGAAACTAAAAATAAAAAAATACAAATACAATATCTGTATATCAAAATAAAAATCAGAATAAAAATCAGAATATTCAGAAACCAGAATTACAACAAGTTTATATAACAAATTCACGTTGTAAACTTGAGTGTACAAATTAAAACTTGAATTATTAAAAAAATTAAAACTTGAAACTTGAGATTTGTAATTATTAAAACTTAAAAGTACAAAACTTAAGTTTACAACTATATTTCAAGTTTTAAAGCTCATGCTTAAAAATTCAAGTTTATAAACTTGAGTTAATTTCAAGTTTATAATCTCAAGTTTACGACTTCAAGTTTAAACTTGAGTTTTGTAAAAATTAAAACTTGAGATTGTAATTTATATTTAAATTTATCAGAATAAAATCAGAATTACTGTAAAAAGTTGCCTATATTTTTATTCTTTTGTATCTTCGATTTAAATGAGTAAAAGAACGGAAGTGTCGATTAATGAGTGAAAAGAGGTAAATGAGTGAATGAGTTTTTAAGAAATATGTAAAATAGAAAAAATTGTTTGCGCCAAATTTTATATAAAATATTCTGATAACCATCTAAAGTATTTCTACGGTCAGACAAAACCTTGAGGAGGAGAAAAAGGCCGAGATGGTGAATAATGTATAAAAATGAGTTTTTGGGAAAGAAAAAATAAATGTAAAAATATTTAGGTATTTTAATAAATAAATTAATTGATTTAATAAAATTAAGACAAAATATCCCAAGTTTGCGAAAATAAATTTATTTAAAAAATTACTGGGAAGAGTAGAAAAATGGATTTGAGATGGGTGTCAAAAATGGGATTTAAAATATTTTTTTTTACTAAAAAAATTTTTTTTTAATTTTTAAATTTAAATAAAATGAAATGACACAGAAAAACGATTTTTTTAAAATATTTCTCAAAATTATAAAAATAAATCCAACCTATTCTGTAATAAATATCCTGGCACGAACACAGCAACAAAATCTAAGTGTGTGCTTCTTTTATTTATCCACCGACCTTGACACTTTTTCTACCTTATAACTACTAATATTTATATAAATCTACTCCTTGTGTTCATTCACTCTTTTTATTGGTTGAATGAATTTTTATAATATTTTGAAAGAACTTTATTGAATTTACAAAATTGTTGTGTGTTTATAGGTCAATTTAAAAAATAGTGGAAAAATCTGGGGGAAAAATGTGGGGGGAAAAATATGGGGGAAAAATGTGGGGGGAAATGAACAGAAGAAAAATAAAATAAAAATCAGAATAAAATCAGATAAAATAAAAAATAAACTTGAAAAATAAAAGAAAATTAAATGAACATTAAAAAAAGAAAAAAAATTGTAAAGTTGTTTGTCAGAAGACAAGGATGATTTTAGCTAATTTGTAAAAAAATTCCTTTTACTTAATAGAAAAAGATTTTTAGAAGAAGATTACATAATTGTTAGTTGTAAAAAAAGTTGGTGAGAAAGGCTGAATTAAAAAATAAACTTGAAAGAGAAAAATAAAAGAAAAAATATCAGAATTACAATTTGTAAATTGGATTTGTAAAAAATTTTTTCTGATTTGTAATTATTAACAAAAATTCTGATTAGTAAATTGCAATCAAAATTCTGGTTTGTATTTACAAATCAAAAATTCTGATTTGTAATTACAATCTTAAAATTCCGATTTTTAATAAATTCTGATTTATTATTACAATCTTAGAAATTCTGATTTTAATAATTCTGATTTGTAATTACAAAAAGAAAATTCTGAAATAATTCCTGAAGCACAATTTCCGGAAACATTACAAACCAGAATTTTTAAATTGTACTTACAAATCATTTTAGTTAACTTTTCCGGAAACCTTATAAACTTCTAATTGTACTTAAATTTACAATTTAACTGCGCAAATCATGATAAGAAAAATCATAATAAAATAAATTGATTGTTAATATATCTCTGAATGGACTCTTTTTTATGAATTTTCTCTTTCGTTCCTTATCCTTAATATTTATCCCACATTCCTTTTATTCTTTATTCCTTCCGCCCTTAACTAGCTTTAAAAAACCCCCCAAAGAGAGATAAACGATAAAAGTTAAATGCCCGTAAAAAAGTGAAAAGCACTCACATCATCCCCCCTTCCATCCCTCCCAAAAGCAACAAACAAAAAATGAGGAATTGCGGCGTACTAGCGGTTTTGTTTTATTTATAAATTAGCTATTAATTAAGATAAAGCATTAGAGAGAATAAAAACAAGTAGAATAGAGTGATAGAGAGAACAGAAATATATTTTTGTTGTTGACCAGAATCGATGATCGCGCAAGGATCTATGTTTTGTAGAAGTAAGTGGTGGTATGAACAAGTTGTGTTGTTTTTAATATAAAGTTAGAGAATAAAGTTTTAGTAAAATGTTTTTCCGGCAAAAGTTTTCCGGAAGAATTGTAAATTAAATTAAAATATTTTCCGGAAAGGTTGTAAACTTGGAAAAAAGGCTCCGGAAAAAATTTCCGGAGACTTGTAAACTAAATAGAAGTTTCCGGAAGAAGGTTTCCGGAAAATTGTAAAGGAATATTATCCGGAAAGTTGTAAACTAGGAAAAAGGTTCCGTAAGGTTTCCGGACACTTGTAAAATAAAGAAAAATTCCGGAAATAATTTCCGGAAATTTGTAAACATATAACTATAGCTTTAAAGTGTCGATCTTTTGAGACTATATTAATCAAATCAAAAGACTAGAAAAAAGAATATTTAAAAATCAAAAGGTAAAAATAAAAAAATATTTCAAGTTTAATGGGAATGCATAAATGTTGGGCAATTTTTGGACTTGAGCGCTAGAAAAATAATTACACGTAACGAGAAAAAAATGATTAAAGGGAGAGAAAAAGTAGTAATGTGTTGATGTTCAAATAACAATTTTCTTTTTACAAAAATAAAATTTTTTGCCTTATATTTGTTGTTGTAATGTTGTTAATTTATGGGAATTATATTTATTAATCATACAAAAATTAATTGATTTTTTTGGTTGGTTGGAAATGATTTGTAATTATGGTGGTATTAATAATTAAATATATTATAGGTGGGGAAAATTCCGGAAAGTTTTATTGGTATCTAGAAAGTAAGAGAGAAAATAAATTCCGGACAGGAAGAATAACAAAAATTCCGAAAGTTATATATGCATAAATACAACCGGAATATATACAATTCCGGAATAGTATAAATAAATAAATGTAAATAGAGAAAATTCCGGAAAGGAAAAAGAATAATACAAAAAATTCCGGAAGGTTATTTTGCATAAATACAACCGGAATAGACACAATTCCGGAATAGTATAAATAAATATGTAAAAGCAAATAGAGAAAATTCTGGAAAATGAAAGAAATCCGGAAAGTTGGCGGTTATAATGGAGAAATATGTAAGATTCCGGAAATTAGGGAATACTATGAAATAATAAACTTGAGAAAGTTAAAGAAAAATACAAAAAATAATTTAAATTTCGAAATACAATTTTAATAAAAAATTGCACTTTAAAAATTGCACTTTTAATTTACATCAGCTTACCCGGCAGTTTTAATAGCCGTTATTCGCTTCATTCCCCCCTTTCATTAAATAAATTTTCTTTATTTTTAAATTGTATTTTGGCTGTCAATTGTTCAATTTTAAAAGTTGTTCCATGCCTTCTAAACGTCTTTATGGATTTCTTCTTGTATTAATCCTCTCCCTTTTTTGCCTCCACTTATCACTAGGCCAAGAAGACAATTCTGGAGCTTTATCCCTCAAGCTGGTTTATAACGGAAATGAAGTGGATACTAGTGGAATTAAGCAATTATTTAGTGACGGAAAAGACGATTTAAAATTAATATCAACTGTACCCTCAGTCATTAAAAATCAAATTCCAAACGATTTAAAATCTGCAATGGAAACCGAAACCCTTGGAGATTTAAAAAAAGAAATTTTACCAATAAAGGAGTCCAAAACTTTAAATGAAGCAAAAGAAAAATGGGAAAAAGAGGCCCCTAAAACAATAGAAGTGGTTAACAAAACAATTAATTGGGTTTATTCAACAATAGAAAAAATAAAAAATTTGTTGGATAAACAAGACAAAGATTTTGTTGAACAAGTAAAATTAAAGTTTAAATTAAATTTAAAAATTTTACAATTGTAATTTTAGTTAATAAATAAACTCGACAACACATTTAACAAGGTAAAGGAACAAACAAAACAGAATTATCAAAACTTGGATTCTACTGACAAACAAAACTTGAATGCAACATTTTTTGATGTTTTCGAAAGTTTGTAAATATATTACAATTGAGTATTTACAATTGTGTTTTTAAAGAACAAGTTTATGTGTTTTTCCGGATTTTAATTACAATTCCTGAAACTAAATAAATATTTCCGGAAATTAATAAATGTTTCCGGAAAATAAAATTAAAATATTTCCGGAATATAATTACAATTCCGGAAAACAATAAAACATTTCCGGAAATTAATAAATGTTTCCGGAAAATAAAATTAAAATATTTCCGGAATATAATTACAATTCCGGAAAACAATAAAACATTTCCGGAAAATGAATAAATTTTTCCGGAAATTAAAATATTTCCGGAATATAATTACAATTCCGGAAAACAATAAAACATTTCCGGAAATTAATAAATGTTTCCGGAAAATAAAATTAAAATATTTCCGGAATATAATTACAATTCCGGAAAACAATAAAACATTTCCGGAAATTAATAAAATATTCCGGAAAATAAAATTAAAATTTCCGGAATATAACTACAATTCCGGAAAACAATAAAACATTTCCGGAAGAACTACAATTCCGAAAAATGTTTTTAATTTTCCTGAAAAGTATTAATATTTCAGGAAAAAAATTCCGGAAAATAATTAATGTTTCCGGAAAATAAATAAATATATTATAATTGTAATTGTAAAAAGTTTTCCGGATTCCGATTTACAATTTATCCCTAAACATATAAAAAAAATTTTTTTTGTATTTTTCTTTCTTCCCATTAATTAATTATCTTTTTTCAGTCAGAATAAAACTTTTTAAACATTTTATTTAATGTTTCAAGGCTCTCTCCCCTAATCATCATTTTTCCTTTAAATCAAATTTATCTTTTTTCTCGACTATGCGCAATTACAACAGCTTAAAAAACCTTGTAAAAGGTAAAATTGGAAGGCACCGCCTTTCTCTTCCCTTTTTTAAATTATTTAGCAATTCATTAATTCTTCATCTTTTTAATTCTTGGCCAGTCATTCCCCCTTCCCTTTACCCTTCTTTTTAATTTTCACGCATTACTCCCTCCCTTAATTTTTTTTTAATTTTGCAGAACATTAAAAACCATCTTTAATCTTTTATTTTAAAAATAAAAAGTAACCAAAATTAAAATTAAAAAAAATTTTTTTTAATTTGTTTGGCACTCTGCCGCTAACCCCAACTATTTAATTTTACGCTTTAATTGCTTCATTTAATTACCAATTAATTCAATCTTTATTTTTGATTTTATATCTTTTTTTAAATTAATTTCCGTTGACCTTGAAGTTTAAGAAGAACACACAAAACTTTTTTTTTGCAAAAAAAAAATTGCCGACGAGAGTGATCAAAAAAGGAAAGGAGCCTTCAAGTGATCTTATGGATAAGGCTAGAAAGTCAACCGACCTAATATATTTTCTCTACAAAAAATAATAATAATTATTGCTTGAAAATTGCAAGTCTACTTTTACTCTACTTTATTTATTGTTGAATAAAAAAAAGTAAATTAAATAGACAGTCGACTGCGCGGATTATAAGATTTCCTGAATGAGGAAAGTAAAAAAAGTTGGTAATTGTTTGTTGAGATTGTTGTTTCGTTATATATGTTTCCTTAAAAGATTAAAAATCAGAAATCAATAAAAACATTTCTGGTTTTTGTTTGTTTTGTTGTTTGTTTTAATTAAAATGTTTTTATAAACCTGTTTTTGTTTCCAAGTTTGTTTTAATTAAATTCTGGTTTTGAATTTAAAATAAAGTTTGTTTTTATTTAATTCTGACAACAAACCTTGTTTATTTGGTGGAATTAAACAATGTTTGTTTTATTTGCATTAATTCAACTTGTTTTTGTCTTCAAGTTTGTTTTGATTAAATTCTGGTTTTTTAAATTCTGATTATAATTTTTCCAGACTTATGTTTACTTTCTTTTTGCCTTGTTTTTGTATTTTCTGTGTCTATTCAATAAATAATAATTACTCTATTGTACTGTCTAAAAAGTGTCCTTGATTTACGTGTTTTTTTCTTCCTTCCACGTGCTAATGACCTCCAATTTTAATCTCTCTCCCTTCTCAAATCTACCGCAATTTCCGCACTTTTCATTCAAAAAACATCTAAAACTAAATAAATTATACATATTTAAAAGAACGTTTTTGGGCGCGAAAACGATGATCGCTTAAAATTAAATAACTTTTGAAATAACCAATCAAAAATTCTGAAATTTTTACCAATGTTAGCTAAAACATTTATTTATGTCTATGAAAAATTTCAGAATTTTAGCTTCTCATTTGGCTATTTTATGAAAGCTAAACTGAATCGTCCTCAACCCCAAACAAGCCTTTTCTATCATTTCTGATTTTTTTCTGATTTTTTACAAAAATAATTAAAACAAAAATTTTTTTTCTTTTTTTTAGGGCATAGGTTTAAAGATTTTTAAGTTTTGAGCAAAGCAGAAACAAGAAGACTGTCATTCCTTTTTTTAAACTTTTTTCTCCATCCCCTCCCCTTCTACTAATATATTCTCGACTGACCTCTTCCCCTTCTTTTATTCTTCTTCTTTTACCTACCTACAATTATAATATGTACAACAAACTTCTTATTTAATTTGTGTTTTTCTGTTCTTCATTAAAATTAATTGCAACTTGTTCGTTTGATTTTGTTTATTTCATCATTTCAACAACAAAAACACAAACATTTTTATTCCAACATTTTTAATAAAAAGCCATGTTTGCAACAATGTTTGAATTGTTTTTATTGTTTGTTGTGACAAAAGTAAGTTTGTTTTTTCATAAGTTCATTTTAAGGTTTTATTATTCAAACTTGTTTTTATTCAAGTTTTATTTTATTCCAACTTTAAAACAGACAAGTTGTATTATTCCAAATAAACAAGTTGGAATAATAAAACTTAAATAAACAAGTTTATTTATATGTATATTCCAACTTGTTTTTATTCAAGTTTGTAAACTTAAAATTTTTATTTTTAAGTTTTGTAATGGCTCATCACTAGTCAGTTTCTTTTCTCCAGACGATCTCAGATATACTTTTGGTGTTAATTCAATAAGGGAAGGTGATTAAGATACTTTAATTTTAATTAGAAAAAATTTTTTTTCAGTTCCCACCCATCGTTTTACTTATCCCCAATTATTGAATAACGAATTATTAATTGAATTAGATGAAGGAAATATTCAAAAAATACCTTTACAACCCATTACTAGTCAACTACTTGCAGATAGGTAAATTTAAAAATTTTTTTATTAAAATTTTAAAAATAAATTTAGGCTAACAATTGTAAGAAGGACCGCAGCAGATGGAGGTGGGATTCTTCAAACTGCTACAAACCCGTTAAAGCACTTTGACGAGTGTCATTTTCACTACAACTCTACAGATATGTTTTTGGCTGTTTCTAATTGCGAGGAAGGAGAATTGGTAATGTTAAAACTTAAAACATTTATTTAAAACATTTTTTTAAATAAACTTTCCGGAAAACAATATTATTTTAATTAAGGGAATTTATATTTCCGGAAAACACATTTTACTAAATGTGTTTTTAATTTATTTTTTTCCGGAAATTTCCGGAAACATTTAATTTAAAATATATATACTTTTCCGGAAAACATACGAACATCCGGAAAATACAAAATATGTTTTTATTTATAAATATTTTCCGGAAGCATTTTTCCGGAAAACATTTAATTAAAAATAAAATATGCTTTTCCGGAAATTTCCGTAAAACATTATATACTTTTTTCTGGAAATTCTATTAGTGCTTTTAATTTTTTTTTACAATTGTGAACTAATTTTAATTTGTACTTTAATTAATTCTCTTTTCTCCAGAAAGGAAGTATTCTTCGTAACGGCAGTCTTTGGGTAATCCACCCAATACCGCAAAGGCACAATGCAAGGATGCGGCGCTCAACAAATAATTTATTAACCCATGTAATTTATAAGAGGGATACTGTTGAAGCAAAAAAAGATGAAGAATTTTGTGGAATAGAAAATACAATTAGTAGTGATGAATTGCTTGATAGTGAGGCGGGAATTCACGAAGATGTTTTTGTTGTTGGTCAAAGAATGTCCCAGGAAAGTGAGTTGGTTGTTGAATTGGCTATTTTTGTAGATGAGGAGCTTTGGAGGCATTTTTCGTCCAGGCATGGATCTCTGGCTTGGCAGAAACTACAGCAATATGCACTGACTATGCTTAGCAATATTCAAGTGTGTTTTTAAATAATTTAGTATTCTCTATTTCCGGAAAACACAAACTTGTATTTTAGTTAATTAATATTTTCCGGAATGAAAATATTATTTGCTCCTTTCCGGAAGCATTTTATTTAATTTAATATATTTCCGGAATTGTCTTTCCGGAAAACACAATACGCTTTAATTTAGAATACAAATTTTTCCGGAAAAGAATATTTTTTTATTCTTTCCGGAAAATATATCAATTATATATAGATTCTTCCGGAATTTTTAATTAATTTAATATTCCTGAATTTTCTTTCCGGAAAACACAATTTGTTTTAATTTTACAAATTTTTTCGGAAAAAAGGTAAAGATTTTTCTGGATACAGATTCTTCCGGAAAATATAGATTCTTCCGGAATTTATAATTAGTTTAATATTTTTTCAAGTTTCCGGAATCTATAAGTAATAAAATTAATTTTCCGGAATAATTACTAAAATTATTTTTTTTAAAGATAATGTACAAACAACCAACAGCATTGCCAACTATAACATTCAAAATTGTTCGATATGAAGTTTTTCAAACACAACCGGTAAAATTTTCAATTAAAAATTCAATTTACTCCTTTTTTAGTTAAATAAACTTTGATTTTTTTAAAATTAGTCTTTGAATTTTAATTAAAATTAAAGGGGAAAATTCACCTGTGATGAAACTTTTTATTATTATTTCGTCACAAACAGGCTGATAAATAAATATAATAGATAATTAATGCGTTAACCCCTTCACGGAAATAATTTATATTTTTAAATTGATTTTTATTGATGAATTTGTACTCTTTTTTTTTTATTTTTGCTTTCACAATATGACGTGAAATTTGCGAGGTTAAATTTAAAGACTGCGCGAAATTGTATTTTGCTTAACTACAATTTGTATTTTACGGAAAATACAAATGTATTTTACGGAAACATTGCTTACAACTTTTTTTTATGATAATATTCCGGAAAACACAATTTCACAATTTGTATTTTTTTACAATTTGTAAAAACTTTCCGGAAACTTAGTATATTTTCCGGAAAACATAATTTTGTTATTTGTAATTTTTTTACAAATTGTAAAAACTTTACGGAAATGCAATATACTTTCCGGAACACAATTTCACAATTTGTACTTTTTTTACAATTTGTAAAAACTTTCCGGAAACTTAGTATATTTTCCGGAACACAATTTCACAATTTGTACCTTTTTTACAATTTGTAAAAACTTTACGGAAATGCAATATACTTTCCGGAACACAATTTTACAATTTGTACTTTTTTTACAATTTGTAAAAACTTTCCGGAAATGCAATATATTTTCCGGAAAACATATTTTACAATTTTCCCTATTCCGGAAAACACAATTTTGTTATTTGTAATTTTTTTACAATTTGTAAAAAACTTTCCGGAAAAGCAATATACTTTCCGGAAAACATTACAATTCTCAAAGTTTAAATTGTAAAATGTTTTTATACTTTATAGAGTGCATTGGCTGCGTATTTACACGAGAATGGAAACGCGCAGAGATACCTGGACAGATTTTGTCGGTACCAGCGGAGTTTGGGTGTGCAAGACTGGGATCACGCATTAATGCTTACAGGATATGACATTCACCGTGGTTATGGTGCTAATTCAATTTCAGGGATTGCTAGGCTGGATGGTAAATAAAAAAATTTTTTGGGAAATTCGATTGAAATTAAAAAATATATTTTTTAAGGGATGTGCGATCCTTGGAATACTTGGTACTTTTACGAATTAAAGAATTTGTTAATTTTAAAAAAAAATTTATTTCTAGCACCCTAGCAGAAGGCTTAGATTTCACTTCAGCTTTTATTGGAACACACGAATTGGGTCACTCTGTAGGTATGAGACACGATGAGCCTTACTGCTCTGATAATTATATAATGAGTTCTTCTCTTGGTCCTGGAAAAGTTACATGGTCAACCTGTTCTTTAAGAGATTATCAAAATTTTATTCAAAGATTGGAGTGAGTTTTGAGGGTTTTTTTTAATTTTTATTTTTCTAGTTCCAAAAATAAAAATTGTCTTCGAGTGTCTTTACTGCGTGAAAAGTTGCCTATGAGAGATACATTAAAACCAGGCCAAATTTATGATGCGCACGAGCAGTGTAGATTGATGCATGGAACTAGTTATGTTCAAGTTTCTCCTAGGCAGGACCACTACGGTGAATTTTTAAAACTTGTTTTACAATTTGTAAAATTTTACAATTTGTAAATTAAATTTTTAAAACTTACTTGCTTTTGTAAATGTTAAAGTTTATTAATTAAAACTTGAAAACTTTTTTGACAATTTTACAATTGTAAGAAAACTTGTTTTACAATTTGTAATATTCCCCTCTTGTAAAAAATATTTTCGGAAAAATATACCTATATGTAGTACATTCCCCTTCTCTTCTAGACGGTATTTGTAATATGATGTGGTGTGGTCAGGGATCCTATGGACGAATAGTTACTTCACACCCAGCATTGGAAGGCACTTTTTGTGGTGATAGAAAATGGTAAAAATATTTAAATTTAAAATTAAAAAAATAATTTAAAGGTGTTCTCTTGGCCGCTGTGTCCCGTGGACAGGATTTGGAGCTCCGCTTTCCCCTAGACCTCAAATTCAACCACAATACCCCACCTATTCTACCACAACTACTACAGCCGTCTACCCTGTGAGTTATAAAATTAGGCCAAAATCTGGTGGAACATTAGCTAAGTATTTAAAAACTATTGCTGACTGGCAACGACGAAATAAGGGAAGAAAGGGTCTGGTAATACAAATAGGGAATAATAGTGGTAATAATAACAATACTAAAAAGAAAAGAAGAAGAAATGGGTAAAAATTACAATTACAATAGTAATAGGGTAAATTACAACTTTTGTCTTTTCCGGAAAATACAAATAAAAATGGTTAATATTTTTCCGGAAATATTTAAATATTATTTTACTGTAGAAACAAGTTTATTTTTCTGACGAACATGTTTTTCCGGAATTTTGTTTTTCCGGAATTTTGTTTTCCGGAATTTTGTTTTTCCGGAATGTTGTTTTTCCGGAATTTTGTTTTCCGGAATTTTGTCTTTCCGGAATTCTGTTTTCCGGAAAAATATTCGGATTGTCTATTTCATTTCCGGAAATAAATATAAGTTATATTTTCCGGAAAACAGATAACATTATAGTATATTACTTTTCCTGAAGAAACAAGTTTATTTTTCTGAGGAACATGTTTTTCCGGAAATAATTCTTTCTAAAAACATGACAAAAACAAACATGTTGTTCAGGAATACTTTATTTGTTTTTGTTTTATTTTGTATTTCTTTTATTTTTAATATGAACATCTACCTAACATGTTTTTTTCTTCACTTTTAATTTATCATCAAATCGAAACACTTGAATATTTTCTTCTATTTTATTTTTAAAAAAAAGTTTGTCGTCATGGATGACGTTCAATGAAGTTTGCAGCTATTTTATTTTTAGGGATAAACTTAAAAATATTTTTTCCACTAATATTAACTGCCATGTGTATTTTTCAAAATTTTTTTTTGTTTTTGTTTCTGCCTCACTAATTTATAAATAGATTTAATATTTAATTTTAATTTTCTCAAAAAATAAATTTAATTATTCTTAGAATTAATTAAAAATTAATTTTATTATTTTTAACCAATTTATTTTTTAATTTAGGCCCAAATCCCTATTTTCTCTCATTTTATCATTTCAACTCTTAATTACCCTTCCACGCCACTTTTTTACCCAAAATTCAAAATGCAAAAAATTCCGCCAAGTTTCCAGTGCCAAATTATGGCCACTGATCTGTAAAATTTTTTCTGATGTTTTCTGATGATTTAACGGCCAAAGGTCCTGAATCGTCTTTAATTTGTTCTTTAATTAACACTTAAATTAACACTTTCCTTTTTTCTCTCTTTTACTTCTTGCAACTTTCTCTTGCTTAATTTAGTGTAAAAAATTACATTAAATTCTATTTACAAACTTAATTATCTCCAACTTATTTAATTTGCAACTTTTTATGTCTTCTTGCAATTGCAAACTTGAAAAACTTGCTTGCAACTTTTTCCTCTCTCTCTCTATCTCTCTCTAACATTTTTAAGTTTTATAAAAAAGTTGTAATTGTAAATTGAATAAGTTGTAAATTACAAAAGGGAAAAAAGGTTGGAAAAAAAGTTGGAAAAAAAGGTTGGAAAATAAGTAGGAGAAAAAATAAACTTAGAATAGGGCAAATTACAAATTGTAAAAAAAGTTGGAAAAAAAGTTGGAAATTACAATTATAAAAAGTTGTAAACAAAATGGGGGAAATTACAAATTGTAAAAAGTTGGAAAATTATATTGTAAAAATTAATTATAGTTAATTTCTATTATTCTAGCAACAAGTAATCAACGGTGGCTGGTCTGTGTGGTCTCCCTTCAATTGCAAACAATGCTCATGTCCAAGCATTTCTGGTTCTATCGGCGTGGTGATTCTTGAATTAAAATTTATTTAATCTAATGTTATTTTAGACACTTTCTCACCGAAGTTGTTCCAATCCAGAACCAGTAAATGGAGGTGCCGAATGTCAAGGGCCAAATCAACGGGCGGCAGTCTGCACGAGAAAGTGTGCAGAAGGGGGAAATAGTGTCAACCAATATATTTGTAATTTTTTTGAAATTTTAAGAAAATTAGGGGGAAAATAAGAAGGAATATTCTCTCTCTCTCAAAAATTATTTTTCTCAAAAATTATTTTTATAAATAAATAAAAATAATTTTTATTTGGCCAATAATGCATTCTTTTAATTTTGATCTCTACCCTTTTAAACGGCTTCTTTTAAGACGTCATAATAAATTAAAAATATTTTTATTATTTTTGCAAAAATATTAAATTCCAGTTTAATAATTTTCTTATAGCAAGTAAATGTGCTGAACATAAATATCAACGGAATGACCCTGAATTAACCGGAAGTGGCAGTCAGTTAACTCGGTTCCCTCAACGCGCATGCAAAATATTCTGTGATGTGCAAAATGGGTTTGGGTCGCAGAGAAATTATAGGTTTTATGGAGACAACCTTCCGGATGGAGGTAGGGGAATTAATTAAATATTCTGATAAAATCAGAATAAATAAAATTCTGATGATTAAAAAATCAGAATTTTTATAATTTTAATAAAATCAGAAATTCTGATTTTTTATATTAAAAATTCTGATCTAAAATTCTGATTTTTTTAAAATAAAATCAGAATTTTTATATTAAAAGTTCTGATTTAAAATTCTGATTTTTCAATTAAAATCAGAATTTTCTTATTAAAAATTCTGATTTAAAATTTTGAATTAGAAAAATCAGAATTATTAAATTTATTAATTTAGCGCCTTGTGGTTGGGACCGGTATTGCTTGAATGGGGAGTGCACGGTATGTCTAATACCTAATTAAACTTTTTACATATTGTAAAAGCTTATTTACAATTGTAAATATAAAACTTTGTTTTGCTTATTTTTTGTTCTTTTAATTTTCTATAAACAGATTGCGAACAAATATTTCTGGCAAAATTGCCTCCTTTTAAACTCAAGTAAAAGAAAAATAATATTAAATGATGAAGCTTTTATTCGTCAAAAAATATGGATGAGAATTGATGGAGGTGGTAGTGGAGAAAATTAGCTAGAGCTTTAATTTTTGTTTTTGGTTTTGTTGCTGTTTGTTTTTGCTTCTTTCTATTTTATTTGTTTGTGCTTAGTTATAAACAAGTTTCATTTTTCCGGAATGTATTTTTCCTTGATTTATTTTCCGGAAAATTAGAATTAAATAAATTAGAAAATTCCGGAAAAGGAATAGAATATTTTCGGAAAGGAATAGCATCCTTCCGGAAACAAATAGTAACTTTCCGGAAAGAGATACAGCTTTCCGGAAAATAATAACATGTTTCCGGAATTTAAATATATTTTTTATTTACAGGAATTGTCATGCGAAGATTCCATCCTAGCTCCAGATGATCAACGGTCCAGCAGAAATTCTTGTCCCTCTACTCACGAGAGATGCCCCCTTGAAAATATTGATACTAAAACTATGTCCAACGGTCAATGGGGGCAATGGTAAATTTATAGGGTTTTTGAATATTTTTTTAATTTAAGGACTATTTGGTCATCGTGTACTGCAAGCTGTGGGGATTTGGGCGTCCAAATACGATCTAGAACCTGCAATATAAACAACCGTTGTGAGGGGGAACCTACACAAAATCAGCCGTGTAACAGACATGTTTGCCCAACTATACCAGCTGGAGAACCCGTATGGACGGAGTGGACCCCGTGGACCCAATGTTCTGTCAGTTGTGGTCGTGGAAGTCAAGCGCGTTACAGGCGTTGCCAAAACTCTCAAGGAAGTGTTGCATTTTCGTGTCAAGGCAAGGCGAGAAAAAAGAAATAAAATAAAAATAAATTTATTTTTTAATTTAAAAAAATAATTAAATTAGGTCAAACAATGGAATTGCGCAATTGTGATGAATTACCTTGTAATTCCGGAAACCGTTTGGATAGATCTGGGGCGCAATGGACAGGCAAGTTGTTGAAATACATAAGTCTATTTAATATAAAAACATTCCGGAAAAATTCAAATTAAATAAATTCCGGAAGGAAATAAATATGTTCCGGAAAATAATTAAATTTTTCCGGAATTGAATAGAATATTTTCCGGAAAAAAATAAAATATTTCCGGAAAGTGTAAAATGTTTCCGGAAAAATATAAAATATTTCCGGAAAGGATTATAATGTTTCCGGAAAATAATTAAATGTTTTGTAAAGTTTTCCGGGAACACCCAAACAATAAACAAATAAATACAGGTTGGAGTGTGTGGTCTGTCTGCTCTGTTTCCTGCGGTCCAGGCTTCCAAAGTAGAACACGATCATGTTTTCCCCAGTCAGGCGCCTGTGACGGCTCTTGGCAACAACGAATGGCCTGTAATCTTCGCGAATGTTCTGGGGGATGGAATACTTGGGGGGTTTGGAGTGAATGTTCGCGTTTATGTGGAAAAGGTGTTCGTTCAAGGAGTAGGTCAGTATAGGGTTTTTAGAGGGGGAAAATGAAAAGGAAAAATATTCTTAGAACCTGCCCAACTGGTGAAAGTTGTCCTGGATCTTCAACAGAACAATCATTTTGTAATGAGCAGGCATGTGCAGAACAACAAACGTTAAATGCTGAGTGGAGGTGTTTAAATAAATTATTTTATAATTTTTAAATTAACAAAAAAAGTGGTTGGAGTGTTTGGGGCCCTTGCTCATCAACCTGTGGTAATGGAGTGCGAAGGCGAACTCGTCACTGCCAGTATGGGAATTGTCCCGGATACCACTTTGATTCTTCCATTTGTAATAATGGACCATGTTCTGTTGAGGATGCAAGTTGGGGAGGTAAATATAAATATCAAAATTTGAATTTTAAAGTGCAAATTCTGTTTTGTTTAATGACCAGAATTTGTAATTTGAAAAAATTAAAACTTTTCCGGAAAACTTAGTAGTTAATAAGAGAATAATTTCCGGAAAAAAGTTTATTTAATTAATCTTCCGGAACGACCAGAATTATTACAAATTCTGGTTTGTAAATTTTAAAATCAGAATTTTTCAAATCAGAATTTTCTAAATCAGTATTTTTCAATATCAGAATTTTTAAAAATCAGAATTTTACAATATCAGAATTTTCAAAAATCAGAATTTTCAAAAATCAGAATTTTACAATATCAGAATTTTCAAAAATCAGAATTTTCAAAAATCAGAATTATTAATAAATTTATTCTGATTTGTAATTTTAATAAAGGCTGGGGATATTGGTCTGTCTGTTCTGAAAGCTGTGGACAAGGATTTAGAAGAAGGGTGCGAAAATGCTATGGGGGCGGGCAATGTCCAGGTAGTGAATATGAACGAGAACAATGTCAAATTAGGCCAAGCTGTTGATAGGTATTTTAATTTATATATTTCTTAATTTATTGTTGTTAATGTTTACTCCCTCTCTCCCTTATTATTCTCGGGTGTTTTCCTCCTAAAAATTTATTTTTTTAATTTTAAACTTTTTTTTTTCGTTAAAATATTATATTTATTTTTAAAATTCAAAAAAATATTTTTTTTAATTTTTTCCTTTAATTTTTAAAAATTTTTATTGTTTAATTCCCTCTTCTCTACACTTACTCTTTTTAATATTTATTCACAACTTGTGAATTCACAATTTATTTTTCAGTTAACATCTCAAAATGTTTTGTATATATTATTGTTAATTTTATAGTTTAAATTATTTAAAAAAATATTTTTTTATTTTATAAATTGAGTCAGAAAATCAGAATTATTTTTATTAAATAGCTGTTAGAAAATCAGAATTAAACCTGTTCCGGAAAATCAGAGTGGTTAATTTGAACATCAGAATTAAACTTTTTCCGGAAATCTGAATAGTTATTGAGCGAAAAAAAGTTTATTTATAATATATTTTCCGGAAGAAAAAGAATTATTTAAGACACATAATATTTCCGGAAAATAATTTCCGGAAATTATTTATTATTAAAATATTCTTCTTCAAGTTTTAAGTCAAGTCTTATCTAGGCGCATATTTTATTTAATACATTTTCAGCTTTTTTTTTAAATTCTTCAATTAATTTTTACTCCATTCTACTTTAATCTTCTCATCCTTCTAAAATAATTAAATTAAATTTTTTTCCCTTTTTTAATTAATTTAATTATTTAATTTACCTACCTCTTCCAAAGCAAACTGCTTTTTCTCCACCTTTTAAGTAAAATATTAACTGGGTTAATAGCTATTAAATTAATTTGGCAATTTTTCCTTTTGATAATGCAAAAGATAAATATAGGCGCTGGTTAACCGGAATTATAATTTAACCGGAATAACTTAACCGGAATTATAATTTAACCGGAATCTATCTTTAAAACCTTCTGCAAAGGTTTAGGACAAGAATATAAAACTTTCCGGAAAAGTCTATTTTTATTAATACAACTTTCCGGAAACCTCAGAATTAATTTATAAATATTTCCGGAAAATATTATTTTTAAGTATAAAATTTTCCGGAAAACTTTCTTTACCTAATAACTATTAAAATAATCTTTCCGGAAAGTCAGAATTAATTTAATATTCTTTCCGGAAACTTAAGTATTTTAAAAATAAATAATTACCGTTTTAAGGTTATTACGGAAATCAACCTTCTGTCCTTCTTTTGTTTTTAATTTGGCAAACTAATTAATTAAATTTATTTTAAACTAAATTTTATTGAATAAAACACTCTGACCTGGCTATCAGTCTGAAAAATTAAATAAATTTAAAAATTAATTTAGCTTAAAATTAAGAATTAATTTACTTTGGAGACTTTCTTTAATGTTGGCTTTACACTTAAAAATAAAATTAAAATAAAAAAATTTCATTTTAAAAATTCCAAACAATTTTCCCCTCAAATCGTTCACAGCAATAGTCAATTCATTTATTTCAAAATCCTTTTGTCGAACAGTGTAGCTTAAATCATACTTTTCCCGTTCCAACCTAATTACACTCTCTGCGAATTCCTTGGAGATTCGTTGTAATTCATCTTCAAAAATTTAATTTTTTTAATTTTATTTAAATTCCCCTTCAAAACCTTCCCCACTAGACTCCAACTCGGGTAAAGGCACAATTCTTTCATTTAGCACTGATTGGCGTTCTTGTTCTTTTAACATTTGTTGTTTCTTCAAGTCTTCTGCTGCCTTCATCATTAATAATTTCTGAATTTATTAAAATAAACTTTCCGGAAAATACTCTTTCCGGAAAAAACAAATTATAAGCTTTTTTCCGGAAAGAGTTATTTTCTATAAAATAAACTTTCCGGAAAAGAAGGAATTAATTAAAATATAATTATTCCGGAAAGAATTCTTTTCTGTATTTTTCCAAGTTTATTTAAGCTTGATCTTACGTTTATTCCTTCCGGATAGGTTATAATTATTTTAAGTTTATTAAGTTTGAGCTTAAGTTTATTTCAAGTTTAATTAATTCTGATTTTTAATTTCAAGTTTATTTTTCTATTTTATTTTTAAGCTTGATCTTAAGTTTTATTATCTAATTTCAAGTTTATTTAAGCTTTTAGTTTTTAGTTTATTTATTTTCAAGTTTAATTAATTCTGATTTTTAATTTCAAGTTTATTTATTCTCAAACTTAATATAATAGAATATAGAATAATTAAAACTTGTAGAATATAGAATAATTAAAACTTAAATAATAGAATAATTAAAACTTGCCCTCAACTTCTTTTTTCTTTCAGGCGTCAAAAACCCCTTAAAAATAAATTAAAGTTTATTTTAATAAGTTTAATTTATTACCTTTTTAGCCTTTTTCATTCTCCCTGCTTCTTCCAGGCGTTTACGCACTTCGGCCTTTTTACGTTCCCGTTCATCATTTTTGCGTTTTTGCTGTAAATTAAAAATTATTTTTGAAATTTTAGAGAATATTTCTTGCTTCAATATCATCATCAGCCATTTTTTAATTAATTAATTAAATATAATTATTTAATATCTAAAAATATTAACACTAGATAAGCTTTAAAATATAGATTGGAAATATATTTAAGCTAGTAGAGAAAGTTGTTATAACCAGCCACAGCTTAGATTCTCGTCATTTTTTCTCTTCCAACATTTTCTGTGTTAAGTGATCTCAAGTTAACTAAAGTAAGTTATTTCTGTGCGCAAACATTTATTTTATCTCTTTATCCAAAATTTTTTTGGGACTTTTTTTTCTTTATTTTTTCTTCTTATTTACAATTTTTCTTGACTGTTTACATAAAATATATATTTTTCAAGTGGAAAAAGAGGATATTATATTTTTATTGTTGTAATGTGTTTGGAAATAAGATTTAGATAAGAATTGTAAAAAAAAAGTTCGTATTTTTACAATTTGTATTTCAAGTTTATTTTAAAGCATATTTTCAAGTTCATGCTTATATTTACTTCCAAGTTTATTTAATTCTATATTTAAACTTGTTTTCGAGTTCAAACTTGTTTCCAACTTGTTTTCTAAGTTTTTAAGTTCAAACTTGTTTCCAACTTGTTTTCAAGTTTTAACTTGTTTTTTCAACCTATTCTTAAGTTTTCAAGTTTAAACTTGTTTTCAAGTTCAAACTTATTTTTATATTCTTTTCAAGTTTTCAAGTTTAAACTTATTTTCAAGTTTATTTTTAATTTCAACAGTCTTTTAAATATTTTACAATTACAATTAATTAATTGTAAAACTACCAAAATTTATGCAAATATATTTAAAATCAAGTTAATATAAAATTCAAATTTATTTTTTTCTGATTCCATTTTTAAAATATTTGTTTTTATTCTTCTAATTAAAAATTCATTTAATTCTGTTTCCCAAACAAAGCTCGAGCTTCACGGTGTGTATCATCAGTCGCATCGATATAACGCCCAGATTTTTCTTTTGTATTATTCGAGGTTGTACCAACACTTTTTGTATTTTCCCCTCCCCCAGTTTGTTCAGTGCTAATTTTTGAAAAAAAATATTTTTTTAAATTAAAAAATCAGAAATTAGAAGACCTATTAGGTAGAGCACTTTCACTGTTTGGCATTCTCTTATTTCGTAATTTATTTCGTGATGCACTAGCTAACTCCTCGTCAATATTTTCTTGTGCTTTACGTTCAGCAGCAGCTCTCTCTTGTCTTTGCTTTCTATTCCAAATTCGGCACAACAATATTTGCTGAGTAGCATGCCGAAATTCGGTAATAAATACGAGACAAACAAAAGCATAAATTGTCGGGACTGGGGCAATTAATAACATCCCGAGGAATTCTTGGATTGGCCTTGAAAATTTTTTTTAATATTTTTTAAAGTGTATAAACTTACTGGTTACTCTCACCCATTACAAAGCAAACAATGTAGTTTATACCAGCAATTGCTACCAACTTTAAAAAAAGTTTTAATTAAAATTACAATTGTAATTTTCTATTGTAAAATTTAAAAAAAGTTTTAGAGTATAAAATAAACTTGGAAATCAGAAACTTAAGTTTCTGATTAATTTATTTTCAGAATATAATAAACTTGAAAATAAAACTTGAAAATAAACTTGAAAATAAAACTTGATTACAAAAAAGTTTTTAAGTCTACAAAAGAGATGCTCAAGTTTATTTTCAGAATAAATAAACTTGAAAATAAACTTAAGTTTTCAAGTTTAAATTTTTAAGTTTGTAAAAATGCTTGCTATTGTAGGGAGATGCGCAACAATTAAAACCTTAAATTGTAAAAAAAGTTTATTTATTATTCTCAATTGTAAATTGTATATTTACATTTGTAAACTGAGCCATTTCTATTTGACTTTTATCAGACATATTTTCTTGTTGCCCACTAAGTTTGCACTTTACTGTTGTTGCCTGAAAACTTGGAAATTACAATTTGTAAAAAATAAGTTCACCGTTATAATTGCTATAAGCCAAGCAATAACAAGTGTAATTATTAAAACTCCATTAGCGAGGAAATACAAAGGATTGCGAGAATAATCAGTTCCAAAACTTCCTTCGAATAGACGAACCTTTTTAATTTTTTATTTAAAGTTTATTTTTTTCAAGTTTATTTTTCTCTCTCTTACAGTTTGTTCAGTCCCTCCACTAACACTTCCTTTAGTATCAAATTGTTTAGATTCAATAGCGGCAGCCAGAGCGCTATAATTACTCCCTCCAGTAATGGCTTGGAAGCCTCCGCTAATTGAATTTCCACTTCCTCCTGTCCCTCCATTATTTCCATTATTATTATTAGATTGTTGAATGAGACTAGTCCCTTCTTGACTCGAATTTAAATTTATGCCCATACTTAATTGTAATTCTTCCCATTTTTTTGACCGAGAAAGACGTTCCAGTAAATACTTGAAATTTTAATTTTAACTAAAAATCATCTGCCTCTTACATTTGGATCAACTTTTGAATAAAAAAGTAGAAAGGATTGAACTAAACAAAAAACAATAGCAACACCCAGAAATACAGGAACGTTTTTGGGGGCGAATACTGTTGACATTTGTCCAGCCGTCTTGCGGTAATGGTACAAGAAAAGAAGACAGAAGCAAAATGCAGTAAATAGGAAACAACCGGCGCCAAAGGCTGCTAGTCCATTCTGTGGGAAATAGGTTGATTAAATTGAAGTTGATATTAATAAACTTGAAAATATAAATAGAATATAATAAACTTGGAAATATAGAATAGAAATAAATAAACTTGATCAGAAACTTAACTTATAATTAAATAAAGTTGGAATTTACAATAAATAAACTTGGCTACTAATTAATAAACTTGGAAATAGAAATAAATAAATAAACTTGAAACTTGAATTTTAATTTACAAACTTAAAAATAAAGAAAAAGTTTTAACTTAGAATATAAGTTTTACAATTTGTTTTACAATTTGTAAGCTTAAATTTCCTAAATAAACTTGAATATTAATTTACAATAAATAAACTTGGCTTAGAATTAATTAAACTTGAAAATAGAGAACTTAAAGTTTTACAAATTAGTTTTTACAATTTGTAATTAAATTTACAATAAATAAACTTGCCATAAAGTTGGAAGTCAAACCAGCATTGCTCAACGCTAAAAGTCCATGTGGTATCCGAATATTAGTGCTAGCTAGGGTAATAGATTGTGGGGCGACTGCCATTAATGCTAAAGCTACAAAAATGTATCCAACGGAAATACTGCGCATAAAAATGAGAACTTCCTTTAAATTAATAATTTAATTTTAAAATAATTTATTTTTTCGTTTACTTGAACTCGTTCAACTCGTTGTATTCGAGTAACCAGAATAAAAAGTAAATTCATAACAATTCCAACCATAGAAAGTATAGCACAGTATGCCGTAAAGGATCTCATTTTCAAAATAAAATGAAAAATGAATATATTTATTTATTACCTTTGGAATGGTTTTGGACTGATATAAAGGGGAAATGCCAAGGAAAAGTATAAAAAAATTTAAAAGTGTGCGGTTGTCTTGCCACCATCAATTTATTCAACACTTAAATCTTTTGATAAATCGGCTTTAGATTTTTTTTGACAAATTTAGTTATTGAAAAAAGTGAGGAAAAGATGAGAAAATAATAATAAAGGCTATTAAATAAATTAAAAAAGAAGTGTTGTCGTTGGTTATTATTTTAAATATGTATTTTATTTGAGGGAAAAAATATGTGACGACAAAGAAGAATTAATTTTAAAAAATAGTGATTAGAAAATAAACTTGGAATACAATTTTAAAATAAATATACACCTAAAAATGAACTTGGACATATAATTGTAATCAAGTTTGTAATTAAGGCTGTGAACCACTGCTAACTTAATAAACTTGGAATACAATGCTAATAAAATAAACTTGGAATATAAAAATAAACTTGAATATACACATAAAAATAAACTTGGACATATAATTGTAATTGTAGTTGAGTTTGTAATTAAGTTTTACAAATAGATAGACTTCAATTTATACATAAAATAAACTTGGATTTGTAGTTGTAATCAAGTTTGTAATTAAAGTTTGTAAAATAATAACTAATAAATTCCGCCTGCTTTTGAGTATATTAGTGCAATATGATTAGAATAGTGCAATTCTAAGAACTTATTGTTTTCCGGTAAGTTTATTTAATATTTACTCCTTCTTTCACTTAAGTCACCTATTGTAATCTTGATTACCTCTTCTTTATTAACTAGTTATATTAATAAATTGTGTATACAAATAATAAATATAAAAGATATTTTCATTTATTCATTACCTTTTATTAACACTCCTAATTTATAATTATTAATGCCTTTTCAACTTGTACGACTTTCAACAGTTTTCCTCTTCAATATGCTCATATTGGGATATAATGGACAGCAGCCTGCTGCCGTTAGTTTTTAAAAATTGAATTTTGAATTAAAAGTGGTATATTTAGTGGCCAGCAACCAGCTACTCCCCCTACTTTCAAGCATTGTTTGCTGAGGCAAGTGCTCCCGTGCCCGCTCTACCTTCTGGTTTGGGAGCTCAGGGTGATAAATAATAAATTATGAGGATTAATTAAAGTTAAACCCTAGCACCAGCTATACCTGTTGGATTCCCTCTTGGACCTGGAACTCCAGCTATGGCACCTCCAGTAGTTGGTAGAAAGTGAAAAACAAACAAAATTATAATTTGTAATTGATTTACTAATTTTACAATTAATAAATTGGATAAAAACTAATAAAGTGTGTTTTATTGGTATTTTAAGTTTTTAAGTTTGCAATTCAAGTTTATTTTCATATTTAAAGTTTATTTTTACAAATCCATGTTTATTTTTTACAATTCAAGTTTGTGCTAACAAAACCAAGTTTTTTTTACAATTCAAGTTTATTTATAAAAATTCAAGTTTATTTTTATATTTAAAGTCTAATATTACAACTCAATATTAGTTTTACAAATCCAACTTTAATTTTTTACAAATTCAAGTTTATTTGATTAATATCTATTCTATTTCAAGTTTTATTCTATTTCAGCTTTTAACACTTAAATATATATTTGCACTGGTTGATTAAGCACTCCATCTTTATTTACCCTTTGCCTTCTAGCATTTGACATTATTTTTTTAAATTTTCTTTTATTATCTTAATGAAACCAGCATTTTTGTGGTTGTTATTATTGAGCAAAAAAATCTTTTAAAAAAGGATAAACTTGTTATTTTTCTCCCACACAGAGATATAATAAATAAATTTTATTTATTCTTTTGCACTTTTTTCTTCGAGAGTGAAGGAAGATATCATTTCCTTTGACACGAGTTGATATCTGTTTTTTGGTTAACAATCATTTTACGCCTTGTTAGGCGCTGTTCAAATAAATAATAGAGAATTGGGGGTGGAACTGCTCAGTTTTTAAAAATAAATAAAAATTGTAAAACTTTTACAAAATGTTTTTAAATTCAAAAATTATTTTTATGTTGATTCTTGGCAATTTTTTAATTATTAAGGTGATTTGACTATTTAATTTATTTTAATAAATTAATTTTGTTAAAGGCAGACATACAGAATTTGAACAGAATATTCTCTTCAGACGTAAGTTTAAATAATTTACAAATTGTAAATTTAAAAATTACAGATTGTAATTAATTTACAATTAATTATAAATAAACTTGAATAAATAGAATATAATAAACTTGAATATAAACTTGAAACAAGTTTTACAAAAAGTTTCACAATTTTACAAATATAATTAAACTTTAAAATAAACAAGTTTTACAATTCAAATTTATTTTTATTTGAATTGTAAAACTCAAGTTTATTTAATTTTTTCAAGTTTATTTTTACAATTAAAGTAAAATAAACTTAAGATTATAAACTTTTAAATAAACTTAAGTGTACAATCTTTATAAATTTATTTTTACAATTAGCCTCAATCTTCAAGCAGACGCCTTATTAGACAAGCACCTTTTGACAGCGATGAAGACGCCACAGGGGGAGCTTCACCTGACAATGGGAACTTTGATGGTGAAGGGGCAAAGGAAGAGGAAAACTCTCCGGATACTATGATGATTTATGATGATGATTCTCCTGTTACCGAAGAAAGTGAAGGGAAGGAGGGGAAAGAGGTAAAGGTAACAACTACAAATAATCAACAACAAACTTCAACAATAAAAACAACAATTGCAAGTACTTCAACAATCAAGCCAGAAACAATAACAACAAATAATACCCCCAAAAATATAACCAAAATTGAGAAGAAACTTGCCGGAAAACTTGAAACTTTAAATTCTGATAAAAATACAACTTTTCCGGGAATAAATAATATTAATATTAAATCAGAAAAAGCTTCTATTAAAAATGAAGAAAATTTCAAAAGCAAAATACACAGAAAGAATTGTAATAGTGAAGTAATAAGAAGAATAATACTTGAGGTGTTTAATGACAATGTTTGTAATTAAAGTTTATTTATTAATTTTTTTAAGTTTATGAAAACAAGTTTATTTTTGCGAACTAAGTTTATAAACTTGAAAATAAAATATATAGATATATAAACCTAAAAAAAAGTTTATTTTTGCAAACTTAAGTTTATAAACTTGAAAATAAAATATATAAACTTATAAACTTAAAAACAAGTTTATTTTTATATTTCAAGTTCAAGCTTAATTTTTTATAGTTAACTTTATTAAAAATACATTTCAGAATATTGGCGCTAGACCTTCCGTTGCAAAACGTAAAATCCAATCAAAAGCAACCGATCAAATAGGCGGCAGAATTGACGTGATTTGCTCTCGAAAGGCCTTTAGCTATGTTGTTAATAGTGGTATATATTTTTTTAATATTTTGTGTCCCAAGCATTTTTTAATTAAGAGGTATTCTGCGAAGTGGAGAAGGCGGATATTGTCTGTCTCTGTTATAAACAGCAAGGATGAGTGAAAATGAGAAAAGTTTATTTATTTTTTTTATTTATTGAATGTGCCAAAATTGCTTTTATTTTATTTAATGTTGTATAAATATTTATTTATAAATAACTCTATTTTCTAGCTTGAACTTAATTCAAGTTTAATTTATTTTCAAGTTTGAACTTAATTTAAGTTTGTAAACTTAAGTTTAATGTTTTAAATATTAAAATGAATGTTTTCCGGAAAATGTTCGTTTAAAGGTTTTAATAAATTCCGGAATGTTTTTAAAGTTTCCGGAAAGTTTAAAAATGTTTTACAAACGAAAGTTTAATTAAACATGTTTTAAAACAAGTTGGAAACAAGTTGAATTATAAATAAACTTGAATTTGATATGTTTTATAAAATTAAACTTGATATGTTCATATTACAATTGTCATCAGCATTTTCTTTGTATTTCTCACTATATTACATTCCAACCTTTTTTATATACTTATTGTTAGCTTTCTTCTTGACCTCAAACCAATTTCTATTCTTTACTTCTTCCCAAGAGTCCTTTTATTTACTTGGATTTAATTTTGTGTGGCAAATTGCTTTCTTTGCTTTAAAAACCTTTTTACGCTTTTCCTCCTCTCACGCGTTTATTTTTCATTTTATTTAGAGCAAAAATTTTATTTTTTTATCCTCGCAGCAATAAACGTTCTTTTCCTCGTTTCTCAATAAATCCAATTTTATTCAAATATCACTGATTGTCCCCAAAAATGCTTGGAAAGGATTCAAAATTTATGAAAATGACTGCCAAAATGCGTCAAGAGACTTATCGTCGAAAATCGTTAGTATCCCTCCCCCAATAATTTTTTTTTAAATTTTAATTTGAAGAAGTGATATATTAAACGCAGCAAAGTCTGTTTATGGACCAGCACCTAAACCCTTTCCGGTAATTTTAATAAAATCGTTTTAATTTAAAAAAAAATAAAGGATCGAAATGAATGGTTGAATCAACGCTTTTCCAATATTTATTGGTCTTTTAGAAAATTACAATTTCAATTATTTTTTAAAAATGAAGGTTGGTATAAATTTAAAAAAAAATTTATTTATTTTTAAAATATTACATAGGCAGTTTTTTTTAATTTAAAATTTAATTAAAATATTCTACTAAATAAAACTTTGTTATAATAAAAAAGGAATATTGAGCTTTAATATTTTTTTAAATTTAATGGCAAATGGTAAAAGGGAAGGGAATTATTATAATTTGTAAAAATATTACAAAGGGTTGTAATTTTTCAAGTTTATTTATTCTCAAGTTTATTAAGTTCAATCTTAAGTTTTATTTATATTTTCAAGTTTTATTTTATATTCAAGTTCAATCTTAAGTTTTGTATTTATATTTCAAGTTTGTATTTATTTTCAAGTTTTATTTTATATTCAAGTTTATTTTCAAGTTTATTTAAGGCGGGTTTATCAATCTTAATTTATTCAAGTTTTCAAGTTTTTATTAATTCCAAGTTCAAACTTACTTTTCTAAGTTTTATTTTATTCAAAAGTTTATTATGTATTTCAGGTTTATTTTTGTTTATTAATTTTAAGTTTGTATTTATTTTTGGGTTTATTATATTTCAAGTTTAAGCTTAAAACTCAACCCTTTGTAATCTTAAAACCATTTTGTATAAGTATTTTTACTATTGCTATTTTTCTATCTAATATTGACTAGAGAATTTTAAATAGTTTTTATTCTATTAGAAGGGCACTTTTCCATTTAAAAGACAGCTGTGAACGAGTCAAAGGAATCTAACCAGTCGATTGCCTAAAATATTTTTTTTTAATATTTTTCAAAATATTTCAAGTAAATTCAAAATTTTACCCTTTCGTTTTCCTCATTAAAAAATAAAGTATTCTCTTCATTCTGAGCTATTTCTGTTGTGAATGATGTTTGTTGTTGTTGAGGAGTGTTATTGTTATTATTGTTTAATTCATGGAATAAATTTGTTGAGGCAGTGAAAGAAGACGAAAAAATGTTGGAGGAATTATTTCGATGCATTTCAACTTCTTCGGCCAAAAAATTGGCTAAACGATCTGTTTGGGAATTATTTATACAATTTGTTGTTGTTGTTGTTGTAGATTGATCATTTTGTAAAACTTCCATTAAATCCTGCATTGTTTTTTCCATTTCTTGACTATGTATAATATGTTCAAAGGATTGTTGTTGTCTTTGTTCTTCTATTAATAATTGGGATTCTGCTAAATAAATATTATTGTTAATTGGTGTTGTTGTTGGTTGAGGGGAATTATTGTTGTTGTTGCTATTATTGTTTCCTTCGAGGACTGAACGGAAAATTTCTTCCATGTCAAAAGTACTACCGGAATTGATTGCTCCTATTTATATATAAGGTTATAGAAATACATTTCCGGAAAATTTGTTTCATAGAAATACATTTCCGGAAAGATATATTAGTTTTCCGGAAAAATTAATATATTAATATGTTTCAGTAAATTTCCGGAAACTATAAAAATTATTTAATGTTTTCCGGAAAAATTGTTTCATAAAAATTTATTTCCGGAAAGTTATACTTTCCGGAAAAATTAAATAATAATATGTTTCAGTAAATTTCCGGAAAATTAATTCATGTTTTCCGGAAAACATATTAAACACATAAAAACATTTACCCAAAGATGAGTTTGGCCGTTTCTGATTATTAATATTGTTGTTGTCAAAACATTCACAACTCGAACGTTTAAAAACATCTTTTGTATGTTCGTTTGAAATTAAACCTTCCAATGCAGATTTACTTCGGACACCTCCTTTGCGTTTAAACATTGTTATGTTGTTAATGTTTTGATGTTTTTCTTTGTTTGAATGTTTCCCAACTTTTCTCTTATGTTTTGTTGTTGTTGTTTCAACTAAATTTTGTTCTTCTTGAGTATTTAATGAATGTTCGGAATGTTGTAATAAAAGGTTATTGTTTGGAGAATAATTTAAGAGAGGTTGTTGTTGGTTTGTTTGGTTTGTTGTTGTTGTATTACTATTTAATAGACTACTATTATGTTCAAGCTGATAACGCCTCAAAAGCCGAACAATTAACAATGCTGTTTTTGATTCTTGCCCAATTAATCTACAAATATCTTGAACTGCTTGTTCTGTATGTAATTCTTCCTGAAGTTTTTGCTCAGCACAAACTAAGGCTTTTTGCCCATTTATTTGTCTCTCCAACGTTAATTGTTGTTCTCTATGGGTATTTATTAATTGTCCAAGCCAATATTCAACCTGCCCAAAAATTATTCCAGTTTCCGGATCTCTAGGTTGGGACTCTTTTCTAGCTTCTCCCAACATTTGTTGATGTTTTTGTAAACCTATTTGTGAACGAGTCAATTCTTTTTGTAATTCTGCAATTTTTTGTTGTTGTTGTCTAAGCAATTCTTCATGTTTTGATAATGTTGCAGCACTCAATAATTGTTCATTTCCAACAAAACATTGTTGTTGGTTTTGTAAACAACAACAACAGTTTATTGCGTTGTTTATGTTGTTGTTTTCATTTTCTCTAATCGAAACATGTTGTTGTTGTTGATGTTTTTGTTGAAATATGTTTTGTTCATTTAAATGTTTTTGTTGTTGTTCTGGTATTATTTCTTCTCCAACAACATTGTTTTTATTAAAACTTGGAACACAAACATCCGAACAACAAACATCTGAACATGGAGAGGAATGAGACGACAACATTTGAAAAGGCGAACAACAACAAAGTTGTTGTTGATAATTACAACATTTATTTGTACTAAACTTTTGTTGTTGTTTTATTAAAGTTTGGGGAGGTTCTAAAAATGTTTTTGAGTTGATTTGTTGTTGTTTTTGTTGTTCTTTGTCAAGTTGTTTTTCCTCTTTACAACAAGTTTTATTTTCTTCAGAAATAACAATACTGATATCAGCAGGTTCTAATGGTGTAAACTAAAAATTAAAACTTGTTTTTAAAAACTTGTTTTGTTTAATGTTTTTTAAAAACAAAACAAACTTGTTTTGTTCAATCTTTTAGAAACAAAACAAACTTGTTTTTTTAATGTTTTTTAAAAACAAAACAAACTTGTTTTGTTCAATCTTAGAAACAAAACAAACTTGTTTTGTTTAATGTTTAATAAAAACAAAACAAACTTGTTTTGTTTAATGTTTTTTAAAAACAAAACAAACTTGTTTTGTTCAATCTTTTAGAAACAAAACAAACTTGTTTTTTTAATGTTTTTTAAAAACAAAACAAACTTGTTTTGTTCAATCTTAGAAACAAAACAAACTTGTTTTGTTTAATGTTTAATAAAAACAAAACAAACTTGTTTTGTTTAATGTTTAATAAAAACAAAACAAACTTGTTTTGTTTAATGTTTTTTAAAAACAAAACAAACTTGTTTTGTTCAATCTTTTAGAAACAAAACAAACTTGTTTTTTTAATGTTTTTTAAAAACAAAACAAACTTGTTTTGTTCAATCTTAGAAACAAAACAAACTTGTTTTGTTTAATGTTTAATAAAAACAAAACAAACTTGTTTTGTTTAATGTTTAATAAAAACAAAACAAACTTGTTTTGTTTAATGTTTTTTAAAAACAAAACAAACTTGTTTTGTTCAATCTTTTAGAAACAAAACAAACTTGTTTTTTTAATGTTTTTTAAAAACAAAACAAACTTGTTTTGTTCAATCTTAGAAACAAAACAAACTTGTTTTGTTTAATGTTTAATAAAAACAAAACAAACTTGTTTTGTTTAATGTTTTTTAAAAACAAAACAAACTTGTTTTGTTCAATCTTTTAGAAACAAAACAAACTTGTTTTTTTAATGTTTTTTAAAAACAAAACAAACTTGTTTTGTTCAATCTTAGAAACAAAACAAACTTGTTTTGTTTAATGTTTAATAAAAACAAAACAAACTTGTTTTGTTTAATGTTTAATAAAAACAAAACAAACTTGTTTTGTTTAATGTTTTTAAAACAAAACAAACTTGTCCTCCAGATCCCATTGTAGCAAAACTAAATGTTTTTTCTATTGTCGGAGAAACATTTTGTTTTTCATCAACATCTTCTCTCCCTTCCTCCTTTCCTTCTTCATCTCCAACCTCTTTTAACTCTTCTACAATTTTATCATCTCCCTCCTCTACTCTCTTCTCTTCCTCCAACAAACATTGTTGTTCATTGTTTCCCCTTATTTCAATGTTTTCCATGTTTTTGTTGTTCAGATAAACATTATTATTATTATGCCCACACGAACAACATTTACACCCAACATTTTTATTAAAGTTTCCCAAAAACACTGGTTTCCAACTTTTACTGAAAAACATGTTCGTTGTTTTGTTGTTTGTTCTACCAATTCTTTTTTGTTTATTAATGTTTTTGTTATTATTTTTTAGTCTTGAATTAATTTTTAAATTTGTTGTTGCTTCAGTGTATCCATTTCTTCCATCGATGACTGAGTCAATTACCTTTAAAAAAATTTTTTTTTCTTTCAAAGAAAAAATTTTTTTTCTTCCAAAAAAAATTTTTCTTGTTCCAAAAAAATTTTTTTAATATCCCCCTTCCCCCTTTTATTTTTATTTATTTTACTACCAACCGCATCAATAACAGAAGGAGAGGAACAACAGCCGCCGCCACTTTCTCCCCCCAAACAAGAAGAATTAGAAGAAAACAAAGCTGGAGACGAGTCAACAACAACACCATTATTAACGTTCTTTTTCTTCTTTTTTAACACAATTCCTTCATTAAATATAAGCAAAGACTCCCTTTGTTGCTGCAAAATTATTGAATGCTCAAAAGGTTGAAGCCGGTCAATCAACGCTTGTTTAGATCCAGAAACAGCCAATCCTCTCTTTTTACATTCAGTCTAGAAAAAAATAAAAAGAATATAAATCACACACAAATTTACTTTAAACAGCAGTCTGTCTGGGAATTTTTATTTAAAAAATTTTTTTCTTATTTATTTTTAGAGGGGCGACATTTGTATACATTTTTGGGCCCTTGTTTGAGTCAAAACTTGTTTTTATTAGGTGTTGTTTATTTATTATTGTTTATGAGAAACAATTAGAAAAACAAAAACAAGTTTATTCTTTCCATAAAAACATGTTTATTTAGAACAAAACTTGTTTTTCTATGTTTTTATTAAACTTGTTTGTGAGAAACATGTTTAATGTTTGCGACGAAAAACAAGTTTATTTCTACTCTAAAAACAAGTTTATTTTTTATCAAAACAAGTTTATTTACAACAACAATACATTTTTTAGAAAAACATGTTCAAAAACAAGTTTATTAAAATAAAACAAGTTTGCTTTTTACTAAAAACATGTTTATTTTATTTAAACATGTTTTTATCAATTTTTGAAGCCCAGAAATAAAAACAAAATTTATACCTTTAATTCGTGTACTCTCAAATCATCCAACCCGAGGCTTTGATTAGTACTATTCCATTCCTCTGGAACCTCTCCAGTAGTTGAAGTAGGCTCTTCAACTAAACCTGCCGAATAAACCCTATGTAATGGTGTTGTTGCTATATTAGTTGAGGTTAAAAATGTTTGGGGAAATGGAGATGTTGCTGTTGTTGCTGAGAGGGATTGGTCTAGAAAAAACATGTTTAGAAACATTTTAGTAAACATTGTTTATTATTAAGAAAAACATGTTTATTTAGAATAAAACATGTTTTTATATATTTGTTTGTAAACATGTTTGTGAGAAACATTTTTAATGTTTGCGAAAAAACAAGTTTATTTTTACTTTAAAAACATGTTCATCAAAACAAATTACAAGAAAACAAGTTTATTTAAAACAAGTTGGTTTTATTAAAACTTTTTTTTATTAAAACTTGTTCTTATTAAACTTGTTTTTAATGTTTCTAAGAAATTCCAACAAACCTTCCATAAACAAAAAAGCATTGTTATTACTATTTATTTGTTGTTTTGAATAAAAACTATTTCCATTTGTTCCCATTTAAAATAAATTAAATTTATTTAAAAAATCCTTTAAAAATTTTAAAAATTTTTAAAAAATTTTTGGAAATAATTTTAAAATAGGTAAAATAAAGGTAAAAATAAAAAGAGAAATGAACAGGTCAGAATTTTAGCTAAAAACATTCAAACAAAAAAATGTGGCGACAAAGCGAAAGAAAAGAGAGGTAAAGCACATAAAGCTTTTCAAGTTTGCGTCAGAAGAAAATGAGTGTTTTAGTAAATAGTTGAGGGGAGTAAAAAATTGACTATTGGTTTAGTCTAGGATTTATAACTCATGAATGGGTAAACTTGATAAAATAAATTTGGTATCAATAAATAGGTAATTAAATTCTCTATTAATTAAAAAAAGAAAAAAATTTTTTTAATAAAAAAAATATGTTCAAAAAAGGTCGAGAAATGCCCAAAACCCTTCATTTTCGTTAATTTTTTTGGATATTTTTTAAAATAAATTTTTATAAAATTTTTATTTTTAGCTGATTTTAGCAGTAAATTTAATTCTCTATTTAATAGTAACCTTTAAAAAAATTTTTTCAATTTTTGAATTTTTAAAAGAAAAAAAGAGGAAATAATTGTTTGCGTCAAGGTTCCTAAACTTATAAATGAGGGGGAAAGCAAGCTAGAAAAAAAAATGCGGGTGGGCAAGGCAGTAAATAAAAAAAGAAAAATAAATAAAGAAAAATATAAAAATGATCGGAAGCCTTTTTTGAGTGATTTTTCAACGTCAAATAATTTTTTTGGAAAAAGGATATTTTTAAATCTTTTTTTTGTAGAGAAAAAAGAACAACAGATGTTTTGAGGACTCGGAAGTTGAGGAAAAAATAAAAAAAAATTAATATATTTTTGGCATTAGGGAAGGGGGAAGGGTTGTTAGCGATTTAAACAATTTGTTTTTATGCATGTAAAACATTTCCGGAAAACGAATTGTTTGTTTTTGGTTCCGGAAAAATCAGAATTAAATAAAAACAACGCCTCATGTAAACCAGAATTAAACAAAAGTGAAACACAAAAACAAAGAAAAACACCCAAACATTCAACTTTTCGAAGAACAAATGTTTATTAAACATTCAAACACGACCACAAACAAACCACAGATTAAAACAACTATAAAAACATTCTGAAAAAATCAGAATTAAAATCAAACAAATATTCAAAAATAGATGAAATACAAACCCTTCCAGACAGTTTATAAAAAGATTATTAGGTGTTTAAAGATTAAATCAAGGGAAATTATAAATAATTATTAAAAATAGATTTAAATTGAAATATGATTTTTGAAGGTTTTATATTTTTTTAATTTTTGAAAAAAATTTTGCTGATCTTTGAAATTTAAAAATTATTTAAGGAACTGCGTAGGAAATTAGTGTGTTTAAATATAGGATCAGAATTTAATAAAAACATTGTTTAAAAAAATCAGAATCTGATAAAAACATTAAGAGTTTAATAAAATCAGAACTAAATAAAAACATTGAAAGTTGAATAAAATCAGAACAAAACAAAATCAGAATTAAACAAAAACAATGTTTCATAAAAATCAGAATAAAATTAAAACATCGAGAATTTAGATAAATAAAAATCAGAATTAAATAAAAACATTCTCCCAGAAAACCCCAATAAAACTTGAAATTGTTACTGACTAAGCTTGAGTTAAAAAATATATCTATTTATAACTAGCTAAATTAAGATTGGGTATTAAATAAAATGGATTAAAAACGGATATTAAAGGTAAAAAGAAAGTAATAAATTTATAATTATTTTATTTTTATTTTTAAAACATTTTTTCTCTCAAAGTAACATCCATTTATTTTATTTTTTCTTTTCTTTCTTGATTTTCACGTTCAATTTTTATTTAAAGAATTTTAGTTAAAAATTAATGAAAGAAGAAAAGGGTTAAACCCAAAAAAAATTTTTTTTCTAACACCCAAAATATCAAAAATAAAAAGATTAGAGGGAAGAAAGAGCTTCCACTGATTTTTAAAGCTCCCCAAAGTCGATATTTTGGGTTAATTAAAAAAAAGTTCAAGCCTTTAAGTGTTAAAAATAAAAATTTATTTAGCTAGATTGATGGGTAATCCAATTTTTAAAATAAAAAAAGGGCAAAGTAATTAATAATGTTGAAAAAAAAGCTTGAAGATAAAAGGTTAAGGAAAAGCATGAGGAATTAAAAAAAATTTTTTTTGCAAAAAAAAACTAAAATAAAAATCCTTACTTTTATTTTCTTAAACTTTTATTTATTTGTTACTTATATTTGTCATTTTTTTATTTTTTTTGTTACGCGCATTTAAGTAACAGATCAGATTTCATTCATGCACTCATCTTCCGCCCTTCCGTCTGCTTTACGTAAGCTATAAATATATAAATGTTAAAAACATTAAAAACATTTATTTTACTAAGCATAGCTTGTTAAAATAGAAAAAACATAAACACGAGAAACAAAATTAGAAACCAGAATTTAAAAACAACAAATCAGAAAAACACAAAAGAAAAACAAAAATAAAACCAGAATAAAATATAAACATATTTAATTCATTATAAGCTTAAAACTTTAGAAACAGAATTTAAAAACAACAAATAAAACCAGAATTTAAGAACAACAAATCAGAAAAACATAAACTTAAAAACAAAACTTAAAAACATAAACTTGAAACCAGAATAAAATATAAACATATTTATTCAAATTACAACTTAAAACTTAAGATTAAAAAAACCAGAATTTAAAAACAACAAAACCAGAAAATCTTTTAAATATTAATAAATTAGAATTACAGACCAGAATTTTTTTAATAGATTTAATTAATTAATCAGAACAATTGATTTATAATTTAACCTAACATTAATCAGATTTTTCTCAATTAACCTAAAATAATATTTAATTGTTGCCAGTTGTTTAATTGTCTCTATTCAACATTATTTCTTTTTTCTACTAATATCCCTTTAATTTTTTTCCTTCTTTTTATCTCTCCTTTGGGGACTCATTAACGTTATTTTTTTCTATTAGAAATATAAAAACTAACTAAAAAAGAATAAAATTTCCTTTTAAAAATTTCATTTTTTGTTTGCCAAACTCCCTTTCCGGAAAAGAAAAAAATAAATACATGAGGGAAAAATAGATGGGAGAAAGCAGGAAGGAACTTTTAAGGCTTTGAAAAGCAAAGTGCGGCTGGTAGGAAAAAAGAAAAGAAGCCAGAGGCAATAATGGGACTTTTTGCTTACTCTAGATATAACTAAACTAAGTATGTATATATTCACTTCCTGTCACTTTAAGAATTTCCATTCTCAGTTTCACATTTTATTCAATTTATTCTATACATGCGCGTATTTAAGTGACATAATATAAGCTTTTTATTTTTTAAGCTTAAACTTGATTAAAATTAATAAAACTTAAGTTCACACTTAAAAACATTTAAAATAAAATAACTTAAGTTTAAACTTAACTAAATTTGAGTAAAACTTAAGTTCACACTTAAAAACATTATTAAACTTAAATTAAAACTTAAGTTTAAACTTGAAACTTTAATTAAAACCTAGTTCAAACTTAAAAACATTCTTAAAAATAAAACTTGTTGTAAAACATAAAACAAACATTTACAGTAAAACCAGAATAAAATCTAAACATGTTTAAATACACTTACAACTTTAAAACTTAAGTTTAAAAAATCAGAATTTAAAAACAACAAAACAAGAAACTTTTAATAAATCAGAATTCCAAACAAACAAACATTTTAAAACACGTGTTTTTCTCTTTATAGTTATGGACACTGTTAGTTTGGATGATTTAACCAGAATTGAGCCGCCTGAAAAACCTCCCAGTTTAGAACAATTACAACAATTGACAGGAAATCGTTTTTCTTTGAGATGGCTCAAATATACCTACAATCGATTTAAAAATGTATCGAAAAAAAATTTTTTTAATAAATTAATCTTTCCAATTTTTAAAAAGGAATGCCCAACTGGAAGAATGCACTTTACAGAATTTCGACGTCTTTTTGGAGGATTCCTTCCTGATAGATTGAACGTAAAAAGAGATAAATGTCTTTTTTTATTAAAAAAAATTTTTTTCCAAGGACAACTATTTGGAACGAGTGTTTCATGCTTTTTGCCGAACTCATCAAGAACAATTGTCGTTTAAAGTAAAAAAAAATTTTTTTTTGAAAAAAAATAAAAATTATTTAAAGGATATGGTTGTAACTTTATCTAAAATTTGTGATGAAAGTCCAGAATCTAATGCTGAATGGATTATGAGATTAATTAATAGAAATGTTAATAATAATGGACAAATTAGTTATAAAGTGAGAAAAAAAATTTAAAAAAATTAAAATTTTTTAAAGGATTTTTTGGAATTTATTAAATCCGTGTTTACTCTGCGCGGAAAAAGCGAACAAAACGAACTTAAAAGAATGCAAACATCTATTCGACGCGCAACAATGGCTGAAGATTGTTCGTTAGCTAGTAGTAATGTTCGTTTGGAAAATAAACAAAAACAATCATTACAACATTCACCACGCCCACCAACAACATTCAAAACAGCGGTAAAAACATTAAAAATTAAAACATGTTTTTAAACAAGTTTTTGTTCTAACATGTTTTAGACATGTTTTTGAGAATGTTTTTAAAATAAACTTGTTCTTCAAAATGTTTTTGAAAATGTTTTAAAAATACTTTTAAGGCATTACTAGCATCGGCCGTAACAACACCTACAGCAGCCCCAGCAATTGCTAGTTTTGTTCCTTTTGTTGGCAATTCAAAAAGAGAATCCTCTTCTCCTGATCATGAATTTAGTAGGGCAATAAACAGAAGGGCATTCTTTCTGTTTGAGGTTAGTTCAAAAACAAGTTTATTTAACATGTTCGAAACTAAGTTTATTTAAACAAAATAAACTTGTTTTGAAATAAACTTGTTTGTTTTAGCAAACAAACATTCAAACAAACATTTAATTTAACAAAAACATTTTAATTAAAACATCCTCTCAAAAACATTTAAAAACACATAAAAACATTTCTTCCATCCAAACTTCAAAACACTTGCAAACAACAAAACACAAACATTTTCACAAACATTTAAACCCCCACTAAACTTCTAAAAACATATAAAAACATTTTCAAACAAACAATAAACATTCTTTAAGGAGTTGGACAGTGAACAAAAAGGTTATCTCACTTCAACAGATTTTGAACGATTCTTCACTAAACAAAAAGTACACCTCATATAAAAAAATATATAATTTTTATATAATTTTTATGTAATTTTATTTTAAAATCTGAAAAAAAAAACTTTTAAAAATAGGAATGTATTTTTAAAAAAATTAATTAATGGCACAAAAAAGATATATATTTTAGGATTAAAAAAAAGAAAATTTCTACAAATTTTAATAAATTTTTAAAAAATACAAGGATCTCTCTTTTTAAAAATGTTGTAGTAATTGACTAGAGGAAACATTGCACATGCCCCAATGACAGAGCCAATCTAGGAATTTTAATTTGGAAAAAAAAATTTTTTTAAGAAAAGGAGATCTAAAAGGTAAGGGAAAAAAGAGGGAGAAATCAGAAAAAAAATAAAAAAAAATTTTTTTAGAAAAATTAAAAATCGTCGGAATAAAAATAAACATCTCCTAAAATTCCTCAAAAATCCAAAAAATTTCATAAGAATCCCCAAAAATTCCCCAAAAATTCATTTATTAAATTTAAAATAACCTGCATAAAAAATCCACACCAAAAAAGAGCTTTTTCACTGTTTGCTTGTTCACTTCTAACCAATCCAGTAATTAATGTACGTAAATATGAACATAAAAATCCTGCCAAAACGGATGCAGACACCTTTAAAAAATAAATTAGTTTAATTTAAAAATTAAAAAAAACCGAAAGGAGACTTCCCATAAATGGGAAAGAATTTCGAAGCATTGGTTCTGGACTTTGAAGTGCCAAAATAAAAATAAATATAGTACTGGCTGTTAAATTAAAAATAAATTTTTTTTTAATTTTTTTTAATTTAAAATCAGAACCTGTACAAATAAAAGTTAAAATGAAGATAATAGATAATGAACGAGGTTTGCACCAAATTGGCAAAAAATTGGCTGGAGGGTGGGAAATATTAGAAAGTGTTAAAGCCAGATGATAGGTGATCTAGAGAATTTTAAAAAATATTTGAAAATTTAAAAAAAATTTTTTTGAAAATTCTAAAAAAAATTTTTAATTGAAAATTCTAGAAAAAAAAATTTTGAAAATTTCAAAAAAAAATTTTTGAAAAATTCTAAAAAAAATTAAAAAAAAACCATAGAATATGCAAGAGTAGCATAACTCTGAATTGAAGGAATTATTGTATTCATTTGTGCAGAAATTAAAGTTAACATTAAAATTAACATCCAATAACGCATTCCTCTACCATTATTATTGTTCTGCAATTTTATTATTCCATTGTTTTCTTTCACAACATTATTATTAGACTATAAAATGTTTTTAAATTTAATAAAAACATGTTTTTACAACGCCATGTTTCCTATAAAAACATGTTTTGCGTTGTAAAAACATGTTTCTGATAAACATGTTGAGGTTCTCAAAAACATGTTTTCAACAAACATGTTTACATAAAAACAAGTTTCACAACAAAACAAGTTTACAACAAAAACAATCTTCACAACAAAACAAGCCCAGCAAAACAAACAACATAACAAAACAAGTTCACAACAAAACATGTTTCACAACAAAACATGTTTCCCATAAACATGCTTACATAAAAACACGCTTACCAACAAAACAAGCCCAACAAAACAAACAAAATAACAAAACAAGTTTACAACAAAAACACGCTTCACAACAAACCACAAGTTTTTAATTAGAAAAAAGAGAAAAACAAGTTTGTTTTTCTTGTTTGGAAGAAAACTTGTTTTTACTGAATTTTTGTTTTGTTCGCAAACAACATTTCCCTTGTTTTACTAAAACAAAACAAACATGTTTTTCCGATTGTTTTTATGTTTCTATATCTCTTACATTAAGAGGACTCTGTTCGTCTGCAACAACAACACCAACATTATTTTCATCAATTTGTTCTCTAACAACTTCAGCAAAAGCATTTTCACCAACAATTTGTTTTGTTTCTTTAACTTTCTTATTTTCTTTTGCATGTTCAAATTTCCAATGTAAAATAGCAAAAGCAAGTGTAGCAACACTCATCCAAACAAATATTAGAGAATTGTAAATTTTTATAGAGAAGAGAGGTTCTGTTGGGATTGCTTTTAGTTGTAATGTTCCGTTGGGCAATAAATGTTCTACACAATTGTATTTTCCTACTCCTAAATTAAACAAGTTTTTTTAATGTAAGCGACATTTGTGAACAGACATTTGCGGACATTTTCAATAGGAGTAGGTTTTGTCCGCAAATATCTTGCGGACTGTCCGCAAATATGCCAATTTTAAATTAAAGCGACATTTGCGGACATTTTCCGTAAACATTTTTGTCCGCAAATACTTGCGGACATTTTTATTTACCTTGGGTATGTCCGCAAATACCCGTCCGCAAATATTTTAACTAAAAAATAACCTTGTACAAGCTTGAATAAACTCGGAATAAAAGAACTGAAGCTCATTCCAAGAAAGTAGGCACTCATATAAGAATTGTGAAAATCAGCCATGTAGGGCATAAAGAAAAGATTGGAGGAAGCACAAACCTTTACAAAGGAAAAAAATTTTTAAAGGTCAAAAAATTAAAAAAAAATACCAAAGCCATACAAAAAGTAAGAGAAATAAGAGCAACAGAATGTTCAGAATTAAACAACCAAAAAGTTTCTTGCCAAAAAAGTGCCAATAAAAGCATACAAATTGAGCCAAAAATTAACAATGAAAGAATTAAAGGTGCCTTGTTTGTATTAAAACGAGTATATCTGTGCCCGACAGAGTAAATTAGAGTTAGAAGACAGGCTGCCTGTGGGAGGAATTAATTTAAGAAAAATAAAAAAATTTTGGTACTTATTGGTTATCCCAAAGTAGTTTGTGCGGACATCTTAGGCAGACTCATTTTTGCACGGAATAGTCAAAGATTCTTTCTTCCTCGATTTTCTCAATTTTTCCTGTGCTCTCCTTGAATGAAGCCACGAGGAAAATTGAGTCCGCAAGTTTCAGTGGATTACCAATAGAAGGAAGGACCTTCTTGCTTTGTTGGACGGAAGAAGCTTTGACTATTCCGTGCAAAAATGAGCCCACAAAACTATTTTAAGATAACCGATAAGTAACGAAAATTTAAAAAAAGAACCTGTATAATCAAAGAAAGATATGAGGGAAGAGACCATCCTTCGGGCAAACGACTGGTATATAACGACAACTCGACCCAAATCGCATTTATGGTTAGCCATGTACTGAAAAATGAGAATTTTTTAATTTTAGAAAAATAAATTTAAAAAGAAAATGCCTCGATCCAAACATTATAACAAGCAAAAATGCAGTAACATTAACCATTTTCTACAAAAAAAAATTTTTTAAAAATTTTATAACTCGAAAAATTCATGGCATTGCTAGGTCATCCCTCTTATTTTTGGAGACCTATTGGCTAACCGTGTTCATAGGGAAAAGGCTTCTTACCAGTTATAGGCTTCTTACCAGTACAGGATCTAGGAAAAATAAGGGAAGAATCCTATGAAACTATGGATAAAGAAATCCGCAAATATTTGTCCGCAAGTTACAGGGGATAACCGAGAAATGCCAAATTTCAAAAATAAAGGTATTATTTAAAAGGATGTAACCAAATAAAAGAAAAAAAGCTTAACAAAAACACACATTTATACTTTAAATAAATTTACGATAAAACAACACTAGACAAGAGAAATATTTTTTCAAAAAAAAAATACTCAAAATCCGCAAAAATTTCTTTTCATATATTTAATCCCTAAATTAACTATATTATCTTCCCTTTACATTTTCTTCCTCTTTCGACTTATTCCAACTCATTCAGGCTGCACACGCGGCTTGTAAGGCCAAAGAGGTTTCTCCTTAGTCGCAAACAAAAAAGTAGCCATAGAATAAAGGATCATGAGAACACTACAACAGGCCATACCAAAAACAATATTTCGACCCACAGTCAACGGATAATTTGCTGTTTCTGTTGGAAGAGTTCCTCCAGCAGTGCCTTCCTTTAAAAAAGATTTTGATAAAATTAAAAAAGAATTTTTAAGAAAATACCCAAAGCTCGTCCTGAAGCTTTCTAATTTTGGGATCATAAAGTCCATACTTTCCCATAACCAATTCTCCACAACGAGTACCTTCTGGAAGACGAGGAAGAATTTTGCCTGCGACCTGAAAAAAGGTAAAAAATATATTGAGGAGAAAAATGGTCTAAATGTGAAAAAAACATTTTTTGCGGAAATCCGTAAAAATGTCCGCAAAAAAAATCCGCAAAATTAAACTTTTAAAAATACCCCAATTTGCCATTCTCCCGGATTGAGCGGGTCAAATTCTTCCAATGTTGGAGGCTTTTTACCAGTTACGGGATGAACAGCATATTGATAACTCGTCGCTTTGCTTCTTAAAAATATTGGAAAAGATGAAGCTTTAAAGGGAAAAAAAACTCAAACCTTTTTGCTATATAAAGCGGAATAGAAGCTCGAGAAAGCATTTGATAACACGGAAGATTTGAAAATAAAATTCACTGAAATGTGAAAAAATTAAAAAATCAGAAATATTTAAAGAAATTTTTTAGTTGAAAATGGCATTGGCCGTTAAGACTCAACTGCTCTCTATTAAAATTAAAAAAATTTTCTTTTGGCATTATGTATTTTATTTAAAAGGTCGCTTCAAAGTCGGAGTTTCATCGTCACAAGTTTTTCAAAAAAAAAATTTTTTTTTGCGGAGGGTTTTTTTTTACTTTTTTCTACTTTCTTAGGACTGACTAACTATGATTTTATTCTAGGGTTTGACCCCGATGGCCTTTGGAGGATGACTGACAGAATAACAATCACAATTTATTGTCAGTCATACTCCAACGCACTCAGAAAAACGTGCCCTCAGGATTCGGGGTCAAACCCTATTTTATTCTTCCAGGTTTCAGATTCCTTATGCCGTCCTTGGAAAGCGTTAAATTTACAGAAGAAAATGGCAACGTTTCACATGTTTTGACGCCAAATAATGAGGATGCTAGTACTTCCACTTTTGTTGATTCTACCCCTATACAAGATGAATCTTTTAGCAAGAATCTTCCAATTTGTGATTCAGATGCTTCTTTTCCTTGTGTTACATTGAAACAAGAACGGTTGCATTGTATTTACAGAGAATAGTTTGTTTTGTTTTTTTAGTTTTAAATGTTGGGGGAGAGAAGGGTTCTACTGGCTAGCGTTTAAAACCCTTACTAGGCGTGATTTAGGCAATATTAAAAGAGAAAAGTGGGAGAATCCAAGCAGCTATTTCGATTAGCGCTTATACTTGGTAAGCGAGGCCAGGAGGTCGTTGGTTATATGCCTGCCCCGAAACAGAACCTTTACCTCTCTTACTGAACGTTACGTTTTTATTAGGGAAATGTCACAGTGATACCTTTGGGTTTTTCAAATTAAATTTTTAGATTCTTACTACTTCGAATGAAGTTTTTCCCATGAGTTGTTGATTTCCGTTGGCTGAATTACCACCTTTCGACCCTCTTAATTTACCATTTTTGAGTATTTTTATTTTAGTGATGCTGTTGTCAAAAACTTTATTGAAGGTGTTTATGTCACACCTGGTGCTGAATCCCCACTCGTTTGGTTTGGACTTTTAGTTGTTCGAACAGGAATATTTTATGGAGGATTATTTCGTTTTACAATAACAATTCCTGAAGAATTTCCTGACACAAATGAAATTCCGGTTAGTTTTCTAATTTGTTTTTATTTTAAGCTCCCTAGGTGAGGTCTTTATTTTTCTTCTTTTAACTTCCCAAGGTATGTCAAAGACTGAAATTTTTCCAAGACTCTGACCAAGATTTTATTACAAAACCAAATAAACGGGAAAAGTAGTCATTCTTTTTTATAGCGAGCAAAGAAGAATGGAAAATTTTCCCTAAATCACGAAACAATGAAGCTTCCAAAAGTTTTAAAGGTGAAGCATGAGGCCCATAAAGATAACTTTTCTCCAACTTTTTTTAAAGTTTTTTTAGATTGTTCAATTTGAAGAATCCTTGTTCCATCCACTTATTAATCCAAAAAACAATTGTGTGGATTTAACCAGATTTTTTCCTAGTGGTTGGCAAAGAGACAGAAATCATATTTATCAAGTTATTACAGCAACTCAGGTTTTTAAAAAAAAATTTTCTGGTTCAAAAATGTTTTTAAGGGAATATTCTTCCGCTGTCAATGTGAACCTTCCCAAGCTGCAAACCCTGAAGCTTCCATTTTATTAAAAGAAAATAGGTCAAAATTTGTTCAATTAGCTCATAATGCTGTTAGGTTCTTTTTTTATTTTTTCTAATTTTATTTTTAAATTCTTTTGTAGAAGAAGTCGAACTCAAATTTATGCATTGCCTTCCTCTGATGATCAAAATGCTATAAGGTTTTTTTTTATTTTTTGGGGAGTTTTCAGTGAGATTGTTAATGACACGTTTTTTATTAACATAGGCTGGGAAAAATTCTTTCTTTGGTTTTCTGGTTGTAGGTTGCTTTGGTTTCCCTCGTAAAAGAACCATTTTATTTGGTTCCTTGGTTTAAATCTTGGCCGTCGTTGGATAATTTTGTTTGTTCCTTCGTTATAGGAACTATTTTTCGTTGTTTTCTCTTTTAATGTTTTGGGATGATCGGTATCTTTTGGGTTTCCGTTGAGGGGTTGGTCGATTCCTTCTTTCAATTTTTAGGAGGTCCTTCAGTCTTTTTCTCTGATGATTTTTCCATCATGATTTCTTTAAATCTTTTAAAATCCCAGATGAAGCCTTTCAATAATCCATCCAAATAAAAATTTATTTTTTAAGATTTACCCCATGGGATGATGTTGAAATGGAGCCTTATAGACAATATTTACTTGGGAAGAGTGAATTGCCGGAAAATAAAAAATTTAATTGGAGAAAACATCCAATTAAAAGTGGTTTAAGTTGGGTTAAAAATGAAAAACAACAACAAAATAATTCTTTGTTTTATTTATGTGATCATTTTTGTTGAGACTTTTTTTGTAAATAAATATTTTTTAATTAAATTTCCATTTGATTTTTTATGAATATTTAATTTTCTTAAATTTATCTTTTTTATTTTTTAATTAATTTTAGAATTTATTGTAGCTTGTTTTTATTTATTTTCCCTTAAAATTATGACGTCAGTAAAGAAGGAATTGCAAGATAGTGGTATTGGAAGTAGTGGTGGTTCAAACAAGAAGGTTGCTGCTTGTTCAAGTAAAACAAACAATAATAATAAAGGTGTTGAAGTTGTGAGGTTAGTTTAGTTTTTATTTTAAACTGTTCTGGATGGGGGGATAGGTTAATTGTTGAAGAAAGTCGTGTTTTTTTCTTATCGGTTTTTCGAAGTGTTCATCGGGTCGGGTTTCAGATTTAGGATTGATAAAGGGCCTGGTTTCGGATTTTGGGTGTCGTTACTTGATTCTAGTCTATCTTATAAATCGATTTATAGTTTCCCTCACGTTTTATGAATGTTTTGCCCAGCCCCTTGATAATCAGTTGTTCAAGTCTATTGTACAGTTTGACATTTCAAATCACCAAAATTTTCACTTATTTAAATCTTTCATTTTTTTCAGCATTCCTTCGGATGATTGGTTTACGCAAATGTATGGGCCTATGGGTGAAAATTCTGAAGAGAAAATTTTAAATGCTAAAAGAGGTGAAGGGACTAAAAGGTTCGATTTTTTTAAATTATTAGGGTTAGCCAAAACATGCTAGTCTTATATTTGAATATTCTTAAGGTAGGAGCCCAAAAATGACGTGGCAATACTGGAAAGTCACCCTCTCCACCTTTTTTCTTTAATGGTCAGAGTAACGGCGAAAAAAGTGGGGGATTTCCAAAGTACTACCAATTGTGTTTTTTGCGTTGGTCAGAGCTTAATTAGGGCCCGGTTCTTAATGCATATTTTGGTTTATATTTTATATAGGCGCAAATTTGACGATCTTCCATGCATATTTTGGCTAGCCTTTTAATTTTTAAAATTTTTATAAATTTTATTTAGAAAGAAAATTTTGAAAAACAACAAAGTCAAAGCTAAAAAACGTAAAAGAATATCTTCAACAACAACAACTTCAACAAGTTCAGATTTGATAGAAATTGATGTTTCTGATGGTGAAGATTTAAATCAAGTATTTCCTCCTTTATTATCTCCACAAACCTCCAAAAAAGAAGAAAATAAAGTTGAAAAAACTGAAAGAAATGAAATTAAAATTGAAAAGAATTTGGTTGTTAAAAATGATAAAAATAAAGGTCAAAATAGAACTTCATTTTCTGATGATGATTTGGATTTTGTTGTTTTGTTTGAATCTATTGCTGAGAAAAATTTGAAAAAGGTTTGTGAATTTTTTAAATTTTATTAGAATTTTTAGAAGGGTTTTAACTAATTTTTGGGGGTTTTTTATTTTTTTGTAAGTTCTAGCTTCCAAAGCAAGGCTCTTCGACCCGAGCACATCCTATTTTTGAACTTATCCTTTTTTTATTTGTGTATCAACCAAGAACTGAAATTAGAGACCTGATTGGGGGTACGATCTATTTCGAAATATATTGACCTCAATAACCTCTATTCGTGATAAGGTCTCGGTCCGGACATAACCGATTCTTTGTGCTATTATTCCACCAAAATAATGTTTTTGAAATTTTTTTACGTCCTTAAAAATATTTTCAAAAAAAATTTTTTTTCTTAAGGAAAATGCTCAAGATAATGACGATTCTGATGATTCTTTCACTTTTTCCAAAAATACGCTTAAAAGACCTCCTAGAATTATTAAAAATGCTCAAGATCAAGTTAGAAATGATATTGTAAGTTTAAAAATTTTTTTTTGAATTAAAAAAATTTTTTCAGGAAGAAAATTTTGGAATAACGTTATACCCAAATCAAGTATTTTTTGAAAAAATTTCAAATTATATGAATAAATACAAAAATGAATTTGACAATTTTAATAGAAATATATGGACACATTTTACCGAAAATTTGCAGGTTTTTTTAATTTTTTTTTTATTTTTATTTTTAAAATAATATTTTTAGAATGATCATACTTATACTTGGTTTGATTTTTAGTATTTATTTTTTAATTTTTTCAAAAAAAATTTTTTTGGAGAGCTTGTCCTTAAATTTGCTTGTCTTTTTACTTTAAAAATTTTTTTGGAAAAATATTTTTTCTGGAAAAAATATTTTTAAAAATTAAAAATGGGATAAAATGTCTGTCTTTTCAAAAAAAAATTTTTGAAAAAATTTATTTTTGAAATTTTTTCTTTAAATATTCTATATGGTTTAAAATAAATACCAAAGCAGCTTAAAAAAATATTTTTTAATTAAAAAATTAAATTTTTTTTCTAGGAAAATGCGTGTTAAATGTATGCTAGAGGATATTGTTAAACAGGTTTATTTAGACAAATTGTTTTCAAAAAAATTTTTTTAAAGATTTTTCCAAGTGAAAGTATTAGTTTAGTTGCTGTTGGGTCTACAGTTAATGGATGTGGAGCTTTCAATTCTGGTTTTTTTTAAGTTAAAAAAAATTTTTCTAATGTTTTTTGTAGATATGGACCTGTGTTTGTGTATGCCTTGTAGAATGGATGGATATGAAACTCAGCGAAAGTTTGTTTTTAAATTTAAATTTTTTTATGGTGACTTGATTTAGGGAGAGGGAAGTATCACCTTTTAAAAAAATTTTTTTTAATGAGATTAAATGTCTGCAATGGGATGAAATGTCTTAGAAATTGTTTTTAGCCTCTCAAAAATTTTTTGGTGTTTTAGCCGATTTTTTAACATTAAAAAAGATTTTCGAATTAGAGAAGGATTTGGGAAGGGGAGTGTTGTCTGTTTTGAAAAAATTTTTAAAAATGGGATCAAATGTCTTTATAGGATAAAATGTCTTTAAATTATTTTTAATCCACCAAAAATTTTTCATTTAATTTTTCTAATTTTTCAGTTATGCAATTAATCGTCTTAAAAAAGTTATGAGAAAATTATTGACTAAAAGAACTTTAATTCATGATATTTTATTTGTTCCTGCAAAAGTTCCAATTTTAAAAATTAAATTTAAACATCCTTATCAAAAATTGGAGGTTGATATGAATATTAATAATGTTCCTGGAATTTATAATTCTTATTTAATTCATTATTATTCAAGGTTTTTTTTAAATTTAATTTTGATAGGGTGTTTAATATTTGATTATTGGGAAATTGGGTCGATGGTTTGGTTGATACTGGGCTTGTATTTGTGGGGGTGGTTCGATTCCTCACGTTGCTCCCAGTTTTTAGTTCTGTTTGTTTTTAGGGTATTTAATGTTTAATTAGTAAAATCTGGTAAATTCTTTGGTGGTGTAGTGGTTAGTGAGTTTGTCTGTAAGGGGCAAATGATGGAGGTTCGATTCCTTTGACTTCCAATATTTTTAGATTTAGTTGTTTTTTATTATTAAAGATTTTTTAATTGATTAAGAAATTCTTTTAGTATTTTTAAAATTATATAAAAATCATTTTTATACAAAAAAATTTTTTTAGAATTGACGATAGATTTCCAGCTTTGTGCCTTATAGTGAAACATTGGGCAAAGAAAAAGGGAATATTGGATGCTTGTTCTGGTTATTTTAATAGGTTTTTTTTTAATTTTTTTATTTTAAAAATTCTGGATATTTTTTAGTTGAGGAATTTAATGAATTAATTTTAATTTTTTTTCTAGTTATTCATTAATTCTTATGGTCCTTCACTTTCTTCAATGTGGAATTAATGTCCCAATTCTTCCAAATCTTCAATTTTTATTTCCTCAGTATTTTCACTTTTTCCGGGCGTTGGATGAAATGCAACTTTTTGTGGATTTGCCTAAACCTCTTCCAGGTTTTTTTAAATTTTTTAAAATTAAATAAAAATTTTTTTAAAGAAATACCTAAAAATACTTTGTCTATTGGAGAATTATTAATTGCCTTTTTTAATTATTATAATAATTTTAATTTTGATGAATATGCAATTTCTGTTTCTAGAGGATGTATTTATCCAAGGTTTTTTTTAATTTTTAAATAAGAGTCCACCTCTGATGACCTAATACATTCTAAATTCTTATTAACCCTCAAGACCTATAGACTCTCAAGACTTGAAAGGGAATATCGAGGGATTTGGTGTGATTAAGGGGGCATCGAGGGATTTGGTGTGATTGAAGGAGTCACAATACCACACTATAGGTTCTAAAATACAGAACTGGCTACTTATCGCCATAGAGCCGGGTATTATTTTCCTTAATTCCCTAGATATTTTCTTTCAAAATTTAGGTCTACAGGATTGACCCCAATAAAAGTTCAAATTTTACAATTAATTTATTTGTAAAATTTTAAAAGGAGTGAACTTGCTCGAAATACTCGTCGTTTCAAAATTTTTATTGAAGAACCTTTTGACTTTAAAAATACTGCTAGATGTGTTACAAGTGAAGATAATTTTTTGACTATATTGGATACATTTAGAGAAGCTGTGGAAATTTGTAGTTCTTTACCTCCTAATCTTAAAAGATTAATTGCTAGTTGAAAGAAAGAAGAGAGGTTTATTTTAATAAATATATTTATACATATAGTTAAGTATTTTTGTGGGGTAAATATTGTAATTTGGTTCATTTTCTTCCTCTTTTTTCAATTTATTTTTGGGAGGATTTTTGAAATTATTTTTCGGAGTTTGCAAAAATTATTTTGGGAATGGACTCTGCCATATTTTAAAAAGGGAATGGAAAAAAATGTATGATGGAAGGGCCAAAAACGGTGGAATTCCGTCTTCCAAAGAAGTTCCAAAAATAATTCCAAAATCATTCAAAAATAAATTGAAAAAATATTAAAATGGTTCACCCTAGTCCCTATTCACCCTGAATTTTAAAATTTGACCTAGTGTCACTCGTCACAATTCCTTGCGGCATTGTAGCATAAATTTGATTAGCCGCGCCATCTTCAGTAATAGATTCAATTGCAGCTAGCATCTTGTTTTCTTCCAAAGTCGGTGTCGCTTCACCCAAAATCAATGAGCGGATCCTATCCGCTTTCTTGAGAATTGCAAGTTGATCTTTTAACTTGGCATTCTCCACGTCTTTATTCCGCACTTCTCAAAAAATTTGAAATCTCTTCATGTCAAGCAAAAGTAAGGTAAGCGTGGTTGCTAGCACGGCCAGTCAAAGTAATGCTTCCAACATCATTAATGAGTGCCGTCGCCAGCTCAGAAGGATTGACAAGCGGTTGATGGAAGTCCAAGGTCATATTCGCATCAATGACCTTGAAAATGCGAAGTTCAAGAATCAACATGAACTTCTACAAAAATTGGAAAGGCTGCGTTTATTGATTTTGGGTCAAGATTCTCCAACTCCTGAGGAAAAGTCTGTTTTGGCTGCTCTTGAATCGTAAGTTTTTCATTGTTTTTAATTACAAAAAATTTTAAATTTCCGGCATCTCGTTTGACAGAACTGGAAATTTAAAATTTTTTGTAATTAAAAACAATGAAAAACTTATGATTCAAGAGCAGCCAAAACAGACTTTTCCTCAGGAGTTGGAGAATCTTGACCCAAAATCAATAAACGCAGCCTTTCCAATTTTTGTAGAAGTTCATGTTGATTCTTGAACTTCGCATTTTCAAGGTCATTGATGCGAATATGACCTTGGACTTCCATCAACCGCTTGTCAATCCTTCTGAGCTGGCGACGGCACTCATTAATGATGTTGGAAGCATTACTTTGACTGGCCGTGCTAGAAACCACGCTTACCTTACTTTTGCTTGACATGAAGAGATTTCAAATTTTTTAAGAAGTGCGGAGTTAAAAGATCAACTTGCAATTCTCAAAAAAGCGGATAGGATCCGCTCATTGATTTTGGGTGAAGCGACACCGACTTTGGAAGAAAACAAGATGCTGGCTGCAATTGAATCTATTACTGAAGATAATCAAATTTATGCTACAATGCCGCAAGGAATTGTGACGAGTGACACTAGGTCAAATTTTGAAATTCAGGGTGAATAGGGACTAGGGTGAACCATTTTAATATTTTTTCAATTTATTTTTGGATGATTTTGGAATTATTTTTGGAACTTCTTTGGAAGACGGAGTTCCACCGTTTTTGGCCCTCCCATCATACATTTTTTTCCATTCCCTTTTTAAAATATGGCAGAGTCATTTCTTGCTCTTCCTCTCTCAAAAAATAGATAAAAAGTGAAAATGAACGACAACTATTACATTGTATTTTGTAATGTTATTTTCTGTTTTGGATTTTTAAGAAGAGATGTTTTATAAATATATTTTAAAAGCCCAAGATTCTCATTGATTTAAGGAAAAATATTTAAGTAATAAAAAAAGTGAAAAACTTCCAATTAGAAAAAAAATTGTAAGAGTCATTCCTTCAAATTTTCAATAAAATAATTAAATGTTTCGATATATTTAGACAATGAAATATTTTGAATAACTGAAAAAGGGAGGAAAAGAAAATTATTTTTAGAAAGAAAAAAATTTTTTTGAGAGTTTTTTGAAAGGAGAATTCCATTGTTTCTCTAACCAAACCAAAAAAATTTCCACCAAAAATAATTTTTCTACCCACTAACTAAACATTCATTTAATTAACCCAACTAGGTAACTTTTCTGACTATGAGACCGGGGGCGGGAAAAATTCGGGTCGAGTTTCTAGTCGAAAAAAGAGTTCGGGTAACCCCACGTCCCTTCCCTGTCCCCAATTTCTATAATTAAAAAATTTACCTGAAGAGGAACTTTCACCACCAATTTCTTCCAATTTATCAACCCTCGGTAGTTCATTTAAATTAAAATTGTTAATATCCTCAATATTTAAAGGAACAGCAATAAAACCAGTTTTTGGGTGGACAGTAAATGGGGCTTTTAATAAATGATTAATTCTGTTTTTAAAAAAAAATTTTTTTAATTAAGAAAAAATTAGATACCCAACAGTAACTTTTTCGTCAAGTTTAGGATAAGCATATTCCAAAACAAAAAAACGTAAAAAATTGATAGATAATTCGTTTGGTATCTTAAGGAGAAAAATTTATTTTTAAAAGAATTTTAGGTGGGATTTTGGAAAATATTTTGGAAGGGGAAAGAGGTATTTTTTTAGATTTATTTTTGGACGTCAAAAAATTATTTTTTAAAGGTGTTTGGAGGAACTTGGTTATTAAAAAAGGAACTTTTTGGTGGTCCGAACTGAAGGAAGTTTTTGGTGGTCCTAACTGAAGGAACTTTTTTTTGCTGGTCACCCAATGGTTGGATAAGTCTGAAACCTTGGTGCCTTCCTATATTTGTTCTGAAGGTTAAGAGGGTTATTTTTATTACTTTATTAGTTAAACAAAATTTTTAAAAATAAAATTAAAATTTAAAAAACCCTAAATTTACATTAGGCAATTTAGTCCCCGCATTTTCCTCTTTTATTTTTGCTCGTTTTTCTTGATCAAATCTCATTGTAATTAATTCCCAACGATCTTGAGGTGTATTTACTCTAAAGAAAAAATTAATTTTTTCAATTTTAAAATTCAAAAAAAACCTCCTAAATTCTTTATCCATAATTTCTCTCATTTCAACGTCCGGACACAAATTTAAAATTTTGGTCCATTCTTCTTGTGTATCGAGCCAGCCTTGTTCAAAAATTAAATTTTCAAATTCTCCAGAGTCCAGAATACAACGAAAAGCTATTTCTGCCATAGGATGGACTCTATATTTGGTTTTTGCTGAATTTTCTTTTCCCTAGAGAAATTTAAAATAAATTGAGGGATATTTGGTTGTGCCTGGAAACCGGATTTTGTACTCATGTCAACCCATATCCTGCCGGAATTTCTAGATTAACCCGATCCGAAAAAATCCGGAAATTAAGGGCGTAGCCAGGGGGTCGAATTCAGTGGCTAAAATGAGGTGTGCGCCAAAATTTCACCATTTAGAGGGGTGGCCTTGGCTAAAAAAAAATTCGTTAGGGTAAAGACTCACTGTTGAGTGTGATGTTGCCGAAGATCTTGAAAAAACCCTCGGACTTGGGACAGGCACCAGAAAAATCCAACGGATCGGACACTAATATTTGGGAAAAATTCGTTAGGGTAAAGACTCACTTGGATAAATTTTAAAAATTAAAAACCTGAATAATAAGATATTTTGCTACAGCCTCTCTAGCTTTATTATTTAAAGAACGCGCTTTTTGATCAGCAACCCAACAATGTATACCCCTTCTACCAGAAAATACCCACAATAAATGTTTAAATCCAAATTGAGCTGAAAAAATTTAATTTTAGAATCAAAGCTAGAAAAAGTTAATTGTTGTTTAAGTGATGTAGTGGGTTAGGTTTGAATTTTACGTTGTAAGGGGTGTGGGTTCGGATCCCGCTCGGTGAGAGTATTTTTATTTTTACAGAAAATGAGGAAAATTAAGGAAATAAACTGTTGTGTGTGATGTAGTGGGTAAATGTTTGTTTTTTTTTATTTTTAGGGGGTCCGGGTTCGAATCCCATTAGGGGGAATTATTTTTATTTTAACAAAGAATTTATTTTAACCCCCCAAAAATTTAAACAAAATTGCAAAAACAAACTTTTTAACAATAAATTCAGCACTTTAACAGCAATAATAATCCAACGCCAACATTTATTGCATACTTTAGCTTCTCTAAAAAATTAATTTTTTAAATGAATAAATTAAGAAAAAGTACTTGCAACAATTCCTAATTAAATCATAATCTGTCAAGTCAATATCAAAAACTAATTCTCTTTCAATTGCATAAAAATCGGCAAATTTTTTTCTATCTAAAGGCTATAAAAACAAAAAAAATAATTTTTTAATATTAAATGATTTTTTGTAAAAGAAAAAATATTTTTCCCCAAAGGGGTTCGAACCCACACCCTTTACAATACAAAATCTGTGCGTGACCCACTACACCACCAAGACTACAATTGCTTATTTTTAAAATAAAAGTTTACTGGTCGATTATAAACTGCCCCTTGTAAAGAAAAAAATTATTTATCCCCAAAGGGGTTCGAACCCACACCCCTTAAAATACAAAATCTATACTTGTCCCACTACACCATAGATACAAAGATTTTTATTTTTAAATAGATTTATATACCGGTCGATTATAAACTGCCCCAATATCAATTTTAAAAGGATTTGTTCTCAAAATTTTTTCTTTAAATTCGTCCAAAGTTCGAAACGAAAGGAATCTGATGTGAATATCATCTTTTAAAATAAATGCAAATTCTCTGTTTGGAAGTAGATTTGCTGGAGAAAAATTAAATTTATTAATTAAATAATTTTTAAAGAAAACCTTTTCCATAAGACAGCCATTTTAACATTAAATTGTAAGGGTAATGATTTAAATAATACTTTTTTAGATAAAATTCTAATCTTTCTGGGATAAAATCCATATCTTAAATCCTAAAGAAATTTAAAAAATATGAGAAAAATCGAGGACTTTCCACTTCAAGAAATTTAAAATTAATTGGCGTCTTTTTCTACTTGGCGAAATGTTTAAAAATAAATGACATTTAATCCCAATTTCGTTATGTACAAAAGACCGACTGATTAAAATACCGTTGCGGCCAAAAGGTGGTAAAAGTCCGATTTTTAACACACGGTCTTTTTATCCGTCGGTCTTTTAACCTTCTTGGCCGCGTTGGGCTTTTATCCATTCGGTCTTTTGTATAAGGCCCCCAATTTATTTTTTCTCTAATTCTTTTTCTGTACTATTTCGTCTCTTTTCTTTTAAATTTTCTAATTAATTTATTTATTTGGCATTCTGTTTTAATTTTTTCTTTACTTCTCTTTTTTATTTTGTCTCTCTTAGTTTTACACACTCTCTTCTTTTTTATTAATTAATATTTCAGTTTTTTTTAAATTTTTGATCAATTAAATTTTGTTGCGTTGCGCAGACTATAATAATTTATTTTTAGTTTGTTGCGTGTGTAGTTGCGCGATGATATTTCTAATATTTTTCTAATTTAACGCGTTTGGAATTATTTTTTAATTGACAATTTTAAGCGGATTAAATACTTTAAATAGATTTTGTAAATTTTTGTTTCTTTTTTTGGTTTCTGAAAGAACAGGTTATTATTTAATCATAATTCCTTCCTTTTTTTGAGAGGAATGGCCTTTGACCTTCTCCGACTTCAAAAATCGACCTCCTTCTTTGAGGGTTTATCTTCTCTGTAAAATCCAAGCTTCGGGTACGGTTGAGGATTTTGCTTGGATCCTGCCGAACGTCTAAGGCTTACGATCCAGCCTAGATTCCAAGCTCAAACTCTTATTTTTTTCTACTTACCAACTCGTTCCCTTATATTAAAAAAAATTTTTTTTTTCAGATGTCAACATCATCAAATAATAATTCTCTGCATAGGTATAGAATAGCCTATCATTCATTAAACAATCCAAACAGTCCAACCAACTACACAAACAATTATTTTGCCAGCATTTATCTTCATTTTCAATTTTTGGAACGAAAATGGCGCTCGCTTCTTTTGGTTTCAATCTTTTCAATTTTGTTTATTTTCTTCTATTTGACATTTTCTTCGTTTAATAATACATTTATTTCTTCAAATTTAACTTTTATAGGTTTGTTTTTTTTATTTTTTAGGGTTTCCTTTATTTTTTGGTCATGAAACCGGCCAATTATTCCCTTTTCCAGAGCCTACCCCAAAAAGATAATTGGCTGGCTCCCTTCTATTTTTATTTTTTGCAGTTTTTCTGAATTCAAGGACTATTAGCCCATGTATCCATGTTTCCTTTAGGGTTCCTGGATTCTTCTTGTTATGAATCCTTTGCTAATCGTTCTCATTTTCCCTTTACATTAACTTAAGTCTACGAATTAACTCTTGAGTTTTTCTGTGCCTAGGGGTCAGTCCTCGACATTTTTTAGCCTTAAGGGTTTTTATGAATTCAAGGGCTAGAATACGGGTTAGAATGCAATCGCAATTTCTGAATATGGCTTTAAGTCGAGAATCCAGTCGTGGTCTTGGTTTTTTCGAATTTAATTTAGTCCCGACCCAAGTGTTTTTCTAATTTCCATGGTCTTTCTTAAACTCTATACAGTCCCCCAAATACTTAAAAAAATTTTTTATTCAGTTTCTGATATTGAAGAAATTATATCTACAACGGCAACCACTATAAGAACACCAATACCCAAAATAGAAAGACTACCCAAAATTAAATCACTTGAAGAACATGAAGAACAACCTTCCAATTCTTCACAATTGTTAGATGTACCTTTATCTAATGTCTCTATGATTTTAAGGTTTTTTCTTATTTTTAAAGGGAAGTGGGTCCCTTGTTTGGCTTCATACCTTTCCTTAATTTTTTCAAATTTCTGCTTAAATTTACCTAAATGAGTTCTATGAAAAATTGGGTTGGATTGCTGTCCTTCGATCCTGCCCCTTCTTTCCAAACTGCGGCCTAATCCGTTCGGTCATCCAATCACCCACCGGCTGCTGCAAATTTTGCTGTTGTTGTTATTTCCAGCCGCTACCCATTTCCTTGTTCGTTACTTTTCTTTCCTACCGCTGACTAGATAGTCGCGACAGTTCTGACCCAAATGAAGTTTTTACCCAAAAACAATTTCTTCTCTTTTAATTTAGAAATACCTCAGAACCTTTGGATCTAATCTCTTCATCAATATTTTCAAAGCCTTCAAATTCTGGATTGTCTCTATGTCCAAATCCTCCACCTTTTTTGGTCGGCCCAATACCTACATGGATGGATGGACCAACAATGAATACATTGGAACAACTATATTCCAAAAATGTGGAAATTGGAGGGCATGGAGTCCCTAAAGAATGTATTTCTAGACATAGGGTTGCTATTATTGTGCCTTACAGGTTTTTTATTTTTTTCGGAAATTGCGGACTTTTTTAAATTTTTGCGGACAAAACTTGCGGACTTTAGAAAATATTTTTCCATAATTTTTCCTTAATTTTTTTTACCAATTTTGTAAATTTCAGAGATAGAGAACAACATCTCCGCATTTTTTTGCACAATATGCACTCAATATTACAAAAACAACAAATAGATTATGGCATCTTTATTATTGAACAAGTAGCTGGACAAACATTTAATAGAGGTTATTTTTTAGAATATTAAATATAGCAAGTTTTATTTTAATTGCTGTTGATTTGGCGGTTGGTGTATTGGTTAGTGTGTTGGGTTTTGGTTGCGAGGGGTCGTGGGTTCGAGTCCCTTTAATAGTTTTTTGTTTTATTTGACTTATAAAAAGGCTTTTTTGACCTTTTAATGAAAAAAATTTTTTCTAAGGTTCCTAAAATTATTTTTGGGTCCATTTAGTCCATATTTAATATTCTCTCTTAATTTTTCTTCAGGTAAATTAATGAATGTTGGCTTTGTAGAGGCTAATCGTTATTATGACTGGCAATGTTTTATTTTCCACGATGTTGATTTAATTCCAGAAGATGACAGAAATTTGTATAATTGTCCTCAACAACCAAGACATATGTCTGTTGCTGTAGATAAATTTAATTATAGGTTTTTTTGAATTTTTTTGAATGAAAATAATTTTTAAATTTACTCCATAGATTGCCCTATTATTCACTTTTTGGAGGTGCTGGTGCTTTAACTAAAAAACAAATGACTAAAACAAATGGATTTTCTAATGACTATTGGGGATGGGGAGGTGAAGATGATGATTTTTCTGCAAGGTTTTTTTTTGTTATTAAATTTTTCTTAAAATTTAATTTCGGTTGGTTTTTGTTGGAATAAACAACATCAATTAATTTTTTGAGATAGAGGGGTGGGGGCATCTTTTTCGGAATAATTTTGTAATAAATAAATTATTCACTCTCCAAGGTTTAAGGAAAAATTTTAAATTAAATTTCTTGTCAAAAGTTGTGACTTCTTTTTGTAAAACTTTACAAATGAGCAAAAAGAGGCTTGGGAAAGAAAAGCAGGGAAGAAACCCTCTAAAATTAAATTGTTGTTTTTTCTTAACAATGGAACATGTCGAACTGTATGTAAAAATTTTGTAATTTTTTCACCATCGTGTAGAGCAGGGTTGATAATCTATTGTCAATTTTTGGCTTTTCTGGTCATGACCCCCCAAAGCGAAAAGTTATAGCTGATCAAATTGGCAATATTTGGGGGTTTTTGCCCCTCTCTTCTTCCCAAATTCTCTTCCAAAACTTAAAAAAATATTTTTTAAGAATTTCATATGCTGGTTATACAATAAGTAGATATCCATCAACTATAGCCAAATATAAAATGATAAAACATTTAAAAGAAGCATCAAATCCAATAAATTTGTGTCGACATATATTAATGAAAGCAACAAAAAAAAGATGGAAAAATGACGGTTTAATTAATTTAAATTATAAATTAATTTCTACAAAATTTAATTTATTATATACAAATGTAACAGTTAATTTATTAGAAGAAGAATCGAGAAGAATATTGACTTTGCAAAATTTGGGTGAAGGTTGTTGAATAATTTTTTTTAATTTTTTTTGAGTATATAAGGGGGCTATAACCTTAAAAAATAAAATTTATTTTGGAGAAAGGGGTTTTTGAATTTGAAACTTTGAAAAAAAATTTTTTGGTAAGGTAGGGTGGATTTTTTTGAGAAATAAAATTTCTGGTGTGAGAAGAGAAGATTTTTAAATTTTTTTTGAAAAATTTTCCTTGAAAAATTTTTTTTTGAAAAATTTTTTTCTATAAATTTTCAAAATTAACAGGAAAAAAAATTTATTTTTCGGTTATAGCCCTTGACTTAAAAAAATTTTTTTGCATTTTTTTTTGTGATCTAATTAATATCTTTTTTTATTCTTGCCACATTTTTACTAAAGTTGTTCTAGTAGAAAAATTTTTTTTGACCGGTAATTTCAAAATTAAAAAAACTGGAAAAATTTTTGGATCATTTGAAAAAATTTTTTTTACTTTTTTATTGGTTAGAAGAAAGATTTTGTTGAAATAAATTAAAATTACCAGTCAGAAAAAAATTAATTTAATTATAGATATTTTGCATTTTTATCTACTCTTTTTTTTTTTAATTTTATAACGGGTTTTGAATTTTTATTTAGACATTATTTCCCTGTTATTTTCACTTAAAAACGCATGATATTTCCCAAAAATATTATTTTGTATTTCATTTATTTTTTATCTCCATTTAAGCCCAACAAAAAATGCGAATCTTGTCGAATTTATATTTTACTATTTGTGCCTTTAAAATTTTGATTTTTTATAATAAATTAATTATATCATGGCTGTGGGCATTTTGTCGTGTTTATAACTAAGATACATTTTGTCGTGTTTATAACTAAGTGACAGTTTGTCTTATTTTTAACTAAGTGACATTTTGTCGCATTTTTAACTAAGTGACATTTTGTCGCATTTATAACTAAGCGACATTTTGTCGCACTTATAACTAAGCGACATTTTGTCGCACTTATAACTAAGAGACATTTTGTCGATTATGAATAGTTAGAGACTAAATGTAAATAGTGTAGTCAGAGATAAAAATTAAATATAGCGAATGAGGCCAGTTGAGAGCGAGCTGTTTAAGAGTAGACTGGGTATTTGTAAATAATCAATAAATCAATATCAATCGATATCGATTTTTCAAAGATCGATACTAATCGATAAAATCAATATCAATCAATAATTAATTTTTAAAAAATTTATAATTTTCAAAAAATCGATAGAAATCAATAAATCGATACTAATCGATATAAATCGATAATTTAATTTAAAAAATTATTATTTTCCAAAAAAGTCAATACTAATCGATAAGATCAATAAAATCGATAATCGATTTTTTCAAATTAAAAATCATTTTCAACCACCAACACAAAACCGCCACCCTCAGAAAAAACAAAAAAAATTCAAACTTCAAATGCAACCCAAATAATTTTACTTGAAAAGACACGTACAATATATAATTAACAATAAGAGGGAAAAACGTGTCGAAATTTTTTTTTCATTAAAATAATATTTTTTAACTAAATCCCCAAAAAATAATTTTTTTTCTCGGCTTTAATTTTTAAATTTTTTTTCTCTTCAAAATTCGCTTCCAATTATATATTTCTTCTTCAACTTCCTAGTGCGGCTGCTGCTGCGCTACACGAGAAGCTTGAATCATTTCAACAGCATCCGAAACTTTGGAACGAAGCAATTCATCGTTTTCAAGAACCATCTTAAGGGAAAAAAATTTTTTAGAGCAAAATTTAGAGGGCGCTTGTCCCGCTTAAATGGCTCAAAAAGGGCTTTCTCAACTTGGATTTTCTCAAAAAAGTAACCGTCTTTTTAGCACAAATATGAACAACACCAAAATAAGCTCGCTAATCCTTACAAGTCTACTAAACATAGATTCACAACAGAAAAATGTACAGGAATTCCTAAATCAATTTTTGAGACCTCCACAAAAAATAAGGAAATGAGAGACTTGACAAATCCCTAAAGACCCCAAAAAATTAAATAAATACCAAAATTTCCGAATTCTCATTCTCCAAAATCATTCCAGTAATCTTTCCAGCATCTTCTCCACGGCAATAGCGAGATACCATTGGATAGAGCTGCTCACCAAGAATTTGCTTCTGCTCCTAAAAAATTGAAAAAATATTTATAAATTAAAAAACATTTAAATGAAAACACTTTGTGGCAATAGGGATCGAACCAGCCACCCCAGACAAAGAAAATTCAACCCCAACCAACTGCAATATGTATCTATTACCCCCTGAACAAAAACTCAAAAAACAAACCTGAATGTTGTTAGCAGTCAAAAGTTGGTTTGTAAGATTCTCTGGACGACCAGCAGCCATTCCATGTCCAGCCCCACCTCCAGATAACTGCGGACCACGCTGTTGATTCATCGGGTTTGGATAGGAAGAATATGCGACAGCATTATTCTGTTGCATTGTTTTTGGCTGGCCCTTTAAACAAAATTTTTAAAAATATTTCACAAACTCAAAAAACCTGATAACGCATTTGACCTTGCTGAGCAGCCATTCCAGGCATACGAGACTGTTGCTGTTGACGTTGCTGTCCGCCTCCACCATAAGGACCACGAATTCCGCCAGGTCCGCCCATACCACCACCGCCGCCACGAGGACCACGAGCGACTTGATTAGCATAAGGACCACCGGCATTTTGTCCCATCATGTAGCCTTGCATTGGATCTAAAAAGAATTTTTACAAGTTTCTTAGAGGAAAACAAACGTCCAAAACCGCCATTCCATCGTGGCTGCATTCCACGGAATTGAGCTCCAGGAATGTTTGTAGTTGGCATGAATGATGGAGTGCGTTGATTTTGAAGAGCTTGGGGCAGGAAAAATCCTCCACTAGCTGGTGCATACATTGTTCCCATAATTCCAGGAGGGTTTTGCATACGCATAGCAGCCTTGAAAAAGGAACAAAATTATCAACAAAATTAACACAAAATTTCTAAGAAAAACTAACCAAGCGTTGCATGTATTGAGAAGCAAGTTGAGCCTTACGATCCTCCTTGCGCTGAGCCAAAGCAACATAAAGTGGTTTATTCCCAATAATTTTATTATTCATTTCAACAACCGCTTTAGTCGCATCGTCAGGTTTCTCAAAACAAACAAAACCAAATCCTTTAGAACGTCCATTTTCGTCACACATGACCTACAAAAATTTATTAAAAATCATTTTTCAGTCAAAAATTTTCCAAAAAAACCTTAGCACTAGCAATAGCTCCATGTTGTTCAAAATGTTTACGAAGAGCATCATCCAAAACTGTATCGTCCAAATTCTTCACATAAAGATTGACTCCTTGGAAGCGTTGAATACGATCAGCCTTGAATTGTTCATAACGACGTTTCAGTTCAGATTGGCGTTCACTCTTCTTCTGTGCACGGCAGACAGTAAAATGTAAATCTGCACGGCCAGGAACTTCCTTCTCATTCATTTCTTCAACCGATCGAGCAGCGCTCTCATGATCCTTGAACGCAACAAAACCAAAACCTTTAGGCTTTCCATCATTATCCTCCATCGATTTTGCAGAAATAATTTCTCCAAATGCAGAAAAGATTTCATGAAGTTTATCAGAATTGATAGCATCGCCAAAATTCTTCACATAAACGTTGGTAAAACGACTAGCAGCATCGCCAATTTGCTTTTCGCGTTGTGAACGAGGAATGAACTTTCCAACAAACCTTTAAAAAGAAACAAAGTTAAAGGGTAAATTCATAAAATTTAAAAGAAACTAACACTTTCTTTCCATCCAAAAGCATTCCATTAACTTTTTCAATAGCCTTATTAGCAGCATCTTCAGTCTCAAAATGAATGAAACCATAACCTTTGCTATTTCCTTCCAAATCACAAGCAACTTTGCAGCTCAAAATGTTTCCAAACATTGAGAAAGTGTCGTAGATAGCTTTGGTGTCGATGTGCTTGTCCAAATTTTTGATGAAAATATTACCAGCACCAGAACGGCGAATACTTGGATCACGTTGAGACCACATGATGCGAATTGGCTTGTTCAGAAGAAGGTCGAAGTTCATCGTATCGAGAGCGCGTTCAGCTAAAAATGAAAGGGATTTAAAAGAAGGGTTGTAGATTTCTCAGGAAATGTGGGGGAGGAAAAATGAGATATTCGGGGAGGAGCCACCAAAGAAGGGAAAAATTTAAAAAAATACCATCGGCAGGCTGCTGAAAGTTGACATACGCATAGCCAAGAGAACGACGCGTAATTGCATCACGGCAGACACGAATGGAAAGAACCGGTCCAGAAGTACTAAACTTCTCGAAGAGCATTGCTTCGGTAACCTAAAAAGAGGAAATAGAAAGGAAATTAAACTGATAAACAAACATCCGGATGAAGATCACCAACATAAAGCGAAGCCATTGGATAAGATGGAGTGTTCAAAACCGGCGCTTGATTTGCAGCAGCAGCATTCGCATTAGCACTAGGCGGTTGCGGAGCGACTGTAGCCGACATTTTTATTATCTAGAAAAACTAAGTTTAGGTGGAATACCAGAAATCAGGGGAAAACTAAGAGATATACTCCTCAGGCTTTTATACACCCTATTAAGAGCTCCTAAGAGTTAAAACAAATTAAAAGTACCCACCTTATTATATCACTGTTTTTGTAATATTTTTTGTTTTGTAGATTTTTTTGAAAATTTTTTTGTTTTTTAAATTTTTTTTGTTGTTTTTATAACGATATATTAAAAGTAACCAGACCCTGAAAATGAAAGAAAGGTGTTAATTTGAAAGAAAAGGGTAAAAAATAACAAGGGAAAATGACGAAGAAATGCTTAAAGGAAAAATGCTCAACGGAAATCGTAAAAGGAAATTAGTAACACGGATAAAATTAACATTAAGAAACGTTAAAGAATCGATGGCGATTGTGAAATAGGAAAGAAGACCAAAAAAGTCTAGCGCTGTGGAAAGAAAAAGCAAAATAAATGACGACGCTTAAAAAGTGCTTTTATATGAATCACAAATTAGAGATTATGGGAAGAAGAGAAATAAAGAAGACAAATCAGAAGAGTACTGTAGAGCTAGAGAGTATGTGAAAAAAGGAGAGAAAATAGAGAAGTAAAGTTGTGAAGGAGATCGTATCGAAACTTTTTTTAAAATTAAATGCAAATTGTTTACTTGGAAAATGTCGGACTTTGAAATTCTAAAAACACGTTTTATAGTCTTAAAAAGGGTCTAGAATTTATTTCCGTAGATTTTTAAAAAATTTCCGCGTGTTTAAAACAAAATATAAATTTAGTTAACGCGTTGTAAAATCAATAGAGGAAACTCCAAACAGTTTTCTAGTCAACTTTAAACTAAAAATTCCTCATTTTAGATAATTTAAAATCTCAGTTATTATTCAATAAATGTCAAACAACAATCAAAACAACAATAACAACAACACAAGACGCGAAAAAGAAAAATTTTTAAATAATCAAAAAGACCCATCACCAATAATTTATGAGCCTGAACTTATGGATGCTGAAGATAGCTTGTTAGAAATTAAATCGACGTTTTGTAACACAGCAAAGAATGGAAATATGATGACTGAAAAGCTGGTTGACACGGTTTTTTTTTAATTTTTTAATTAAAAAAAGACATAAAAATTTTAAAAGGATTTCTACAAGGATTTTGGCGATTTGTTCGACCCTGATGTGAAAATTAAAAATTGAAAGAAGAAAATTTTTTTAAATAAAAAGAGGAGATTATGACGATATTTAAACATTTTTGTGTATTTAAAAAAAGAAATTTTATTTCTCTTTTTTGGCAATAAAAAAATTTAATAATTATTGAAAGGTTTGAATTTTCTTTTTTTAAAGATAATTATAGTAAGTTAAATTAAAAAAAATATTTTTAAATGTTTATTCAGCCCCTCTTTTTTTAATCACATGTTTTAAGTCTAAAATAACCCTCTTAAAATTTTTTAAAAAATCCAGGAATTAAATTTACCATGCTAAAAATTTTTAAAAATGTTTTTCCGTATAGATTATAAGTTTTGCCAATGGTGGGGTTCGAACCTGCTTCCATCACAATTAGGAAACAAGATGTTTACCGACTGCGCCACAAATAACGTTAAAGAATTTTCTTTTAATTTTGACTACATTCTTTTTTAAAAATATTTAAAAAATGCTTTATAAAAGTCTTTTAAAAATGTGTAAAAGAATTTTAAAATAAAAAATTTTTTTGAAAATTAAAAAAATTCAAAAAAAATTTTTAAAGTATAATATTTAATATAAATATCTAACCTTTCTTTTTTTATAAATCACATTTGTCTACAATGTATCACTTGTTGTTGATTATTATTTACATTTTCGTCATCATCACTTTGATTATTTTCATCAACATTAAATATTCCCATTCCAACAGAATTTATTAATTGCTCCCATATCATTTCTGGTGTTCTTCTCCTTCTATTTTTCTTCATTAAATCATATTTATTTTTTGAAATGTCACGGTCTTCGGTTTCTTCTATTTGGTCTTTTTCTGTTGTTTTCTTTAATGAGGTCTGCAGAAAAAAAAGATTTTTAATGGAAAAACTCGTATAAATTTACACAGAAAGACTGGGATCTCCAACTCTCACTTAATTAAATTCTCCTTCCCCCAATACCTATTAAGAAAATAGAATGTACAAAGAAGACGGGGTCTATTTTTTGCAGATTTTTTTCTATGGACTATTTCTTTTTTCTCTATAATGCGGACGGAACCTTGCGGACTCCTAACCACAATCAGTAACAAAAATCTCATGTACAAAGCAATAGAACCTTATATTCCATGAAAATCTTTCTCCTCGGAGAATTGAAAATTCACCACTAAAAATGACAACAACGCCTCTCCAGTCTACTCTCATCGAAGAAAAATCTCAGATACCCCGTTTCCCTCACAACTCTTAAAAATACCCCTTCCCTAGTCGAAAAGTCCCAAAATTAAAAATAAAAACCGTTGAAGGCTCCCAAAAACGAACAACTTTATCAATTCCAGAACTAGCAATTAAACATCTATCAGGATGTGGTTGAACACAATTAACGGTAAAATTATCTCCCTTAAAGAAATAATTGAGAAAAAAATATTTAAAAAAAATTCAAACCTTTAAAACTTTAACAACTTTTTCAGTTTTTCTTTCCCAAATAAATATTGAGCCACAATCTTAAAAGAAATTTTTTTATACACTTTTAAAGTCAAAATAAATATTTGCGGATAAAACTTGCGGATCTTTAGCCGCAAATTCTTATGAAATTTTTTTGAAAAGAATAGCCAAACCCAACTTCTAGGAATTCAATTTCGAGTTTAAAATACAGTTAAAAATTTGCAAAAAAAATCAAAGATGCCAAAAAGAGAGAAACAGAGGAATTTGCCCAACAAGAGGAAGTGACGACTTACAAAATCAAATCGAAAAACACTTTGTGACCTATTTGGTTTGTATCCCCATTTTTTAAGCCTCAGATTGTTGTCTAACAAAAACTAGAGAGAAAAATCCCTCCTACCAATCTCCTCTAAATAAATAAAAAAAGATAAAAGTTAACTAACCACTTCCAGCAACAATATATTGATCATCCCCACCAAACCAACTAGCTTCTTTAATATCTGTATTTATATTTAAATGTCCAGTAAATCTATCAATATAATCTCTAAAATCATTTAAAGTCCAATTTAAAGATTCATCTGTTAAAAAATAATTTTTAAAGAAAAATAAAAAAATTTAAAAACCTTCTTCTTCACTAATTTTTCCAATAATTTGTTCAGCAGAGGTATCTTCAGGATGTAATTTTTGATAAAATGAGAGGCACTCTTTTGCAAGCTTTAAAAATAGAGGAAAAGGTAAAAATATAAATATTAAATTAATTTATAAAAATTAAAAAAAATTAGTTTTTGTCCGCAAAAATTTTTGTTGTCCGCAAGTTTTATCCGCAAAAATTTTTTTGTCCTTACAATCAGAAAAGCTTTTAAGGCTGTCATTCGTTGAGTTCATGTAACCCTAGTTATGTAACCTTTAAGTAACCTAAAGTAACTATATCTCTTCCCTTACCTTATAAAGAAATATTTTTGCGGACAAAACTTGCGGACTTCGACCACACAAAAAATATTTAAAAAAAACAAACGTTAAATTGATTCAAGGCATACAAATTTTTAATTAAATTTTGATGAGCCATTTTACATTTTGGATTAATTCTCAGAACAGATAAATAATCTTTAATTGCATCAATTAAATCCCCTTTCCAACTTCTTTCCATAAAACAGCGTCCTCTAGTTAATAAACATTGAATTATTAAATTTGAATTATTTAAAATGTGTGAAGATATTCGATCAGAAATAATTTTGTTGGTTGAGGAAAGAGTGAATATTTGTTTTGATAAACTTAAAAAAATAAAAATTTCTTGGGTAAAGTTTCAAAAGTCCGTAAGTTTTATCTGCAAATTTGTCAAAGGCACTAATTCCTATTTCTTTCTTTTTACAAGGACGCAGATCCCTTACAAGGACGCAGGGTGTCCCTTTCCAAAACGCCAAAATAGGGCGAAGGGACTCAAAAATAGGGCAAAAATATGGCGAAAAGTTCAAAAATAGGGCAAATGCCCTGTAAATAAGGCAAAAGGGACACCCTGACGCAGGTCACTACACAAGGTTGGTCTGGAAATGACGAAGTTATCTAAAATTGGAAAACTGCCATAATTGGATTCATCGTAAATTACCAACAATCACAAGTCAAAAGAGTAACGACGAAAATTGGAAGCCTTTCCAAACTTGCGAATTTTTTGGAACTTGCGGACTTTATTGGACTCTAATGGAAAATAAAAATAATAAATACCCATTTTTGATTAAGTAACAATTTAAAATTTCAGAACAATTATCTATTGCCTGAGAAAATTCTTTTTCATCGGCAAATTTATTTGTTTGATTAAAAAATTGTTCTGTAAAATTATTGGTATTTTTAATTGATGATAGTCCCTCAAGAGTTGTATTTTCAAACGGAAAATTTTCTTCATCAGACATAAAACTTAAAAAATTAATTAAAAAAATTTTTCTTAAGTGACAAAAAATCCCAAAATGACAAAAAATCCCAAATTTTGCCAAACATTTTTCTATCAAAAAGAAAGCTATTTTAAAGGTGGATAACCTCATGAAACAATTCAAAAAAAATTCCAAAACCTTTTAATTGTTGAAAAAATATCAGGAGATGTGTGATTATTCTTCTTCACATCGAAAATATAAATATTATCAGAACCAATATTCACTAAGAGTTCATTTCCAATTTTGTTAAATTCCAAATTTGTAGATAAAAGGTGTCCTTCTTCGTTTACAGAGAGATGAGCTTAAAATTAAAAAAATTTTAAAATAAAGGTACTTTTTGGATACCCCTCCTCTTAGTTTGAGTCGCATCAGAGTTATCCTTCTAGTTATACCTAATGACCAGAATTGCCTCCTTTTCTTTATTATCTCATTTTAACATGAGCAGGGAGACGAAGTGGAACAAGGAAGGAAGTATCCAGGAGGGGAGGGGGGTATCCAAAAATTTTTTAAAGAATAAACAAACCTGGTAATAACTTCATTAAAGGCTCCTTCATACTTCTTTTGTCATATATTGGAACTAAAGCTGAACTTAAACCAATAGCCAACATCTCACTTGAACTTTCATTTATTGCTAACGACTTTAAAGATCCATAATCTTCAGAAAAATCAAAATCTGTTGTTTTGTTGTCGCGAAGATCGCATTGTCTTTAAATATAAACATAAATAAAGTTAAAAGGAATGACAAAAAAGATAAGTTGAAACATTAGTTTAGGCCTTAACCTTTCAAAAATTATCAAATTAAAGCTTTTTTGATAAAGAAAGATTGAAAGAGGGTTTGTTTGTATATCCAGGCATGCTTACTGATAGGGAAAAATTCGTGGATATCCACAGATGAAATTTTGAAAAAGGAGACGGAAACAGAAATAATCAACCCAAAATTTGTACGAAGAAAAAAAGTAAAAATTGTAGAATAACTGTGAGCATGCCAAGGTATAACATAGAAAATGTATTCCCGCCCAAATAAAAAAAAATTTTTTCTCAAGGGAAGAAAATCCCTATATTCCCCCTCCCCCCCCCCCCCCAAGACATCTACGCTTTTATTTAAAAAAATCTAAAAATAAAAACAAACTTTAAAACTCCATCTTCAGACACAGCCCAAAATATCCTCGGTTCTTCTTTACAAATTGCCATTTTCTTTACCCTTCCTTTACATTCCCATTTTTGAATATGACACAACGAATCTGATGACATTTGATCCAATTCATGCAATAAAATTAAGCTATCACCCGCTGCCGACAAAAGTAAATGGTCATGTGCATGAGGCACAAATAGAACAGAAAAAATATTATTTGAGTGTAGTGTTTGTAAACGACGAAGTAAGCGACCATTTTGATGCCAAATAATTAAATGTTGGTCATCGGAACCGCTAGCAAGAAGCCTTAAAAAAATTTTTTTTCAATTGAAAAAATTTTTAAAAATTAACTAACGTTCCAGAATCGTTCCATTTTATTGAATTTACACATCCTTCATGCCCCTAAAAATTAGAAAAAATTATGTTAATTTTTTTGATATTTATTAGAACCAAACTAGGGGCAGATCTTGGCTTAAATATAGCTCATAGACCAAACTAAAATAATTGCTTTTGACGTAATAAAAAAAATCCAGGAATCACCCATAAAAGTGTACATAGTGGCTTATTTTAACTTTTAAAGAAAAATAAAAAAATAATTTCCCCGAGCGGATTCGAACCCGCGACCCCTCATGACGTCTAAAATAGCAAACATTCCACTTAACCACATGAAATAGAAGTTGCTCGCCCCGTAAATAATCCGTAATCATGCATAGAAAAAGGTCCCAATTTAAGAACAAAGAAGATCCCCAGTTCAAAAATTAATAAAAAATTTAAAAAAAAACAAACATGTAGGGTGTAGGTGTGTTGAATTGACTTAACATTTGATTCAGTAACAATAAACTTCCTTTTAAAAATTGAAGAAAGACTGGGATCAACTTCTCTTTTTGATGTACTGCAAGGTAAATGTTCACAATCAATCATTTCAATAAATTAAAATACTAAAAATTAAAAAAATTAGCTAAAAAACGAAAAAAAATTTTTTTGTAGGCAAAAAAGATGAACGAAAAATTAAAGTGAAAGGAGTTCCGCGGTAACCCCCGATCCAAAAATTAAATTTTCCAATATATTTTATTCAACTTACCACAAAATCCACCGACTTAAGTAAAATATTTAATATAAATGCGCGTTTTTATTCAGTGGCCAACTGAGGTGGGACAAACTGGGGCTGGGCCGAACTGGGGCTAGCTGGTATAACAAAAGTAAAAAGTATAAATTAACTAATTCAACGCTATGGGCTAATTCTTTGATCATGTAAGAAGACCTTAAATTTCCCAAAATTTCTTGAAATTTACTACACAAATTTAAAAAAGCTTTGTAAACTTACAATTAGGCGATTTTCCCCCATTTTCCAGTTTTCATAATTTCTATTGACGTTATGCCAACACTTTTTAACATTATGAAATTTTTCTTTTTACATAATTTCAAAATGTAAAATTTTGTTTCAACAATTGATTTTTCACTTGTTAAAGTTTTACTATTTATGTGCCGACTTTAAACATTTTTTTTATTTTCTCATTCATTTTTTATAATATTAGTTTCTTATTTTTATAGACTTAAAGTCATCCGTATATTTTTGGTTCTACAAATGGTGAGAGGAAATCGTCGGTTTAACCGTCCGCGTCGCATTGGACGAAGAATTCCTTTATCTGCTCAAATGCGTGAACTACGTCGTTTAATTACAACCGGTTTTAACAACATCAATACTCGTTTTAACGACGTCAATACCCGTTTTAACGACGTCAATACCCGTTTTGACGGCATTGATGCTAGCCTTAACGGCCTTAATCAACGTTTTACGGGTGTTAATGAACGGTTGGACATTCTCGGTCAACGTGTTGATACTTATCGTGAGGGCCTCAATCTGCGTTGTGATGTTATGACTGCACGCTTAAATAACATTGACGCTCGATGTCAGTGTGGGGTGGACCAGCCGGTGATTAATGCTAATTTGGTGGGTAATGAGAATTTGTCCAATACTCAATCAAGTGCATCTTCAACTCCGCCTTCAAATTTCCGACTTGACTATGGTGGTGAAGGGCGAGGTGTACGTATTTTGCCATTTCAAGTTTCCTGCCATTCCAAAAAATCAAAATGCTGCAGTGCTGCAAAAACTAAGGTGCAATTCATCGAAGAGTTGGCTGAGTAAGTGATTATTAGAAAATACGTGATTACCGATCAAATTTAGTCAATCTGATAATATTATCTTGAAACCTTACAATGCAAACATTCGTTCTCCTGACCCTGACCAAGGTTAGATTAATCAAAAAAAATTTTTTTTCAAAATTTATTTTTAGCTGAGCTTTTTCTCAGGCGAATTTTGTTTTATGGTGGTGTTTTGGATAAATCTCTTGGCGAAATGCCGTTGGATGAATATTTTGCGAAAGCTTTGGTTATTAAGGTTTTTTTAAGTTTTACTTTTTTATATTTTTACCCTTTTTAAGAATTCTTGCATTGGTTGGAAGCTTGTTGGTGTGGTTGACATTCCCTCCAAAAAATTGCCAGCCCAAGTTTTTTATTTTGATGCTGAGGGTGTTCGAAAGTTGATTGAGCAGTGTGATAAGGTTTTAATTTTGAAAGTTCTGTTTTTTTGGGTGAAATAGGGATTAGAGGTTTTAAACAGTCAATAATGCTGTTGAGTTCATCTGACTTTTTACTGGACTAGACTTTTTTAGGGGTTTCCGTTCATCCATAGTTTAGGAGTTTTTTCTCGTATTTGGCAATTTAAGTGATTTTTTAGATTACTCCAATTGGCCGCTTAGATGTTGGAAAGTTGGGGAAACAGGCACGTCTACAGTTGACTGGAACTCCTCCTTTGCGTTCTAATTTGGTTTCTGTTTTGGATTCTCAAACGGTTTATAATTTTTTTAATTTTTTGGGGTGATTCTCAGATTTGCGGATAAGACTTGCGGACAATTCGTTTGAGTAGGGGGCTATAGGGAAGTAACTAATCCGCAAAATCTGTCTGATATTTTCTCCTCAATTTATTCAATTTTAGAAACGTGTGGCTATATTGGACTTGTCAGCAGTCTGTTCAGGAAGCTCTCAACAGAAACAACAAAATCGTTATATGCTTGTTTGCTTCGATGGCGATTTGGATAGTCAAAATATTAAGGATTTGGATGATTTATTGACAAACGTTGGGGCTAATGTATTTCTTTTTAATTTTTTTCTCTATTTTATTCACATATTTCAGTTTATGAACTTGATGGAAGCCGGGGCTGATGCTATTATGCCAGCTTTGGATTTTGACCAGAAGAGGAAATAACGAGTTGATGGAATTTTGGGTTATATATAATATATAAAATTAGACTAAATAAGAAACCGCTAAAAATATCTCATTTTATAAGACCTCTATATTAAAAAATTTACTTAAAACAAAAATACAAAAGCCTTTAAAAAATTTTTATATTTATTTACCGAGTTTTTTCATTTTCAAAAATGTTTTGAGAATGTATTTTTTTCTATTCATTTCTGAACATATTTTGTTTAAATGTCTTTATTCTCTAAAAATGTATTTTCTGGAAAGTTTTTTATTTTTTTCTGTATTTTTCATCTAAATTTATCCGGAAAGTATTTTTTTTATTTTTTACGAGGTAATGTGTTTTTCGACTTTATTTCTCTCCGCAAAAATTTTCAAATATTTTTACTCTTTAAAAATGTATTTTTTCTAAATAGAATAAATATAGAGAATTTTTAATGGTTAAAAGAAGGGGCAATTTTAAGCTAAAATATTGGGCATAAATCCAACGCAAAATATTAAAATAGAATTTTTAAAATTTGGAAAAAAAAATTAAACAAAAAAATTTTTTTATTCTTTAACATTTTCACAACAAATTTTTTCTCCATTAATTACAACAAGTAAATTATAAAAATCTTTTTTACTCCAAAATGTTGCTGGTTTCCAACCACACCAACCCCCAGCCAAAATATCATCAATATTGTCTGTTCCAGTATAATGGGGGTCTAACACTAAATATTGGCAATTACCAAGTCGAGGATTGTAATCAATTCCAATTATTGTATGGGCAAGTTGGCCACCACCTTTTTTAAGGAATTTTTTAAATTATTTTTCTTTGTGATTACCCACATTTCTCATAAAAATATGGGTATTTTTCGGTTTTGTTACAACCCCCCCCCCTCTATATCAATGCTCAAAATGTCAAATATAGGGTAAAAAAGGGTGCTGAATCGAACAGTGCCCCTCTTTCCCCTGGAGAGCCTGTGGACCGAGATATAGGGATCGAAATGGTCAAAAACCATAGGGTCATTTAGGGGTAAAAAAATTCCAGCTCGTCTATGAAATAACAATAAGACGAGGAATTTCGTGAAAAAAAAGAAAAAAAACATGGGAATTTCCGAGGATTTTTTGGTCAATTTTTTCGTTTAAAAATTTATAGAACCCGGAAAGTGATTAAAATTTGAAAAATAAAAAGTAAAATAACCAATCATAACAGGAGCACCACCATTCTCAAAATGAAAAATTAAAGCTCTCGCATGTTCTGCCAAATCTGATCCACTTTTTGAAGTTAAAATTTTTGAAGTAATATTAAACATATTTTGAAGACAAAAACTTAATTCTAATGAACCAATCCATTTTTTAGACCCAACAAAATTTGAAGGTTTATCACCAATATCAACTAAACACTGAAAAAGAAATTAAAAATGTTCGAGATTCCTTTCATTTATGCTCAAAATGTCCGCAAATGTTGTCCGCAATTTGTACTAATTTATTTTATTTATAGGGCAAAGGTAAATGTATGAGAATTTTTATTCTCCTAAAAAAGAAAAAACCCTAGAGCGAGATGGGAAGAAAATGGGAACAGGATCATTGTGTACCTGGCCGTTTGTATACCCACCCAAAGGGGGACGTTTGTGTACCCGCATTATTTCTATTAGATTTTTCGTGCCATATTTTATAGACTAAATCTGAGTCTGTGGATTTTTCCTAGGCTATAGGATGATGCTCCTGTCCAGATAAGCAAGTTAAATCGAGGAGCATTTAAACATGATCTCTAGTTTATAGTCAAAGAAATCCCCCAGGAGGCTCCAAAAATGTCTTAAATGAGTGTACAGAAAAATGTCTGAACACAAAATCTAGTTCAATCGGGTCCAAAAAAATTTTTTTTTAAATCAGAGGAGATCCCAAGCAAAAATCAAATAAAAAATTTAAATCAAAACCTTTTGTATCTCTCTATGACTGGGAATATTTTTATCAATATATCCTTGTAATTTTAGCCAAGAACAAACAGTTTGGAATGATCTATAAGCACAACCCCAACCAGAGTCATCAAAATTGTTTTGTCCATAATGAAAATAGCCATACTTGCCTGATACAATTGCACATTTATTTTTGGATTGGACTTGAAAGGAATGAAAATTGGAGAAATTTAAAAAGGAAAACCTTGAAGAGTTTCGTGTGGATTATAAATTAAAGTTGGAAATTCTTCTAGATCCTGAGTCGTTGACATTTAAAGATAAGAACAAATAGGAAGAAAAATAAATAAAAAATAAAAAAAATAATCTCAAAAATATGAGAGATTATTAGAAATTATGATACTGGAAAAAGAAAAAAAGTAAATTTCCTAAAAATGACATTCTATCCGTGCCCGCTCAACTCATCTAATCCTTAACTCATCCACACGCCCAAAAATGCTCAACTCATCTAAACGGCTAAAATTCCTTAACTCATCCACACGGCCAAAAACGCTCAACTCATCCAATCCTCAACTCATCTAATGCTTAACTCATCTACACGGCCAAAAACGCTCAACTCATCCAATCCTCAACTCATCTAATGCTTAACTCATCTACACGGCCAAAAACGCTCAACTCATCCAATCCTTTGGAACGAGACTATTGAGTACCAGTCGTTTGAGTCCCTGGCCGTTTGAGTCTCTGGCCGTCTGAGTCCATGACAAGTTGAGTCCCTGGCCGTTTGAGTCTCTGGCCGTCTGAGTTCATGACCAGTTGAGTCCCTGGCCGTTTGAGTCTCTGGCCGTCTGAGTTCATGACCAGTTGAGTCCCTGGCCGTTTGAGTCTCTGGCCGTCTGAGTCCCTGGCCGTTTGAGTCCATGACCAGTTGAGTCTCTAGCCGGTTAAGTCCCTGGTCAGTTGAGTCCCGGCCGTTTGAGTGGTTGATTACCACCGGTTGAGTCTTGGGCCGGTTGAGACTCAACTGACCAGGGACTCAACCGGCTAGGGACTCAACCGGCCGATATTTCAAGGATTGGATGAGTTGAGCGTTTTTGGGCGTGTGGATAAGTTAAGCATTAGATGAGTTGAGGATTGGATGAGTTGAGCGTTTTTGGGCGTGTGGATGAGTTAAGCATTAGATGAGTTGAGGATTGGATGAGTTGAGCGTTTTTGGCCGTGTGGATGAGTTAAGTGTTAGATGAGTTAAGGATTGGATGAGTTGTAGGGTAGCCATTCTATCCAAAATTAACGGCTCCTATACAACTCATCGAATCCTTAACTCATCGAATCCTTAACTCATCGAATCGGCCAAAAACACTCAACTCATCGAATCCTTAACTCATCGAATCCTTAACTCATCGAATCGGCCAAAAACTATCAACTCGTCGAATCCTCCCAAAAGGGGACGTTTGAGTCCCAGTGTTTATTTTTTAGATTTTTTATTGTTTTGTTTATTTTTTTTTGTTTTTCTTCTGGGGTTTCAACTGATTTTGTTAATTAGTTGATCGCTCACTCATCCAAGTCTATCCGGTCAGTGAAAACATTCTCAGATCCTGGTAAATTATGCTGGAGATCCTGGTAAATTATGATCTCATTCCTGGTAAATTATGCGGAGATTCTGCGGAGATTCTACCGGGTAAAACCGGACCAGATTAATCCAGTAGGCCCGGATTGTGCCCAAAAGGACTTTTTCCTAGCCTCCAAAGCAGCACAAAAATTTTTTCAACGAAGATTCAGCTAGCCCTTTTGGGAGAAAAATTAACACGGGGACTCAAACGTCCCTTTTTGGGAGGATTCGATGAGTTGAGCATTTTTGGCCTAGTCGATGAGTTAAGGATTCGGTGAGTTAAGGATTCGATGAGTTAATAGTTTTTGGGCGATTCGATGAGTTAAGGAATTTTAGCCGTTTCGATGAGTTGAGTGTTTTTGGCCGATTCGATGAGTAAAGGATTCGATGAGTTGAGGGGACACGAAATTAACGTCTCTAACCTTAATGATAATTAGAGAAACAAAATTTTGTTTTTTAATAAATTTGTGGGTTAGTAACGAAGAGAGAGCGAGATATGGGAAGAAAAGAAATTTGATAAAAATGACATTTTATCCTAATTTTCGTGTCGAAACAAAATTATACTCTAACCTTAATGATAATTAGAGAAAAAAATTATATTTTTTAAATAAATTTGTGTGAGAGAGTATAGTAAAAGAAGAGAGTGCTTATGATAAAAAGAAAAAAAATTAGTGGGGTAAAATCAATTTTATGTTCTATTTATTTCTTTCTAGTTTTGTCAATTGAAGCAAGTGATAATTCCTTTCATCGTTTAATCTCTTAAATCTTGTTTTGCTTATTTACAGGAGTTTTAAAAAAAATATTCCAGTGATCAATCACCATTTTAAATAATGATAGAAGCTAAAACAAATTTAATAACATTTATTTTTTGAAAAATTTGATTACATGGGCAATTGTTTGTCAAGATCGAAGAGAAGAGTAGCTAAAGCTGGATTGGATGAACAAAATGCAAATAATATTTTCTCCAAGACTTCTAACAATCAAATGGTTTGCTCATCTTATCAATACAGGTATTTCAATTACTTTTTGGGACTTTGGTGTAGTGGGATAGCGTTAGGTTTTTGACATTAAGTGGTTGATGGTTCGAATCCCTCTCTCTTGTCAGTGTCTATATTTTTTAATTTATTGAAAATGAGTAGTTTTCTCTAGCAATACAGTTACCTTCTCCTTGATATTTTGGTGTAGTGGGATAGCTTTAGGTTGTTGACCATGGGTGTTCGTTGGTTCGAATTCTGTCATGGTCCTTATTTTTTGAGTTGTTGAAAATTAAGTGTTTATCTGCTAAATGTTTTTAAATAGATCTTTATATTCTAGATCTGACTCCAAAACTTTTCCCGATGCTTTTACCAACATAATTGACACTAATCAGAAATTGCTTGGGCAGCAGGAGGCAGCAAATGTAAATAGTGATTCTTCCAAAAATGAGCATAATCGTAAATTTTTATGATAAATTTAAAAATTTAAAAAATATTTCAGCTTCCCCAGAAAAATTAATTGCAATGTTTTCTTATGAATCTCGTTCAGAAGGTGATCTCGGGTTTGAAAAAGATGACATAATGTATCTTCTAGACAACACGTTTGTTTCTTTAGAGTCCTAAATACTAAAATATTTAAATTTTAAAGCAATCCGGATTGGTGGTATGTCAAAAATTCTAAAGGAATTCCTGGCTATATTCCTCGCAATTTTGTTGCCTTTCTCAAAACTCCAGAATCTTTCGATTGGTTTGCTGGAAGAATATCTAGAAGTGTGGCAGAAAGACTTGTAGCTGGGAAACAGTTGCCTCCTGGGACTTTTCTCATCCGTGAAAGGGAGTCTGACAATTTAGAATATGCTTTGACTATACGTGATATTGACCAAGGATTGGGGGTTCCATGTGCAAAGCATTACAAAATTAAAGAGGTGGAAAATGAATGTGGATTTTATATTACGAAGAGGATGATTTTTCCGTCTTTGGAAGCCTTAGTTAGCTATTATTCGGGTTAGTTTTTTAATTTTTAAATTCCCCCAAAAAAGTTTAAGCCTTCGAATTCCCCAAAAAAATTTTTTTTTAGACCGTGCCGATGGTCTTTGTAACAAGTTGACACTTGCAGCGCCCAAAATGACTCCAATAGGTCCCGATTTGTGCTATGATACCCAACAAAATTGGGAGATTCCTAGACATGAAGTTCAACTTATAAGAAGATTGGGTGAAGGGAATTTTGCTGAAGTTTATTATGGGCATTGGAGAGGGAAAGTTGATGGTTTGTTTATTTTTGGATTTTTTTGGAAGGGGAAAAGGCCCTTAAATTCGATCCAGTCGTTCCTTATTTGTTTCCTTTTCACACACAATTGTCGCAAACTAGATAATATAGGAAAAAGTAAGAGCAAGGAAAAATATCGGCTGTTAATAAACAACTAATTCTCACCAGCCGATGGGTGCTTGGCTGCCCCCCCCCCCTTCATGAAATATGGAATTTATTAGCGGGTTAGACCGCAGTGCTTGGATGCCCCCCCCCCTATATGAAAGATTGAATGGAGAAAAAGGGCCATGGATCGAAGAACAGCAGTCCAATCCAATTTTTCCACATAATCAATCAAAAAATTTTTTTAGTTGCAATAAAAATGATGAAACCTCGAACAATGAGTTCTGAAGATTTTATTAGTGAAGCAAATACCATGAAGCAATGTCAACATCCCAATTTGGTTCGTCTTTTTGCTGTTTGTACAAAAGAAGAACCCTTCTATATAATTACTGAATATATGAAAAATGGAAATTTATTAGATTTTTTGAGAGCAGAAACCAAAGAAGATAAACAACAAAAATTATCTAGTCCTAGAAATCCGTTGACAATACAAGAATTGGTGGTTATTTGTGCTCAGGTTTTTTAATTTAATTTTTTGAGGTTTTTGGGGGTCCCTGATAGTGTTGGACACGGCCGGCTAAATTTTCCTTGTAGGGCTGAAAAGCTCTTTTTCTTTTCTATTTAACCTATCACAGCAGACTTCTAGCCAGGAATCCCTTCCCCCTTGCTTCCGTTACCACATTTCTGGGTTGGGAATTCCCCCTGGCTACGAGCCTGTACCACGGAAACATTAACCTATTGTGTTCAACCCTAGTTGCTGACTTTTTTAATTTTTTAGGTAGCAGATGGAATGAAGTATTTGGAAGAGAGAAAGCTTGTTCATAGAGATTTGGCTGCTAGAAATGTTTTGGTTGGAGAAAAGTAAACTTTGTAATTTTTTACAATTTATAAAATAATTATTTTTTAGAGTATCTGGAGTCCCTATCGTTAAAGTTGCTGATTTTGGACTTGCAAGAAAGCTGATGGATGATGAACAGATTTATGAGGCTCAAACTTTTACCCAATTTCCTATTAAATGTAAGAGGGGTTTTTCGGGGTTTTGGACTTATTGGCTTTCTAAAATGCCATTTTGTACTAATATTTGGACTTGTGTTTGATCACTCATTATTTTCAGGGACAGCACCAGAAGCAGCCATGCTCAAAATTTTTACTGTAAAATCGGATGTGTGGTCCTATGGAATTCTCCTTTATGAAATATTTACAAAAGGAGCAGTTCCCTATGCAGGAATGTCAAATTCTGAGGTTCTCGTAAAAATTGAAAATGGAGAGAGGATGAAATGTCCTTATATTTCAAGTTTGTTTTTGGTTAAAATTTATGGAAAAAATTTTTATTTTTTAGACCCAGACGATTCTGTGCTAGTTAAACGAATTTATGAACAAGTAATGCTTAAAACATGGGAACAGCAACCTGAAAAACGCCCAACTTTTGAAGCATTGTATCATTATTTTGACGATTTTTTTGTTAGTAATCAGCCAAATTACATTCCATCTTAAACGCAATTATTAGGTATATATTTTTTTGGTCTCAATTTTATAACCCTTTTTTGCTTCTATCGAACGAATCTTATTTTTAGAAACTCAAAAATTATGTATAATATTTTTATAAATTAGATCAGTCACCGTGTTAGGATTTTAGTGCGCCACAGTGCCAAAATTCCAAACCTTCCGAAAATTATTACGTCATTTTCATATTGGTATTTTGGCGGTTTTTTGGGCTGGTTTTTTCCTTGCTGGTATCACGACCGTCTGTTTTTGGAATTAGGCATAATATCGGTTCAGCAAAAAATTCTTAGATTTTATATCCCCTATTATAAGGGATGATCTTTTCTGCTTCTGTTTTCTAAAAATAAGGTTCGATTTTATTTACTATATTATTATTAAAGACCGGATCGAGACGAGATTTCGAAAAGAAATCGACATTTCAAATCAACATTAATTCGATAGTTCCATTCTATTACGATCTTCTAGTCCGGTCTTTACTTACTATTTTTATTTTTTTTTATTAAGGGACCTCCAAATTAAAATTTAAAAATTTTTTTAAATATTTTTTAATCTTTTCAGAATTTTCTTTATTTTTTTCTATTTAAAAAATTAAAATTTGTGCATTTTTATTAATCTTACTAATTCGTGAAAGGCTTTTATATACTATTTATGAGTTTTTTTTCGGTGAATAAAAATGTTTACTGAATTTTTTAAAGTTTAATTTTTGTTGAAATTGTTTGGCTTTCAATTAATATTTTTTTAATTATTTGTCTGTTAAAAATAATTTTTAATTTTTTAGAATTTTACCAAATTTTTAGATTAAAAAATATTCTGGACCTTTTCTTTATTCCAAATGGGCAAATGTTTTTCACGTCAACAAAGTACAGGCAAGTCTAGTCATGATGATTCAGAAAATTCGCGTTCATCTGCTGCGATAAGTGACAGAAGGCGAAGACATTCAGTTGATAGTCAATCTGTGGATAGTAGAGATTTGGATTCTGTGCAAAGGCAAAGATATGTTGGGCCAAGACAGCCGCCACATTCATCACAACAGCAGCACAAATTGTCGGCTTCTCAATTTGGTTATTATAGAGCTGGTGGAGGTTTCTTTTTTAATTTTTTTAATTTAACAGTAAACGGCTGGTCCCTCTCATTGCCTCGTGGTTTACGCTTGCCATTCCGCTTGATACGGATGTCAATGGGGGAGTAGCCTTAGTAATGGCACGGGTATAGGAACAAAGTCGGGCTGGGTTTGAGTCAGGTTTTCAAAATTTTCTTCGGATAGGGTATTAAGTTATTATTTTGTTCTCTTAGTTTTTCAGTTATTTCGTCTCTTTTTTCCACTCGCCCTTACTTTTCTAGTCTTCGAAATTCTATTCATCAAAAGATGTCATTAGGTGGAAGCCCTTCCGTTCTTTCACTATCTATCCTTATTTTATCCTTATATTGTTGACCATCCTTTCCCTTCCTATCAACTTTATTTTTTACCCAAAATAAACATCATCTTATTAAAAAAATATTTTTTTAGCCCTACCTTCGGGTGCAAATCGTTCAATGTATCAACCTGGAGATGGCCAAAGAGCGCCTTATTTTGGTAATTATCCTCGTCATTATATAGTTAATGGAGATGGCTCTGGAAAATCTACAGCAATAACTTCATTGGGTGGAAGCCCTTCTGTTGGATTAGGTGGAAGAAAACAACAAAATGAAACGGCTGAAGGAGGTTTGTTGTTTTTTAAGAGGTTTTTGGGATTTAAGAAGAAAGATTAGGGTGGAATATGCTGCTCTTTGCTTTAGGGCGTTTTTTGATCCTAAAAAGGTCATTCTGGTGCGAAGTTGTTGGTGTCATCATTATTTACATCCGCTGTTACTTTTACTCTTTTTCCTGTTTGGACTTAAATTCTGATTTTTAATTTCTAATAAGGAATGGGTTTGGTTGAGAAGATGTCAGGTCGAGTTTTTAGAATTTTCTTTTCGGGTCAGGTCGAACAGTGTCTGGGTTTTGGAGTTTCGAGTAACCTGATCAATCCCTATTTCTGGTTGAAATTTCTGCAGCTTCTCTTTAATTTATTAATATTTTTATAGAGCCCAAAGTTATTGCCATTTATGAATACCAAAATCATGTAAAGGGAGATATTTGTTTCGACAAGGGTGATGTAATGATTTTATTGAATGACAGGTTTATTAAATTTTTTAAAATATTATTTTTAAAAATTAAATTTTGTAGCAATCCTGATTGGTGGTATGTTAGACACTTAAAAAATGGTGAAGGATATGCTCCAAAGAATTTTTTGGCAAAGATGGAGTCGTTAGAGGTTTCTCTTTTTGGGAAAAATTTTTTAATAAAAATTTTTTAAATTTTAGTCAGAAGAATGGTATGCTGGCAAAATCCAAAGGAGCACAGCGGAAAAATTGGTATTAGCTGGTAAAATGCCGCGTGGAACATTTTTAGTTCGTAAAAGAGAAGGAGGAGAATATGCATTGACTATAAATGATTTGAAGGATGATTCTTTGGATGTAAAGAATTTTTTTAATTTTTAAAATCAAAAGAAAATTCTTTTTCAAAGGTAAAACACTACAAAATTAGGCCTTTAGACAATGCTTCAGGCTTTTACATAACTACACGTAAAGTATTCCCGACTGTTCGAGATTTGATTTTCTATTATTCAAGTTTGTTTTTATTTTTTAATTTATTGAGAGAGGTGACATTTGATCCCACCTTTAGTCTAAAGAAAAATTTTTTAATCACTAATCTAGAGGAAACAACATTAGAATGAATCACAAATTTAAGTCCCAAAATCTCAAAATAACTTTTATTTTTTGGATTTTAATTTTGCTTGTACCTTGAGGTCCGTTTGGGATCAAATGTCGCTTTCTTAAAAAATAATTTTAATAAAAATTCTCTTTTTTTTTAAAGAAGAGCCTGGCGGTCTCTGTTGTCGTTTAACCTATCCAGCACAAAAAATAGCTCCAGTACGCCCAGATTTGAGTTATGATACAGCCAAAAATTGGGAAATACCTAGAGAAGAACTTCAATTAGTTAAGAGACTTGGTGATGGTAATTTTGCTACGGTTTACCTTGGAAGATGGAGAGGAGTTATTGAAGGTTTTTTATTTATTAAAAAAATTTTTTTTGGAGGTCAATGACCATATTACAATTTTTCCGTTTAGGGGGGTAATAAAAGATATTTTCCCCCTAATATATAGTAGTAAATTAGAGAAGTTATCGATAAGTATCGTTGGTTAAGTGGGTAAATTGTTGATTTCCCACTAAATTTTCTTTTAGTCTGTCTGTGATTACAACAAAGTTCAAGCTCAACAGGCTTGAATCCTCCATGTTGATAATTTACTTTAACTCTCTCTATGAGACAGATTAATGAAAAATTTTATATTTTTTTAAAGATATTTTTAGAGTCTATTTTTTAATTTTTTAGTAGCAGTAAAAATGTTGAAGCCTGGAACAATGTCTGTGGAGGCATTTTTAGAGTGAGGGGGTTTTTTTAAAAATTTAAAAATATTAAAAAGAATTTTTTACTAAAAATTTAATTGATGTAAGAATTAAACTTCTGGACTATAAGAAAATTAAAAAAATTTCTTTTAAATTGTTTTTTTATTTTTCAGGGAAGCTCAAATAATGAAACAGTGCAATCATCCTAAATTGGTTCGTTTTTTTTTAATTTTTAAAAATAATTTTATATTTTTAAGGTCAGATTATATGCTGTATGTACTGTTGGAGAGCCTGTAAAAATTTTTTTTAATTATTTTAAATTAAAAATCCCCTTATTTTCAGTATTATATAATAACAGAATTCATGCGCAATGGAAGTTTATTGCATTATTTACGTAATTTAAATAATAGATTGAGTATACACGCTTTGGTTGATACATGTGCACAGGTTTGTTTTTTAAATTATTTTTTGGTTATCTAATTTTTAATTCAAAAAGGGATCGATAGGAGAAGTCGTCAGGGATGATTTGTTAATTTTTTGGGATTTTAAAATTTTTTAAAAAATTCCTTAAAAAATTTTTTGGAGTGCTATAGGTCGTTAGGGATTAAGCGTCTATTTTTGGGACTTTTTAAAAAATTTAAAAATTTTTTAAAAAAATTTTTATGGTGGTATAGATCGTTGGGATTTAATTTCCATTTTTGGGATTCTCAAAAAATTTTTAAAAATTAAAAAAAATTTTTTTTGCAAGATGAAAAGGTCATAAGGATGAAATGCCATTTTTGGGACTTAAAAATTTCAGAAATTTTTTTTTATTTTTTAAAGGTAGCAAGCGGAATGATGTATTTAGAAAGCAGAAAATTGGTACATAGAGATTTGGCTGCAAGAAATGTTTTGGTTGGCGATAAAATTTCTGGTGTCCCCGAGGTTAAAGTTGCAGATTTTGGTCTTGCAAGAAAATTGATGGATGAAAATATTTATGAAGCACAACTTGGGGCTAAATTTCCAATTAAATGTAAGGGAGGAAGGATTTCAGAATTAAAAAAAAATTTTTCAAAAATTTTTAGGGACGGCACCAGAAGCTGCACAATATGGCAATTTTACTGTTAAATCAGATGTTTGGTCCTATGGGATTTTGCTTAATGAAATTTTTACTTTTGGAACGGTGCCATATCCAAGTTTGTTTTTTTTAATTTTTATTATACTAGTTCTCTGAATTATACCCCAAACAAATCAGAATTTCTGACTTAATTTAAAAAATCAGAAATTCTAATTTAAATTTTGGAAATCAGAATTTCTGGTAAATTTTTAAAAATCAGAATTTCTGATTTGGTTTTAAAAATCAGAATATCTGTTTTTAAAAGAATTTCTGATTTAATTTTCAAAACCCTAATTTCCGATTTGTTTTTAAAAACCAGAAATTCTGATTTTTAGTTTTAAAAATCAGAATTTTTGTCAGAATTATTAAATTCAAAAATTCTGATTTAAATCAAAAATTAGTTTAAATCAGAATTTATTTTTTCTTTCCTTAAAATTATAGCAATGCACAACAAAGAAGTTATAGCACACCTAGAAGAAGGCTATAGAATGCCCTGCCCAAAAGGATGTCCAGAAGCTATTTATCTTGAAATGCTAAAATGTTGGGATCGGAATCCAGACAAACGGCCAACTTTTGAATATTTATTTACATTTTTTGACGATTTTTTTATTTCAAGTCAACCAAATTATGTCCCTCCAAGTGTTGATGGTGTCCCTTTTGAAGTACATTCTATGGATACAACAGATGAGGGATCTTCTAATAGAATGCCAAAATAATTTAATGGAAAGTATATTTATATTTTTTAGTTTTTAAAATTGTTTAGTAATTGAGAGACGTTTGTGTGGCCTTACAAAAATCTTGGGGCTTTACTTTAGGATATCTGTCCCATCAGAGTATGTATCTCAAACATGTGACACAGTTTGGCTGACCTCCTTTTTTCCTGTTTCAATGACCATTTTAGGTTTTTTTTACAATAATTTATGATATACCATCCGAAAAAGCTCTTCGAGCCTTTTCGAATGCTTCAAAGATCGGTCAGATTTGGTATTACCGACATAAAAGTTATGAGACGCCTAAGCACATACGACGCATGTCCTAAAGTAGGCCAAAATTTTCGCGTATTTTTTAAAGGAAAAATCCGGAAAAGATTTTTGAGGAGCTACTAAAAAACCCTTTTTTAATTTTGTAAATTTTCTCATTCCATTTTTTCCCCTATATTGGTTTGTGTGCCCTTTTTATGCAATCCAGCTGCCATCCATCGAAATAATATCTTTCACAAGAATGATACTAAAAAGCCACTTAACACATAATTTATATTATTAAATTAATAATAATTTTATATTAATTAATATACTCCTAATAATATGCATTTTTATATTTTGAGTAAATTATAAACTGTTTGTTAACCCTTGGAAGTTGTAACATTTTTTTTGAAGGGGAGAGGGCTAGAAAATTTGGAAAGAAAATTTCTGAAAAGGATTCTTTAAGAAAAAATTTCTCAGAGGGGGGGGGGGGATCGGAGTAGAAAATTTTTGGAAAGAAAATTTTCAAAAAAATTTTCCTAGGGAAAATTTTCCTAGGGGAGGGGGTGGTCAGAAAAAATAATAAATTGAAATTAAAAATTTTTCTAAAAAAGACCCTTTTTAGAAGTCAACTTTTATTAAAAGGAACAATGTAAATAATTTAAAATAAATTATTTTAGCAACATAAATTTGCTCTTAAAAATGGGTCAAAAAATTTAAAAATCAAAAAATTGAAAAAAACCTCAATTTCTTTATCAGGAGATTCTTTCCTTTTCATTCTCCTTTCCATCGGGTGAGTCTTCCTCTCCTTTTTCGTCTTCTTCCGTGGCATGTAAAATAATCTCGGCTTTTTGCGAACGGGCATTATTCAATTTGGAGAAGCAAGCTTGTACTGATACTCTAAAAATAAATAATAATTAAATTGGGTGTGAAAATGATAAACTCTTGAGGGTATAAACGAGTGTCTTACGCGGGGGCCTTAGGAAGGGGCACCGCTTTTTCTCGTAGATCAGGGTATCTTCTATAATCGTCGAAAGATCTTTGGTTTCTCCTTCTCATCAGGTGAATCACCCCCTCCCTTGTACATGCCAAAACTGACTGAGGAAGACGAAAAAAGGGAGGAGGATTCACTTGACGGGAAGGAGAAATCCCATCAAAAATCCCAACAAAAAAATTAAACAGAAACCTCATATCTTCATTCAAATTTGTGTCAGTAATCAACAAACGCTTATTTCGCGCCACAACTTTTCCCACTTGTTTTTCATTCACAAAAACATCATAATCTTTAAAATAAAAATGTTTTTTAGAATTTAGAAAAAAAATTTACGATCAATAGCATTCAAAATTGGAATTATATTTTCCCAACTAACAAGCACACTATTAGTTCCATCCATCTTTTTTGTTGTTAAATGAGTTGGTGTTGGTAAAAGTAAATCACAAAGTGTTCGGTTTTGGTTTATTTGAGTTGTTAAAGCAGATTCAACTTGCTGGAAATTTTTTTTTGAATTTTTTAGATTTTAAGGATTTTATGAAAAATGCGGACAGAGATTTGCGGATAAACCCAAAGCCTATTGAAAAATTTAGGTGATAGAAACGGGGACTCCCCCTGGGACGGGGACCCCCCGAGACCGAAACATTTCCGAAACATGATTGAGAACATTTAAAAACACGCAATCCGAAACCACAATTCGAAAGTTTTTTTTTGAAAATCAGACCCAGACCTCCTCCTCAACTCGTCTCATCCTTGGTCCGCAAGTATCACACTACCAAAAGTACAAAAAATAAAAAAATTAAGTTAAACCTCCAATCTCCCAGCTAATTGTTGCAATGTTTTAACATTTTCTTCGCCAATTTCAAAAAGCATATTATTTTGTTCGTTCAATTTGTCAACTCTTTTTTGTAATAATTGATTACGTGTTTGTTCTGAATTTGTTGTTGTTGGTTGTTGCATTGGAGCTGTAGAGCGACGACGAAGTTTTTGAGCTAACACGGAACGGAAACAGCCAACAGCTTTGGTCTAAAAAATGTTTTTAAGAGTGTGACGTTAGATGGACCAGAAAATGAATTTTTCAATAAGAACCCAGAAAACCAAGACTTCAGACCCCAGGTATATGTTATATTGGCAAAGATTCGAATGTCAAACGTTGAAGTTAGAGTACGTCCGAGTCCGAGTTTACTCGACTCGCTCGCTCGGGTTTTTTTCGCCTTTACTCGGGCTCAGAACTCGGGATCCTAATACACGGCATTACTCGTAGTCGGTTTTTCCCCAATTACTCGGTACTCTTCTCTAGTTGAAATTATACACACACTTGAAATGTTAACTAGTCAATTTAATTGCTTGACTTTTAAGGTTTGCCATTTCAACGTTCTGCCATTATGACGCCATCACAGACCCCCCGTACCCATGACTATAAAAAATTAGAAAAATTTAAAACCTTTTTCTTTTCTGTCGCTTTACCCAAAAGAGGCACTTTAATATTCTCTGAAGTCTTCAAATTGTTTGAAAGTTTGGGTGATGGATGAGAGAATGTTGCATTTCGAACAATATTAAAAGGACGAGGATTTGGAGAAGGATGAATTGAAGCACTTCGAAGAATTCCAATTTGCGGGAAATCTTTTGGAGGTTGTTGCTGCGGTTGTTGAGGAATTGTGTCATTAACGAAAGTACTAGTTTCAAAGGTAGTTTTGAGTTGACTTGATTGAGTTCTAAAAAATAAAAGTAAAAAAAAATTTTTTGGAAGGGACAATATTTCAATTTTTCCAAAAATTTTTTTTCTAAATCAAACAGTTGGATGAATGGGATTCAAATCAGAAAAACCCGACCTAACTTTTCCCCCCAACCTAGCCAATCCCTGATTCGAACCGCCATGAGAATGATGAACAACACCAACCCAACCAACAACTTAACGGTTTAAAATTTTTATTCCCAATTTTTGACTTCCCTATAACTTCAATTAATTTTAAATAAAATTTATACCCATTAATATTCAAATCTTCATCTTTTCTTGCAGTTTTAGGCGTTTGTGGTAAAGCAACAGAAATTGTTGTTGGAGTAAAATTAGCAGAATCATCAATCAATTTTTGTTGTTCTTTATTTGAACTAACAACTGTATTAACACGCCAATTTTTTGTTGTTTTTTCCTCTAAATTTTTATTTCTTGGAGATGATGGAGGAGAAAAATTAATATTTTTTAAAATTGTTCCTCCCCTGAAAAAAATTTTTTTTTAATTAAAAAAATTAAAAGAAAACCTTGGTGTCGTATTAAATCTACTGATAGGCGAGACTGTTGTTGACATAAATTGTTGTCTTTTTCCATATGTTAGTGAAGGTGTACTATGATGATGAAGACGAACATCTTTGTATTCTCGACGTTTTTGAATTATCTAGAAGAGATAAAAATTGGAAAGAATTTTTGGAAAAATTTTAAAGCTGAGACACGAATGACTATCTATCCTGTAAGCATTAAGTGTAAGAGAAAAGAATTCTGCCAGAGAAGGCGATTTTTAAGTTAACTCGTATAATGATAAAAAAAATCAGGAAGAGGGAATAATTATAAATTTAAAGTGGAGACTGAAAGATGGAATTTAAAAATTGAAGTTTGGCTCTTAAAATGGACTGCAAGAATATTGTGAAAATCAAAAGGGAAATCATATGGGACCACCCACTGATCAACTATATCCAAAGGTCAGATTTCATGGGGGATGGATACGCTCTAGCCCCTAATCATCAAAGTAAACAAAAAAAAAGAAAAACTTTCAAAAACCTTTTTCAATCTATCATCGTTAACTCCTTCAATAGGCAATTCCTTCGAAACAAGAGGACATTCCAGCAATAAAAAGGCACAAAGTTGAGCGTGTGAACCACTTCCAGGACGGAAGGAACGCGTTTTCCTGTTTGAGTGAAGCCATTCCCCTGGGAAATTTCTGAATTATTTTAACTCTTAAAAATATGAAAAAACCTTTAAGAACTTCCCCTTCGCTTAAACAAACGCCATCCAAAATTTTCAATTCTCCAAGTATACAGGAATACACAAAAGGTCGATAAGAAAATTTACATCCATCTGGAGAGGCAAAATTGTTCCCTAAAACAGTCAGGGATTCCTAAAAAAATATTTTTTTAATTTAAAAAGCAAAGTTAAACAAACAAACCAAATAAGTAAATCCTCGTAAATAATTAATTTCACACAAATCTGATATCAAATTGCCACCCAAATCAAGAATACGAAGATTTTGAGACGGAATAAGTGTATGAATATTTTCAAAAGAACAGATCTAATATTTAAAAAATGAAATTAAAAATGAATAGAAGAATTTGTTGAAATCAGGGACGTCATGGGTTAGAAAAAAGTGAGTTCCGAGTTGGAGTTTGAAAATTTTGTTCGGATCAGGTTTCGAGCAAAAAACGTCCGGGTTTAGGGCAGAGTCAGTCAAAGGGAGTATGGGAGGAAAAAGTCGGGTCAGAGTTTGGAAAATTTCTTCAATTAAATTTTGGGACGGAAAAACGTCCGCGTTTCGGGTAACCATGACATCCTTGGTAGGAGTGGGATAAAATGTCATCTCACAAAGAAAAGCCTTTCGATTTCTTCAATAGAAATCAAATTAACTACCTCCCTATATAAAATTTTAAATCCTTACCAAATTCCCATGTAATCCCAATTCAGTTAAGGCCTCAAGTTTGGATAAATTTGGAATTGCCCTGAGTCGATTGCAATTTAATATTAGAGTTGATAGATTGTGAAGTTGATCAAGTTTGGGAAGATTCTAAAATTAAAAAATAAAAATTTTAAAAACAAAAAAACCTCAATTCGATTATGTGAAAAATTGAGCCATTGGAGATTAACAAAAGTGTCAAGGCATCCAAGAGAATTCATTCGGTTGTCCGCCAAATTTAGTTTCTTGAGAGTTTGGATTAATTGAAGAAATTGTTGGAGTTGGGTAAGCTCGTTTTGGGAGGCGTCAATCTTCAAAATTAAAAAAAAAATTTAAAATATGCCTAGCAGTCTAAAAATCCGCAAGAAAAATGCGGACAAAAAATAGAAATCCGCAAGAAAAAAGCGGACAAAATTTAAAGTTGCGGACAATAATTTCAGAAACGTTAAAGATATAAAAAACCTCAAAGCATTTTTCCAATGGAAGAAGAGCACAATCAATAGACCTCAATGAGTTTCTAGAAACATTCAACCTCAAAATATTTCTCTTCAATTTAATCAATTCAGCACACTTTTCTCTAGGCAGGGATTTAACAAGTTTTTTGTCTGACCAATCAAGTAAACCATTTTCGTCCAAATCGGGCAAGTCTTCAGTTGGAAAGTGGGCAGTGTCTGTTGTGTCATTCAAATTTTCTTTAAGTGGAGTAGATAAGCTTATTGAAACAGAGGATTCAATTTGTTGTTCAGGAGAAAGAAATCCACTTCTTGCTGACTCCATTTGAATAAATATAGCAAATAAAAGAATTAAATAATAACCTAAAATAAAATCAGAAATTTTTAAGAAATTCTAAAAATTTTTTTGAAATTTTCTCGTTGAAATACTGAAATGGACTAATCTAGTTGAGTCTGACCGTTTGAGCGCGAATAATTGAGTGTGCGAATACTTACTATACAAACTTAAGTTTTTAAGTTTATTTAAATTCAAGATCAAACTTGAGTTTTAATTAATTAAAGTTTCAAGTTTATTTAAATTTAAGATCAAACTTGAGTTTATTCATTAAAGTTTCAAGTTTATTTAACTTTAAGATCAAGCTTAAAAACGTGTTTTATTTAATAAACCAGGTTTATTTAAATTCAAGATCAAGCTTAAGTTTATTTAATAAATTAAGTTTAATTTTATTTAAGATTGAACTTAAGTTTTATTTAACTACCTAAGTTTCAATTTCATATAAGTTTAAGATCAAACTTAAAAATTCTTATTTATTTACTATTACAACTTCAAGCAATCACGCGCTTATTTTCTATTTTTATCCCTTCTCTTTCACAATCTTAAGTTTTAATTTCGTAATAAAAAAAGTTTAATTAAAAAAGAAAGCAACATTTTGTACAAAAATCAGAAAACTTATTTTCTGGTTGAAATCTGATACCTTTAAATTTCTGTTTACTTTTAACTAGTTGACAGGCCAAGAAATTGTGGCCAAGGAATTTTTGTCTCTTTTGTTAAATAATTTTTTCTTCGTAAATCCCTTTATAAACTTGATTTTATTCATCCCATTTTCACACCTAAAAGCTTGCTTCATTTTATTAGAAAATATTTATCTACCTATTTTAACTCGAAAATTTCCTAATTTTCAGATTTCTTAATAAATTAAAAAAAAAATTTTTTTATTAAAACATTTTTTGAAAATATTCCCTATATTCGTGTCAATGGCAAATTGGGGTTTGTCCTCTTATTTTACTTTAAAATCTTTTTAAAAAAATTTTTTTAGAACACAGACTTCGTGAAATGTTTAACAATCAAGTTTGTCGTTTTAAATAAAATTTAAAATATTTTTTAAATTTTTCTGGACAAAGATATGAGTGGATACATTGGTAGAGAAGATGTTATTTGCATGTTATTAAATGCAAATAAGGTTAATTAAATATTTTTTTAATTTTATTTTTTATTAAATAGCAAGAACGAACGGATCCAGTCTTTAGAACACACTTACGCTTTTTGATTAGTGTGCTTAAAAATGCGGATTTGAATGGAGACACAAAAATCAACTTTCAAGGCAAGAAAACTAGGGAAACTTAAATAAAGTTTTGTAAACTTAAGTTTTAAGTTTGCAAGAATTTTATTTTAGGTTTAGCTAGGAAATATCAGAATTTTTAAGTTAGCACTTAAGTTTATAAAACCAGAATTATTAAAAACTTAAGTTTATAAAACCAGAATTATTAAAAACTTAAGTTTGTAAAATCAGAATTTTTGCGAAAAACTTAAGTTTAAGAAATCAGAATTTTTACTTTACATCCAGTTTTTGTAATCAGAATTTTTCATACAAACTTAAGTTTATAAAATCAGAATTATTAAATAAACATTTGTAAATCAGAATTTTTCAAGTTTGAACTTAAGTTTGTATTTATAAAATCAGAATTTTATTTTTTTCAGAATTTAAAAAATACATTGACAAGGCTATTGATGACTCGAAATACGCAATTCCTGTCGAGTTTATGACACCCGAGTTGGAAAAATAAAAGAAATGATGCCAAGAAAATTTTTTAAAAAATTTTGGAATTAATTAAAATATTTTTTGAAAGCGAATACTCATTTTTAATGAAAGAATAATTAAATATATTTTTTGGAAATTAATTTTTAATTTTTTTGAGCGAGTTGATAAATCCCTGGATAAAATACAAAGATTTTATCCAGGGAGATTTTTTAAGAAAAAGTTTTCAATAAAATTCATATAATTTTATTACTGTAGTTAGCGACAAACCGTCTTATTACTTTATTTTTAGCAAAATAGACCAAATGAAATTTTTTATCTTACTGACCTTTTTGTCCAATAGGTGTTTAAAATTTTCGATGTTTTTTATTTTTATTTCTTTCTCCTCTCTTATTTCTTCCTTTTCTCTGTAATTTTTTTACTAACAATAAGGGTAGACCAAATGAAATTTTTTATCTTACTGACCTTTTTGTCCAATAGGTGTTTAAAATTTTCGATGTTTTTTATTTTTATTTCTTTCTCCTCTCTCATTTCATCATTTTCTCTCTTATTTTAATTTTCTCTAGTTACAAGGGGACATTTTTGAGTTTTTTTGGCTCCCCTACAAAGGATAGATGAATTAAAGGATAGATGCGCTAAAGGATAGATACGGCCAAAAACTATCAAAGGATAGATGCATCAAAGGATAGATGCACTAAAGGATAGATACGGCCAAAAGCGATCAAAGGATAGACAGCTGAATAGGTCGTTTGAGTCTGGACAAAAATGTTTAATAATCTGAATCTTCGCTGGAAAAACTGTTTTTGTGCTGCTACGGAGGGTAGGCCGGGCATGGTCTTCGCTACACGATGGCCGTGCTTCGCTGCGGTCGTGCTCGCTTCGCTCGCGGCGACCGTAGCGAAGCGGCGGCCGTCGTTCCGCTCGACATGCCCGGCTTCATCCGCAGCGGCAAAAACTTTTTTCCACGAATATACTAAAGTACAAATAAAATAAAAATCAGAACAGAAACATGAAATCAGAACAAAGATCTGAAAAAAACAAACAAAGATCAGGCACTCAACAGTTGGTACTCAACTGGACTCCAAACTTTATCTATGTTTTACCCAATTTTAGACGTGTCTATACTTTAATGGATTCTACCCCTATCTATCCTTTGGCGCCGTGTCCGGTTAACTCATCTACTCGTTAACTCATCTACACGGCCAAAAACGTTCAACTCATCTAAACGGCTAAAATTCCTTAACTCATCTACACGGCCAAAAAGGGTAAACTCATCTAATCGTTAACTCATCTACTCGTTAACTCATCTACACGGCCAAAAAGGGTTAACTCATCTAATCGTTAACTCATCTAATCCTTAACTCATCTACACGGCCAAAAAGGGTCAACTCATCCAATCCTTCGGAACGAGACTATTGAGTACCGGCCGTTTGAGTCTTTGGCCGTCTGAGTCTCTGGCCGTCTGAGTCTCTGGCCGTCTGAGTCTCTGGCCGTCTGAGTCTCTGGTAAGTTGAGTCCATGACCAGTTGATTCCATGGCCAGTTGAGTCCATGACCAGTTGAGTCCATGGCCAGTTGAGTCCATGACCAGTTGATTCCATGGCCAGTTGAGTCCATGACCAGTTGAGTCTCAACCGGCGGTACTCTACTGGCCATGGACTCAAACGGCCGGTACTCAATAGTCTCGTTCCGAAGGATTGGATGAGTTGACACTTTTTGGCCGTGTAGATGAGTTAAGGATTAGATGAGTTAACGATTAGATGAGTTAACCCTTTTTGGCCGTGTAGATGAGTTAAGGATTAGATGAGTTAACGATTAGATGAGTTAACTCTTTTTGGCCGTGTAGATGAGTTAACGAGTAGATGAGTTAACGATTAGATGAGTTGTATAGGAGCCTTTGGCGCATCTATCCTTTGATGCATCTATCCTTTAATCGTTTTTTGCCTTATCTATCCTTTAGCAGCTTTTGGCCGCGTCTATCCTTTGATCGATTTTAGCCGTATCTATCCTTTGATTCATCTATCCTTTGAGCGGGCACGGTTTTTTTCTGTCTTACTGCGAAAAAATTTTAATTTTTCTTTTTCTACCCTACCAATCAAATTAAAAATTTTTCTGATTTTTCAAATTTAGATTTTCAGTTAAAATTTTATTCTATATTCTCTGTATTATATTTAATCTTTTCTTTTTATTTATTTCGTCATTTTTTAATTTCCAACCGAAAAGTGTTTTTGAACAGAATTATAAACCAAGGTTTCTTCAAAATTAAAAAATAATTTATTTTTCTCCAGGTTTGAAGTAAATAGGTTCTACAAATCAGAAAGATGTTCCTTTGCTAATTGTTTCAACTTTACAAATTGTTTGGACAACAATTTGCGTATTTATGTTTATCCGGATTTACCAAACTCGCCTCAATCTAAAATTTATTCTGATATTTTGACTGTTTTGAGAAAAAGTGTTTATTTTACTGAAGATGCAAGTGAAGCTTGTTTATTTATTTTGAGTGTGGATACTATTGATAGGGACAGAATAAGGTTTTTATTTTTTTGGGGGTTTTTAATAGTAAGGGGAGAAATAAAAGTTTATTTCCGGGCATTCATTGTTTCTGAGACTTTTTGCAGATCTTGAGAGACCTCATTGCGGGTTGTTTAGCTCACTGTTTATTGGTGCGGAACTTATATGGTTTGGGTATTTTTTTAGCCACGCCCTTTTTTTTCCTTCATCAATCAACCTTAATATGGACAGAATGGTCAGCCTTTCTTTTTTCCTCGATTTTACTTAACTTTTCCTGTGGCTTTATCAACTGATGTGAGCTGCCGAGGACACTGCTTTCCCCTTATCTTTTTAATAAATTTTAGACACCCGTCCAGTAAGCATGCTAGCTGTATTTTCCTTACATTACTATTGTGAGGTATCCTAATAATTTGATTTTTCAGTGAAGACTATGTAAAAGACTTGAATTCTTTAATTTCTTCATTACCCAAAAATATTTGGAACGGCGGCTTAAATCATTTAATATTCAATTTTTATTTTGGCACTTTCCCAAACTATTCAATTGATGATTTGGGGTTTAATCTAGGAAAGGCGATGATTGCTTGGACTAGTGCAAGTCGACAGGTTTTCTTTTGTAATTTTTGATACTTGGTGGTTATCACAAATCAGCTATTGCGGACTCATAATGGTCAGACATAAAAAGGAAACTTTTACAGATACCAATAGTTCCGTAAACAGGCATAACTTTTCTTTTTTATTTAATAGAGCAACAGGGAAAGTTTGGATGCTCTGACTATTATGAGATAATTATAATTATTAGTTCGCATAAATATGTCCTCAAAAACTTGTTTCGGATAACCTAAAACTAATTTAATTAAAATTTTTTCAATTTTTAGCATTTCCGCACAGATTTTGATATTTCCATTCCCTTATTTCACAAAGAACACCCTTTAATAAGTAACGAAGAAATTTGGTTAAATTCAACTGAATCTCACAATCATGATAAATACTTGGCTAGTTTTAAAGGAAAGAGATATGTTTATGGAATTGGTTCAGAAACCAGAAACATTTTACATTATCTTCACAACGATAATTCTGTAATTATTGCATCGACGTGTCGTCATAATTCTGATTGGAAAAAGTTTGAGGATGAAAGGTGTGAAGAGGATAATGCACAATATGACAGGTTTGTTAAATTGTTTTGGTTGTTAAAAAATGGGTCAGGTATGTCACGAGTTGAGAAAAAAGTCGATTCGGGATTCGAATCAGGCTTTCAAAATTTTCCTTGGAATTTTCGAATTTCGGTCAGAAAAAGGTTCGGGTAACCAATGACATCACTGATTTAAAAACTACAGGTGTGATTAAATGTCTTATCGGCCGGGTAGTTTATGTTACTTTTTGTTGAAAGAGGTCGGGATTCCTGCTTTCTTTTTAAATTTTTATAGTTTTTTAAATCGTTTCTATTTTATATTTCCATTTAAAAACATGTTACATTCTATTAACTTTATTTTTCAGATGGGATTACAATCAATTAATGGAAAATTCTACTTTTTGTTTAATTCCAAGAGGGAGACGTTTAGGTTCTTTTCGGTTTGTTTACTATTATTTTTGTATCAATTTATAAGTTTTAAAGCTTTCTTGAATCTCTCAAACATTCGTGTATTCCTGTCATTTTTTCTGATGATTGGGTTTTACCTTTTGAAGATTTTATTGATTGGAGTCAACTTTCAATCTCAGGGAATGAAAAAAATATTTTATTTGTTAGTTGTTTTTATTTTTTGGAAGTGTTTTTCGGACTTTTTTCAGTTGTCCGCAAAACTTTTTGCGGATTGTCCGCAAATTTTTTGCGGACTTTTTTTGCTGATTTTTTTCAAATATTCTTCAAAAAATCCCCTCAAATTCTCTTATATTCTCCTTCTAATCACTCCATTTTCAACAGATTTATGATTATTTGTCTAATATTCCAAAGGAACGTATACTCAAAATGCGCCACTCTACTCAACTAATTTATCAAAAATATTTTGCTAGTGTTGAAAGAATTGTTTTAACTTCTATCGAGCAAGTATTTGAACGTATAAGACGACATGTAGGTTTGCCTTCACAACAAAATTGGTTATGCTATTGAATTTTATTGAAAATTAATTTTTGCGGATAAAACTTGCGGACAGTTTTTTTGGAATTTAAAAATTTCCTTTTACTCGTACCTGCCTATTTTTTGCTTGTATTCGTACTTTGTACACAGGTACAAGTACGAATTTTGATATGACTTCCCAAGGACATAGCCAGGCGGCTTTCGGTGCTATAGCTCCCCTCTGGAATGGCCTGAAATCGACCCCCTGGCTACGCTCTTGCGACTTCCAAAAACACTGCTTGCAATTTTTTTCAATTTTTCTTCTATGGTGCATTTCTATTTCCCTTTTTATTTTTATACATTTTATTGATAAATATATTTTCTGTTTTTGTTTATTTTTGATTTTTAAACTTGTTTATTAATCAATTAATATATCTAAATTTTTATTTTTTTTTATTAATTTAAAAATTTTCTTCAAGTTTTTTCAATGGCTGCAAATAACAAACAAACACTTCAAGTTGGTACATCTTCCAAAGAAAAGAATGTTGAAGAAGAAAAGGAAGAGTCTAAGGTTTGTAAATTATTTTTGGGTTAATTGTCCTTCCTTTTGTGCGTTGTAAGGAACAAGTTGGGGGTGGTGAGCGTCTTATTTTTCGCTCTAGAATTAAAAATATTTTTAAAGGGTTACCGTTACTAAAGGGTCAGCTTTTCGACCTTTTTTTAAATTTCATATACTATTATTCATCCCGTTAACATATTCCCTATATGGTCGAAAAGCTGACTTGGTCCCGGAACTCCGAATTGACTTCATTCTCAACTTATTCAACTCAGCTAACCGAGCTCTTTCAATTGGCACCTTAACTCGATCCACCCATTCCATTCATACACAAAAATTCTTGTCCGCAAAAACAATTTTTGTCCGCAAATTTCTGAAAATTTTTTATTTCTAGTTAATAACATCAAATGCAATTCGAAGCGGATTAAAATTAAAAAGAGGAAATTTATTTAAACAGAAAAAGAGAATTGATCCTCGAGCAATTGATTTAACAATAAAAAAAGAAGAAAAAGGTCCACACAAAACTAAAGCTGAATTGGCATTTTTAAAAAGACAGGAAGAAACGGCGTTTGATAGATTGTCTAAAAGAGCGGCTATAAGTCATAGAGAAAAAGTTGAAGTTTTTAATAAACAAATGGAGGAATTGACTGAATTTAATGATATTCCAAAGGTTTTTTTTGAAATTTAATATAAGTTATGGGGTCCTGGTAGGAAAGTTCCTGTAGGTTAAAATTGTAGTTTAGGACTGGGTTGAAACTTTTTGGGAAGCGAGAGGAGAGATAAAAAAAAGTCTATCCCAAGGCAGGCATATATCGTGCGACCTTCTGACAGATTTTGTTAGTTAAAAAATTAATTTTGAGTTTATCGATGAGTTGTCGGTTGTTTAAGAAAAATTTTTTAATTAAATTATGGGTCCTGAAAGGAGTATTTCTGTTGGGTGATTAAAAGATAGTTCAAGATCGGGTTTTCAAACTTTCTTTTGAGAAGTTATCGATTTTTATGAAGATCTAAACCATTCTAAATTAAAATGATTGGTTAAAAGATGGGGTTGTTTTTGTTAAAGATGTTTTTTCAAATTTTATTTTTCAGGTTTCCTGGACCAAATAAATACATTTGGAATGTTTGGTAAGAAAGTTGGAATTTAAAAGAAGTGAACATTTATTTTTTGGTATTTAAAATTGGTGATCCTTTTTTTATTTTTAGTGAAAGGCATTTACGGCTCTATAGTAAAAAATTTTTCGAAATGAATGTTAATTTCGGATATTTTAAAATTAAGGTTAAGACTTTGGGACCGATATTTCTAATCCTATACTATATTTTGACCCTTCTAAATTTCCCTTTACGTTCTACAAATTTATTTTGTGATAAGTCGTAAGTGTCTTTTCCCCTTGCTTATTTTTCTCCTCTTTTTAAATAAATTTTTTCTTTTTAATTTATTTTTTTAAATTATTTCTATGTCTTTAAATTGACATTAAATCTATTTTTTTTTATTTAAAAATTTCTTTTCTTTATAATATTCTTTTAGTTAATTTTAAAAAATGCCTGCAATCCCCCGTGTTGATCGAATTAAAAATATTTATTCGGCTGCGAAAGCTTTAAATTTTGGTTTTCGTTTGTCTGCTACAAATCCACAGGCTGTTCTTTTTGATGGAATTTCTGGCCATTTTCCGCAGCTTCAACGTGTTACTATTCGTTTTTGTAAAATAAGGTTTTTGGAATTTTTTAAAATAATTATTTTAGGGATGAATAAGTTAATGCAAGATTGTCGATTAGGAGAATGGGTGTATTGGTCAAGTGGTGTATTGGTTAGGGTGCTTGGTTTTTCCTTACGAAGGGTTGTGGGGACTCCCACAACTTGTATTGTTTTTTCTTTTTGTCTAAAATTTATCCTTATCATGTAAAAAGTGATAAGAGTAGCCTAGACTCAAAATATATTTTTTATTAGGGTATTAAATTTAAAAAATTTTTATTTTAAGTGAACCAAGCGCCGGTCTTCGCAATTATATAGAACATTCACTTACCAAATTTGCTTCAGAAAATCCTTATTGTTCAATTTATATACTTCCCGTGCGAAATACTACTCCATCAATTCGAGCGGAATATTCAAATGGAAGAGAAGTTCAGTTAGACGCTAGGGATTTTAGGTTTTTTAAATTTTTTAATTTTTTGAATAGTTTTTTTAATTTTTAGTATGGAACATACTTCTCTTTATATGAACTATTTGAGGACAAGAAGTGGATTGCCAATTTATAAATGTATGTAAAAGGGATATTTTTGAGAGGTTTTTTTAATTTTTTGAGGGTTTTTTTAATTTTTTCAAATAATTTTTGTAGGACCCAGACTTCCCAAACATAATTTTTAAATTTTTGACCATAGGGCTAAAAAATTTTTATCCTTTTTCCCTCAAATTTTACGTTTTCCAGATTTTAATTGGATTTCTCGTCCATTTCCAACAATTTCCCATCGAGAGTTCCCACCCATCAAGGATTTTTCCCCTCTAATTTATGCGTTATTTTTATAACTTGTATTTCTGTCACGGGTGGGGGAAACCTGTATATCGATAAATTTGAGAAAGACTTTCTTTCTAATTTTTAAATATTTTTTCAGTTGAAAACCCTCAATTTTCCCCAACAAAATCAATCCAAGGAATGTGGTCGCCAACAACATGGCAAAATACTGCCCAAAATCTTTATAGCTGTGGAGCTTTGCCTCAACAAGAATTCTCTACACATCTTGAAAAATCGAAGGGAGCAACAGAAACTTTACAACAAATGACGACAAAAGAAGTATAGAAAATTTGTTTTTGATTGTTTTTTAAATTTTTTATTTTTGGTTATACAAAAATTAATAAAAAAATTTTGTTGTCATTTTTGATTTTAGAGAAAATATTTGGGAGATAGTATGGCCAGTGTAAGGAATAAAAATCTTTAAAATTTTAAAAATTGCAAAGTATTGGCATAATGTATATATTTAAATAAATGACATTTTGTCCTCTCAGTTAAAGAAAAATATGAAATAGTGTAAATAGAGAAAAAGAGGAAAGGGATAATTGAATTTAGTAGAAGTTGGAAAAGTTTATTATAAAAATCGATAAAATCAATACCAATCGATAATTGATTTTCTGAAAAATTTCAAAAATTATTTTTTTCAAAAAATCGATACTAATCGATAAAATCAATACTAATCGATATATTGATATGTTTGAAAATAGTAACTTCCAAAAAATCGTTTAAAAATCAATAAATCGATAAAATCAATAATTGATTTTTCAAAATTTAAAAATTATTTTTAGAAACACTAACACACGAAACATCAAAAGATTTTAAAATTATATTTTATACGAATACTATAATTAAAAATTTTCTCTTATAATTTCACCTATTAAATACATAAAATATATATAAAAATTGTTATATTGAGTTCTTTATATTTATAAATCAAAAATTTTTAACGATTATATACTTTTTCAAAATTTATTTTGGCACATCTCTCTATTTATTTTTGCTTCTCCAAGTAGTTGAGAGAAAGAGGTTGAATTTTGAAATGATCACAAAGTTGATTTATCTGAAAAAAAAAGAAAGGGATTTTTTGATTTAAAGATGGAAACTAATAGGTATTTTAATAAAATAAAATCAACTTTTTGATCAGACTAGTTTTACAAAAAGATAGAAGTTTGAAAAATACCAGATTGATCGAAAACAGAAAGATAACCGACAATTCTTTAAAAATTTTGTATGTGGGTTCTTCCTCAAAAAATCCCCAAAAGTAAAAAAAAATTTTTTTTTTAATTTTTTTGTTGTTTAATTTATAGGTATCGAAACTTTTCTCGAAAATAATCCCAACCAATTTTTTAAAAAATTTTGAAGTTGATCATTGGGTCTCCTTAAAAATCCCCAAAATTAAAAATTTCTAAAAATTTTTTATTAATTTGTGGGTATCGAGAAACTTCCCTCAAAAATAATCCCTCCAAAAAATTAAATAAAAAAATACCACACAACATCCATAATTAACATGGGCAAGAGTAAATAAAATAGCAGAACCACGAAGCACCCAAATTTCAAAAGAAGCAAATAATCCAAACAAGGATAACAAAACAATTAAAATATACACAATTAAAAGAGTAGTAATAGCAGCAACTTTGGTTGATGACATTTGGGCAATAATTAAATGGGCCTTTAAAAATGGAAAAAATTAGTTCTCCTTTGTGAATTAAGGATGTCACGTCACGGATAGAGAAAATGTCGGATAGAATTTCATATCGAAAAATTGTCCGGATTTCGAGTTTTGGATGACCGTGGGAGACCCCTCTTTGGAAATTTTTTTTTAAAACGAAAACACCTCCAGAAAATTTAAAATAAATCCCTCCTGCGAATATATTCAGTCGCAGGTTTTTGAAAATTTCTCTTGGATCGTGTATTGGATCGAAAAAATGACTACACCCCGTGACATCAGTGTGTTCTTTTTTAAATTTTAAATTAAAAAAATAAAAAAATAAACCGCAATATTAGAAAAAACAACACCCATCGTCCAAAAAAAGGCTCGCGGATCCAATTCCAAAACTTTATTTGGCGAATAAGCACCCCAAATTAATGTACAAGAAAATAGAAGAAATGGAGAGATTAAAGGCTTTAATCCAGAACCAACTGTCTCCTTTGAAAAAAATTTTTTTAATTTTATACAAATAAAATTGATAATTTTTTAACAAAACAGCTAGATTTTATTGGTAATAGTTCGGATGAGACCCCCCCCCCCCCCACTTTTTTCCTTTCTAAAAGTATTAAAAAGGGTCAGTCAGACTTAGGTTATAGAACTCGTCGAGTTGTGTCGAATAACACCAAAATCAACCCCTGGTTCTTAAATTTAGGCCGAGATACAGACAAAAAACCTGCGAAAAAGAAAGGTTTTGCAAAACTTTATGTCATAATCTTGTCAAATCTTGTTCAATTATGTTGATTTTGATGTCATTCGAATCAGCTGGGCAAGCTCTTTCGAATGAGCTATTATTTGTTTAATCGAACTTTTATCCCAAAAAATGAGTTTGGTCCACCCTTTTATTTTTCAATTTTCAGGGGTCTGTATCTCGGCCCAAAGTTAAGACCGGGGGTTGATTTTGGTGTCATTCAACACAGCTCGACGAGCTCTATAACCTAAGTCTGTCTGATCATTTTTTAATACTTTTAGAAATGAAAAAGGAGGGGGGGGTCTCATCCGAACTATTACCATTTTATTTTAAGAAAACTGAGAGTAGTTTAATAAAATTGAGAAATGGAAATGGATTATGTTTTACAGGAAGAAGCTGTAAGGTTATGGGGATCAGAAAATTGAAAAATTTTTTCAATAAAAAGTAGCAAGTCTTTTTTGGGAAAAAGAGGTCGAGGATCAATCAAAAAATAGTTTTGAGTATTTTCTAACTAGAAAAACATTTTTTAAAGCCATATCTAAACAAATGAAAAAAGATTCAATGAGTGGGATTCGAACCCACCAACTTCACCAAAAATCTAGCGCCCTAACCAATCAGACAACAACCCTATACATACATTTTAAATTTAACTTAATTTAACATCCATTAAAATTTAAGCTGTTTTGTTCTAAAAATAAAATAAAAACCTGTACTCCCGTTTTTGAAATTATATAAGCATGGTAAACATTATACAAACAACTGGCCAAAGAAAGAATACAAGAAACTTGAAATTAAATTTTTTTAATAAAAAAAATTTTTAAAATTTAAATCAAACTAAAAAATGTTGTAGCAATAAAATAGGCAAGACTTAGCCCTTCAACCAAATTAGAATGAAAAATTTTTGGATTTGCAAAGAAGGCGAAAAGGTGAAAAATACAAAGTCCCTTTAAAAAATTAAGAAAAAAATTTTTTAATTTAAATTAAAAAAAATCAAACATATTGACTAGCATCATAACCCCAAGACAAAAACAAAACTCCAGTATTATATTTTTCCCAATGACTACAAATAAATACAAGTTGAACCGATATTAAAACACAGAGCATTGTATATGGAGATATACTGTTTAAAAAATAATATTAATTTTCTGAGTTAAAGAAAAATTTTTTTAAACAAAAGCAAGCTTTTTTTAAGCAAACAAAAAAATATTTCCTGACGAGGAATCGAACCATCCCCTTATTTCGTAAAAATCAAGCACCTTATCCACTTGACCAAATATCTTATAAAAATCAACTAATATTTAGAGCTTAAATGAATTTAAGTACAAACATAAATAAACAACCCCCAGAAAATCCAAGTAAAAATCCGAATTAAAAATAACCCAAAAAACATCCAAAAAATTTAAAATGAACCTATATTCACCACGTCCAAAAATAGAAAAAATTGTAAGTGTAAGTGGAACTGTTGACCAAGAATCTTGAAAATTTTTGAGAAAAATTTTTTTTTAATTTCAACAAATAAAAAATACCAAATCCATGATCAACTGAAATAAGAAAAATTAAATTTTAAAATTTTGTAGAATAATTTAATAATTTCATGAGTACTTAATCAATTTGTTTTTTAAAGCGTTTGAATCGAAAAAGAACCCAAAAAATGCAGATAAAACTTGCGGACATCTTAAAAAATATTTAATACACCCCTTTGAGTTCCGAAAAAAATAACAAATTAACCCCTCAGAAATTCAAAAAAAAATAAAAACCAACACAATTCTCCTGTCGGTCCACTCGATCCAGTCCTTCTCGCCTGCTTTCCATCAGTTCCATCAAGTAAATGAGCCAAAAAAGTAGCAATAGAACAAACTAACCAAATCCAATTTGGAATTGCTTCTTCTTGTTTGAAACCAAAAGTATTTGAATTAAAATTATAATCATAAATAGACACCAAAATAAAAGAAGAAATTAAAATTAAAAATCCACCAAGAGTTAAAACATTTGGAGGTAACCAACGAGGATAAAACTTTAAATTAAAAAAATATTTCTTCAAGTTAAAATTTTTTGTGTGAAAAGTGGGGCGAGGTATATCCCCATGAAAAGACAGAACAAAAAAAATTGGATGGTGGATTTTAGAAAGAATACGACCGATTTATGACACTATTTTAGGTAATCCAAGGCACAGGTATTGAGACAAAAATCTCATTATAAGACTAAAAAATAGCAACACATCCTGAGTGAGGGTTGGACATGGTTGATCCCTTTGAGAAAGTAACAGAAAAAATTAGGAGGTAAAGTCCAAGCAAGACATTAGGTGTTCAATAACGAAATTAAAAACTATTCTTAAAGCCCAAGATTCCGCCCGGAACCCGAAAAATACCATAGCTCGAGAAAGGGGACAAGACAATAAATCTAAAAACTGCCCAAGACAGACATAAAAAACGAAAGCTCCTTAGCTAAAAATAGAAGGAACTTGAAAGTGGACGGAAATCGAAAATCTTATATAGTTGAGAATATGTTTTAAATTATCCAAAAATTAAAAAAAAATTAAAAATAAAAACCTCAACAATCCAATTCCAAAAAGGATGTGAAATATACACAGAAATTGGAGAATTATCTATACAAGCATATTTATATTTATTAAATCCAGAAAGTTGTTGCTCACTCAAATATTTTGTACGAAAAATTGTTGACATTTTTTTTGTGATTATTAAAAAAGATTTATATTAAATAAAATGAAAATCAATTAAAAGATAATAATTTAAAATATTAAATCGTTAGATTAAACGAAATACAAAAAATAGACAAAGAAATAATAAAAAATTATTATAAAATTTTATTTAAAATAAAAAAATAATTTGATGTTTTTAACTTTTAAGAATATAACTAAAAAAAGAACCCAACTGATTATAATGAAAGAAAAAAAATAAAGCATTTCTAACAGGGAAAATACAGAAAAATTTTAAAGCTTCATGTTTTTACAGAAAAAAATTTTTTAAACTTCCTTTCACTTCATTTTTAATGTTCTGGCCATATAATTGGAGGAATTGTATTTGTTGTAAAATCAGGTAAAATATGTTGTTGTTGATTCATTAAATTTAAATTATTACTAGTTGATGCCCATTGTTGTTGTTCCGGTAAATTATTAATTGTTGTTTCTGTAGTTGTTGGCATCATTAAAGAATATCCTTGGGGAATGAAAGAACCATCCAAAATATCTTTAAAAAAATTGTTTTTTTAATTTTTTTTTGGTTTTTAATTATGGTAAGAGCACCATAGAATAGTCTCTTAGATCTGTCCGGAACCCTTAAGATAATGCAGAATCGGGATAATAAAAAAACTTTTGGAGTAAGAAGTGAGAAAAGACAAAGATTTTGACCTAAAAAGAAGGTTGAACTGGGGTTGAACTTATGATTGTGAGGTTGAAAGTATAGGGATCGGGGTTTTAGCCAAAGAAAAGTAGGGATTAGAATGGGTCCGAGTCAAACATTAATTCATAGACGATTTCCCCAAACAGTCAAAAAATATGAATAATTAATATTGTCCGTTAAAATATAAAATTCATCCCTCTCCCCTCTCCACCTGATTAATCTCCCATTTATTAAAAATTAATGTAAAAATAAAAACCATTTTGTGTCATCAATTCATTTTGAATATTTGATGGCCAACAAATATTTTGTTGTTGTTGTTGAATTAATTCATTATTAATTGTTGGTTGATTACAAAAATTTAAAGACGAAGAAGAAAATTCCAAATGTTTTTGTTGTTGTTCTAATACATTTATTGACAAAATTAAAAATTCAAATTCCAAAGAATGAGGATTAATAAATGAATTTATATTTATTGATGTTTGTATATATTCTGATGAACCACCAATTTGTAATTTACAGAATAAATCCTTTAAATTTTGAAAATATTCAGAAAAAATATATTTTAAAAATTGTCTAAAAAAATTTTTTTCAAGGCCAAAAGAGGTTTTTCCTTTCCTTTATGTTTCACAAAAAAATTTGTCAGCAAATTCTGTCTGTAACAACCCTTTTTTTTATCAAAAAGGAGATTATAAAAAATGACAAAAGAAAGATACTCACATATGTCTAACAAAATTTTCTTAAAACAAAAAAAAATCTTTTAAAATTAGAGAAGTTGAAAATATTCCAGAGAAAAAAATTATTGTTTTTTTTTGTCTCAAAAAAATAATCCTATATTTCCCTTATCTTATTTATAATCCTTTGATAAAACATAAAAAGACCATAGAGCCAAAGAAATAAGTAGGCGCGCGGCCATAACGGCGCAAAGCCATAACTTGCTACAAGATTGTCAAATCTTTCCCATTTTATTGTTAGTATTAAACAATTCCTCTCATCGAGCTAAAGAGATTGATATAAAAAATGACAAAAATCAGAAATTTTCCAGCAAGTTATGACTTTGCGCCTTTATGGCCGCGCGCCTATTTGGACGTGTCCCAAACTAATTGTTTAAGAAATATAAAAAAATTTTTTTCAATAAAATTTAATCTAACCTTTATAACAACATTATTATTCTTCAAAATATTCAACAAAGCATCTTTTACATTTTGTTCATCTAAAGGATGTACCAAAGTCCAAAACTTTTTTTCATAAATTTCAGTCATTGATGATAAATTTAACAATTTTTGAATTTCAGCATCGGCAAATGTAATAAAACCTTCAGAATCAACACGCATAATTATTTGATTTTTGTTATTAATTGATGGTGTTGTTATTAAATTTGTTAGTTGCATTCGAGCAATTAAAACTAGACTTGTTGTAATACCTGAAAATGTTTTTTAGTAAAGAATGCTTCCATTTTTAAACCGGATTAAAATTGTTGCTGGTTAAAGAACCAAAACGAATAAACGCAAATTTTTCGGGCATATAACTTTTCGATTTGGGGGTCAGGACCAAAAATTAGCAATAGACTCTACTTGATGTTGTAAAAAATGCGAAATTTTTGGTTACAGTTCAAAATGTTCCCTTGTTAGTCTCGGCTCCGGGCATAAAAAAAATTTTCCAAAAGCTGACAACACTAGATTTAATTTTTAAAACAAGTGAATGAGGGCCTACATTCTACATGGGAATCCTACGGAATTAATTTATGGTATTAATTAATTTATATAATTAATTTATAAATTAATTTAAAATTTATAATAATTAATTAATTTATAGAAGTCCCAAAATTTGCCAGAAAAGCGATTTTGCCGTCAATATAATTTTTAAAATTTTGTCAATTTCTAGTCACAAACCCGAAATAAGGTTAATGCCCCCTAGCCCCTTTACCCTATTCCACTTAAAAATAAGTAAAAATAAAAACCTGTCAATTCATTTGTATTCAATTGAAATCCACAATTAATATTTGAAGAGGAAGAAGACATTTGTTGTTGTTGTTGCTGTTGTTGTTTTCCATTTTTTAAATAACCTGTACAATGCATAACTACATAATATGACCCACAATGTTCAAAAATTGGTCCTTTATTTTGTAATCGTGGTAAAGCATTAATATTGCCTTTAAAATAAATTTTATTTTTAATAAAAAAATTAGAAAGGGAAGAATTGTATCTGGCAGGTATCAGCTATTATAAGATAGTCTCAGAACTATGAATTAGAAGTCAATTATAGTAGAGCAACAGAACTGTTCAAAAAAGATTACCAGTTATGTAGATAATCTTTTAAGAAAGATAAAGGGAAAAATTGAAAAAGGAAAAAAATAAAAGAAGTATTTCGCCCAAGAACGATTTTCACAATAATTAGAAATTTAGAAAAATTAATTTACAATAAGGTCCTAAATTCGGGGGGCATTGGGAAATCATGACGCCCTAACCAATTCCACTCGAAAAATTTTGTCCCAGCTTTTACTAGCGTATTAACAAGAATAAGAATAAAAACTAAAAAACAAACCAATTCTCATTCTGCAAATAAAACCTCTTCTACAATTTAAATGTATTCGATTAGTTGGTTGAACATCTCTTTTAATTGTTCCAGTAGACAAATCAACAATTTTATTATTAAAGCCAACATCTCCATCATTTGGACATAATATTTGTTCACTAACTTTTTCTATATCATCAGGATGTATTAAATCAAAAAATGCTCTGTTTAGCCATTCTTCCTAAAAAAGAAAGCATTTTATATAAAAAAAATTCAGAAGATAGCCTATAACCCTAAAAATTATCAGAGAAAAAGGAGATCAAATAATCAAGTAAAAGGCTCAAAAATAAATAACTCAAAAAATTTTAAAAAAATCAAAAAAAAGTAGCAGAGCTCACTCAAATTCACCCGATACAAAATAAGATGGATCAGTCCCAAAAACTCCAAAATCAGGAAAAATAAGGAGGAATGACGAGATTAGACCAGTTCGTTATGAGTCGATTCATAGCGTCAGGCCCGTAGCCAGGGGGGGGGGGTGGGGGGGGGGGAATTCCCCCCCCCCCCCCCGAAATGGGAAAATGGAAAAAATTTGGGGAAAGGCTGGGGCAAAAAAAGTGAATTTTTTTGGCCACGGCCTCTGAAATTTAAAAAATTTTCGCCTGCGGCGCTAAAAAAGGAAGAAATCTGGCTTCTTGAGGTCCAAAATTCAAAAAATTTTCGCCTGCGGCGCTGAAAATCAAATTTTTGGCGCCTGCGGCGCCGAAAAAGTGAATTTTTTTGGCCTACGGCCTTCTAAAATTCAAAAAATTTTCGCCTGCGGCGCTGAAAATAAAAATTTTTGGCGCCTTCGGCGCCAAAAATTTGGCGCAAAAAAATTTCCCCCCCCCCGAAAAAAAATCCTGGCTACGGGCCTGCATAGCGTTTCAGCGAACTGAAGTGAGCAAACTCTACCAATAGCGTAGCTAACGGGTCAATTTCGGGGGTTTTTTGATGATCCTTCTCCTAGTTTTACCCTCAGTTCGGGAGGGGGGGAGGGCTTCAGCCACCTGAATACGTCCTTGAGTTCTGCTAAAACCTATAACAAGACAAAAATCGAAAAGAAAAGTACTCAAGTTGTTCACCCACAAAAATTAAATTAAAAAAAACCTGGGAAACATTAAGAACTGGATAAATCGAATCAGAAACATAAATAACTCTAGAATCTTCACAAGACAAAACAAACAGAAATCCATTTGCCGCTTCCATAATTAAATGCTTCAATTCGTGATCAGTCAAAAATGATGGAGGATTTTGATGATTATTTGAATTTAATAAATCTCCACGAATTGATTTCATATGAGACACAGCCATGCGTAAAATTGTTAGTTTGTCAGGTTTTCTTCCTAAAGCTGCACATTGTGGGACCTGAAATAAAGGAAAGATTTTGAAGTAGGTAAAGCAGCTTGTGAAATCTAGTCAAGTAAGCCTCCGGGAATGTTATTGACGACTCCAATAGGTATTAGTGGGATTAAATGTCAGTTTGTGACACTTCTAATTGCAAGAGAAAAGGAGACCTCGCAAATCCTATGAATACACATTGTCTATGGGATAAATTTTCATTTTTATGACATTCTCATAAAAATGAGAGACCGATCGATAAATCATACTCCCAAAAGTGAACGCTTCATCAAGTGTTAAAATAAAAATAGAATAAGTTGGATAGTTATCCCCCTATTTTGATTTATCCTCCAATATTTTTAATTCGAAAATTTTCCAGCCAACTAGTGGAGACTCGCAAACTCAAACAAGAATTCATTCTAACAATAAAATCCCACTCTCCCATAAATTTTAAAAATCACAAACCATATCAGCCAATTCATTAATATAATGCGTCATTTTATTTCTTCGCCTTCTTTCAATTTCACTATGATTTTCACGAGCAAAACGTTCTCTTCCTTCTTGCACATTATTTGGTGGACGTTGTTGACTTAGATTTTGATGGTTGTTTGGTGGACGAGAATTTTGTTGTTGTAATGGTAAATTAATTAAAGGAATTGATCCTTGATCCAACATTTTTTTGGATTTTAAATTGCTAAAAGAAAATTAAAAAAATAATTTTTTAACAGTTAGGGCAATTCGATTCTAGACAAAAAACTTATAGGAACCAGAAAAATCAAGTTGCGGACAAATTACATTGGAAAGACAACTAATCCGAATTGTTGGGATCAATTGTCTCAAGTATCCTTTTTTGTAATATTTTATTAAATCCAAGGTTATAAACTAATAGACTTCCCAAGGGATCAGAATTTCACCAACGTAACCAGTTTAAATTGGAAGAGGACTTTGTCCGCAAAACTTGTCCGCAAAAATAAGCACTTAAGTAAATTCTATTGTGAATCGTCCTACAGCCCCAAAATTAACATTATTACAACAAAAAACGATTTAAAAACATAAAAAATAAATAAAATTGTTCAAAAAACAATTAAAAACTTTTAAAAAATAATAAAAAATTCAATATTTATACCGAAAAATTGTTCAAAAATTCCAATTTTTAATAATATAAAGGATTATGAGTAACCCAATGTGCTCTAGGTTGTTGTTTAGCTTCTTCACTTGTTGTAAATATAGATTTTACACTTTGAGGTAAATCTTTAGAATTTTGAATACTTTTGACTTCTTCGTCTTTTTTGACTTTTTTAGCAACTTCTTTTGGTTTTTCGCCCATTTTTCTTTTTCCTCCACTTCCTTCCTCTTTCTTTTCCATCTTTTTGCGTTTCTTCTCTTCAATTTCTACAGCAATACGTTTTTTGTATAAATCTAGTAATTCATCTTCTGGATTTAATTTTATCAAGTTTTCTTCTTTAAAAGGACCAGAACAGCCTAAAAATAAAAAGAAACTAAAATCTAGACATATTTAATTACACCCTTATTGCTTGTAAGAATTTACCTTAAAAATGATTCCAGGGGTTGAGGAAAACCGGAAATTGTTTCTAACATTTTTTCTAAGTCTCTATTTCAACCTAATATTGTTATCAACTTAACTGTGTCGATTGGAAATGGAACAGAGGGATACCTGGTCTAGAATCAGCCATGGGCTTGCTTGTACATTTATAGTTAAGCTTGTATCTACTAAAGTATAAATGATGGAACGATGTTTACAAAACCAAAAATAAACCAAAAACTCACAAGATGTGAAAGGCGAAAAAAAAACAAAATCCCAAGTGCCTATTCTTGACTAATACCCAGAAAAAGCACTAATGCCCATTTCCAAAATTCAATGTTAGTTCAAAAAGACTATTGAGCCTCAGATTTAAAACCCCTCAAAAAATTGTTAAAAAGAAAACCTAAACAAGCATCAGGTTTTAATTCATTAACAGCCTTTTCAGAAAAAACACATCCACACAACCAATTGACAAAAAAAGCGCTAGTTCCATTCATTGGAAGAGAAGTAATTGGGCATATCCAAGGAGTCTCATTCATGTCGATATAAACATCCCCTTTTTCAGCCCCTTCATTTTTCCAAGCTTTATTATCTACCAACTTTAATTCTTTAACATCACTTAATGAATGGATGTGTTCTGTTGCTTGGTTGGTTGACAATGTTTTGTTCAATTTTGCTTCCAAAATTGCTTCCTTATTGTAAAGTCTGAAAATTTTGTTTAATTAAAGAATAAATTGGGAAGATGTTGAAATTCTTAAAGTCTAAACTTTGGTGGTTTTTAACGCACTTTTAAACTCTCAAAGTCAAAAAAAGTACTGGGAACAATATTTGCCTGAATCTAGGCATAAGAATGCCAATCCAAGGGACACGCCCAAAACGGCGCGCGCCCATAACGGCGCGAAGCCATAACTTGGTTCAAAATTTCCTAATCTTAACACATTTAGTATTAAATGATTCCTCTCATCGAGCTAAGGAGATTGATCCAAAATTGATAAGATCCAGACATTTTTCACCAAGTTATGGCAATGCGCCTTTAAGGCCGTGCGCCGTTTTGGGCTGTACCCCATGTCCATAACCAAGAGGTCCCTAGCGATCCTACAAACCTAATCTAACTAACAAAAAGAGCTCGATTTATTAAAAGAAACCTTCCAAGCTTGCAGGCAACAACAGGCTTCTTTAAAGGTTCTTGCGAAAGTTGACAAGTTCGCCACTTTGTTGCTGCTTCGTAACTCTTTTCAATTTTTTCCTTCTTTTTCTTTTTACGTACAAGTTCACAACGTTTTGGAATAGTTCCTCCATCTGCACCCATTTTTGATTTTTAAATGCTTTAAACTTTAAAAATTATCGCGATTAAAAAAATGTAAAAATCAATGAAAAGGCGCAAAGTACAAAATTAAATTTTCTCGTGTTGTCTCGCTCTAATAATCTCTAAAATGAAATAAAAGTCAAATAGTCGATATTTCAAAATACCAACAAAACTAACACTAAATAATATAAGTCAGAATACCACTAGGGGTAAAATTAGACAAAATGCCATAACGTGAAAATTAGACAAAATGCCACAAAGTGAAAATTTGACAAAATGCCACAACGTGAAAATTAGACAAAATGCCACAAAGTGAAAATTTGACAAAATGCCACAACGTGAAAATTAGACAAAATGCCACAAAGTGCAAAATTGACGAAACGTTATAAATCGAAATCTGACAAAATGCCACAATGTGTAAAATTGGACGAAACGTCACTACCCTTTAACAAGGAGATTCACATCTTGCAAGAATTAAGACGAGGGAGGCTAAGACAAGAATTGAGACTCATGGCTAGATGTCGTATTAAAAATCTTCTAACCACTCAAAAAAGTCAAAAGGAACTAAACTCGAAAGCAAACATTCTCCTTTAATTTTACAACACCAACAAAAACACAATACAAATTACAGCAAAAACAAAATATACAATAGAAACACAATTTAGGTATCATTTTATGTCACTTTTATCATCTTCTTTCATCATCCTCTGCGACTCCGGCGACGAAGAACATTGTTAAGCTTATCTAGCGCAGAATTTATGAGCCCTTCTAATGCGATCCCTAACGAAGCATGAAGTCGTTTGGCCCCCTTTTTCTTCTCCTTCAGCATCCGACGCAGCCCATGTCCCTCCTGACGCAACTCCTTGTTCTCTTGGCGCAGCTCAAAATACTCCCGACGCAACTCCTCGTACCTCCGACGCCGCCGCTCCCGTTTGACCGCCTCCTCTGCCGACTCAGAAACAGCGCGGGCAGTGAAGATTGCTGAAGAGATTGTCGTCGACTCGCCGGGTGAAAAACAGGTAGAATTCTCCGTTGACGATGCGCCCGAGGAAATGCCAGAAGAGCTCGACGAATCGCTAGAAGAATTGTCCATGACTGACTAAAAAATAAAGGAAGAATTAATTTAGAAATAAAAACGGGGAAAAAGAGAAAAAGGTACCTTTGTGATGATGAGCAAAGTTAAAATTTAAAAATTTTAAGCTGTTTTTATAGTATTTTTGTGGATTCTGTTTCTGTCTGTCTGAAGACCTAAGTCTGAATCTGAAGACTAGTCTGAAGACATAAGTTAACTCTGAAGACCTCCACCATGAAGACCTACAAATTTTGAAAGGGATTATCGAGGGATTAAGGGTTCTAGTACTTATTCTACAACTTGTAGTGCTTATCTATGGAGATAAGTGCCCAGTTCTGTATTTTTGAACCTATAATGCGGTTTATGAGAGGGATTTCTTGTTCGCCAAAATTCACCGGATTACTTCACCAGACTAATTCCACCGAACTCGACGAAGTTCACAAAGTGTGAAATTAGACAAACGTGAACAAAGTGTCATTGAAATTTATTTTTTTTATGTTTTTCTTTTTTTTATCCTTTATAAAAAATTAGAAAATTTTTTTTAGTTTTGTTTTGTTATCCCCCTCTCAATGTCACAATCCCCTTTGGGGATTTTAACGGCAAACAAAATTTATATATGTTTTTGAAGATATTGAGTAAGTTTATTTCTTGTTCTTCTCCCTTCTCTTTCCTTCCGGAAAATGAAAAAAGGGAAATGTTTGGCTGCTTCATTTGGCTCTTTTTTTCGAGAGAAGCAAAAATAATATTGATAATATTTTTTTCTAAAAAATGCCAAAAATAAATTTAAAGTCAAAGCAACTCTTCTACATTAACTTGGAAAGTAACTTCACCTCTTCAAATCCCTCTTTTCTTCCTTAAATAACTCCTAATCCCCCAAACATTCTTTAAGCTATCCCAAGTTTGTTATTGAGGGGGATTTGGCAATTCTCTCTCCTTTTGGTTTTTTTGGTGTAGCGCGAGTGTGTTTGGTTTTGGGGTGGAAAGGTCGTGGGTTCGAACCCCGACGTGGAAAATTATTTTTAATTGTGTCGAGAATATTTTTAAAAATTCAGAAAATATTTTTAAAAATTCAGGAATTATTTTTAAAATATACTTTTTTGGTGTAGTGCACGTGTGTTAGGTTTTGGGGTGGAAAGGTTGCAGGTTCGAACCCCGACGTGGGAACTTATTTTTAATTGGGTCGAGAATATTTTAAAAAATTCAGAAATTAATTTTTAAAGTTTTTTTTCTCAATAAGAAATATTTTAAAATTTTAGAATTAATTTAATTTTAATTTTAAAAATCAACTCTTCAAGTCATGGTAGAAGGAGGAATAACACTTGTTAAATACCTACTCTTCTTTGCAAATTTCATACTATGGGTAAGGTTTAAAAAAAATTTTTTTTTTGAAAATCTTAATTTCAAACATTGAATTTTTCGCCAAGATTAAAAAAAAACTCGGGGTAGAAAAACACTGCACCTTTTGGTGTAGTGCAAGTGTGTTTGATTTTAGGGTGGAAAGGTTGCAGGTTCGAATCCCACTCGTGGAAAATCGTTTTTAATTGCGTGGGGAATATTTTTAAAAATTGGGAAATTATTTTAAAAACCCAGAAATTAATTTAAAATTTTTAAATTTTTTTTTAATTTTTTAGAAATTTTTTTAATTAAAAATTTTTTCCAGGTTGTAGGCATTTGTTTTCTCATCTCAGGAATTTTACTACAAATGAAATATTCCGGTTTATTAGACGTTCTAGGTGATGAACGTTTAACTACTCCAGTTATTTTATTAGCTATTGGATGTCTTTTTACTTTATTAGGATTTATTGGTTATTGTGGGGCTATTAGAGAGAATTATTGTTTAACTGTTAGTTTTGCTGTTTTATTAGCTTTACTTTTAATGACTGAAACGGCTATAGCAATTCTTGTTTATGCTTTACATGAACCTTTAAATGAAGTTATTGTTACTCAATTGGCACAGGTTAGTATTTTTTGGAATATTTTTAAGACTGGCTTTTTTGGTGTAGTGGAAGTGTGTTTGATTTTAAGGTGGAAAGGTCGTGGGTTCGAACCCTACTCTGGAAAATTATTTTTAATTTGGCGGTAAAGGGTTTTTGAGCCTATAAAATTTCTCCAAATATTCGATTTTTTGGTGTAGTGGAAGTGTGTTTGATTTTAAGGTGGAAAGGTCGTGGGTTCGAACCCCAGTCGGGAAAATTATTTTTAATCGAAAGAGCAGAATTAGAAAAATTAATAAAAATTTCCAATTTAAGGGAATTGAACGTTACCCAAAATCTAAAGGTGTATCTCTCGCTTGGGATCAAGTACAACGCCAATTTTATTGCTGTGGTGTTAACAATGCCTCTGATTGGAGAGGAACACCTCCAGATTCTTGTTGCACACGCTTCCACAATGGTAATTTAAACCTTTTCATTTTCTTTTAAAAAACCCCCCTCCCCATTTTTAGGATGTGCCAAAATCGTTCAACCCCCACTCTATGAAATTGGATGTGTTGAAGCTGTTCAACGTTGGATAGTTGCTAACGCTATGATATTGGGGTGCATAAGTGCATTTTTGGCTGCACTACAAGTTATTGGAATATGCTTTGCTTGTTGTCTATCGAAAAGCATTTTGAAGGAATTTAATGATTTTTATTACTAAAATTGATTTTTTGGTGTAGTGCGAGTGTGTTTGGTTTTGGGGTGGAAAAGGTCGTGGGTTCGAACCCACTTGGGGAAATTAATTTTAAAATTGGGTAGAGAATATTTTTAAAAATACAGAAAATATTTTTTAAAATTCGGGAATTATTTTTAAATTCGGGAATTATTTTTAAAATACTTTTTTTGGTGTAGTGCAAGTGTGTTTGGTTTTGGGGTGGAAAAGGTCGTGGGTTCGAACCCACTTGGGGAAATTAATTTTAAAATTGGGTAGAGAATATTTTTAAAAATACAGAAAATATTTTTTAAAATTCGGGAATTATTTTTAAATTCGGGAATTATTTTTAAAATACTTTTTTTTTGGTGTAGTGCGAGTGTGTTTGGTTTTGGGGTGGAAAAGGTCGTGGGTTCGAACCCCGACGTGGGAAATTAATTTTAAAATTGGGTAGAGAATATTTTTAAAAATACAGAAAATATTTTTTAAAATTCGGGAATTATTTTTAAATTCGGGAATTATTTTTAAAATACTTTTTTTGGTGTAGTGCAAGTGTGTTTGGTTTTGGGGTGGAAAAGTCGTGGGTTCGAACCCCGCCGTTGAAAATCATTTTTAATTGGATGGGAGGGTGTTAAAAAAGGTCGGAAATTATTTTTTAAGCTTTTAGGAATTTTCTGAAATTTTTTTCAAATTTTTCTACCTCCAAAAAACCTTGAAAAACACCAAAAGTCAACGTTTGCTTAACACTTTTCCATTTTTAAATAAATTTATATCACTAATTAATTAAACAATATTTAGAAATAAAATTTAAAAAGTTCTAAAAATAAAATAACAAACTGAAATAATTGCTCCTCCTAAGCAGACAACAAAAGAATTGAATAATTTGCGTTCCCAAGGTTCCAACATGTAAAGTCCTGTGATTAAACTTGAAAAAAAATTTAATTTTAGAAAAAAAAATTAAAAAATAAATTTACCAATATTGAAGATACCAATAACCGAAAAAGTCATTTTTAACCAATCCAGTGTGTGGCTCTTCAAATTCCATCCATTTTTTGGTGTTTTTATTGGTATTTACTGAAGTCATTTAAATTAAATTTTAATAAATTAATTAATCTAAAGGCATAAAAATTATAGAAACGTGCTTAAAATTTAATTAAAAATATAGAAAAATTAAATAGACAAATCAATCTGATAAATTTGATAATAAAAATTTATTGTTTATCAAAATAATTCTGCTGCAAATTAAATCATGTTGACGATTTGTCTAATTTTGCCCATTGTGGTATTTTGTCTAATTGGTATTTTGTTTATTTGGTAATTTCAGCCAGCGGAAAGATAAAAGAGAGAAAAGAGTGTATTAAAACGAGAGAGACGCAAAGAAGAAGAGATTAGAGAGAAGTAATTTTGTTGACAATTTGTCTATTTTTGCCTTTTGTGGCATTTTGTCTGGTTGTTATTTTGTATATTTGATAATTCACGGAAAATAAAAGACAGAAAAGAGTGTATAAAACTGAGAGAGACACTAAAAAGAAAAGATAGAGAGAAATAATCTTTGTTGCCAATTTGTCTACTTTTGCCCTATGTGGCATTTTGTCCGGTTGTTATTTTGTAAATTTGGTATTCTCAGTAAGAGAAGTGACACAGAAAAATAAGAAAAAAGAGTGTATAAAAATGAGAGAGACAAAAATAAAAGAAAGAAAGAAAGAAAGAAATAATCTATTGTTTAAAAAACACTTTGGCGTTTTATTGTTCTCTTATTGACTTTTATTTTTCCTTTTTTTTGTATTTTTATCCGAGGGACCGTCTTATTTTTAATCTTTTGGACTTATTTTTAGATTTAATCTACTAACAAATTGGCTTCTAATCTAAATTTAGTGTATTGACATTAATGGCTTCTTTAATTTTATTTTTATTTCTTTATTTGGACTATGTTTCTGCCTTTGCTTCAAATACGGTTGTAGAGAGTGAGGAATATCAGGTTTTTTTTATTTTTTTTTGTTTAAATTCCCCTTTAAGTTTACCAATGTTAATCCAAAATGTGAGAGGATCAGAATTAAAATGTGTGCGGATATTCAATACAATATGACAATTTATCCAAATTTGTTGAAACATACAAAACAGGAGGAGGCAGAAAGTGATATTGAACAGTTAAGGAAGTTTTTAATTTATTTAAAGAATTTGTTTGGTATTTGTGGTGTAGTTGGTAGTGTTTTGGGTTGGATCTAGGAGGTGATAGGAGAGGCTAGGATTTGGTTTGGTTTCAGGAGGGCCCGGGTCGGTTTTTGATCGAAAAATCGGTGTTTTATTCAGTGTTCTTGGTTTGGTAGTTTTTTTGGTATCTGTGGTTTAGTTGGAAATGTTTCTGTTTGTTTCCTTATTTCGTGGGAGATGACCAAGGTTCGAGTCCTTGACCAAGTAGATGACCCAGTTTCGAGTCCACTCATTGGTTTTTGGTTTTTTTCTGATTCTCCAAGCTTTTTCCTTGTTAAAAAATTTTTTATTTCCAAATTTAACCTTTTAAACAATTTTTTAAAATTTATTAAATACACATTTTTCCTTTTATAAAGGTATGAAATGCTTGTCAATGTTCAATGCAGCCCCGATATTAAATTCTTTTTGTGCACAATTTTTACTCCAGTTTGTACAATTTTGAATGAACCAATCCCTCCATGTAGACATTTATGTTATTCTGCAAAAAATGGTTGTGAAACTATAATGAGGAAATTTGGTTATCCGTGGCCAGAGATTTTTGATTGTGAAAAATTGCCTCATCATAAAGATGCAATGTGTGTAGGGGAAAATAATAATGATGAATTGGAAGAGGATAAAAACAAGAATTTGGATATTTCTCAAATAAATGAACTAAAGGAGGTGAAGAAGGTGTTGGAATGTCCTCATGCTATGAAAGTTTTGGGTTCTCATAGGTTTGTTTTTATAAGTTTTGAGTTTTTCGGGTCTTAAGGTCTCTAATTTTCCTTTTAAAAATTTTAAAAATGAGATGGGAAAAATAAGAAAAGTTTAAAAATTTCATTCGAGGCGGATTTCTTTCTTGATTTCCTTTTTCAAACTTTCAATGTTTCTTGTAATATTAGATAAGCTTAAATCGAAACTCCAGTTTAAAAGTAGAAGGAAAAGACCAAACCTGTTTGGATTTTAAAAATACATAGATCGAGTTGAGTCAGCGTCAGAATTCTAAGGTAGGGTCGGTTCGGGACCCAACCGAAGAACCGATGATTTTTCGGTTCGGTTCCGGATATTCGAAGATTTTCCAAGAACCACAACCCCATTCTAAGGGTTGTGGTTTTTATTGGTTTCTGGCCCACAATCTATTCCTTGTTAAATCCAAAGTCTAAAGTTTTTTTGATTAAACAACTTTAAAAATTAAATTTTCTACAATTTAGCCATTTTCTCTTTATTGCCAACCAAACATTAGAACAATGTTCATTACCTTGCCATAATGATGGTTTAGTGCCCACTTTCTTCACTGCACATATTCGTCATTATCTAAAGCTTTGGACTGGCGCTTGGGCTGTTACTTGTTGTGTTTGTTGTTTATTTACAATTTTTACATTTTTGGTTGATTTGAAAAGGTTTCTTGAGATTTTTTTTTGAAAAAATTTTTCGACAAAATTTGAAAAATTTTTTAAAAATTTGAAAATTTTTTTAAATTAAAAAAAAAATTCAGATATGAATTTCCTGAACGAGCAATTCTTTTTATGGCATTTTCCTATTTTATGGTAAGCTCTGTTTATATGATTGGATTAGTTACTGGCGATCAACTTTCTTGTGCTACCCAATCTGCTACTAAACAACCTTTGGTTACTCAGGTTTTTTAATATTGAAAAAAATTTTTATTGAATGATCTTTTAAGGGAAATGAAAATTTTTGGTGTTCGGCATTGGCTTTGGCACATTTTTATTTTAGGTTATTTTTTATTTTAAATTTTCATTTCCCAATATTTGGGGGAGGGTGATCGTATTGGGAAAGTCAGGTATGAGATGATTTTTAGTCTAGTCTTATTGGGAGAGACCAATTAATTGGGATCAAATGTCATCCCATCCAAAACTTAGTATCAGTATTTTAGGAACCCTTTCTTTTAATCGATCATATCAGGCGGGTAAATGATTGGATTACTAAGTGTAAATATTGGGTGAATTGTCTTATTGAGGAGATCGATTAATTGTGATCAAATGTCATCCCATCTAACTAACAAAAAACCTTTTCATTCTCCATCATAATTAATTTAAAATTGAAATTTTTTAGCTTTGCCGGTTCTCTATGGTGGTTAATTTTATGTTTTTCTTGGTTTCTTGTAACAACATTAAAATGGGGAGAAGTTCCAGTTGGACAAGTCTTTTCTTCTTATTTTAATGCCTTTGCTTGGATTTTACCTTTATTTGGTGTTATTTTCCTAATTATATTTGGAGGAATTGATGGAGATGTATTTACTGGAATATGTTCTGTTGGAAATTTACAACCTTCATTTTTATTTAATTTTAGTGTTCTTCCACAAATTTTGTTGATAGGTTTGGGTTTTTAATTTTTTGGGGTTTTTTGGAAAATTTTTTTGTGAAAATTTTTTTGGAATTTTTTTTAATTTTCCGAATTTTTGTTCAATTTTTGGGGGATTTTTTGAGAAAAAAAAATTTTTGGGTTTCCGAATTTGCCTAGATTTTTTTTTGGTTTTTCTAAAAGATTTCAGACGTCAAAAATTTTTTTTATAATTTTTTTTTGGGTTTTTTTAAACTTTAAGTTTCCGAATTTTTGACTATTCTAATTTTTTTTTATAAATTTTTACTTAATTTTCAAGAAAAAAAAATTCTAAAAATTCTAATTAATTTAAAAAAAATAAATCTAGTTGCCGGCCTAATATTTTTCTCGTCTGGTTTTGTTTCAATTTTACGTATTCGTTCATATATTAAATGCAATAGGTTTGTAACAAATAAATTTGAAAATGCTGAGGCTTCTGAAAAACTTGGAAGAATAATGTTAAGAATTACTTGTTTTTCTCTTTTATATGTTTTGCCAATGTTTGTGAGTTGTTATTGTTCATATTATCAAACAATTAATATGGAGGCATGGTTGACTAATTGGTGAGAGAAATTGAGAAATGTTTTAATTTAATTCTGATTTTTTTATTAAAGGTATTCAACACGTTGTTTACATGGTAATTTTAATATGTTTTTATTTTGTTCTGGTTTTTGTGTGTTTATTCGTGTTTTTATTTAAAATTAAAAACAAATAAAAATCAGAATTTTATTTAAACATATAAAAATCAGAACTTTATTTGAACAAATAAAAACCAGAATTTTATTTAAACAAATAAAAATCAGAATATTATTCGAACAAATAAAAATCAGAATTTTAATGAAACAAATATGTAAATCAGAATTTTATTTGAACAAATAAAAATCAGAATTTTATTTGAACAAATAAAAATCAGAATTATCTGAACAAATAAAAATCAGAATTTTAATAAAACAAATAAGAATCAGAATTTTATTTGAACAAGTAAATATAGGTCAGAATGTTTGTGTTTTCTGCTACTTTGTTTTGTTTTTATAAATTAAACTTTAAATCAGAATTTTATAAAAACATCAAGTTTGAATTATTATTTTCTAAGTTAAAGATACTTCTGACACGAAATTAAATTCTGATTTTTATTTTTTTTATTTTTTCTGTGTGCTGAACAAACAATCAAAAAGCACCTAGAAAATTAAAATATCATTTATCAAATTATTTTTTTAGCACAAAGAGCCGTATTTGGATTTACTCAACAAAGAGATTATTGCCCAATTACGGATCAAATTGAATTAGAAAACCAACCTGGCCCTCTTCTCTTCTTCCTCAAATATTTGGCCAATTTTACTGTTGGAATAGCTTGTGCTGTTTGGACATTAAATGGGAAAACTGTTGTAATTTATGGAGAATTTATGTCGCGTCTATGTATGGGTAAGGAGAATAATAGAGGAAGGCCTACACGTTTGCCAACTCGAGTTCATTAAAAATTGAATTTTATTGCAATAAGAATGTTGAGGGTGGTGGTCTTTTTAAAGAGGTTTTTTTTTAATTTTTTCTGGTTCCTGTTTTTCTCTGGTTTTTTTGGGAATTTATGGTTTGCCAACTTAATGTTTTGCCAACTCCATATCCCCTCATTCCGTAAAAAAAGAAAAAAAAATTTCTCCGTCCCCGTCCACCACCTTGGCGTCGCCTTTTTGAGAAGTTATCCCCGTAGGCTTTCCCCTTGTCGGGGATCAACCCTAGTTTTGTTAAAATTCTGATTTTTAATATATTTATTGGGACTACCGCGACTACCCTCGATACTTTCTCTTTAAAAATAATTAGCGCCTATATTTTTTGTATTTTTTAACTCAATAATTCGTTGCCATATATTTTTTTATTTTAAAAACTACTTACTCTTTATTTGATATTCTTGCTTTCAATTTTTCTAAAAAAAAATTTTTTTTGCTTTTATCTTGCTTTTTAACTATTTTTTCTTGATATTTGTACAAAAATCTTTCGCTTAATTTTAATTTTTTTTCCTCAATACCAGGGATGTGTCGGACAACGAATCACATTCAGAGACATTCAGGGACATTTTCTTTTTAAAAAATAAATTTTTTATCTGATCGCCGAAACCCGGCCTTTCATTCCGACAATGAACCTCGATCCGCGAATTTTTTTTCATTCTGACCTATCCCTGGTTTTATAACTTAAATGAACAGGGTTTTAAATGTTCTTTCTCTATATTTTAGTCTCAAATTCAGGGACATTTTTTTTCTCTTTTTTAAAAAAATAAATTTTTGATTGTATTAATTTATTTTATTATTTTATTAGGAAATTTTTTTAAATCCTTAAAAAAAATTTTTTACAAATTTTTAAATAATTAATTTATTTTTGATTTAATTTTAAATTGATGTCGAGCGGAAAAAGACGTAATCCTTTAAATCTAAGCCTTCCTCCAACTGTAAATGAAGAAGGGTTGGCTAATGATGTTTCTGCTACAGAAGAAAATGAAGGAGGAAGAGGAGAAGGTGGTGGAGGGGGAGGACAAGGGCAACAAACAACAGCTAAAGGAACGGGTACTCCACCTACAACAATGATGTTGGATTCTCAATTAAAACAATTAAGCTTGTCTGGAGCACAAATTGAAAGGATGAATGAATGGATTAATTTGAAAAAACAGGTTTTTAATTTGTTAAAAAAATTTTCTGGTTAAGGGGTTATCCTGTCGGTTTTTTTGTAAGTTTGTCAGATTTTTAAGTATGTAAGGTAAGGGGAGACAACACTCACTAAACGGGAATTTAAGACTTAAAAAGAAGGTGAAAGCAGCTTCCCGGTAGTTCACCGATAGACTGGGGGCTATTGGGTACTAAGAGCTTATAGCAATAACTGCTAGCAGGTTACAGAATCGATGCTTGCTCGTGGGTAGACTTTTTATACCTCTCTCATAAAACTGTTATTGTTTATTTTTTCATCCTTTCATAATTGTATAAATCTCATTTTTAAATTAAATAAATTCTAAAACAAATTTACCTCAAAAAAATTATTTTTAAAGATTGGAGAATTAAGTGATGATGTTCTCGAACGTATTTGTGATTTGGGACATGGCAATGGAGGTGTTGTTCATAAAATGCGTCATTCAAAAACTGGTGTAGTTTTGGCTAGAAAATTGGTTCATTTGGAAGTTAAACCTTCTGTTCGTAATCAAATACTTAAAGAATTGGAAGTTTTACACAAATGTAATAGTCCGTATATTGTTGGTTAGTTTTCTTATTTTTATTTTTAAATTGGAAGCCTCACCTATTTTTCTTAACTTTTTTGGAGAGGAAAAGGAGTATAGGCTTTGTTTGAGAATAAAGTCGAATTGAGGTTTTGGTCGGATTTTCTAAGATTGTCTGATACTCTAAATTTTGGGCAGGGGATCGTGTGAGGTTTCTTTACCAGGTAACTTGGAATTAGTGTCGGGGAATTTACCCGAAGCCTGTTAGCAGGTCTTTTGACACGAACCCCGATACGAAGAAAATTTTGAAAACTCAAACTGAAACCCGTTACCCAAACTTTTTCAAACTTGCCTATCCCTGATACATTAACAAACACAAGATTATCCCTATTTTCTCTTTCTAATTAATTTTTAAAATTTAATTCTTCTAAAAAATTTCTCAATCCAAAAATTTTCTCATCAGGTTTTTATGGTGCTTTTACAACAAATAACGATATTTCAATATGTATGGAATTTATGGATGGACTTTCACTTGATATTGTTTTACAGACTGTTGGTCGAATAAATGAAAAATTGGTTGGACGTATTGCAATTGCTGTAATTGATGGACTTACTTATCTTAAAGAGCAGTTTAATATACTTCATAGAGGTTTAAAATTTTTTAAAATTTTTTTTTGAAATTTTTGGTAAAATTTTTGGGGCCGTAGGATGTTTTTATAGAATTTTTTTTTAATTTTTTACATAAAAATTTTTTTTTAAATTTTTTTGGGGTCGAAGGAAATTTTTTTGAAAATTTTTTTTAATTTTTGGGATCTTAGAAATTTCCGTAAAGTAAAAATTTCTAACAAACAAAAAACTTAATTATTCAATTTTAAAAATAATATGGCTAGGTAAATTTAAGGAATATAGGCTAACTTGGGGGATGTCGGTTGTTGGAAAATCTTGGATATGTATTCGGTGTTGAACGAAGGAAAAAATTTTTTTGAGAAAGAAATTTTAGGAAGAACCAAACTGAAAAAATTTTTCTTTTTTACCTTCCGAACCGACAACCCTACAAATAACAAATAGAATATTTTTAGAAAAAAAATGCCTGATTAAGACAACAAGTTAAGAAAATAATTTTTTGAGGGGTAAATTACAAGAATAATTTTTTAGGGATTTTCTTAAGGGGGAGATATTTACACACAATTACTAATCATTTTTAATAAATTAATCTTCATCTTCTTTTATCTTCTTTTATAATACATTCACATTATTTTCAATTTTATTTTCTTCTTCTTTTTTCTCTTCTTGTTTTCCTCCTTCCTTATCTTCAAGTTTTTCTTCAACTTTTACTTCTTCAACTTTTACTTCTTCAACAATTGATGGCGATTTTTCTCCTTCTTTATTTTCTCCCTCTTTGTTCTCTCCCTCTTTGTTTTCCTCCTTAACTTCTTCTGCTGGCTTCTTTTTTGGTTTTACTTTATATATTGTTTCAATTTCAACCGAATCTTCCTCTTCTTCATAATAATCCATTGAAACATATATTATAGCAATTATAATAGCCAAAAGGATCAGAACACCAACAACAGCCCCAATAATTATCCAAACTTTTGTGGTGAAGAATTTTGTTTTTGGAGGATAAGTTGTTTTACTTGGTGGTTTTGGTCTTGGAATAATTTTTGTGCGTTTTGTTGGAAAAGTTAGAGTATACCAAGGACGTGGTGGAACAGTACGAGGAGGCAATGTTGGAGGAGTTGGAAATGGTGGAAGAGTCCATTCAGGTTCTTCAGTTTCTATAGCTTCGGTAGTTTCTTCTTCTGTTGTGAACATTGTAGTAGTCTCGTCTTCTTCTGTTGTAAGAGTTGTTTCGTTTGAAGATGTAAAAGTGCCATTTGTTGAATTCAAAAGTCCCATCTGTTGAATCCATGTATTATTTGTGGATGTCAAGTTTTTTGAAATTTCTTCTATTGGTTTCTTTGTTTTTCCGGTAGATTTTGTATTGGTTTTGGATGGAGTTGTAGCCGTTTTGATGATTGGTTTGGAGTTTGTAGTTTTAACAGTGGTTGATTTGGTGGGTTTTGAAGTTGGCTTTTTAGTGGTTGTTGGGGTTGTAGGTTTTTTGGTTGTGGTTGTTGTGGTGGGAGTTGTGGTTGTTGTGGTGGGAGTTGTGGTTGTTGTACTTGTGGTCGAACTTGTTGTACTTGTGGTAGAGGTGGTTGAAGTTGTACTTGTTGTGGAAGAGGTTGAAGTTGGTGTCGTAGTTGTGGTGGTTGGTTCAGAGAGAGTCAACAAAGTATAGTTATTTTTTGACTAAATTTTTGAAAAAAATTTTTTTTTAAATTAACAAAAATTCCCTTACAAATATTATACTGAGTTGATCACATTCTGGCCCATCTGGCGATTTTTCCAAAACTTTTGGATTGTTTGTATAATTCAAATCCAGCATTCTTGTTGCTTTTTGAGGAAGAAGATGGAACACTAACAAAAACTTGTATTTATCATTTGGACTAGTTCCATTGATTTCCCATGTTTTTGGGGAGATGATGCTTTCCGTAGAGTTGTGTAAGCATGTAAAATTGTTCTCCAAAAAATTTTCTTCTACAAAAAATTCTCCAAAAACTCCTTCACCAGAAGAAAACTTGACCGAATATCTATCCGTATTTTGATGGATCTTCACTATTGGGTAGTCTTTTTGTGTCTGAATTGATGACATGTTTGTACCGGTTAAGTGATAAGAAAGGCTGCCAACTGAAAATTTTTTAAAAAAAATTAAAAAATTTTTTTTGAAATTTTTTCAAGGGATTTCTACTTGGATTAACAGACAGCTCAATTCCATCATCCACAGCTTTCCATCTAACTTCAAGACTAGTCATTTCGATACATTTGCTTATTAAACATCCTTTATAGCACCTCTTGTCAGAATCGTTAAGAATTGGACCTTGTTGAATTTTTTTGATTTGGGCGCTTGAAAGGCTGTAGGCAAAAGGTAAACTGAAAAAGAAAATTTTGGTTTGGATTTGAGAAAAATTTTTTTTCACGTGTTATTGTTAAAGTCTTGAGTCAAACACTTGGAATAACTCGAAGAATGATTCAATCCTGTAGCAAATTCAATCGCATTTTCTATATTTGTTAAAAGATCCAATGTACAGCCAAGGTTTGCTGAAGAACTATTTTTGGAGTAGAAAAGCTTTCTGAAAAATAAAAAAAAATTTTTTTTGATAAAAAAAATTCAAAAATTTACATATTTCCATCATTATCCAACTCAACATCACATGCTTCAAGAAAGCGTTCCTTGTATTTTTCCATGTCCTCTTTTGTTTTTGCAATTTTTGATCCTTCAACAAGTGTTACAATTCCTTCTGTTAAACTGTGCTTTGCTAAGCCGACAATTTCGTTTTTTGCTTCTTCGGTGTTGATTTGTCCAAGTAGATGAACAACAAAAACAACAACAAGGAGGAGAGCTTTGAAAGAGGTGAACGACGACATTTTCTACTTTTTTCCTAAAGAAAAAAGTGTTTCACTAATAATTTGTTGAAGTTGAAGTGACTGTTGATGTTGGGAGGGTTTTTCGATGATATTTGTGGTGGAGAATGACTAATGTTTTGTTGCTTTTATAGTATTGTTAATGTGAGCAGTTTTGTAAACTTTAAAACTTATTTGTTATTTGCAAATCAGAATTTAATTAAAACTTGTTTGTCTATTCAGTCAATAATGTTTTTGAAAAAATCAGAACTTAATTAAAACACATTTATTAAAGTTTGTTTTATACTTATGGAAAAATTTAAAACCAGAATTTATAAGACTTAAAATTAAACTATTAAACCCAGAACATAAATGTTCTTATTTTTAATACTAATCAGAATTTTATTAAACATACAAAAACACCTTTAAGTTAACAATATTGAACATCAGAATTTTTGTAAAACATGTAATTCTAAAAATAAAAAAAAACCAGAATTTCATCTGAACATTTAAAAACTCGGTATTGCACGCCAGAATTTTTTAAATAAATTAACGTATCAGAATTTTATCTGAACATTTAAAAACATCTAATTTAATATTTTATTTTTATTAAGATGTAAAACCATCAAACATGTTAGTTAATAGTAGAGGTGAAATTAAACTTTGCGATTTTGGTGTTTCTTGCATGCTTATCGTAAAATTATTTTTACTAGATTAAGAAAATATTTTTTAAATTTATAGGATAGTATGGCTAATTCTTTTGTTGGCACACGTTCATATATGGCGGTGAATTTTTTTTCATTGAAAAAAAATTTTTTCAAAAAAAAATTTTTTTCAAAAAAAATTTTTTTATAGCCAGAACGTTTAACCGGCGCTCGTTATAGTATCCACTCAGATGTTTGGAGCTTTGGATTATCTTTAGTTGAACTAGTTATTGGACGTTACCCTATCCCTTCTCCAAGTAGACGTGAATATGCAAAAATATTTGGTATTAGAGTTGAAGAAGTTGTGTTAGATTTACAACAAAATGGACAAGAAGAAACTTCATCGAGTATAGATGACACTTCGCCTAAAACAATGGCTATTTTTGAATTGCTTGATTATATAGTAAATCGAGTAGGTGTTAATTTTGAATAATCAAATTAAAAAAACCAGAATTTTGGGTTTACAACTAAACCAGAATTTTTTTATGAACATTGAAAAAATCGAAAATAAAAACCAGAATTTTTTTAAAATAATATCAGAATTCCTTTTAAACATTCAATAAGCGTATCAGAATTTTATCTGAACATTTAAATAAATCACCAGATTAACAATATTAGAGACCAGAATTTTTGTAAAACATGCAATTCTAAAAATAAAAAAACCAGAATTTTATCTAAACATAAGCTTCTTTTTTTTCTTTACAGCCTCCCCCAGTTCTCCCTCGTCGTATTTTCTCTGATCACTTTGTTGATTTTGTTAATAAATGTTTAAAGAAAAAAGTTACAGAACGTCCAAATCTTGCTGGTTTAGCTGAAGAACCTTTTTACAAAGAACATTCTGCAATGGATGATAGTGCTGAATTTGCGAAATGGGTACAATCTGTTATTGATTTGTATGTTTTTTTCTGATTTTTTTAAATTCTGATTAATTTTCAGAAGGAATAGAAACTTCCCTACTGGTTAATTAAAAGCGAAACTCTTCTAAATTTCTGATTTTTTATTCTTCAAAAATATAGTCAAAAAAAAAAGAATTATTATAAGAATGAAAGGAAAATGATATTTTTCCTATCATTTTTGTGTGTATTATTTTTCAGCTATCTTTTTTCTCATTTTTTACAATTTGACTCTCGTCTGTATTCTCATCTTTCCAATCATCTGAAAGTATAATAAAACATTTTAGTTTTAAAACATGTTTTTAAAAGTAAATAAAACAATGTTTTTATAAAATTCTGATTTTATATTATGATTTTAGCTAAGTTTTGTTTGTATTCTGGTTTTTAAGTTTTATTAATATTCTGATTTTAAGCTCTCTTAAAAACATCTTCCAGAATTGTAAAACAAGTTTTAGAGAGTTTGTTTTAATTAAGTTCTGATTTTATATTCTGATTTTAATTAAGTTTTATTTTTCTGATTTAAATTCCTTAAAAACATTTCTCAAAATTGTAAAACAAGTTTTAATGAGCATTTTTGTTTTAATTAAGTTCTGATTTTACAATTCTGATTTTTTAAAACATTTTTGACTATAACAAACAAGTTTTAAATAAACTTTTACCGTCTAACAAAGTTGTATTTACATATTTCTTTAATTCTGGTTGTTCTTCATTTATTCTGTCTTTATAATACCACATTACACACAGAATAGTGAGGACAGCTATTATTGGTATAAAAAATTGTAGTCCTAAAATTAAAATAAAAAAAATTTTTCTAACAAATTTACCTTCTACTATTGAATAAACAACATCCATTTACATAAATATCCTTTAAAAAAGTAGCTAAAGGAAATAAAAAAAGCAGCCTTTTGTCACACTAACTTGAAGCTTTTTTGCTATGGATTGTTTAAAAAATATATAGGGAAAGGGATAAAATAGATAAAATAAAAAAAGGGCCTAAAAGTGTGTAGGAGACTTAAAATAATTTTAGGGGAAATATAAAAGTTTAAAAAATTAAAAAAAAAATAAAAAATATTTTCAATTATTTTATTTCGAACAATGAATACAGCTTTAATTGTATTATGTATAAAATCAGAATTCAGAATTATAAATCAGAATTCAATTAAGTTGACAATTAGGGAAACATCATAAACTTTAAATCAGAATTAAAAATAAACAAGTTTAATTAAGTTTTATTTATGTTCTGATTTTGGATTTTTGTAAAAACATCTTTCAGAATTGTAAAACATGTTTTAATCAACATTTTTGTTTTAATTAAATTCTGATTTATAATTCTGATTTTTTTAAACATTTTAACTTACAAATAAGTTTTTAAATTCAGAACTTGAATCAGAATTTTAAATGAACAAAAACTTAAGTTAACTAACTTAAGTTTACAATTATAATAATGCTTCCCCCAAGTTGTCAATTTAAAATTATTATAAACTACAAAACATATTAATAGAAAATATTTTCTTTTAATCACTTTGGTAACTCGGCTTGGGCAGCGCTTTTAAAAGATGACCGAATTAATCGAGAATTTGCTGGCTGAAGAGGACGATTATTAAGTAGAGGTTGTTCTACCTCGTCTTCCTGTCGACTTTTGCGTAATTCACGAAGTTTTTCTAGTTGATTTGAAGATATTGATATTGCAGAACGGCAAATTAACCATTGAACCTTTTAAAAAAATCAGAAAAATTAATAAAGTTCTGATTTAAATTAACTGTCTCTCGAAAAGGTTCAACAGCTTCAGACCCCTCATAGAACCAGAATTCTTTGCTCTTCTCCAAGGGAACAAGCTGGGAAGCTTTAAAACCCTCAGAGAGTGAACATTCTGTGCCTGCATATTTTATATGAGAAAGAACGTTAATTAATGGATTTAGTGTTGGATTGTCGTCGTGAGTTTCCTGTAAAGTAAAAAAAATCAGAAAAAATCAGAATTTAAAAAATAAAATAGGAAATCAGAATTTTAATGTCAAACTTGAAAAATCAGAATTTTAGAAATCAGAATTTTCTCAAAACATTTCTATTAAAAACCAGAATTTAAAACAAACATTTAAGAAAACAGCAATAAACAAAGTTCCTTGTTCCTCTGGATGTTTTAATGCCTCAGTCATGTTTGGGAACTTTATGTTTCTATGAACAATATGTATTTCTCCAGCATATCCAACACCGGCAATTGTGTGCTATTTAATTTTAATGTTTTTTTCTGACTTTTAGAGACTATTAATTTACCAAACTTCCATTCATTGGTTCTGTCCCCCAATGAAAAAGAATTTGTTCTAATTGGAATTGTTGTCCTTCTAAAAAGGAGCATTCAAAGGAAGAATTTCCTTCTTTCTGTTGTTCAACTCCATTTATTTCTGTTGTATTATTTAAATTATTAGGCCAACGAACACTTAATCCTCCATATTGACCCAAATTTTCGACTGTTAATTTTACAGAATTATCGTAGTTAAGCTTAAACGTAGCATTTTCTAAACTGGGATCAAATGCTGTAATGGCAGGTAATAAGTCGATGGGTGATTGTTTTGGGCTAACATTTGCCTGAAAATGTTTGTTTGATTTTTTTAAATGTTTGTTTAAAATTTTGAAATGTTTGTTTAAAATTCTGAATTTTAATATGTTCATTTAAAATTCTGAAATAAAACATGTTTATTTAAAGTTCTGAAATTTAGAATGTTTATTTCGAATTCTGAAAATATATTTGTTTATTAATAATTCTGAAATTGTTTGTTCTTTTAAAATTCTGAAATTAAACTTGTTTGTTTAAAGTTCTGATTTTAAGGTTGTTTATTTAAAATATTGGTAATTCAGGTTTATTAAAAAATAAACTTGTTCATTTAAAATTCTGATATGTAAATTATACAAAATAAACTTGAAATAAAACAAATTTATTTTTAAATTCTGATTTTTTAATTCTGATTTAACTTGCCTGTAATATTTTAGTTAATGTGTCTAACTGTGCTGTGCATTTATTAAATACGGGCAATAAATTTTGTTTAGCTTTATTCGTTGCTTGATTTGCTTGTTCTAAAACAGCTGAAACTTGTGGCATTGATTTTGTTTTAATTTCTTGTAGCTTTGTTTGTATTTGGTTTAAAAATGCCATTTTTCTGTTGTTGATGGGAAATTTAATTTTTTAAAAAAATTCTCTTAAAAATGGAATGAAGAAGCCGACTTAATTAACATAAGTAAAATGAGAGGATTTTAAAAGGAGAAGGAAATTTTTTTTTAATTTATGGGTATTAGAATATATTTTATTTGTATTGACTAGAAGCAATAAATAAATAGTCAATGTTTTTAATTAAATTCTGATATTTTAAGAATTAAATTCTGGTTTTAACAAACAAGTTTAAATAATAATTATAAGTTTGTTCATTTGAAATTCTGATTCCAAGTTTATTTAAATATTCTGGTTTTAACATTACAATTAACTTTGTTTGTGGAAAATTCTGGTATTTCAAGATTATTTCTGGTTTTAACAAAAATTCTGGTTTTAACAAAAATTCTGGTTTTAATTAAATTCTGATTCTAACAAACATGTTTATTTTACAATTAAGTTTATTTATTTGAAAATTCTGGTTTCAAGTTTAATTAAAAATTCTGGTTTTTAAATTCTGATTACAACAAGAATAAGTTTATTTTAAAAATTAAACTTGTTCATTTAAAATTCTGATTTGTAAATTAAATAAACTTGAATTAAAACACTTGTTCAAATTAAATTCTGATTTTGTAAAAACATTGTTTTTAAAATACACTATTAGTTAAATTTGTTTTCTCGGCTGCCATTTAACAAGGAATTTTTTTCCTTATTTTTTTTCAGGGAAAGGACAACAATAAAAGGCAAATGTAATAGTTTTATGTAAAATATTGGGTATATGTGAATAAGCAAAAAAAGGAAAAAAATAAATATTGGGCACAAAAAAGGGTAAAAAAATTCTTTGGCGCCTAATTGAGATGTCGTTGTGTCTTCTCTCGGCTGCCACTTTATTTACACTATAACGCTTAAGGGAATGAGGAAAAAAATAGAAAAAAGTACGATTGCATGACGTTGTAGCTTGTGTCCTTGCCAACGCCTACCACCCTGAGGACAATTGGAAAATCCAGAATATCAACAAACAAAATAAAAAATTCTGATTTCCAAGTTTATTTTTAAATAAATTCTGATTTTCATTTTTCAGAATTTCTGATTTCAAAATTCTGATTTCTTTTATTTTTCAGAATTTCTGATTTTTTTATTTTCAGAATTTCTGATTTTCATTTTTCAGAATTTTTGATTTTTCAGAATTCTGATTTTATTTTTAAAAATTCTGATTTTTATTTTTCAGAATTTCTGATTTTTAAATTCTAATCAGAAAGAGAGGGAGATAGAGAGTAGAAAATAAAAACCAGAATTTTAAAAATAAACTTAAAACCAGAATTAACGCATTTTTAATATTCTTTGGCATTCTATTTATTTTTTACATTTTATCCAAAAACGAGAGATAATGCAAAATAAGAGATTTTAGTGTTATTAAACATTTTGTCTCTTCCTTATTTTACCAATAACACATTTTGCCAATAACACATTTTGCCAATAACACATTTTGCCAATAAGGCTAAAACCCCGCATTTTGTCACACTAGGCTTGTTGACAAAATGTCCTGTTTTAGCCTTATTGGCAGAATGTGTTATTGGCAAAATATTGTGAGGGAATATTTTTATTGTTTGTTTCTATTTTTTTTAATTTTTTTTTATTTTTTAAAATTTATTTTTAATTTTTTTTTATTTTTAACAAAGGATGAGAGATCCAGAAACTTCATTTATTCAATCTAGAAAATCATTAGAACGTAAAATATTCAAAGTTCGAAGAAATGTCTTTCCACCAATTTTAACCAATCGTGCTCCTCAAAATTCAACCAACAACAAAAGATCTTCAAAGAATTCAATAAAAGATTCGAAAAAAGTGCGCTTTCATGTATCAGAGCCTTCTTCTTCATACTCACAATCTTCTGGCGATAGTTGGTTTTTTTTTAATTTTTTTTTGGGGGGGGGGGTCTTTTTGGAAGGGATTTCGTTCCAACAAGGGACTCTATTAAACTATACGTATTAATTTCCTTTTTTTTGGTATAACTTGATTGAGCTTGGTCTACCTTTGCCAGTTTTTGCTGGTCTACCTTTGCCACCTATTGCCAATTTTTTACTTTTTTTCTAGTGAGCCATTTTCGGATAGTTAAGAGCCTTCAAAATCGGTATCATTGAGTGGCTGGGTCCTCCATTCTCCTATTAAAGGGGAAATTTGTAAGTATGATTCTTCTGATAGGGTTTTAAGTTGATTGCGGGATTTAAAAAATATACGAGGGAAGAGAAAGCAGGTTTTTGTCTGCTTGGGAGTCGCTCGGTAGTAAATCTGAACGTGGTTTTTAAATGATGACATTTCATCCCAGACATTTTTGGGATGAATTGTCTGCTTAATCTTTGGTTCTTTTCCTCTCCGTGGATAAACTTTATTTTTTAATTTTTAAAATTTCAAAACAAAAATTTTTTTCAAAGTTTCCTCCTCATCAAACGACGACCAAGAAGTATGCCACCAAAATATTCCTTCATCTTCTCTAAATTCAAATAAAAATTTATCAAATAATGAAGAAATAACTGCCAAATTTACATTCGAAACCAAAAACAATTTTTATTTTAAATATTTTATTAAAAAGAATTTTGAAAAAGACGAGGATGAAATGTCTGATTTGTCTTGTTCTAGCAATAATTCTTCCAATTATGTTGAAAATGAATGGTCAGATTTGGAAGAAAATAATCAAAGGTCGAGGGAATCTGAGGTTTTTTTAATTTTTTTAATTTTTTAATTGCTTGCGGAATTAGTGAGAAAAATATTTTTATGTTTTTTGTGGTGGACATTTGATCCACAAAAATTTTTTAAATAATTTTTCACCAAACATTTTCTGGGTATTTGGAGTTATTAGATTATTTTGTTGTTCCTGGTATTGGGAAGGCCTCTGGGATTCTAATTTTTAATTGATTGCTGGATTATTAAAAAAATTTTTTATGTTTTTTATGAAGGACATTTGATCCACAAATTTTTTAAAATTATTTTTTCCAATTTTTCTGGTTATTCGGGGTTATTACGTATTTTGGTTGTTCTCCGTAATTGGGAAGGTCTCCGACTAATTTTCGGCGAGGCAGCTGCTTTTTAAAAAATTGACCCAAAGGATATTTGACCTAATTGAACAAAAAATGTTAAATAATTTTTGAATGAAATATTTTAGATAGGTTAGAGCATCGATCTCGGGGGGTTTTTTGTAGAAGCAGCTGCTTTTTAAAAAATCGAAAAAATTTTTAAATATTAGAAAAAATTTTTTTATAATTAAAAAAATTAATTTTAAACATTTTTTTAAAGGAAGCAGAATTAAAAGAGCGATTTAAAGAAGCCTTTTCACAATTATCTAAAGGAGAATATGAAAAAACAGCCCAAATATGCACTTCAATATTAATTCACCCAATAATGCAAAATTTTTATGTCTCGGATTGGGAGGCTTTTGATTGGATAGAAAATAAAAGAAAAAAGGAAATTGGGTCAATAATACATTCGGATATGGCAAAAATATATTTTAATATAAATTTGGCTTTAATTGGTATTTTGGATAATTCTCTAGATTTTTATATTCAGGTTTTTCTATTTGATTTTTTTAGACTACCGTATTTACTCTATTAGAGCCCCATGGGGCTCTATTTTTCAACCTTCCTCCAAACGGGGGCTATATTAAGGAGGGGGGCTCTAATAGAGACGGGGGCTGTATTTTTCAACCTATTTTTAAAATAGGAACAGGTTTTTCATTCAATTTATAGACTTTCTAACTTTAAAGATCAATTGTAATTTTAGCACAAAAACAAGATAGGTATTGCATGATAATGCATGCAACAGTTTTTCTTTTCTCCAAAAGTTATAAAGCTAGGGTTTTATGTACTTTTTGGATAAAGGATAACATTCAATTAGTTCAATTATTTTTGGAATTCCATTGTTGAGGAATGTAGAGTACGAAGTATATCTAGGAATTTGTGAGGACTGAAGGAAATAATGTAATCTGGAAGATCAGGGGCTTCAAGGATCAGGAGTGATATGAGTTATTAATTGGGTTAACAGGTTGGGAATTAATGAGGGATTAAATAATAAATTTTATATCAGTAGATAGAAAATGGTTCAAGCATTAATAATCTTGTTAAATTTTAAAATGGTTAAGCTCAGGCCGAGAAATAACACAGTTATTAGCCACCCATTATCTAATAGTAAGCTTAACATCTCGACTAACTTATCCTTAGACAGCGATTGGAAAGTAGTTGGTGAATATCAGGGAAAGAGCAGCCGTCCCGATTTCGTTTCACGAAATCGGTAATTTTTCTCGTTCCTGGTGCTTACAAGTACGTCCTAAATTAATATGCAAAGGGAAATCACTTTTTCATTCATCAAAAGAGTTATCAGTTGGCCAATACATCGAGTCTTATATGGAAGAGCTCTCCCTACAGTATTACAAAATTGCGTACGATTTAACTATTTATTATAAACTGTTATTCACACATGATTGAAACATGCGCGACTCTGACTATAACGAGGGACTGGGGAACGGCAACAACATTTTTGCTTAAATTATTTATTTGACATTTGACAAAAAGGGGGGCTCTGTTAAAGAGGGGGGCTCTAATAAAGACGGGGGGCTCTATTTTTCAACCATCCTCGAAACGGGGGCTTTATTAAGGAGGGGGGCTCTAATTGAGAGGGGGGCTATAATAGAGTAAATACGGTATTCTCGTTTCTTTTTTCCACTATTCCCGTTTCTCTTCTTTTTTTTTGTTTTTTGTTGTAGTGGGATGGTGTTGTGTTGTCGTTTTTGGGGGGTCGTGGGTTCGAACCCATTAGTGGAAAACTTTTTTATTTTTGATTGTTTTGAATTATTTTTTGCTTTTACTACCTTTGTATATTTTTTCAAACCTTTTTGGATTTTTCTTACAGTTTTTAAGGGGGATTTGAGGGTTGAAAAATTAAAGTGGGAAGGGGTGGGGTGAAATGTCTCGCAAATTTATTTTTTTTAATTTAAAGGCATTAAGTATCCATCCAGAATTGAAAGATTTATGGTTTCTTGCTGGCATAACAGCTTCAAAACAAAAAGATTGGCGTTCTGCCCGTTTTTGTTTTGGACATTGTGATGATGATATACGTAAATTGGAAGCTTTAATTTTGGTTAATTTTTGTGAACAAAATTTTCTTGGTAAAAATTTTTTTAATTTAGTGACCATTTAATGGGATTGGGTGGGAAAACTAATTTTGTGGCAAAAAAAATTTTTTTTGGTTCAGTGGGAAAGTGTTGTGTTTTTATTTTTTGAAGGTCGCGGGTTCGAGCCCCACTGTTTGGAAATTTTTTTTTTATTTTTTAAAAATTTTTTATTTTTATGAAAGATAAATAGAAAGCCGACTTTATTTAATTTTTAAAAACTGTTTACTTTTTTATTTTTTTTTTTGAAAATTTTAAAAAATCTTAAAAAAATTTTTCTGTAATTTTTTAAATTTCTAGAATGTACATTTACACTCAATAAATTATTCAATATTTATCCAAAACACGAATTTGGTTTATTTATTCATTCATTTATATCAAAAAGTTTTCCTCTTTGGAAAGAATTTTTGTCAAACAAAAATCTTAAAAAAGATGAGGAAATAAAGATTGAGGAATACAAGGTTTTTTTCTGTTAATTTAAACAAAAAATTTTTTTATGTTCTCTATTTTAACTGAAATTCTTTAAAATTTAATTTTTGTTTTAAAATCCTCTCAACATTCTCAATTTTTTCCTTTTTTTATTATTTTTGGTGTAGTGGGAAAACTGGGTTTTTGATATTTTGGGGTCGAAGGTTCGAACCCGCCAGTGGGAAAAAATGTTTTTTAATTATTTTTGAGTGTATTTATGTGTACTTTATTTTCTGGACACTTTTAGAACTTTTGGGTTTTTTTTTTGAATTTTTGGAGAATTTTTGCTAGATTTCAACCCCTTTTCCTGAGATTTTCTTTGTTTTTTAAGAATAATTTTTGGTATTGTTTTTGCTTCAAAAACCATTTCCATTTCTTTCCTAACTATAAAATTGCCAATAAAATTTCTCTTAATTTTTGATTTTTTAAAAAACAGTTTCGCCATATTCTCAATAAATTTGAACAATTAATTAAAACAAATAACTCAAATAATTCTACTCAATTTGGTCTTTTTTCAAGTGTTTTAAACAAATTATTGCCTAAATTTGCACCTTTAAAAATTAAATTGAGGAATGATATGAGGTTTATTTTTTTATTAAAAATTTTGAAAATTTTTTTAAGAATGGAAGACATTGGAATTTGTTTGTGTAATATATTTGACAGAATTGAACAATTTTCCTCAGTTAGTTTTTTTTATTTTTTTAATATTTTTTATTGATGAGGGAACAAAATGGGACTAAATCTAGGATTTTTCTTTTCTTTTCCTTATTTTTGGTTTAAAAAACAATATTGGCTGGGGGTAGTCTGTTCGTGTTTCGAACATACCAATGTGAAAAATTTTTATTTTTGATTATTTTTAACTATTTTTATTTTATCAAAATTATTTTTGTTTTTAACTAGTGGATTTTTGACAAAATTTTTTTTCAATTTTCAGTTTGCTGAACAAAAAATAATTTTTTATATGGATAATACTACAAATAGCAATAATACTCAAGAAGCTCAACAACAACAAGACAATTTAATGCAAATAGATGAAGTTCAAACTGATAATAATGTCCATAATATTTCGAAAAATGTTACAAAAGAAAAGTGTAATGGGGCTTTGAGAGGTTAATTAAATTTTAAAATTTTGAGTGTATTGGGGTCTGACAAATTGTGGTTTTTTTCTATAATAATTTTTGCAATTTGGGTAAATATACTCCTAGTAGGGGAGATTATAAGGCCAAAAAGGACAAAAATAGGACAAAAAAGAAAAAAGACAAGGACAAGAGAACTGATAGTAGGGAGGGATTAACAAGGACAAAAGACTGATTGTGTTGATTTTTTTTGTAAAAAATTCTCGACTCTTTGAAAACTTCTCAGACTCAACTGTCCATAAAATAAGAATTTTCATTAAAAATAATTTTTATTTTCAAGAAAAATCAACAACAACACTAGAACAACAACCAGAAGTAACTACAACATCAGAAAATGAACAATTAAGCACAACGTTTTCATCAGATATTGAAATCATTGAAGAAAAACAATCAAATAATAATAAATCAAAAGATGAATATTTTAATGGAAGTAATAAATTAATTAAATTAAATAGAAAAAGAATATTAAATTGGGCTGAAAAGGTTTTTTTATTTTTTTCTATAAATGGTCTTTTGGTGTAGTGGTAAAGTCGTTAGTTTTGGGTTGTTAAAGGGTGTGGGTTCGAACCCTCGCGAGGAGAATTTTTTTGTTTTTGTTTTAGTGATTTTTAAAATGCCTTTTAATTAATTTTTGAACAAGATTTAAAATTTGTGGTGTAGTGGTGTAGACGTTAGATTATTGTTTCAGGGGGATGTGGGTTCGAACCCTCTCCGGAAATTTATTTTTATATTTATTTTAAATCATTAAAATAAATTTAAAAAAATATTTTTTAGACAAAATTAAAAGAAAAATACTACCAAAAAAGATCTTAACATCAACCTTATAGAGAACAAAATGAAAATTCTGCTTTATTGCGTCGTTCTGAAAGAGTTCAAAATAGTCCTAAATATTTTAATATTGCTGAATCTTGGGCTTGGAATGTACGGTTTATTTTTAATTTTATTTTTTTTATTGCCCTTTTAGACAAAAAATAAAAATTCATTGTCTGTATTCTTTTGACCTTCTTAAAAAATTTTTTGTGGCTTTTTATTAGAGAGGGGTCTATTATTTTTTTATTGAGCTCCTTTTTTGGGTCCCATCTAGGGAAAGATGCGAAATGTCAAAGATTTATTTTATTTTAATATTTTTTTTATTTTTTTCAGTTCACAAAATTAATGAGGCTAGCAAATAATTCTTTACAAAACAGAACTCTTGACCCTTTAATTAATTATAGATGGATAGAAGATTTGCCTAATTTTAATCCATTAATAGAAGCATTTGTGGAAGCATCAAAAAATGAAAATTGGGAATTTTCTCAATATTTGTATAAATTTTTACAATTTATTTGTGAAAAGAAAAATGTTGGCCTAACGTTGGGACAAGCTGAAATTTTTAGGTTATTTAAAATTTTTTTAAAAGTTTTTTGGTTTAGTGGGTAAGTGTTGGGTTTTAGTTATTAGTGGGGTTGTGGGTTCGAACCCCTCTGGTCGGAAAATTTTTTTATTTGATGCTTAATTTATTCCATAATTATTTTAACTAATTTTTGAACAAAAATTAAATTTTTTTGGTGTAGTGGTTTAGTGTTAGGATTTGTCTATTAAGGGGGTGTGGGTTCGAACCCTCCAGTTGTAAAAACTTCAAAAAATATTTTTGAAGATTGTGACTATTTAAATATTTATTTTGAGACTATTTTTAAATTAAAAATTTTTTTTTCCAAATTTTAGACAAGTTTATATTCGTTGGAGTTCAACATTTCTCAATTTATCGTTAGACAATACTCAACAAACTTTAGATTTATTAATTCATCAAATGGCTGCTGAATTGGGTTCTCATCGTGCTTTATCAATTTTACAATTATTTTTTGATGGAGAATTTAATTTTAATAATAATAAAAATATGAGGTTTGTTTAATTTTTGATTTATTTTTTTTTAAATTGGGGGCACCCCCCACTATTTTTAAATTTATTTTGTGGTGATCTTTTGGGTGTCTCCAAAATATTTTCAATTTTTTAGGATTAAATTTTTAAATATTTTTTCCAAATTTAGATCACCAAAATTAAATACTCAAAAATTCAAGGAAGTCGCCGAAATTAATTTTGACAAAAATAAATTAAATAAAAATCAATTGGATTTATTTAAATGGATTTTTGAAAGAATTGCTAATGAACAAAAAGAAGAAAAATTGAGAGGTTTTCTTTTTTAAAAAATTAAAAAAAAATTTTAAAGATAAACCAGAGGGGACTGATATAATGGGTGAAACAACTTCAACAACAACAGATACTCAAAATAATTCTGTTTTGGAACAAAATGAGAGATTGCGGGATTTGGAGATTAGATATAGATGGTTGGTTTGTTGGGGTTTTTATAAAGAAAATTTAGATTACTCTAACGGTTTTTACCGCTAAAACTAGAGGGCTAGGGAATTTTTAAAAAATATATACATACAAAAAATTTGTGTTCGGTTCATTAATAGCCTCCTTGAAATCTGACTCGCGGATACGACCCCTTGCTATAGAGTCGAATCTCGTTTGATCGTACGCTCATATGTTTACCTTACATCATACCCTTGAGTGTCCATACATTTTGTATGGAGAGATATAACTTAGTGTCACATAAGCGAGATCCAACTATAGTTTTATTGGTCAATGGGTCTGGGAGATATGCTCAAACATGGGGTTGTCGGTTTCAAACAGAACCGAAAAAGTTCAGTTTTGGTTAACCAAAGATCCCCCACCACTATTTATAAATAAATTTACCAAAAGTAAATAAAATTTAATTTCACTTCAAAAGGTTAACTTCAAATTTACAACCAAACGAATTAGGCTTATTATTACAACAACAATCATCAGAATCTATTCATTTTGCATATATTTATTGTCAATTAAAAATTGCTTTAAATTTGATAATAAATTCAGAAAATGGAAATAATGTCAAAATATTTACAAATGCAAATTTTGGAATTAATTGTCTTTCAAAAAGAAATTTGGAAGAATTTTTGAAGAAAAAAGTTGGGGAATATGAAATATAAATTGTATTATTTTTATTTATTTAAAGAAAATTTTGTTTTTTATATTGAAAAATATATAAAAATACAAATACGTTAATTCTGGGGGAGGAGGCGTTTTGTCGTGTTTTATTCTGTGGCGTTTTGTCGTGTTTACAACTAGGAGGCATTTTGTCGTGTTTGCACTTTTATAGGGAGCACTAACCATGTTGGTCTGGCTTGCGAATACCAAGTCATCTTAAAAGTAAAACACAGATTTCCGGGAATGTATTTTTTGGTTCTTGCTGAAATGCATTTTTACTTTGATTCTTCCGGAAAAATGTGTTTTCTCAAAATACAAAAATAATTCTGACTTTTCCGGAAAGCTTGTTTTATATCTGATTCCCCCTTTAATTTACCCTTTCCGGAAATGTATTTTTCCTTTACGGAAAATGTATTTTTAATTTTTATTCTTCCGGAAAACATGTATTTTCGCAACACAGAATAATTCTGATTTTTCCGGAATTTTATTTCTGATTCTTAATTTCCCTATTTTTATGTGTTTTCCCTCAAGTTTTGTATTTTTTCCGGAAAATGTTTATCTAACAGAAAACACCTATTTATTTTATACAAGGCAAAAACACAACAATATATAGAGACAATACAAACATATTATAGAAAACATAGCGAAACACAAAATTATTTATTTATCTATTTATCGATGATTGTGTGTCTTCTTTTATCCCTCACAAACATATTCTTTGTTGCCGACTTCCTTTGGTCTTGTTTCCTTCTTTGATACTGCCTTGATGGTTAAAGCGACAACGCCGACAATACAAGCACAGCAACAACAGATTATGATTACGAAGAAGACAATCACAAACGGTGCAGCCTCCTTCATTTCTTTTCGTTCTTTCGGAGTGAGGTCTTCGTAGCTGCGGCGTCGAGCCAGATTTTCGAATCCATTCATGGCGTTGGCAAACTAAAATGAGAGAGAGAAAAAACATTAACTTTAGATTGGTCAATTTTTATTATTTTACCATTCCCCTCCGCGGCGCTTCCTTCTTCAGAGTTGCGCTGGTTGCGGCTTTGGTGGTTGTATCCTCAGTGGTCGTAGTCGGAGGGTCAGTAGTCAACAAAGCATCCTTAAATTAAAAAAAGAACATTTTTTTATTCAAAGAGATAATTCTCTCTCTCTCTCACCTTCTCTCCCTCCGAAGCCGTGGGAACATCATCCCCCTCCATGTCGAGCTTGATGTTGATTCCCTCAGTGTTGACTTGTTCAATCAGCAGCAGAAGAAAGACAACGGAGAGCAGCGACACAGCGTTGATGAGCATTGCTTGCTTCTTCCACGGCTTGTTGAAGACGAACATTTTGTTGTTGTTGTAGACGATGGTGGTGGTGGTGTTGATTGTTTGTTGTTTGAAGAGTGGTTGTGTTGAGGAAAATTTTTGTTTTTATATGTGGTACGAAAGAACAAAAGAATAAAAACTACTATAAAAACAAAATTTTCCTCAACACAAACACTCGCCAACAAAAACAATCTTCACCACCACCACCACCATCGTCTACAACAACAAAATGTTCGTCTTCAACAAGCCGTGGAAGAAGCAAGCAATGCTCATCAACGCTGTGTCGCTGCTCTCCGTCGTGTTTCTTCTGCTGCTGATTGAACAAGTCAACACTGAGGGAATCAACATCAAGCTCGACATGGAGGGGGATGATGTTTCCAAGGCTTCGGAGGGAGGAAAGGTGAGAGAGAGGATTAGCTCTTTTAATAAAGAAAATGTTCTTTTTTTAATTTAAGGATGCTTTGCTGACTACTGACCCTCCGACAGCTGAGGAAGCAACCACAACAACTACAACCACCAAAGCCGCAACCAGCGCAACTCCGCAGGAAGAACCGCCGGAAGGATTTGTAATAATGAAAATTGACTAATCTAAAATTAATGTTTTTTCTCTCCCATTTTAGTTGGTCAACGCAGCGCATGGACTCCAAAATCTGGCTGGAGGCAGCTACCGCACTAAGAAACTCACTCCGGAAGAAGAAGCAGCTGCTGAACTTGGTTTTGTGTTGGTCCTTATCGGATTTTGTTGCTGCTGTGCTTGTTGTATTGGCTTCGTCGTTCTGCTCGTCAAGGTGTTATCAAAGTAAGAAGGAAACAAGACGAAAGGAAGACGGCAACAAAGAATACGTGAGGGATAAAAGAAGACAAACACAATCATCGATAAATAGATAAATAAATAATTTTGTGTTTCGCTATGTTTTCTATAATATGTTTGTATTGTCTCTATATATTGTTGTGTTTTTGCCTTGTATAAAATAAATAGGTGTTTTCTGTTAGATAGACATTTTCCGGAAAAAATACAAAACTTGAGGGAAAACACATTTAAATAGGGAAAATAAAATTCTGGAAAAATCAGAATTATTTTTGTATTTTGAGAAAACACATTTTCCGGAAGAATAAAAAGTAAAAATACATTTCCGGAAAGGGTAAATTAAAGGGAGAATCAGAAATAAAATACAAACTTTCCTGAAAAGGCAGAATTATTTTTGTATTGTGAGAAAACACATTTTCCCGGAAAACACATTTTCCGGAAGAACTCAAATTAAAAATACATTTCCGGAAATAAAACACAAGCTTTCCGGAAAAGTCGGAATTATTTTTGTATTTTGGGAAAACACATTTTCCAGAAGAATAAAAATTAAAAATACATTTCCGGAAAATACAGACGGAAAATCAGAATTAAAACGAAAATACATTTCCGGAAATATCAGAATTATTTTTGTATTTTGAGAAAACACATTTTTCCGGAAGAACCAAAATAAAAATACATTTCCGGAAAATACAGAAAATACATTAGAATTAAAACAAAAATACAAACATTCCGGAAATAGCAGAAATGTATTTTTAAAAGTGTTTTTGCCTTATAAATAATTTAAAAAATTGTATTTTTACCTATTCAAGTCCACCAAAGTTGTCGAATACCAGAATTTTGTTGCCTTCCATTGGGTAGCAACATTTCGCTGCTTTTTTGATTTCTTTCTCCAATAAAAGGCCATGTTGTTAATTGTCTTCTACCTTCTTCATTATAACCCTCATTCCTTGACATTAAATTAACTGAAGGAGCCTGGCCGGTAATTGGAGAAAATTGTTCCTGATTTGGTGGAAATTGAAGGGGTGAAGAGTATTGAGAGTTGGGTAATGAAGGTAGTAGACGATTTTGGTCAACCATAAGGCCATTATTTTCTGAAAAAAAAATTTTGATAAGAGAATTTATTTTTGGAATTATTTTAAAAATAAAAATGGTCATAAAACAAAATATTAGAACCCAAAAATGGTCAAAATTAAAATTGGCAAAAATAAAAATGACCATTGTTGCTGACCATTAGAGATCGAACTGGGTCTGGACCAAGCCTGGGTTTTTCCTGTACCCAGAGTCCAGGCATTTTTTGACCTTCCTGGGTTTTTCCTGGGGACTACAGGCCCAGGATCCAGTCCAGGTCAAGAAATCAAACTCCATAGTCCAGGAACAGGTCCAGGCTTTTCAAAATTTCCGATCTCTATTGACCATGACAATGGTGAAATGGCCGTGAAAAAATAAAAAAAAAACTATTAAAAAAATAAAAAAATTATGACCATGACCACTGTCAAATTCCCCCATTGTTTCTCTACATTTCAAATGATTTTACATTATTAAATAATTTTTTTTAATTTTAAAACCTCTCTTTTACATACGTGGTGTTTGAAGAGATATCCACTTTGTCTCGGTCGGTCCATTATTTAATGTAGCTTTACTCTCATCAATTTTATTATTATTTGGTTGTTGTTGGTTGTACAATAAATCTATCGTTTGTCCTCTTTGTTGACCCCCAAGAGGTGCTTGTTGAGCAAATGGTCTCCATTCGGGAATAAACAAGGAAAAACAAATTTGTCGAAGAATGTTTAAATAATTCTCGTCACGAACAACTTTAAATAAAAGGGGGGGGGAAATTAAAAAGAAAAAAAAATTTTTTTAAAGGAAACCATCTTTTTGTATTCCCCAATCAGGCAAGCAAAAATCAAAGCATTCACTGCATTTTTGATTTTTCTGATCTCCATTAATTTTGGATAAATGTACCCAACGAGCATCTTTGCATTCGCCTATCTGTTAAAAATTAAAATTAACATCACATCAGTTTAGCTCTCTAGTGGGGAAATTTGTAGCTTATAATGGGAGTATCTTAAATAGAGGGTATCTCTTATAATGGATGTCTGTTAAATAGAGGGTATCCCAAATAGAGGATACATCTTGTAACGGACGGGGAGGGGGGCGGGAATTGTAGCTTATAATGGGGGTCTCTTAAGTAGAAGGTTCTTATAATGAGATGTACGTTAAATGGAGGGTATCTCAAATAGAGGTATATCTCTTGTAACGGACGGGGAGGAGGGCGGGAATTGTAGCCTATAATAGGGGTATCTTAAATAGAAGGTATCTCTTATAATGAGATGTCTGTTAAATAGAGGGTATCCCAAATATAGGTCTCTTATGGGGAGTATCCCATTATCTCAAAATTAATTCAGAAAAAAACCTCCGGCTCAAACAAAGGTGGTTGGCTAAGAGGAATACCAGTAAATTGCCAATTCTGCTCCCATCCATGAAGTTGATTTAATCTCTAAAAATAAAATAAAAATAATTTAATAAAAAAAATTAAGAAAAAATACATTAGCCCCAACTTTTGCAGATTTTAACAATTCATCCAAATCCCCAATATTTTGTCTATCCAAATCAACAACGAAGCAAACAAGCATATAACGATTTTGTTGTTTTTGTTGTTGCGAATTCCCTGAACGTAAAGACATGTCCATTATTGCTACACGATTCTGAAAGTGAAAAGAAAAAATTGCGGACAAAAGAAATGCGGACAAATTTTGCGGACAAAAAAAAATTGCGGACAGATCTTGCGGACAAAAAATTGCGGACAGATTTTGCGGACAAATTTTGCGGACAGAATTTGCGGACAAAAAATTGCGGACAGATTTTGCGAACAAATTTTGCGGACAAAAAATTGCGGACTGATTTTGCGGACAAAAAAAATATTGCGGATAAATTTTGCGGACAAATTTTGCGGACAAAAAAATGCGAACAAAAAATTACAAATCTTGCGGACATCTTTTATTTGTCCGCAAAATTTGTCCGCAAATATAAATCCCTTAAAAATTAAAAAAATCAAACCGTTTTAAAATCCAAAATAGAAACAAAGTTGGAACGAAAAGGAGGAGTTCCAGTCAGTTCTAGTCGTGCCTGTTTCCCCAATTTTCCCACATCTAAACGGCCATGGATTGACGTAATTAATTGGTCTGTTCCAAAGCGGGACTGTTCTGGGGTTATCCAAATAAATTCAAAATGCTGAAAAGAGGGAGGGAATTTTAAAATATTTTTGAAATAAAAATACTTTTGGAAGGCTTAAATGACTGCTTACAAGACCTAAAAAATTTTTTAATTTTCAAAAAAAAATTTTTTTCTAGCCTACCAGCAACAATTAAAGCAATTATAATTAGTAACAAAATTGCTAGACAAAAAATTCTACATGAAGACTTGTTGTTCCAAAATTCGCGTAGTTCCTTTTTTTAAATTTAAAATAAAAAATTTTTTTAATCTAAGAAATTTTAAAAAAATAAAAGGGGAGAAAGAAATCGAAATTTCAAAAAATTTTGTGATTTTGGTAGAGTGGGTAAAGGCGCAGACTACAAAATTGCCCCTTGAAAAAAGGGTCGTGGGTTCGAGTCCGTTCGTTGATATTTTATATTTTTTAGGTTAGTAACTACAAAAAATGATAAAATAAAATTTTTAAATTAAATTTTAGGCCTCTAAAAATTTTTTAAAATGATTTTCAACCAAAAAACTCAAAAAATTTTCTCCCAAAAATTTAAAAATTACCTGCATTCGATTTCTTTTAATTTTCTCATTTCCACTAGGCTGTCTAAGAGATAGTAAACGATTTTGTTGTTGTCCAACACTACTTGGAATAGAACTCTGAACAGATGAAGACCGTGTTGTTGTTTTTGGTTGTGCTAATAAGGGGAAAGGTGCGGGCCTAGAAGAGTAGATAATTGGGTTGGTGCTCTAAAAATTGTAAAAAATATTAAAAATTTAGAAAAATTTTTTGTTTTTTTTAATAATTTTTACTTTAAAAAATTTTTACTTTAAAAAATTCAAGAAAAAAATTTTTTTAATTTTCAAAAATTCCAAAAAATTCATACATTTTGCCCGCAACTGTAGTTATAAATATCCTCTCCATTCCTTCCCCCATAAATTCCAAAATTCTGATTTTTTAAATAATTATTATTGTATATTTGTTTGTGTATTCTTTCTTCATAAGGTGGAGGTGGTGGGAATATATTATTATTGTTAATATTTGAGGAAGTTGGTTGGGTATTTTGCCAAGGAAATTTTATCCAATTAAAAGCTGAGAGAAAATTAAATTAAGGAAAAATACTTTCCGGAAAATACAAAAAGGGAGAGGGATACTTTTCCGGAATGAAAAATATTTATTAAAAACACAAGAAAAAATAGCTTATAAAAATATTCACAGAAAATACATAATTTTTCCGGAAAATACAAAAAATACTACAAAGGGAGAGATGTTTTTCCGGAAAGAAAACACAAGGGAGAAAATACGTAAATTATAAATTGTTTACAGAAAATACATAATTTTCCGGAAAATACATACATTATAAAAGGAGAGAGATATCTTTCCGGAAGAAAATTATTTATTAAACCTTTCCGGAAAATACATAAAGGAGACAATTTACAGAAAATACATAAAATTATTTTTCCGGAAAACACAAAAATTAAACAAGGAAAGGATACTTTTCCGGAAGAAATAAAATATGTAATACATTTCCTGAAAACACATAAAATACATAAAAATACATGTTTAAAAAATACATAAAACACATACCTTTCCGGAAAGAAAATTCTGATTTTATTTTATTTGTGTTTTTGTTGTTTACCAACTTGTTGTGTGTTTTATTCTCCCCAATATCTGTTAAAAGGTTTGCCCAGGAATTTCTGTATAAATAACCAGAGGAATTAAATTGTTTTGAAGTTGTTTGTGAGGGTGTTTGTGTCTTTTGTTGTGAATAATAAGAATTTTCATTTAAGGCGGAAATTGAAGAGGAATTATTTTTTGTTTTTGGGTTAATTACAGGTAAGTGTGTAGATGTTGAATAAATGGAGGAAAATGTGGAAGGACAGGAAGAGGAAGAAATTGAGGAAATTGATGAATTTGTAGTTGGTTTAGTAGTCATTCTGAGGGGTATAAAAAATTAATTAAAATTTTTTTTTCAAAAAATTTTCAAAAAATAAAAAAATTTCTCTTATAAGGACACTTTTCGATCAAAAAATAATTTTTATATTGAAAGCGATCGATTAAAAATAAAAAAGGAAAAAGCAGTTTTGGGGAGTTAGAGGGATGCGCAAATGATATTATAAACGGCATGAACGCGAACAGAAGAGGAAGGATATGAGGGAAAAATTAATTCGCGCAGAGGTAAACGACCCTCAAGCCATGCAACAATATTTATTGTTTTATAAAAGGTGAAGTCTCGAGATGGAGGGGAAAACTGAAAACGAATAAAAAATGGGTCAGTGGAGGAGAAAAAAATGAAAAAAAATATTAGAAAAATATGGAAAATTAAAATTCGGCTTTAAAGGAGTTTAAAAAATTAATTAAAGACAAGGTGTCTCATGTACCATAGGATTGTAGGTTCGAAAATAAGTGTAATTCCGAAAAAATACTTTTCCGGAAAACACAAAAATTAAAAAGGAGAGTGATACACTTTTCCGGAAAGAAAATTATTTATTAAATATTTTCCGGAAAACACAAAGTAGATAGTTACAACTAAAATCATTTTCCGAAAAAATACATTTCCGAAAAACACAAAAAATTAAAAAGGAGAGTGATACACTTTTCCGGAAAAAGAATTAATATATTCCGGAAAAATTAAATATTTTCCGGAAAACACAAAGGAGACAGTTACAACTAAAATCATTTTCCGGAAAATACATTTCCGGAAAACACAAAAATTAAACACAAATAGTAACCTATCCTCACCATTTAATGGGTATTCGTTCTGAACCAACAACTCTATTCATAACTAAAAATAAGACTTTATAAACGTAGTAAAAATAAAAAAAGAAAAACTCTAAATAATTTAAGAGGAAAACACGCATTCCTTTTCTCGATTTAAAAATATTTAAAAATAAAAGACAAACAAAAATTAAAACTGATTGTAAAAATAAACAGTCCAACGGTCAACGACTGACCGAAATTGCAACGGGAAGGTAAGGACAAACAGAAAAAATGTTTTATTTCGACTTTAATTTTTGTTTGCTTAAGGTAAGACAGAGGAAAATGGGGGGGGGGGGTCAATATTGTGTTTATTTGTTTATTGGACTAGTCAAATATTAAATATAGTCAAAATTTTTAATTTTAAAATAATGAAAAGATTTCTTCTCTAATTTTACTATAAAAAGAGGGAAAATTTTACTTAATATGAAAAATTATATTAATTATTTTACTTAAGTTGAGGGGTTTGTGACAACTTTGAATTTCACAAAATATAAGAGAATAATTTTTGGATCGGGGGGTTACCGCGGAACCCCCTTCATTTTTGTTTTAAGTAGATCTCAGCATTTTGTACGTATTACAACTTGCCCATACAATAATTGGAATTTATTACAATCCCTGACTTAGTAACTGTCAATATTTAGTATTAGATCCTCATTATACTGGAAATAGCAATATTGAAGATATTTCGGCTGGGGGTTGGTGTGGTTGGAAGCCTAGTACATTTTGGAGTAAAAAATATTTTTATAATTTACTTGTTGTTGTGAAAATAAGACAAAATAAAGTTCTAAAATAAAAATACAATTTGATACATAAAAGGAAAAAAAAAAAGGCATCTTTGGTATTCTAAAGTAGACAAATTTCTGAACGTTCTAATAAATGTTTAATACAATTGAAAGGCACAAAATGTCGACTTCCTTGTTCTAACTTCAAAAAAATTTCTGAGTTTGGATCAGCCATGTTAGGTATAGGAATGTCTTCCAACTAAAAATAAATAAAAATGAAAAGTTGTTTTATAAAAAAGAAACGAGAGAAAGAAAATTATTTTCCGGAAAAATACATTCTTTAAAACCGCTTATACATAACTTTCCGGAATGTATTTTCCGTTATATATTAAATGAAAAAATACTTTCCGGAAACACCAACCTACATTTTAATATTTATTTCCGAAAAGCTTTATTTGTTGTATTTTCCGGTTATATTTCCGGAAAAGTTTATCAGTTGTATTTTCCTGGTATTTTCAAAAAATACATTTCCGGAAACATTGGAATATTTCCGGAAATGTTATATTTCATTGATGTATTTTCCGGAAATGTATTTTCATTAAATAAAATACACATTTCCGGAAAACTTTCTTTTGATGTATTTTCCGGAAGAAAATACATACATTTCCGGAGTGTTTATTTTAATATTTCCTCGATGTATTTTCCGGAAATGTATTTTCATTAAATAAAATACACATTTCCGGAAGACTTTTTAATATATATTTTTTGTATTTTACTTACCCCATCTTTTAATACTTCAATAAACACACGCGTTGAATCAGTTTCAGAATTGTTTGAAACAATAGGTAACCATTTCATGCTAGCAGGTATTTGTTTAAGAAAAGAATCTTCAAAAAGGGTTGAATTTGCTTGTAACAATTTTTGAGCAAATTTTAATTCTCGAACATCCAATAATTCTGCCTGTAAAGAAGAATCAACATTTCCAGCTTTGTATTTGGCTAAAGCATTTTTTAAGCGTTCTGAATGGTCTTGTAATGATTGGGCTGGATTTTGTTCGATTTTTTGAAGGCGTAATCTGAAATTAAATAAATATATTTTTTAAATTCAGGAATGAATAAAAAAAAATGAATTTAAAAAATTTTTTGAAATTAAAAAAAATTTCTAAAAAAATTTAAAAAATAATAAAAATAAAAAATAATTTCAAAAAATAAATTGGAATTATGGAAAAATCCAAAAAAAAATTTTTTTTTAATTTCAAAAAAATTCTTTTAATTCAAAAAAATTTCAAAAAAATAAATAAAATAAACCTCAAATAAGAATTAATTAAATATTCAATTCTGCAAAGCTCCATTTTGTGTAATGAACAAGCCAAACTTTTTTTATTTGGATTTCTTTCCATTATTCTTTCAATTAAATTTTTTTGTAAAAGCATTTTATCAACCAAATCAAGTTTTTCTGGTAAAAGTTTGGGGGAAGCAGATTCGTTTAAAAATGCTTGTGTTAATTCTTTGAGAACCTAAAAAATAATTTTTTTTTAATTTAAAAAGAGTACTTAGAAATATTCAAGAAAAAGTTTACCCCCATCCTCCTACCCATATGAAGCAAACAGAAAATGGACTATAAGACTATAAAACTAAAAAAAGCAAAACTATAGGAGTGGTAACAGAGGTGGACGCAATTGAAAAAAAAATAATTTTCCGCAGCCGCAAGTAAAAATAAACACGCAAACCGCAATTGCGTCCAGCCTTGAATGGTAAGTCTAAAATGGGAACGAGCCTAGATATCATGAAAAATTATCGAAACTCACATCAGGCTCAACTTTGACTATTATTCAAGACCCAGTGAGCATGTGTCAACTATAAATCAACAGGCGGACATTTAGTCTTAAGTCCATCCTCAAAAGTAGGATGACAGAAATTGTCCCAAAAAATCCCCCAAAAAACATAAAAAAATAAACTTGCATCAGCAGGAGTTAAATATTCCTCAGAACCTTCAGCTTCATCACTTTCCAATACACAATTTTCAATTACATCATTATTTTGTAAAAAAGTTGCAGATGATGTTGAAGGAATATTTTCATCAAATTCATTTGACATTTTGTTTATTTAAAAAAATAATTAAAAAAAAGAGGTTAACAATTTTGTTTTTAAAAAAAAATTTTAAATGGAAAAAACCAAAAATATATATAAAAAATTATTTTTTAGCAACACATCTCTTTATTCATTCAATTTAATAAGAAAGGCTTTAGTCTAGTTTATGAGTCCAAACACAAATTTAAAAACAAAATTCAAAAATTTTTTTGAATACATTTGTCGTGGTCACAACTCATCTGAAGCCGAAGTTGTCGTCAATGAGTATAAAAAGTGTGTTTGGACTTGTAAGTTTTTGGTGGCATCATAAATTTTTCTTAGGTCCTCATAAAAATTTCCTTACTACCTATAAACTAGACAATAGCCAAAAAATAATAAATTCGCAAAATAAAGTCAATCGAAATTTATGAGATGTTAAGTTTCCTTTCCCCTCCCCAAAAAAATAATTATTTTTAACCAATCAATTTTTTAAATTCTTCCATTCAATTCAAATTTCTGGCATTATTTTCATCAATCCTTGTTTGCTTCTACAAAATTAAAAATAAATTAAAAAAAAAATTTTTAAAAAGAGTAAACCGATCAAGCTCATTACCGAGCCTCAATTGCCCAGCCATAAAAACTTAAAAATTAACCTTGATGCATTGGAGGTGTCGCACTTGTTGGATCAGCTGCAGCCTGTTGTGCTTGTTGTTGTATATCAGTCATAGGTTGTTGTTGTTGCTGTTGTTGAGTACTTGTTTGGGCTTGTGGATGTTGTGATGATTGAGGATAATACTTTAAAAAAATTTAAAAAAATTCAAAAAAAACTTTTTAAAAAAATATACTGGTTGTTGTCCTCCAGTTGATGGATAAGCAGAAACTTGTTGTTGTTGTTGCTGTCCATAAGGTGAATATTGTTGTTGCTGTTGTGGTGGAAGTTGTTGACGCTGTGCATTTTGTGTTTGGTATTGGTAATCATACTAATAGAAAATTTTAAAAAATTTTTTTAACTAAGAAATACAGCTTGGCCAGGATAACCAGACATTGGTGGACGTTGTTGCTGTTGCGGCATTTGTTGTGGATAATACGATTGTGGTGAAGGAGCAACTCCTCCACGTGGTCCATAATATTGAGGTTGTTGTTGCGGTTGTCCAGGTTGTGGATATCCTTGTTGTTGATATTGAGGATGTTGTGGTGGCATAAATTGTTGTTGTGAAGGTGGTTGTTGGTTATAAGGAGGAACTTGTGTTCCTGCCGGTTGTTGTTGTTGAGAAGCATAGTAATCAGAAGGAATTGGCTGACCTTGGGCGGCTAAAAAATTATTTAAAAGTTGAACTAAAAAGTTATCTTAAAATAGTAATAAACCCGAAACAACAGCCCAATCTAGTTATAACTAGGCTTACACTTAGAATCAAGTCAAGTGAAGTCTAGTGAATTTTGGCATGATTCGACAGCAAGTCGATTTTGGCGTGATACTAAAAACGATTTGCTCCAAGAATTTTGAGCTTATTGCTAGTTAAAACTCTGCTGTATCCTGTCCTGCTCCCTCTTAAATGGAGAAGACATTTTATCAAAATTCACAAACTTGGAATATTCGCTTGAGGAGCCATTTGAGTTTGCTGTTGTGTTTGTTGATTCTTGTTGATATTATTTAATTTTGAAGAATCCGTAGCAGAATGTTGTTGTTGTGTTGCAGAATATGCTGCCTGTCTTGGTGAAGGAGTTGGAACAGCCGGGGATCTTAAAGGTTGTGAAGCTTGGGAAGTTCCTTGCTGATATTTTGATTGAAAAGCAGCAGCAGTATCGCCTAAAAATCGTTCGATAAAAATTTTTTTAAAAATTGAAAAACCTTCAATATTTTGTTCCTCAGGTGGAGGAACATGCGCTACTTGTTGTCGTTGTTGAGTAACAATATTTTGAGGTGGAAATATTGGTTGGGGTTGCGAAGGAACTCCAACCTTTTTAAAAAACGGAGGTTAAAATTTATTTAAAAAATTTTTTTTCTACCTCAAATCCTGGAGGTAAAGTAGCCGGAATTTTGCCTTCAGAAGCTAATTGATGGTGTTTATCTGCTTTAGCTCTTTGTTCCAAATAGCGAAGTTGATCCAAATGGAAAGCTTGACGTTCTGTGATTAACTGTTGACGTTGTGCTTCCAACTAGAATTTTTATTAAAAATTTATAAAAAATTTGAAAAATATAAAAATTTACAGTTTCACGTTCTTTGTCCATTATTTGTTCCAACTCTTCAAAATGTTTTAATTTCAATTCCAACTAAAATAAAGAGAAAAAAATTAAATTTTAAATCCTTTAAATTGTTCAAACTAGAGACTGGATTGTGGCGAGAATGACAATTTTTCCCGAGATTTCTTGAACGTCCCCCGTCCCTCGCACGACCCCCTCCCCCCAAATGTCCAATTTCTAGTTCAAAAACCTTTTTCATCTGCGTTTCAACTAATTGAGCAACCAATCCTTTCATTCTCCTTTCTTCTACACCAGCCAAATATTTTGCTTTTGCAGCTGCTGCTCCCAATGCTGTAGCTGCTGCAACTTGAATATTTTCAGACATACTGGATTCTTTATTTTTTGATTCGGAAATCTTTTCTTGTTGTTCAGTCTGTTTTTGTTCATTATTTAAATCAATTTTTGATGATGAACTTGTTTCAGTCATTTCTTCATTTTTTTCTTGTACATTTGCTTCTTTGACTGATTCGGATTCGTCTTTATTCTAAAAAATATTTTCATAAAAAATTTGAAAAAATAAAAAAAAAACTGCTTGTTTTGAAGAAGCATCCAATGTAGAAAGTGCAATATTTGTATCAATTTCTCCATTATTTTCTTTTGCATGGGCTTCAACATTTTTTACATGTGCTTGATTTAAAAGTGGAGGAACATCTTCTTTCATTTTGCTGTATTCCTCTGTAAAATAAAATAGGAAGAAAAAATATAAGAGGTGTAAGAATGGAACAACTCGGACCAGATCCGTAACCAGGATTTTTTTCAGGAATAAAATCATCCTTGAAAAAGCCCCCAGAAATGTGACTATAAATTTTTAAATAAAAATGATAATCAGGGTAGAGCATAGTCGAAATCTCTATTGCAAATTCTTGGCTAAGGCAACAGTACCCAAATCAAAAAGTTAAAGCATATCAAAGTTATAGACTTCTGGAGCGGTTTAGTCTCCCACGATTCCCTTCCGGTGGAAATTCTACCTAAAAAATACACAAACCTAACGCAGCCTTTGCAGCAGCAGAAGCAACTCTAGGATCAACAACACTTGCCAAAAAAGAAACTGTTGACATTACAGGATTGCCTGATTGGCTGAATGGAACAGGTTGGTATGCTAATGGACCCAATACATTTGACATTTCCCCTCCTCCTTTTCCTCCCTTCATTTCTTCTTCCAAAAATGGATCTTGTATGGGTAATTGTAAAAAATGCATAACACATTCATCTTGTGTGCGAGTTCCAACATGATCGGAAACCTAAACATAAACGGTTATTTTTAAATTAAAAAAAGATCAGACCTGATTCCAATCGTCTTTATACATTTCTAATCCTTCCAATAAAAGTAACGTTTCTTGAGGAGTCCATTCTTTAACGGCGCTTCTTCCCTAAAAATTTTTTTAGTAAATTAGATTTAAAAATATTTTTCTTACCCTCTGCTGCTTTTGATATTGATCAATTTTCAATCCTGGCTCATTCAACAATTTTGAATCCAATTTTTTAGAAATTCCTTCCTTTAATTTCTCCTCTTCTTTTAAATTTGATTTTGACTCTTCCCCTTCTACAACTTCTTTATTCAAAGTTTCTTTAACACTTTCCTTATTTTCAGAAACTACAGGCAAAGGTTGAACACGTTGACTTGGTTTAGCTTCAGTATTAATGGTTGATAATGGTTGTAGTCCAAATGGAGTATCAGCCAAAACCATAAAATGAGAAGTTGGGGGGACGCTTATAGGTGCTGGGCGACTTTCAGAATCAACTTGGTAATTTATAAGACCCCATTTTTGAAGAAATTCGTGAATTCTGGGAAAGAAAAAAAGTAAAATTAATAGTTAGGAGAAGGTGAGGTAAGAAAAGACTACTTTTTGATTTTAAAATCCCAATCCAACCCCCTAGCAAGTCAACTCAGTAAATCAAGCCCTCTAAGCTAGGATGCGGTTAACAAGGACAAAGTTACGGCCAAAATCCCGATCTAAACAAAGGTAAGTCAACCGCCAAGACGCGACCCCAGGTATCACTGAACAGAGTCAGGGCCACGGTTAGAACAGCTAACAATCATTGAGACAAAAATAAAAAACAAGCGGCAGGTAATATAATTAACAACAAAAAATATTAAAAAAAGAAACCTAATAATCGAAGAAATATCTCCACTCAAGTTACGTCGACACCCAGTTGCTGACAAATATTCGAAAGGATTTAATCGGTAAGTGTCTATCATAAAGTTGCGGTAAGCGATATAGCTAAATTAACTATTAAAAAGCTTAGAAAAAATAAAAACAACGTTTCAGGCGTTTTGCTTTTATTTCGTCCATTGAAAAAATCGGGATGAGCGTGTTTCTCAATTTGATGAACTCCATTGTAATCAAACCAGGCAGCATAAGAAGGAACTACAATATAATGAGTTTGTTCAATAACATTCCCGTTATGGTCAGAATGTTGAACTGCAGCAGTTTCTTCATCTAGGTCAGCAATTTTTGCCGATTTTGAAGAGGCAAGTTCGGCTTCTTTGTCTTTACCTTAAAAATATAACAGCAAAACATGATAACAAACATTTTAAAAATTTACTTTTAATGGTTGTAGGCGTTAGACGGCTATTTTCATCGTCATCAAAACGTTCCTCTCCTTCAGCATCACCATCTTCTCGTTTACGCTTAAATCCTCTGTTAAAAATTTTTAACTTAAAATTTATTTGATTTGAAAAATTCTTACTTTGGAGGCATTCAAAAGTTGATAAATGTAATTTTCTAACTAAAAAACATTTAAAAATTAAAATAGAAAGAAAAAAATAGAAAAAAAAACAAGAAAAACCCAAGAAAGCCCTCAAACGAAGCCAATTTCCCCAAAAATTTTTAATTGCTTTATTGATTCAAGTGACTAAAGTAAACTTTTTCTTCTATTTACCATTTTGAAATTAGGCCAAAGGAATTTATTTAAGGCTTTTTTGTTTAAATGTATATTTCATAATATCTAATTTAAAAATGTCCAGTAGTGAAAAATAACTCATTTAGTAGTGCGGCAACACTTTTTTGGCCTAAAGCGGGATTATTGCTTTTTAAATTTACTCGTTCAGCATTGATTTGATTTTTGTGTTTTTTTCTGTGATTTTTGACTAAAGTTTTTTACTTTGTTTTTTAATCAACTAGCTTTACAATTAATTAAGTTTTCTTTTAGTTAACAGCAAAATATTTTATCAAAATGCAGCAAGCTGCTCATAAAACAGTACAGGACGAAGATGGGCGCCGTGCACAAACTGCATTTGCAAAATTTTTGAGAAGGTTTTTAATTAATTTATTGTTTTATTATATTATTTTTCTCAGTTATGAGGATTCTGATGGTTATAAATTATATATGGAACAAATTGATGAATTGAAAAATCCTGGACGGAATACTCTATATGTTAAATTCTCACATATTTGTGCTTATAGCGCTGTTTTGTCGTCAACTATTGAATTACAATTTCATCGGTAATTTGATTTTTTTTTTGTTTTTGTTACGAAGATGGGAGATTCAGCTGGCTAGGATTTTAACATTTACTAGGGGGTTATGGTTTATTAAAAGTGAAGGTGAAAGCAGTCAGTCGATAGTGACTTGTACGTGTGAGTAGAGACCACTGGGAGTATCATACGAAAATAAAGATCAATATTTCGAAAAGTTTAGGTTCGGAGTCTAGTGGTGAGTGAAAGCGCCTTTCTATAACTGCCAAGAGGTCACAGGAGCGATGCCTGACCGGTGTTAAACTTTTACCTATCCCTTACTCTTTTGGTAAAAATCGAAAAATTCTAAATATCTATCAATTTTTTCATTTTTTATCCTCATTTTCTCAATTTATTTTAGCCTCTACCCGTTCCTTTGCAATGCAATTCGTGATTTGGTCATCGAAAAATGTGACAATGATGAAATAATAAAACATGGTCGTTTACAACGAACAGAATTTTATCTTGGAATTTTGGACGTTAAAACAAAACATTCAATTCGACATTTGACTGGAGACAAAGTTGGGAAATTAATTAGAATTTCTGGTCAAATTGTTCGAACACATCAAGTACATCCAGAATTGTGTTTGGGAACTTTTGTATGTGATGATTGTGGTGTTACTATTAGAAATGTTCCCCAACAATTTCAATATACACAGGTTTTTTTAGATTTTTTCGGGAATGTTTGAGAGTCTTAGTTGAGGTAAATTTTGTATTCCAACATTGGTCCCTAAAAAATTGAGCAACTACTTTTTTGATATTTTTAAATTTTCAGTATGTAATCGAGTGTGCTTGTTTTTTTCTAGGGGCTGGATTACCGAATTTTGCCCCTCTTCATCTTTCTAAACCTATACTTAAATTTTACTCTATGTCCCTATCGAACGGTTTGGCGGTTCCGGTTTCTAGTAACTCAAGTTAACTGCTTTGAAGTTAGTTGACTTTATTGGAAAAAACGTAATAAATCCGCAAATTTCTGACCGCAAATTTTTCTCTGACAATGAATTAAAAAAATATTTTTATAGCCAATTAAATGCGAAAATCAGCAATGTCAAAATCGAAGTCGTTTTATGCTAAACGTTTATGATTCTTTGTTTGTTGACTTTCAACGTTTAAAAATTCAAGAAAATCAAGACGAATTGCCTCTTGGATCTGTGCCTAGAAATGTTGATGTAATTATTAGAGGAGAATCTGTTGAGACTGCTCAACCTGGTGATCATTGCGATTTTATTGGAACTCTTATTGTTATTCCTGATGTTGCTATGTTGGCTACTCCAGGTTTTTTTTTAAATATTTTTTACTTGAAAAACTTTTTTAGGTGTTCGTAGTCAAATAAAAGCTCAAACACGAACTAAGGATGCTGATCGTATTGGGCTTCGTGGTCTCAAGTCTTTGGGTGTTCGCGATCTTACTTATAAAATTGCTTTTCTGGCTAGCAGTATTCAACCTTCAAATCCAACGGTTTTTTAATTTATCTTTTTTTAAGCATTGTATTAATCTATTGCTCCATTTTTGGAAGTTCATATTCCTGGTAAAACGTAAGGAACCATCATGTCTGTCCAAGGCAGTTTCCTTGTCCGCATTTTTTGCGGACAAAACTTGCGGATTTAAAATTTGATTTTCCTTGTATAAATCCCCCCCCCCCTTGTATTAAATTAAAAAAATTCTTTATTTTAACAGTTTGGAGATATCGACTTTACCCATGAAGAAGTTTCAGCAAATGAATTATGGGAATCTTTGCCTCCACATGATCAAGAAAAATTAAAATCAATGACAGAAGATGTTCAAATTGTTGAAAATATGTGTAATAGTTTATTTCCAAATATTTTTGGAAGCGAACAAATTAAATTGGGAATACTTTTAATGTTATTCGGAGGTGTTGCTAAGAGAACTACTGGAACTACTTTAAGAGGAGATATTAATATTTGTTTGGTTGGTGATCCGTCATGTGGAAAAAGTCAATTTTTGAAGTATGATTTAATTGAATTATGATATAGTTTGGGATCACTAGAATGGGTTCCTAATAGGGTTGTTGGTTCCGGGGAAATCTTAGGATAGCCTGCACGTGGGTCTTTTGCGTGTCGACGCAGAAGAGGTTCTCGGGATATCTTATTGTTAGGATAGCCAGAACTGATATCCGAACTGAAATTGGGACCGATATCTGAACTTACTTTTTTTGGTTTCAGATACTCGGAACTGCCAACCTTAATTCCGAATACTAGATACACCTTAAAGTTTTTTATTTGGCTGACCTACTGGGTCGGGCGGATTGCTTAAGCAATGTCCTCTAAAAATAAGAAAAATGATTTTCAGTCCTAAGGGTGCCTATAATGAGTTTTTTAATTTTAAAAATCTTTCTTTTAACAATAGAACTGTCGAAAAATTTTCTCCTCGTGTTGTCTATACTAGTGGAAAAGCATCCAGTGCTGCTGGTTTAACTGCTGCTGTTGTTAAAAGTGAAGATTCTTTTGATTTTGTTATAGAAGCGGGTGCTTTAATGTTGGCAGATAATGTTTGTTTTTTTTATTTTAAAAATAAGGTCATGATTTTAGGGAGTTATTAAGGGATTTTTTGATTATTTTTTATCGTCTATATTTTATAGTAGGTGTTGTAAAAATTCAATAAAATTATTAAAAGCACTATAGTGTGAAAAATGATACATCAGTGTGTAGGGGGTTTGGTGTAGTTGGATCTGTCTTAGTTTTGTGTGGACGGGTCATGGGTTCGAATCCACTATTGGGAAAACATTTTTTATTTTCGCAAAAGAATGCCTAAAATTTATTTTTAATCATTTTAAGGGTGTTTGTTGTATCGATGAATTTGATAAAATGGATCCAAAAGACCAAGTAGCTATTCACGAAGCTATGGAACAACAAACAATTTCAATTACTAAAGCTGGAGTAAAAGCTACTTTAAATGCAAGATGCTCAATTTTAGCTGCTGCAAATCCTATTGGTGGAAAATATGATCAATCTAAACCTCTTCGTTATAATGTTATGTTAACAGCTCCAATAATTTCTCGTTTTGATTTATTTTTTGTTTTGGTTGATACTAATGATAATTCTGTAAGTTGATTAAAATTTATGTTTTTAGGGGAGGGTAAGGGTTCCGGGTATGGTTTTTTCCTGATCTTAAATAATCGAATGGTTCCCTTTAAAAAATCGAACTGTTCTGAGGTTTTTGAATTTGAGGTCTAATGATCGATTTTCTGAACAAAGAAATCACTTATCCCTTCTAATTAAATTTAAAAAAGAACAAAAAAGGTGTTATAATACTAAACTGAAAAGGAAAGGGATGAGACGGATTTTTGATCTTTTGACTAGGGGACGGATTTATATGGACTATTAATCGAAGAAAAAACGTTTCACAACCTAACTAGGCCAGGAAAAAAATATGGAAATTCATGTAAATCCGTTCCCTACTTATGACTTGTGCTTCCTTGTGCCCTTTATAAGAGCATATGGAGATCCTCCTCCTCCCTTTTATCCTCCTCCCTTTTTAAATATTTTTTAGTATTTTAAAATTAATTTTTAAAAATTCTATATTTAGGTAGTTGATTATGAAATTGCAAAGAAAATCTTAGAAAATCATCGTCGTGCATTTAATCGTCAACAAGCTAATACAATTTATACAATGGAAGAAGTTAGAAAATATATAATGTTTGCAAGATGTTTTAAACCGAGGGTTTTTTTAATTTTGAATTTATTTTTTAAAATTTTTAAAATAGATTTCTGAAGCTGCTGAACTTGCATTAAAATCAGCATATTTAAAATTTCGTTTAAACGATGATGGATCGAGAATTAAAGTGACAGGTTTTTTTGGATTTTTTAAAATATTTTTATGAAATTTGTATGAATTTTTAAGGAAAAATTTTGAATTTTTTTTTTTGAAATTTTTTAAAATTTTTTAAAAAATTTTTTGTAATTTTTTTAAATTTTTTTTTAATTTTTTAAAAATTTTTTTGAATTTTTTAAAAATTTTTTTGAATTTTTCTAAAAATTTTTTTGAATTCTTTATACTAAAATTATATTTTTATGACAAAAAATATTTTTTAAAGTTCGTCAATTGGAATCATTAATTCGTCTGTCTGAAGCATATGCTCGTTTAAAATGTGCTCCTGAGGTACGGAAATTTTTTAGAAAAATTTTGAAAATTCAAAATAATTTTTAAAAGGTTCTTCCTGAACATGTTACTAAAGCAACAAAATTACTTTCTGAAACTATTGTTCGTATGGGAAGTAAACAAATAAGTTTGGAAGAGGAGGATGATGTAAGTTTTTGATTTTTAAATTTTATAAGGTTTATCTTAAGCTTTTAAATATTCCAAAAAAATTTTCTCAAGATTTTTTTTGGTTATTTTCTAATTTTTGTTTGTCCTTATTTGTAATCCCATAGGATTTTGACCGTTATTTTTTCCTTTTTAGAAGATTTATTTTTTAAATCTGTGGATGGACATCTAGTAAGGTTGGGCCGAAACATTTTTTGAAAAACGAAGGGATAGACGCAAAAATTGTCGAAATTCGATGAAAGATTAGAGGCAGAACGGTCATACTTCTGTAAACACAGTGTAGAGAAAGTTTAGGGGTTGTCCGCCAAAAAATTTTTCTGTCCGAAAATGTCGATTTACATTCTTTTTATTTTTTCAATTTTTAAAGGATGAATTTACGCCATTATCTTCCCATCACCACCCATTAAGTGATTTAACAAATAATAGCCAAGAATTGGTAGAAGAAAGGATGGATATTGACCCAATACATTTAACAATGTCTGATGTTGAATTTGGAAGAATTACTGAAATGTTAGTTGTTCATATGCGAAGAGAAGAGGCGTTACATGGAGAGGAGGAAGACTGGAAAGGTGTTAAACAATCTCAGCTTGTTGAATGGTAGGGTGAATTATTTTTAAATTTATTTCTGTTATTTTTAGGAAATTTATTTTTTAAAGAATGTTTCTGAAACTTTTAAATAATATTTCTGAAATTATTTAGAATGTTTCTATTTAAAAGAAAAATTTTTTTCTGGTTTTTTTTTTCAAATTTTCTGGGTAATAATGTAGTTACCGGCAATTTTCTGAATGATAAAGTTCTGAAAATTATTTTATAAATTCTGGTCTAGTTATTATATTTGGCTGTTTTTTTTATTTTATTTTTTGGCCATGAATATTTTATTACTTACAATCAGATTCTACTTTTACTTCATTTACTTTAACGTCTAATTTTTTTCTGAAAGTAGGGGTGATGTACAAATGAGGTTCTTTGGCGCTGATATGTTTATTTCAGAATTTTTTTAAGAATTTTTAATTTTTCGGAATTTATTTTTGTAATTGAAAAAAATTTTTTTGCAGGTATTTAGAAATGATGGAACCAAATATACAAACAGAAGAAGATTATAAATTACATAAAACAAAAATTGAGCGTATAATACCCAAATTAATAAGAAATAAAGTAATTATTCGAATGGATGAAGGGGAAGGTGATGATAATGAGGAGGAAGGAGCTAATGGTAATAATGAGAACGCTATTCTTTTGGTACATCCAAGCCATGTAAGCGATGATTAAAAATGAATTTTTTTGAATGTTTTGAGGAGAAAAGTCAAATATTTTGGGAAGTAGAATTAAAGGGATTGGATTAGGATAAAATAAGGGATAGGTAAAAAATCGGCTTTTACTATCTATTGCCCATTAAGTTTATTTTAGTTAATATAAACGTCATCCCACTAATTTTTCCAAGGATTTTTGTTGCTTAAAAAATTAAAAATATAGGAGGTTTGGCTGTTTCAGAGTTGTAATATTTTTATAAAATTTCTGAAATTCTTTTAAAAAAGCAACAATTTTACAGAAAAATTGTTGATTCTTTTAAGTAAAGATATCCCAATATTTTCAGAAATTTTGAAATTTTTTAGTGCGAAATGTTATCAATATTTGACTTTATATTTACTTAATATATTTTTTGATTTAATTTTCACTTTTTTATTTATTTTTTGTTTATTTTTTTGTGTAATATATTGACTACTATTTATACTTATTAAACACTTATTATTAAAACAATAAAATATTTGAAACAAAAATTTAAATTTAATAAATTTAATAATTTTTTTCTCGTTTTGCGATGCAAAAATACTTAAATATTTTTAATTATTAAAATCCCCTCTCTTTTACTTCTCCCTTAATTTTTTATTTTTTTTCTTTCCAAAACACTTGAAAAATTGCCCACCTGGTCATCATAATTATTTTTATATTTTTATGGCCCTTTACCTTGTTTATATTTATTAAAAACCAGCATTTTTGGGGACATAATCGATATATGTATTTTTATTTTTAGGTTGGCCCCTTTTATTTATTTTATTTTTTTTATTAGAAGCAAATACATGTACACCTTTCCCTTACCCTTCCCTTTGTTTTCTTCCTTTTTCCCTCAATTTTCCCTTCATTTTCTTCATTTTTCTTCCTTCCTTTCCTCATGAAAATCCCTTGCTTTTCTCTTGCCTTCCCTTCAGTTTCCCTTCATTTTCTTAATTCTCTTCAGTTTCTTCATATTTTCTTCCTTCCTTTTCCCCCTCATGAAAATTATAGCTTGTTTTCAAGAGGAATTGCACTTATGCATTGTTTTTATTACAAAGAGAATTTTTTACAAATATTTTTTAGCAAGTATAATTAAACCAACAAAGGCCTTTAATAGAAAAGAACCACTTGTTTAGACGAACGTGTTTTTATTGGAAATAAAAATCAAATAAATAAAAATAAATGTTGGACGACCATGTAAGGAGGTGTATTTAATCAGGTTTTTTAAATTTAAATTTTTTTTGTGATTAAAAAAAATTTTTTAAGTTAGATATATAAAGAACGGATGTGTTGCTCAAGCATTTAAAAAAGAAGAAATTTTTTGGAAGAATTTTTTTTGGTCAGACTTGAACGGATATGCATTGGTAAGAAAAATTTTTTAATGGGGAAAAGGGTTGAAAAAAAAAGTTAAATTTATTGGGTTGACTCCCTTTTCTTTTACCATCCTGATTTTTAAAAAAATATTAAAACAACTGGTTCAAACAAAATTTATTAACTGAGAATGAGATTATTAAAAGAAAAATAAAATTTTGAAAAAATGATAGAGTGACATTTGCAGACAAAAATTTGCGGACAAATATTTGCTGATAAATATTTGCGGACAGATATTTGCGGACAAAAATTTGCGGACAGATTTTTGCGGACAAACATTTGCGGACACATATTTGCGGACAGATATTTGCGGACAGATATTTGCGGACAAATATTTGCGGATAAATATTTGCGGACAGATATTTGCGGACAAATATTTGCGGACACTCGCTAACTATAACAAGTTTTGACCCAGATATACCATTAAGATATACATATTTACATGTTTTTAAGTCTGGTCAATGGCCTTAAACAGTTGGCGAATCTGCCCCAATTAAAAAATAAATTTAAATTTTGTCCGCAATCTTTTTTTCAAACATGTCTGCAATCTATTCAAAATTATATTTATTTACGTTCTAAATATTTCTGATTTTTCAAAATTTTTATCAGAATTTATGTCAGAATTAATTTTCATATCATTGGGTATAAAACCGTCTTCCGATCTCCCCCAATTTCAATCAATTTCAATTTTGTCAGCAAATGTCGGTCCGCAAATGTCGCTTTATTTTTAAAATAAAATACGTGGTTTTCTGGTGATTGAAGTGGGGAATGTGAGAAATAAAATAGCTAGCTAAAGTTTTTTTTTTAATGCTTTTTCTTTTTCAACTTTTTATTTTTCTAAAAAGTGATCCGGCGCATCCGTAACACTACCCCCAATTTTTTACTTTTTATTTTCTTTTAATAAATCGATTTTATTTTTGAAAGCAAACATTCACTGATTTTCCCCCTTATGATTTTCCTTCCCCCAATGCGCGCATACAAAAGTACGGGAAAATAAAGAGAAAAATAAATAAATGTTAAAAAAAATAGGAAAAGTACTTTTTTCCGGTAAAAACGTCTTCATTACTCACATTTCTTCTCGGTTTCCCTCATTTTTTTATTTTTCTACTAGAAAACTGATCCTTATTTTTTTATTGTTAGCTAATTTCCTTCAATGTTTATTTATTTTCAGAATTATTTCTGTATGTTTAAAATATATTTCTGATTTTTTGTAATTAATATCAGAATTAATTTTCAGAATTAAAATCAGAATAATTTTCAGAATTAATTTTCAGAATTATTTTTCAGAATCAGAATTAAAATCAGAATTAAATTTCAGAATTTTTTTTCAGAATTAATTTATCAGAATTAAAATCAGAATTCATTTTTCAGAATTAATTTCTATCAGAATTAATTTTCAGAATTATTTCCAGAATCAGAATTATCTTTCAACTGTTTTCACAAAACATCCTATTTCAGAATTTTTATATCTTAAAATTAATATCAGAATTATTTTCAGAATCTTCCACACTCAACTTCCACCTATTTATTAATCTTATATTTTTTTCACTTCAGAATTTTTATAAGTACCCCTGAATTTATATCAGAATTAATTTTCAGAACAAAACATCTCTATTAAATTTACTCCCATATTTATTCAATCATTTATTGATCTTTTGGGTTTTGTTTTACACATATTTTTAGTCGCCAATTTTATCACAATCAATCTTTGTTAAAATGTTTTATATTTTTTTATAGTTCCAACAACACACATCCGTTGCTGGTTTAAAAACCGGATAATCCTTTTTACACGCGTTTTTTCTTCTCTTCGGCCTTCCTTTCATTCTTCCGCTATCAATGAAAATCAATTAAAAAAACAGAAAAAAATACACTACACACAACTGGCTGTTCCCTTATAAAACTATTCTAAAAAAAATTCTTCTTTTCCCTTTTTTCTGCGATTTGCGCCGATTAAGGGGTGGTTGGTAGTTGGGGCTGGTTGCTGCTTGCCCTCGTTCTTCTCCCTTCCACTTTCCTCTCCCCTGTTGCTTTCCTTGACTGAGGAGTGACGACTGAATGACTGACTTTCTAAATAACTACTCCGAATTAGTAAAGTGAAAAAAGAATTTTTTTCTCTTTTTTTTTTTCAAATACAACAACAACTTAAAAAAAAATAAATGTTGTGGCCAACAATAAACTAACAACTAAAATCACCCAAATATTTTATTAATTTTTGCAAAAAAGGTAAGATTGTTAAAGGGGAAATCGAGGAGATTTTTGGAGATTTCTCTTATTTTTCGTGATATCTCTCTATTAATCTTTCTAATATTGCCCTTCAGCAAATATTTTGGAGAATTTTCAAACAAAAATTTTTAAAAAATTATATGGCGCGAAAAAAAATAAAATTTATTTTGTAAAAATGTCAAAATGTCGACTTCCCAAAATGTCCAAAAAATTTTTCAAAAATGTCAACTTTTCGTAACGTCAAAAATTTTTTTTCCAAAATGTCGACTTTTTAAAATGTCAACTATTGTTAATGTCCAAAAATTTTCAAAAATTCATTCCTAATTTTCAAAAAAAATTTTCTTCAAAATGTCAACTTCCGAGAATGTCACATAATTGGGCATATCCCCTAAAAACAACCAAAACTTCTTAAGGTCATTAATCCATTCAATTATATAAATTACCTCCCATTCCTCAAAGGATTCCTAAAAGTCTGTCGAATAAATGACCTTGGGAGGGGTGCTCCTTAATATACACTCACAAATGCAATTAATAGCCGGGCCCATAAAAATTCTTTGACTTTTCTTTATTTTATAGCCTTCTTTGGAATCTCCATTCACAATAAACATAATTCTTTTTTTTTCTCCTTTAATAATAAAATTTAAAAAAAAATTTATTCTTTCAACTTTGTATTTTTACAATTTATTACAGCTTTTTATTTTTTTCAAAAATTTTTTTCAAACTTTTTTCCATCCTTTTCCCTATTTTTTCCAATTTTTTCTTCAACTTTTTTTTATAATTTGTAAAAAGCTGGGGAAAAAAGTTTACAATTCTAAAAAGTTGTTTCGACGAAATAGCTAATTTTATGTCTGTGGACTAGAGTTCGTCTTGAATTTTTTTTGTTTTCCAACTTCTTTTTTCAATTTGTAATTTCCAGCTTTATCAAACTTGAAGCTATCCAATTTTAGTCCATAAACACAAAATCGGCCATTTCGTCGAAATATATTTTTTTCAATTTTCAGTTAACACCATCTTAAATGTCTTCTACTCAACTTGAAAAAGTTATTGGCTGTACAGCTTGTTCACGTTCCCTTGCAGTAAACCCAACTTCAGGACTGATATGTTATCCTGCTGGTTCAGCTATTGTAATAACAGATCCATACAGCCAATCTAAAATTAATCTGTTATCGCCTGGAAGGTGTCATTTGACTTGTCTTGCTTGGTAATTAATTAAATTAATTCTTAAATAAATTATTTAAACTCATAACTAGGGTTGGGGTTTTCGAGTCGGGCGGACGTTCGAGTCATTTTTTCGAGTTGGTCCGACCGAGTCTTTTTCGGGCCAAAATTCAATGCCCGACTCGATCTTTCGGATCGGGCCCCCAACCCTACTTATAATCAAGAATCAATTTTTTGTAAAAAATTGATTTTGGATCAAATTTTCCACCTGAAAAAATTTTATTCGAACCAAAAATTAGTTAAATTTTTTATTTGTGACCATTTAATAATTTGGGCTTATTTTTCGTTCGAATATAATTTTATCAACCAACTTTATTTTTTTGATTTTTCAGGTCGCCTTGTGGTCAATACATTGCAACTGGAGAGGTTTATATTTTCTAATTATTTTTAAAAAAATTTTTTTTGAAGTTTGGCACAGATCCAAAAGTTAGAATATGGGCACCTACAAAATGCAGCAGCGAACCTGAGGTTAATTTTTTTATTTCGTTAAATTAAAAAAATTTTTAAAAGTGTGAATTGAGTTGGCATAGACTTGGGATAAGCTGTGTGGTTAGTTGGAAATTTTTTTTAATTTTATTTTTTATTTTTTTTTTAATTTTAAGGGTTTTTCGAGTGATTCTGAATTGCTCGTTTCTGTTGGAAATAATGTAAAAAATTAAATTTTTTAGTAAAAATATTGTTAAAAATAAAAATAGCATGACAAACAAATAATTGTGTGGGAATGGAAGACTAAAAGAAAATTGGCTGAAAGTCGTTTAACTTGTCAGGTGAATGCTATGGCTCAATCTGCTAATGGGAAAATGTTTGTTACTGTGAGTTTTTGTGTTTTTTATAAATTTATGGGGAAAATACATGTGGAGTAAATTTATGTATTTTTTAAATTTGTTTTCTGGAAAATACATGTTTTAAATTTTGTATTTTTTAAATTATTTTCCAGAAAATACATGTGTTTTAAATCTACTATGTATTTTTTAAATTTATTTTCCGGAAAATACTTTAATTTTAAATTAATTACATTTTATTTCACTTTCCGGAAAACACAAAATTATTTGACGCTTATTTCATTTTCCGGAAAATACATGTTTTTTAAATTAATTACATTGTGCTTTCCGGAAAATACATGTGTTTTAGATACATGTATTTTTTTAAAATTTATTTTCCGGAAAACACAAAATTATTTGCTGTTTATTTTTTCCGGAAAATATGTTGTGTTTAATTAATTATATTTGCTTTCCGGAAAATACATGTGTTTTAAATTAAATTTCTCTTTATTTTATTTTACGGAAAATATTAAAAATTTTAAATTTCAAAAACTCGAAATATTTTTTTTAATTTCAGGTTGGTGTTAGACACGTTAAATTTTGGTATCTTGAACGTAATGGGGATAACAACAATTCTGTCTTGCTTCAAGTAAAATTAAATTAAAATTTTTTTATTTTAAAATTTTTTTTAAATAAAATTTAGGGTCGGTCAGCAATTCTTTCTGAACAACGGAACAATACGTTAGAATTTAAATTTTATTTTTTAAATTTAAAAAAATTATTTTTAAGCTTTATTGCTTGTTGTTGTTTACCTCCCCAACGAACTTTTGTTTTAACTTTAACGAGGCTTTTGATTGAATTTGTTGATAAAAAACTTGTCAGTTTATACCAAATGGGTGAAGAAGTGCCTTTAGCTTTGTCTTGTTTTTCAAATTTTATTTTTATTGGATTTTGGAATGGAATGATTAGAATAATTGATTCGGCAAGTATGGAATTAATAATGGAATTACCCAAACCTTTACCTCTACAAAAGTATTCGGCAGAATTTGAGAGAGCAATAAATGCGTCTACGCCTGATGAAGAGCTTAAGTGGGTATTTTTAAATATTAAAAATGTATTTTTTCCTATAAGTTATTTTCCGGAAAACACAGTTTGAGAAATTATTCGTGTGAAAACACTATCAAAAATACATTCCGGAAAAATTAATTTTAGAAGCACAGTTTTCCGGAAAATACGTTTTATCGAACTGGTTTTTAATTTAGTCTACGTAAAACACGTTTCGAGTAAAATTTGTTTGAAAGCACTATCGAAAATGTATTCGGGAAAAATTAATTATTTAAGTATAGTTTTCCGGAAGATACTATTTGAATTTGATTTGTGATAAATGCTTAAAGAAAATACATAATGGAAAATTAGTTACTTCAACGATAATATTTTCTGGAAAACACATTAAAATTAATTGTGTCTTTAATCGTACTAAATAGTAGAGATGTGCGAGACCGAAATTTTTCCAAGACCAAGACTCAATTTTCCAAGACCAAGACTTTTGGATGGCCAAGCACTAGGTCCAATAAGGCCAAAAAACCAGGACCAAAAAATAAAACCATGACAAGACCAAGACAAACACCCCAAGGCCAAGACCGAAAAAACCAAGAAAAGTATTGGTTCCAAGACCAAGACCAAGAGTCTCGCACATCTTTACTAAATAGCATATACCAAAAAACTTTTTACAAAATACATTTCCGGAAAATACATTTTACCCTATTTATTTTGTCTTTTAAAAACACTATTTTTTAATTATATAAATTTTTATTTTTCAACAGGTATCCAGATGTACATTCTTTAGTATTCCATTCTGCTTCGGGTGTTTTAAGTGCCTTATATAGGTTGGATTAATTTTTTTAAAATATTTTTGTGTGTGCTATCAATTAGTAAAATTAAAGATTAAAGGAAAATTTTTTAGTGACCGCTCCCTTTACCATTGGCAATTACATTTGTCTGTTACAGAAGGAGGAAAACAACAACAGGAAGAGTCATTAATCCATCAAGTAGTTAAACTAAGGTTTTCTTTTTTTTTGGTTTTGATTATATTTTTTGGGGAAATTTATTTTTGAAATTAATTTTTGGAAAATTTAAAAAAATTTAAAGAAAAAAATATTTTTTAAATTAATATTTGTTTTAAAATTTCTAATTCCCCAGAAAATTTATTTTTAAAAATTATTGTTTAAAAAATTTTTCAACTTTCTAGTTCTCAGCATTTCCATGTTGGTCCAATTTTTGATTTGGAAACTTGTGATTCACCATTAATTCAAGGTTCAGACGATTTTTTCCTAACAGCGGGAGCTGATGAAACTGTTCGGTTTTGGTCTTTGTCTTCTTCTCAACCAACAAATAATTCCTCCTCTTCACCTTTACTAACTCCTGAATTGAAAAGAGTGCTCTTTTTAAGTTCAGAAAGTGGATTATTAACTGAACAACTTGATAGTAAGAAGAATTAAAAAATTTCTTTAATTTAAAATTTTTTTAGAAAATTTTGGAGGTCTCCTTTCTGACTCATTAGAATCTACAACGGGTGTGCGCTGTCTTCGTCTCTCTCCTAATAATGAACATTTGGCTTGTGGTCGTAAAAATGGCAATATAAGGTTAATTATTTGGAATTTTTTTAAATTTTTGGCCAAAATGGGACGCAAAACTTCAAAAAATAATTTTTTGACCTAAATGAGACCGAAAAATTTATAAATCAATTTTTTAGTATTTTTGATTTACGCTCACCTAATTGCTCTATACTTGTTGAATTTGAAGCTCATGAAGGAGAAGTTCTTTGTCTAGATTATAACAACCACTCAACCAAAGAAAATTTTGAAAAAATTGGTCAATTCCTTGCTTCTGCTAGTAGAGATTGCCTTATTCACATTTTTGATGTTGAACAAAATTATGCTCATTTATTAACTTTGGATGAACATAGAGGGCCTGTAATTACTTTGAAGTTTATCAAACCTGAAGAGGTTTGTTGGGAATTTTCTAATTAAAATTGGGGGCTTGTTGAGATTTTTGCGGATAATTTTTGCGGACTTTCTTTTTGATTTTTCTTTCGGGTCATTTTTGCTGACGTCTTTTTGTTTTTTAATTTTTTCGACAGCTTTTTGTACCTTTTTTCCTTTTAGCTTCATTTTTTTAATTTTTTTTTCAAATCCGCAAATATTGACCGCAATTTTATAAAATCCGCAAAAATTGTCCGCAAATTCCAAAAGAAAATTTTTTAAACAAATTTTTGCAGGATTCTCAACTTTTACTAATAAGTTTTGGTGGAGACCAATTATTAATTACTCGAGAAATATTTTTTAATACAACAACAACAATAAAACATCTTTCAACAAATATATTAGTTCAAATAGATAAATGGCCAAATGAAAAAATTCCAAATTGTGTGGCTATAAGTAAAAATAAAAATATTTTAATTGGATGTCAAAATAGGTCATTGTGTGAAATTAATTGTAAAACTGGTCAATTACTACGTACTTTTGATAAAGAAAAAATTTTTGGAAAAAATTTGGAAGAAGAAGAAGAATTTGGGGGAGGAATTAGAATTACAAAGGTTTTTTTGAAATTTTTAAAAATTTTCAAAAAAAAATTTCTTTTAAAGATTTGTGTAGACCCTTCTGGTACTTTAGCAGCAATCCTTTGTTCTGATAGAAGTGTTCACCTTTTTGATTTACTTGAAGAAAAAGAGTGTGGAGAAGAGGATGGTGTTGATGATGATAGCAACAGCAACAGATGTGGCGGTAAACTTTTTAAATGTTTTTGTGTTTTGGTTCTAGTTTTAAATATTAGGGGAAAAGACAATTTGTGTTTTTGTTTGGTAAAAATACAAAAATGGAGTATAGTTTTTGATAAGTTATTTTAGAGAGTATATTTACGGAAGGATCTTTTTTGAGGAATACATGTCAAAACACTAGGACTGTTCCCCGACGGAGGGGGGGGGGGCACTGGGAACAATTTTCGAGCAGGCAGTGCCACGGGGGACGGGGAATTTCCCTACTAAACAACAACCCTACTAAACACACTTTTTTGAATAGTTTCTGGAAATAAAATATGTACATTGTATTTTCCGGAACAACATTTTTCGATTATTTATTCTCAACTGAACATACAAAACTACAACAAACATTAAAACTGTTTTTTCCTTTAATTTATAAAATTTGTGTTTTGTTTTTGGTCATTTCTTTCCTTTTTATTTTATTTTTAATAAAAAATTTTTTTATATTTATACAGTTATTGGCCTTCCATCAGATTGTGTCACCGGACTTGCCTTTTTGCCTGACTGCAGGTGCACAAATAAAAAAATTTTTTTTTTATAAAAATAATTTTTTTTTCTATTTTTTAAAGACGTCTTTTGCTTGTTACATATTCGTTAGTTTTTTTTTTAATTAAATAAAAATTATTTTTTATTTTAATTTTGTAGTGGTTGTATTGCTATTTGGCGTTTACCTACAACTCTACAAAAACGAATTCCTCCCAAAATTTCTTTAGCTTGTGAACGAGAGTGAGTTTAAATTTTTATTAAAAAAAAGTTTTTTTTGAATGAAAAATTTTTATTGACCACACAGAAAATATTTTAGACATTTTCTGTTACCTTTTTAGTTTCAGCTCCTTTTACCTTACTTTAAACTGTTCCGGTCATTAAAAAAAATTTTTTTTTTTGAAATTTTTCATATTTAAATTCCTCCTCTATGCTTATCGGTCTTTGCTTATCGGCCCTCTATGCCTGTTTTCTTTATGGAATCGGTCCACAGAAAATATATTTTGTCATTTTTTCTGGTACCTTTTTATTTTTCCCCTACATTTGCCTTACTAAATTGTTCTGGTCATTTAAAAATTTTTTTTTAAATCTTTACAATTTAAATTCCTCCTCTATACTTATGGATCTTTTCTGTGTGTATTCGGTCCACACAGAAAATATATTTTGTCATTTTTCTGATACCTTTTATTTTTTCCCCTCTATTTTACCTTACAAAATCGTTCTGGTCATGTAAAAAAATTTTAAATCTTTGAAATTTAAATTCCTTTCCTCTATACTTATCGGGTTTTGATCACATTCTTTAAAATAAAATTATATTTAAAAATGAAAAGTATAAAGAAAATTAAAAGACATTGAAACGGGTAGGGGAGGAAGGGGGAATGATCACTGCCCCAAATCGCCGCGTTCTATAATAGGGCAGTGTAGGAGAGAATGCTCGTCCAGCTGCACATTATCTTCATACTTTTACCCTTCCAACAAAAAAAAAATAAAATTTTTCTTCCTTCTCAATAACAAAAATATGCGCGTCTTTTCGTTTTAATCGTTTATAAAATATTAACCGATCATTTATATATTTTATATCCCTCCACAAATTATATCTTCCACAAATTATCTCTTTATTCCGTCTTATTCGGTATAATTTATTTTTGCACTTTTACACATTTTTAATAAAAATTAGAGGTATTTAAATTTAAAAGCCTCCATTCTTCTCTCTTTTTACCTTGTTGGAATTCTCCTCAAACTCACATTTCTTCTTTTATCTTCGTCCTTTAATCTTTTCTTACTTCTAATATTCACTTCCTATTTTCTCTTCATTAAATTCCTCTCCCTTTTCAAATTTTTTCTTCAACTTTATTAAGATGAAGAGAGGGGCGATCAGTGCTGAGTAGAGTTCCGGAAGCCGGAAGCTAACTCCTGAGCCGAAGCCAAGGTTTTAAAAAAGCTCGGAGAAGGAGACACATAATTCCTAATACCCAGCACAGGAAGTGATCTCTTCCAATCCTTCCCCTTCCTTAATTTTTTAAAATTTTCACTTTAGTTCCACAAGCCCAGAAACTGCTACCAACCCAAAAATAAATAAAACAACAACAGACGATATTCTCTCTGAACAATTAAATTTTTCAAATTTGGCCAATTTTGTAGAACAACAACAACAACAACAACTTCCAGCCATTTTCTCCCTAAGTTCTGTCTCTTCAAACATTGCCGCCAACAACAACAAAAGACCTTCAACGCTGCAAGAGGCTGATGATGAATTGGACAGTGGAATTGGTGGTGGGGGAGAAGGTGGAGGAGGAGGAACAAGTAGTGGTGCTACCTCAGCAGATCGAGGAGGACAACAGAAAAAACAACAACAAAGGTAGGGGGAAATATATTTTTTAAAAGTTTGTGTGGAGTGTGCGGTGTTTTTCAAAAGTAAAAAATACATATATAATACATACATTATTTGCATAATGTGTTTTATATTTTTAAGAATTTGTTTTCATTGTATTTTCCGGAAAAGTTGTGAACAATTAATTTATTGTATTTTCCGGAAAAGTTGTGAACAATTAATTTATTGTATTTTCCGATAAGGGTTTTAAAATGTATTTTTTGTGTATTTTTCCGGAAATATTTTCAAACTTAAATGTATTTTTCCGGAAAGGTTTTCAGAATTAAATGTATTTTTCCGGAAACATTTTCAGAATTAAATGTGTTTTTCCGGAAACATTTTCAGAATTGAATGTATTTTCCGGAAACATTTTCAGAATTAAATGTATTTTTCCGGAAAGCGTTATATTAAATTCTAAAAATACAAAAATTCCTTTTCTTTGTATTTTCTTTGTATTTTGTTTTTTTTTAAATTTTTCTGGCGCATACATCAATCGCTGATGTGTAAAAAACGAAAAAAAAGTGGTTAGAAAAAAGTCATCGATGCATAAAACTAAAGTTGAATAAAAGAATATTTTTTTAGTCTGATTCATTCTAACCAAAAAAAAAGATTTTTTGATCATGAAAATATTTTTATAAAAAAATATTTTTCTTCTAAATTTCAATTTTTGTTGACTAAAAAAAATACAATTTTAGGAGAGACCTTGAACTTTCCTCTATTTTTATTTATTTTTTAAAAATATTTGTAAAGATCGCTTCTATTTTTCCCCTTTTTATTTTCTGTTTATATAGCCCAATCGGCTGGCCAATCGATTTTCCCCATCACATTTTCTATATAACGCTTAAAAATGAACGTTCGATTGAAAAAAAAAGATATATGCGGTTAAAAAGACTGGTATATTTACCGAAACCACAAAAAAAAATTTTAAAAAAAGAGGAAAAATTCTTTCGCCTGTCACTACCACCAATTTTTTGCGCTTAAATGCCTTCCTTTTAGTTTCCTTCCTGTTTTGATCATATGAAATACATTATTATTTCATTGAAACAGATCTTAAAACATTTCCAGAAAAATACAGAAAATACCTTTTTTTCAGATAATGTATTTTCGTTTAAATTCTAGAATTTGTGTTTTCCGGAAGCCCTTCTGAAAATTTATTTTAGAATGTATTTTCCGGAATTTGTTTTCGATTTTGTGTTTTCCGGAAATGTATTTTCTTTTTAATTTTATTCACTTACTATTATTATCTTCTATTTTTTTATTTTTTTAGTTTTGAAATTAAACGACTGAACCCATTGGACGCTTCCATTTTATTTTCTAAACAAGAGGAGGAGCAAAGTGAAATTGGAGGAGAAGGTAAAATAAATAATAATAATTTTATTTTTCCTTAAATATTAGCAAAAAAATAAAATTTTTAAAGAATTTATACAAATAAATAAAATTTTTGCAGTTATCAATTCAATGCTTTCTCACTCTTCAATGACTCGTCCTCAGCATCCAAATGTTTCTAATCCGCATAATAATCTTGGTACTCCACAGCAAAATAAACAACAACACTTTTTTCAGCATAATCAACAACAAATAAAAGTAAACGCCCTTTAAAATTATTTTTATATATAAATTCTGAAAAGTTTCCGGAAAATATACATTTTTATATTTAAAAATAAATTCTGAAAAATAAACACATTTTTCAATATAAGTTTTTCGGAAAATACATCAAGAAATAAATTTTAGTTTCCGGAAAAACATAAATTAATAAATTCTACAAATTTTCCGGAAAATACATTTATATTAGAAAATACATCTTCCGGAAAATACACTAGTAAAATACATTTTCAGAAAAATAAACACATTCGTTAATATAAGCTTTCCGGAAAATACATAAAAAAATAAAAAAAATACATTTTAAAAATATATAAAAAATACATTTCCGGAAAATACATTAATTAATAAATCTTACAGGTTTCCGGAAAATACGTTTTAGTAAATCAGAATTAAGCTTTCCGGAAAATACAACCTTAACAAATAAATTCTGAATATTTCCGGAAAACACATAAAAATACAACTTTTCTTTTTCCAGCATACTCCATCTCAACAACAACAATTTTCTCATTTTCCACTTTTATATACTCATCCAACGCAACAACATCAACAAAATTTATTATTAAATCAACAACTACAGCAACCTAAAAATAGTCGTTCAATGTCTAATTTACATTCAACAAGTATTATTAATGGACAACAACAACAATCAAGAGAAAGGCGTAAATGGAATATTGGTGGGGTAAATAATGCTGCTACACAACAACAACATCAGCAACAACAAATTTTGAATCCAACACAAATGTATTTACAAAATCAGAATGGAGGAGGAGGTTTAATTTTTGTTTTAATTTTTATTTACAAATAGGATTTTGGGTTTCATATTTTTTGTTCTTTTTTTTTCTGAACTATTTAGAGTCTAACATAAGAAGTATGAATTTTTACTTGTTAAATTTTTAATTATTTTTTTGACATCTATCAACAACCACTTTTGTTCTTACTTTTTCCCTTACTTGAACGGGAAAAAATCATAGATCACAAAAACGATTTTTTTAAATTAAAATTGTTTTTTATTTAATTTATTTTCAAAAAAAAATTTTTTTTCTAGTTTCTTCGTCACCTTCTCCTTCAATGTATCTTTCTGTTAGACCACCAATTCAACAACCTATACAGCAACAACAACCTTTAACTAAAGATATTGTTAATTCAAATTATTTATCTGTTAATAATAATTCACAACAACAACGTTTTGGTATTGGTAATTCTATTTCATTAAATGCTATTCGTTCTGGAATGATTGAAAAGGTTTTTTTTAAATATTTTTTTATATTCTATTAATTTTAATTATAATTTTTTTCCTTATGTGTTCCTTCAAAATTAGCCTTTTCTATTTTATTATTTAAACCATTTTATTTGTTTTGGGTTAATGTTTGGTTGTGGTGTAATGGTTAGTGTTTGTGTCTGCAAGCCAGTATACATGTGGGTTCGAATCCTTTGGACTGCTTCTTTGTGTTTTTGGTCCTTTTTTTTCAAAATATGAAATATTTTTGATTCCTCTTTTAAAAAAATTATTTCCTTTTTTTGGATATTTTTTATGTTAAACAATTTAGTTATTTTTATTTTTTTTAATCCAGTGGACAATTTGTCACAATTTATTTTTCCTTTTTTGTTTTTATTTAAAAATTTTTTTGAAGAGGAATCAAATTATTTAAAAAAAATTTTTATTATAAATTTTAATCTTAAAAAAAATTTTTTTAAGCAACAAGAATCCCAACAACAACAAGAATATGGCAATAGAAATTCTTTATCTCGACGTTATCTTCAAACAAATGTTGAAAATGAAAATAACAAAAATAATTGTGTTTGGAAGCCTAATCAAAATATTACAAAAACATCTATGCTTGTTAAAAAGAGGCGCTCTTCAAATTTATTTAATACTTCAGGAAATAATAAGGGAGATGATGGGGGAGAAGAAAATGGGTCTTTTACAGGTTTATTTGTTAATTGAATTTTTTGGGTACACCCCAACGTACCGCGAGGCTAACGTAACGCAGAACTATAACTTTGTTCAGAATGGTTGAATCCGGGACGCCCTGATATGTTTGATTCAGCTCGACGTGATGCATAGAACCATACCAAGGCGTCCTGGATTCGATTATTTTGAACGAAGTTATAGCTATGCGGTACGTTGAGCTCGCGGGACGTTGGCCTGTTCCCGAATTTTCTTTTTTGGATTTTGTGGGTTTATTTTTCGAGTATTTTTTTCTATTTTGGAATTTAATTTTTTTTAATTTTATTCAAAAAATATTATTTTTATTTTTTAATTTATAGCACATCATCAACAACAACAAAACCACCAATCATCATTATTATTAGCAAATAGTAACAGTCCTTGTAGTTCAAGCCAAGCAAGTACTCCAAGTGGTTGTGTTAGTAATGATTATAGACATTCTCCTCCAGATGGAATAAATGCTCGTTTGGATGATTCTAAATTTGGTTCTGGTGGTGGTGGGGGAGGAGGAGCTAGAAGTGCTTTAAATAGAATTAAACAAAGAAGAATGGCTGCTGCGGCTGTTGCTAATAATAATAATAATTCTGATTTACCCCCATCTATAGGTTTGTATTTTTTGTTAAAATATCAGGATTATAGGGGAAGTGTATTTTTTTCTATTTTTGTGGTTGAATTTTCTTAATGTATTTTTCGGAAAATTTTTCATAATTATTTTCAGAATTTATTTTAAAATTTATATACATATAATCAAAAATACAAAATTCCGGAAAAAAATTATCAAATGTTTTTTCTGATTATCCACATTTAAATTTAAATGTTTTTTTCGGAATGAGATTTAGGGTTTCCGGAATTTTTTCAAAATTTGTTCTTAAATTTTGTATTTTTATTTTTTAATTTGCAATGTCGGTGGTGGTTCTTAAAATAAAACAAATTTATTTTTTATAGGCCGTCAAACACCATCATCCCACCCGCCTCGTTCACGTTCTCAATCACCTTCTCAACTTGCAATGGCTGTCTTAGCTTCTGAAGCAGCTCAAGCCCAAACAGCTAGGCCTATATCGCCGTCTGTTCGTTCGGTTTGTTTTTTTGAAAATTCTAAAAAATTAGAAAACTTCTGATTTTTATTTTTAGGTCCTTTCGGGTAGTTCTCCTTCAACAACTTCTCGTTATCAACTACGCCTTTCAACTGTTGGTAATGGTGTTGGTGGTTCTCCCTCCTCTTCTTCTTCACGTTTACGACAAGCTAGACAAAGACTTAAAAAATCACAAGAAAATTTGGCTTCTTTAAAAATTGAAAATAAAGAGGTTGATGAAAATGAAGAAGAAGAGCCTTTATCTAGATCTAGGTCTATTGGAAATTTATGGATGACAACAACAGGGAGAAGAAGAACATCTTTACATTATACAGATGACAGGTTTTTGTTATTTTTTATTTTATTTAAAAAAATTATTTGGAGAGGCAAGGGAGGATGAGGGATGATTACTTAAGGAAGGAAATTTTTTAAGGGAGAGGGGTGTTATTAATTAAAATGATGGGGTAATTTGTACAAATATTCTTATGTTAATAACCAGAACATCTGAAATATGAAACCAAAAATTCAGAAATTTTGGGAAGGCTTATCTGGTACTATTGAGGATAATTATTTTGAATTTTATGATTTTATAATCTTATTTAATTATTTTATTACCTTTAAAACTTTATTTTCACGTTTCCGATCACTTTTACTCCCTATTACATATTTAATTTTTTCATAAAAATTTTTCTTTTAATTTTTTCATGAAATATGTAAATTTTTTAATCTTTTTATTATTCAAATAAAATTTCAAATAATTTTTTAGAAAACAAAATCAACGAGAAATAGCCAAATCAACAACAGATTTATTATTATTAAATGGGAAACCTAAGGAAGATGATACCACAAATTCATCAAAATTAATTAGTAATAGATTAGCAGAATCTAGGCAACGATTGGCACAATCAATTAAAGATATTAATAGAAGAATAAGGTTTTTTTGAAAAATATTTTTTTATTTTTTAAAATCCGCAAAATATATTTTTGTCCTCAACTATTTAAAAAAAATTTTTTAATTAAAATAATTTTGGGTTATTTTTTATAGACCCAAAATTCTATTTTTAAAAATATTTTAGTAAATTAATTCTTGACTCAAAAATAAAATTAAAAATTTGCGGATTTAAAGTTGCGGATTAAAAATAAATTTTTTTATTTTTTTCTTCTTTTCTTTTAGTGAACCAGATATTCAACCAATGTTGACTTCATTGTCTAAAGAAAATTCTCATCAAATAACAGAAACACCACCTTCCTCTTCATCATCTTCAACTACATTTAGAGGAGGTCCTAGACGTGGAGTACAAAAAAAGGTTTTTTTAATTAAAACTTTTTTTTTACTTCGGTTGAGCCTATTTCGTCAATTAAATTTTTTTTTATTTTTCCTAAATTTAATTTTTTAAATTTTTTAGTTAGATAAACAATTACAACAACAACCACCACAGTCCATTAGTGCTCGTTCTTTTCAACATTATAATCCTGGTGATTGGTCTACTGAATCCTCTTCCAATATTAAAATGAATTTAATGCAACCAGTAGGAATAAGGTTTTTAAATTTTTTTAGAAATTTTTTTTTAATTTTTTTATAGAAGTGCCACTTCTCTAACCCCAACAACAGCATCAAATAATTTTTCTGCACATTCTCCTCGTAGCAATTATTTGGCACAAAAACTTGCTAGCCGGTGGGTAATTAAATAACGTTTTTTGCCAAAGTAACCTTGTATAATTGCCTATAAAATAATCTTAGGTGGGTCTAAAATTCTGAAATTTCGTTTGGAGACCCTGAATACTTTTGGCTATTCCCTCCCAAAATTTCAGAATTTTTCGTTTCATATTTCAGAAGTTCTGGTCAAAAATATCAGAATTTTATTTAAAATATGGTCATTTTTTGCCTATAACTTTTGTTTTATTTGATCTAAATTTTTGAAAATTTGTTTGGAAATAATTAATAGTGTTGTCTATCCCTTCCCAAAATTTCAGAATTTTCTGTTTAATTTTAATTTTTTTAGAAGTGGTTCTGTTGCTACTGATTCATCAATAACGACAACAACCTCTTGTAATCGTTCATTTACTTCAGAATTAAATCAAATAAATAATAATTTGGCTTCATTTCAGTTTACTTCTACAGGCTCAAAAAGTTGGTTTTCTTAAAAAAATTCTGAATTAATTGAGAAATTTAAAAAATAGAAATGGCATTGCATGCACAAGAATGTATAAAAGAAATGCAGCAAGCTAGTGATAAACTTTTGGGAACGCGTCAGTTGGTAAAAATTAATTCTGATTTTTTTAATTTAAAAATAAATTCTGATTTTTCAGAATTTTTATTATTAGTTACGTTTGAAATTCTGATTTTAAAAATAATTCTGATCAAAATTCCGATTCCAAAATTCTGATTTTTTTCAGAATTTCTTATTCAGAATTATTTTTGCAATTCTGGGCCTGTATATTCTGACATTTTTATTTTCAGAATTATAATTATGATATATTTTTTCTGAATCCAAAATTTAAAAATAAATTCTGATTTTTCAGAATTTTAAGTTTTGTATTTTTTCTGTATTTTATTCTTTATTTTTCAGATACAATTTGACCCAACAATTAATTCTGAGGTAAATTCTGATTTTTATAATTTAATTTACGCATACTTTGGTGTGATGTCAATATTAAAAAATAAATGACAGTTTGTCCCATTTAATATTTTGGGCAGTTTGAGTCTGAGATTTTTTTATTTTTTGAGAAATAATTTTTAAAAATTTTTTCAGGAAAAGCATCAATTACTTTTTAATGTAAACAAAGCTGTAACTGCTTTTTCTAAAAGAATGATACTTGAAGATGAAGAACATGGAGGAGAACAACTTTAATTAAAAGAGGAAGGGACTACTCAAAAAATGACTCAAAAAATTATTTTAAATTTGTGCCTTTGTATTTTGATTTAAAAAAATGTGTGACAGACAAAATTTTGTTGGAAAATTAAAAAGAAATCTCGTAAGAAGCTTGTCACACATTTTTAATGGTCCATTAAAAAAGACTGGCGACGGTCGAAAAAAGCCCCCCTTTTCTACTTAATGTTCGCAAATTTCTGCATATTATTTTTAAGTTTTTATATATTGCAAAGACTTAATTATGAATTTTAAATATAAATATATTTATTTTTGTTTAGGCTTTATCGATTAGTATTGATTTTATCGATTGATATCGATTTTTTGGAAAATAAAAATTTTTAAAAATTAATTATCGATTAGTATCGATTTTATCGATTGATATCGATTTTTTGGAAAATAAAAATTTAAATTTTTTAAAAACGACAAAATGCCTCTTAAATATAAATGCGACAAAACGCCTCCTCGTTACAACATCAACATAACATCCCATAGTTCAAAACAGACAAAATGCATCCTAGTTATAAATGCGACAAAATGACTACATGTTATAAACGCGACATAATATCTCATAGTTAAAAACGCGACAAAATGACTTCGTCATAAATGCGACAAAACGACTCATAATTCAAAACAGGACAAAATTCCATCTAGTTGAAAAATTTTCAAAATGGTCAGAAACAAATAATTTCAAAACGGTCAGCAGTAAAATTTGTTTGTAAATTGTCGACTGAACAATCTAAAGGCAGACAAAAATATTTTTCGAAATGGTCAGTTGTTGATTTGATTCACAAAACATTTTAATTGTAGTTCTGTCGTTTGTGAATCATTAATAAATAGAGAACAAGAATGTTTAGGACGTTGTTGACCAAGACAAACCGAGGATGTAACAATGCTTTTTTTAAATAAAATATAAACAATCTCCGGTTATGACTTGCCCAACAACGGCTTTGTGAACATTTTTAAATTAAATTTTTTAAGTTTTAAAGGGAATAAATAAGCAAAAATAATCAAAAAAATAAATTTTTTTTAAAGGAAATGAATTACTGAGCAATAAAAATTTAAAGAAAAAAATAAAAAAATAAATTTATTTTAAAGGCCGCGATTGGTAAGAAGCAAGAAAAAAAATGAAAAAAAAAATTTGAGGAAAAGCGGGCCCCCTATAAAAGTTAAATCATACAAAAATTATTCTCCCCCTATACAAACCCATTAAAAATATTTTTTATTTAAATATGAATTTTCGATTGGGGGATATTTTTTAAAGCATTTTTTGTATGTAAATAAATAATATATTGCACAGAAAAAAAATTGAGAAAATTAAAAATAAAAAAATTTTTGGGTAAAAAAGTAGACAAGAAAAATGGCAAGTTTTGACCAGGCTTACTTATAGTAATGGATATGGATAGATACATTAAGTTCAAAATGCCTGCGAATTTTGATCCGCCGTAAATATCCGAATACGGATACCAAAATCCATTACCAAGTCTGGTTTTGACTTAAAATAATTTAGAAATAAATAAAAAATTATTTTAAGGAGTTAAAGGGCAAACTCTCAAATAATTCACATGACTAAGGAATGTTGCAAATCGAGTTTTTTTTTAAAGAAAAATTGAAAATATGGAATTAAAATGGGAGTTTTAAATTTTGAGTTCTTCAAATTAGCAGGACTAGAGATTGTACCAAAAAGGTCAAAACTAATTTAAACGGATCTTGGGCCTGATTTTTAAAGAATTCGGAGGTTAACCACAAAGACACAGAAAAAATATGCAAAAATGAAAACGGGAGGAATACTGAATAAAAAAAAGGACAAAAAAATTTAGTTCAAATTTGGAAAATTTTTGAAAAAGTTGAAAGAAAAAAATTCGGACTTTTTTGGAAGGAACATCCCTTATTGGTCAGGTTAAGTTATCAAAACTTGGAAAAATTAAAAAAAATAAATTAAAAAGAAAAACCTAATTTCCAAAAGAAAATCATTTTTCAGGTATAACAAACCTAATAGTCTTCGATTCTTTTGATTTAATTTGCCCGCAATTTTTTCCATTCAATTTGGTTGTTGCTGTTGTTTTTCTTTCAGTTTCATCTAACCAATAGCCAATACGACTTACAGCAAGGAAAAAGAAAAAACTAGAAAAAAAGAAAATGTTGTTGGTTATTTGAAAACAGGTAAGGAATTCATTGTAAACAGGGATGGAACGGATTGAGAAAATTTCTCAGATTGAGTTTCGGGTCGAAAAATATCTAGGTTCTGGGTAATTCTGTGTAACAAGGCCATAAAAATTAAAAGAAAGTTTAAGTTATGTCGTGGAATCCAGAGGTGGGTCGAAATTCCGATTTCCGACGTTTTTGCCCGAAAAAAAATTTTGATTTCGAGTTCCGACTTTTGAGCCAATTCCGATTTCCGACACCTCGGGCTGTTATGACCCACCTCTGGTGGAATCTAGCTGAAGAAACCCCAGGATTTATCGATTCGATCCTTCAGTTAGATTCTGGATATCCGAAAATTCTCAAGAAACATTAAGCCTAGTTATATAAGTGTCAAAAGACATTTTAATATTTTCCCAAAAATAATTTTTAAAAAGAAAATATCCAAACAATCCCCACAACTTCCCATAAAATTTAAAATTAAAAAAAAAACCTGCAAAAAATAATAACACTTCCAATTCCAATTAATCTCCATTCTGGACCAGTAGCCAAAAATCCAAGCAAAGCAAGTCCTTCCAATACATAAACAAATGAAGCTAGAACCAAACGATGAAAATGAGAGGCTAATAGAGAGCCTAACGGGGCGAATAAAACAACTACAGGGACTAGAAAATTAAAAAAATTATTTTTTGATTTAAAGAGTAAACCTGAACAAGTGAAATAATTCCTTTAAAAAAAGAAAAAAAATTTTTAATTAAAAAAAAATTTAAAAAAACCATGCAAGAGTAGACACCTCAGACATAATTAAATGCCTCCAGAAAAATCCAACACAAGTATTTGCCTCCAAAAAAATTTTTTTTTTAATTCTTAAAAATATTCAAAAGCTTACAGCCATTAGAACAACCTAAAAAAATTTTTAAAAAATTAAAAAATAAATTTTTTTCAAACCGATGTTGGAGTAGCTACTTTTTCGCTAAGCCTGAACAAAAGTGTTAAAACAGAAAATGCACAAATATCAACACCAGAGCCTGCAAAAGCGCTGCAAAGTCCTGAAAGAAGAAAAAATAAATTTTTATAAAATAAAAACTCAAATTCTGACTTTTAATCTTTAAAAATTGTAATTCTGTTTTTATAAATATAGTTTTATGTAATTTATAATTCTGGTCTCTTTTAAATTCTGATTTAATAAAATTGTAAAAATTCTGAATTTTAATGATTATTTTTGATTAAAAAATTTTCTGGTTTTTATAGTAATTCTGATTTTCTAAAAATACCCCTTTCTAAAACCCTCTTTCTCTCTCTATATTTAAACAAAAAAAATAAAAATAAACAAAACCTCCAATAAATCCAGCAACAAAAAGAATTAAAGCCTTCCACCAATTAAATTTTACAATACCAGAATGTGTTCTTCTCTTCTTTTGGGTGTTTAAAACGTATAGAGAAATTGCAAAAGAAAACCAAATACTGACAAATAACCTGAAAAAAATTTTGAAAAATTTTCAAAAAATTTTGAAAAATTTGGAAAAATTTTCAAAAATTTCAGAATTTTTTTTAAATTCTCAAAAAATCTCCCCCTTTACATTTTCTTTTCCGAACCAGTCAATAAATAATCAACCCATTCCAATCCAAATATAATTCCAGCAGTTGAACCAATTGTACATAGAATTATTGCGTGCCTTTTAAAGATAAATTAAAAAAAATTTGTAAGTAAAATTTATTTTTAAAAAATATTTTGAGGCTGAAAATGTTTCTGAAAATTTTTTTTTTCATTTTTGAAATTTCAAAAAAAAAATTATTTTACAAAAATTCTTTCGAAAAATAATTTTTTTAATCAAAAAAAAATTAAAAAAAAACCATTCCAATTTTATTCTCATCCAAAGTATTGTGAACGCAGCAGAAGTCATTCCTATAAAGTAAGAAATATTTTTAAAATTTTTTTAAAAAATTTCCTAAAAATTCCTAAAAATTTTTTCAACAAACCACAAGACTGAACCATTAAAGAAAAATCCCTCGCAACTTCAGTTTCAATATGCAACAAAAGTGTCATAACCGGAAATGCAACAGCCCCACCACCTTCTGAAGTCATTCCAGCCACAGTTGCCCCAACAACCATTGTTAGTGGAAGTTCGTAGTGAGTGGGGAAGAGGCGGAAAAAGTTGTAACGAAAGGCTAATGTCCACCACATAATCTTTTAAAAAAAGTGAAATTATTATTTAAACGCAGACTGAGGTCTGAAGAATTTTTTGAAGGGGGGAGGGGATTCCTTTACGTAAATTTTAGTAAAGCAAAATAACTTAGTCTAACTCTAGACAAAAAAAAAGATTTAAAAATCATAGTCTCATCCGTTTTAACCAAGAAACCTAAAACCACAAAAATTGCCTAGAACTGAGCTCTGAAACATGGCTGAAGTTGGAGTTGACGGTTTTGTGCCCATCTCTCTAGCGTGAACTTGTCTTGGAAAAACACCACACTAATAAACTACTCGAATTCATGTTTACAAATGTCTTCGCGATCAAATACTTAATAGTTCCGCCTTTCTATTCTAAAACCCCCCATTTAATAAAAAATAAACCTGCATAAAAAGACAAGGAAGTAAAAATCCAATATATTTTCTGTAACGATTAAAAATATCCTCCAAAACTTCTTCTTCATCATCGTCAGAGCACACTTCGTTACTGTACAATTGGCCTTGAATAAAATAAAAAGTAAATTTGTAAAAGAAATTTTCGGAGGAAACGAATGGGAAGGAAGGAAACACAAAAATTGGTTATAGAGGGAGGCTAGGCGAGAGATTGAAGTTAAAAAATGGAAGGTAAGAAAAATCTTAAACCTAAATGGAAACTCGGCAAGTGCTGAACTGGGGAACAGTAAAAATAGAAAATTTGATGTCTCGTTTACTCTAAGACTGCTTACATAAGTCCGGAACACTTGGCAAAATACGGAGCATTGTGGAAGGTGAGTTAGGTTTTCCTGTAACCAGAGTCCAGGCCCCGGTATTTTTTGACCTTCCTGAATTTTTCCTGGACAGGTCCAGGTCAATAAACCAAATCCAGAGTCCAGGAACAGGCCCAGGCTTTTCAAAAATCTCAATCTTTGTTGTCATTATCGGATCCCTGTCAAAAAACTTTATTATCTTCAAGCCCAAGCTTGAAGATAATACAAAAACCTGGCCATTTGTTGGTTGCTGTAAAAAAATCTCTGCGGGACAGCTTATCAGATTTTATAAAACAAACCTTGAAGAAAATATTTCCGGAAAAAAAGCTTCGCTCTGCCAAAATAAGTCGACTTCAACTCCTAAAAAATTTAAATCTTAAACAAAAATTTCAACAAAAACCTGGCCATTTGTTGGTTGCTGTAAATTTTCCTCTTCGCAATCTTGTGTTGTTTTAGAATTTAAATAAATTGTTAATCTGTTTTGTTGTTCTATTCTATTAGTAGACATTTTCTTTTATTTTTTTTGAAAGTAGGCTAAAACTGAGAAAACCACAAAAACAAAATTGTTCTTTTCTAAAAACTAAAAAAGAAGAAAAACAAATCCTTTTAATGATAAAAAAAACCTCTAAAGAATCAAAAATTAAAAAAATAATACCCAATTTTGATGCTTTGAGAAAAACAAAAACAACCAAAAAAATTCAAACCAAAAAAAAACGCGAAATATTTCAAAATGTAAACTAATCCCAAAAAATTCAAATAATCTAAAATCAAAGTTTTCAAAACACCTAAAAACGAAAATTTTGACGAAACACCCCAAAATTTTTTTCTTTTAACCTTCAACAACAACAACAACTTTTCTGGAAACAATTAACTCTTGAATAATAATAAAAAATGTATTAGGGTAAAATGCTTATAATTGTTCATTATTTTCTTAAATTTTTTTTGTCTAAAAAATTTTCTTTAAAAATAATTCTTTCCTAAAACAATGACACACAAATAGTGCTCTATTAAAATTTATTTTTTAGGGTGATTAATAAATAAAAAATTGCAAAAAAAATCAAAGATTATACCAAAAAACCCCTCTCCTCTTTCTAAAAACAATTATACTAAAGGTCAGTTTAATACCAAAAATTAAAATTTATTGAGAAAAACAACAACTGTGTTGATGAACGTTTTTATTGTTGTTGTGAATATAATTTTGTTAGCCAATTTTAATGAAAAATAGAGCCCTCCCTAATTTTTTACACTAATTTTAAGTCCAAAATTCTAAAAATACCTAAATAAATTCCAAAAAAATTTTTTTTGGAATTTTAAAAATAATTTTAGTTTTAATAAAAAATTTTTTATTCAAAAAATTGAGGTTTTTGTTGAAAAATTAAATTTTTAAAAATAAAAAAATTAAAAAAAACAACTTTTTTTCCTAGCAAACAATTTTGTTTTTAATCCTAATTAAAATATAACATTGCATTTTATTAAACATTGTTGTTGTTGTTTAAAGTATTCCTTGCATAACGTAATAAAGTGAAGAGAACTGTATCTGTTACACCAGAAATTCTGAAATTAAATTTAAAAAATATCAGAATTTGTAGAATTTGGAAAGTCAGAATTATTAAAAATCAGAATTAAAAAATCAGATTAGTAAATCAGAATTTTTTGAAAATCAGAATTAAAAGAATCAGAATTTATTTTAAAAAAATTCTGATTTTTTAATAAGAAATTAAATAATTAAAAATCAGAATTCCTCAGAAAATCAGAATTTTAAAAACAGAATCAGTAAAATTAGAACTTTACAAAATCAGAATTTCTTAGAAAATCAGAATATTTTGGCAAATCAGAATTAGTAAAACCAGAATTTTTTAAATCAGAATTTTTTTAAAAATCAGAATTTGCAAATTAAAAAAATCAGAATTTTACAAAAATCAGAATTTTTTAAAATCAGAATTTTTTTAAAAATCAGAATTTTAACAAATCAGAATTTATAAATTAACAAACCTGGCCGCAGCAGCCAAAGTTTTCGGTTTAACTTCATTTAATCTTTCCCTCACTTCTGCCTTAATTTCAACATTTTCCAAATAATTTAAATTTGTCGGTATTTCTGTATTCATTTCTTTTTCTAATTTTTCTATTCTAACTCTCAATTCTTTATTTAAATGTAAATAACGTTGTTTATTTATTATTCTTTCCAAAAGTAAACGTTCCCCGAGAAATTCGTTGAAGAGGGAAGGCCATACATTTGCTAGCTTTTCTAGCCTCAATTCTGGATGTTTTACAAGTAATTTCTTTGCAGAATAAACTTAAAAAAATTGAAAAATATTTTGTAATGAGTTAGAATCGGACCTCAACATAAGAAAACCCTTTGGGATGAAAAAGATGCTGGTTCACTCCTAACCGCCGATTAACCTTTTGCACTAGCTAAAGGAGAGAAATAGTTATAGCCCAGCTCTGCTTTACTATCCCACGATGACTTGGGGGCCGAAATCAATAAGGAGCGGCTCCGAAAATCACCGGAACGGGAGCCAGGAATTTGAAAACCCCCGTCCTATACCCAGTACTGGCATCTTATGTTTTAAACAGGAATATCGATTAGACCAGGTTACCCCCACCCAGTGGTCAACCTAATTTAAAAAGCTTATCTTATTGTTAAGCTAATAATAAGTTAATTCAGAGGTTATCTTATATAGAGCTCCGACTTTTATTTAATCAAAAATTTAAAACAAACTTAGGCCAGTTTTCCCAGGAGTATTTAACCCTTCAATTTTCGCATTCCATCCATCAGAAGTAAAACGTATAGAATCTAGCCTTTCATCAAGTACTTCTAGACGAGAACACATTTGTTTAAAATGTGACCAGCGATGATCAGATACCAAGCCTTTTTTGTATGCCTTTTCAGTCAGACGTAAGTCAGCATTATCTGGTCTGTAAGAAAAAAATGGGAAAATGGTTTAAAATTCGGTAACAGACCTGGTCATGGATACGGATATGAATACAGATATTATCAAAATGCCTGCGGATATCCGCCTGTATCCGCCGTAAATATGCGGATACGGATACCAAAGTCAGTATCCGTGACCAGGTCTGTTCGGTAATATTGCCGTTCATGCCCCCCCTCACCCCCCCCCCTTCCATTTCTACCACCAAAAATTCCTTCATATTTACATGAAAAACTGTGCTTGTGTAACAATAAATTCAATGTATGGGATGTCAAAAATGAGGGGACCAGACAAGACGTCGAGGGCTCAAAGTCAATAAAGGTTGGAGACATGTAGCAAGGAGTTAGAGACATGTAGCATTGTTCAACTATTACCAAAAAAATTGTCGAACAATTTCGAGAATTATGAAAAGAGTGGAGGACATAAACGACATTACTACCAAAAAAATTAACAAAACCTCAACTCCAGCCGATTTTCTGACCGAGAAGTAAATATTCTATAAGCTTCAGTTACCCCAAAATTAGTCAAATCATCAATCATTACACCGATATATGCCTCTGTTCTTGAAACCTTTAAAGGATTATAGGCCGTCTTATCTCCTTTTTTGTTTGCTTCCGCTCTTTCTGCCGCGTTTGTTCCAGCGATTAAACCTTTAGAAAAAAATTTTTTTAATTAAAAAAAATTAAAAAAAAAACCTTGGGCTGCAGCTTCTTCATACCCCGTAGTTCCATTTATTTGTCCTGCCAAAAAGAGACCACAAACTTTTTGGGTTTCCAAGGTTGGGAAGAGTTGTTGAGGATGAACAAAATTGTAACGGACAGAATAACCTTTAAGAAAAAAATTTCAAAAATTTTCAAAAAAATTTCAAAAAAATTTCTAAAAAATTTTCAGAAATTTCAAAAAAATTTTTAAAAAACTTCAAGAAAATTTCTAGAAAATTTTTAAAAAATCCAAAAAAAAATTTTTTCAAAAAAAAATTTTTCAAAAATTTTTCAAAAAAATTCAAAAAAAAAACCAGGTTGTGTAACTTCAACATTTTCCAATCCTTCCACTGTCCTCATTATTTTAACTTGAACATCCAAATCAAATCCTAGAGCGCATCCTTGAGGGTAAACCAACTCGCTATCCAAACCTTCTGGTTCAAGGAAAATCTTTAAAAATTTTTAAAAATTTTTTTTTCTAAATAAAAATTACTCTATGCTTTAATTCAGGAAAACGCAAACATTTAGCTTCCAATGACGGGCAATATCGAGGTCCTACAAAATTAAAATTTAAATACAAAGTAATACAATTTTAAATTATTAATCCAATAAATTCTTAAAAGAAATCATTGGGACCACTTTAAAAAAGATTTTAAGAGATCTAAACTGAGAATTGACCAAATTTCGAGTTAAACAACTTAAAAAATCTCGGTTACGTTTCCCCAGCTTTTAAAAAAAAATTTCTAATGATTTAAAAATTTTCGGAATTTTAAATTTTAATTCAATCTTAACTTTGTCACCATTATTTAAAAAAAAAATTTTCATATAAAAAGCCAACAAAATAATTCCTAAAACATTCCCCTGCTCAACAAAACAACAAACAAATATATTCTCTACAAACTTCTCTCTCAAAAACCCAAAATGAAATTATTTTCTATCTTCAACAACAACAACAAATCTGTCATCAAAAGCTCAACAATCACCACCATCACCATCATTATTTTATTTATTCTATTGCTTGGACAAATCAACAAAACTTCTGCTAGCTCATTCTTTTTTACAATTTCTGATGCAGAAGTGAAGTATAATTTTACTATATCAACAAGTCTATTTGTGCTGCTTCTTATTTGTTGTTGTTGCTGTTCTATATGTTTTTGCTGTCGTTCAGAATGAAAAAAGGAAGAAAATAAAGGAAGATATAAAGAAGGATGAAGGAAAGTTTAGGAACAAGAATTTAAAAAAAAAGAAATGTTTAGGTGATATAAATAAATATTTTTCTGTTTGTTTGTAAATTTAGTTGTGTGTCTTATATAAATTGTAAATTATATGTAATTTTTGTTTTTTAAATAAAAAGTGTTTAAAATTCTCCATAATTAAAATTTTGTAAATTTTCTGCTTTTCCCCAAATTTTTAAAAATTTCATTCCTTCAACAAAAGAAAAATTAATCCAGATTCCCTAGCTTTTTTTACTTTGAAACTATTAGAAATCTTTATCAATATCACACCAACATTGATGTCTCAAAAATTTTCCACTTCTATATAGAGAAAACTTTTGTCAGCTCCCACACTTTGATAAATTTAATAAAATTAGGTTGAGAAAATTAAGTCGTAAGGCGTAAGTCCCGAACATGAAGAAATGTCTTGAAACCAGCCCCAAATTCACAATGCAAAGAAAAATCAAATGTAATATGTAGAGTCAAAATCTTCATATAAAAGCAGACAAACTTAACATAAACAAAACACTCTCCCTCTCTTCTATCAACAACAAAACTTCTACATCGTCACAACAAATAAAAAACAACCAACAATGAAGTCATCATTGTTTCTCTTCAACGGATCTAACAAGCAACAACAAACTTTTTCCAACAAAACCATCATCATGTTCGCTGTCGTTATTGTTGTTATATTGCTTGGAAATATTGGCAAAACGCAAGGGGAAGATCCTGTGGCAGTTCAGGTCAGTTTATTAGTAGAAATTAGGGTTGGACACAAGACGGTTAACCAAATCCAAAGCGAAAATCGAGGGGCAAAAACCGGCGATAACCGAAATCCAGGGGTAGTAGTTAATAACAGGGGCGGGGCTTATGGGAGGGAAACTGCACAAATATCAAAATCTCGATAGAAAGTTTTTTGCTTGTCTAATTTTAGTTAAGCTTCCTTATGGGAGGGAAACTACACAATTATCAAAATCCTCAAAAAAAATTTCTTTCCATTTCCAGTTGAATCAAAGCCTCGTCACTACCAACACCAACGACACTTTTCCAATCAACAATTCCACTGCACCCGAGAACAACAATGATAACAACAACAATTCTCTGCCCGAAATTATAACGGACCCTGGCATCAAAATAATCTACAAAAGATCTGATGATGGTGCCTTCTGGGCGGTGGTTATAATTATTTGTGCTATTCTCTATATCTGCTATTCTGTTTGTTGTTTTGCTTGTTCTAAATGAGAAAAGAGATAAAACAGACAAAATTAGGTGTGTAAAAAGATGAGGAAAAAATAAGAAGGTTGAAAGAAGATAAATAAAAAATAGATAGATATAGCCTTTTTTGTCCCGCTATTTTCTAGTATATAATTGTAAATAATTTGTGCCGTATTTTTTTCCTGTTCAAAATTGTGTGGATAATAAATTTGTATAAAAGGATAAAATTATTTCTTAATAGAAAATTATTTAAAAAATCTGTTTAAAAGAAAAGATGCTCAAAAAAATTTTTTTTCCAAAAACCTTATTTTTTAAATACCATTTAAAACAGAAAAAAACCGTTCCTTATAATGAAGAGTAAATTAAATCAAAGGGCTTGAAATTCCTCAAATGCATTGGACAAATAGGGTTGTCTGCTTATCAAAAATTTTTCTGGTCAATCGAAACCACCCGAAAATCTTCTGTTAATCCGAGGTGAAATCGGCAACTCAAAGTCATGAAATTTGAAAAAAAGACATAAAATGAGGATATATCCAACTTTGGAATGTTAGTAAAAACAAAGGCATTTTGCCAGTAAAATAAAAGAATAATCATTCAAACCCACCTTTAATCCCTTCATTTAAAGCACTAATTAACGAATGTTTTTCATCAATATTTTCTCTAACAATTTTAACTAAATTATCATTTGTATAACCAACATAACTAGCAACTTGCAATTCTTTTGGTATTCCAACTTGAGAATTTAAATAAGAAAAAGGAATAGGTTCTTCGTCTGTTAATTGTTTTGTAAATTTGTCATAATTTATTGTTGAAGATAATAAACGTGGAGGTGTTCCTGTACTTAATCTTCCTGTTTTGAATCCGAGACGGGCAAAGGTTCTGAAAAAAAATTTTTTTAATTTTAAAAAAATTTGGGGAAGGAATTTTTAGAAAAAATAAATCAAGTGATGACAAAAAATCCCAAAATGACAAAAAATCCCAACAAAAATCCCAAGATGACAAAAAATCCTCAGATGACAAGAAATCCCAAATATGACAAAAAATCCCTAGATGACAAAAAATCCCAAAATGACAAAAAATCCCAAAATGACAAAAAATCCCAACAAAAATCCCAAGATGACAAAAAATCCCAAGATGAAAAAAAATCCCAAAATCAAAGTAAAAATTAAAAAAAACAAACTCTGCTAGTCCACTACTCGGCCCTTCTCCCATCCGACCACCTGGCACAGATTTACCACCCCAATTAAGTTCTCCTTTAAGAAAAGTCCCAGTTGTAATAATAATTGAGGGAGAATAAATATTCTAAAAAAATAAAATTTTAATTATTTTAAAAATAAAAAAACTCAACAATTCCATTTTTAATAATACAACCAACAAGTTTATGTGTAAAATTATTTTTAGTTGAACAAGTAGCTTCTACAATTATTAAATCTTCTACTGTTGATTCTATAATGTCCAAATTTGGTGTGTTTTCAAATATTTCCTGAAAATTTTTTTAAAAATTTTTAAGGGGTCTGAAAAATTTCTGTATGAGAGGCTAAATGACCATGATTCTTTCAAAAAAGAATCTCGTCCATCCAAGTTTAGGCATTGAAAATAGCAAAAATAATGGATGGGCTCTTAAATTCTTGGTCTATTCCTAACAGTCTGATTAAAAATCCCGATATCTTGCCGTTCTAGAAATTGTCCAGATTTGGAAATTATCCAGACTTTTTCTTGTGATCAAGAGAAAAAAAGGTTTTAAGTTTTGGTCATGGAAACTGAAAAAAATATAGAAAAAACGCCTGGAGTTGTATCCTAAGAATTTTGTGGTTATTAAGATTGTTAAAATTAATGCAAAAATCCCTTACATCCCAAAACTTTATAATATACTCTTAAAAATTCAAACTTTTTGCATAGCCTTTTTGTAAAGTTTTCTATCAATAAGAGCACGTAAACCAATAACTGCAGGTCCATGGCTTCTATTAAGAACATGAAAATGAATGCCAGTATCATCACATAATCGAGCACATATTCCATCCATTGCATCAATTTCTCTCATTAAATGACCTAAAAATTGAAAGGGAATTAGGAGAGAATCAGAGTTGAAGTCCACTTAAAAAGAAAATAGGAAGGATCCAGTGAGAGCAGGAAATGTGGAGCTCCCCTCTCAATTCCCGAAATAAAAGAAAACGGGAATTCCTCAAAAGCCAATCCTCAGATAATCCCTTGGAAATAAATCTAAATAAATTGAAAATAAACCTTTCCCAATTCCTCCAAAACTTGGATTACACGACATTGCTCCAACGGTAGCTTTTGATTGTGTAATCAACAATGACTTTGCACCTTTACGAGATGCAGCAGCTGCTGCTTCACATCCTGCATGACCACCTAAAAGATAAATTTTTTTATTAAATTTTGGAAAAGTTTGAGTCAAAAGTGAACCTTTAAATTAAAAAATCAGACATACTGGGCCTTAGAAAAACATTTTCAATTTAGGGGAAAAGTCCAAACCATCGGACTTGCACGAAAAATCCCCCAAATAAAAATAAATTAACTAAACAAACCTCCAACAATTACAACATCATATTCCAATTTTTTTGAATTAACACAAAAATAATTAACAAAAATGAAGCGTTGATGCCAATTATACAACAAATATTTTCTTGTTGCTATTGTATTTACAAACATTTTTGTTTGGATTAAAAATAGAAAACTAAAAATTATTTTTTAGAATTAAAAAAAATTAATTGAATTTAAACAATAAATTTTTTTAAATAAAAGAAATGACTAATCAAATTTTTATTAAAAATTAAATTTAAAGAAATTAAAGGCACAAAACAATTTTAAAAGAAAGAGAGAATTAATGGCAAAATATGAATCATAATTTGAGATTGCACGAATCTTTTAAAAAATGAGAATTTAAAGCTGGTAATAAAAAAAGATAAGAATTATGGCTTTAAAAAAATATTAGTATAAATTAATTGAGATTAAATTTAAAAAAAAACTTTTAAGGATTAATAAAAGAGACTAGAATATAACGAGTTCCTCTAGTTGTTGGCAAACCTTCATGGTAATGTGTTAAACGTCCAGGAAAAAGCATTGTCCAACCTTAAAAAATTTTCCATTTTTTTAAATTTAATTTAAGGATTCTTGGGTAAAAAAATCCTAGATAAAACTCAAAAAATTTCTAAAGTGGGACAAAATGTCATTTTTTTATATATGTCAAAAAATATCCAAAAATAACAAAAATTCACTAACCAACTTTATCAGCTTCCACGGTACAATTATAACGAAGAAAACGAACACCACCACCTTCATAATCAACTCCACGTTTATTCAAAGCCATATCAATACTATAAGTACTAGCATCGTGATGAGGACGGAGAAAAGGCTTTAAAAATATTTTTAATGAAAAAATTAAAAAAAATAAAAACCTGTTCATCCGGTTTATATCTAACAACAAACATCATATCTGCTTGGACTGGCTAAAAAAATAGTTGAAAAAATTTTTTTAATTAACAAACTCTTTTGTAAAATCCAATAAAAACTTTCTCTTGAATAGGAGCAATGTAATCATCCAATATTTTTAACCATTGTTTGTCCAACCCAACTTGAATCATATGAATATCTCGTGTTGGAACATTCTCATAACCACCTTGTAACCGAGCATCCTAAAAAAGAAATTTTAGAAAAACTTCTAGTTTGGTGTAGTGGGATGATGTTGTGTTTTCAACAATTATAGGGTGAAGATTCGAACCCTGCCAGGGGGTTTAATTTTTAAACCAAAAATTGAACATTTCAACATGTTATAATTAATTTTCACGAGTCAAAAATTTTTATAGACCCTTAAAATCAATCAAAATAACCTGATTAGTACCATCAGACCATTGACCATAATTTTCCATTACTTGAATAAGTTCTTCACAAAAACGATCCGATAAAAAAGGAAAATCATACACATCAGGACACTCTTGTAGTACAATTGTTCCATTAGCCCTAACTTTTTCAAAATATTCTGGATGAATATAACGCTTTTCCCATAATTGGCGATTATTTGGAAAATCGTATAATTCTAAATTGACTTGTGCCAAATTATCAAGTTGACTAAATCCATCTGTATCAATTAAATAACCATAAAAATAAGGGTCTTCTGAAGCATCAACGTACAGGAAATGGCCCTTAAAAATTTGAAAGAGAAATTTTGGGTCTGGTCTAATTAATGAGAACAATGAACCTTTTAAATCCAGGGATGTTTTCATAGGACTCATAAATTAGGCCAAAGTCAGAATCTTACAATTAGAAGAAAATAAAACTTCAGTATAAGAAGTTTTATGTAGTACCCTTCAGATTAAGATACATTTTGGTTTGTCTAACGAGAAAACCTTATTTCAATAGCCAACACCTACATATTTCGAATACCCCCTCATTATAAATTACGATTTTTCATCCCAGAAAGTATTTTCTATATCAAGGGTAGAGTGTAATGAAATTAAAAATAAGACTAGAAAATTAAAAACTCCCATACCTTGTCTCTGCAAAACTTAGCAAAAGCAATATCCGAATCCACATTAATATTCCAATTATAAGAATTTTCCAATAAATCAAACTTATTTGAAGAAATTAAAAAAGAAGAGCCAATAAAAGGAACATTCCAAATTCCTTTACGGATTCCTTGAATAATACTAACATAGTCTTGAGAACGGGCATAATAGCCATATGCAGATATTGCTCCCCAAAAATTGCTAAAAAGTGTTCCTGGGCGGAGAAGTAAAGGAGCTAGAATGCTTCTAAAAATAAAAGAGAAAAAATAAAAAAATTAAATTAAAAAATAAACCTGTCATAATTCATAGCCTTATAAATTAAATTTTTTAAAGCAGAAGGATCAAGGTGAGAATCAGCATCAACAATAAATAAAAATTCTGATTTTGTCTTTTTTGCAAAAACACTAAAAAATAATTTAATTATTTAAAAATCAAATTTTCAGGAAGTAAAAAATATAAAAATCAGAAACCGCAAAAATCAGAATTTATAAAAATATTAAAATCAGAATTTTATAAAATAAAATACTCTCATTTTCTTAATTTTCTGATTTCGCTTATCTGATTCAATTCTGATTTTGTTTCTGATTTTGTCAATTTACAATTGTAAAAAAATCAGAATATTTAAAATTAAAGAAACAAAAAATCAGAATTTGTAAAATAACAGAATCAGAATCTTAATCAGAATTGTAATTGTAAAAATCAGAATTTAAACCTTTGAAAAATCAGAATTTACAATTTAACCAATCAGAATTTGTAAATTAAAAAAATCAGAATTTGTAAATTAAAAAAATCAGAATTTACAATTTAAAAAAATCAGAATATATTTAAACACTTACAAAGAATTAGTTCTAGCAGCAAATTCCTTCACCTCAACAGAATTAATTACAACAAAAGAAGCGTAAAAATCTTCCCATTGTTGTTTAAATTCATCAACCATTTCAATATTATATTTTTGATTACTAGCTATATATAAATTAATTTTTCTTTTTGGATAATCCAATTCTGATATTTTAATTAAAAATTCTTCAAAATAAGGAATTGGTTTTTGGATGAATATAGACATACAAATTGTTGGTAATAAATGTTCTTTAATGCTATTTTGGTAAGTTTTTAATTTCTAAAAAAGAATTTTTTAAATTATTTTAGTTTGTAATTTTTTCTTAAAAATCAAAAAAAACATAGAAAAATTTTTAAAAAAATTTCTGAATTTTTTTTCTAAAATTTTGCTTAAAAGTCGAGAAATTTCTGCATTTTCTCGTATATTTTTATTAAAAATCAAAACGCCAACATTTTTAGAAACCCGAAAATCTTATCCAAAAATTCTCAAAAATAAAGTTAAACAAACCTCTTCTTTTTGCAAATAATTTTCACCCAAATAATTTTCAAATTGATTCAACAAAATTTTTGCAGGTCCATTACCATGAAGAATTAATGGATAAGTAATGTAGAGAGAATTATAAATCTTTAAAAAAATTAAAAAAAAATAAGTTAAAAGAAAACCATTGCTTCATTATTTTCCTTCCGAATAGTAACAAATTCTTGGGCACCATTCAAATTTTGAAAAATTATTGAAAGCGAGTCCAATCCAATTTTTAAATCATTCTTAAAAATTAAAAAAAATTAGTCTTAAAAAATTAAAAAAACCCGAATATTTTCATCCAAAAATAAATCTGTATAAAATAGTTGATCATCAGCATTGTCAGGTAAATTTTGGTCTTTTGCAATTTCTAACATTTTTAATATTTCTTTGATATAGCCAATAAACATTCCAGAATTTAAATATCTTTAAAAAAATATTTAAAAAAATTTAAAAGAATGAAGTAAAAAATAAAATTAAATAAGTTAAAATAACTAAAATTACTAGAAAAATGATTTTCCCCTAGCAGGATTAGAACCCTTGACCCACCACCCACAAAACCCAAAGTCCTAACCAACCGGCCAAACACATTTACATCAAATCCACATAATTATCGCCCTATATTAATTTTATTTATTTTATACCTTTCTCCAAACACAATAGGAGGATATTTTGAAGCAAGAGATTTATCAGGCCAACAATACGCTTCTGCTCCAAATAAAATTTTTGTTTCGGGGAAGGATGCAAAGAAAGTTCGAAGAATAGTTTCAGAATTTGAATTTATTAGAACATCATAACTGAAAAAATTTTTTTAAGTTAAGAAGAAATTTTGCCCGTAAAAATGTGAGGAACTTTCAAAAATTTTACCCCAGATATTTAGAAAAATAAAATAAAACAAACTAACGCATCGGTAAAAAGAACGATTAAATTGTCATCTTTGTAAGGCAAAAGATTTTCTCGAAGTAAACGTATTTTTTGTGCGCCTCCCTAAAAATAAAAATGTCACGAAGTGGAGGCTTCGAAATTCTATAAATATAAAAAGGCTTCAGACTCCTTCCAATAGTCCAACAAAAAAAAAGAAAAAAATTCTTCTAATATATTGCCTAAAAATAGGTCATGATGGGGTAATGTCCGCAAGTTTAGTCCGCAAATATTCTCCCACTAAAATATGACCCTCCTACAACTCCCCTAAAACCACAACTTTAAAAACTTCAAAAAGAAACCTCAGAATACATATTTCCTCCTTTCCATTCTTCTCCCAATCCAAAAATTTTTAAATCATGTCCAAAATGATGAGCAGATTTTTGTAAACGTTTTAATCCATCAGTTTCTTCTGTTGCTATTGTTACAAATAAAAGTTGTGAGACTTGGTTTTTGTTGTTTGAAATTGAAGAGGAAAATTGAAAAAATAAATTTATTAACAAAAAGATAACTAGCATAACTAAAAAAGGAATTTTTACAAATTTTAGAACAGCTAAAAAACCTTGTAATCAGCAAAAAACCGTCTTCCAAAAAAAAATTTTGTTGTCAAATTGAAAAAAATTAAAAAATGCCAACTGGACAAAAGGTTTAAAGACGCTTTAATCTACTCCCTACTAAAAAAAGAATTAGCAAATATAGTATCTCAGCGAATTTCACATTCAAAAGAAGAAAAAATAAAGTCAAGCAAATATTTATTTCGAATAAAATTTTTTTAAATGTGGATTTATTTAATTAGAGGAGCCAAAAATAAATTAAATTAACAATAAATATATAATTAAAACAAGCCTTTTTCTCCTTTTCAAACTTGGAATTGGATGTGGAAAATTGAAGGAAATTTGAGTAAGAGGTAAAATTTTAGCCCCGAACAGGCATCGATCCTGCAACCTCCTTTTAATAGATCTTAAACCCCCGCCTGGTAGGCGTTTTGAATGCTAGCCAGCTGGATCTTTCTCTTCCTAAATATGGAAATATGAAAAAAAATAATTTTTAAAGAGGATTTCCTTCAGAAAAAAAACCCAAAAGATTTGAAAAAGGTGAGAAATAGGCACAAGACAGTAAATCAAAATTAGATGAGAGAGAAAAAAATATTTTTTAAAATGCCAACAAAAAAATTTCACAAAAAAACATCCTAAAAGGCACCATCATAAGCAAGCTGATCCTCCGGACTCTTCTGAAAAAAATTGAAAGTTAAGGATTTTAAAAAAATTTAAAAATAACCAAAAGTGAACGCATTGATTTCGACGACTTGGGATCCTCCAAAAAGACATGTTTGTAAACAACCTCACCACGTGGAACTTCAACCTCCATCATTGGACTTTCCGCAATTTGTTGAATAGGACTTTCTTCTTCATCAGAGAAACAATCACCGCTAACATCCTTTGCATCCACAAATTGTTTGTCAACAATACCAGCCTCATCATAAAGAGTGTCCTCCAATTCGTTAATTTTCCCCTTGTCAAAATAAGTACTTTTAAGTTGAAATGCAATTGCTGTAGAGACTGACGAAATGTAACCATAAGTATAAAATGTAGGTTTGGTAACAAAATTGTAAGTCCCATTCCCTGCCTCAAAAAAAGGTGGTTGATAATCAATAGGCACTCCTAAAAATAGACAAATATTTAAAAATTCATTAAAAATACCCGGAAAATAAGTAAGCTTTAATTCAGGAGAAACGCCAGCATTTAATGGAGAAAGTTTTTTGGTGACAATGTTGATTTTTTTGATCATGTGTTTGGTTTGGTAACGGAATGCCTTTTCGTCTTTGTATTCAGAAGAGATAATTGGATGACCATCCTCGCTTAAAATGAACTTATTAATGAATAAACTAAAAAATCAAATACTTGACAATGCTGAGTGAATGCTCCTTTTCATAACTAAAGCGGATAATGAAGACCTCCGAAGCAGCCTCCCCCTCATTGATAACGACCAAGACGCTCTCAACCTGTAAATTAAAGGGTGCCGTGTGATTTCGACAGAAGTGAATTGGGCAGTGAATTAAATGAGCAGCAAGATTTGGTCAGTAAACGTTGTTTGAGTCTTATACCAAAAATTTCTAAAAATAATGGGCAGGATATTGTGGCTACCCCTGCCCATAACACTCACTGGCGAAATCTCCAGACAATTAAATAGTAGAGTCCGACAACAAGAAGGGCTCGGAGACTTTAAGCTTTTTTATTAAAATAATGGAAAAAGGGTCCGGACATAATAAACAGGGTTTTCGGGGTTTTACCCCGGACAGCATGGCCCAGATCAGTTCGGAAAAAAACCCAAGTACCGGGCTCTGCTATTTGAAAATGTCGAACTCTATTGAAGTACATCAAAACAAATAAGGCTAGAACTCACATATTTTTTTTCAATAGCCTCCTTCAACCCTTGCATCATTTGCGAAAGTTTTGTCCCCCATCGCTTGCTTGAGTCAAAGCAGTAGATGATTGTATCTAAAATTTATTGTGTATCAAGAAAAAAAGATAAATTAACCGCCAATACGTCGACGCTTGTAAACACCACTCGGAACGATTTTACGGTAAAGAAGGTAATGGGCAATAGCAATGTAACTCATACGGGCCATAAAACGGAGTTGATCAGATTCAAGTTGTTACGAAGCAGGAAAAGCCGTCTCCCAAGAATTTCTATTCGACTTTTTTTGGACCATTTTTCAAAAGAAAATAAAGTAGAGAAGAAAATAAAGTATAGGTTTTAAAGGAAACAATCTAAAAAATAAAAAGTGGATTTGAAAACAAAAAAAGACCACAACTTAAATAACAAAAAAATAAGTGACAGCCAGCCACACCCCTACAAAAACAAAGAAAAGACAAATACAATAAAAGTGCTTTTATAATAATTTATAGACGAGAGAGTACAGCTTGCAGACAACTAGAGAAAAAAAGGAGACAGAACGCCAAACATTTAAAATAAAATATAAATTCAAATCCAGTTAACGGACGAAGAACAAAATGAGCTTAACGAGGTCAGATTTCTCAAAAAAATTTTAAGAACTTCAATCAACGACCTCTTCTCTCATTAAAACAAGTTAAAAAAACAACAATTAAACGACTTTATGCTCCTAAAAAGAAGATTTTTAATCTTTTTTCCTTCCTAAATTTTTAAAAAATCAATAAATATCGTATTTTTCACAAATATATTTGTAAATATCCCTTGGTGTCTTCATTCTATCAGAATCACCATCCGGAATTTCAAAGTCAAATTCATCCTCAAGTGCTATAATTACCTTAAAATTGAAAAATTTTTAAATGGAAGTATCAAAATTTTTGAAAAAAATTAAAACCAACGAATAACCGGAAACAAAAAATCTAGGGGTACTCATTCCCTCCCCCACCTCTAGAGTTGATGAACCAAATAGTCTTTATACACCTTTAAGAATGAGAAAAAGAGAAGGAAATCTGTAAAACCCAAAAATGCCCTTATCATCTCAACAGGTAATTTCCAGATGTTTGGAAAGAACTTTACAAAAACAAAATAGAGTAATACTGAAGGGACACATTTCCTAACCCCTCTTCATAAAAAAAATTTAAAAAAAATTTAAAAAAAAACAAAAAAAACCTCAACAAAGTCGAGCGAATCAAGTCCAAGATCTTTAAAAAAATCAGAATCCAAAGTCAACTTATCATTGTCGATTTTATCAAAGAGATTTAGAACAAGCATTATACGGTCTTCAACAATCCTTTTGGTTAATGGATCCTTAAAAAGCATTTTTTAAATATAAATAAAAATGATTTTTATTTAAAAAATTATGTCGGGAACCCCGAATATAATTTTTTGCGGACAGAACATAAAATGTACTTTAATTAAAAACAATAAGCTATTTTCTAGTGGAATAATGTCCTCAAATGTTTTGCGGACATCTCCCCTTCCCGATAAATTTTGCCTTCCTTAAATCTTGGGGGTACAGGGAAAAAAAATTTTTAAATGTCCGCAAATGTTTTGCGGACAAAACACAATACTTTTATTAAAAATCCTTTTGGTTAAAAAGGATATTTGAAAAAAAGGATTTTGCCTTTCTTATCATATGGATACAGGAAAAAAATTATTTTCAATTTAGTTTAATAAACATTTTGCTCAAAAAATGTCCGCAAATGTTTTGCGGACATTCCCCCTTCCCCCACAAATTTTGCCTCTAACTACCTTGGGGGTACAGGAAATAACGTCCCTTCTCCCAACCAAATTTTAACATTTAAAAAACCTTTGCTTACATGCACAACAAATCTTTTTTGTTCAAAAACATAATTATTTAAAGCCTTTCCAACAACAAAAGAATTATTCTTAAAGCATTCCATATTATTTTTTCCAATTGAAATTATTCCTGTTGATGATGCCGACTTTGTTTGAAAATGACGAAAAGTTGTTTTAATTATTTGTTTATTTAATTTAATAAACATTTTTCCGAGAAAAAATAAATTTTTTTTTGAAAAAGAAAATCTAAAGAAAAAAAAAGGTTAGAGAAAAAGAAAATAGTACTGAAAAATAAGAGACGGCAGAGAAAAACCTCTTGTATTTTATAAAAAAAGCTAAAAATTTTTTTTGAATGAAATAAATTAAAAAAATATAATTAATGGAATTTAAATCCAGAAACTAAAAAAAATAATTTAGAAATCAAAAAAAAAATAAAAACAAAAAAAAGTTAGAGAAAAAAGAAATAGTATAGAAAAATAAGTGACGACAGAGAAAATTCTCTTTAATTCATATACTATTTCTTCTTTTCTCTCACCACTTTAATGTTTTATTTTTTATTTATAAATTGTTTAAAATAATAAAACCAAAATAATAAATTATCAAAACTATTTTCATTAAAATTATTATTAATTCCATTTGTAGCAATATAATATTCTTTACAAGCAAAATATATTGCTTCTATTGTTGCTAGATATTCTGAGTGAAAAAAATTTTTTTAATTAAGCAAAATTTAGACGAGAATTTTAAGCAAATATTATTCCCAAAATAATTTTTTTGTCCGCAAAATATTTGCGGACATTCATTAGACTTTGTTACGCAGAAAAGTAACAAGAAAACGGGTACATAGAAAGTAAGGGGATCGTGGTGCGACACTTGAGGATTTGATTCGACCTTTGAGACTCTTGAGTTAAAAGTCGATCCTCCAAAGGTCTCAGAAGTCAGTCCAAGCCAGCTCCTCAAATGTCGGTCCTTAGAAGTCAAATCCTCAGGTATCGGATAGCCAAGGGGATCGTGACATGTCCTAGAAATCAATAAAATTTCAAGTCAAAATCCGCAAAATTTGTCCGCAAATCATCAAAAAATAATTTAAAATAATCTTCCATTTCTACGCAACCTAACCAAACCCCATTCAAATTTTTATTTAAAAAAAAACCTGAAGAAAGCCCTTTTTGAGGTCTCCAATATTCAGTAGAATAATTAGATAAATGAATCCAAGGCAATTTATTTAATTGTGGAAGACTTTTTAATGTTCCAATAGTATTCCAAGTTGAATCCAAAACTATTAAATTGTTTATATTTCCATTAGTTAACAAATATTGATTGATAGGAATTGAATATTTTGATGGACATAAAATTACAGTTCCTGGCCTGAAATTTGAGAAAAGTTTAAGCAAAAATTTTTCTGTCCAGGATAAAGTACGAAAAAAAGTTGTTGAATGAATATAGGGGACAAGCTTAATTTAAGGGGATAACAGAAATTTTAGATCGAGAGTCGCAAATTTACTCTAGAGCGAGAGTAAATTCTGGGTTTAAATTATAGATATTCGTTGACATAGTCTGACATAAGACTTGATTTCGGATTCGCTTTATTGACAAGAAAAATTCCCGGCCATACTTCAATCCTGACCGAAACTTGAATTCTAAAAAAATGTATGTCTTTGCGAATCACACAAACAAATAAGAAAAACCTTTCCAAAATTTTAAATAAAAAATAATTAAAAAAACCTCAACTCGTAGTCAGGCACATCAACAAAATTATCAAAAATTTTAGTTTGTTCTGGTGCTAACAAAACAGCATGAACAGCTGTAGATTTTCCATCACGTTCCAAACGATGCTTTATAATATCCACATTAAAAGGTAACTGAAAAAAATTTTTTCAAAAAAATTTGCAAAAAATTCCCAGGCCTATGAGTTTTTTAGTTTAACCCAAAATCAAAACTTATGAATTTTCCTTTTTCCAAAATTGAACCGAACTGAAGATCCAAAGATTTTTTTATTCGGTTCTAGATGTTCGTAGATTTTCCAAGAACCAACAACCCTATTTTCTAGACTCTTAACTAACCATCCCTTGCTCGCAAATTTATGGATTAAAAGAATTCTCCCCCATCATTTTGACTTTTTTAAATTTATAATAAAACGTTAATGTCTAAAAGAAAAATGTCCAGCCACAATTAAAAATATTAAAAAAAATTTCCCCACGTGTTCAAGAACTTTTCCTAATTTAAAGTCCATCCCACTATTCATCTATTAAAAAATAAAAAAAATTAAAAAACCTTTACTTTAGGCACAAAATCACCAACATTTTCAATATAAATCCGACAATTCTGAAAAAATTAAAAAAATTCAAAAAAAAATTTTTAAAAAATACATAACAAAAATACATCCTTTTCCTTCCACATAATTTACAATTAAACCGTTTTTTAATTTTTTTAATTGGTTCAAATGAAGATAATTGAAGAGAATTAAATAATTGTTGAGAATCTGTTGTTGTTGTTGCAATATCCATTTTTTATTTTTAAAAATAAAAAAAAAATTTTTAACAAATCTGAACCCGCCGAAATACCAAACCCTTAAAATCACTCAAAATACCAAACTGAAAAAAACCTTTTAACCTTTCCGCTTTTCAAAAATCTATCCAATAAAAATGAAGATTGCTCCACAAAACAATCTCCACATGCTAATCTTCAGCGCCTTTTGAAGATTTGGTATTCCAGCGTTTGATATTATGGCATCATACGAAAATAAATAAAAATATTTTAGTTAACTTTAACTAAATACCTAAAATAAAAAAAATTGATAAAAAAATTTTTTCTCGTCTTTAACATTTAACGGCATAGCTGTATAAATTTTCTTTTTAAATTTATAAACAAATCACAAAGAAATTTTTTTGTTCTGACGGAAACAAACAAAAAATATCAAATTTGTTCAAAAAATGTCGAAAACGGTCAACGAAATTTTTAAAAAAATTTCTGACTGGATATTATATTTAAAAAAAATTTTTCCCCCAAATTTTAAAGGTTTCCATCAAAACAAAATTTAACAAAAAAATAAACTCTCAATTTTATTTATTTTTTCAAACCGTAGAAGAATTAACCAAGCGTTCACTAAATTCTTTAATCATTTGAGGTCCTCTAACTTCAGACTCTAATAACGGCAATTTTGTGATATGAAAGTCCTCATAAAGCTCAGAAATCTACAAAAAAATTTCTTAAAAAATTTCAAAAAATTTTGTGACAAAATGTCAAATTTTCTTCTCAGTGACCAAATGTCACACTTTCGTCACAGTGACCGAATGCACAAAAAATTTTTCAAAAATTTAAAAAAAATTCCAAACCTGTTCCAAATATTTTTGTTGAATATTATATCGAGACTGGCACTTTTTACAAGTAATATTTCCCTTGGCATCCTTTTCAGGGAATAATAATTGATTAACAATAATATTGTGAACATCAATTTCCTTAAAAAAAATTTTTTTGAAAAATTTTCAAAAAGAAAAAAACCTGTTTAGTCAATTCTTGAACAAGCCGTTCAGTCTCATACATTGACAAGAATTCGGCAATACAAACACAAACAAAGGTAGTCAAATTCTGTTGAAAAAGAAAAAAATTTTTGGGGTTATGAAGGAAATATGTCTCCTGCCCCTACACCCATTCAAATTAATTCGGTCATCATTGACCATTTTTTCATAAACCAAGTAGAAAAGGAATCTAACAAAAATTAAGAGGAAATTTAAAAAAAAAATGACTATAGGTTCATGGAAAAACTCATAGGAAACCTTTGAATATCCGAAAGCGAACCTAAGTACCGAACCAAAAAATTTCCTAAGTTCCTCGGTTCAAGTTCAAACCGACAATCCTAAATTACTATTTTCGAGTAAAAAGAGGAACCCTCTGAGAAAGAAAAAAGGAAACCCTCCCGTTTATCAGAAAGACAGGAAAAAAATTTTCCTAGGCAAAAAAATTTCTTTTTCACTTACCGGATCTTTAAATTCCCCATTTATTTGTCGAACAATTTGTAAAGTTTCTTCCAATTTACTAGCTGTAGACTCCATAGAAATATCATTTAAACCCAGCATTGGAGTTATTTGTGAAAACATTGGAAGAAATTGTGATTTTAATGCCAAAAATTTCCCCAAACCTTTTTCTATAACAGAAGGAAATTGAAGAAGACGTAAAGTATGTCCTGTTGGTGCTGTATCGAACAAAACAATTTCAAAATCCATTGATTGAACGAGTCTAAAAAAATTTGAGTTAAAAATGATAATACATTTTAAGTAAAAAAGTGCGCAAGTTTTGTCCGTGAGTTTTTTAAGCCGCAAAGTTACCTGGAAAATTTTAAATAAAATTTTGGGAAAAATATATATCGTTTGGATATACCTTCCAATGAAATAGAATGTTTATTTCATTCTTCCCAACTTAAAAATAATTTTGCGGATAAAACTTGCGGACTTTTAATTATTAGCTAAAACTAGGTTGAGGATTCCAAATATCTAAACCCGAAAAAAGCCAGACGCCCAGAAATTTCGTGTTCTGAAATTGGTTCCGGATCAGGAAATCCGAAGATTTCCTAGGAACCGTCAACTAAGTGCTTATTAAGACAAAATAACGCAAACTTTATCATTTGAGAAAAACTCGTTGCCTCATCAATCCCCGGCAGACCACCAGCAAATTCTGCAAGAAGCTTCTTTCCAGCAGAGAAAATATCTACACAATATAAAAATAATTCTTTCCACTATAAATAAAAAAAACCTCCTTTGCCTTCATCTTGTCCCATAGATGGATGTTCACCATCACCCAGTCCTGTACCATCCACTTCCATTGCATATAAATTATCAAATCCATTTACTTTAGAAGGCACGCTGTTAAATTTTTGACTGAAAGCATCAGAAATATTATGCGCCGGGTCTGTTGAAATTATTAAAACTGAACGACGATCTTTTGCTAAACGGACAGCCAGAGCGCAGCTAAAAGAAAAATTGAAGTCTCTTCATTAAAAATTTCAAAGAAAACCTGCACGTCGTCTTGCCAACACCTCCCTTTCCACCAACAAAAACCCACTTCAAACTGCGCTGTTCTATAACATTTTTCAAGTTAGATTCAAGTTCTGGTTGTTGTTCCATACTTTTAATTTTTTTTAAATTAAAAAAATTTTAAAGAAATAAATCAATAAAATAATCGATATATAATGTTAAAACATGAAAATTTAAATGATACATATAATTAAAAATTTAATATCTAAATTAAAAAAGAGAACACAAAAAAAAATTGGATCGAAATAAATTAATTTAGGAATTAAAAAAATTACTAGTGTAAATTATAAAACGATAAAAAAATTCCGCCTACAAGCGGACTCGAACCCAGGCCCTCTCCCCCACAAAATCTAACACCCTAACCAATACACCACACCATAAGCTATAAAAATTTAAATTTTCCCCTTTACACTAGTAAAATAAAAAGTCACAAAATTGACTATAATTAATTTTAAAAATCATTTGAGATCCAAAAACATGCACAAATATCTCTATAATTAAGGAATAAATAAATTAAGCTCAAAAAAATTTCCTGATCTCCTTATAATAAATTATATAAATAAATTTAACAACTATTATTTGATGTATTATTACTACTTGAAGAATTGCTAAATTGTTCAGAAATATTTTCAACTTCCTCCTCATCATCAGCTTCCATTTCAAAACCAAAACATTTTGATACAGGCTGAAATGTTGTTGGTGCTGCCCTTGGTTGTAATGGACGAATAATATTATTGATTTTGTTGACTGGTTTAATAAATTCAAATAAATCTGTTGCCCCTAATTGCTCCAATTCTTCTGTCTTTTCAGCTATTTGGTCTCGTATTATTGTCTAAAAAAAATTTTAAAGTTAAATTTTCTTACATAAATAATCTATTTAAGTAGCTTTATTGCCCAATCAAATACAGCAAGAAAAAAAACGCCAACAAAAAATAATCTCTGTGGCTTAGTGGGAAAATTTTAAGAAAAAGATAGAGGGGTCGAAGGTTCGAACCCCGCCAGGGAAAATATTTTTATTACAAACTGGAATTGATTAGAGGAATTCAAAAAAGTTTTCGGACATCCTCTAGACACCCCTAATATTTTTAGAAACTCAGTGAAGCGTCAAAAGTTATCAAATACTCCCGAAATCAAACAAAAAATCCTCTAAACCCTATTAAAAAAATATTAAAAATAAAATTTAAAAAAACCTTTGCACTATTAATTATTCTTTTAGCTTGCATTAGATTTAATTTTCCTTCCAAATCTCCAATTAATTTTTCTGGTAAAACTTTAGCTATAGACCCAACAGTTTTATAACCATGTTCATAAAGAAGTCTAGCTCTTCCAACCTTTACACAATCAATTGAAAGTAAAGGAATTAATTCTTGACGAGCACATTCAGAAAGTCTCTATAAAATGTATAAATAAAGAGGCAAAAATTCTTTTAAGAATTTAAAAGATTTTGTAAAACCACAAGAGATAAAATGTCAATTTTGTTAAGGGAAAAAATTCATTAGATTAATTAGAATAGTTAAAGTCGCCTTCAATTTCTAAAAGATTACCAAATTAAATCCAGAGCAAAGGCAAAGAACCAACAAAGTCTACCACAGTGGCTTAGTGGGAAAATGTTAAAGAAAAAACTGGAGGTTTAGAAGGTTCGATCCTATCAGTGGAAAATATTTTTATTAAACGACACACCCAGTTGTATAAGAAATACCCCAACAGAATGATAAAAAAAATCCTCAACAAACCTTAATCATTTCAGGCAACAAAGAACGTAAAGCCCATAAAGAAGGCGTCCTCTCTGCAAACCGAATAATTGAACTTGCTTGTGCCAAAGCTGATTGTAAATTAGATTGAAGCCATCCTCTCGGAACATCAAAATGTTGTGCAACCTCCCAAAGTGGACGTTGTTCCCAAATTTGACGAAGCATAAAAGCAACATAAAAACGTTGAGCTTTGACAGAAATATTCTTTGTGAAAAAAGATTTTTAATTTAGAAAAAAAAATTAAAAAAGAAAAACCATTTTATTTGAAGCATACAAAATAAATTGCACAATTGTTCCCTCTGTAAATCCCATTAAATGAAGTAGATCACGTTCTTCTTTTTTTAAAGTTAAATACTGAAAAAAAAGATTTTTTTACAAAAAATATTCTCAAAGAAAGGAAGCTAGGATAGGACGGATTGACCAAAATTCAAAAGGACGGTTTGAAATAAATTCAAAATTTTCCTCACGATCCTAAGAAAATTATGAAAACCCGACCAGAATCCCAACTTTCTCCTCAACCCGTCCATCACCAAAAGTAAGGTAGATGGAAACGAAACTGTTCACAAAAATGTGTTCTCCGAGGACTTTAAAAATCTAATAGCCCCTTAAAATACCAAAATCAACTAATTTATGGTTAGCTTAACAATCTGTTAAGAGCTCCAGCTCGGCAAAAATACAAGAAAAGCCCAAATTTCCTAAAAAAACTAAAAAAAACCTCATTATGAAATAAATTCCAATCTAAATTAGATACTTCCACATCCATTTGAACACAATTATAGAGAAGATGAAAATGTGAAGATAAAACAATTCCTTGACTCAAATTTTCAGAAAGATCTTTATTTATATCCAAAGCAACTTGAGGATTAAAATTTGCATTGAATGTAGCTATTCCAATTTGTGTAGAAAAGAAATGGTCCTTCAAAAAATAAAAAAATTCTAATAATAAGATAAAATGTCATCTCACCGAAGCGAGCCATAAAACTAAATCGACGAAAAGCCAAACTGTGGAATACCAAATTGCTTAAGACCTCCCCCAGATTAAAGGCATTCCCCAGATTGGCCTTACGTCGTTTAAACATTACGGAGTCTATCCTACCCAAAATCGTACACCGGGGTCGGTTTGATCTTACCCATCTCTTACCCAAAAAATTAAAAAAAACGAACCACTTCAGGTTGCAAAACCATTTGATTAACAAGTAAAGACTGAACCGTTTTTTCTGTTAATATACGAAGTTCAGTGTCATCATGTTTTTGAATTCCATAAAGAGACTTTTTAAATATTTGATATAATTCATCTATTGTAGAACATATCTAAAAGGACGGGAAAAAATAAAAAGATTAATAAGTATAAAAATAGGCAGAAAAGTTTAATAAAACAGGGATGGGCTTTTCCATATTTTAAAAAGCGGGAGACAGATAAAACTATTAATTTTTAAATTAATTTTTATAAGCGGAGAGGCACCCAACCCAAACACACAAAAAGATTCTAAAAATACATGACGGGATAAATTGTCATCTCACCTACAAAATCATCAATTTATTAAATTTTTTTAAATAATGCTAAACTAGAGATCGGTCTGGATCTGGACCCAGTCTGGATCTGGACCCAGTCTGGATTTTTCCTGGATTCAGAATCCAGATCCAGGGATTTTTTGATCGTCAGAATTTTTTCCGGATGCAGAATCCTGTCCAGGTTACTAATCTAAATCTAAAATACAGATCCAGAATTTTTGAAAATTCCTATCCCAGCACTAACCCCATTAATAATTTAATAAATTAAAAATAAATTTTATCAAACCTTCAAAACAATCAAATCCAAGAAAAAAGCTTCTCTTTGTTGATCATCACAGAGTCCACTAATACACGGTTCCAACGGATTATTTAACATATTACGCAACTAAAAATTAAATTTTTTCTTCAATTTAAATCCAAAAAACTTAACCGCAACGGATTCTGTCCCATTCTTTACAATAGTTATGCAATCACCTTTTTCATCTAACCCTGCTCTCCCAGCCCTTCCAATCATTTGTAAATATTGCGACTTTTTTAACATTTGTTTACCAATATGTGGACTTCGAATAATTACTCGTCTAGCAGGCAAATTAACTCCGGCAGCGAGTGTTGAAGTACAACAAATTATTGAAATAATTCCGGTCTGTAAAAAAGGAAAATTTTTTAATGATCAAATAAGTTGCAACGGTGTAGCCAGAGGGCCAAAGTAGACGCCAAAATTTCTGGCGCACAGCTCCATTTTAGCCCACCCTGAAATCGACCCCTTGGATAAGAAAATCAACCTAATGCTTGGATCTTTTTAGAACAATACGCTTATAAAGAATTTAGAAAGTAAATAGTATTTACAGCCCCGTCATTATTTTTTAGCATAAAACAAACAAATTCAAAGAAAAACTGCCAACAAAAAGAACAAACAAATAATAAAAGTTGAAAAAAGAGGAAAAATTCTTTTCCTAACTAAAAAGTGACAGAACATTAAATCGAAAAAATGGTAAAAATAGACTTAATTTAAAGAGTTTAATCGATCATCGTGTTCATTCAAAATGCAAATTTTGAATGACAATAGCTCGACACCGAGTCACTTTACTACTTCTCAAAAGGAAGTAGTGGGTTCTCTATAGAATGGTACCAATAAAAAAGACAAGAAGCCTCGACCAGGAATCCCGAGTACCACGTCCCCCTACCATTTTGTCTTTTTACTCATTTGTCCAAAATTTAAATTAACTTTCAAAAAAACCTTATAAGCAGCTTCAACCAATAAACGTTCATCATTTGTAAGTCCAGAATGATGATAAGCAACACCACTTTTTATTCCAGCCTCCAAAATTGGACAAATCCTTCCTTCATGTTCGTCTTTAAGTTGGGATAAAATGGCAAGTCTTTCTTTTGAACGGTGTTCTCGAAATTCTCTTTAAAAATTGAAAAATTGTTAAAAATACGTGGCAAACAAAAAAATTTGAAAATTGACCGAAAAGACAATTCACCGACTTTTTTTTATATTTTTAGTGGTAAAATGAGGGAAAATGTCACCAAACAGACAATTCACCGATTTTGTGATTTTTAGGGAGTGGACGTACTAAAGGGAGAAAAAGTCTATTTAAAATCGTTTTATGAGAAAAATATCCAAAAACAAAGTTAATTTAAAAAAAATAAAAAAACAAACTGAGGACACAAATTAGTCAACAATTTACACAAATTTTCACAATTCATTTTTGTAGGGCAAAATATAAGCACTTGGCCTTGCATAAGATTGCCTAGAAGAAATACAATTCCATCAGTATCACGACGAAGGGATCCATAAAAATATAAAACTATATTATTTAATAGAAAATTGAAACAAAATTGAAAATTGACCGAAAAGACAATTCACCGACTTACGAAAAGACAATTCACCGACACTATGTCACCAAACAGACAATTCACCGACACTATGTCACCAAACAGACAATTCACCGACACTATGTCACCAAACAGACAATTCACCGACACTATGTCACCAAACAGACAATTCACCGACTTACCGTTTTTAGAGTTTAAACACGTTTATTGACTTAAATAAAAAAATCCGCTTACATTTTTCTTAGGTAAATTCATTTCAATTGTCCAATTTCCTTCTTTATCCAATGAATATAATTTATCTTGCATTTTAATTCTTTCAACTAATTTAACTGGACGAAAATTTGTTCGAAATTTTTTTGCTGAAAGAAATTGGCATAATTCATCAACATTTCCTAAAGTTGCAGACATTCCGATTATTTGAATTTGTTGTTGATTTTGTTGGTTAAACATTAATTTGCAAAGACTTTGTTCCAAAATAGCACCACGTCCGCCAGCTTCTCCTAGCATGTGTAACTTAAAAATAAATTGAAAATTTAAATGGTCAAAGTTCAAAACGGTCAGAAAATTTTTTCCCAGCATAATTTGAAAAAATTGTCAAAAATAAATTTAAAAACGTCAAGTTTCAAAATGGTCACGGTAAAATTAAAAATGGTCAAAGCTCAAAACGGTCAGAAAATTTTTACCTCATCGACAACCACCATTCCAATTTCGTTCATTCTCCCTTTCTCAAGCATTGAATTTATCAAACCTTTAGCCTTTTCAATTGTGCAAACATAAATAGAATAAGCATTTCTGTGTTTAATTGGAGGAAATCTTCCTTTAGAAGCAGCATATTCTTCAATAATAAAACCAAGCTTTTCGCTGAGACGAGAAAGAGAAATAATCTGAAAATGATTTTCTTAGGGTTAAGAAAGGAAACGAGGGACCTAGACAAGTTCCCTCTTTTTAATGGCCCCCCTTGGTGTAGTCGGTTAATGTTTGCGCCCCTCCCTAATAGGTCTAAGGTTCGAACCCGGCTGGCGGTCAAAGGTTTTATTTTAATGTAAAAATAATTTTATCGATTAAAAATACAGAAATAGGTGTCGAAAATATTTTTCAAATAATTTTTGACAAAAATTTAAAATAACCTTTTCCTGTACAATAGCAACATAAGGCAAAATTAAAATACAACTTTTACGTTTAATTAACAATTCTCTCAACAAAAGTAATTCTGCAGCAAGTGTCTTTCCTGCACCCGTAGGTAACCATAAAACAAAATTTTTACGTTCAATTATAAGTTGTTCATCTTGTAAAAATTCTTTTTGCCAATCTATTTTTAAAAAAAAAATTTAATGTTTTTTGGTGTAGTGGGTAAGTGTTTAGTTTCACCAAAAAGGGGTCGAGGGTTCGAACCCGTTTGGTGAAAAACTATTTTTATTTTAATAGGAAACAATTTTCATGGTTAAAGCACTAATAGAAAAGTAATTATTTTTGTCAAAAAATTTTTTGACAAGCTCTAAAACCCCATAAATCCGACTAAACCCCTCCTTCCACAAAACCACCCAAGACGAATCCTTTTTAAAATTAAAAAAAAAAATTAATTAAAAAAATAAACCGTAAAGTGAATTATTAACCCCTTTAGCTTCTTTATAAATATTCCATACATCCATTTAATTAAACAATATTTTTTTAAAAATAAAACAAAAATGAAGACATTTTCCTGAAAAACATTTTCCGGTAAAAGTGTCGTTTCCAGTCCCCCTTTTTCATTTTATTATATGTATATGTACAGAACGATTTGATTTTATTTTTTTTTCATCCCAATCTGCGAAAGAACTGAATAAAAAAATATGTAATCGTTCTTGATTATTTGTTGGGATGGAAGGAGTCTGTCCATTCTGACAAATATAGGGAAAAAATTTGAGGATAAGGGGGACGGGAAACGACACTATTACCCATTCTCCTTTATTTCAGAACTTTATTGTACCATTTTCAATTTTTTTTCGGAAAGCTTAGATAAATATGAAAAAAAAAAACAAAAAACGATGAGGACCACACAAAAACAGAACAAATATAAATCTAATTCATCAACGCATGCAAAAAATTCTAATTATGCATTAAATCTCCCCGGCTTCAATTTCCCAAATTATTTGCTTCATAATCGCAAAAAATCTTTAGAAAGACCTGCTATCGAAACTAGAGGTCGGCAAAATCGCATTCCCGGGATCCCAGAACGGGATTCTTATCGAAATTTTGAACGGGACGGGATCCCGCGGGATTAATCCCGGTAATCCCGTTTGTCGCTAAAAACCCGCGATTCCGGGACGGGATCCCGTAAAATCCCGTACGGGGTCCCGTCCTGTGCCGAGCTCTAATGGAAACTAGTCAATTTTCGTTCTTTTCATTTTTCCCAATCTTCACTCAGACTCTAATTACATTTTTAACATTATGAAATTTTTACCTTTTGAAATTTCTCTTTCAATATAATTTCAAAATGTAAATTTTCGGTTCATAAATTGATTTTTTACTTAGATGTTTTACTATTTAAGTGCCGACTTTAACCTTGTTTTTTCATTCCTCATTCATTTTGAATTTTAGTGTTTATTGATTACTATTTTCAGATTTGTTTATTATACATAATATATTTATTCTCAAAAAATGGGAAATGTTTTTAGTCGTAATGGTCGGCAGCGGCTTCGGGATGACCCTTTAATGACTGATGAACTTCGGCTTCGTGCTCTTTTTGCTGAACTCCGTGCAGAACTTCGTGCAGAACTCCGTGCTGAATTTAATGAAGTGAATACATTCATCCGTGAGCAAGTTGAACTTAATCGGACTTTTACTCAACGTTTGGATGGCATTGATGCCCGTTGCGGTTGCGGTTTAAATCGAGAAGAGGGAGAAGAAGGAGGGGATGATGGAGAGGTCATTGTTCAACAGGACAATGACGATGGACAGGACGTTGACGAACAACCGGAGGATGCCGGTGATAGCAGGAGCTCATCGCTTGAAGTTAACGTTAGCGACAACAGCAACAGGACTTTGACTCCAGACGACCCCAGACCTATGAGTAACTGCCGTTCAAAAAAAGCAAAGTGTTGTAGCTGCAAAATCAAACCTGACACCTCTGCTCCAAAACCAAAGAAGGCCAAATGTGTCGGCAGCAAAATTAAACCTGATACCTCTGCTTTAAAACCAAAGAAGGCCAAAGGTGTCAGCCCCAAAGTTAAGCCTGACGTCTCTGCTTTAAAACCAAAGAAGGCTAAATGTCTTGTCAGCCGCAAAATCAAGTCTGACATTTTTGTTTTAAAACCAAAGCAGGTTTTTCTAATTTTTATTTTAATATATTCATTTTTTAAACTTCAGTTTGTCACACGTTTAAGTCTTGTTGTAACCTTCCAAAATGGTTCTGAGGGATTGGTTGTTTCTGCGGTTACATTTACTAAGGAGTTTGCTGAGTAAGTGTTTAGTAGAAAAATATACGTTTATCAACTAAATTTAGTTGGCCTTTTGATACAATTCTTCTGAAAATTGGACATTCGATAATGCATCTGCCTTTCCCTGACCCAGGTTGTGTTAACCAAAAAATTCTTTAAAAAATTCATTTTTAAGTTATGGTTTTCTATAAAAGCATTTTGTTCCATTGTGGTGCATTGGACAAGTCTTTTAGCAAGCCTCAGTTGGATGGAAATTTGAAGGCTTTGGTTGTAAAGGTTTTTTAAAGTTTATTTTTTTGATAGTTTAACTTTTTCAAGGAGTCTTCTTGTATTCGTTTGGAGCTGAAGCGTGTTGTTGTGCTTGTTATTTGCTCCAAAAAATTTCCGGTTAATGGCTCTTATTTGGCTGCTGAGGATGTTCGGGACTTGCTTGAGCAGTGTGATAAGGTTTTAGTTTAATCTTAAAAGTTATCTTAAAAGTTTATGCCCAATAGGGCCTAAGTACACTTTACCGGGCGATTTTAGATTTTTATGATTTATATGTCAATCGAAAGAGCTCGGCGAGCTGAGTCGAATGACACCAAAATTATCCCGCGGACTCAACTATGAACCGAGATATGGGTCCCCAAAAATCGAAAAACCATAGGGGGGACCAAGCACTTTTTGGGGGTAAAAAATTCGAATATGCAAATTATACCTCATTCGAAAGAGCTCGTCGAGCTGAGTCGAATGACACCAAAATCACCGTGATTGAATAAGATAAGACTAAGTTATGACACAAAATCAAACAACGTAAACCTATGGGTCGTCGGCGAGGCGCTTGTGCAAAACCCCGCGCTTCGCGCGGGGTTTTGCGGCACGCGCCTCGCGGGGAGTCTACGGGTGCTGGGTCTGGGCTCGTAACATAAACCTATTCCTATCTCCCTTGCTCTGTACGTATTTGGGGCCTCCGTAGCAGCAAGAATCTCCACCGATGCCATAGGTAAGGAGCTAAAATAAAAGAGCATAACTTTGTCAAATTAAGTCGGATTTCGTTGATTTTGGTGTCATTCGACTCAGCTCGCCGAGCTCTTTCGAATGAGGTATAATTTGCATATTCGAATTTTTTACCCCCAAAAAGTGCTTGGTCCCCCCTATGGTTTTTCGATTTTTGGGGACCCATATCTCGGTTCATAGTTGAGTCCGCGGAATAATTTTGGTGTCATTCGACTCAGCTCGCCGAGCTCTTTCGATTGACATATAAATCATAAAAATCTAAAATCGCCCGGTAAAGTGTACTTTAGCCCCCAATAGTTTTTTCTCATATTTGGAAATGTAAATGATTTTCCTAGATTCCACCCGGGTTCTAAGAATTGACAGGGATTCCTCCTTTTCGTTAAATTTTGTTCTTTTATGATTTTCAGATTTGCGGGCTTAGCTTTTTGTGCATATTTATTGCAGACAATACAAAGTGGATTTCTCTTCAAACACCAAGTATGTAGCAGAGAGGTTTTTAAAAATTATAGGAATTGTTTCAACATATAAAATCTTTTACGATTTTTGAAAAATCCCTCAATCTCGCGCGTGATCACACAAATTTAAAATGCGGGTTTATTCCCGCGTGATCCCGTCCCCCAGAATTTAAAAAATTTTTATCCCGCGGGATCCCGCAAACGCGATTTTGCCCGTTTCTAGTTGAGAGTTGTCGGTTATTCTCAATTTTCGGTCATTTTATTTCTGACCATTTTAATTTTTAAAATAGCTCATTATTATTTTTTAGTTTTCTTGTCACAATTCTTGGAGAATAATGGCCTTATGGTTGACCAAAATCGCCTACTGCCTTCATTAAACAACACTCTATTCTCTTCACCTCTTCAATTTCCAACAAATCAAGAACAATTTTCTTCAATTATTGGCCAGACTCCAATTAATTTAATGTCAAGGAATGAAGGTTATAATGGTGGATATGTCCTTTTAATGAAGAAACTTATCAAAAAAGCAGCAAAATGTTGGTACCGAAAACAGCAGAACTGGTATTCGACAACTTTGGTGGAATAAATAGGTAAAAATTTAATTTTAAAATTCTTTCATACTAGAAAATAAAATTCTGATTTTTCCGGAGAGTTTTTTTGTTTTTATAAGATTTTCTTATATTCACAGACCTTAGGTTTTTCTCATATTTGGGAATGTAACTGATTTCATATGTTCCACCCAGGTCAATGAAAATTGTAAAAAAATTACTCCACACTTATTTTATTCACTTATTTCAGATTATGAATTTTGTTGGAAGCGGAGGATGATGTTGTTGCATTTTATTTTTCCCGATGAGGAAGTGATGACTGAATTTTTGGTTATAATTTATTATTTATTACGAATTGACTCTCTTAAAAATTAGACTAAAAACCTCACATAAACATATCTCATTTTTTAAGACCTCCAAAAAATTTACTTAAAAATACAAAAGCCTTATAATTTTTTTATTTGTTTTCCGGGTTATTTCATTTTCGTTTCATTTTCTTTTATCTTTTTATCATTTTCTTTTTTCCAGGAATGTTTAGGAAAATGTAGCCTTCTTTATTTTTTCCGGAAAATATTTTCTTTAAATGTTTTTATTCTCTAAAAATGTATATATTTTTTTATGTTGATTTTTTTTCGAAATTTTAATTTAATTTTTTTTTGCTTTTTATCATTTTCTTTTTATCATTTTTATTTTAAAATGTATTTTTAATTTATTATAATTTAAATTATTCTCAGAATTTTAATTAAAAATTTGCCTAGAGACTTTATTTATTTTTGACTAGCCTAGTAAATAACACACAATTCACCCCAGTTTTCTTCGTTCTAGCCAAAGAACGGCAAAACTTTATGCAGTTTTTTCAAATTCATGAATTGGTTGAATTATAATAATCCCCTTGGAATAATTTTTTCCTGAAATATTTAGTTTTTTGAATGTGTTTTCTTCCACTTTTATCGAATTTACAAATCCATCAGCCCCTAGAAGTTGGAGAAAATTATGATTTTTTAATTGTTATTAGAATCAAGGGACAATCCAATTAAAATGTCTTTCTAAAATATACAGAGCCCAGAAAACACTATAAAAGTAACCAAAAACTGCTATAAAAGTAACCACTATAAAAGTAACCAAAAAATTTACAAAAATAATTTCTTCGAGCGGACTCGAACCCGTGACCTCAAAATAATATTTCTTTGAGAAAGACATAAAAAACACACTTCAAACTAACTGATATGTTCGTAAAATTTCAATTTATTTTTCAGAAACCTAGAAAAAAAATAAAACGTTCCAGAATCAATCAATGTTTGTTTGATGTCTCTATAAATTCGAGAAAAAATTCGAGCTTTCTGGTGCCTATAAATTCGAGCTTTTTGGTGCCTATTTCACTGTTTTTACTTCCTTATAAATCCTGACCTTACCTATAAAAAAGAAACGAGAAAGGAGTAATATTTCCGGAAATGTTATATTCTAGAGATCGAGCCTGGGCCTGTTCCTGGGTTCCGGGTTTGATTTATTGGCCTGGGCCGGGTCTGGGCCTGTAGTCCAGGAAAAACCCAGGCCCAGGAAAAACGCAGTAAGGTCAAAAAATGCCTGGGCCTGGACTCTGGGTACAGGAAAAACCCATGCCTTGGTCCAGGCCCAGCTCGATCTCTATTATATTCCATTGATGCACTTTAATTTTCATTAAAGAGAAAATTTATTTAATTTACGTGAAGAAAAAAGTTGAAATTAAAATTTAAAAAAAGTAGAGGCATAAAAGGTGAATTAATTTTAACTTAATTTAAAACATAGAAAAAAAATATAGAGAAAATGAAAAGACCAACCTTTTTTGAAAAAAAAATTAATTTTCTAATTTTGGGACAAAATGTCTCACTCAATAAAAAAAATTTAATTTATCCCGAAAAATTATATTTTCATTAAGTTGATCTACAAAATATATAGAAAAATTAAGCTGCAATAAATGCGAGAGAAAATTAAAAAAAACTATAAGAAAACAAGAGATTAATTGTTAAAATTTATTTTTATGGGACCAAATGTCATCAAAAAAATTTTTAACCAAAAAAAATTTTTTTTTAAATCTCTCATTTTTAAATAATAGATAATGTAAAATAAAAGGTTTAGATATATGTACACCAAAATAGTTAAACAAATTAGATTGGCAAAAAAGAAATTATATATAAAGTTGGACCTCTTACTAATTAGAGTTGTCTCTTTTGAGGAATCAAATCGAACAAGGATTTTAGCGGAATAAATTCTTAATAAATTTTAAAAAAATGCCAGCAAATATGTCATTTGGAAAACGCGAACTGAAGAACCCAGGATTTTTTTTTCGATTCAGTTATCAGAAGGATTTTCCAATAACCCTAAAAATCCTGCTCAATATAAATCAACCCTCTATTGCTTAAACAGCTAGTAACCAAACAAATAAAAAAAATAACTTCAATATAGAGAGGCCCAACTAATTAATTAAAATAAAATAATTAAAATAAATTGTGTAAAATATCATATTTTTAAAAACGATGCTTATACTTAAATATATCACACCAAGGCAATTTTTTTACCAAAAAAAAATTTTTGTATAGTATGAGGATTGTAATCGAAAAAAAAAATGGGGAAGAAGAAAAGAGGAGTTAATGCTTTGACTCTCTCATGATCCAAAAAACCCTCTTACCCTAAAAAAATTTTTGTTTTCAAAATTTTCGCCCACAAAAAATTTTTGAAAATTTTTGGAAAATTTTTAGGAAAAATTTTTTCAAAAAAATTTTCCAAAAATTCCCCCCCCCCTTTCCCCATCAAAAATTTTTGTCCTTTTTTTGATTACAACGACATATCCAACTATACAAAATAGGCACACCATCATTGATAAAAGACTTAGATTTTTTGTTGCTAAATAAAATTACCCAATTAAACGAGAAACTTTACTACTCTCACAATGAAAACAAGGACAACAACGGCTATAACTTGGATCATTTAAATCAACTTCTGAATCTCTTCCAAAATAATTTATTAAACGAGGATGAAGTCTGTTAAAAAAATTAAAAAAAATATTTAAAGTAATTTCTTTCGATTTTTTGGGACTCTTCCGTTATTTTTCCCCTTCCTTTCATCAGGGGTCGAACGGAAATGACGAAGGTGCCGGAAATTGGAACTGTCGGAAATCGAAAAGAAGAAAACAACGGAAATAGGAAATCCGATTGACCCCTGCTTTTCGTCTTTCTTCAAAAAAAATGGCCCAGTATGCGTCATTGACTTTTTAGAATTTTTAGAGAGGAGAGAAAGAATGATAAAGGAAATAAATAAAAAGACACCCAAAAAATCAAACTGAAAATGTGTCGGAATTTTTAAAACGAAAAAATCTGGTTCTAAAATAGGGAGTTGACAATTTTGATCTCTTTCAGGAGAAGAAAGTGAAAAAAGTAGGGTAGCACCCCGAGCTTTCGGGAGCGGGAGTGTCGAGTTCAAGGGTTTGCCAGGGTAAAGCCTTCGGGGCTCGGGTCTGGGTTTTGCCTAAAAATTCGTCGAGGGACGGGGTGCTACCCTAAATAAAAGAAATGGGTGATATAACGGAAACCCACAAAAAATCTTTACAAAAAATCCAAAAAAAAACCTGAAGGTTAAAGATTTATTTGGCGGTTGAGGAAGAATTTCTCCATCCAAATTCCAAGCACCAGATTCATCTTCTCTTACAGTTTCACCTTCACCAGAATTTAAAACAAGCGATTTTGGTGTAAACTTCCATCGACAAACACGAAAAACTTTAACATCCGGATATTCACTTCGAATAAAACGAGCGCCATACATTGCTACTTTTCTCATTATTTGCATATTTTTGAATCGGGAAACTTTTGGAACTTAAAAAATGTTTAATTAAAAAATGCTTTAAAAATTCTAAAAGAAAAGTCCAATAATAGGAAGACAAAAAATCCCACTGAGAAAAAACATCTCAAAAAATTATTTAAAGGAAATTACAAAGCCCGAGACAAGACTCCGTTCAAACGTCTATAAATGGGTACCCCAACCTACCGCGAGGCCAACCTACCGCCGAGCTATAACAGTGTTCAGAATTGTCGAATCCGGGACGCCCTGGTATGGTTCGAATCAGCTCGTCAAGGCGCATCGAACCATACCAGGGTGTCCCGGATTCGAAAATTCTGAACGAAGTCATAGCTCGGCGGTAGGTTGGGCTCGCGGTAGGTTAGCCTGCTCCTCTATAAATGGGTCTAGATTTAAGGGATCGATCTCAACTTTCTCCCCCGTCAACTTTTTGCTTAAGCCCAAAAACATCAAAAAACAAAATCAAAAATAAAAAAAAACAAACTTAGAGCCAAGTCCATAGTTCCATCGTTTAACCCAGTATAAGGTGCTAGACCATAAGGCGTGAAAGGCGAAACACAAGGTATTACACAACAAATAACATGAGTAAAATCAGATTGCCAATGGAAAGGATATCTTGGATCGACTGCAATTTAAGAATTATATTTGTGCTGGGAGAAAGGAGGCAAAAGGTTCAAAAAATTGTAGGGAATAATTGAAATAGCTCAGGACATTGTTTCTTTTCATTTTATAATCGGGTGAAAAAAAAATGAAATTTTTGGGAGCGTTGAGTTCAAAATACACAAAATGAAATACAACACATTTTTCTCAACGAAGATAGCTTAAAAATCATTTAGAAAAAAGGGAAAAATTATTTTCGATTGCAATATTAAAAAGAAAAGGTTTTTGACTGGCTCGTCGAAAATAATTAGCATTTTTGAGCGGGAAGTGTTTATATTCTATTTAAAAATTGGTCATTTTTGGACAAAAAAATTTATAAAAAGAATATGAAAAGGAAAAATAATAGTTATCAAATTCATAGTAAATTAAGCTAACAAGATCTGCTGCTTGCCTCCCCGTCGTGATGTGACACCGGTAAAGTAATATACAGGGATTTGACCAAAACAGACTACAAATAGGTACCCACACATTTTTAAATATCCCTTGTCTGATTATAAAATAAAAACACCAAAAGTAAATAGAGGATAATTTTGGGGGAAACAAAAATAGACACACCAAAATGCCCCCACAAAAGATCAAAAATTAAAAAAATAAAAAAAACAAACCTGGAACCTTTCCTGAACACAAATCACATTCATCTGTACAAACAGGTATTTTTAATGGATTTGAAGGTCCAGAGCCTGTATCATCATCATCTAAAGCATTTGGAACATGTTCTTGACTTAAAGCAAAGGAAACACGGCCAAAATATGTTGGATGACGAATTGATGTACGTAGAGCAGAATATTGGTATCTAATAGGTCCAAGACAGCGATAACGTTCAGAATCGTGAAGAACATCTCCTAACCTGAACAAAAATTTAATCGTCAATTTTGAACTAGAAAGAACTCTTCCAAGAGGAACTCTTTAGATTTTTTGGAAACTGAACCAGATATAAACCAGGGACTCGGGTTAACCGAACAACTAACTTTTACTATTCGAAACACGGCACGTTTTTTTAAACCTGGCCCATTTACTTTTTAACCCCCATTAAAATTTCTAGATATCTTTTTTCTGCCCATTACTGACATCAATCAAAAAATTTTTTGGATATCCGTCTGATGTGAGCATAAGGATTTGGGTACTCTATTCACTTTTAAACTTGTGTTATCTTGCCAATTGTGTAAACATGAAAGGATGCGACGAATAAAAAAAATTTGTTAGAATTCGTCAAGTACAAAAATAAATAGGACAAAATATCCCAAAAATAAAAATAATCAAAATACCATCCATAAGAGATTGCATCAGCAGAAAATCGCAACAAATTTCCATCTTCATATACAGCACAAACATCAATATTACATCTACTCCCTTTAAAAACCCTCAAAATTTAATCAAAAAATTTTTTCAAAAAAAAAAACCAATAGCAATATGTATAGCTGCTGTAGGGCAATCATTAATTCCATGAACAGACGACACTATTGAATTTGCAGAACCTGCCCCGATAATTCCAAAACGTACTCTTGGAGTAGTTAACATATCAATTTGTTCATTGTTGTAATTTTTGCCGGCTTGTAATTGCGTTCTTAAAAATTAAAATAATATTCTGAAGTAAGTTCAACCCTGAAATTCCCGATAGTTAAACTTCTCTTTTAGAAAATCTAGTAGCGGGAATGAACTTTCCAAGAAAAAAACTCCTCGAAATAATGGAATAGGAATCAAACTACGCAGAAAATATGGATAGATTATTGGCCATCAGACAGTCCTAGTCCAAAAAATAATTTTATTTTGGGACTGGAATGACGCTATCTAGTGAATAGCATCAGCCACCTAGCGTAAGCTAAGGAAACCAAAACTTTCTGACTCACAATCAGCCAAATATAAACTTAAGGTTCCAACAGGATCGAATTTTCACCCAAGAATTTAAAATAAAAAACCTAATAATAGCAGAAGAAAGAACTTCATTAAAAAGGCCATCACCACCAACAGAAACTATTCCATCCAAAAGTTCCCATTTGACAGGATCTAGTTCTCTAACAGTTTCTAATGCGTGATCTGCTCTTTCAGTTTTGATCAATTCATAAGTAATATTTGCAAGTTTGAAAAATGGTTCTACCTTTAAGAAAAATTTTTTTATTTCTTTAGACGAAGAAAAAAATTTTTTTTCGAAAATCTGAGGCCTCAAATTAGTTATAAAAATTTCTCCGCCAAGTAGGGCTCGAACCTTCAACTTTCGGTCATCCGAACTGACCACTAGAGATCGATCGGGGTCTGTACCAAGGCTTGGGTTTTTCCTGTACCCAGAGTCCAGGCATTTTTTGACCTTTCTGAGTTTTTCCTGGGCCTGGGTTTTCCCTGGACTACAGGCCCAGGATCCGGCCCAGGTCAATAAATCAAACCCGAAACCCAGGAACAGGCCCAGGGTTTTAAAAATTCCCAATCTCTATTGACCACTAACCAAGTACAACATCCATTCAAATAACGGCCTTAAATTTTCGTCTAAACTACTTTTAAAAAATCTAACCTCATCCGTCCATATTCCATTAGCCTTTCCTTTTCCACCAAACGGATTAATAAAGACCAACAAATGTTTAGGTCTATACAAGGCTTAAAAAAATAATTTTTAAAAAATTCTAAAATTTTTAAATAAAAATAAAAACCATTTCTCGCATCATTCAACAACTTTTCCCATTCTTTTTTATCATTTACAGACTCAAAAAATAGGGCAGCTTCCTTCAATCTCCACGTAAAAACATTCCAACGAAAGGCATAATAAATGTATAAAACGTTGTGACGAAAGGAAGTTTTGTTCCAACAAGTATTGACTAGATCGGGTTGATCTGCCCCTATTTCTGGCAATTTTTTAGGCATTCCACAACGTAGACGAATACGGTTTGAACGTATACAGAGTACTGATTCTAAAGGAATTGTGGCAGTGTAACGCGTTTGTTGAGATTTTTTACTGAAAATTTTTAAAAATATTTTTAGAATTTATATCTAAATAAAAGACTATTAAGCTTTGGGTGCTAGGGAGTTATATGGATCTTTGTAGCATCTTTTGTCATAATCTTATTTAGAATTATCGGTTCAGTCAGAGTTTAGGTCTCAATCAACTCCTCTCGACGAGCCAGTTGATGCGTTAACATTCATCTATTATCCAGCTTATTGGCAGCTCATTAACGAGCTACTGACAAGCTCTTTCAGATAGGCTCGTCATTTGTACACCTAAGAAGAAAGAAAAAAGGGGAATTGTAGGATAGATGCCAACAAGTATCCTAACCTAACAATAATCCGAACAAATCGATCTGAAATTAATGACTCATACTCGTGATTATACCATTCTAAAACACCAAAAATATAATCCCCAGACTTAGAAAAGTTAAAAAAATCAAAAAACAAACTTCAAAAGTTGTATCGTCAAAGAATTTAATTCCAAAAATATTCTGTGCAATTTCCCATCAAAATCACGTATTGTTATTGACGGATTTTGCTGCTCATTTAAGTTATTTTGTGTTATAGGTGTAGATTCTGATACATTATTTTCTGTTGACATTTATTTTTTTTGAAGAGATTGTGGTGTCCTTTAATTGTTTAAATTTCCTGTAATTAAATTGAAAAATTAATAAAAAAAATTAACAAGAAAAATACAGAAAACATTTGCGGACAGAAAATATTTGAGGACGTAAAAAATTTGCGGATAGATTTTTACGAACAAAATTTTGCGGAAACCATTTACGGACAATATTTGCGGACAGAACTTGCTGACAAATATTTGCGAAATTGCGAAAAACATTTGCGGACAGAAAATATTTGCGGACAAATATTTACGGACAAAATTTATATATGGACAATATTTGCAGACAAATATTTGCGGACTTAAATATATCCGCAATTAAATAAATGAATTAAATTAGTGAAGACCTAATGTTAAAAAGAATTTTTCCACCCCAAAAGCTATCTATCATAGAAATTAGTTCAAAATCAATTAATTTAATTAAACCAAAATTGGAAAATCAATAAATTTACCAAAATTCCAAAAGAAAAATTTTCTTTCTTTTTTTTTAAATTGGAAGAGCGCAATTAAATTCTACGTAGAAAAATATGCGAAAAAAAGAACAAAAATTTGTTGTATATAAAAATGTAAAAAAAAAGATTTGTAATAATTAGTCATCGACTAACACAACTTTTTGGGGGGAGAAAATGAAGGGAAAAACAACAGAAAAAACAAAACATTATATGAAAAAGAAAGGAAAGATTGCGGTTGGTAATAAATAAAATTTAGGTTAATTGGGTTAGTAGAAGATAAAAAAAAGTGATAAAAAGTTAAAAACGTTAAACTGATAAATTTAGGAAAAATTAATAAAAATAAATATTTAAATTCTCTTAATTTTTGGCAAAATGTTCTTCTAATAAATGTCTGACGTCTGCCGTCTCTTAAATTTACACAATCTCTCGTTTATGAGAAGAAATATAAAATATCGATAAGACAAAATGTCAAATAAGGCTAAAATTGACATTTCGTCACATCTATGTTTTCTTGTCTCTTAAATTTATACACTCTCTCGTTTATAGAGGAAATACAAAATATCAAAATGTCAAAACGTCAACTAGGCCTATTTTTGACATTTTGTCTCACTTCTATGCCTGCTCTCTCTTAAATTTATACAGTCTCTCGTTTCATCGAAGAAAATCTAAAATCTTTAAAATATCAACACGACAAAATGCCCAACTAGTCAAATTTTGACATTTCGTCGAACTAAGGGAATTAAACGTTTGATTACGTAACACCTTATTGACTTGTTTATCATACATTTTATTATCATTTTTTGTTTTCTTTTTCTTTTTAAATTAACTTCCAAAGTTTTCTTTTGTTATTCTAGACACAATTCATCATTTCTATTTGATTTTTCAAATTTAATGGTAACTACTAATAAAAATATTATTCTTATCAAACAAGACAAACAACAACATTTAGCTGCTTCGTGTTCTCCAATTGCAAGTTTGGAAACTGCATTGAATGAATTTACAAAATTAAATATTGAAGGGGATTGTAAAATACAAGCAACTTGTAAAACAATGAGACGAACTGGATTGTAAGGGTTTTTTAAAAGAATTTATTTTAGACATTCTAGTAGACTTTTTCTTCTAGGATTTTAGACTTCCTAGAAAACTTATTTATCTTTAATTAAGACATAATCCGCAAATTTCTTTTAAATTATAAATCTCACCTAAATTTTTCAGCCATTACTACAATTACAACAAATGCCGTTTTTCTCCTTATCAAATTCCCAAAAGCAATATTGAAGCTATCCGAAAATATTTATGCTCTCTTGTTATTAAACAGTCTAATAAAGGTTTCTATTTTTAAATTTAATTCTAAAAATCAATCAAAATAAGTAGTGGGAAAACATCTGGGCATGTGCTTATAACTTTTACCATTGACAATCTATAATCATCAAATTTAGTGTTTAGATCCCTTATAGTGTTGACTTCTTTTGGTTAAATTTTCAGAATTTACGGTTCCATATTTCCCATGTTATGCTCGGAAATAAGCATTAAATTGACGCTTTTCCTATTAATTTCTTAGTTTTCTTTAAACAACTTTTTCCAAACTTAACCAAAAATTCTGAAACTTTTAGAGTAGTTAAATAACACTATTGAGGATATCTTTACTAAATTTCACATTTCTATGTTCTCATTTGTTAATTTTATAAACTCACAAGCCAACCCTACTTTCTCCCTTTAAAATAGCCCAACTTGGCTTTTTGGTGTAGTCGGAAAAGTTTTGGTTTGTCACTGAGAGGTGTCGAGGGTTCGAATCCACTTGGTGGAAACTACCTTTAAATGACTTTTTCTTTCACATATTTCATTCAAAATTTATTTTAAATTTTTAAAAAATTCAAAATAAATTTTTTCCAGACAATTTTGATCAAGATTTACTTGTAAATATTCAATTAAAAGGATGTGATTTTTATGGAAGATCTTTACAAAAAAATATTTTTAATATTACAAAAAAACAACAAGCTTTACCTTGTTGGTTACAACACAATAAAAAAAGAAGCTTAATTTGGCGTAAATCAAAAGAAGAAGAAAATTTGAAAGAAGAAAATTTTTCTTCTTCTTCTTCAACTTCCTCGGTACCTGTTGGAGTCGAAATTGACAATCATCTTCAAGAAACTGAGGAAAAACCAACGGATTTGGGTTTAACTGAATTATCTGATTATTTTCAACATTTTGTATGCCTTTGTTCTCCTAAAATGTCTGATTTAGCTCAGAGTATGTATGCTTAAAAAGATTCGGTTTTTCCTTTTTGCTGCAATAATTTTTTTAAATAATTATTTTCTATTTTTAATAGTAAAGAATTTTTTGAATTTCGGGTATTTTAAATTTAAAAATTAAATTTTTTTAGTTAAAATACGTTGAATTTAATTAAAATGTTTATAATTATATTTTTATATTTAAAAAATTATTTTGGGCGCCGAGCGGACTCGAACCTCCCTAAAACCCGTAGAAAACCAGACACACAACCACCACGCCAAAACATCGATTTTATTACCCTAATACTTAACTAATTTCTAATTAAAAATCCCGATTATTTGCAAGGCTAACAATTTTTCTTAAAAAATTTTTTTACAAACCCAAAAGAGTTTTTTAACTTTTTCAGATAATTTTTTACGTTCTAGCGTTCCTCACAAATACAAAAATAAATCAAATTATTTATTCAATATAAGAAAAAATATTTTTTGGGCGCAAAACAAAGCGACACTTAATATTAAAAATATTATTATGAAATTATTTAAATGCAATTTAAAAAAGGGTGGAGAGAAGAAAAATGAAGTGTGGACCGGCAAACAAACAAAATTAAAAATTTAGAGATTGAACCAAATTTACCGTAAAATGTTTCAATAGAATCCCATGTCCTGCTAGAAGCCCAAGAGACTATTGAAAATAAAAAAAGAAAGGAAACCCAGGCTCCTATTAGAACATTTACGGTATTTATTTGATAGTCCAATCTCTCAAAAAAAAATATTTTAAAAATGCTCTTAATTGAAAAAACAGCTCTTTCCGTCTATTTTTTGTAACCCAGAGAGCTGTGTCGTTAATTTCTAATTTTATTATCTTTTTTTCTTAAATTTTGACCCAGCTCTCTTATTATGACAAGAAAAATGCTTAAATATATAAAATTCTAGAAGATTATTGCTCTTCTTGAATTTTTAAAGAAAATAATGAATACATTGGAAACTCTATAACGACACCAGGGGTGTGCCAGTTTCGCGTTTCGCGTTTCGCCTTTCGCGGATTTTCGCGTTTTTTGGACTTTCGCGTTTCGCGTGTCGCTTTTTCAAATTTACTTTCGCATTTCGCGTTTCGCGTTTCGCTTTTTGCGCGAAACGCGAAAGTTTTATACACCCCTAAAGATGGTTAAGTTGGAGAAAAAAATAAGGCCCGAATAAATTGAAAACCTCCAAAATTCTCAAAATTTTTGCCTGCGGCGCTGAAAAGGAAGAAATCTGGCTTCTTGGTCTTACAAGATTCCCTTAATTTTCGTTTGCGGCGTTTAAGAAAAGATTTTTGGCTTAAGGATCTACCAAAATTTTCAAAATTCTCGCCTGCAGCGCTGAAAAAGGAAGATGTTTAGCATAAGGATCTTCCAAAATTCTCTGAAAAAGGAAGAAGTCTGGCTCCTTGGCCTTAAAAAATTCTCTAAATTTTCGCCTGCGGCGCTGAAAAAGGAAGAACCTTGCCATAGGTTTATCTCCCTCTATTCCGCAGATCCTCGATATGCTACGAATCCACCATCACTCAAATCCTCCATATTCTCCGGAATTTACCCAAATACTCCGGTGTCCCTCTTAATCCACCCAAATCCCAAAACGAAAATCCATCAAATTACCACTTCTACGGAAATGTTTTGGAAGCGAGGTAAAGACCTTAGTATATCCTAAAATATAGAATATAAAATAAAGGACGGAACCTTGCTTATGTCTGATATTCTCTCAAATTCCTTGATATACCGGATGCGCATCGAAATCCTAATGGGGATTGTAAGAGTCAGTTGAGGCTGTGATTCGCAACAAATCACTGGATTGACAAATCTCTAGAGATTTCTTATCATATAGGAAAAAATTTAAGAATTTCGCGTTTCGCGTTTCGCCTTTCGCGGATTTTCGCGTTTTTTGGACTTTCGCGTTTCGCGTGTCGCTTTTTTAAATTTACTTTCGCGTTTCGCATTTCGCGTTTCACTTTTTAAATTTAATTTCGCCTTTCGCGTTTCGCGTTTCGCTTTTTAAAATCCGTTTCGGCACACCCCTGAACGACACCCATAGAGACAAAAAGCACCCTTCGAGACTAATCAAATTAACGTTAATAAAGTGGCTTAAGAAGGGCGTCGTTATAGAGAAAATATTGTAAAACTAAAGAAAGGGGAGGAAGACTATTTTAAGAAAATTTTTTGAAAAAAAAATTTTGCGAGAGAGAAATGAAAATCTATTAAAAGAAAAATATTTTAGGATTAATTAACCCTAAAAATAAAAAAGCAATTGAAAAAAAATTATTAAAATTGTCAAAACCTTGGTTAAATCTTTTAAAGGGGACTTTCAGTGAATTTTAGGGCATTTTAAGCAATTTGAAAAATTTCTTTAAAAAATTTTTTTGAAAATAAACCAAGGTTCAGAAATATTAAAAAAATGAAAGGAATGATTAATTCAAAATTTATTTATTTATATTAGCTATTTGCTGCCATAAGCCTTGCTTTGGCACAATCTGCACATAAAATGTCTGCCCCATCTGTTATAAAACCTTTCCCAACCAAACTAATACTGCATTGATTACACACCTTTAAAAAATAATTTTTTTGAAAACTTAACAGAAAATTTTATTTTAAATTTTAATATAAAAATTTTTAGAAAAAATTTTTCATTTTTTTAAAACAAAAAATTTTTTTTTAATTTTTGAAATTTTTAAAATTTAGAAAAAAATTTTTTTTTGATTTTTCAGAGATAAAAAAATTTTTTTTTGAAATTTTTCAGAGATAAAAAATTTTTTTAATTAAAAAACTTACAAAACAATCATTATGCCAATGCCTATCTTCAAATGAAATAAATTTAGCACCTCCAATACCTTTAAATAATTTTTTTAATCAAAATTTTTTTTAAATTTTACCAGTAATTGGTTTAACACAAGCAGAACATCTCTTTGCAAATAATTCTCCATAACAATCTGCACAATAAGGCTTTTCATCTTTCGAGGTGAATCGTTGCCCAGCTAGTGAAGTATTGCAATTTGTGCAACAAAAACATTCCCTAAATAATTTTTTTAAATAGTTGATGTTTTGAAATGTTCTTCTGATTTTTTTAAAATGTTTTTCTGATTTTCTAAATGTTTTTCTGATTTTATTTAAATGTTATTCTGATTTTTTTTAAATGTTTTTCTGAAATGTTTAGATGTTTTTCTGATTTTATTTAAATGTTTTTCTGATTTTATTTAAATGTTTTTCTGATTTGTTTAGATGTTTTTCCGAAATTTGTTTTAATGTTTGTTTTTCTGATTATTTAAAATGTTTTTCTGATTTTTAAGACGTTTTTCTGAGATGTTTGGATGTTTGTTTTTCTGATTATTTTTTAAGTTGTTTTCAAAATTGTTTTTATGAAAAATTTGTTTTTCTGATTTTCTAGAATGTTTTTCTGAATGTTTAGATGTTTTTCTGATTTATCAGTATTTTTGTAATTAATATTTTCTAATGTTTTTCTGACTTTGTTCTTCTGATAGTTTAAAAACAAACAAAGTTTATATATTTCTTTACCTATGCCAAGGCTCATTTTTGTAGGTAACACCACCAGTGCTAATAACCTTTATAAAAATTTTCTTTATTAAAAATTAAAAATCCCCCTACCTTTTTACATTTACAACATCTCGTAGCAAATTTTTCTTCATAACAAGCTGCACAAAAAACTTCTTCATTCTTTGGAATAAAACTCCGGGTTCCTATTGGAGCTTTACATAGAGCACATACAAAACATTTATCATGCCATTGTTTCCCTCTATATTCCATTTTCTTCATGCCTAAATTTTTTTAAATTTTTTATTAAAAAATCCCCCCTCTCTACCCTCTCCCAAAAAATTCCTCCCCCTCTTCCCTCTCCCAAAAAATCCCCCCTCTCCCCTTACCAGCTTTAAATATTTCTCCACAACCATCACAACGAGTAGCGAATGCTTGATCATAACAATTAGAACAATAAATTCTTTCATTTTTGCTTCCAAAAGGCTTATCCACAAGTGAAATTTTACACATTGAACAAAGAAAACATTCTTCATGCCAATGCTTGTCTTTATACGAAAGGTCCTTAAAAACATTGTTGTAACATTTTAAATGTTTTAATTTAATTCTGATTTTTAAATTTATTGTTTTGTTGTTTAATGTTTTTATGTTTTAATTTAATTCTGGTTTTGTTTTTATGTTTGTTAATGTTCAAATTTAATTCTGGTTTTTAAATTATTGTTTTGTTGTTTTAATATTTTGAATGTTTTAATAAAATTCTGGTTTTTGTGTTTTAATGTTTTATCTAATGTTTTAATTTAATTCTGGTTTTTAAATTTATTGTTTTGTTGTCTAATGTTTTAATATAATTCTGGTTTTATGTTTATTTAATGTTCAAATTTAATTCTGATTTGTAGTTTATTTGTTTGTCATGTTTAAAAATAATTCTGATTTTTTACATGTTTCTTAGTATTTTAAAATATTTCTATAATCCTTTTACCTTTGAATCAATTCCTATATGTTTTTGACATTCATCACAAACATTAGAAAATATTTCCTCGTAACATTTAATGCAATAAGGATGTTCATCTCGCAAAATATAACGTTGACCAGTTAACTGTCCATCACATTGCCAACAACAAAAATGATCGCTATGCCAGTCTTTATTCATTGCTTTAGTATATTCTCCACAAAATATTAGCTGGAAAATTAAAAAAAATTTTCAAAATAAACACAATTTTAAAAATGTGTTTTGAGCAAATTTTATTTTATTTTTCAAGGACTTTAAATGATCAAAAAAACTTAAATTTTTTAAATGTTCTCTCATCACTTTTAAAAACTTTAAAAAGAAATAAAAAAATTAAAGAGAATGATCAGAATTTAGAGAAAACATATGGATGTTTTTAAAGAACAGTGAAAAATCGGAATTATTAGATAGTATGTTTTTAGATGTTTTAAGAAAATTCTGATTATGTTTTTAATAGAATTTGCTTTTAATTAAATAATTCTGATTATGTTTTTAAATGTTTTTAAACAATTCTGATTTTGTTTTAACGATGTTTCGTTAATAATTCTGATTTTCTTTTTAGATGTTTCGTTAATAATTCTGATTATTTTTTAACGATGTTTTTAAAGAATTCTGATTATGTTTTTAGATGTTTTAAGATAATTCTGATTATGTTTTTAGATGTTTTAAGATAATTCTGATTTTGTTTTCAGATGCTATATCTCAATTCTACTTCACATAAGAAAATTCACTAAAGATTAATGTTGTAATGACACAAAACTTAGTAGTATAAAACAGAATAATAAATGCTTTTAGCTAATCAAGAAAAGAGAACAAAGCTTTTGTTTCTCTTTAAAAATCCATTCAAAGGGAAATATCCAACAGCTTTTTCTCGCTTCCTCAAAAAGCTTCTTGGGCTTTAACAGAATGAAAATAAAATTTATAAAATAATCAATCGATTGGCTGGTTGGCAATTTAAAGTAAAAATGAAATAAAATTGTTTAAAATTTTTTAAAATTGAGGAAAAAAAAAGAGAAAATGAATGTGAGGAGAGCATGTGTGTATGTATGTTTAGTTTTGGCTGGTTATAAATTGACTAGAAATTGAGTCAATCTTTTTTATTAACCTTTACTCTCTAAATATTCCATAAAAATGATTTTTAAAAATTAAAATTGGGAAAAATTAAATTTTTATTTGGACAGTTTATAAAAACCAAAAAATATTTTTTTTCTAATAAAAAAATTTTTTTCACGAGTTATTAATGAAAGCAAAAAAGTTTCTTTTGGTATCTTTAAAAAGGACCACCAAAAATAGAAAAACGTGGCTTAAAAGTTAATTTTAAAAAAGATAATTACTTATATAATGTCTCATTATGCTTGAAACAAAAGAAAAAAGTCAAAAGTCATTTTTTAATAAATTAAAAAAAATATTTTTTTGTGACCAATTATGTTCCAAATACAGTATATAAAAATAAGAAAAGAATATTTTTAGAGATCTGAGCTAATAAATTAATTTTAGAAATATTTTAGAGATTTTCTTGTTCACAAAAAAAGTAGAAAAAAATAGAAAAAAATATAAATAAGCCAAATTTAGAAATGGAAAAATCATCAGCCATTTTTAAAAAATTGGTGGCTTCCGAAATTTTATTTTATCCTCAAAAAAGTTTAAGGGATAAAGCACTCCCTTCCCTCATCCATCTACTTAGTTTCAAGCCTTCCTTCCATCTATCCTCTAGCTTCCAAGCATTATTTTAAAAAAATAAGGAAGATAGGAGGGAAGGAAATGGGTTGAACATATATAAATAAAAATAATGATGTATAGTTAAAATACGTAGATAGATTATCCTTCCATTATTTTTTTGAAGCTAAAGTCAAAAAGTTAAAAGAAGTCAAAAAAAAAAAGTTAGAGAGGAAAGGCGTTCTTCCAGCTTTTTTTCATTTTTTTTCCTTGCTTCTGTTGTTGTTCTCAGCTTTAAAAACTCCAAACACAATTGCTTGCTCTCTCTCTTCCCCCTAGACTGGCCAAAAGTGAAAGCTTCCCTCCTCCTTTTCCCTCCAATTTTTTTTCCAAGTCAAAATTGGTTTGGCCCCACAAAAAAATATAAATTGTTTTATTTGTTAGAAACGGAAAAAAGACAAAAAAAATTTTTTTTTTCTGTCCTAGTCAAAAATTGGGCCCTAAGGGAGAAAAAAAACTTTTTTCCTTTCATTTTATATCCCTTTAAAAATAACAGGAAGACTCATAAAGCAATTGGGGAATTGATTCTTTTCCTTATTTTTCCTTGTTTTTTTCTAGTCGAAGATTGGCTAACAACAACACCAACAAGAAGCTGTTTTTAAGCGCTTTTTCATTCATTCATTCTTCCCGTCCCAGTCTCCCCCCCCCCCGGCAGTCAGTCAGTTGTTCTACTAATATTTAACTCAAACCTAATCTTTTGAATGAAGAAAACAATGAAAAAAGAGACAAGGTTTTTGATTAATAAAAACAAGATAAAAAAGATTTTTAAGTAAGTGTTTTGGTCAAAAAATATATACTTGTAATCGGTTAGTAGCTTAAGGTGTTTTATTGGATGAGTTGTAATTAATGAAAGAGAGAGAAAGAAAATTCTGTAAAATAAAGTAAACCTGTAAACCAGAATAAGATAAAAACAAAACATTGAATGGAAATCAGAACAATAAAAGAACAAATATTAAAAAAATCAGAATAGCAATAAAACAAGAAGAAAACCAGAATAAGGTAGAAATAAACAATAGAATAGAAAAATCAGAAAAGAAATAAAACAAACAAATAAAGAAACAAACAAAACCAGAATAAAATAAAAACAAACAATAGAATAGAAACAAAACAAAAAAAAGAAATCAGAATAAAATAGAAACATAATGAAAAACAATTAAAAGTTCAAATAAAAAATCAGAATTTTAAGAAAACAACAAACTTCAAACAAATAAAAATCAGAAGTTTTAAATATTAAAAGTCAAAAACATGTTGTTTTTGACGAAAAACAAAGAGTAAGTTAACCAGAAAAAATATAATAAAAATAATATATATTATTGTTAACCAGAAAAATATAATAATGAAAATAATATATATTGTTTTTAACGCTAAAACTTGTCAGTCTTAAAAAGTGTTGAGAGAAATAAGGATAAATTATAAACAAAAAATTTTTTGAAAAATAAAAACAGTTGTTTCCCTTTAGTATATTTTAAAGTTTCTAGACTCTCCCCCATAAAGTACTTTTTTTCTTATTTTTTTATCCCAGACATTTTTTTTATTTTAAAAAATTATTTAAAAATATTTTTTTCACCCCCTACCTCATCACAAGCAGAACATCTAGGTTTGTGTAATTCAGCAAAATGGCGTTCACAATAAACTTTTTCATCACGAACACAATATGTGAGATCAACAAGCAACTTAAAAAAAAATTTTTTTTATTTTCAAATTAAAAAATTTTTAAAAATTTTAAATTTAAAATTTTTAATTTTTAAAAAATTTCAAAAAAATTTTTTTTTTAATCTATACCTGTTCACAAGTTTGGCAAACAAAACAAGCAGCATGCCAACCAGTATTTTCACCCAATTTTGGTGCTATAACAGCCATTTCATTACGTTCTACAACACCTCTACATTTACGACATTCCTTTTAAGATAAAAAATTTATAAATTTTTAAATAATTTTTTTAGTTAATCATTTACTCAATACTTACAGAAATTTCTATCTAAAAAATAAAATTTAAAAATCTAGACTCTCCAAAAAAATTTTTTAACAAAAAAAATCCCACCATCCCCGTCTTTCAAAAAAAAAAATAAAAACTAAAGACCCTCCAAAAATTAAAAAAAAATTAATTTAATTAAACATTCTAATCCACCCCTTCCTTCCCTCAAATAAAAAATCAAAAAAAAATTTTTTTAATTTCAAAAAATCAAAAAAAAATTAAATTCAAAAAATCTCCCCTCGTCCCCCTTCTTCCAAAAAAATTAAACAATAAAAAAATTTCTTATTTCAAAAATTAATTTTAAAAATCTCCCCTCCTCTTCCTCCTTCTAAAAAATTTTAAAAAAAAATTTTTTTTCCCCATATATAATTCAAAAAAAAATCCTCTCCTTACCATAGCTTTACTAATATTAGCATTAACATGCCCAATATCTAAAGCAACTTCATTTCTAGCATTAACAAATTCTTCATATAAACGTCTTTCTTGTGGAGTACGTAAATGTTTACAATAAGCTATAGATAAGTCTTGGCGAGGTAATTGTATCATTAATTGCCTTTCACGATTTTTTTCTCCAATACTGTTTAATCTTGGAATTATATGGTTGGGTAATTGAGACATGTATTCTTCTACCTAGTGATGAAGAAAAAAAAATTGAAGAAAAAATTTTTTTTCGAATTAAAAAATTAAATTAATCAAAAAATTCTACACACCACTTCCTGTAATTCTACCATTCTCCAATTTTTTTTTTCAAAAAATTTTCAAAAATATATAAAAATTCAACCCCTCCCCCCTACTTATTCATTTAAATATATTTAATTAAGGTTGTCTGTTCGTATAAAATATCTTTGGGAATCCGAAACTCAACCAAAAAAAAATCCTCGATTCGTTGGCTTGGTTCCAAGAATCGACAACACAATCCCTAATACATCGTTAGAAAATATTTGAAAGAAAAAATTTAAAATTTAGAAAAATACTTCAAGGTTCCTCCAACCCTACTCAGATGTCAAACCCAAAAAGACACTTCAAATAAAAATTTTTTTTTAATTTTTTCGCAGTAAAAGCCTGACTCATTTTCAAGTTAAAAAATTTTTTTTCAAAAAATCTAATATTTTTCCCATACTTTAAGACGTCCAATGCCTGGAGGTACCCAAGCATATCCATGTCCTGTTGATCCGATTGAAGAAGAATTTACATCATTAGAATTATTTTCATTATTATTTTTACGTTGTTGCTGTTGTTGTTGCTGTAAAACTTTAGCCATTTCAGCAGATGAAGGCTTAATTCCTAAACGTTCATAAACGTTTAAGGCTTGATTTCCACCAATTTCGTGATCACTTCTATCACACTTGCAATGAACACAAACTTTTCTAGAAAAATAAAAAAAAATTTTTTATTAAATATGGGACTAAATGTCCAAAAAATGTCCAAAAAAATTTCTAAAAAAATTTTTCTAAAGCTAACCCTTCTCCCAATTGATAAATATTCAAAAAAATTCAGAATATCTCCCCATAGTTTTATGAAATAAATTTAAAAAAATTTTCCTTTAAATAAAAATTGATAATATCAAAAAATTACATCACTCGCGCATTCCCCACAATAGAGGAATGCGGAAAAATAAAAAATATATAAAAATAAATTTTTAAGAAAAAAAATTAGAAAATGGAAAATAATTTGGACCTCACTTTATAGACGTTTTGATGGGATTAAGAGGGGATATCTGGGAATTTGGGAGGATTTTTAGGGAGATCGGGGAATTTGTGAAGATTAAGAGAGATTTAGATGGGTTAAGAATGTTTAACATTAAATTTAACATAAACTAGGTAGAGAGGGAGAGCTGGCTAAAAGCTTTTTCCTCACCATATTCTACCGAGAGTTCGGCATTGAGTAATGATATTTTTCGGTCATTTTTTAACTCCACAAAATATAAATACAAACGAGGCCCGAAAATGGTTAAAAATATTCGGCTTTTCCAATTAAAAAAAATTTTTTTCTGTCTCAAATAAAGTAACCTTTGGACATAGAATCGATATATAAAAATTAAAAATGAATAGATAAAAAATTGATGCTTTTTCTCCCCCCCCCCCCTTTTTTTTTAATTTTACTAGTTTTGTGTTTGTGTGTTAATTTATTTATTAGTAAATAAATATTTAAATATTTATATAAGAGACATTTTAAAAAAATATTTATGTATAGGGAAAGCCTAGTGTATGAATGTCAAAAAATGCTTAAAATCCCCCTTCTTTTAAAGGGGATTTTTTAAAGAAGAAGAATTTTTAAATCCCCTTCTAAAAATAAATAAACATATAATCCGCGTTTTCTTAGTAAAAATTTTTAAAAGAATGTTTAAAAATTCACATTTTTGTGTTTATAAAAATTTTCTTAAAATTTTTATCTGTTTAAATAAAACAGAAAAAATTCCAAAAATAGTACAAAATTATTTATCAAGAAAGATTAGAGAGGTGGTTTGGAGAGGTGTAACCATTTTAAACACAAAAATTTTGGGAGAATTAAGTAATCCCTGAAGAAAAAAGTAAAAAAAATCAAGAGAAGATCAAAATTTTAGGAAAAAAAAAGTTTTTTTTTGTTTATATTAAAACAAAATTATGAGAAAAAAAATGTTTAAAAGAAAAGCTTCTAAAATTAATAAAAAAAATTTTATGAAATTTTTCCTTACAAATAAATCTTAATTAATGTTAACATAAGCAAATTTATATTTTTTAGGAGTACCAAGACAGTGAGAATCGAAAAATATCGACTCGGTATTTTTGAGAGAACCGTGGTACTGAAAATACCGAGTGGGTATTATCGGTAGTACACCGCGGTATTACCGAACCGATTTCAAAAAAAATTTTTAAAAGAAAAAATAAATAGATTTTCCCTCAAAATTTAATAAAAATAGAAAAAATTGATATTTTTTTGAAGAAATAGATAAATAAAAATGTGTGAAAAAAAGAAAAAATTAAAAAAAGGAAGAAACCCCCAAACTAAAAATGGAAGGAAAATAAAAGATAAAAAAGAGGATAAAAAAAATTAAATATGAAAAATTAAAAATGAAATCGAGAGCGAAAAATCGTCGACCAAGGAACGTCTCCTTTCCCTCTCCCTCACCTTTCTCGCCGCCAACAATAACCAAAAAAATGAGTAGAATAATAAAGAGGAATGAATAATATAAATTTGAGGAAGAAAAAATGAAAAGGTTTAAAATTTAAAAAAGAGATAAGGAAAAATGATGTGATTAAAATTGAAAAAATAGAGGTAAAGAAATGATTAAAAGAGTCAATTCATGGTCACAAAAATAAACACAACTAAAAAAATTTTTTTTTCAAAAAATTCCAAAATTAACAAGATCAAAGAAATAGAATCGACAAAACACCAAAAATAAAATTTTGAAACCCTAAATGGAAAAGGGGTAGGAAGGAGGTGTGTGAAGGAGGAGGTGTCGGAAATAATGAAGGAGATGATGGAAATCGGAACTGTCGGAAATTAGAAATGGTTCAAAAGTCGGAAATTGGAAATCAGAAATCGGAACTGGCGGAAATCGGAAATAAAATTTGGAAATTGGAAATCAGAAATCGGAACTGTCGGAAATCGGAAATAAAATTTGGAAATTAAAAATCAGCATAAAATTTTTTGGAAATCGGAAGCATTTCTTGTTCCTGGTACGGAATAAGAAATTATTAGTTCAAAAAAAGCCTAAAAATTTAAAAAAAGTTTGGGCCTAAAAATTAGAAAAATTTAATTCAAGCATTTTCTTTCACTTATTTTCACCAAATCTTTAGGGTATTAAAAAAATATTGAAAGATAAAAAAAATAAATTTAAAAAGGAAGCAGCATATAATCAAAAACATCACAAGTCTTGCTTCTCCTTTTTTCCCTCTTCCCTTTTGGGAAAATGCTTCCACTATTGGAAAGAAAGGATTGAAAATGAAATAACAAACAAAAAAAAGAAAATGGACTCTATTGTTGTGAAATAGTGAATATATAAATTTATTTTAAAGGGGCTAATTCTTCAAGAAAATAAATAAAAATGTGGTGGGCCTTTTAAAAAAATAAATTTTAAAAAATTGAGAAAAAAGTATGGGGAAAAGAATGTGAGTGACACTCAAGAGTATATAAAAATATTTTTAAAAAAATTAGGGAGGATGTGCACCAAAAAATCCCCCAATAATTAGGCGGTTTTTTGGTGAAAAAAAATAAAGTTGTTGCGGGGCATTGGAGATTCCCAGATATCCTGATCCGGGATTCAATATCAAAACTGAAAGAATGAAGCTAATAGAGGTCCGGATTTTTTCCAAACCTCTAATAAGAAAATAGAAATTAGGACTTTATATCAGAAACGAATCCATAAACCTACACTCAATTAAAAAAAGTTTTTTTAAACTTAGTTGACCACATAGAGGAGGATGTCTAGCAAAAAATACTTTCTCTAATAAATATACCTAAATGATTTTTTGACCCCTAGTATCTTATAGTAGTAAGGCACCCTTTCGTTTTCGTCGTAGAAATTGTTGAAAAAAATTTTTTTTTCAAAATTTAAAGGAACTTTGAAAAAAATCAACAAAATTATTTCAAAAACACAGAAACGCCAAAAAAGTTTTTGGTGCACAAACATAAACAAGAGAAGGAATGATTATGTAAGGGCGGTTTTCGAGAAAATAAAAAAATAGAAAAAAAAAACAGGGATGAAGATGGCATAATAAATCAACAAGAAAAATAGTAGTAGTAAAATGACATGAAGAAGCCAACAAAAAAATCCCCCAAAAATAGTCTTTTAAAAATAGTTTAGAAAAAGCTTATAAGTAAATAGAGTTTTCTTGAAAAATAAGAGAGGTTTTTTGTTTATAAAAAATATAGAAAAAAAATTTAAAAAAAAATAAAAATCGCGTGCTTAAAATGGAAAACGATCCTTTAAAAAACATATTTTTAAAAATGCCATAAATATTTAGTAACTCAATAATTTATTTAAAAAAATAACAATAAACAAAATTGCTTATTGTTAGTGGTAATATGTATTACAGATAATTGAGCATTTTATTTTTATTTATTTGAATATTATTCAGAAATTACTATAGTCTCAAAAATAAAAAGTGTTGTGTTAAAAGCCTTAGGAAAGGAGTATAACAAGTAACGAGGCAAAGAACAGAACCAAAGAACCCGAAAAAAGAACCCGAAAAAATGGAAAAAATGACACGAAAAATGAAAAAAACGACTCGAAAAAATCCTAATAGTTTAAAATTCTTCAGACCCGCTAATCTAAACACTCAAATTTATTCAAAAAATAATTTTAAAAAATTTTAAAATAATAAGAAAGCGGTAAAAGATTAGCCCAGCGGGGCAGACATCGATCCGCCAACTAATAGGACTTCGATCACAAATATAGGTGTTTTCTACACACGATTGATCTACATAGCAATGGTTTCAGCTACTCTTATAAATTTTAAACCCCTTGCCTAGTAATAAAAGAGAAAAATACAAAAAAATAAAAAAAATTTTTGAAAATCAAGAAAAATTGCAAAAAATTTTTTTAAAAAATCTAAAAAAAATTTTTTTCTTAAACTTACAAAGCTCTATCGACTTGTAACATCCCTCCACCACCACAATTATTATTGTGGAAAGAATTGGGTAATTTATTTAAATTTAAATTAAAATTTAAATTATTCTTTTTTCTGTTGCCTTTATTATTATTAAAATAAAAATTTTCCAAATTTTTGATGTCAAAAATTTTAAATTTACTAATAATATTTGTTGATTTACAAGATGAGGATGACGGCATTTAGAGAGAGTAGAGAGACTTTTGCCCTCCCTCTTTTCAGCAGAAAAATGATTTTTTTGGGCGTGTAGCAATTGGCCCCGATTTTTTTCAAATTATATTTTTTTATGTTTCTTAAAAAAAGAAGAGTTCAAAAAAATTTTTTTTTGTGAGTTGAAGAAAAAAAAGAAGAGGAATAAAAAATAAAATAAAAAAAAGACACACACACAACAAGTGATTGGCAGTAGCTAAAAATGTCTTGATTAATTCTCTTTCATGTCTATTTAACCTCAAATCAAAACTACCTAAATAAATATTGATCAAAGACATTTGGAGATTAATTAAAGAAGATCAAGTGTGATAAAATAAACGGAAAAAGTCAGTTCAAAGTTTAAAAGATTATTTCCCAAACTTGGAATTAGTTCTCCAAAGTTGTTTCAAATTCTCTTTTAATTCAAAGTTAAGCCCTCATTTCTCAAAATTTTCAAAACAAATTTTACTAATTTACTATCCAATTTCAAGTTTGGTAAAGGTGAGAAATAGGGTTGTCGGCTTGGTTCGGTTAAACGAATCGAGCCTCGAATTGTGAACCGAAAAAGATATGAAAGGCCCGGTTCGGAAACGGCAACCCAAGGGAGAATAAAAGAAAATCAAATCTAAACTAAAATTTTTCAAAAAATTAGAGATCGGAAGTATATATTGTTTGGTAAATTAACACAAAAAAAATATTTTAAGACCAGCAAAATGGCAAAATCAAAATTTAATCTGTCAGATTCTAATAGAAATTATGATGCTTATATTTGATATCCCTTCTCTATTAGCTGTTTATTTGATTTGAGAAAAATGACGAAAATATGTATAGGTAATTATAGGAAAAGAAGAGTATAAAAACCCACGAGAAAAACATAGGTAAATTTTAAAAAGTAGTTTAATGATGGAGGAACATAAGTATAGGATTAAAATTGATTGACGTTAAAAAAAAGTAGGAAATAAAAAAAATGATCAGGAAGTAAATACACTTTAATTTTTCATTTAAAGAAAAGAATACTTAAAAAATAAATAAATTTTCAAGTACTTTTATGAGGTCAAAATTAAAATTAGAATTCCAATCGACTACAAGCTTAGAAAACTTTTTTAGAAGATAAAAATTTTCTTAGCAAAAAAAAATTAAATTTTAAAGGAAAGAAAGGAAAGAAAATTTAGAATAAAAATGAAAATAAACCAGAATACAGATTCGGATTAAAAAAAACAAAAAGATCGCGTTTCAATTTTTAATTTTTAATATTTGAGAGGACAAGGGATTGTTGTTAATTCATAAATTGCTAATATATATTAGGATTGAAGGAAGGAAACATTTAAAGCCTTCTAAAATCCTCAAGTAATTCAGAAGAGTAAGAAAAAAAATAAAATTAAAACTAACTGCAATTTGAGAATAAAAAAGGTGAATTTAAAAAAATTAGTACGAGTAAGAATTTTGAGTTCTTAATAATTATGGACAGAGACGGTGAAAAATTTCCTTTTGAATGCTAATATTCCTGAAAAAAGGGAAACTCGAACGATTTCAAATGACTCGATTGTACTGGCCAAAAAGGATTTAACGTTGAAAAAACAACGTCACACAAACCAATCACTTGTTGTGTATTTTTAAAAATTAATGTCTTAAAAAATTTATTATTTCCTTAACGTGAAAAAAAAAGAAAAAATAAATAAAAAATAAGAAAAGGCAAAAGGTGACAACAATTTAAAAAGAAATGACAAAAGCATTCATTGTTATACCTATTTACTTTTTCCTCTAAATAGAAAAGTGTGTGTGTGTATGTTTTTTCCGGAAAAAAATATCCGGAAAAAAAGAAAATAAAAAATAAAAGTGAGTGGGAAAATATAAGAGAGACTGCTAAGCAAGAATGTGCTTTTTAGCATTTTACCAGCCTTTTTGCAGGCCAAACAAAAAATAAATAATAATAAAATAAAGAAGAGAAAAGAAAAAAACTTTTACTTAAGGAAAAGTGTGAGTAAAATAGAGTCTCAAATAAATGGAAGTTTTTTTGGTGGGTGGTCCATAAAAAATATTTTTTTCTTTTCCAAAAAAAATTTTTTTCTTTCCAATGGGTGACCGACCGACCGACCGGCCACCATCTTTTATTTTTTCCTTATTTTTTCTAGCATGAAATGGTCGTGGTGACCCTTCTCCTTATTTAACTTTCTTTAACTTTTCTTGCTAATGTGGAAAATATGTCTAAAGGGGTTGGTTGTTGCAATAATAGAGAGAAATTTTTTTTACTTTTTCTTCGTTATTTTTGGCCATTTATTTTTAGTGTAGTCCATTCCTTCCTCCTACCAAAATATTTTTTTAGCAGCCCATTTTTCTTTGCATTTATTTTTTATAAAAATGCTGCTAATCATGAAGGGAAATGAGGCGATAAAAAAGCATGGAAAATGAGAAAATTTTTAAATATAATAATAGAAAAAAATATTTTTTAAATAAATTTTTGGCCTTATTTTTTTTACTACTATATTATGTATGGTCAAATAAATTTAAAGAAATGAGAGAGAAAAAATTAATAAAAAATTTTTTTTAGAGATTTAAGAGAATAAAAAAAAGCTTAAAGAAATTAGAAAACAAATTATCGGTTTTGGAATCAGAGACGGGTCAAGTTAAGAAAAAAAGTCGGGTCGAATTTTCGAAATTTTCTTCAAAAATTCTTTTTAAAAATCAGTTTATAGTCGAGAAAATAAAAATTAAAAAAAAGAGAAAATAAAAAAATTAAAAAAAAATTAAAAAATTTTTAATAAAAAAAATAAAAAAAACCCCTCATTGAGAAAATAAAAAAAATCAAAAAAAAATTTTACAAAACATGTCTAGTAAAAAATTTAAAGAACCCCCATGTAGGAAAATAAAATAAAAAAAATTTTTATTAAAAAATTGATCACCTACCTCCAAGTATGAGGTCTAAATCCATAACAATTGCATATTGCCATTCGCGAACAGGGTTGTCCAACCTTTTTTAAGTAACAAAAAATTATTGAAAAGATAGTTTATAGGATAAAGCTTTGTTGGATTAACCCATCCAAGAAAATAGCAAAAGCTTTGGAAGGGACTTAATTTTGAGGCTCATCCATGCAAAAGGTTCAACCATTCCACCAATTATTATTTTGCTTTATTCGCTAGGATAGGAAAAATGGTACTTTTCCGTTCTGCCACACCCCCCTAAATTAATGTTCAAAATGTCATATATGGGTTTGGACCAAGTTACGTTACAAAAATTTGTGTGGTTCTTCAATTTTCAGAGACCTGTATCTCGGTCAAATCAAATCAGATTTCGTTAATTTTGGTGTTTTTTGACTCAGCTCCATGAACTCTTTCGAGTGAGGTATTATTTGCATATTCGAATTTTTTATCCCAAAATTGAGCTTACTCCCCCCTATGGTTTTTGACCATTTCGAGCACAATATTTTGGTCCAAAGGCATCTCCGGGGTAAGAGTGGTACTGTTCGACTCAGCACCCTTTTTTACCCTAAATGTGTCATTTTGAACATTAATTTAGGGGGGTGTGGCAGAACGGAAAAGTACCGGAAAAATTAGACGTTCTTAGAGTTTGATGACCTAATCAGGAATAGAAAAACGCACGAGATACCTTGAAGAATATCACTATTCAATATTTTTGTTCCAGATCCCGTGTATCAGTCTGATCTCTAAACCTATCTTTTCATTTAAAAAACCCCAATCCGATTTAGAAAAAAAAATTTTTTTCCTTTACAAAATTACAAAAAAAATTTACCTCAACATCAATAACGTGTGCCATTTTTTGATCAAAACGTTTTGTAGTTGAAATTAAAGTTGCTCGATTATTATTGTTGTTGTTGTTGCTGACAAAGCCACTAGCACTACTAACTACACTTTTAACGTTGTTACCTCCACTATTAGTGCTGCTAGAACGTATACGATTTGTTGTTGAATTGTGGTTGTTGGTAGTAGCTGGTAGAGGATTTGGATTAATATCAGAGGAAGTTGAAGAAGAAGAATTGATTCCAGTAACAAACTTTAAAGACAAAAAAAAATTTTTTAAAGATAGCCGAAAAAATTAATATTTAAGGACTCGAACTAATTTAAAGAAGAAAAGTGTGGAAGAATAAAACATTTAAAAGAAACGTTTTAATTAAAGTCATATCTCATTCTTAAGTATACCCTTGAGGCTGATAAATATTTTATTTAAAAAAATCAAGGAATTGCGTAGAGACGTTCCATAAATTTGAAGATTATTTGGAAGAAATTTTGGAGGATTTTAAATCCAAAATTATTTGAAAAAAAATTATTTGGCCAGAACTTTGAAATTATTTGACCAATCTTTAGTAGAGAGCGAGCTGGATCTGGATCCAGACCTTTATTTTCCTGGAGCCAGAGTCCATATCAAGGCATTTTTCAGTGTTCCTTGATTTTTCCATGACTCAAGGTCAAGAATCTAGTCAAGGTCCTCACCTACAATTTTTTTTAAAAAATCTCGCTCTTTACCCTCTAGAGTACCTAAATGAGGGGGTCATAAAATTACAAAATATTTGGCAAGAAAAAAAAACAAAATAAAAATTTAAAAAAATATATAGACAATGTTTCCATTTTATTTTTTGGCAATTTTATAAAATTGGAGAGAGAGGACATTTATAAAAATTTAATTTAAACAAACAAAAACGTCAAGAGTTAAGGGGAGAAAATGCGCGCACAAAAAAAAGCTTTCCGGTAAATTAGCTTTATTGCAAAATGCCTACGAGGAGAATTGAGAGAAGAGAAGATGTGGGTAGATTAGAGGAAGGGGGAATTAATCCAGAAGATCGAGGAGCAAAAGATTAGAAAAAAGTTTAAAATGCCAAGGTGTCTAAATGTCAGAGTCAAAAATGTCAAAAAAATCAAAAAATCAAATTCCAATAAGTCGAAATGCCAAAAATTTAAAATGTCAAGGATAGAAAATGTCAAAGAGTCAAGGTTTTGAGCAGTGCTTCGCCGGAACCGCAAATTTGGTCAGAAACGGAACTTTACAACCGAACCGGAGCCAAAAAATCCCGGGATTTCCGGCTTACCGGAACCGGAACTTTCGGCGAAGCACTAGTTTTGAGTCAAGTCAGGACAAGTCAAAAAGTTCAAGTTGTCAAAAAATCAAGCCAAAAAAGTTAAAAATAACAAAAATTCAAAAAGTCAAAATGCCAATAAGTCAAAATTTCAAAAAATTTAAAATGTCAAAAATTCAAACTTATTAACATATTAATCTTCTGGAATAACCCACCAAAAAATGATGTAGTAAATGATGAATTTAAAAATAAATGAAAAGAATATGTTGCAAGACCCTCTAGGGAGGAAAAAATGAAGGAAGGAAATCATAAATTTCAAGAATTAATGACAACATTTTTAAAAAGTTTGGCGTTCAAAGATTAGTGTAAGAGACGGATAAAAAAAATTTAAATTATATATTTTGAATGGAGACCAGGAAGGAGACAAGAAAAACAAAAAAAAATTTTTAAGAAAAAGAAATAAAGGTAGCTAAATAAAAATGAAGAGATTAAGGGAAGATAAAGTGGGAGAATAAACGAAAGAACTATTGTTGATAATTCTGATAACCAGCAAGTTTGCCAAAGATACATACATATATGTATATTTGTCAACAATTTTATAATTTTTATTAAATTGTAAGAAAAAAAATGGAAGGGTAAATGAGGGAAGACAAATTCGATAGAGTACCAAAATTAAAAAAAAACTTTTTTCAAGTTTCAAGTTTTATTTTTACATATCCTCCCCCCTCCCTAGCTTTTACAAGTGCAGAAAAAATTTATTTTTTAAATAAGATTTTCTAAATCTTCTAACTCAATAAATTTTATTTTTTTATTTATTTACTTAATGCTCTATCCCACTCAGCTGTGGGCAGTTTTATTTATAAAGGGGATATAAATAAAAGAAAAGAAAATCTGGAAGAGGAAAAAAAGATTTGTTGTTGTTATTGTGTGCTGTTTTGGTAAGGAATTTCTAAAAGAAAATTTTGGAGGGAAATTAGAGTATATACAAAAAAATTCGAAAAATTTTCAAAAAAAATATTCAAAAATTCAAAAAATTTTAAAAAATTCAAAAAAATTTCAAAAAAATTTTCAAAAATTTTCTGAATGACACTAGAGTATGACAAAAAAAATTTTTGAAATTTTCCTAAAAAATCGCGAAAATTTTTCCCATTTAAAACCCCCAAAAAAATACTCTTAAAAATCCAAGTAAAAGGGAAAGGATATATTCAAGCAACAACTGCCAAAATTTATGTTCTAATAAGCTTTCTCTCTCTCTCAATTTGCTTTACCCCCTTTTAGCCCATATTTCTTCCAGCAGCGCCCCTTCTCCCCTTTATTGTGTGCCAAAACCACATTTTGGCACACAATTTTGTAGAGGGCCAAAAGAGAGTATTAATTCCAAAAACACAAAAGATCAACAGTCCTATTAGAGTCTTAAAAAGAAAAATGTGGACTAACCGAAGGTGGGACTAACCGAAGGACCAGAGACTTTTCTCTTGATAAGGACAATTTTCCAATATTACATATATCCAATCTTAAATACACCTCATTTTTATGTAAAATTTTTTCCAGGCCTTAAAAATGTGATCGGCTCGAAAATGTAGGGGTTTTGAATCTTGGTACCTTCCCTGGAATGTAAATAAAATTTCATCACCAAACGGCTCCTAATTCACCTTAACCAACAAACATCTAATCATCAAAAGGGAAATTTTAATCCCCCCTCCCCCCCCCCCCCAACCAACAAAATCCAGACTAAAAAACCAACAAATAATTGCGATCTTTTGGAATTAATTTTTTCCCCTCCTCTAAAACTCTCCAAAACACAAATAAAATTTTAAAAAAGAGACGAAAAAAAAGTTTATTAGATAAAAATGAAGAAAAGAAAGGGGAACGGATTTTTTGGAAAAAAAAATTTTTAAAAGAGGGAAAAAAGGCTTCGATTTTTTTGGAAAAAGCTTAAAAAAAAGGAAAATAATAATAATAATGTACTTCTTCTTTCCCTCTCTTTTCTTCCTTAAAGCCTGGACGATTCATGCTTGCATAGCTGTGAATAAATAAGAGAGGGAAGAATAAAATAGTAGAAGTGTGGCGTTGACAGCCGAAAAAATGAAAAGAATGAAGGGAATAATGAAAGGGGGATTTTGGGGATTTATTAAGAGAGAGATAAGGGATAGAAAAAAAGATTTTTCAAAGTTGGAAAATTAATTTAAAAAATTAAAAAAAAAATTTTTTAATTTAAAAATAAAAAGAATTATGTCCCTAAAAAGTCGTGAGGAAATAACAAATCCAAAAAAATTCCTAGCTAAAAAACAGAAAAATAAAGCAACCTCCCTCTTATTTTTCTCCTAAAAATTCCCTTCCACTTCCTTTGCATAAATTCACTTTTCTATCCCTAGTCTGACCATTATGAACCTTTTGAAAGAAGTTTTGGAAAAAATAGACAAAAGGAAAAAGCACAAACTAAACTTTAATCAGTAAGGGTATACTATCCGACCATGCCATATAAAGGAAATCCCAACATAAAAAGCACAGAATATAAATTCCTAGCTAGAGACAGAAAACCAAAAATCACACTTCTCAAGGGATGGGATTAAAAAAAAATTTTTTAACTTCCTCTAAATAATTTCTAAATTTTTTTCACAACCAAAAAAATTTCCAAAAATATATACAAATTTTTAAAAATTAGATTAGACATAAAATAAAAAATTTTTCAAAAAAAAGTGAGTGGTTCCTTCAACTAAAATACACACACAATAATTTTCTCCCCTTTTTTTATAAAAATTAAATTTCAAAAAAAATTTTTTTCTGTTTGTATAGATTGGCATGTTTGGAATGTGTTTGTTGTTTATTAAAAGAAGAAAAATCTCCTTTTGAGGGCCAAAAATTTTTTTTATTTTGTTAAAAAATGAAAAGCCCCCAATTTCTTCTTTCCCTCTCTCTTCCCTCCCTTTCCCCTTTCCTCTCCTCATTCAATCAACCACCCCATCATCAGTTGGTGGTTAGGGTTAATTTCTCAAGGGAGGATAATAATGAGAAGAAAGGGATATATATTTGGTTAAGAGAGGAATAAAGCTGTTTTAATGATGAACGTTATTTTGTGGTTAGGCTTTGGGGAAAATTAAAAAAAAATTTTGACGCGTCAAAAATTAAAAAAATGAGACAGACAAATATAACAAAAATTTTGTAAAATAATTTTAAAGAGAAGAATGGAGGAGCTGTAGATTTGGGGATATGGAGAATCAGCAAATGAAAGGAGGAGGATGAATGAAGATAAGGGACGAAAATGAAGATCAAGGATGAAAAAAATGAAGGAAGGATGGAACGGAAGGATGAAGAAGAGATGGATGTAAAGGAAAAATGACGACGAAGAATGTGAAAGAAGATAGGAATGATAAAGACGGGGGAAAAAAGATGAAGGAAGATTAAAGAAAAGAAACTTAAATCTAAGTGAATAAGGGAGATTTAACCCATCCTAAAGTAACCAGTTTTTGTCCTTAAAAACCCTTAAAAATAAAAAAAACCTTAGATAACGGATGCCACCAACGTGCATTATTTGTTGTAGCCGCCGTCTTTCTACTTTCGTGCTGCGAGGGCGTTGAAGAAGGAATTTGTAACGCATAACCAAGCGTTCTCCCTCGATTTCCAGAAGAAGAAATATTGTTTATAGGTTGTCTAACATTTAATGGAGTGAAGCGTGCCTTTAAAAGAAAATGTTTGATTAATGACAAGGAAAGGTAGTAGATGAGGGAACAGATGGAAAAGTGATCGCCGGCTCCGATAAAAAATTTTTACAAAAAAAACTCCCCTAAAACTGTAATTACTTTGTGCCAGTGTCCAGTTTATGCGGTGAATAGTAGCTGCAGAGCAGGGATGTCCATGGTTAAAACTCGACCCGATACATGGACTAATTTCGACCCGAACTCAGAAATCCACTCCAAATAAAATTTGGAAACCCGACCCAGAACCTAACCAAACTCTTTTTCTCACCCTGGCCCAAGCTTGGGTTTCTAAAAATGTTATAAAAGCCCCTTAACCAAAAAAAAAAGAAAAATCCTAAAAACTCAAAAATCCAAACCCACTGACCGGCCTAGAAGACGATCTCTGTTGCTGATTTTGTGAAGTAAACCCAGCAGCTGCCCTAGCCAAAATACTAGCTTCAATTGCTTGTGTTTTATTTTGTATTCTTCCTCTTCTTTCATTTTCTGAAAAATTTTTTGTAGTTCCCAATACTGAAGAAGCAGAGAATGAAGGGCGACGAACAATTTGGGGTGGTTGGTTGATAACTCCTGAAGGCTTGACAACTTTTGAGCGGCAATATTCAACTAGAGCGCCTTCTTCTTTTTCCAATACAGAATTGCTGTCGTTGCCAATGTCGGCATACTTGAAATATTTTTAATTAGTGTGAGGAAGACAGACCAAGTATTTGGTCAAAAAATTCATTGGAGGCTATTTGGGCTAAACAGTCTATACGAGAGGACCTACAGGAAGAGAGGATAGGAAAGGTATAGGCCATAAAAGAGAGGAAACAACTTGGATAATCCAGCATTTTTTGGTATGTGAAGTCTAGTGATCGAGATGGGTTTGGACCAAGGCCTGGCTTTTTCCTGTACCCAGAGCCCAGGCATTTTTTTGACCCTCCTGGGTTTTTCCTGGACTACAGGCCCAGGATCCGGCCTAGACTTTTCAAAAATCTCGATCATTAGTGGAGTCGTTTTAATCTCAAAAGACCAGGTACAAATAAGTTAACGGATATTTCTAGAAAGAGATAGGACCGAGACGGGATCTTGAACAATCTCAGTTATGAAGATTTTTCGAGATATCCCGTACAACACTCTCAGTCCGGTCTCTAGTTCTTACCTCAGGTTTCGACCCTCCCCGTAAATTAAAAAATGAGGGTGAACGGAAAGGAAGAGAAAGAACGCACCAACGGTTCCACGAAAACTGAACAAAAGGAAAGAAAAAACCCCAGAAGGAACGACCAAATACTTGGATTTAAAAAATAAACCTGTTATACTTACTCTTGGATCATCAGTTACATCTTCTATTCGAAAAATTCCACTAGTATAAGGTTGTTGTTCTCTTTCAGTAGAAGTAGTTGAAGAGCTTGTTCTTCTTTGATTGTAAGACATTCCATTTTCGTTTTTGTAGGGGTGAATAGTTGCGATCATTGCCATTATTTTTTGGCCTCTAAAAAATTTCTTGAAAAATTTTGAAAAATTTTCAAAGAAAAAAATTTGAAAAATAAATACCAAAACATTTCGACAACCCATTTGGGTGCCAAAAATTGAGTGCCTCCCACAAAAAATAATTGGTCGTTTGAGTGCCAAAAATTAAGTGTCTCCCGCTAAAAAATATTCGTCGTTTGGGTGCCAAAATTTCAGTGTCTCCCAATAAAAATAATTGGTCGTTTGGGTGCCAAGACTGAGTGCTCCCTAAAAATCCCTCTAAAACTCGTTCAAAAATCCCTCTAAAAATCCTCCTAAATTTAATTCTCAACGAAAAAATTTTTTTTTCTTAAATCAAAAATGGAGAAAAAAATCAAAAACTTTTTCTTTCATCAAAATGTGAAAATGAAAAAAGGAATTTTGAAAACCGATAATTTTGGGTAAAATTGTTTGTGTGTGTGGACGACGTAAAAATTAAATGCGCGGTCTATTCTTTCTCTAAATTTGATTGATTTGGAAAAAAAACTTTTTTTTCCCTTTTTTCTCGCAGTCTCAATATCATTTTATATCAACAACACACAAATTTGCTAAACACCAAAATTATTAGGTGACAAAAGAGAGGTGGGGTACAGCCCATTTAGGCGCGCGCCATAACGGCGCAATGCCATAACTTGCTTCAAGCTTTCCGAATCTTAACAAATTTGGTATTAAACGATTCCTCTCATTGAGCTAAAGAGATTGGTACCAAAATTAATAAGGGTCAGAAATTTTTCAGCAAGTTATGGCTTTGCTCCGTTATGGTCGCGCGCCTATTTGGGCTGTTTAAAGGAGAGATAATAACCAAAAACAAATTAACTCCCCCTTCTTTCCTTTTTTTCAAAAGAATATTCTCAAAAAATCAAAAGCTACCAAAAGCGTCCTTGTCAATAACAATAAAAGAGAACAATAAAAAAGAAAGATTTAAAAAAAATATCTGCAAAAATGATAATCTGTTCCGCTATTTTTATCATTTTTTTGACAGATCAAAAAACGGCTTTATGACCTCCACAAAATATTTTGATAAAAATAGAAGAAATGTAGAAAGATTATTTTTGGAAATGTAAAAGTTAAAAAAGAAATTTTAAAAAATTAGAAAGGCGTGGGTTCCTGTGAATTTTTTAATATGGAAATGAGAATTAGTATTGAACAAAGAATATTAAAATACTAAATCAGAAATAAAATCAGAATTAATTAAAAACAAATAAGAACAAATATCAGAATTAATATCAGAATTGATACCAGAACAAATAACAGAAAAATCGGAATAAATTTCAAACTTAATTTCAGAATAACCCAAAAATTAACATCAGAACAATAACACTATAATCAATACCAGAAAAAGTCTTTTTAAATCAGAATTAATTTCAGAATTAATATCAGAATTAATCAGAAAAAGTACCCGAATAACCAGAATAAATTTCTAAAATCAGAATTAATTTCAGAATTAATATCAGAACAAATCAAAACAAAACATTTTAAATAATTAAAACAGATTTTAACCAGAATTTAAATTTTGAAGAACAAAAAAGTGTTCCGTTACACAATAAAATTAATAAAAATTGAAGGGAGGGGGAAATTCGCCGACAAACAAAATAAAAATGTAAACAAAACAGTATAATGAATAATTAATTTTCTTAAATAAATATTTATATAAAACTGGTCTTTATATGATTAGAGCAGGTCGCGCAGCGTCAGAATTAATCAGAAAACTGAGTTAGATTACGTTGGTAAAAATTAATAATAAAATAATGGGAGTAAAGAGCAATACAAATTAATATTTATTTGTGTATTTTTCCTCCTATTTATTTTTCGATTTATTTTTTTTTCTTCCCAGAAATCCTCCCCTATTTTTATTTTTTAAAATTCCCCCCAAAAATTCCCCCCAAAAATTCCCCCAAAAATTTTTTTCTTAAATTTGTCACCAAAAACCAATTTAAATTTCAATAATGACTCATTTCCGACAATAAAACTGAATAAATAAGAGAAAAAATTGAATAAAAATTTAACAAAATTAAACACAAACCCCTTATTAAATTTTAAATTTATTTCCACCCACTCTTTCGCCAAATGTCTTTTGTCTTTATGCTGAACTACATTTTGTCTTATTTTACCCGTAGTACCGTTATATCGAGTACCCTTTTGTCTTAATTTACCCGTTGTATTATTTTGACGCGCGCGGTCAAAAATAAACATACACTGTCTCTCTTATAAAATAGTAGTCTCTAACACTTCTCTTTCTATATTTTGTTAAACAAAAGTTTCCACAAAAGAAGACAGTTGAGTCTCATTCTAAAGTCTATTGCTTTATACTCTAAAAATGAGACTCAATAATCCCTTTACGATCACTTAACTGCTTTGCAGAGACAAAAAAAGATCTGCTTTTTTCCAGCGATTTTATTTAATTTTTTTTATTTGTTTTGTTGGACATAGCTAATTGTACAGTTTTCTTTTCTTTGTTCTTTTGTTAATTTTTTATGTTTATTTTAGATATTTCAACATTTGTACATAAAAATAAATTTATTTGAAAAAACCGTTTGGGCAGATAATTAAAAATAAAATGACTCGTAAGCCTTTTCTTTCAACAAATCTTATATTTTCTAATCGTTTAAGGTGGTAACCAGCGTGAATTGGCCCGTGAGAAGAACAAAAAGAAAATGGAACAGTTGAAGAAGAGTCAAGGAAAAAGCGGGGTAATATTTGAAGGTTTTATAAAATTTTGAGTGGGTGGTGTAGTTGGTTGGGTTTGGGTTATGACTGGAAAGGGTCGCGGGTTCGAACCCCATTGGTGGTAAACTTTTTATTTCGTGAAGTAAATGCTTTCTTTTGATGAAAATTGAACCATATCGTATTTAAAAAATATTTTTAAAAATTTAAAAGACCAATAAAAGTCATAAATTTAGGATGTCTCAACCGAGAAGAGGATGGAAACGGATGCCGGTTTGCTTAAACCTTTCTTTGACTATTTTAAAAATTGTATTTCTAGAAAAGATGCGCGAAAAGCAACGGAAAGCAGCCGAGAAAAAAGCTGCTGATGAAGCTGCCGCTGCTCAACAACAATCCAAAGTTGTGAAGGTGGATCCGTTGACGATGAAGGAATAGGAAGAAAATTTGGGAATATTGCAAAAAGGAAGACATGATGGAAAAATAAAAGTTCTATTTAATTTTTAATTATTTTGTGCTGATCATAGGGGGCCCAGTATATATAATTAGGGCCTTTCTCATTTAACCCAAAATTCAAAAAATCTTTTCTGTAGCCTTCCCTAAAATAATTTAAGAATGATTTTTAGCTATTTATAAATCTTAAATTAGGGAAAATTTAGGTTTGAGAATAGTTGCCAATTGAATTGAGAAACAATAATTAATGAATTATTAGCCAAATATCTCCTTAATCAACTTAACACTAAGGAAACAAATTTATGAGTGCCAAATGGATATTTATGCAATTCGAATGGAATCTGCAGAACTGTCTTCTTTGTTGAAGGATCATCTATACCTCGCAGCACTTTCCATTGCGCTTCTGGTGGAACAGAATCCTTCTTGGTCACTTTGGAAAAGATATTGAGATCTAAAATTCGATTTTAAATCGTTTTAAACTAAAATATTACGAGTATTTGTTGTCGCCTTAAGCTTTGATGTATCCAAAGTTGTAGTAATTTTGACCGACTGCTTAGCTCTGATAAACCCAAACTTAGGAACTGTTTTAAGTAATTCTTCGCTTAAAAAGAAAATTGCTTAAAATTAAGTTAAGCAGACATTACCTTACAAATCCGGAGAACAATTCAAAATATTCAAGGCTGTTCCTGCCAAGTAAAAATTTTAATGTTAACTTAATTTTAAGCAATTTTCTTTTTAAGCGAAGAATTGCTCAAAACCGTTCCTAAGTTTGGGTTTATCAGAGCTAAGCAGTCGGTCAAAATTACTACAACTTTGGATACATCAAAGCTTAAGGCGACAACAAATACTCGTAATATTTTAGTTTAAAACGATTTAAAATCGAATTTTAGATCTCAATATCTTTTCCAAAGTGACCAAGAAGGATTCTGTTCCACCAGAAGCGCAATGGAAAGTGCTGCGAGGTATAGATGATCCTTCGACAAAGAAGACAGTTCTGCAGATTCCATTCGAATTGTATAATCCATTTGGCACAAATAAATTTGTTCCCTTATTGTTAGTTTTAAGTTTATTAAGGAAATATATGGCTAATAATTCATCCATTATTAACGTTTTTCAGTTCAACCTGCAATCATTTTCAAACCTAAATTCGCCTAATTTCAGATCTATAAATATTTTCCTAAAAATCACTCTTCAATTATTTTAGGGAAAGCTATAAGAAGGCTTTTTTTAATTTTAGGCTAAATGAGAAAATATTTCAAATATTTATGTTTCAAAAAATAACCGTGATAAATTTTGAAAAAATATAAATAGATATTCATTTCAAACCATATTTACATCAAATTATAACCTTCGGTGTTGTCGGTAAATGAGAATGAACATGCTGTAACTCATTAACCCCAACCCCCGACTGTTCAACTCTTGTTTTCCAATATTAAATTTTTTTCCTATTTTTAAGAAAAAATTTAAAAAAGTTTTAGAATAATTTTTACAAAATTAACTTTACTTAATATGCAAAAAATCAATTTATTTATTTAAAAGAAGTACTAAAGAATACAGACCAAAAATAAATTTATTGAAGTGATTATTTAAAAAAAATTTTAATTTTACTTAATATGCAAAAATTAAATTAGTATTTTATTTAGGCAAATGAATCCAACGATTATGATTCTCTTTCGTAACGCACTCTTAATTTTTGGAACGGGGGATTGCGCTCAATCCCCTTAAATTTTGTTGATATTTTAATAAGCTAAAGGTTTTAGGTGACTATCCCAAATCTCTGATAGGGATTCTTTGCCCAAAAAAATTATTGGAAACTCATCAGTATTCAGAACATATCAGAAAATCAAGATGAATCCTAACCTTAATATTGTTTACTTCTCATTTATTTTGCCATACATTTTCTCATTCTTTCTGGTCTTATTTTAAAAATGTGTAATTTCTCTTGATTAAATTTACGAAACATTTTTTAAAATTTTATTGCCAGCAGAAATCATAGAATTTAAAAACTCGTCATTGTTATGTCCGAAAATTGGCCAAGCTTTGTCCAGGTCCGAAAACAAGAAGAACATATTCACCCAAAGAGAACGTATAATGTAGATGAATCGCACTGGAGCAATCTGAGGATATCAGAGATTATCCAGTCTTGTATGATCAAAAAAAGACTAGCTTTTTTGACGCCACCCACACAACACAAATATTCTTTAAGGCAAAAATATCTTTTATTTTTCTTAAAATGATAGTAAACTTTTTTTTTTCAATGAGAGATCACAACCCTCCTCCCCTCAAAAATAAACAAAAAAATATTCCTTTTTTATCCACTTTTAGATCTTCTCATTCTTTTTCGTCCCACTTGTTGGATTCTTGGGGTTTTCCGTCCTTTGAGCAATCAATCCTTGGTAGAATCCTTGAAAAGAAAATATTTTTTTAATCATCGTGATTTAAATCCTCTACATCGCAAAATTGATTGGACGCATAAATTTTTAATTGGACGTATATGGAAAGGAGCCAAATAATTCGTAAATAATAAAAAACCAAGGAACGAGTTTAATTTTTTCCCACGCCAAAGTTAGACCGGAAATTCCTCTATATTTTATTTAAACGTTATATCATAAAAGTAACCCCGGACATTCATAAATAATTTTTAATTTATTAAAAATTAAAAAAGAAATTTTCTAACCTGTATGATACCCAGCCATATACCAACTCATCAATGCATTAGTTAATGCCTCTCTATCTGTTCCAGCAGCAGAAACCTTATTAATTAAATAGTCGGGTGGAGGAGGACAAAGATCGGGAATCTATTAAAAAATTATTTTTTATTAAATTTAAACTAAATTAAAAAATATACCGGAAAAATACTCCCAATATTCGCCTTGTTTGTCTTTTCATTATTTTTTGTGGTCGAAGGAGGTTCAAGATCAGTAGTCTTAAATTAAAAAAATTTTTTTTAAATTAAAGTCTATTTAAAAAAAAACCTTGTCATCGCTTTTTTTGCGGTCATTCTCTTCTTGGTCTGCTTCATCGCTAACCCATTCAACATCCTCCTCCCTAGAGAAAATGAAAAAAAACAGAGTATATTCAATCGATTTTCGGAATAATTAGAGGCGAAAATTTTTTGTTTTTAGAAGGCCAAGAAACCAAATTTCTTGCAGTTTAAGCGCAAAATTTTGAAAATTTTGTGGGTTGAAGGCGTAAAAATCCACTTTTCTGATCATTTCCCTTCTAAAATTTTTTCACTTTCCCCATCTCATGTCAGAGGGGGGAGCTATAGTCCCAGAAGCCCCTCCCTGGCTAAGGGCTATGGCCCTGTCCTGAAATGAATAAGTAGCCTTGAATCCTTAACTTTATTTCTTGTTCAAAATTTCATAACCAAAACCCCGTTGCCCATCCGCAAAAATTTTTTAGAAACTCCTACATAAGAAAGGGTTTTGTCTCCGACATTTGCATAAGGTCAAAGATTATTTGATTTTTTCTCGACCAAAAAATTCATAAATAACCCCAACCCCTTTCCAAAATAAAAAACTAACGTCATAAGCGAATCCAATTTAACTGTAGCCTTTGTGTTGTAACCATCAAAAATAACTAAACAATTTCCTTTAGCAATATTGATCGATTCAATTTTGGCCGGATACCATCTACCATCATCCTCATATGGCGCCATACAATGATCACCAATCTTCCACTTTTAAGAGAAATTTTAAAATAAAAATTTAAACAAGAAAAAACCTTAATTTTTGACCCAGAATTTTTTGAAGTGTTGTTTTTATTGTTAAAGTTATTTTGCAATTTTTCCTGAATTTTTAAAAATTTTGAATTTTAATGAAAATGAAGCTTACATAAGTCTTGGCCGTAGATTTTTCATACATTTTGATCAACTCAGTGTCATCCCAAACTTCATCATGGACACTGACTTCTTTCTAAAAAAATAAAAAAATGAGAATTTTGTCTAAAAAATATTTAAAATAAAGAGAAAATGTATGCAGTCGTTTATCCAGATTCAATGCATCAATTTGTTCCACAATTCCGATTTTTAAGTAAACAAACCTATTTTCTAATTTTACTTAATACAACGTCTGGGTGCGTCAGTCAATAATAAAACAATTTATCCGAAATCCGGACTTCTTTCGACTCCAAACCCCTAGCCGAAGAGAATTGTTAAAACAAATCCAAAATCCGATCCAACGCTTTTCTTAGCCCAATACATTCCTTGTCAATAATGACTGAAAAATCTAGCTAGAAATTTTAATGTCGTTCTGATTAAAGGAAAATTAATCCAAAACCCTTATAAAATTTAACTATGTGCCATTAAAATAACCCAAAGTCAAAATGTATAAAAAATCATTTACCCTAGTATACAACACAGCACCACTGCTATCCGAAGATGTTGACATTTCAGAATAAAATTATTAAACTTAAAATTAAGTCGATTTTTAATTAATAAACAGAAATATCAAAAATTAAAATAATTTTAAAAAAATAATTAAATTCCAAAAAATATTTCCAAACTATTTATTTAAGCAAATTAAAATTGCAGAGCTCTAAAACCAAAATATAAAGAATTAGGCCAAATTTGAATCAAAATATTTTTTTTTTGTTCTTAAAATGTCAACAATATTTTTCTTCATTTCGCATCTTTTTGGCCTTTAAAATCTTCATTCTCTATTCGGTAGTAGTCTTCCCGCAACAACCAAAAGCCGCTTTTCCCCAAATAGCAGCATAATAGAGTGAAACGACGGAAAATGGTATGCTAAAAATTAAAGATTAGGAAAACGATTATTTGAATATTTTGAGGGCCTAAAGATTATTTGGTTACAAAAAGTGGTCAGATATTTAATAAGAATAAAACTAACGTCCAAAGGCCAGAGATTTTGTCAATTTTGTAAAAAGCGACGGTTGTAGCAATTGACAGTCCGGTCAAAATGATGGTGTTTGCAGCAAGCTGAAAATATATTTATTAGTTGAATAAAGACAAATAATGAAAGGACAAGATTAGCTTACAAAAATAGTCGTGGACACGAAAAAATCCAGGTTTTCAAAAAATTACTAGAATCTAAGAAAAATGTCTACATCTACATATTCTTAATTTTGGAGGCTAAACTTAACCAGATTCCTTATTGAGTCCAGGAAAAATTAAAGTCAATAAAAAATCAAGGAACACTGAAATGCCCTCATCTTAACTCTGGACCCATGAAAAACCAGGGTTTGGATCCAGGCCAAGCTCTAACTAGAAATATAAATCAAAAATTTACCCATTTAGCCTTCTTGGTTCGCAATAACGGCACTGCCACAAGTCCAGACGCGATAGTAGCCCCATAAAGTCCAAGAGCAACAGTCGTGTCAGTATAATCAAAACCTAAAATTAAAGATTAATTTGTATTAAAAAATAACAGAATAAACCTCCGCCAATCTTGTAAACCAAATAAGATGCGTAGCCTAAAGTAGCTGCTGCACCAACATTAGCCGCAAGATAAAAGTATTGGCACGATGGAGCGATGCATGAAGACAAACGTTGAGCCTATATTAAAATAAAATATGGAGTTTTACAGCAGGGATGTGGAACCCTACAGCAGAGATATCACGGGATAAAAAATTAGCCGAGTCGGGTTTCCGGTCGATAAGTCTGAGTTTCGAGTATCTGGCTTCGAACAACCCGTGCTATCCATCCTTCAAAGGTGTCAACGAATCTAACAAGTTTTTAATGTTCTTACCTTAATGAAGTTGACCAAATTCTCATTCTTGCTAACACACAAAGAACCGCCAAGAGCAACGCCCGCAGGAACCGCCCCAGATAAAAAAGCGTATCTGGTGTCAAGACTGTTCCATTGAAGTGGCATTTTCTTTTTTCAAGATTTAAATAGAATTTAAAATTTGTCTAAAAATTAAAAGTTTTTTAACGATTTTGTCCGAAAAATAAATAAAAACAAAGCACAAACATTATGAAGAAAAAACAACTCAAAGAAAATGAAAAACAAATTTTTCCCTTACAAACTTTTCTTCTTTTCTCTGCCAAACTATTTTTCCCTCTTTTTAGATATTTACTTTTATATTAAAATATTTACCACAATGAAATTTAGCAGTTTAACTCTCCATTATTTAGCTGTATTTTTGAGTCTGGCTTCAACTTAAATCACTAGTAAATTAATTATCCAGACTCGTCAGTCAGCTTCCAGAACTTTCAAAGTTTTGATTACTGTAAAAATTTCTTTCTCTCCTCCCATATAAAATTTTTTCAGAATTTTTTTTTCGAAAATTTTTAAGAGCTTTGTTCGTATTTTTTGTAATTTCTCCATGTTTTTAAGTTAATATCTAAATTCCAATGTCAACTAACCATTACTTCCACAACTCTTTTTCAAATAACAACTTGGGTCAAAATCATTTTTCAACCATTTTTGAGCGAATCACTGTTGATTCTAATAATGGAAATCATCGTATGAATGCTGAGGTTCTTGATAAGACGATTGCTTTGATGAATGTTACGTCGCAGAAGTTGAAACAGTTTGTTTTTTAAATGTTATTTTTTGTTAGACATAGTCAATCGGGGCTTTATGTAAGCCTGGTGTTCGTTAACTCATTGTCAGTATAAAGTTTCCTTATACTTAAGCTTGGATTTAAAGAGGGATTGTTTTAGCGTTATTTTCTTTAAAAGTTCCAAAAATGATAATAAGTTGCACGGTTTTTTCTGTTTTGTTTACTAGCTATATTCCTTTCGTTCCACAAATAATTAAAATCTTCTGATTTCTTTTCCTCATTTTTCACATCATAAAGAAACGAGATTTATTTCCATATTTTTAGTGCTGTCTTCGAAACAAGCAAATTAATGATTGGCGAAGATGCTAGAGGAATTGCAAAAACCAATCCTGAGGAGAACAACAAAGGAGGACAACAAAAAACTTCTCTTTTCAAAACTGAAATGTGCTACAACTTTCAGCGTTCCGGTGGACAGTGCAAGTTTGTTTTGATTTTTTAATTTTTTTGAGACTTTTTGAAGGGGTTCCCCTACCTCCAAAGAAGAGAAGGGAAAATCCTCTCCTTCAAAGGTGAATGTGCACTACCTTTTTGCAAGAAAGCTGCACTAACAAGTGCCTCTTTTCCCTCTACAATAGGTTTTTGACCAACAATGCTCTTTCTCTGCTTAAAGGAAGAATTTAGGATGAGGGAAAAGGAATGGGATATTTTGTCACCTTTTTAAAAATACATTTAATAATTAAAAAACACAAAATATGTTTATTTAATTATTTAGGTATGGAAATGGCTGTTGGTTTGCTCATACTCTTGATGAACTAAGACCTGTTCCTTCTCATTTGCCTGCAACACCGAAGTTTGCTCAATTAAATGGGAATTGGTTTTGAGGTGAAAAATGATGAAAAAGTATAATTAAGAAATATATAATAATTTTATTTGAATAATCGTTTTATTGGAAATAGTTTTAGAAATAACCGCTAAAATAATTAAGGGAGGGGAATGCTAGGATTAAATAAGTTTCGAAAAACTTTTATAAGTGTACTAACATAAAACCTGTATTACCTATATGGCCTGCAACTCTTTTAGAAACTGAAACGATCCATTTTAGTCCTTGAAAATTGAGGTTTCGCCCTCTTACGTATCAGAGTCGAGCTTTCATTTGGTTTACCATTAAAAAATTTTTTTTATTGAACATCAAGTTGTTGAACGCGTAAAAGCAATTGGAGCCATATCTTTTACATCATCCCTATTTAATATGTTATTTCCTATTTTATATTCTCAGGATCATTTCTGTAGTACGTATTCCTTCCTTAGTAACCCTTCGATCTTCATACATTCCATCTGGGTACAGCCCAAGTAGGCGCGCGGCCATAATGGCGTAATGCCATAACTTGCTTCAAGATTTCCGAATCTTACCAATTATAGTATTAAACGATTCCTCTCTTTGAGCTAACAATAAGGAGCTTGGTACCAAAATTGATAAGGGCCAGAAACACTTTTTCTCAACCCGACTCTTCACTATTTTAGTCATTTATTCAAATTTACTACAACACAAAAAAACAATATAGGTAGTACATATATATTTTCCTAACAAAATCTATGAAATATATTTATTTTCTTTATTTTGTCCTAACTACATTGATCCGGTCGCTGCCCCTTTCTTCTCCTGTAAGTATTACACGTTTTTGTAGACTTCTTAATTTTAGCGGTATTTAGAGTTGTCGTTGTTGTTATAGATTGTCCGGGTTTCAACAGACCATAGCGAGGCTTGGTAGTCAGCAGTTCTTCGCTTAAAATAAAATTGTTTTACATTAATTTATATAAAATTTATACTTTGCGGGAATGGCCTTGAAAATTTTTGTGGTTTTACCAGGATTTGTGATTACAATGTCGGCAGCGGCGTTTTTCAAATCGTCCATAAGAAGGATTTTGGAATCGGAAGCTTTCAACCTGAAAAAATATATGGTGTATTCTGAAAATTCTTTGTTGAACGCAATTGCTGAAGGTGTAAAAATAATTAAAGCTTGGGTTAAAGCATGTGTCCTTTTTAGGGTTAATTTTAATTTATAATTTTTGTAGGTCAAATCAAATAGCTCTATTCTAAGACCTTCAGCAATTGCGTTCAACAAAGAATTTTCAGAATACACCATATATTTTTTCAGGTTGAAAGCTTCCGATTCCAAAATCCTTCTTATGGACGATTTGAAAAACGCCGCTGCCGACATTGTAATCACAAATCCTGGTAAAACCACAAAAATTTTCAAGGCCATTCCCGCAAAGTATAAATTTTATATAAATTAATGTAAAACAATTTTATTTTAAGCGAAGAACTGCTGACTACCAAGCCTCGCTATGGTCTGTTGAAACCCGGACAATCTATAACAACAACGACAACTCTAAATACCGCTAAAATTAAGAAGTCTACAAAAACGTGTAATACTTACAGGAGAAGAAAGGGGCAGCGACCGGATCAATGTAGTTAGGACAAAATAAAGAAAATAAATATATTTCATAGATTTTGTTAGGAAAATATATATGTACTACCTATATTGTTTTTTTGTGTTGTAGTAAATTTGAATAAATGACTAAAATAGTGAAGAGTCGGGTTGAGAAAAAGTGTTTCTGGCCCTTATCAATTTTGGTACCAAGCTCCTTATTGTTAGCTCAAAGAGAGGAATCGTTTAATACTATAATTGGTAAGATTCGGAAATCTTGAAGCAAGTTATGGCATTACGCCATTATGGCCGCGCGCCTACTTGGGCTGTACCCAGATGGAATGTATGAAGATCGAAGGGTTACTAAGGAAGGAATACGTACTACAGAAATGATCCTGAGAATATAAAATAGGAAATAGCATATTAAATAGGGATGATGTAAAAGAAATGACTCCAATTGCTTTTACGCGTTCAATAACTTGATGTTCAAATAAAAAATTTATCAATAATAAACCAAATGAAAGCTAGACTCTGATAAACAAAAGAGGCCGAAACCCGAATTTTTAAACTATAGAAAATCAAGAGTTAATTATTTTAGCCGGTTATTCCATAAATTTTATTAAAAGTCGAGATTTTTACCAGCACTTTTTTATGAATAAATTTATTGTTATTGAACAAGTATTTAATAAAAAAGGGAAAGAAATTCTGGAATAATTTATAGGCTTAAAAATCGAGAGAATGACACCTTTTTATTACCAAAAAAGTCTCTATTTTTTTGTCCATCAATTTTGTTTAAAAATTTTAAATTAAAAATTCGAATCATTTTAGAGGGTAAAAAATGTGACAATTTATTTAAAAATTTTATTTAAAAAATTTTTTTGGAAATTTTTCAAAAATAAAATATACTATTTTTCTAATTTAGTTTTATTTAACTGATTTATTTTGTGCCCAAAAAATTTTTATTTGAAATGATGCCATTTGTTTTTGCCATATTTTTCTTTATTTAAATTTTTATTTGAAGGCTGCATTTATTTAAAAAAAATTTCTTATTGAAAAAAAATAAATTTTCTTTTTTAAGGTACATATTTTGAATATTTTTTAAAATTAAAATAGATTTTTGCGTTTTAGGGTGAAAATTTTCTAAGAAAACCCCTTAAATTTAATTTGTATTAAAAATTAGTAGGATAATTTAAAAAAGAATTAAACTTAATAATATAAATTTTTTTATTATTCCTCCAAAAGATTTATACAAACTCTCTCCCTCAACAAGCCTTCCTAAAAATATTTCTTTAAAATGCGCAGAATGAAGATATCCTTACTGATTTTGTTGGGTAAATTCTATTCCTTTTTTTAATTTTTAAAAATTTATTTTTAAAGTTTTTGTTCTTCAAACATGTAATGCTTTGAGAGGTAGAAAATTTAAAAAAATATTCAGAAGATCAAAAATTTTTTAAAGGTGCTCTGGTCCGCACAGGTCGAGCAGCTTCCAAAAATTGGGAAGATAATGAAGGGTTGTATTATTATATGGAAAATATTGGGCAAAAGCCTCATCAAGTAATTTGTTAAAATTCATTTTTAATAAAAATTACAAAAAAATTCCTCTTTTAAAGTTAAGTGAAACCCTTTTATTTTCTCCACGCCCTAGCCGCAGCCTTTACGATGCTGGAGCAGAAGGTTCGTCAGTTTTGCGTTCACAGAGAGGTATTTTACAACAAGAACAACCTCTTATAGTTATTGATGCAGATGATGGACAATTAATGAGATATGGACGTTGAAAAAATTAAAAAAAGAAAATTTGAAGATTTAATTTAAAAATGTGTTAATTTTGCAATGATTTTGTCGAAGCTTTGTCATTAAGTTGAAGCAAAAAAAAAGTTGAAACATTTTATTATTTTTTTAAATTTTATTCCGCCTGCTTCAGATTTATTCCGCCTGCTTTAGATCAGTAGAATCTTTTAATAATTCAATGCGCATATTTAAATCCGCCTCTTTTCCGGAAACATTTTTATTTTATATAATAATTCCGCCTGCTTCAGAATTGCTACAATATTTAAATCTGCCTATTTTTGTTTCAGAAACTCCTGAAACATTTTTATTATAATTCCGCCTGCTTCAGAATTTTAATTAGCTCAAAAGCCTTCTAAAAAACTTTTCCGGAAACATTTTTATTTTAATTCCGCCTGTTTCAGAATTATTCGCTGCTTCAAAATTTTAATTAATTTCATAAACTTTCCGGAAAACTTTTCCGGAAACATTCCAATATGTGCGTCTCAAAAACGCCAAAACTTGGAACTTGCGTTTTTCCGTCCCACAAATAAATTTTTTGCGCACACTTCAGAAAGAAAAGATTTCTAAAATGCTCTCTAAAATTCAATTCTCGCCGTGCTTTTTCTTTTTTTCTCCCGACAATTGTTTAGCGGTTGTATTACTACCTATAAAGGTATATTTGTGTGTTTGGTTGTGGAAGGGTATATAAATAAATATAGAGAAGTTTTGTTGTTTCGCTACTTATTTTTGATAGTTTTTAGTGTCCGCCTGCGTGAAGGTCAGAAATTGGCGCATCTTTTTTCGCGTGGTTGTTGTGAATGCTTGTGGTGGTACTACTTGGGTGCTAGCTACTATATTTTTAACAAAGCAACAAAAATTTTTCGGACGGTCAACCAACCAACTAAAATAATATAAACTCTCTTTTTCGGCAATCAAAAAAAATTTTTTTTTAATTTTGTAAAATACCTAGACAAACACATTTTTTATTTAAATCATCAATTGTCCATTTAAAACCATTTTAAATAGATTTTTTTTATTCTTCTTCTCGTGAGAGAGGAAAAATACATAAATGTTTCCAATTTTATTATTTTTAATAGTAGTCGTTTAAATAAGAAATTTTTTTAAAAACCCCTATTTTACGTATTACCTCTATTTTACGTACACCTCTATTTTATGTCTTCTATATCCTCCTCTTATTGTTTTGATTTATTTAATCTGACGATTTCAGTCACCATCTCGGCATTTTCTTTACTTTTACCTCTTCCCACCTAGTGCTCGGTAAATGGCTTTTTCCGCTACCGAAAAGTACCAGTAGACAATTTAAAGTATCGGTAACTTCGCGTACCGAAAATTCCAAGATCTTACCGGCACGGTTTCAGTAGTGCCGCGGTACCGGTCCTTTGCTTTCTTGTAATACTACGGACGTCAAGAACCCAATACTCCTACCTTTTTTTTACGTACCCTATACTATCCCAACACCATATGTACCTGCCAAATCCTTCCCATCACTCCCAGTTATCTCTGCTCAATTAAGCAAAAACCCTCGCATAAATCACACAAAAATTTATTTTTTAGTCACGCAAAAAATTGACACGTGACTTTTTTGGTTACTTAATTCAATGGTCACTAAAATGTCCTAATCCATCTCTGAAAAAATTTGCAAAACTGCCTGGCCGTGACAGTTCCTCTCTCCCTTCCATTTTAATAGTTTTTACAGATCAGCTGTCAATCTCTCGATATATTTGTCTGTGTGCTTCTGTGAAATGGAGCAAAAATAGTATTAAAAAGGTGAAAAAGAGAAGTAGAAAAGGAAGAAAATCCATTCAGGAAAATTGAAGTTGCGGAGGTAGTGCGAAGGGAACAACAGAGGTAGTGCTAAAGGTACATTTTTGGTCGCGCTTTTATAAAATTGTCAATTATGAATCAAAAATCGCCAAATTTTGCTCAAATATTCCCAATCGTGTTAGCTAACATCCTTTAAAATTTCAAAAATTTTTATTCAGTATTCGCCAAGTTATGGTCAAAAATACCGTATTCTCCTATAAAAATGCCGACTTTGTGCACTTTTTCGGCCATAATTTTTGAAATATTGAACCAGAAATTCTGAAATTTTCAGAATCATTAGATAACACTTTCAGATAGCTATAGACAAAATTTCATGATTTTAGGTTCCTTTATCTTAAAGATATGCAATCACAACTAAACGTTACCTACCCTCTTGTTTGAGCAACATCAATACGATTATCTATCCACTTCCAACACTAAAAATCGCCAATTCTCTTTTATTTAGCTTCTTTCATCTTCCAATTTTTCCTTCCTTCCACCTTTCCTTTATTCTTCTTAAATTTTCTCTCCCATCCCCGGGTGGCACTCACTTATACCCCTTCCCCCCTTCTACACCTTCAACTTCCCCTTCTCTCTTTTTTAACTTGCATCATCGCCAACGGCGTGCGCGGTTGCAAAAGGTGAAAAAGGAAAAGAGCCAAAGGGGAGATGTCGCGCAACTCTTAAAAGGGATGACTGGCTACTCTGAACAGAAAGAGACAGTCCACCTTTCTTTTTTCTTCCCCCAAAAATTTCGCCGTCAACGCCTTCCATCATCTCTCTCCTTATTCCCGCGCAACTTCCCCTCCCCCAAAAACTTCCATTTTTTCAATGTTTCTGAATATAAGCAGTCTTTGACTGACCCAAATTTTGAGGCGGCCATCTTTTTCTAAAAAAGAAGCCAAGGAAATAAAATTTTTTGGTTGAAAAAATACTGCAAACTAAAAAAAATTGTTGTCTCCCCCCTTTCCCGTGCTAAAATTGTTACATGCACTTTTGATCAAATTTTGGGAATTTTTTTTTTGAAATTTATTTATTTTATTTTTGGATGTCTTTAAAGAGAAGAATATTGCTTTTTTAAATATTTGTTCTTCTTTTTTGAATATTCAGTTATGACATTTTGAGCCTTGGGCATTTTGAAATTTGACATTTTAGAATTTCGACACTTTGAAATTCCGAATTTTTGGATTTTTAAATTTAAAAAATTTTCAATTTTTTAATTGTCAACAAAAAAACGTTTCGCCAAGAAATTCCAAAAATTCCCCAAAAATCCCCCCTAAAAAATGATGCATCAACGCCCCCCTCCAGATTTATTTATGCCTCAACAACAACAACAAAGATCCGGATCGGAAATGAAAGGTGGATAATAAAAAAATAGTTTTCTAAAATTATTTCTTTAAAATGTGCGCAATAAAATTTTAAAAAATAAGAAAAACGCCATCTAGGAAAGAGCCGGTTCAGTTCACACTCTCAACTATCAGCACCAAACAGTCCCGAAAGTGGTTATTTGGGTGCTCCCTAGAAAAATAAACTAAGGAATACTGTATTAATTTTTAGGAAATTTTTAAAAGAATTTTTTGTTTTTTAGGCTTTATTTTCAAGGCCATACTTCCTTTTTTAGTTCATTTTTAAACTTCTCCAGACTTTTTTTTTCCTTAAAAATATTAAATGTTACATTGTAAAAAGACACAGTTGCGTTAAGCATAAAATAATTTAAAACTGTTTTAATTGTGCATTAATTTGACGATTTAGGCTAGAAATGTTTTTTGAAAATTTTTTTGAAATTTCGACATTAAGGTCCATTAGAGTCTCAATTTTGTGGGTAGTTAATTTTCTTTCTGTTCAAATTTCAGACTCTAATGGTTTTTGCTATTTAACTGAACACAAATTTTCCTTCATTTTTTATTATCTTATACTCTTAAAAAATATTTTATTTTATTTTTTTTCTTCTCAAAACTCCCCTCTTTCACATAATTTTTGTAAAATTTTATCTTCTCTTACAAAAAATTTATTTAACTCAACTCTGTGTGGGGCGCAGTCTTCACCATTTTTTCTTCACTGGTCACTCAACTAATCGAATGTGGTTAATAAAAGAAGAGAACGAAGAGAAGTGGTGCCCTTTGCCCTCTCGTGATGTTAAAAAATGGAAGAAAAAAGAGAAGAGGGAAAAATGGATTTTTTTGTGTGTGAACGGAGGGAAGGAGGGAGGAAGGGAAGGGAAGAAAGAAGGGAAGGGAAGGGAAGAGACTTGGTGTGTGGACATTGGACATTAAAAAAAAATTTTTTTTTGTGAGTAAAGGAACGCTAAAAATGCAACAAAAATTGTGATGGAAAGAATGATTTTTTTGTTATAAAGAGAGAAAGAAGAAAAAAAGAGGAGAGAACAAAAAAACCAGGGGAGGTACTGGCCAATGTAGTCACCATTCACTCGTCATTTTATAAAAATAAATCCTTTTTTCTGCTAAAATAATTGCAGAGGGAATCAAAATAAAATTTTTTTCGATATTTCTGATTTTTATTCTGATTAAAAAAAATTTTTTTGAGACTCTAACGGCCTTAATTCCGAAATACGGGTACAGCCCAAGTAGGCGCGCGGCCAAGTAGGCGCAAAGCCATAACTTGCTTCAAGATTTTCGAATCTATCAAAATTTAGTATCAAGCGATTCCTCTCATCGAGCTAAAGAGATTGGTACCAAAATTGTTAAGGTCCAGCAATTTTCCATGTATTTGTGGCTTTGCGCCTACTTGGCCGCGCGCCTACCTGGGCGTGTCCCCCGAAATCCTTTTAAATTATTTTCTGATATGTACATATTTTTATTTAAATCGAAGCCTTCCCTGTTGTTCACTCGGACGTTAAAACTTTGTCAGAAAACCAGAACTAGATTTTTAAAAATTCTGAAACCTCCGAGATATCCCTCCTTCATCCCCTTCCTTTAAATGGAGTCTCAAAATTATTTTTTCTCAACTTTCTGTTTTTATTAGATCCAACTTATTTTTCCTTGTAAATACTAACAAAATATTAGACCAAATATAAATTAATTTTTTGATGGAAACATCACACAAAGTTCGAGTTAAAGCGGCTCGATTATCCCACAAAATAGTGACTACTGAAGGTGGTGAAAGTGGGTATTTTTAATTATTTAAAGCAAGCTTATCTAAAAATTAATGAACTTTGTTTATGCTGCGTTGTGGTGTATTGGTTAGTGTGTTGGGTTTTCCACTAGTCTCGACGTGGGTTCGAATCCGTTTGTCGCCCAGAATTTTTTTAAGCCCTCCCCTTTTTTCTTTTTCTCTTTTTCCCTCATTTTTCCCTCAGACAATGGAAAAAAAAAGTTTTATAAATGAGGAAAGTTGGGAAAGAAAATTCATTTTCATTATTTAATAACCATTATGGAAGGACGTAAAAAGTTCACCATATTTGACTTATGCGACCAACTTCAACTAGGTAAAATAAGGAAAAATGTAGAGAAAAGAGTGGGGTCTTAATTTACTACCCCCTAGTAAAAAACCAAAATACCCCCAAAACAAGACGTTTTTCAACCCAAAAGACTAAAGAGACCATTAGAGTCTGGGATTTTTTGAAATTTTTGGTTGGTCTTTAAAGCGTTGATATTTTGGGTAGAATGGGTTTTTAGCTAATTATTGATGTTTTTAGGCCTAAAAGACTAAAAAAAAATTGAGAAAAAATTTTTTTAGAAATTTTTAGAAATTTTCAAAAAATATTTTTTTTCAATTTTAAGCCCAAATCGAAGTCATCCCTTGCAAAGTTTGTGGTGACAAATCTTCTGGTGTGCATTATGGTGTAATTACTTGTGAAGGGTGTAAGGCAAGTTTAAAAATCCAACACAATTTTTAATAAACTCCCTGCTTTTTTAAGGGTTTCTTCCGCCGTTCCCAACAAAATACGACAAATTATCAGTGTGCCCGACAACGTAATTGTATTGTCGACAGAGTTAACCGTAACAGATGCCAGTATTGTCGATTGAAGAAATGTATAGAATTGGGAATGAGTAAAGATGCTGTTAAATTTGGAAGAATGAGTAAAAAACAGAGGGAAAGAGTTGAAGATGAGGTTGTGTTTTTGGGGGTGTTTTGAGGGTTAACTTACTGAATTGACAATTCACCGAAAAGTGAAGAATTTGAATAATGAAGGGAAGAGGATGAAAGAAGGTTAAGAGTATTTGAAACAAGGTAGTTGAAGAAGGAAGAGAATTTTGGAAGAAAAGTTAAAACTCTTCCTTCTCTTCTCCCCTTCTCTTCACTTCAATTTGTCGGTGAATTGTCTTTTCGGCGAATTCTCCCAATATTTTAACTCAAAATTTATTTTAAAGTACCGAATCGTGACACAAAGAAGTGGAGAGTTTTCTCCTTCTTCCTCAGCACCGAATTCGATATCTTCGTCTCCAGTAATTCCTCAGGCTGCAAGTGCACCCCCGTATGCTGCAGCACATCAACATTTTATCTCATCCCTGCCAACTAGTGGAGGGGAATTTAAGGTGATAATTTTGGGACTCTAGTGTCCAAAGGGTATACTGACCATTTTTATTAGTTGACCGTTTTGTACTTGACCATTTTGGTAAATGACCTTTCTGTCTTTGGCCATTTAAAAAGTGACCATTTTTCTCATTGCCATTTTTCCCCTGACCATTTTGGCAAATGACCATTTTAAAATTGACCCAAACGAGTTTGGGCAAAATGTCGTTTCTGAGTCTAATTTAAAATTTCTCCAATTTGGCAGGCTTTTTCTCCAAATGGAGGAGTCATTTCCTCATCATCAACATCTTCCTCAGCTGCTTATTTTACTCCAAATAATATTTATGGTCATCCAACAACACTATGTCATGGAGGGGAACCTCTAAATACTTCCCATTCATTCATTGACCAACAACAAATGTCTTCACACTTTTTGCCTCACAACAATTTATTAAATCAACCAACATGTTCATCTACATATACACAACAACCTCCACATGGACTTGCCCCGATATCCCCCTCATGGGCCCCCCAACCTTTTGGGCAACATCCACACTTGATTGCGCACCCTGGGGCTGTTCCGTCTAGCAGGTTGAAATAGAGAATTTAAAAGGAACACTAGAGTCTCAAAATTAATTTTTCATTTTAGTGGTGGTTATCCTCCACTGTCAGAGCCACTCTCTCTCATTCAACAAGGCCATAGCACAGTTTCTTCAACTGTGGATGACGATCTGATAAAAAATGTTAGTAGAGCATATGAAGCAGCACATCCACAAAGCATTAATAACAATCATTTGGGAGCTTCTTTTGATTCGTTAATTGACACGCAACAAGTGGCGCGACTTAAAAATATGGTGGGAGGGAGGGGAATTTTTTAAAAAAATTTTTCGATTTGTAGAACCGAACAGAAGGATGGCTGAAATTTGCAAATGAATTAAGCTCTTTAATTAAATGTATTATTGAATTTGCAAAGGCCGTTAAAGGATTCGAAAAATTGGAACAAGACGATAAAATACTGGCACTGAAACAGACTACTTTTGATCTGTCTATTATTGCTATGGCACAGGTTAGAGAAAAATAAAAGAACTAAAATACAGTAAGAATATGTTAGAGAAAAGTAAAAATGCCACCAGGGCAAAATTGGACATAATGCCAATAAGGGCAGAATTAGACAAAATGCCAATTTTGAAGGCTGGGACAAAATGCCAATATGCGTTATAGACAAAATGTTAAAAGAGGGGAAATGGGACAAAACGTCATCCAGGGAAAACAAGACAAAACGTCATCCAGGGAAAACAAGACAAAACGTCATCCAGGGAAAACAAGACAAAACGTCATCCAGGGAAAATAGGACAAAATGCCAATCTCTAGTTCGGGACAAAATGTCATCCACCCGAAAATATTACAAATTGTCACAAAGCTCATTTTTCATTTTCAGCACTACCGTGTCGGAACAGAAACCCTCCATATCGACAACCTCATCTTCCCAGTCCGCGAATTCAAATGTTCCGACCCGACAGACGAAGCTTTTGGACGTGAAATAATAAAAGCTTTGGAATGTCTCGGCCAATTTAAATTAACAACAACAGAAACCGCTCTCTTATCTGCCTATGTTTTGCTAGAACAATCCAATGGAACTGAAGACTTTGTTGCCCAAATAAAAAATTGTTTGAGTGCCCAATTGCATTCCCGTCTGTCTTCTGATGTTGACAATTTTTTGAATGATTTGATGGGCTTTTTGCCGAAAATTCGGTCTTTGGCTATGTTGCATTTACAGTGTTTTGGACGTTTTAAGAGACAAGTTATGCAGTTGATGGAAGTTAAAATGGAAATGGATGATAATGATGAATATGTGGAAAATGGGCAACAGAGGAATAATGTAATTATTTTTAGAGGGGACATTTTGTCGAAGGACTTTTCGTCGATAGAAATTTAACAGACATACTCTAATGTTATGAAAAGTCCATTGGCAAAATGTCGTAGAGCCTTTCGAGAGGATTAAAACTTTTTAAATTTTTAGCAGACATCCTCAGATGTTTTGGCATCTTTTCCTCCTCTTTACATTGAATTGTTCGGGCCGACTATTGGAACTGAATAAGTTAATGTTTAAAAATACCTATATATTATAATTTTCTTCTATTTAAAAATTGGAGAGACATGATTTTGGGATGTTGTAAATTTGTGATAATAAGAGACCTGACGATATTTTAACTAGGACTTTAGAGAAATGGGTATAGGCAGATAATTGTTAATAGGGCCAACAATAAGGATTATTACCAAAATGTAACTTATTTCAAAAGGGTCAGAACTGACTTTTATAAAGGGTCATTCGTCCAATTATTCTAAAAAGTGCCTTTGTCGAGGAAGCAAATTTATGCCAACCCAAAAATCATGTCTATCTAGAAAATCAAATGTATAAATATAATCCAGTACAAAATCTCTCTCTCTTTCCCCCAGTGTTTCTTTCAATACAAAATTTCCCCTAAGCCTTTCAATTTATTTTGTTACTGCTACCAAATAATCGGACTTTCAAAATAATTTATTCGACTCACTTTTATTTAAAAAATATTTTTTCTTAAAAACATTCCATTGCCTCTAGACTTGAAAAAAGCCTTTCATTTTTTCAATTTTTAATCAAAAAATGTTAATTTTTACTTAATCTTTTGCATATTTAAGAGTCGAATCTTGATATAACCGACTCGAAGGGGACAAAAAAAAATAAGTGGGTCTACTCTAAAATAGAGGGGTGGGGTAGTTTTGGCCCCGCCCCAAAACGGCCCAGTCCCAAATAGGGTCGAATTATATGTCATTCGATTCGTCTCGGGAAGCTTTGAGTCTAATAGTATCCCTCTACAAGTGAGGGAATGCCTGTGAATCGAGATATAGGTCCACAAAAAATTCTAGGGGTTCATCAAATCGAAAGACCGTTGTTTTCGAGGTTCGACTGATTTAATATTTTCTTTTTTTTTGTCAATAAATAGTTTAAAAAGAAATTCTTTCTTATTTTTTATTATATTTTAACAATCAAAATAATCACACACACCCAAATATAAACATAAAAACAAATAACCATAAAACTGTGCCTTCCTCCTAATTTATATCCAGAATTCAAAGCATTTCACGTTCACCGCGTTTCCAAGGACCCTAAAGAATAAAATTTTTTAAATGAAAAATAAAACGGCGATAAGCAAAATTAAAAAAAAAATTCGCGACATCTCTCCTTTCCCCCAGTGTTTCTTTCAAGACAAAGTTAATTCCCCTATGCCTCTACAAGTGAGAGAATGCCTGTGAGAAATGCTCTTAACCTCTTTCAAGCTAACTAAAATTTTTATTTGAATAAATTTGGTCAATGTTAGGAGATGCTCAAAATTGTTGTTTTAAACCCAAAAAATTTCTGAAATTTATTTTAATAAAAATTCCAAAAAAAATTTTTCCGGTTTAAGCGGGGAATCAAAACACTAAAACCCAGGCCCTCACACACATAAAAAATCAAAAATTAAGAAAACCTTTTTGTCAGTTTTACTCTTCTCCAATTGTAAAGCAATTTGTTGTGAACGTATAGTCATCCTTTTTGTATTTTCCATAACTTGTTCGTGAATACTAATTGGTCTTGCAGACATAACTACTTGTCCTGATTGTGAATCTATTTTGGCTCCTTCAATTCGATAATTTCTAATTAAATTGACTATCCAACGTTCTGCTTCAGCCTAAAAACATTTGGAAATTGTTGGCAATTTTTTTGAAATTTTTTTTCCAAAAAATTTTCAAAAAAATTTTCAAATTTTTTGAAAAATCCAAGAAAAATTTTTAAATAAAAAAAAAACAAACATTTCCCATATTTAACCGATTCGCAAGCATTTCCAAACTAATACATTGATGAATTCGACAAAACATTTCAAAAATTAAAAGTCTTGAACTTTCACGGAAATCATCGAGACAATGAGTTAAAAAGAAGTCGTTAATGAGTACCTAAAATTTAATTAAAATATGTAAAAGTTTCACAAAAATTATTTAAAACAAAAATTAGCCAAAAAGACTAGATTCGAAAAGGGAATTTTTTGGGGAATTTTTGTTCAGTCTAAATAAACGTAAAAAATAGCATGGCAATTCAATTTTGCTTTTAAAAACTCGGTTCGATTGGATACTTCGAACAATGCAAAATTGACTCGGTTCGACTTTAATAAATCTTGTTATAAGCTCAACGATAGTTTTTGGCTGGTATACTCCCAAAAAATCCAAAAAATTTATTTATAAAATTCAAAAAACTCAAACCGAATCACATTCTCTCAATTTTGTCTGTGCCGCGTCAAAATCAAAATCAATGTACAGACAAGAAAGAAATTCCGTAACGGGATCTTGATAATTATAACGTTCCTTCAAAATATAAATTTTATTAAAAATTAATTTAATTAAAATTAACTAACCACATCAATAACTTTAATTAAATCTTTCATGCTTATTTTTTGTTTATTTTTACTTGTAACAACAGCAACAGCCAAATAACGTAATAAATGAGGGCACAGAACCTTTAAGATAAGCAAATGAGTTATTTGAAATTAAATATTTGCGGACAAAACTTGCGGACTTGCCAAAACTCAAAAATCTTTCAAATACGGACCTCACTATAAGATACAAATTCGAGGCTGGAAACTTGTACCACGTAATAGGGCGCATGATAAACAGGCTTAATAGGCATTGGTTTAGGTGGCTTTCCAACACACGTAAATTAAGAATAACTAGTAATATTGGAAGTGTCTTATAGGGAGGTCCAATTGTTTTTTACATCTTCTCCCCCAAAAATTCTCTATATTGGGAGCCACCCTAAATTAAAGAATATATCTTAATTTGAAAGTATCTAATATTGGGTGTATCTTAAAATGAGGTCCAATTATTTAAAAAAAAACCTGTATAGTATTCAAATAAGGTTGTTGATTCAAAAACAATTCAATAATTTCGTCTCTTCCCTTAGGATAATTAAAATAAACATATAGAGACCAATGCAGAAACCAAGCTCTATGTTGTAACAATTCCAATTCACTCTCAAAAGGGTCAGAATCAATATAAGCTCTCAGGCGATTCAAATCATCCCTAGCATGGTCCCAACTTTGCATCAAAATTTCTGAGGCCAATTTGCCATACAAAGCATTTAAATAATTTGGGTCGTCCTGAGGAATTAAAATTCTATAAAATTCCAAGTAGGTTGATGTTGCCAAATAATTGCCACATTCATAAAGAAATTTAGCATATTTATAGAGGCTATCCAACATTTCCATTTTGAACTGATAGAAAAAAAAGAAAAATTTAAAAAAACGCGAAAATGAAGGAAACGAGGAAAATGAAAACCTTAAAAATAATAAAAAATTAAACCTCCGATTTTTGTTCAAGATATTCCAGCATTTTGGTATTTCCTTCACGATCGCGAGTCATACTCTCCATAACCTAGAATTATGGGAGAAATTAAAAACAAAAATTAAGAAATCCCATCAAAGTCGTCCTTGGTGTAGTTGGAAAAATTTGGATTTCCCCCTTAAAAGGGGGAAGGTTCAAATCCAGCCAGCGAGAGAATTTTATTTTTTCGATAGAAAAATAAAAAAAATGCCCAGAGAAAAACAAAAAAAAAATTTTTCGAGTTCTAAAAAATTAATTTAGACCTAAAAATCCCCCTAAAATAAATTTTATAAAAAAAACAACCTCCTTAACATCATCTCTATCCAACACAGTCAAAACTGGATTACAAATACCTCTTAAACGTTCCCTTTCTTCCATAATTTGTTTCTTTTTTGTTTCAAATTCTTTAACCAAATTTTCATTATCACTATAATCATTAATTAAATTATCGACCATATTGGTTTTTCTAAATACTGACAAATGAACTTTTTTGAATGATTCTTCATCATAAATCTGAAAAGAAAATTTGGGAAAGAATTAAAAAATTTGGGTGCCCCCTAAAGACTGAAATTTCAATGAAACACTTCCTGAAAACAATGTGGAGGCGGAACATTTTGGCAAAAAGGCGGAGACCGGAAAAAAGGTTGGAAGGCTGCCTGCTTTTTTTAGGTTCTCCACCTTCCTAAGGAATCGAAGGCTTTGGAAAAAAGCGTGGAGGTCAACGACTTACAAAGTTAAAAGGCTAACAAGAGAAAATTGAAAAGAGCCAACAACATGATTGAAATAATTTTAAAAAAAATTTAAAAGAAAACCTTTCGCGGCTCAATAAATTCAAGTATTGGAATAACCAAATGTAGATCAAAAAAAGGAGCTAGACGTCTTGTTAAATCGTATTCCATAATTTTTATTTAAATTTTCAAATAAAAAAATCTGTCAAAAAAAAGAAAAATTAATTCAAATAAAATTAAAAAATATTTTTAAAAGCATTTAAAAATGCGTCAAATGGTAGGCAAAGAAATCCTTAAAAATCCGCAAGTTTAATCCGCAAAAACAAAAAAATTTCAAAATTTTTTTTTAAAATTCCCTAAATTTCTTTTAACAATTTCTTTCTTCGTTTAATCTCATTTTTGGATATTTCCTCGTCAAATAAATCGGGAAATGGATCTATTCCATTTTTGGCATCATCAAATTGTTTGCATAAAGAATAAATTCTTTTTCGACGCTTTGATTTTATTTTTGGATTTTTTCCAGAATCAAATAAAAGTTGAGCAATTTTTTCGTAATCAAAGGTTAAACAAGGAGTGGATTCCTTTAAAAAATTGAAAAATTAGCTGAAAAATAAAAATTTATTTCTTAGAATCCGCGAAATTTTTCATGTCCGCAAATATTCCTTGTCCGCAAATTTTATCCGTAAAATTTTTTTAAAAAATTATGAGAACTTAAAAACAATCCTGAAAATTTTCCGGGGGTGTGATCGATTTTAGGTAATCGGTTTAGGTAATCGATCACTAATTTGAATAGAATAATACGTAGAGCAGGTTTATTATTTTGTGGATAAAAAATGCGACCAAAAATTTAAAAAATTAAAAACCTTTTCTTCCATATTCTGATCAGAATTTGCATTTTCAGCCTTCTTCTGAGCTAAACTCTCAGAAAAATCATGTAGAATAGTATCGAAAATATCAGTACAAATGCTTTCAAAAAATACATCTCTAAAATTAAGAAAATGATTAGTAAGAGTTTAGCAAAAACTGAGTTATCGGGCGGGATTAACTGCGAAGAGGCGGGATTAACTCGCTTAGCTTCGAGTAATGTCAGCGTGCTCTGCCAGTGAGTTACCGGGGCGAAAACATGTTCTCTTTTCTCCTTATAAATAGTTTAACCCAAAGGCATAGTCAGGGGGCTTCTGGGGTTAAAGCCTCCCCGCCAGAAATGGGAAAAGGGTAAGCAGTAGGGTTTCACCGGAAGTTCCGGTTCCGGTTCCGGAAAGTTCCGGCCTTTTTTTGGTTCCGGCTTTCAAATCGGTTCCGGGCAAACCGGAACTTTTTTACACCCCTAAAGATTGATTTTTTAAAAATATGGGTTGGTCTTCCCCGGCTGGCGTTACAATATTCTCAAAATTTTCGCCTGCGGCGCATGAAAAGGAAGAAATTTAGCCCTTGTTCTCACAAATTCTCAAAATTTTCGCCTGCGGCGCTGTTAAATGAAGTTTACATCGGAGGATCTGGATGGATGAAGGTGTATTTTAAGTTACAGCATGTGCTTTCAAGGGGTCATAGGTAATACCGAGGGATCTGGGTGAAATATTGAGGGATTAAGCTGTGCAAGGTAAATAACAGGGATAGGATAGCTGGGAATTTGCCTTCCAAAACTTGGCATTTCTCACTTGGCCTTCCGAAATTCACAAAATTTTCGCCTGCGGCGCAAAAAGGAAGGAAGAATAGGTTATTTTTGATAATTTGCATGGATTAATGGGGATTTGGAAGATACTGGGTGATTTCGTGTACCAAGAGTTAAAATGGTACATCGGTGATTTGATATCTAGGGATCTGTTGGGATGAATGATAATTTGAAGAAATTTGGGGATCAAAGGGGAATCATATAATTGGTGTGGTATCGGTCATATCATGGGATTTGGGTAGAACGGTTTGGTTTTACGGTTCGATTTTGGTTAACCGAAAGTTTGATTCGGTTAGTGTTCGGTTAACAAAATAATTGGGCTAAACCGACAAACCTACTTTGAATTCAAACTTCTTTTAATTTTTTTTAAATTTTTTAAATTCGCTAGAAATTTTTTTAAAGTTCCGGTTCCGGTTCCGGACCGGAACTTTGAAAAGTTCCGGTTCCGGTTCCGGGAACCGGAACTCAAATTGGATCCGGTTCCGGTTCCGGTCATAATTTCGGTTCCGGTGAAACCCTAGTAAGCAGGGGATTGAGCAAAAAAGTGAAACCGACCTTCTGACTATGCCTTCGGTTTAACCCCTGCCTAAGGGTTTAAAATACTGCTAGATGAATCCTCCCTACATGCAAAAAGAGGCATCGAAAACAGGTCAGGGACAGACAGTTGATCCCAACCCTCGTTAAAATTAATTAAAAAACCGTACGAAATGTTCTCCTTCAATAGCAGAGTAAAAGGTTTAATAAACTCCAAACTATCCAAACCTTCACCAAAAGCATTGTCTAATTCATCTAACCAAACAGAAACACAATGATATTTTAAGGATTCAAAAATTTTGGATTTTTCAGAAATTAAAGTTTGTGAAAAGAAAGTGAGATAATTTTGGATTGCTTGAGAATTGAATTTTTGTTCTTTAAGTTGAAAGAAGAGAACACGAATTATTTTGCGAAGAAACTGAAAAAATGGGGAGTCTTTTAATTAAAAATGGTGTAAATGTTGGAAGAAAATGTGTAAGGTAATGGAAAGGGTCGAAGCAACATTTTTTTGTATTAAAATCCGCAAGTTTAGAAACTCGGCAAATTTTGTCCGCAAATTTTTTCTGCGAATCCGCAAGTTCCTAGGGCCGACTTTAAAATTGCCAACTAAATTTTCGTAGAAAATCTGCTTAATTAGATTCTGAGAGACAGATTCTGTTGATTTTTGGCCTGTGAAATCTGTGGAATAATTAAAACAGGGCCATGATAATTTCAAAATAAATTTTTGAAATTATTTTATGAGCTATAGGAAGAAAGCAAAAAACTTAATTATTCCCCTTTAAATTTTTTGGACCACAGAAAAGAGTAATAAATGAAACCCCCCAAAAAAATTTAAAAAAAAACCATTAAAAATTTGTCCATCCTCCACCGATCAATTTTTGGCCATTCTTTCGATAAAGTAAAAAGAAGAGCTTTAACAAACTCAAAAATTTGGTTTTGGTCTTTTAAAAGTCCCAAAAGTTGTAAAATATTGTCTGCTAATTCCTCCTGAAGTAACATTTTGTCTTGCATCCACAAAGCATAATGTAAACCTTTACATAAACGATCGAGCGAATCTGTTGTGAAACCTGAAATAAAGCGAGAATCAACAGCATTTCCACAGTATTCAGAATCAAAATAAGCGACAGGTTCCGGGCAGTTTCTCAGCCGTTCTTTATTTTTTGACTCGAGGTCGAGAACATGGGCAAGGTCAGCACAAAAAATTTAGGTTCAAAATAACAAAAAGGGTCTCTTTCGATCTCTACCAGACATAGCTCAAGAAGTATTCATTAGTAAAGATAGAGCTGGAACTGAACCAAAGCCTGGGTTTTTCCAGTACCCAGAGACCAGGCCCAGGCATTTTTTACCTTTTTGGGCTTTTCCTGGACTACAGGACCAGTATCAGGCCCAGGTCAATAAATCGACTCCAGAACCCAGGAACAGGCCCAGGCTTCTCAAAAATCTCGATCTCTATTCAGTAGAAAAAATCTAAGAAAAAATAAACAAACCATTTTTTGATTCTTCCATAACATGTTCTCTCAACAATTTTAAAGCTCGTTTTCTAACAGTTGGCTCTCCACTAGCAAGACGTTGAGCAAATTCAATTTCAACTTCTTTCATATCAACGTCCATTTTCTTATTTAAAATTTCTTTTGTAAGATTTGGAGACCTAGAAATGATAAATTAATTCACTGTCGAGCTGACGAATTTATCAGACTCTAAAATCTATACACTTTTTCTCAAGTTGTCTAACCGTCTCTCATTTTTACCATGTTCTCTCGCACATTTTTTCTCTTACTCCAACAGCAAAAAATAAAGATATAATGCCAATAACTACGCCAAAACTCGCAAATTCCAAAATCTGAGAATTTTTTTTTTACTTTTTTTATTTTCAGTTTAATTTTGTTTTAGTTCTTTCCCAGTTTTTGTAGGAGTTTTAGTTTTATTTTTACCAATAACCTTTTTAGTTGTTCTTTGTATTAATCAATTTATTGATTTATTTGTACAATGACTGAGGAAGACTTCGACAAGCAACTTCGAAAGGTTTAACCCTTGACACGGTTCTTTTCTAAATTTATTTATTATTAGGCTTTCCAAGAATTACAATCTCAAATACTCGAAAGTAGGGAAAAACAGAAGAATGCAGACGTTACAAAAGCTGCAATGAAACAAGTTTCCTTCCTAATTCTCTTAAATTTTTATAAATATTTTTAGAATATAAGAGTGGCAGAGATTGTCAAGTCACAATTGGAACAGCTTCCTAAAGACGAGGATCGTGCTGTTTATAGAATTGTTGGTCGTGCATTTTTGCAAGAGACAACGGCTTCAGGTTTGCTTTATACGTTTAAGGGGAACAACGTTGTGCTCGAAAAGTGGTTTAGGCCGCAATTAGTCTTGCGTCAGTCTGCAAGTAATCTTGTTTGTCCGCAAGATCTTACAGGAACATTGAGGACTGATTTAGGTTACTTGTTCTTGGAATAATTTTGTAGATTCCATATCTTATGTTTCTACTAGCCCATCCTCCGGTTAACTTTTTTGGTTATCTTAGATCATGAACCCTTGGCATGTATAGACTTACAAGTCCTCTGAGTCACCGCGTCGATCCCTGTCAGTTTTACCCCTTACTAACTTATGCCCAGTTCTGGCTCTGCTGTAAGCTATTAATCTCTTGCCGTCCTTTAGCTTTTTGAGGGTAGTTGGGCCTCTTTTCAGAACGGGCCTCTTTGTGGTCTTTAAACATCTAAATTTAATTTTTTATTCAATTTATATTTATCGTTTTGTTTTTAAGAGATTCAACGCCAGAATGCTGACATCAAACTGTGCAATGAGCGTATAACTTTAATGGATAGGCAGAAGGATTACTTGGCCAAAAGCATTGCGGATTCTGAGAAGAACTTGCGTGAGCTCATTCAGACGAGACGTTGAAAAGAAAAGTTTGAATGGAATACCTTTTTTTTTGTTTTTTTTTGTCTTATATGCCCCTTTTTGTCAATACAACATTAATTTTAAATTTTTGTTTATCTTTTTTTATTTTTGTTCTTTTAACTTTTAATACTTTCAATTTTAACTTTTTTTAAATTTTTTTTTTAGTTTTCGTTAAGAAATGTTCCAAAAAACAAGAAAGTTTTCTTTAAAAAATAAGAAGATCATCTTCCATAAAATTCAAATTTCCGCGCAAAAATATTTTTTTATTTTAATTTTGGCGTTCTGTATTTTTCCAAAATTTTTTAAAGTTTTCTCAAAAATTTCCTCGTGGTCTAAGAAAAATTTTATTTCTTTTAATTTTTAATTAAGTTAATTTTATAGAAAATTAAAATGGATTTATTACAAAACTACAAAGGAGATTCATCTTCTGATGATGAGACTTCCTCAATTCAAATGGAAGAAATAAATTCTGAACCTAGAGGAATTATAATGCCTCTAGTTAATATAGCACCTCATGTAGTTGTTTCAAGTCCTGTACAACAAGCGGCTGTAATTGACCCAAAAACTAAAGAATTGTATTACAATCCAAAATATGAGGAGCTTTTTATGCCTGATGTAAGCGAGTTTTTGAAAATTTTTTAGAGGGTTTTAGGGGCTTTATAAGAGGTTTTTTTTAATTTTTTCTTGTCTCTTTTCTATTTTTTATAATTTCCAAATTATTTAGATTCCGTTGTAAATTGTCAAATTGGCACTCCTGCCGTTTAAGGGAGCCGCAGTTCGCTGACCATTATGAGCTCCAATTTTTTTCCATCAAACGTGTATAGCTTTAGAGGTGCATTAAAAAATGCCCCTTTAACAGCAGGAGTATCGTCAAATTTTCTGTTAAAGTTGTTTTCACTATCCATAGCCTTTCGATTACCCGTTTTGAAAGCACGAGAAGTCTGGCTCCTTTCCTGTGGTGGAATAGGAATTCCTAAATAATGATGCGAAGTCTAGCCCTAAGGGGGCATTAAGAATCCAAGAAAAAAACAAGGCTATTATCACCTAGTTTTTTTATTTTGAGTTATTTGAAATTATAACACAATTTTCTTTATTTTTGCAGGTTGGCCCTTCAAATCCTTTCAAAAGCGAACATCAAAGGGCTCCAAAAAACACCTTAACAGGATTTGTAGAACCAGCCCACTTCAGCGGATTCCACTTTGACCGAGCCATTCGTTCTTATGACACTCTAGGCTATGCAGAAAATCCCTCCGCTGATGCAGGAGGAAGTTCTTCATTTGTTGGGGATGTTGAAAGTGCTCATTTAACTGGGGGCCGTTCACTTTTTGAATCGGCCAAGACTGGAGGGCAAAAACGCAAAAGAATTGTGAATTACGATGCTTCTGATATTGATGGATATACGGGGCCGTGGGCTAGATTTGAAGATCAAAAAATTGTTGCGAAACCAGATCCTGAATTGCAAAAGGAAATGGACGAGTATATCAGGTTCTTTTATTTGCTATTTTTTGGGTTATTTGGGAGGATGCGAATCTCTTTTTGTGTGTATTTAACTTTGACGTGGGGGTTTAAAAAATTCAAAATGGTAAGGATATAAGTCCATCTGGTTAGCATTTAAAACGCTTACTAGGCGTAGGTTTAAGGTTAATTAAAAGAGAGGGTGAAAGCAGCGACTCGGTCAGTGAATCAGTGAGCATGACCGGGAAGGGGTCGTTTTACCCAAAACTAGGACTATTTTCTCAACCCAAATACTTGCCTGTACGTGGTGACCGGAAGAGCTAACATTTTCTAGGAGATCGCGGGATTGGTGCCTGGGACTATCACAAAACCTTACATCTCTCTTACTTTATAAACATTCTTTATAGGAAAATTTAAAAGACACCCTTGAATGAATTGATATAATTTTAAGAGATCTCCATGGGTATTTTCTTAGATTTATTCTCTTAAAAGGGACATTAAAACAAATTCCGAATCAAAAAATTTTTTTTATTTTCCAGAAAAAAGAAAATGAAGAGCCGTATAGGACGTAAATTAGCTATTGAAGAATTACACATGGCCGAAGAAAGTTCAAAATTGCACATAAGCGACGACAAAGATTATCTTGGACGTTCATTTATGGAAGCCCCAAAAAGTATTGGTGTCAATTTAAAACCTGATCACGTCCCGGAAAGATGTTATCCCCCAACAAAACAAGCATATACGTATAATGGACACACTAAACCTGTTACGGCAATTAGATGGTTCCCAAAAAGTGCGCATTTATTTATTTCTTGTTCAATGGATGGAAAGGTTTTTTTAATTTTTTTTTGTTAAAAGTTTGAAAAAAGTGGTAGATACATCTTGAGTTAAAAATGGTGGGTTCTTATTGGGATAGGGCCGGGGTTCGAATAAAGTTTTCGAAATTTTCTTCGATCGGGGTTCAGGCCGAAAACAGTAGGGTTCCGAGTAACCCGTCCAATCCCTGTCTATAAAATTTTTAGAAGATTTAAATGCGATAATTGAACATAGTTTTGAAAGTTTTTTAGTAGATGCCCAGTCAGTGACGGGTAAGAGGCTCTCCTTTCCATTTAAAAATTTTTTGGGATTCCTTCTAATTGTTTAGGAGAGTCATTTCCGAGTCATCGATTCGTTGATTCTCTAGACCGGCCTCTAATTAAAAAAAATTTTTTTTGGAAATTTTTAATCTTGTTTAAAATTAAAAATTTTTTTCTAAAAATTAAAATTTTCTATTTTTTCAGGTCAAGCTTTGGGAAGTTTATGGAAACCGAAAACTAATACGTACATATATTGGACATAAAGTTCCAGTAAAAGATATTTACTTCAATAATGACGGGACAGAACTTTTATCTGCAGCATATGATAATTATATAAAATTGTGGGATACTGAAACTGGTTTTCTTTAAATAAAATTAAAAAAAATTTTTTTAAGGCCAAGTAAAATCCCGTTTTACAATTGGCGCTCATAGAGCTTATGTAGTCAAATTTAATCCGGATGATGACAAACAAAATTTATTTTTAGCGGGGATGTCAAATAAAAAAATTATTCAGTGGGATACGAGAAGTGGGGAAATTGAACAGGTTTGGAGGAAGAAAAATTTTTTTTTGAAAATTTTTAGAAATTTTTTTCAAGAAAATTTTTTGAAAATTTTCAAAATTTTTTTAAGAATTTTTTTTGAAATTTTTAGAAATTTCTTTGATTTTTTGAAAATTTTCAAAATTTTTTTAAGAATTTTTTTTGAAATTTTTAGAAATTTCTTTGATTTTTTGAAAATTTTCAAAATTTTTTCATGAATTTTTTCTGAAAAATTTTTCAAAGAATTTCAGTTTTTCTAAAAAAATTTTTTTAATTAAAGGAATATGACCGTCACCTTGGCCCTGTCAACTCGATTACCTTTTTTGATAAAAATAGACGATTTGTGTCAACATCGGATGACAAATCTCTTCGTATTTGGGAATTGTATGTGTTTTCTATTTAAAAAATTTTTATTTTTTTAATTTTAGTGGAATTCCTGTTGATACAAAAATTATTCAACATGCTGGGTTACATTCTATACCTTCAATGACGAAAGCTCCAAATGGTTGTTAAATTTTATTTTTTTGTTAGACGGGTAGGGGGAAGGGTTGGAATCTTGTTTAGTCCCTTGGTGACCCTTAGTAAAAGTTTTTTCGAGGGTTGAAGAAAATTTGGCACTGTTCTAGTTTATGAGTCCATTAAAACTTGATAGTCCAATGGAGTGTTGTGATATTTTGTGACCCAATAAAAGACGCAAATGGTGTTAAGACCCACTCTAGTGATAGATGGTTCAGTTATTGGACCCATAAACTAAACCAGAATCAAAATTTTTGAATAAGAATTTTGAGAGAATTTTTTCGCTCAATTATTGTGTAATCCTCCTAGTCCTGGTCTTTAGTCTAAAAAATAAAATTTAAATCATTTTTTTAAGAAAAATGGGTCGTTGGTCAATCTATGGATAATCGAATTGTGTTGTTCCAAGTAATGGATGATAAACTTAGATTTGCAAGGAAAAAAGCATTTAGAGGTCATAATACTGCTGGATATGCATGTTCTACAGATTTTTCGCCAGATATGAGGTTAGAAAAATTTTTTGAAAATTTCTAGAAAAATTTCTTTTTTCAAGTTTTTTGGCTTCTGGCGATGCAGACGGAAAAATTACAATGTGGGATTGGCGTACACACAAAATTGTTTCGACATGGAAAGCTCATGAAAATGTGTGTATTTCTACTCTATGGCATCCACACGAAAAAAGTCGAATGATTAGTTGTGGATGGGATAATACAATAAAAATGTGGTTTTAAATTCAAAAGAATTTTTAAAATATTTGGAAATTTTTTTTAAAAAATTTCTGTGGAAAAATTTCCTTTTTATTTTTACTGTCCAATATTCTATTTTTTAAATCTAATATTGATTTTTTATGGATAAACGCAAAAACAAAAATTTATTAAAAATAAATCAGCCCAAAATAAGACAAAATTAGGGGGAAAACTGGCATATAATATTTTGGTTTGTACACTTCATTTTACTATAGAGAAAAAAATTTTTTAGTGAGAGCAAAAACCCTTGTAAAACGAACCCCAGAACAACCCAGAACTCTTTTTAATTGAAAAAATTTTCTTAAACGAACTGGAAGGATATTCCAATATCATTTGTTATCGGCCAATTTCTGGCGATGGCATGCCAGAAAAAGATCTGACGGATGCCAGGTAATTTTGGCAAGTGTGAATATTGGAAGAATTTGAAAAAAACCCCCTAGTCTCTAAAACAAAAATGCAATGTACAAACCAAAAAAAACTACCAGAAAAAAACTGTTTAAAATAAAGGGAATTATGAGGAATCTTTTTTTTGGAAAAAAGAATTTAAAAGAAATTACTTTCAAAAAATACAGATCAACGTTGATAGGGTCTTGGCCAAGAATATCTTTGTGGTTGCGAATTTTTGTTGTTCGATTGTCGATCTTTTTGTGAAGATTGAGACTTATTCCAATTATTATTTTGTTTTGATTTTTGGCCCATTTTATGATTCCCTTGTCCGGTTGTTTTTGGTGTATTAAAAAGAGGCATTGGTGGCGGCGGTGGAGGAGGAGGCAAAAAGTTATCCTGGAAAAATGTGAATTTTAGAGAGAAAAATGGATGAATTGTGAATCTTAGAGAGAAAAATGGATGACTAGAAGAGATAATTTTAAAAGCCTTTTTCCTATCCCAACTCGAAATAGTAACTGGGAGCTCACTTAAGAAAATGAAATCCTTTTCTTTCCGAAATATCTGGGAGATTACTTGGGAAAATAAAATACTTTTCCTATCCCACCCGATATATCAAGGAGCTCACTCTGGGAAATAGAATATCACGGAAATAAAATCCCTTTCTTATCCCACCCTGAAATATCTAGTTCAATCAGAAAATGGGATTTCTTTCCCATTTCACCCCAAAATAACTGGGAGTTTAGGCAGGTGTAAGCTTTAAAAAATCAATACCTCATAAAAACGAACAGGCTGATTATAATGCAAGACTGGAGCAGACCAAGATGAAGACATTTTCATATCACCAATTCTACCAGGTTGGAAATCTCTCATATCACCAAGTTGCTTAAGAAACAAAATTTAAAAAGTTCTTAAATAAAAAATACATTAATTGGAGTCGGTTGATCTGGATAATGAAAAAGTTGGTTTCGTTGTTCAAACCCATCCGATCTGTTTCTTTCCCGCCGATCACTTCTTTCATTATTTTGTTCACGATGCAATTCAAAAGATTTTTCTCGCATTCCATTTTTTGTATAAATTTCTTTCTTTAAAAATAGTGGAAATGAGAAGGCTTACAAGGAACTTTGAAGCCCTAAAATTTTCGAAATGGAGGTCAGGGCCAAAAGCTTAAAAGTGGCAATAGGTTATCGACCATGCTCTTGGTCATAGTTTCCTTGTTAGTGAAAGAACAAACCTGTTTAGTACTATCCCTCGGCGTAACTTTCAATTTTCTTCCATACAATTCAATTGCATCCATTATTTTGCAGGCAAAAAGAACAGATTCGACATGCGAAAATTCAACGAAAGCAAAACGAAATCTTTCTGGGCTTTTCCCTGCTGAAGAAGTTTTCTCAACTTTTTCTCGAATAGTAACAGATTCAATTGGACCTGCCTAAAATTTTTAAATTTGACAAAATTTAAAAAGAAAAACAAACCTGAACAAAAATTTCCTCCAAAAGTTTATCATCAACTTTTTCATCAAAATTGCAGACATAAAGTGTGCGTTCATATTGGTCGTTAAGTTCCATCTGGTTTTAATAGAATCTTTAAATAAATGGGGTAAAGGTATAAAACTATGGAAAACGAAAGAGAAATTGTATGAAAAATAGAAGAAAATCATTTAAAATAACAAAGGATTGGAAGAAAAAATTCTAAAACAAAATTTAAAAAAAATTTAGGATTTCGTGTTTTAGAATTTTTAGGCGAAAGAACACTAGTTTGATAGAGAATTGCAGAGAAGTATACAAAGAAAAGAATAGAGATAGAAGAGAAGCAGACTAGAGAAATAATAGATGTTATGAAATGATTTCTTCTTATTTTCATTTTGAAATTCAGATAGCTCAATAATTTCAAATTGGTAACTTTCAACAAATAATGTCAATTAATTAATTAATGTTAAAATTTTCAAATCACATAATTTTGCAACTAAATGATAGCAAAAGCAGCTATCTTTAAAGATAAATTTTTGACTGTTATCACCTACGTTGTCAAAGCTTATTTTACGTTTTATTGTTAAAACAAGTTTTTCTTCCCATTTCTTTATTTAAAGTTGTGACCAAAATTACATTTTATTTAAAATTTACCAATTTGAAAGGCTTTTTGTTTACACGTTTGTGTTTACACGTCCGCGTCTTTATTTTTTTATCTGTTTTTTTCATTAAATCTTATTTTTTAAAATTTTAAGATATTTAAAATTCTAAATGGGCTCTTCAGAAAGTGTTCCAATTCCAGGTGGTGGAACTGAAGGATATCACGTTCTCAGGGTTAAATTTTATTTTTAGACTTTGAAAAATTCATTTTTAGGTTCAAGAAAATTCTCCTGGACAGGCAGCAGGATTAGAACCATTTTTTGATTTTATTGTTGCTATTGGAAATGATCGCTTAGTTTGTCTTATTTTTCTTTAAATTATTTTTGATTATTTTTAGGACAAAGACAACGACTCTTTTAAAGAAATATTGAAGCAACATATGGATAAACCGTTGGAATTAACTGTTTATAACAGGTGAGTTAATCTATTTTTTTGTGATTGAATTTAAATTTTGTGGGTTTTTAATTATTATTTCGGATCCTTCCCGCAAGTCTAAAATCCCTTTTTTTGTCTAGTGATTTTTCTACTTTTTCTTACTGTTTTTCTTGTTGAATTTTAGATCAGTTCAAATACAAGGTTCTTTTATCAAGACAAAATTGCGTAATCGTGGGGGAAAAAATTTAATTTTAAAATCTACTCAAAAATAATTTTCAGTAAAACGCAAACTGTTCGCCAAACACAAATAATTCCAACCCAAGGCTGGGGAGGTCAAGGACTTTTGGGTGTTTCTATTCGTTTTTGTTCTTTTGATGGAGCTAATCAAAATGTTTGTTTATTTTATTTTAATCTATTAATTTCTCACTTATCCTAGGCATTAGGTTTGTTAAGTGGGATATGTTAAAGGTTTAATTGACTTTTTATTCCGAGTTATCCCTTCCAGTTTCTCAATTCCCTTTACGGGGGTCAAGACATCTTTTACCTTGTTTCTATCATTCAAAATTTTTAGGTTTGGCATATTCTCGACATTCAACCAAATTCCCCAGCAGAATTGGCTGGGTTAATACCAAATACAGACTATGTTTTGGGTGCAGAATCATTACTTCAACACGCTGATGATTTAATTGCTTTAGTTCAAGCAAATATTGGAAAGCCTTTAAAGGTTTTTTTGAAATTCTTTTTTTTCAAAAAATTTTTTCCTAAGCTTTATGTCTACAACATCGACGCTGACTCTGTTCGAGAAGTCACTTTAGTCCCGAACTCGGCATGGGGCGGAGAGGGATGTTTGGGGTGTGATATTGGTTATGGTTATTTACACAGAATTCCTGTCTCTATTGATCGTTCACAGCCGAGAGAAGAAAAATCTGTTGTTTTGCCAACCCAAATGATGGAGAATTTGAATATTGGAGAGAAACAACCTTCTGTGATTATGCAACCGGGGCAGACTGGAATTCCTCAAATTGATCAATTTGTTAATGTTTGTGATTTTTTAAATCTTAATAAGGGGAATTTTTGGTGTTTACTTGAAATTTAAGGAAAAAGAAAATTGGCACGTATAAGAAAAATAGTTGGTATTTTAGTTGGTGGAAACGGGAATTAAAAAAAACCTTGATTCTGGTTTCAGGTGAGGGTCAAGGAAAAAAATTTTTTTCAAGGAAAATACTTTAAGTCAAGGAAAAATACACGGGCTGATCCTGGCTGATCTCTCTATGAATTTGTTTTTTCGTCACTTTTTCTTTTTTGGAAAACCCAAACCACCAAAGACCGCTGAAATACCAACTCTTTCTTATTTACCACTCTAATAAAATTTTGTTTTATAGGCCTCTAAACGTGAAGATTCTGAACCTAAACGTTTCCCAAATCCAAATGAATTTCTTCTTCCACAAACTTCAACAGCAACAATAAATACTTTAACTCAACCAATTCAACAACCAATTAATGGAATTTTTCCTCCTCCTCAATCTTTAGATAATAATCTTTATATGCCTCCACCTCCACAACCAATTGATCAAATTAAAGAGAAATTAATTGAAAATTTGGAAGGAGAAAAAAATAAAGAAGATAATCAAGGACAAGGAGAAAAAACAACAACATTTGCTCCTCCATTTTCTTCTCCATTGGTGTCTCAAGCTGTTCCAAACCAATTAACTTCTCCAATGGTGCCTTTTACTTCTCAAAATGTTCAAAATCAACTTCCTCCTCTACCCTTTCCGCAACAACAACCCCAACCACCTCCCCCAATCAATACAAGTGCTTATCAACCATTTTTGGCTTATGGAGCTCCTCCAACTTCTGGAGGATATTTTGGTGGATTTCAACCTGTACAACAACAATATTTGCCAGAACAGCTCCCAATGTTTGGTGGGCAAGAAATGTTGCCACCACAACAATTTAGTCAGCAACAAACTTCAGTAAATACATCGGTTCCAATCCAACCATTTTTTGCAGGTTTTTTTTTAAATTTTTTAGTTGATTTTTTGATTGATTTTTGAATAATTTCCTTGAAAGACTTTTGGGCTTGTTTCAATTTTTTTGAAAATTCTTGGGAAAGCACTAGAGAATCGGTCTAGATTTTAAGGAACTTGTGGGTCTTTCATTTTTTTGAACATTTTTGGGAAACTCACTAGACATCTTGATTCAGTTTGAAAAAATTTTTTGCCTTCATTTAATCTGTGCTGGGTTGAGAAAAATAGTAGGTGTTGGCTTTACTTGCTTTTTTAATTAATTCTTCAACTAAAATTTTTTTCAAAGTTTTTCTTTTCAATTCTTGTACATTTTTGAAGCATCAACAAGCGGTGTTCATCAACATATTTATTCGTCTGCATATAATCCACCACCACTTCAACCACCATCAATTAATCAACAACAATATTCACAACATCCACCAGTTACATTCCCAATGCCCCCATTATCTTCTTTAGGAATTTCTGGACTTGTAATTCCTCCACCACTTTCAACAAGTATTCAACAATCTAATAATAATGAACAAATAATTTATGGGCAACAAATTCAAGCAACGACTGGGAGTGGTGAACAACAACAGATGCAACAAACAGGTTTTAATAATAAATTAGAAAAATTGGGAAAATATTTTTTAAATTTTATTTAAAAAAAAGTCAGAAAAGAATGAAAAATAAATTTTTTTAGTTTATTTTAGAATTAGGAAAAATTACTTAAGATTTTTCGAAAAAAATATGCGATAGGCCACTTTAAAACCAAAGACCTGAATTTTTTCAATTTATAATTAGGATAGGACAAGGCCGGTTAATTTATTTCAATGGCGTGGCTTTTTTTCTCTTTTCCATTCTCTCTTCTTTTTTTGCCCCGCCACAGGGAAAAATTAACCGGGCGGTTAGTCGGCTTTGTCCTACCCTAAATATTTTTTCCGAAATTTTATTTTAAATGAATTTACAATCTTAATCGAAAAAAAATTAAAAACTTTTACCCTTTAAAAACCAAAAAATTTTCTAGGCAATTTTATGTCCCAACCACCAATTCAACAACCAGTCCAACAATTTCATAGTCTTTAAATATTGAGAGGTGTTAATGAGAAGAATGATTTTTTAGGCGTAAAAATGTGATATCTATTAAAAAAGGAAAATTATAAAAAATGAAATTTTTGTGTTTTTGGTTGGAAGAATAAGACTTGGATTTTTAAAGAAAAATTTTTAATTTATTTTTATTTAAAAAATCCAGGTTCCTTAAGAAGTCGTTCTTGCGATAATTTTTGCGGATTTTTTTTAAATTTGCGGATTTTTTAAAATTAAAAAATTTTTTTTTGAAAAATCCAAGTTCCTTAAATTAATTTTTAAACTTATTTTTGGGAGTGTATTTTAAAGACTACTATTTATATAAATAATATATTTGTTAAATAAATGTTTAAAATTAATAATAAATTTATTTTTTGAATTGGTTTATTGACTAAAAATGTATTTTAATGTGTTTTTTAATTAAAATTTTTTTAAATCTAATTTTTAAGTCTTCTATTTATTTTATTTGTTTGAATATGACCTCAATTGAAATCGAAGCAGCAGAGTAAGTCTTGATAAATTTTAAATATGTGATAATTCTTGCGGACAATTTTTTGCGGATTTTCTTGAATTTGCGGACTTTATTTTTTTGCGGATTTTGTTGAATTTGCGGACTTTAATCTTTGTCTCCAACAAAATCTAGCTTATCAATAAATCTTGTTGATTTTAATTTATTTTTCATAAATTTTATTTTTTTCAGTGTTGTCCGTCTAGTTGAGCAATATCTAAAAGAGAACAATCTACACAGGTTTAATTTAATAAAATTATTATTTATTTTTGTTTTATTAGAACCTTGGCAACTTTGCAGGATGAGACGAATATAACGCTTAATACAGGTTTTGTTTATTAGACCTCGATTAAATTATAAAAATTCTTGCGGATTCTAAAACTTGGAAAAAAATTTTTTTAGTTGACAGCATCGACCAATTTTCCCACGATATAACTAACGGACATTGGGATACAGTGCTTAAACAAATACAGCCTTTGAAATTGCCTGCTAAAAAATTGATTGATTTATATGAACAGGTTTATTTCTGAATTTTTATAGGGGAAGATGAAGGAATCTGAGGGCATAACTCTTTTCTTGTCAGTCTTGCTGTTAAGGCGCCTTCCATTTTTTCTAATTTTTACTTTAACATTTTTTTAATCTTACAGGGTACTATGATACCCTAATTATCTTTTCCCCCATGGAAGTGGACAGTGGGGGGAAACTGCACTAATTTTTCACTTTCCATTTAACTTCACCCCAATTCAATCTCGAAGGGATGTGATTTAACCTGATTCGATTCCCTATTCTAGTCACTTTCCTTCTTACGTCAGCAAAATTCGGCCCGAGGGGTATCGTTCTACAGAAATTTCACTAACTACAAATTTCTCTAGATAATCATTGAATTGGTTGAATTACGAGAATTAGGCTCTGCTCGACTTATTCTAAAGCAGACTGACCCAATGGCTTTACTTCGTCAAATGGACCCTGAAAGGCATACAAAATTGGAGAATTTGGTTGCAAAAACTTATTTTGATCCAAGAGAGGCTTATGCTGAAGGGGGGTCGAAAGAGAAAAGGAGAACTGCTATAGCACAGGTTTTTTGGAAAGAAAATTTTTTTGGGCTTATAAAGTGGTTGAGTTCCGGTTCTCCTTTTTAGTTAACATTTTGTCAACTTGGCAAAATGCTCAATTTTATGAAATTATTCTTTTTAGAGAAGGAAGAGATTCATAGGATTTTCATTGTTAAATCGAGGTGTTTCAGTTCTACATATTAGGAGGTCCCCCCATATTAGGAGGTAGAGATCGGAATTTTTGGAAATACTGGGCCTGTCCCTGGATTCTGGGGTTGATTTATTGACCTGAACCAGATCCTGGGCCTGTAGACCAGGAAAAACCCAGGCCCAGGAAAAACCTAGGAAGGTATAAAAATGCCTGGGCCTGGCCTCTGGGTACAGGGAAAAACCCCAACCCAAGCTTGGTTCAGACCCAGGCCGATCTCTAGTCCTAACAATAAGTCTTTTAAGTTTTCTCTTACCTATCCCTGAAGCCGTAGGGTGTTTTTCAAATTTTTACTAAAAAATCCTTTGTAAACAATAATTCCTTTTTTCAGTCTCTCTTTGCCGAAGTTCACGTAGTCCCACCTTCTCGTCTACTTTCTTTACTTGCTCAAGCATTAAAATGGCAACAACATCAAGGGCTTTTACCCCCTGGAACTCAAATTGATTTATTTAGAGGGAAAGCAGCTGTTAGGGAACAAGAAGATGAAAGACACCCAACAACGCTAGCACGAACAATGAAATTTGGCTCGAAAAATTATCCAGAATCTGCACAGTTTAGTCCGGATGGGCAATATTTGGTGACAGGTTTGGAATTTTAAATTATTTTTAAGAATGCATAAAAGACATTGTTAAGGGAACAAAATTTCAAATTTTTGGACTTTATTGTAAATTTTTGTTGTCGATTTTGTTCTGTCTGGTTTTCCTTTTTTGAACATTTTGTCACTTTGACGAATTGTACTTTTCCACCTTATTGACAATTTTCAAAAAATTAAAAATTTAATTTTTAATTTAAAGGGTCAGCAGATGGCTTTATTGAAGTTTGGAATTTTTCAACCGGAAAATTAAGAAAGGATTTAAAATATCAAGCACAAGATAATTTTATGATGATGGATACAGCAATACTTTGTTTAGCTTTTAGTAGGGATTCTGAAATGCTTATAACTGGCTCTAAAGAAGGAAAAATAAAGGTTTGTATTAAGGAGGGAATTATTTTAAAAAATCAGGAAAGACGGTAAACATGGGGACTTTGTAATGGGGCGTAGAGTAGTTTTGTGATTTCAACATTTTTCAAATTCTTGACTCCAATTCATGTCAGTTAGACTCCAGAGACAGCTTAGGAACTAGCTCTCAACACTGTAGATGAGCAGCAAAGCTTTCCACAATCTAAAAAAATCTGTTCACAAAGCCATGTAATTCTTTGCGAGGCCCCCATGGAAAATTTTTTAGGAACGTTTAATTTTATAAAATAAAGGTGGTTGTCGTCCTTTCCATTTCCTAACGAGTGAGAAAAGATAAAAAGAATTTTTTTAAATTAAAGATTTGGAAAATCCAAACAGGACAGTGTTTAAGGAGATTTGAAAATGCACATTCTGAAGGTTTTTTTAAATTAATTTTAAGAAAGGAAATTTTTATTTCTAGGTGTCACAAGTGTTTCATTTTCAAGGGATTCAAGTTATGTTTTGTCGTCTTCTTTTGATAAATTAATTAGGTTTTTTTTGAAAATTTATTGAAAATTTATTTTTAAAAAGAATTCATGGTATGAAAAGTGGAAAGTGTTTAAAAGAATTGAGAGGACATACTTCTTATGTTACTGATGTTAAATATACTGAAGATTGTCATCAATGTGTGAGTGGATGTGCTGATGGAACTGTTAAAGTATTTTTTTGAAAATTTTTTTTGGAAAAAATTTTTTGTAATTTTTTCAAGAAAAAAATTTTTTTTGAATGAATTCTAAAAAATTTGGAAATTTTCAAGAATTTTTTTTGAAAATAAAATTTTTCTTTCAAAAGGTTTGGAATTTAAAATCAATGGAGTGCATTAACACATTTCGTGTCCAACAAGAAATCCCAGTAATGAGTGTCCATTTACTTCCAAAATCAAACGATCAATTTCTCATTTGTAACAGAAGTAATACAATATATGTTTGTAATTTACAGGGGCAGGTAAAAAATATTTTTGATAACTTTAAAATAAACGGAGTGAATGGGATAATGAGAGGATGAGATGCCTCGTACAAATAGACCTCGATATAGGATACCCCAACTACAAGAACTCTCAATTTACATAAACTTGATTGACCTCTCGGTTGTGGAGAGCTTCCCTAAAGTTATATCTTTTATTTAACATATACCCTCATCATAGAATAAAATCTTTCCATCCCCAAGGGTGTATCATCCCAAGGGTATATATTAGAGAGATCGGTCTGGGTCTGAACCAAGGCCTAGGTTTTTTCCGGTACCCAGAGTCGAGGCCCATGCATTCTTGACCTTCCTGGGTTTTTCCTTGACTACCCAGGATCTTGCCCATGTCAATAAATCAAACCCGGAATCCAGGCTCAGGCTTTTTAAGAATTCTGATCTCTAGTATATAGTTAAGTCAAGAAAAATATTTTTTTCTCTTTTAAATAATTTTTAATTTTTAAAAAAGGTAGTAAAAACCCTAACTAGCGGAAAACGAGAAAAAGGCGATTTTATTGCTGCTTGTCCTTCCCCAGAAGCAGAATGGATTTATTGTGTTGGAGAAGACCGTGTACTTTACTGTTTTTCTATGATTAGCGGCCAACTTGAAAGCACAATAGCGGTAATTTAGAATCTTATTTCTTCTCAAAAAAATTTATTTTAAAGATACACGAAGCAACAGTAATTGGAATAGCCCATCACCCGCATCAAAATTTAGTGGCCACATATGCAGAAGATGCACTCCTTAAGCTATGGAAGGCTGTTTGATTTTTACATTTTTGAATGTTATTTGAAAGGAATTCTGATTTTTAAAAATGAGAAACAGAATTCTGATTTTATTCCAAAATCATAATTTTTATGAAAATCAGAATTTTTAGCAAGATCAGAATATCCTCTAGAAAATCAGAATTCTGATTCGAAAATGAGAATCAGAATTTTTATCAAAGTCAGAATTTTCAAGAAAATCAGAATTTCCATGGAAATCAGAATTCTTAACAGGGTCAAAAAAATCCTCTAGAAAATCAGAATTCTGATTTTAATTTGAAAAATCAGAATTTTTATTTAATCAACTGAAACGATAAAAAATTCTTTTTTTCTAAATTCTGATTTTCAATTTTAAGTCTCTCTTATTTCTGAATTTAATTTAAAAAATAATTCTGAAGCTGTTCTGCAATCCTTTGTAGGATTGAGAGACTTCCCTTTGAAAATCCAATATTTATTTTTATTTATTTTTTAAATCAAATTTTTTGCTTTTCCCTTTTTCCAACCTTGTCTGTCCATCACACCAAACTTTCTCAAAATTTGTTGTGGACATATAAAAATTGGCGCCATAAGGGTGAAATTAGATTTTGAGGGAAATTGAGGGGGAATTTTCTTTTCTACAAAACTTGCAATCAAAAAATAAAATGTGTGGCCTTCCTTTTCCGATTTTTTTCTTCATTTTCTCAATCAAAAATACAAGAAAAAGGAGGAAAATTAATTTTATATAGGAAAATATTTTGAGATGATTTTTAATTAAATAGGAAAAAACAATTGGAAATTATATAGAGGGGAAGAATTTGTTTATTTTTTGAAGGTTTTTGGGACAACTGCCAATTTTCTTTGGTTTTTTAGAAAACGTTTTAAAAAATTTCCAATTGTTGGGGACCCAAAGATAAGTATTAATAAAGCCAACAATTTAAATACAGTCAGACCTCATTTAAACCAGAAAAATCAGAATTTTTATTGAAGTCAGAATATTCACTAGAAAATCAGAATTCTGATTTACTTCCAAGACCAGAATTTTCTTATAAAACCAAAATTCTGATTTTATTCTGAAAAATCAGAATTATTATTTATTCAGAAGAAATTTGAATATACATCTACTTGAGGTTACCCTCTATTTAATATACACCTCATTACAAGATAAAAATTTTTTTCTGGTCCCATAGGGTATCTATAAGCTAGGTCCGACTGTATTGAGATTAAAAATAATTATTTTAAAATCAAAAAAATCCTCTATCGATGCCAACTTATTTTTGCCATTTTACGCTGACGCCAAATAAGTAATCCAGTAACCAACGGAAAACAAAAAACTAGCAAACCAATTCCTGCTAGAGCAGCGCCAAAAATATTTTCACTAAAACAGACGGTTGATTGGGAAAGAGGGGAGACTGCTAAAAAATTAAATTTTTGAAAAATATTTTTTGAAAATTTCAAGTACCGTATGGTCCTGTAGTCAACCCGAGACGTGAATTTGTTGGAAAATCTAGGAAAAATTTCAAGTCTTTAAAATTTTTTTGCACATCTACCTTTCCCAACTTTAAGCAATTCTCTCCGTTCCTCCGCCTCTTCTCCAGTTTCTTCATCATCCAAATCCAAAACATGAATTCTTTCCGCAGACAAATCCTTTAGAAAAATATTTTAGAATTCAATTTTAAAAATTTCCATCTTATCCCTACCCTGGACACCTATTTAATCCCTATCTTAACCCACCCCAAACAACCTTAATCCGTCATGAATGAGGCTGAGATAATGTTAGAGGGAAAATATTTTAGAGAAAATATATAAAATTAAATATTAAGGGATCAGTTAGATTTGGAGCTTAATCCGGGATAACTAAGGGGAGATATGTTAGAGGGATGAGAGGATTGAACACCCCGTGATAATTCAAACTGGGATAAATGAGAATGTGATATAAAACAGATCCTATTAATTTAAAAATGGTCACACCATTGTAAAAGGGTCATCAGGTGAAAACGGCGCGGATAGCGAAGAATTGTTCTCAGCCTTTTTAGCATCTCCAGTTGTTCGTCTCCGACGATTATTTGGGCCACAACGAGGGGGCTAAAAAAAGCGAAATTATTTTATTTTCTAAAAATATTATTTACAGTTTTGCCGGAACACATTCCTTCAGAAATCATACAAGTACTGACTGCACATTGAAAATACGTTGTTACTTTGTCGGCAAACTTTGAGAAAAAAAAGAATTTTTTTGAAATTATTTCTTGCCCCCCACCTTAAAAACATTAACTTCTGTAAATGCCAAATTTGCTTGACTATTATATGTTAAATCAGAAACTATTATTGGGTCATTTGTACAGCCTAGAAAATTATTTAAAAATTATTTTTTTATTTTTTTAAACACCATGTTCATCAATTAAAGGTTTTCGATCCTTTCCAGCCCCATCATCAACAAAACAATTGTGGACTAACATTGAAAACATGTCTGAATCGCATTGCCATACCTTTAATTAAAGAGGTATTTAATAGAAACTCTAGACAGGAAAAGAACCCTCCAGACAACTAACAAGAAAGCCCTCTTGTCCAACTCCCTCTTGTCATCAAATTTTTAACTTATCACACCTCTCCCTTACTCATCCGATATATATCCCCATTGTCAGCCCATATTAACTCCCTCACATATCCCAGACCCTCATTAATCCTCTCTAGAGACTAGTAAAGATAGCTCCAAGGTATGGTAATAGATTTTGAGCTAAAAATAAAAAAAATTTTCACATGAAATACAGGCTCCCCCACACTTGCATAGGTCACAATCGGTCCATTCACCGAACCCCTCCGCACCGTGTAAGTACAGAGAGGCATTCTGGCAGTATCAATCAACTCTGTTGTGGGTATCATACTAACATCAAAACGATTAGTAACTACTTTATCTGCTTCCTTTAAAAAAATTTTTTTAATTTTTTCTGAAAAAAATTTTTCTTGCCATATAAAAACAAGTACAGCGATAAGCACGATCTACTTTTGTAATAAAAATATCGTGGAAAGAAATCTTTAAAAAAAAATTTTTTTAATTAAAATAAATTTAAATTAACCGTCACAGTAATAGACTGTTCTACACCTCGTTGTTCTGGTCCTAACTAAAAAATCAGAATTATTTTTCAGAAATTAAAATCAGAATTATTTAAAAAAATATTTTTTCTCTTTAGAAGGCAGAAAATGTCAAGGTCTTATTAATAAAATTATTTTTAAAAACCCCATCTTGACTTTATTTTTAAATTAAGGTAGAATGTCAAGTGTATACAAAAAGAACAAAAACTTTTTTAAAATATTTTCTTGAATTAATAATTTAAAGTTTATCTTTTACGTCAGAAAAAAAATTAAAAGTTTATTGGAGTCTCATTTTGGATATTAAAAAATTCTGATTTTTTAAATAAAATTCTGATTTGTAAATTCTGATTTTTTAATAAAATTCTGATTCTTAATATTCTGATTTTTAAATAAAGTTATGATTTTTTGTAAAATTCTGGTTATTTTTTAATAAAATTCTGACTTCAACATTCCGTTTTGTAAATTCTGATTTCTAAAATTCTGGTTATTAAATTCTGATTTTTAAAGTTTCTATAATTTCTAAATTCTGATTTTAATTTATTTTAAGCTGCACTTTCCTTATAAAAGGGAAAGGGAAAAACCGATTTGTAATTTAAACAAATACTAGAATAGAAAATATTTTTAAAGTATTGTTATTGACCTAAAAGGATATTGAAATAGAAAAAGTTTAAAAGAAAAAAATAAAATAAACTTACTTTTCTTGATCGCCTCATATTGCAAGCTCCATTGGCCAATTCAAATTCGACCTTTAAAAAATCAGAATTTATTTTAAAAATCAGAAATTCTTTAAAAATCTTAAAAAGCAAGTCATTCTGATTAAAAAATCGATTTTTTAAAATTCAAAATTTAAAAAATCAGAATTTTTCAGAATTTAAAAATCAGAAAATTTTAATCAGAAAACAATCAGAATTTTTATTCTGATTTTTAAAAAATCAGAATTTTTGATAGGAAAAAATCAGAATTTATTTTAAAAATCAGAATTTCTCTCTACCTTTGTTTGACTATTCTGCCTATAATTTTCCACACACTTTTCATTATCCACCATTCCTTTAACAAAAATTCTTCCAGTAAAAGGTTTTTGCGTTTGAAATGTTAATTTTACACGTTCCTCGAGACAATCAACTAAAGGATCGCCTTAAAAGAAAATTTTTTTGAAATCAAAAAATTTTTATTAAAATTTACCTATCACAGCATTATCTAAAATTGAAGATTCTGAAGAAGAGGAAGAGGGGAAGGCACTTTCGACAGGGGGATAAAATGAGGGAATTAAAAGGGGTATTAAAGAGAAGAATAAAGGAAAGTAAGGAAATGAGGAAGACATCTTTTGAAGTTAAAATCTGATTTTTCTGAATAAATTTTAGTCAAAAATATTTTTAAAATTTATTAAATCGGAGCAGTACAACTAGTAGAGAATTTCTATTTTATCACACCCAACAGCCATTAATAAGGGATACCTGATATGGGGTGGGATATGTGGAGATGTAGAATAGGAGATGAAAGGAATAAATATGGAAGGAATTTGAAGTTAATAATAGTGTATTAACCCAAACCTAGTAATCTCTGCTTCATCACACCCAATATACACTAAGATCCACAAGTCTGGATGTCTGAGAGGGATATGTGGGGACGAATAAAATGAATAAAATATGGAAGGAGATTGAAGGCTGGGATATGTGGGATATGATAGAGATTGCTTGATAATAGTCTAGGAACCCTATCCCAGTGAATAAACCATTTGCGTCTTACAAAAAATTATAATTTATTTGTTTTAAAATAATTTGTAAACAAATTTGTGCCCTTAGAATAGCTCAAAAGTACTCCTAAAAACTGAGGAAAATATATAAAAGAATGAGCGAAAAATGAGGGAAGATGCTAGTTGTTGTTGTTGTGACAGCCTATAAACTCCGCCCTCTAATCGGAGAACCTTTTAAAGTGAA